TCAGGTTAATCGCGCCAATGAGGGCCGCGACAAATGGGCGGAATTTGGGTCTTTGAGTTTGGTTTGATTTCGGCAGATGGAGAGGGACAGATCCATCGGGCTTTTCTTTTTCTTTTGTTCACTTGTTTGCTCTCCGTACAGTTAATTAATTGCATTGTGTGCTCCGGAGGACACTGCATCATGCTTTGTATTTTTATTTTATTTTATTTTTTCCCTCTCGCGTCGCTTTCGGCTTTTTATTACTATATAGTCTCTCTTTTTAATTTATCACTCGGCTGGTACCTGCGGTTCACTACTGCCGACTCCTGATAGCGTTATTTAAAAAACTCAACGTCCAATTGGTGTTGAAGGGTGTGAGATCGTATGATTTGTTTCCCCATACATTCATTTGAAGCCCATGGCTAGCCATCGCTAGAAGGTATAATATATTACTCCTCCAGGATCGTCTTCTCCAGGGGGCAGGGGAGGGGGGAAAAAGGAGAGGCCAGATCTCTGTTCACAGGATTAGGTAGCCTCACTAACTATCCCCCGTTACTGCCACCTGGTCGAATCCCAAACATGATGCGGAATTCCCGAGAATGACGATGCCTGACTTGACGGCCGGCTTGCAGATCGGATCGCCATGCTTGAGACAAAACCGAGGTTGGAGTGACGACAACCGGGCGTGGATCGGGGGCGCCCGTTAAAGCAAAAAGAAAAAATTAAAAAAAAAGGCCAAACTTTGGAGGTAAAAATAAAATGAAAATAAAAAATCAAGGGACGAGAGTATCGTGGGACTAAGCCCGAATCGTTAGTGATGCTCTTATTCGAGTTCGTTCTTGCAGCCGACATGGGACCCTCTCTGGGTTTTCACGTACGGCGTAGTTTTGATTTCATGTGGTTTTTGTACGGAGTATTTCTGATTCTGAATTGAGAATTCCTTATTAGTTTATTGCCTGGAGATTTGTCGGATGCCCACTTCCCTAGCCCGAAGAACCCCGCGAATGACAAGTCCACGATCCTCGATGGAGTCCTGCTTCCTCAAGGATTGAAGGAACCCCGTGAAGCTGTCGTCGTTTGGCAAGACCCAACTCCCTACGGAGTACGCAGTAGGTAGTCTAAGGTAGTGATTCACCCCCTTTCGCCGTCCTCCGCCAGGTCGACTCCGTCACGACCTCCCGCCAACGGTTAAGCAGCCGATAGTCTACGGATCCAGCTACGTAAACCATGCCAAATCGTCCAGAAGGAGAGGAAACTTGGGTATGGTGCCGGGCACGGAGGTCGGACAAGGGGCGCGGGTCCTAGTCCATAGGAAATCGGTTCCTCTGTGAAGACCAACGGGGAGGGGCGCGATGTCGACTTTTTTTCGGAAAATTTCTCTACTTAGTTGATTCAGGAATGAGGCATGATGGAATGATAAGCCCCCGGCGATTCAGTATTGGGATTTTGTGGGCAGGGAATTGTGGTTCTTGACCCTTTTTTTTTTTTTTTTTTTACTCTCAATTTTTTTTGCCCCTCTCCGACTCTCGTTTCATTCACAGTTGCGACGTTGATTATCCTTACGCTCCAGAGATTTGGGTCCGAGTTCGTGGAGGCTTTTTTCGTCGGCCGAAGGAATTCCCTGCGTTCGGTTGTTGTTCGATGTACCTTTTTTTATTTTATTTTATTTATTATTTTCTTCATGGTTCTCGGGAGTGGGAGTCGGTTGAATTCACCATGCTTGCATTATTCCATCGGGGCCGAAACAACGATAGGCGTTATTTTCTGTTGGAGTTTAAAAAAAGAAACAAAGAGAGACAAAAAAAAAAAAAGTCCCGAATCCCCTAGGATGATCAAACACACCCTAGACAACACGGAGTCCCGTCTAGAATAGATTCAGGGATAGATGAAAGGGAAAGAGGAGACACGGAGACGGGCTGGACAGACCTTCATGCATTGAAACAAGGTTATTTTCAACTGCCGTCCCGAGGATATCCTGTTCCCTCGAAATAAAGGACCAGAGGGCCTGGCGATGCCGTGTCTTAAATTATTCGTCGATTATGCCGCTTCGGGTTTCATTGTTTGCGTTATGGAGATGCACTGGATCGTTCCGAACACTCTCCGTACTCCGTAGCATATCGCGGCGGGGCATGCGTTGAAAGTTAACTTGATTGATTTTTGCAATCGATGGGATGTATTATCTTGGATACAGATACAGATACAGCATACAGACTACAGGGTACTGCGTAGATTAGTAGATTAATTAGTATGAGAGAGAGGGAAAAAAAAAAAAAAAAAAAGGCTGCGCAGTCCGGCATGGAGCACCAGGCATCCACAAAGAAAGGAAACGACTCCATCCATTGCATGATGAATGATCATCGTGACGATTCAGCTGGTGGTCTCAATTCCGGATTAGGATGCTGAAGGATTCCTGTTTTCTTTTTTTTTCTTTTTTTTTCCCTTTCGTTTTTCCTTTTTTTTCATGTATCCTGCATCCAATGTCTGCCCGCATACCCTCCTGACTCTGGCCGGGGAAGCCTTTTCACGTCTGTATGACCGAGCACTGACCTCGTGGCGTTCCTGTCCTTCGTGTCGTTTCGCAAATCGCCTCAATCTGTGCACCGTGGTCATCTCGGGAATCCCTCGACCCTCTCGACTAGTTGGCTAGTCATGTCGAGACCAGAGGATGGTCCCGGTTCCCAGCCATGAACCCAATCCACTCCCCGGGGGACCGTTAATACTAGGACGGATCGAGGTGGATTGACAGAACCAGAGGAGAAGCACTAAAATCGTCAACCCTATGGAGTTCCAGCCGGGCCAGAATATGATAATAATTTATTTTTTTTTTTTAAAAAAAATCTTTTTCTTTTTTTTATTTATTTTATCTAGTTTATTTTCTTTTCTGGGTAATGTTTAATTAATGGTCTGGTTAAGCTGTTGTCCTCCGTCGTCCGACCCAGGGTTTTAGAAAATAATTTCCAATTATCCTTTCGATTTTATATGATCGTCTTATTTATTATCTTTTATTTTCTTATTTTCTTATTTTTTTTTCATTATTATATTATTTTATTATAGTTTTATTTCTTTCCAGAGGTACGGACTCCAGAGCTGTCGCTGGGGACCGTATCGTAAGGAAGAAAAGAATAATCAATCACCGCATTGTTTCCCCCTCTTTCTGCTCTTCTTCTTCCTTCTTTCTCCCTTCTTCCTTGCCCCTGCTCTTGTTTCGATTTTTACTTTTTTCTTGTTCGATCCCTTTGTCGGAACATCCTGGTTGGCTGCCGGGTTCCTTCTCCTTTCATTCCCTCCGTCACTCTTACTCTTATACCGACTTCGTACGCCTGCCTGACCTTACCTACCTGACCTCCTACACACCACCCCAGTTCAGTCCTTTTCTTTTTTACGTCCTCTCTTTCATCCGATCCTATCCTGTTCGGTCCTATCCTCTCCCTCTCACCGGGTTCCCCCCCTCTCACTAGCCTATCTACAGGGGGGCGTGGTCGAAAACAAGTACAGATACTACCCAGCGTCAAGGACACTTGGCTGGCAAATACACCAACGCCTCTAGTAGCAAATCACCGACCTTCTTTTCGCTGCCTCGTTCCATCTGGGCTTTGCCGCGGGTCCGCTATCACTCCCAGGGTCCATTCTTTCTGGCTGTTAGTGCCAGTCTTCCCTCCAACCAACCACATAGTCTCGGGGTACGTATGGGCGGTTCCTGAGCGTTCATCTCGTTCGTCCGGTCTCTCGCGAAGGTGTCCGTAATAGGGACATCTGTCTCTTGATTTTCTTTTTCTTTTTTCAACCCCCTTGTCCTTCTATATTAAGGGCCAAAAAAAAGGGAAAGGTCGAAAAAAAATAAGACCAGAGGCTAAAGAGAAAAAAGAAAAAAAGAAAAGAAAAAAAGGACAGAGAACAAAGAAAAGCAACGCAACCCACACTGCTGTCTTTCATTCGCCCATTGTCCTACCCGGAAGCCGGAGTCTCATCTGTCGTCGACAAACGGCCTTGCCTGCTTTTTCTCTTACCTGGTCACGTTCGTTCCACGGCCTTTCTGGGGTCCTGTCACCATCTGCAGTGAGAACGACGCTATTTCCCATCCTCCCTTTGTTCAGGAGACTGTCATTTCCACTCCCCTCCCCCCCTGGCTTACGATATCCGGCTTAAGGCGTAACCCTACTTGCCCTTGGTCTGCCTTGACAGTCTCAGTACCGTCCCCGCTGGATCATTGTTGGATGCTCGGGACGATCAACTGGGATCCTGCAGCAATCCTGGCATGGAGTGCTCGTTCCGGAAAGACTGTGTTTCAGGGCCGTTTGCACCATGATTGTGGTCTATTAGTTGCATCCGTTGCCTTCCCGTTGTTCTTCGATCCGTGAGTATATGGGAATAGTCCAGTGAGCCCGCACGCCGCGGATTTGATCGCCTTGTGACAGAAAATTACCCTTTTTCTTGTCTCCATTCTGCAGACTTAGCCTTTTTTTTTTTTGTTTTTTGTTTTTTTTTTTACCCTTCCCTTCCCTTGGGGTACTTTTACCTACCGCTCCGACTCGGTTGTTCGGTTTGTCTTTGAAGTCAGAGCGGCAAACCAAGGTTTGGGTATAGAGATATCCCCAAACCCTAATTTCGATTGCCTTGAACACCACCCGCCCATAATTTTTTATTACTCTTGTGTTTTTTCTTTTTCTTTTTCTTGTGTGTTTTGTTTTATTGAACTGCATTCGTGTTGCTCAACCGTGCTGTGATTCAAAGTCTCGGGCAACGGCATACATAAAAAGGAGGTGTGTTGCATTCCAGTTCGTTCATTCATTTCGCTTGCAAAGGAGTGTCGGTTGCTAAAGCAGAAATTGCCTTGTCATTCTTATCAGATCGCATTTGATTTCGTCACCGTTGGGATTCTGGACGCCATTCTATTCCTTGGTGGACTCTCCACAACCCCTCCCGCATCCCCAGAGACCTTCGCCCTGTTATGTTGCTGGCTACAGGACGTTGAAAAAACGACCAAACAACCACCACATTTTGTTTATCCTACGGCGCCAACCATGTCGACCTACTACGTGGGACCCTTCGGGCGTATGTTACCTGTGACCGATGGTCCTTCTTCGGAGCGAGAGCCTGATCGTCCGGCTAACTTGCCAGTTCCTGGAACTCATCCATACCAGCTCCCGCCACCTCGTGCTTCAGCGCCTTTGCAGTTTGGAACGGACCCTTTCCTGCACCAGCGGACCCAGGGAGAGAGGACCGATCTTGGAGGACCCTTATCCGGCCGTTCGCAGGCCCCCAGCCATCAGCCTGCAACCGAGCAGCTGCCGTCAGTCAGCCAGTTGTTGACCCCGACGGCCCAAGACAGTCGGCCATCGTCTCCTTATCACCCCAGCGCTTTTGGAATCTACACACCCCCTAATGGTCCCGCGGAACATTCTCAACCATACCGACACCATGAGCCTGGCCCCGTCCTGACGCCGACGCCGCGCAACGGAATCCTCGAGCATCAACTCCATTCGGATCCCATCCATCAACGGCATCCCGGTTCGTTGCCTCCGCTCTCTCGTTTATCTCCCCACAATCTGGGGCGCGAGGCCTCGGTGAATCCGCCCAGCCAGGTCAACTCGCCCGTTCCTTCGTTTCCGCAGGGGCTATTTCATCCGCATGGATTCAGACCTCCCGAGAGGGAATCTGACGACGGCGGACTCCCAGAATCCCCGGACGCGCGAGGTTTGGCCGAGAACAAAAGCCCTACTTCCAATGTTCGTTCGCATGTGGTCGATGAGAGGTACGTCGACGGGGAGGGCCTGTGTTACATATACGCAGACGGCACTCGGTGCCCCAAGATCATTGACGGAGTCCCCGTGAATGCCAACTGGGGCATTACGAAGGCCGGAAAGCCGCGAAAGCGACTAGCCCAGGCCTGTTTGACTTGCCGAGAGAAGAAGATCAAGTGCCAGCCAAATCTGCCGAAATGCGACCAGTGCCAGAAATCCGGCAGAGAGTGCAGGTTCGAGAGTGCGTAAGTATTCCTGACGGGGGTGGAAACAAATTTCTATTTGCTGCTCTGGCTGGCCCCAGAATTTGATTTTCTCTAACGTTTGTCTAGACCTCGCGGTCATCGTGCGGCGACGAAGCATTCCCAACCGATGGGACGATACGAAGGACGGGACAGCTTCTCCGCCGGAAGCCACAACTTTTCCGGCTCCTCTCATTCCCTGTATTCCATGGTCCGGGCCTCAGGAAGCTCGACTTCGCTGCCGAGGACCAGTTCTCAGTCTCCTATATCCGACGGCTCGATGCTTACTCCTTCCGCGGTGGATAGCACTCACGACGGTGCGATGGACTACGAACATTACAGATTGAGAGGTCCGGGATCGAGTCGAATCTCTGCAGGCGCCGAGGACCTGCCGAAACGTGTGGATGGTCAAGTGTCTCCTGATTATTCCGACATTCTCACGGGGTTGAAAGATCTGGATCCGCAGGACCCTATCGCCTGTGACTGGCGAGTTGATCCATACGAACTGGACCCTGAGCTCACGATGCATTACGTCGAAACCTATTTCACGTATGTGAATGATCGGATGTACTACATGTTCCCACGACGTCGATTTCTTCTCTGGCTTCGGTCGAGCCAACCGAAATCACTGGATGACCATATGCTCCTTTACTCAATGATGACACTGGGATCAGTGTTCTCCGAGCGCCCGGACAGGGTGATAGCTTTGAAGAGATACTCTCGCACGGCTCGATATGCCGTGGAACACAGCAGACACAGTCTCACCCTGCAGCTTGCTCAAAGTCGCATCATCATGAGTCTTTGGTATTATGCCATCGGCGCTCTTGTGAAGTCATGGGATGCTGTTGGGGCTGCCGTGCGGACAGTGAGCGGACTACGATACAATGTCGAGCTGGGCGGCGTTATTGTGGACCAAAGCCGAGAATGCGAATATGGTTTACATCCCCAGGCGTTGATCGAATGCCGACGTCGCACATTCTGGGTTGCTTTTCTGATGGACGTGAGTGTTTTCTTCTTCTTGCGTATTTTGGTGCTTTGTACCTGCAAAATGAACTTAACTAACTGTGCTTCCTCAAACCAGCGTCTCTCGTGTTTCTATACCCCGTCGACCACCCTCATTTCCTCCCAAACCGCCTACCTCCGACTACCTTGCCGCGAAGAGGTCTACGAAGCCCAACAATACACTACCGTTCCTTATTTCCAGAGCTTTTTGAACCAGCTTCCCGTATCCTTGGAAGACGAGCTTTCCGGATTGAGTGCGATGGCACTCCTGATAGACATTTTGTCATTATGGGGAGAGGTTTCAGACCACGTCTTTCGATTGTCGTTGATTCCGGCCGAGGCTTATGGCAGGCTCTTCGAGGAATTTCACTCGAATGTTGTTCGCCGGTCGGACGAGTGGGCTGCCAGGCTACCGGACCATTTGACATTCACGGCCGTCAACATGGAACGCAGTATTCGATCCAAGAAGGCGGATTCTTTCATCTCCATCCACCTTTTATACCATGCAACCTTAATGAAACTGAATCGACACGCGCGGTTCCAGAATCTTCCGGATGGGCTGGTGGACCGGTACATCCACGCCACCAGAAACCACGCAGCGGAGATCTTGCGCATCTCAGTTGCTCTCATGCGATATGCCGCCGATTATGAGACTTCCCGGTCGGCCATGGAGCCCAATATCTCCAAGGGAACTCTACTCAATCCCTTTTTGGGCTATGTGATTTTGTCCGCGATCGACGTGCTTAGCGCCGGCGGATTGATCGTGGATCTCCCTGAATGCATCCGCCTCATCGGGGGTGGACTCGAGGTGATGCGCGAGCTGAGTCGCTTCTGGGCCAGCACCGTGCCGCTAGTGAGTTTGATCGAGACACGACTCAATGCGATGACCGAAGTGCCTTACCCGCAACTCGAGTTGGCCGGCAAGATCGCCTTCCTCACGAGGAGTCATTCGCTGGATAGCCAGGTCCGCAGTAGCGTCCAAAAACAGGAGTCGGCGACGAATGAAGACCTCCTGTATGAAGAAATGCCGCGTGAGCGGCTGTTCGTTGCTCTGGGAGTCGGAAGCGTTCCATTCTCGGAGGACAACATCCTCTGGATGAAAGATACCAGCTGAGAGCCATCATTGTTACTGTTTGCTCTCTATTTCTATTTTGTGATTTGTCTATTTTAGCGATGTTGATGCCGTGTACCAAAAACGAGGCTATTATTGTCGGCTCTAGTAATGTATACCCGGTGGTTCTCTTTTCACTTGTCTATGGTGGTGAGCCTCTATGAGTTTTGTTCTAACTGTCTATATTCATCGACGCATTGCGGCCTGTATTATATGTTATTGCCTGAAGGGCAAAGATGGAAATGTACATCATGTGTATCCTGGAGTTGGTGATGTCTATGAGCATTAGATGAACAGACTGTGCTGAGCACGCGTTGAACTGGAGAATGATCCCCTGAGTAGAGCCAATCACTTCGTCAGGTAGTAACGATACTGTACTGCGATGCATAGGTACCTAATTATGCTTCAATTAAGAATTTATCAAGATCATCAATTATCAAGTGCATGATAGTCCGTCTGTTAAGGCCGATACTTCCACGGGCGCTAAAGCCGGTATTGCCGACGTCATCGGCGTGACCGGCGAAAAAGAAAGAAAACAGAAAGAAAAAAAAGAATCACCTTTCGGCTTGTTCATCCCCCCGTCGATGCAGGCTCCCCTCCGGAGAAATCACCAAGAGAGGAATTATGGCCTGTTGCATCCCCGGATGAATTTCTGAATCCACTTGTCTCGTGTTTCTTTTTCTTTTTGTTCTCGAACCTCTTGAGGATCGTCTCCTTCGGCCGGTGAACATCTCAAATACGACCGGCAAACTGCAGGGATGTCGCAAACAGACAGCAGCAACGACTTCATCGCCGGCGCCCCTGCCGACCCTGCCGACAGACAAAACCTCCCCAATGAGAACGGCAGCGCAGATGGACTCGAGTACGACGATACCAACGCCCCCGACGGATCTGCCTACTCCCTCCTCATGGACTATCCCGACGAACCCGACTACTACGCGCTGCTGGGCCTCTCGCGCACGCCCGCGCCCTCAGAGTCGGAGATCCGGTCCGCCTTCCGTTCCCGCACCCTCAGCTTCCACCCGGACCATCAGCCCACGCAGTTGCAGGATGCGGCGGCCCGGCATTTCGATCAGTTGCGCGTGGCGTCCGAGACGCTGCTGGATCCGCACAAACGCACCGTCTATGACCTGTTGGGCGCGGAGGGCGTGAGGCGCGAGTGGGCGCTCCGAGGTGCTATGGGGAAGTTTGGAGAGGCCCGGAAGCAGCAGGTCGGCGTGCGGGCGATGAGTGCCGCGGAGTTTCGGGCGTGGTTTCTGGAGACGATGAAGAGGAGGGAGAGGCGTGCCGTGGAGGGCATGGTTAGCAGTCGGGTATGTTTTTTTTCTCTCTCTTTGCTTTTCTGAGGGTGTGAATGGATTTGGCTGACTGCTGTACTGGGGATAGGGCGCGTTGACGCTAGGCATTGATGCCTCTTCTATGATTACCCTCGACGAGGAGGAGGAAATCGCCTATTTCGCCTTGGAGACTCCGCGCATCGCCAACTTCGACCTGAAGTATTCGTTCAAGGCGCCCTTTCCGTCGCCGCGCGTTTTGCTCGGGGACGGGGAGAGGGACGACGATGACGAGAAGGAACTTCCCTCTGAGGATGGAGGAGCTGCGACGCAAGGCGGCCAGTCGCCGTATGAATCGGGTGGTTTGGATATGATGATCCATACTGGTATCGCGGGCCAGCTCCAGCCCGTTTCGCGCAAGTATACCCTCACCATGGAGGATGACTCCGAGGAGGTTCACGAGGTAGGACAAGCAAACGGCACTTTAATCTCTCGCAAATATGCTGACGATTTGTGTGTAGGTTGCCGAACCTCCGATTCTCGCTGCGCGAGACTTGATCCTGGGTGCAAGTGTATCTCGTGTCTTTGGAGACTTCGCGGGCTCCAAGGGCATTCTCGGTTGGAAACCCTTTTCGTTCTTCAGTTACTCGGGAGTCTCAGCGACTGCGATGCTTTTGCCGGTCCCCTCGATCGAGACGAAGTTGGTCAAGGCCGTCCAGCCAATTCCAGGCACGAAGCCGTTCCGGGTGAACTTGAGCACCACGTTACTGCACTCCGTTTTCAGGTGTCCACCTATAGTGGGAGTGCAGGTTGTCAGGGAGATTGGCGACGGGAAGCACAGCTTCTGTAACTGGTCAAGTGGCATCGTTCCCTGGCCGGAGACATTGAAGGTCCTGCTGGCTCCGTTCGGCAATTTCGACATGGACGTGCAAACAGCACTGTTCCCCGGAAACCCGGGAAGCCATTTCGAGTTCGGCTTCATGAGCCCTCCGAAATCGCCGCTGAACGCCGCCACTCTCGACGATGACGATGCGGACGTCGAGGAGGAAGACGAAGACGAGGAGCACACGATGATGCGCAAGAAGCAGACCGCAGCGGACAAGGCCGCTGAATCCTGGCAAGCAGCCGTCACGGCCAATCCTATGACCACTGGCCTGGTATTCAATTACGCGCGCAACATCTTTTCCGGGAAGCCGGCGAATGAAGTCGCGCGGTCGGAATGGAGCTCCGAAAATCACTATGCCGTGCCCGCGGCGGACGAGCCGAAGGCGGTTCGTCTGGAGGTCCAAGCCACCGTCGGCGTTGACCTGTCCGTTGGCTGGAACATCGAGGGCACGCGAAAGGTCGGGGATCTGACTCGCATGGGATTAGGAGTTGGCTTGCAAGGAAACCACGGCTTGGCCTTGACGGTCTCATGGGGTCGATTGGGCCAGAGAATCCGGCTTCCTATCACCCTTGTGCCTCTGGAGTCAGTCAACATGGATCTCGCCGCAATGATGGTCCTTCTGCCCTTCGCGTCGTACTGCGCCTGGGAATTCGGGTTCATTCGTCCTCGGGACCGCAAGAACCGTCGACGGCTGATTGCGCGGCGGCAGAAGCAGTTGAAGAAGTCGATCCCCAAGAAGAGGGACGAGAGTGCGCAGGCCATCGCCCTGATGACGGAGCAGGTACTCAGACGACAGGCGAGAGAGGCGAACCAGAACGGTCTGGTCATCACCAAGGCTGAATATGGCCTTGATTCGTCGAAGAAGGATCGTAGCAAACGTTTAAGCGGCTACGAGGTTGCCGATGTCACCATCCCCGTGGCTGCATTGGTCGATCGCGGTCAGCTGGTGATCCCCAAGAACACGACCAGGGTCAGTAGAACATCTATATCCCTTGGTACTCGCTTTGAATTCATGCTAACTCGAACCCAGTTCCATATACTCGGGTTCCACGATCCCGCACCCCTGTTGCCCAAGACGCTGAAGATCTGGTATACCTATCATGGCAAGGACCACTACGTGGAGGCGAATGATGCCGAGGGCATAGCCTGCCCCATGAGGACTCATTTGCTTTGATTGTGTTTTTTATATAGTATTTTGGATTTTTTGGTGATCTTTTGCTTTTGTATACCAATTAGATACTCCATTCCGCTCTTGTTCTTTGGCATTTGTATAAATATTTGCATATCACCAATATTGGCTACGATGGTCTGAATACCATGTTTCTGTATAATCCTGCACTGCTACAATAATAACAATGATAATGATAATAATATCAATATGTGAACAATCCATGATGATGGCATACTGCAGCAGCGGCCCCTGATTGGCCGACCGCGGGCTACGGCGGACCGCAGCGCCACCCGCGCAAGAAAAAGCATCGGCTTGACTTCACTCGGCCTCTTTTCTGCTCTGCCATCTCCCCAGTCTTCCCCCCATCCCACCTGTTTCTCACCCTCGACAATGACGTCCATTGCAGAGGGGCTTTTCAAATCACTGCCGAAGCCGAAATACACCGGCGAGGATGAGGAGTTGCCGCAACACGCGCAGCCCCGTGGTCCGCGGGTCGTGGGCCCCGACCAGATTGATGAGTCTCAGATTGTGCTAAGGGTACGTTTCTCCCCCTCCTCAGTCCATTTTCTATCTATATCGCTCCGACGGGATAATATCTAATGGAACGTGTTCGATAATAGAAAACCGGCCCTCCCCCATATGGCAACCGTACCGGCTGGCGCCCCCGGGCCGCTGAAGACTTTGGAGATGGCGGCGCGTTCCCCGAGATCTTGGTCGCTCAGTATCCGCTCGACATGGGACGAAAGGGCACATCGTCGAGCTCGAACGCCCTCACCGTGCAGGTCGACGCCGAAGGAAAGGTCAAGTACGATGCGATCGCGCGCCGCGGCCACGGCGACAACCGTATCGTCCACGCCTCCTTCAAGGATCTAATCCCGCTGCGGCAGCGGGTGGACATGGGCGAGGTCTCGCTGGACCGGCCGTCGGAGGAGGACGTGGCGGCACAGATGGAGAAGACGAAGAACGCCCTGGCCAGTCTGGTGGACGGCGCTGTGGCGGCTCAGAAGCCCAAGAACGTCAAGGGCGGGCAGCGCGCCGAGCCCACGTTCGTGCGCTACACCCCCGCCAACCAGATGGGCGATACCGACCGGAAGAACGACCGCATCATGAAGATCGTCGACCGCCAGCATGATCCCATGGAGCCGCCCAAGTTCAAGCACAAGAAGATCCCCCGTGGCCCGCCCTCGCCGCCTCCGCCCGTCATGCATTCGCCGCCGCGGAAACTCACGGCCGAGGACCAGGAGGCCTGGAAGATCCCGCCGCCCGTGTCGAACTGGAAGAACCCCAAGGGTTACACGGTGCCGCTGGATAAGCGTCTGGCCGCCGACGGCCGTGGTCTACAGGATGTGACGATCAACGACAAGTTCGCCCAGTTTGCCGAGGCCCTGTTTACGGCGGACCGACATGCCCGCGAGGAGGTCCGGCTACGTGCGCAGATGCAGCAGAAGCTGGCAGAGAAGGAGAAGGCCCAGAAGGAAGATCACTTGCGGGCGCTTGCTCAGAAGGCTCGTGCCGAGCGCGCCGGCAGCAGTCGTCAGGACTCGCGTGCCGAATCTCGCTCGCGCTCGCGCTCCCGCAGCGGCAGTCGCAGCCCGGCGTATTCCTCTCGGTCGGGATCGCCTAGCGAGGACGAGGGTGCCGCCCGGGCACGAGAGCAGATGCGTCGCGAGCGACGACAGGATGCCGAGCGACAGCTGCGCCAGTCGCGCATGGGCACGGAGCGACGCATCCAGACGATGGCGCGGGAGCAGAACCGGGACATCTCCGAGAAGGTGGCGCTTGGACTGGCCAAGCCGACGCAGTCGTCGGAGACCATGTACGACTCGCGTCTGTTCAACCAGACCAGCGGCATGGACACGGGATTCAACGAAGATAACCCTTACGACAAGCCTCTTTTCGCGGCGCAGGACGCCATCAACAGCATCTACCGACCGCGGGCCCAGGTGGACGCCGACGACGACGAGGGCGGCGAGGGCGAAATGAGCAAGATCCAGAAGTCCGGCCGATTCGAGGTGCTTGGAAAGGCCAAGGAAGGATTCCGAGGCGCGGCGGATGCCGAGGTGCGTTCTTTTTCTTTTTCTTTTCTGCGTGATTGCATGACACGGCACTTGCAGGACCAAATGGCTAACCGATTACGAGCAGGAGCGTCAGGGCCCTGTCCAATTCGAAAAGGACACGACCGACCCGTTCGGAATCGACAGCATGATCGCCGATGTCACGGCCGGCGCTGGCCAGAAGCGCTACGGCATTCAGGAGGCAGAGGACCGGGGGTCGAAACGCGCCCGAGTGGACGACGACTAAATCGAACGATTGCTTTCTTTTTCGTATTTGCTCTACGTGGATCTGTCTATTGGGATGGTTTTTGGTGCCATGCATTGCGGGCGTTTGTGTATGTATTTTCCTTTTCTTTGATTTGTGTCTTTGCCCCCACGGACTGTCCGGCAGATATCCCTGGGTTTGGAGGGATGCTTTTCCCATTTATTTCCATATATTAGGTCCTCTGGTTTTCAAGGGGGACAGATGTAACCATAAAGATATTCAGACGTGGATCCCCGGGGTCACAATCTGATAAACAGGTGGATAGTCAGGAATGCAAACTGCAGAAGATGAATGAACCGGATTTCCTTATCTCCAGAATGTAGATCGCCCGGCGAACCCTCGGATGTCGATCATCCGGGGAGATGCTGGATTCCATGCATTGGGTGGTTGGAATTGAATGAATCCAAGAGAAAGGGAGGTCACGAATGCTGCCATAATCACCGCATCATCGCCATCTCCTCTTTTCCCTCGTCCCATCCTCTTTTTTCTCCACCTCCCTCGCCTCTCGTACTTCCATCCCACTAGTGTCTTGTCTTCGGTCTGTGCGTCGGTTTCTACTTCACACTCCGACTGGCTGCTCTACAACTGCCAGACTCCATTTCCTGGACTTTTGAAGGGGGTGCGCCATGCAGCGTGCCTGGGTGTGACCGACTGTGCCTGACAACATCTCAAGGTACACGGCATCCGACTGCGGGGAAAGAAAGAAAGAAAAAAAAAAAAAAAGGACAGCAAGAGATTGCAGACATTCCAACGTCATTATCATCGACATTCTGGCTCCTCTCATTGGACATGCCCGCGAGTATCAGTCTGGCAGGGCCAGCCGGTAGCAGCGCCTAGCGCGGGCGATCCAGAGTCTGTCAATTGATAAGGTCGGTGGAGACGTCGGAGTTTAGGTAATTCTGTGAGTGATTGATTGATTGGATTTGATTCTCGTCGATGCGTTGGTTGGAGAGCGATAGACATGGCATGGCAGACTCTGAGCCATGTAAGGAGGTGGTGTCTGTCAAGCTTTTCTGTCTTTTAATTAATTTGTTGGGAAGTGGATGGTTTCTGTTTCTTTATCTTCTCTTCCCTCTTTTTCTCGCGCTCCCTTCTTTGTCGTCGCGATTTCCTGACCCACGATTCTTAGATCGACTCAATCAGATCGCAGTTCCTAAAATCAATCGCTGAGTCACACCGGGACTTGGTCTAACTATCATTTGATTCTCTTTTTTGGTCACAGGCTTCCTCACGGTCATCTTTAGCTCTCTTGCGTGCTGGATCGACTTGGTATCATTTCCCCCGGCAATGGCGTAACGAAGGGCGGTCGATCATCTACTCCCCAGAGGCTTCGTCCCCCTTGTCAATCCACGACATGCAAAGACGGAAGAAATTCACCCTTTTTCGTTCCTCCGCTATACTTCATCCGAACTATATCCGGTGGTGAAGATCGTCACTGCTGCTTTTTATCCCTTGTTTGCTTTATCTCTCTGCTTTGACGAACTCGGCCGGTTGGCTACTACTTACTCTGTTTCAATATCAACTGAATCCCGCTCCCTGGGGAAGACTTTGGCTTGGTGGCTTGTAGGAGAGGTTGTTGGCTATATTCGTATCCTGCTCCGAGCGCTGTCAACGCCATGGATCAGTCGCTATCGCTTATTTCGGCTCAGGTCCAGTTCATGGTGAGTTGACTATCCCTTCCAGGGTTCTATTCAGCTGAATGTAATCGCCGGATAGGCATCACTAACAGGCGTGTTGATAGGACGACCGACTGGCCCTAGTCCATATCCCACTTGACCTATATCCGTACTTCTTGAACCCCATTCTCCAGGTCCTTTTCCACGAAGTGCCTCCGCTAGAAGAAGCTCATGGCGCACATGGGGACAACGGCCATTCGGATGCCTCACGACGAGCCCAGCCTGCGTTCTTGAACCTCTCGATCACGCCGGTCGAATGCTCCATCATGTGTCCGCGGCAGCTGGCGAACCAGTACTTTGCTCCGCTGGTCGAACGCTTCGTGAATACTAGTTCCTCCTCGCAGAGTCGCTTATCGATCAGCCAGGACGATTTCATTGCGATGCAGGTGTACGGCGAAGGGCTGGAGGCGGGCCAACGAGTGCTGGAGCTGACGAGTCCCCTGGCCATGGCAGGAATGTATGCAACGAGCCCTTCTGGAACTGGAAATGAACCGCTGCTGACCCTCTATGAAGCTCTATCTTTTTCATTTCCACCTACTTTGCCGATTACATCATAGTGCCCCTTCGCAGTAAGACACAGGTGATCAAGGCCTTGGAGAAGCGAGGCTTCCAATTCGAGATGTCGACCGAAGCATTCGTCAACAACAACCAGGCGCAGTTGAACAGCTGTTTCAGTCCCACGTCTTCACGCTCGTCAAGCAGTCTCGGCTCCCCGCCGGCGACGCCTCCACCCTCGTCACTCGATGAACTGCAGACGCGCACCTTTTCCTCGTTACGGAGGAACCACATCGTTCCCAGTGTGGACAAATCCCTGCGCTTGGTGCAATGCGCCGCCCACCACCCCTACAGCAGCGAAGAGAGCTCCATCTCCATCCTTCGAGAGGCACTCACCGTGGTACTGGTCGTGGACAAGCCGCGATTCCTCTCGTTGACCCTGACGGCCGCCGACCCTGCCGCATCTCTTCTCCTCGAAAAACGCCTTCTCCCCCGGTTCTCTCGCGACCCGACTTCCACCGGCGACTCCGACGAAGAAACCAGCCTTCTCCTCGGGTCGAAGGAAGAGATCCTCGTCCCCATCATGCTCGATCTGCGCAGCCTCCCCCTCGAAGCGACGGGCATTGTCTGCGGCGTCGCCGGACGACTAGCTGACGCCACGCGGCACGACGATTTCACCGACTCCTCCACCATCCTCTCGCAGTCGTTCAACGGCAGCTCGTCGATCGACAGCTCCATCAAGCACTTGCTCTCGTCCAGCCTCGGGTCCGGCGGGCCCGTCAAACCGCCCAGCCCTAGCTTCGGTCGCCGCAGTCAGCATGGATCGGTGAACCCGCCCACCCACCGTCTGCAACCGGACCTGGATGCTTCCATCGATGCCGTCGAGATCAGTTTCTTGAGCACGGCCCGCGCGGGGACGATCATTGTCGGCGAGCACGAGCTGAATCGGGCCGTCGATGCTTTGGAGGCGGAGAGTCATGGGTCCGAGATGGATGAGTCATAGCGATCTGACTGGGCTCTATTCTATTTCTTACGATGTATACGAAGATAGCATGATTGTGTTCGTGCCCTTTTTCCAGTAACATTTATTCTTGCTCTTCTTTTTTTTTTTTGGCGAGGTATGCATGGTGGGATATGTTGGCATAGCATGACAAAAAGTCTTGTTACATGGGAATCAGATACCATGGTCTTATTTTATTCATCTGTTTTTGTTGGCTTTTTTCATATTTGGTGATGGTTATATTTGGTGTTTGACCCAAGGAAAACGAAAGAAACCCCTTTTGAACGACTTGATTCGAAATATATTTCTTGGGCTGGACGAATCCTTACAGCGTGGAGCCTCTGGAGTGTACACTTTGGCGGTGGAGCCTCGGATTTGACCGGATTTTGATCGTCAGTTGGATTCCCCCGATGACATCGCACTTAATCCAAGGATTGGACGTTGGATCCACCTGCAGTACTTCAGATGGGATTGGAAGACGGTGTTCGGATTTAGGAGCGATTATCTCCCAGTGAAGGATTCGCATCCCAGTCCGATACCTGAGGTCATATCCCAGGCATAGAATATATGTACTGTCGCGAGGAATGTGTCCAGTTCTACAAACCGTGCATCTCATCCAGCGTATTACTACCTCTCCATAGAATGGCCACCTCCAAGCCACAAACCCTGACAGGTAAAATCGCCATCGTGACCGGCGCGTCACGAGGCATCGGCGCAGGCATCGCTCTCGATCTGGCCCAACGAGGCGCCAAAGTAGATTCCCCATCCCCAGATGACCAACGCCCGTAACTAAACCAACGCCAGGTCGCCATCACATACACCTCCGACACCAGCACCGCTCAGGCCGCCTCCCTCGTCCACCAAATCAACTCCCTCCCCAACCACCAGTCCACCGCAGAATCGCCCTCCCCCGTCGCCATCAAAATCCAATCCGACCTGCGCGACCCATCCTCCGCCTCCACCATCATCCAAACCACCCTCGCCGCCTTCTCGACCCCCCACGTCGACATCCTCGTCAACAACGCCGCCGGCGACGTCAACGCCTCTCTCGCCGACATCTCCCTCCCGGACTACGCCTCCGTCTTCGACCTGAATGTCCGCGCGCCCCTCCTCCTCGCGCAGTCCGTCCTGCCCGTCCTGCGCCGCCCCGGCCGCATCGTGAACGTCGGCTCCGTCGGCTCGCGCTGCGGCTTCGCCGGCCTGTCGCTGTACTGTGCCTCGAAGGCCGCGCTGGAGGGGTTCACGCGCTGCTGGGCCGCGGAGCTGGGCGCGTCGGGCCATACCGTGAATGCGGTGAACCCCGGGCCCGTGAGGACCAGTCTGATTGACAATATCCCGCAGGATTTGGTCCAGATGCAGTTGAAGGCGACGCCTGTGGAGAATCGGATGGGCGAGGTCGAGGATGTCGTCCCCCTGGTGGCTTGGTTGGCTGGGGAGGAGAGTCGTTGGGTTACGGGGCAGGTGTTGTCGGTTAGTGGGGGTTGGGCGATGTATTGATCTGATGTATGATGTTAGGTTCATGAGAGCTGGCTTGTGTTGATTTCAATGGACGGGGATTTCGTGGAATGCCTTCGGTTGTAGATATGTACATGGTGGTGACTCCGGTATGTCTGTACTCAGCAGTGGTAAGGAGGGATATAATCATCGAACGTGTATTGGGTATCATATGCTAAAATAGATAAACTGGACTGGGACTCGGCGTGATCTCGTTGGTCGGACAATGGTAGATGTATATCACCGATATACCTTGACGGATCCTATTCCACAGTCAGCAGTCAGTAACCACCCCTCTGGCCGAGGCATGAATGAAAAACGCAGAGATAAAAAGAAGATGGAACATACCGTCCGAACACCCCCCGGCCCAGCATCCTCCCTTCTCATTCCACGCCACACAACTCACCACCCGGACTCCCTTCCCAGCCGGAACCGCCGCAACAACCTCGCCGCTCAGCACATCCCACGCAAACACACACGCCTCGGACGACTTATCCGTCTTGTCCGCCTCACTCCCACTCAGGACGACCGCGTCGCCCTTCGCAAACACCGACCGAATCCTCAGCTCGCTGTTCCGATACACTGCGCTCGACTTCTCCGCATCCCCGACCCCATCTCCAAACGCCTTCAACAACTTCCCATCCGCCCGATCCAGCATCCGTACGCGACTATCCAGCGTCGACGCCAACAGCGCGTTCCCGTCCGCCGAGCACCGCACGCTCGTCACCGGCTGTCCGAACACGTCCTCTGAAGTGCGGCCCATGCGGATGTCGTAGACGCGCGCCCGCCCGTCATAGCTGCCGCTGGCGATCGAGTACGTCGGCATGTGCACGTGCAGCGACGACACGGTGTCGCCCGCCTCTGGGAGGGTCTGGATCGGCTTGTGGTTGTTGGACCGCGCGTCCCAGAGGTTGATGGTGGTGTCGGCGCTTCCTGTTGGTATCAATCGCGGGGGGTTAGTTAGAGAGGCTGCTTGAATGCAGGTAGGTAGGTGGCTAGGTAGGTAACTCACCAGAAACAACCACCGAATCACCCTCGCCTGCAAACTGCACCGCCTCGACCCTGGCGCCGTGTCCGCTCCACCGTCTCGTCGTGCCGCCGTGCTCCACGTCCCAGAGGAAGACCTGGCGGTCGCCGCCGACGCTCGCGAACCGCGCGTTGTCCGATGCGACGGCGACGTCGAGCACCGAGTAGCCGTGCGCCTCGTATTTCTGGATCGGCGAGGTGGTTTCGGCGCCGGCGGTTGTGTTGCTGGGTAGGGCACGCGTCAGGTGGACGGCCCGGTCGGAGGACCCTGTGAGGATGTATGTGCCGGGATAGCTGGAGAAGGTCACGGCGTTGACGGGGCCTGGGAGGACGTCAGCGCTGGGCGGGTTGGATTATTGGGGATGGTGGATGGTGAGGTCTTGCCATTGTGTGTTTTGAGTGTGTGAGCGAGCTCGGTGGGAAATGATTTTATGGCGGTCATTGACCTCACGCTCGACGATCAATGGGTTTGGTAGGATGGGATATTCGGAGAGAATGAGATAACGATTCCCAGCGAAGATTATCGCCGAGTGGAGACCGCCTCACCGCCGAAGCATATTGACGCCCCTCACCGCCAAGATTTAAATCCAGGGATGCTCGATCTACTCCATGCGCTGTAAATAACAAAAGTAATTAAATCTGTATTGACATGCTACGGAGTACAAATGGGTTATTATCAAGGATGTAGACAGACCATCGCTAGCTTCCAGCAAGCAAATTGAAAGAACAGGGAAAGCTCCAGAAGGAATACGAGGCAGGACAGTTGCATCGGATGGTTTTCCCTGAGTACAAAATCCGAAAAAAAAAGAAAAAGAAAAAAAAGAATATAAGGAAAGGTGAAGAAAGGGGTAGTCAAATGTTAACAATATTAATCCAGGCGAATGCGCATTGCTCCTGCTTTTCCCACTGTCCCTGAGAAAGCCACTTGCAGTGTTCCAAAAGATATACCTTTAACGACGTCCATGGCTCCGGGTCGAGGAGCCTTGCAAGCCCTCGATCTCCTGCTCCAGCGATTTGATCCTGTATTCTGTCAGTAAGAGTTCGAATCCAGCAGGGTGGGAATGGAAAGACATACGCAGCGTGGGTGGCTTCCAGATCCTTGTTGAGTCTGTCTCTCTCGGAGATGAGCTTCTGCTCCCACTGTCTGAACCGCTGTTCCTCGACCTTGACCTGCTCGGTGAATCGCTTCCGCAGAGATTCCTCTTCCTCCTTGAACTTGGGGTTGTCCAGCTTCCGGGGACGAGCTTCGCCGAATTTCCGGGTCTCCATTTGCTGTGCACGGTAGGCCTCGTAGTGCTGTTCTTCGGTGGTGTGGATGAGATCCAGCATGTGGGTACGGATCAGAATCGACCGCAGCTTCTTGAAATCGCAGTGATCCTCGTTCTCGACTTCGGCAACACCCCAGGCATATTGACGGCCCTTCACAACCCGGTTGTCGCTGGTCTTAACGTCCTTCTCGGATCCGATCACGGCAAAAGGCATGGCGGCCACCAGGCTGCGGGCATGGGCGGCGGCGTGCTCATCGTCCTCCTCGACGGGAGGAGTGTAGATCTTGATGCCCTGGGCTTCAATTACAGCTTGCACCTACACCCGAATAGAAAGATTAGTCGGTTGTCATATGATACTCGGCGAGCCGGTCATCTTACTCTCTGCTTGTAACGGGCCAGGTCGGCAGGGCTGAGCGTGTCGGCCTTGGCAATGACGGGGATCAGGTTGACACGGGAGCTGAGGCGCTTCATGACTTCGATATCGAGGGGCTTCAGGGTGTGTCCGGTGGGTCGGATGAAGTACAAGCAAGCGTGGACACGCATATCGATCTTATCCGTGCGGCGGGGCTGCTGCTCCTGCAACATGTACGACTCATGCTGGTCGTCGAGGAACTCAATGATGGGCTGCCAAGAGTCGCGGTTGTTGACATAGTCACCGAATCCGGGGGTATCGATCACCGTGAGGCGGACTAGATCGAGGACGCACCAGCATTAGCGGGTCACTCCGATGAGGGGAAAGGGCTGGGCTAGGATTCAAGTATCAACCTTTGAAGAACTTCTCCTCCAGCTCTGCCTTGGTGATCTCGATCTCGACAGTTCGGTCAATCTGCTTCTGGTGGCGGCGCTTGTGGTCGGCGTAGTTCTTGATGGTGGTAGAGAACAAGGTGTTGATAAACGTGGTCTTTCCCAGTCCCGACTCTCCAGCAACCTAGTCTCGCAGTTCAGTATAGGAGGCGTGCGTATAGGAAGATTCGCTTCTACCCACCATAACAGTGAATGCCGCACCCCGTTTAGCGACGATCTTGTGTCTGCATAGCTCTAGTTAGGATCCGCCGCTCCGCTAGGTGGAGGAGGCCTCTCAACAACATACCGCTGGTTGGGGAGCTGTTGTCATGGTTCTAGTCAGTACTCCAGATTCCATTGGCTCGGCCAGTGCAAACACCGGGACACTACTTACGTTGGCAATCCCAATGGGGGATGCGGACGCCGTCTCTGTGGTGGAGGACATGATAGTCAAGGAGGGTTGATCGGGAAGTGAGAGGACGATAACAGGTCAATGGAAGAAACCGGCGAAGGGCAAGCGAGACGGATGGGAGAAAGGAAGCAAGCAAACGACAGGGCTGGCCGAGGAGTTAATTGAGACGGGGCCAACAGGAGAAAGGGAGACGGTTCAAGAAGATCGAAAACCGTTCGAGTTGGCAGTCGCTGCCCCTGAATTGCTGGAGAAAGCGAGCAAACACGGCAAACAAGCGAGCGTGACTTGCTCCGGGGTCGCCCTAAGCCAGATGCGGCTAGCGTGTCTCGGCCTCGGATTAACCCGCGGAGCTGCTCGTTTTGGGAATTCCGGACTCGAATATTTTTTGATATCGACTTCTGCAGCCATTGAGCAGTCGCCGACCATGAAGACCACTTTCAAGGTGCGTGAGATCCTCATGGGCTCTGCTGAACTTCTCGGATCCCATGCATGTCCCTCCAGATCCCGAAATCCCCCGCTGACCCTCCTCTAGTTCTCCAACCTTCTGGGGACGGTCTATCGCAAAGGAAATCTTCTTTTTACCTCCGATGGCACTACGCTGCTGTCGCCAGTCGGCAATCAGATCTCCGTCTTTGATCTAGTCCAGTATGTCTCGTCTTCCGGACATGCGGTGCTCCTGGAAGTCTCAAACTGACTGACCCCGCGCGCAGCAATGCCTCCTATACCCTCCCGTTTGCGCATCGTACCAATATCGACCGTCTTGATCTCACCCCGCAAGGCAGTCTTCTGCTCTCCGTTGACGAAAATGGCCGCGCAATCTTGACCAACTTCCGCCGCAGGACCGTCATCCATCACTTCTCCTTCAAAGGCCGAGTCTCCGCCCTCAAATTCTCGCCATCCGGCCGACATTTCGCCGTCGCAGTCGGGCGACGATTGCAGATTTGGCATACCCCGTCGGCGCCCGGTGCCGACAACAACGGCGAGATTGAATTTGCGCCGTTTGTTCTGCACCGTGAACTCACCAGTCATTTCGATGACATTCAAAATATCGAGTGGTCCAGCGACTCGCGCTTCCTGTTGACGGCCTCCAAGGATTTGACGGCCCGAGTATGGAGTATGGATCCGGAGGTCGGGTTTGAGCCCACGACGCTATCAGGCCATCGCCAGGGCGTCAAGGCGGCATACTTTACTGCGGACCAAGAAGCGGTAAGTTTATATGCTCGTTCTACGCCGATCCGCAGCTGACGTTGTCAGATCTACACGATCAGTCAAGACGGGGCCCTTTTCCGATGGGAATACGTCTCCAAGAAGGACCCGGATACGATGGAGGATATTGCTGAACCCCGCTGGAGGATTGTCAGGAAAGACTTCTTCATGCAGAACGACGCCAGAGTGAACTGCTCCACCTTCCACGCGCCGACGAATCTTCTGATCGTCGGTTTCTCAAACGGATTGTTCGGACTCTACGATTTGCCGGAATTCAACATGATCCATCAGCTAAGGTAATGCTCATTCCTTCTGTAGCTGCCTGGTCCCGAGCGAGACTGACGAAGAATACAGTGTATCCCAGAGCAACATCGATTACGTGACGGTCAACAAATCGGGCGAATGGCTTGCCTTTGGCTCCTCTAAGCACGGCCAATTGCTGGTGTGGGAATGGCAATCGGAGTCTTACATTTTGAAACAGCAGGGTCACCTGGACTCCATGAACTCGCTTGTCTACTCTCCCGATGGTCAGAAGATCGTGACTGCCAGCGATGATGGCAAGGTCAAGGTCTGGGATGTCAAATCAGGATTCTGTATCGTGACGTTTACCGAGCACACTAGTGCCGTGAGTGCCTGTCAATTCGCCAAGAAAGGAAGTGTACTGTTCACTGCGTCGCTGGATGGCTCTGTGAGGGCGTGGGATCTCATCCGGTACCGTAACTTCCGAACCTTTACTGCACCGTCTCGACTGTCCTTTTCCTCGCTGGCTGTCGACCCCAGCGGCGAAGTGATCTGCGCCGGCTCCCCCGATTCGTTTGATATCCATGTGTGGTCCGTACAGACAGGACAATTGCTCGACCAGCTGTCGGGCCATGAGGGGCCCGTGTCTGCCCTTGCATTCGCCTCTGATGGCAACCATCTGGTTAGCGGTAGCTGGGATCATACTGTTCGACTGTGGAGCATCTTCGGCAGGTCGCAGACTAGCGAGCCTTTGCAGCTCATGTCTGACGTCCTGAGTGTGGCCTTCCGACCTGATGGAAAGCAGGTAGCCGCCTCGACCCTCGACGGCCAGCTGACCTTCTGGTCGGTTGCGGATGCCGTGCAAGAAGGAGGCGTTGATGGACGCCGAGACGTATCTGGAGGGCGCAAGATGACTGACCGCCAGACGGCCGCCAACTCCGCCGGGAACAAGTCCTTCGGCTGCATCACCTATAGTGCGGATGGCAGCTGTGTTTTGGCTGCAGGCAACAGCAAGTACATCTGTCTGTACGATGTGACTACAGGATCGATGGTGAAGAAATACACCGTCTCCGTCAACACCTCGCTGGATGGCACCCAGGAGATCCTCAACAGCCGCGACCTGACCGAAGCTGGCGCTCGCGGCCTCATCGACGAAACTGGCGAAGCGTCGGACCACGAGACTCGCGTTGATCGCAGCCTGCCCGGCGCCAAACGTGGTGATGCCGGCTCTCGAACCACCCGGCCCGAAGTTCGTGTCACCTCGGTCGATTTCTCTCCCGCCGGACGCGCGTTTTGTGCCGCTTCCACCGAAGGACTTCTCATTTATAGCTTGGACACAGAAGTCGTCTTCGACCCGTTCGACCTCGACATCGACATCACCCCGTCTAACATCCTCGCCACACTGGAAGAAGCCAAGAAGGCCCGCGCGGCGGGAACGACGGACGATGACAATACTTTCTTGAAGGCGTTGATTATGGCTTTCCGGCTGAACGAAGCCAAGCTCATCCGCGCAGTGCACGAAGGAATTCCTCCCGCCGACGTTGCCCTGGTCGTCCGCGCCATTCCCACGGTCTATCTCCCACGCCTTCTTCGGTTTGTAGCCCACGCTGCCGAGGAGACCCCTCACCTGGAATTCAACTTGCTGTGGATCGAATCTCTTTTGGGTAGCCACGGACGCTACTTCAAGGACAACTCGGGCACCTTCGCAACGGAATTCCGTGCGGTGCAGCGGGCCCTCGACGACATTCGGGAGAACTTGAAGCGATTGGCGGAGAAGAACGTCTATGACCTTAACTATCTCCTTTCGACGCCGGCGCTTGCGAACAAGAAGCAAAAGACGGCGGCAGACATGATGGCCCTCGAGGACGACGAAGTCGTCACCTCAGCTGCCGAGGACCCGACGGCAGAGGATGGGGAAGCCGAATGGATTGGGCTGGAATGATTGACTGGACTGCAGGTCTGGCTTGTACTTATATCCCTCATGTTTGATCTCTTCCCAGTCACTGGCACCGTTGCATTTGCGTTTGGCGTTTATTTGTGGAATGATATACCTGGAAAGATAAAAGGAGGCAGCCCAAAAGTCTGTTTTGTTTACTTTTTGTGATAGAGAAGCACACCGCATCACTTTTTCTATATTCTTTCTCATGCTCATTTTCTCCCCCTCCTTTCTCTATTCTTTTTCTCTTTGTTCTGTGCATTGCGTAATCTCAGCCTCGGTTGCACCCACTAAGCCCCCTGCCTCTCCCAATTCTGATATTCACTAACGTTTGCAGCGTCACCCCCTGTCACAGATCCAATCTCTTTATCGCCACAAGCCGTTAAGTCCAGTCAACCTCGGCCTCTACTGGGAGCTTCCCACCAAAGAGAGTGCAGGAGGCGGAGAATACGCGGGAGGTTCCTCTTCACTGGGAGCTCCGATTCGGCTTCGAAGTCCTGCATCGGAGGCATCCTGTGGCTATAAAGGCTTCGTTTCTCACACCTCTCAGCTTCCTCCCTTTCTTCCTTCTTCAACCACCTTGAACCCTTCCTTCGTATTCATTTCTTCTCGTCTAACTCCCATTCTCTCTATCTATTCTCTTCCTCACAACCTTCACGATGTTCTCTGCCATGGATTGGCTGGTTGATAAAACCATGTGGCCGGCCTACTTGGTCGCCTGCTTGGTTTTCTATCTCAGCGTCCGTCCCTACAGCAAGTCCTACCTCGATGTGCCCACCGTCAAGTTCAACAGGTTCCTCCCCAACTTCTTCAATCGTCTTCTGTTCTTCATCGACGCTCCGGCTATGGTCCAGTATGGTTACACTCACGTATGTTCCCTCTTCTAATTGACTGCATTAGCTTTCGACTGTACTGACAGTATCTACAGTTTGCGGGCAAGCCGTTCCAGATTCTGAAGCCTGATGGTGACTTGATCATTCTCCCTGATCGTTACATGGATGAAATCAAAGTTCTGCCTCCCAACCGGATCAGCCTGCTTCATGCCCAGCATCGGGTTAGTTCATGAAATTTCCCTTGCCATGCACTTCTGCTAAACTGACTTCTTTCTATAGAACGTTCTCGGCGAATATATCAACATTCTCCTGGACAGCCAGCTCCCTGCCTTCACGGTCGCCAAGAAGCTGACTCCTGCTCTGAGTATGTATACTTGCTACTTTAGACCTTTGGTTCAATCTTCTGAAGTCCCTTTGCTGACTCCTTCTAATTCCAGACCGTATTGTTCCTCGCACCATCGATGAGTTGAAGAATGCGTTCCCTACTGTGATTCCTGAGTGCAAAGGTATGATGCTCCTACAGGAACAATCATTCATTCTTAGCTAACAAGCCATAGATCGCTGGGTGCCTGTGGGTATCTACGACATGATCCTGTCTCTCATGAGCCGCACCACTTCTCGTATCATCGTTGGTGACGATTTGTGCCGTGATGAGAGCTGGTTGAACTTGCTTATCCGCTACACGAACAACGTTGGCATCACTATCTTCTTGCTTCGTCCCTTCCCCAAGGTCGTTCGTCCCCTGATTGCCAGGTGGTTGCCGAGCGTTCGCAAGCTGGCTGAGCAGTTGGAATATGCCACTAACAAGCTCTTTGTTCCCATGATCAACGCTCGTCGTATCGCAGAGAAGACCGATCCTAACTACGAGAAGCCTGATGACTTCGTTCAGTGGATGATGGACGCGGCTGACAACGATTACGACAAGAGGCCCGAGGTTCTTTCGCAGGGTATCATGACTATTGTGGCTTTGGCCGTGGTTCACACCAGCACCATGCTGACTACCCATGCCATCTATGACCTGATCCTCATGCCTGATGTCCTCGAGACTTTGCGTCAAGAGATCCCGGAGACTCTCAAGGACGGCTGGGAAAATACCACCCAGGCTCAGCTCCTCTCTCAGCGCCGTATGGATAGTTTCTTGCGCGAGTCTCATCGCTTCAACCCCACCTCTGAAGGTACTGTCTCTCACTTTACCCTGCCCTCTTTCCTCTCACTCTTACTAACCACCTCTCCAGTGACCGCTCAACGTATCGTTCTTGAAGAGCTTGTTCTCTCCGATGGTTTTGTGCTCCCCAAGGGCTCGCACATCTGCTTCCCCTCTGGTCCCATGTCGCGTGATTCCGATATCATCGATGACGCTGATACCTTCGACCCCTGGCGCTGGAGCAAAGATGTTGAGACCCCCAACTACCTGGTCACTATCGGTCGCACCAACATGCACTTCGGCTACGGTCGCCAGGCTTGTCCCGGCCGCTTCTACGCCACCAATACCATCAAGGCCATCCTTAGTCGTTTCCTCATGGAATACGACTTCAAATTCGAGAGTGGTTCCAAGCGTCGTCCCTCCAACGTGACCAATGGTGATCACATCATGCCCAACATGAAGACTCGCATTTTGATCAAGGAGCGTGGTGTGAAGATCTGATTGCCTCTTTGAGTGATCTGATTGTTTGATCATCCTCGTACCTGAGTCTTGTTTGGCTCCACCTTTTTTCTTTTTCCTTTGTTGATGACCTGTAATGCCTAGACGTGCAGAGTCCTACTTGTTCCTGTCCTGTCCTGACTACCTAGGTAGAATATGTGACTGAATGAAATTCTATTTGAATTGATCTATTCTTTCTTCTGTAGCGTAGCGAGTATTTACTCCCCTCACCCTCTCACTTTCTTCTCACTTTCCCTTCATCTCCCCTTCATCTTCCCCTTTCGTATACCTAAATCTAGATCATAGAATAGCCACCGCATTAGGCGGACTCGCGACTCCACCAGGTACCTGTACATTAATCTGTCAGCAAAAATCTATGACCCCAATCTAAGGTGTATAGTAGAGGAAGGTTCACCTTAAGCGGCACACTCGACAAGAAGAACGACCAACGACCTTTCTCCCTACAATACCGTGCCAACTCCTCGAGATCGAAGTACTCTCCAATCGGCATCCCCCAGCCCGCCAGACACCACTGATGCAGCGTAAAGTTGAGCGGCGCATTCGCGTGCAGAATCGGCGAGGGCTCGAAACTCGGCGAGTCGCTGGCGATCGCGGCGAACTGGTTCTCCCACAGCCAGCGCAGCGTGGTCTCGCCGTTCTCGACGCCGCAGAAGTCGGCCGTCTCGCGCTGCGCGAGGGCCGTTTCTTCGTCCGCCGAGAGTGCGTCGTACGCGGCTGTGAACCCCGTGCGGATGAAGAGGATGTCGCCCGGACGGGTCTGGATGTTCGTCTCTTGGATGATCTGTTGCAGGGCGGAGAGTGGGATCGTGCTGGTGGTGAACGGTGTGAGAGGGATGGAGTGCTGGGCTGCCCAGGTGGCGTAATCGATGAGGATGCCGCGGCCGACGATGCCGCCTTTTTGGACCCAGGCTGTTTATTTCCTTCTGTCAATGGTGTGTTCTTGGGGATTGTCTTTGGCGGGGGCGGTTCAAGGCGTGGAAGGCCGATGGGAAGAAGAGCTTACAATCTATACCAATGACCGGCGAAGTCTGTAGGTCCTCTAGTTTGTTACCATTGAAGTAGCACTGGTGTTTTTGATTGCCTACAGTCCGTTGGCCAATTAGTGAGTGATATGACTTCAATTGAACCCTCCCAGGGCCTTTCATCATCTATAAGTCCCCGAAACCGTGGAAGCTCACCGTAGTGTCGGAACCCATCCCACTGGCTACTCGTCTGAGTATTAAATATCAAAACATCATCGTTGACGCTTCTCGGGGCCCTGTTCACAAACTCCCTTGCAAACGCCTTGCGCCCGAAACTCGGGCTCTTGATGCGATCCAGTGGCAGGTCCAGCGAGAAGCGCACCCCGTCGCGAACCTCCTCCGCAGCGGCACGTCGGACGGTCTCCGGCGTCAGCAGGTTGAGCATGCCGAGGTCGTTGTCGCGGCCGAAGAGACCCCATGCGTTTCCCGGAGGCCCGGCGGGGTCAAGAGTGAGGTTGTCGAAGCTAGGAATTTGCGGCATTGTGGTCGATTGGAATGAACATGTGTGTATACAAGTGTAGGCACAGAAGAAGGGAGAGGGGAATTGCGGGGGAAGTTGGAATTACGGGGAAGGCGTTTTATACTGCGGGAAAGCAAGAGAGCGGATATTTATCCGACTGCCGGGAAGGAAGATCTGCCAAAGTCTGCGTAGTACGTAGTATATACATCCATACATCCCCTAGATCACTCCAAACGGCTGTATACGCCTCGTCTCATGCGAACCCTCGTTGTTGCCTCCTCTTCACGAATCCTGTCCGACGACAGCAGCCGCACCTCGTCCACGTCCTCGATATCCTCGCTCCGATCCTCCTCTTCCTCGTCCTCGTCCTCCACGACCGCCTCGAGGGGGTGGCACCTGCGAATAGTTCTGAGGCCGGAAGTTCGGGTTGTTTCGGACGACGCCGGCTTCCGGATCAGGGTCCACTGCAGTGTATCCTCCGCGTGCGCGATTCGCACCTCCACGGTTGCCTCGGCCGCCATTGGGTCCGCCCCGGCCTCTGCCCCCACGATTCGAGCCGTTTTCTGCCTCAACGATATGAGGTCGGAAAGGTAAGCTGGTCTGTGATCCCACTCCGTTGGAGGCGCCACGTCCGCCGCGTCCGCGAGCGGGCGACCCCGATACAGCACCGCGGTAGGAGTGGCTCAATGGCGCCGGCGCTGGTGCCTCGGTCAGCTGCCCTCCGAGTCTAGAAGCACCGCCAACCGTCAAAGGCGTGGGTTGGGTTTGCTGCTGCTGGTTGGAAGCCGCTCGGGTACTGGCAAGCAATTGGCGGTACGAGATGTTCAAGACCGAGGAGGCCAGCACGGTTTGACCACGGAAGGGGGAACAGCGATCGCCGAGCGTCGTGCCACTCATGAAAGACACATCGAACACGACGTCGAGCAGGACGGCCCGCGACGTCCGTGTGAGTCCGACAACCGTGCCTCGCGTGGCGATAGGCACCTTGCCGGAATCCTGCGCGTAAACCACGCGGTCACCCAGCTTGAACGTCTGGTTACCCAAGCGTTGCTCAACGTCGGAGGGGCGAAGGAGAGCGCTGCGGGGAACACCCTTGAGCTTCTTGACCGTCATCTGGCCTTGAGTGACGCCGATCTGGTCCGCATCCTGCTCGATCACCTTCACAACATCCGAATCAAGCTGCTCGGCTTCCAGAGGCACTCTCTCGAAGTTCTTGGCTTCCATCGACTTGAGCCAGTCACGAATCTCCTTCATTTTCAGAGGGGCAACGTCCTCGGGATAGAAATCCGTGGGCTTGTACCGGTCGTTTTGGGGGTTGCGCTGAATTCCCGCGATGAATTCGGGGAAGTTGATCATGTACTGCTGGAGCAATTCGACGGCTTTGGGGCTGAATTCCCAGCCAGAATCGCCCCGCCGAGAGTATCCAAGAACCTTTTGTTTGCGCGCCTCAAACTTCAAATTGAGACCGAGGTTCACGCGCTGGCCTTCGATGTCCACCGAGAACGAAGAGGTGATCTTGGCCAGCACCAAGGGGTTCAACCGAAGGCTGCGGGCAATGGCGTATGATGGCATGTAAGGGCAGAGCCTCTCGGCGTCTCTGGCACGCTCCCGTCCAAATTCTGGATCCCGGCCCCTCACGGACGCCAGCAATCCATTCACTTTGCCTTGCTCGTGTCCAGTCACATGGACTGGCCGTCCGTAATTGAAGTCTCCAAGGAAGAATGCTCGAGATCCTTCGGGAAACTCTTGTTCAATAGGCAGGGCCTCCCGCTCGATAAAACGCTCGTCGGGGTTCGTGACATCGTCGACGATCAATTGGAGTGCATAGTCGGTCTCCTGGCCCGGGATGTCCACAAATTCCTTGATAGTGGATCCTTCGTCGGTTTTGATCAATCCCTTGAGAGGCTGCACATGCACCATGGCTTCAACAGGACCGATGATGGTGCCAAGACCCCGACTATAGCTTCCTTCGATCTTTTCTGCCTTCTTCTTCCACTGGTTGATCTGAACATCGGTATGAGGAATAGAAGCGACATGCTGCTCACCCTCGGGCAAGATGTAATCAAACAGCTCATCCGAGACACGAACGACATAAGCTTCCTGCAGGAACGGGTAGTTTACGTAGACTCGTTTTCCAAGCTTGGTCTTAGCCAGCTCGGTACTTGATCGGCTTCCTGGGTCAAGAATCGTGATGACCATGCTTTCGTTGCGGCTTTCCTGTTGGAAAACGCACACTCCGTGGAAGCCCAGCTGGCCAACATGGGGCAAGTATTTCAAACTCGGGAAGCCTGCTAATGCCGACGATCCAAGCTGCACTCCATCGACCAATCCAATGTACGGCTCCAGGCCGTCCATGGTAGGCAAGTCAAAAATGTTCTCGATGCAATGGCAGCTAGGGATATCCGGGAAGATACCCGGAAGCGATGATGGGTAAGGGTATTGCACATCTGGCGAGTAAGTGAACTTCAGACTGGCACCAAATCCATTGCGTGCTTTTTCGTCGGGGGTCAACAGGTGTTCCTTCGTTTTCAGCGCGTCCAGCAGACGGTCTTGATCGATGAAAGGGATTTTGACCACAGCTTCCCACTCCATCTTTTTACCATTCATATCCAATTCAAAATCACGGGGGTAGAAGTCAATGATTGGTGACTCCTCCGATGTCATCAGCTCCCAATACGCTTTGGGCACGGTCTTCTTACTACGGTCAGGCAAAACACCCATAAGCTGCTCGTAAGGCTTGAACGGTCGACCGAGCTTGAAGTTCGTATCAGCCTTCAGTCCGTTTTTCACGTCTATAAAGCCCAGAATTAGCACCTTGGGTACACAGTGCGGGCTTGTCCCACCCCGAGGGAAAGACTGAAAGAATAAAGAACTCACCTGAAATCATTGGGGCATAATGATATCCGAAGAACCACGGCCAAGACGCAATGCCCCGGTAGTAATAGTACAGAACCCATTGAAGACCTTGCACGTAGTTCTCCGTGAGCTTTCTCATTTCTTCCTGGTTCTCCAGACCCCATCCGAATTTCGTCACATAGTATTTGTCTTTCCACTCCTGGAACTTCTCTTCGTATTTCTTCTCGGCTGCTTGCTGAGCCTCCTCGGGGGAGAGCTCCTGAACTTTGGCGTTATCATACTTGCGAATGATGCGCTGAACGGCCATCGAAGCTTCTTCGTCTTCTTCTTCACTGTCATCATCATCTTTGGCGGGAAGTTGTACTCTGATGAATCGTTCTCCATGGTCGTCGGAAATAGTGGTCCAAGGGAGTCGCAGATCATCTGAAAGCTGCTCAATGAATTTGCGGTCGCGGGCTGGTAGCGTAGGAGGGAAGTCAAGCGGTTTCGTGTCTGCTGCCTTTTCAGGTCGGTTCAGAACGTACTTCTTGACATCCCTAAACAAATTTTTCTGGGCCGGTGTGATGGCAAGGCCCTTGGGCTTCTCTTGAAGCTCTGCGTTTTCGGCGCCATTCTTCTTGGCCCGAATCCATTGTGCATCCGAGTATTCGGCCTCGAAAAAGCGAAATTCCACATCGCTTAGGCCATCCAGAAGAACTCCCAGTCGTTCCATGTTAATTACACCTCCTTCGTTGATGTAACCACCCATCTTCGGCAGGATCTCCTTGTAAATCTTGAACATCAATGCCAATGCGCCCTCATTAATATGCAAATTAGGCAGGTTAGGAAGAAAATCATTTCCCACAAAGAATGCCATCAGAATAAAGTCGTCGATAACTCGCTCCATGTCAAAAGGGAAAGCCAAGGCACCCTCTTTCTCCAGCTCTTGAAACTCCAACTCCAAATACTCTCGCACCAGAGATAAATGCAAAAGGAAGAAATTTTGATGCTCCAGTTCCTTGGGCTTCTTCTGGACCTGGCGTCCAAAAGTGACCTCCTCACGAAGCAGGCAAAAATGAGGGTCGTGACTCAGAAGGCCCAACATGATAAGGTCCGCATCAAGACCGTAAAGACAGTGGCGAATATTTGGATCATAATCGGGCTGTGCTTTCGCATGCCGGATGTATTCCATGATCTTGTGTTCTCCTTCTCCCGGTGTTTCGTGGCCCGAAAGCACGATCTCAACGCCTTGCCAATCTTTGTCCTCCGAGATCTTCTTGTTGATGAAATACTTTAGTTGTTGGGTCAATTTCGCCATGAACTCCGTTCCCGGTGTAATACAATTACTGTCGAACGGGTCTTCCTTGGGCATCTCAATGCCCTGGCTGATGGCCTTGTCCTTCGCTACCTCAGCGTCCAAAGCGGTCCGGAATCGTCGTGCGCGTTGCTGGTTCATTTTGGCGCGAGGAGCGACACCGTCCACCGCCATGAAGAAAAGCTTCTTCGGTTTGATTTTTCCATACAAATGCTCGATGTAGTTGAATATCGCAATGAACATTTTATCTTCTGTCATGCGGAAAGTCGGAGAGTCACTGTCTTTGTGTGTACAATTGTGGATAATACCGTTCATGTCAAGGTACAGATTGTCGAATTCGGGTATCCGGTTCTCTGCGATCAGTATCGAGATGGCCGGATACCGCTCGCTCAGCCAGCGGAAGAATTTAGGAACACCCATAGTGATAGGATGAAAAGTATAAACTATCGATTACCGTACTGTCGAAACAAAATATTCAATCGGCGGATACGTCGTTCGTCGTTGCGATGGTCGTCGAAGTCGTCAGAATCTTTGAAAGAAGAACCCAAGCTCCGAAGGCAAGATAGTGATGCGGTCGTAGACAGAAGGGAATGACTGCTAATGCTCAAAGTACGGTCCCAAGCGGAACGCAGAAGAGAAAGAAACAATCCAAGTAATAATAGAAAAACCTAAACGGGAGGCAACGAGGCCTTATTAATTCGTGAGGGAGAGTGACTGTTTCCAGAGGGAAGAGGGAGAGGGTAAATGGTGGAGGTACGACGAGGGACTCGAGGTCTTCCCGGCTCTGACTAAGTCGAATTAGCTCTGACAGCCTGAGGCCGTCGGGGCGAGTGACGCTGCCAAGTCTGCCGGTCCCGAAGAGGACTAGCCCGCGCTGGGCGGTCATTAACGCGCTGCCGGCAGGAAAGTCGCGTTTCTGCGCAGAGCTCGACCGCAGCTCAGACTCCTGCCACCCTTTCGTTGGACTTGCTCACAGGCTCTGCTTGTAACACACCCGGTGTTACTCCCTTATATCTGGTGACCTGATCTTCCCAATTGCCGACATTATTAGCACTTTGACTTTGGTTCCCTCAATCGGCATCTACCCCCTAAAGCACCATGGAGCCCTATGAGGATGGTGCGGTCCCCAAGCCCATTTGTTGCGCGAGCATCCCACTGACCTTCTCGAACCCTAGGTTTTATTGAGGAGCAGGAGGAACAGGAAGAGGAGCGCACTGAGGAGAAGATCGTCAATGAAGGTATTGCCCTGGTCTACCCTACCGGTGATCGAATGTGGGTGCTAAGAAATATCAAAATTAGAATACAAAACATGGAAGAAGAATGCGCCGTTCTTGTATGATATGATTCTCAGCACAGCTCTGGAGTGGCCTACTCTCACGACACAATGGCTACCCGACAAGCAAGAGTATGCGCTTTCTTTCTTTTCCTTCGAGTGTGCTCTCCAAATCTGACATGGACCCAGAGTGCCCGATAAACCGTATTCTACGCACCGCCTGTTGATTGGTACACATACATCGAGCGATGCGCAAAACTACCTGCAGGTTGCTCATGTGCAGCTCCCTAACCCGACCACCCCGAATCCGGATGACTATGATGAGGAACGCGGAGAGATCGGTGGCTACGGTGGTAGCTCTAAGAAAGCACCCATGGAAATTAAGTTTAACATCGTCCAAAAGATTGACCACAAGGGCGAGGTCAACAAAGCCCGCTATCAACCACAAAACCCTAATGTGATCGCGACCATGTGCACCGATGGGAGGGTCATGATCTGGGATCGCTCAAAACATCCCAGTCTGCCTACCGGGACCGTGAATCCCCAGATGGAGCTTTTAGGTCACACAAAAGAGGGCTTTGGTCTAAGCTGGAGCCCTCATGCTACAGGACACCTCGTCACGGGTAGTGAAGACAAGACTGTCCGTCTTTGGTAAGCCCGAAAAAAGGTCCCCCAACTCAACCCCGAGACCCGATATTGACCAGTATCAAAGGGACTTGACGACGTTCACGAAGGGCAACAAGGCGCTTAAGCCTTCTCGCACCTACACCCACCATTCCTCCATTGTCAATGACGTTCAGTATCATCCCCTGCACTCCTCGCTTATCGGAACAGTCTCCGACGATATCACCCTTCAAATTCTTGACATCCGAGAGGCGGAGACGACCCGGGCGGCCGCGTCGGCCGAAGGCCAGCACCGTGATGCGATCAATGCCGTCGCTTTTAACCCTGCTGCGGAAACGGTCCTTGCAACGGGCTCGGCTGATAAAACGATTGGTCTCTGGGATCTGCGTAACCTCAAGACCAAGCTTCACGCTCTTGAATGCCACAATGACTCGGTCACTTCGATCTCTTGGCATCCGTTTGAGGAGGCCGTTTTGGCTAGTGCGAGTTACGACCGGAAGATCATGTTCTGGGATCTTAGCCGAGCGGGCGAGGAGCAAACCCCTGACGATGCACAGGATGGACCACCCGAGCTGTATGTGATCTTCCTTATCTCACTCCCTTGACTGGTTTCGGGACCTTCATAATAGATTACTAACTCATTTTGTCCAGGCTCTTCATGCACGGCGGACACACCAACCGGATCTCCGACTTCAGCTGGAACCTCAACGACCCATGGGCTCTTTGCTCTGCTGCCGAAGACAACCTGCTACAGGTCTGGAAGGTTTCTGATGCGATCGTGGGCAAGGACTTGGAGGATGTTCCGACTGAGGAAATTGAGCCTTGATTAGTGAATGCGGATGCTTTTTCAAAATGTTTTTGATAGGTAACTATCGGCTCGAGGTCTTGTGTATTAATGTGTTACCAACTAGTAGCTACAACAAGGGTGAAAATATCAGAAAACATTATACGAGTGCTTGGTTTGCTTTTCCCGTGCCCGCTATTTGCCCGGCGGCCCGGTGCTCACGCGTAAGCAGAACATGCAAGAGTGATTGGATATGGATGGATTCCACTCCAACGGGCGATTGACGGAAGGGGCGACGACCGTTCGGGCAGATGGCCGATGATTGGCCTCCCATGCGGGCGGTGAGGCACAGGTGAGCTCCGAATCGGCGCGGGCGGGGGCCAATCAGCGGCGACGCAGATGGTCTAAACCTCAGGCCCTCAGGCTCGCCGGGGACTTTTTTTTTTCTTTGGATGTCATCCATCGTTGTTTCTCACGCGCATCTGATGGCTATGTCTCGTACGCTGCGATTGACTTCTTCTTAAACCGTTAGAATTTCTGCCCCCATCGAACTTTTGTTTCAGTATCCACTCCCTTCCTTCCTTCTCTCTCCAAATCACATCTCATCTCGTCTTTACACGTCCCCACCATGGGTTCCGGATCCCCTCCCCCCACGGGCCCCAAGCCGAAATCTGCGATTCCATCCCGTTTGTTGAACGGCGGATCGCCTCTTCAACCCTCCCTTCGCTCTCGAGACGCTCGCGAGCGCGAAAGCCTGAACTCCTCCATCATGTCCTCTTTTGCCCCGCGCATCCCGGTAGAGTTTGACTCGTCCGAGTCCAGCGCAACGCATGCCGGGGGTGAGTCAGCGGATCGCTCTGATGCCCAGGTCGGTAGACCGGCTGCGGCGAAGTAAGCTGTCTTTGCAATGCTTTCGGGCGAACAATGCGCTGACCTGGAGGAAATGGCAGACCGGATCTGAACGACCCTGCTCGAGACCCTAGAGATGAAGTCGCTCCGTTGACCTCGCCGGCAACTGTGAGCCGCCCGGATAGCCCTTACACGCAGTTTCCTCCGATTGATTTCGACGGACTGAGCTGGCCCTGTAAGTAGCGGATGGTCGACCCGATCCATGGCTTGTGCTGTTCTTTCCATCTAACACGGTCATGTCCGAACAGGTCCCGGCACGAGAGCGCGGTTGGAGTCGTCCCCGGAACAAGAGAAAGAACGGGTGCAGAAGCTGGCGGGAGCCGTGAAAACAATACTGGAATGCGTTGGAGAGGACCCCGACAGAGAAGGATTGCGGGAAACCCCCGAACGATATGCCAAGGCCATGCTCTTCTTCACTAAAGGTTACGAAGAGAACGTGCGAGACCTCATGAACGGCGCCGTGTTCCATGAGGACCATGACGAGTTGGTCATTGTCAAGGACATCGAAGTCTTCTCCCTATGTGAACATCATATGGTCCCATTTACCGGGAAGGTAAGAGCGCACTCTTTCGAACCTAGAATTTCTCACTAATTACACCTGAGCAGATGCATATCGGATACATTCCGGACCGTCGGGTACTTGGTCTTTCCAAGCTGGCTCGTCTAGCAGAGATGTTCTCTCGCAGGCTCCAGGTCCAGGAGCGGTTGACGAAACAAGTCGCTTTGGCGATCTCGGAAGTTCTCAAGCCGCTCGGCGTCGGGGTCGTCATGGAATCGTCGCATCTTTGCATGGTGATGCGTGGTGTCCAGAAGACGAGCAGCACAACCACCACAAGCTGCATGCTTGGATGCATGCGGTCGAGTGCAAAGACTCGCGAAGAGTTTTTGACTCTCCTTCATCGGAAATAACCGTCTCCTTACCCTGTCTGCGATAAAATACTTGTTACCCCGTTTTAACATTGGCTGGTATTAATGAGTTTCACGGAGTTTTGGTGGTGCACCTTTCAACAGGTTTCTTGGGTCTGGCATTTTGTTCTATCTTATGCCATGTGCTTGGAAGATCTCCTTGGCCGATGATGTTCACGACGCATAATTCTTTTTTCTTTTCTTTTCTTTTTCACCTTGTTAAGGACTCCTTATACACATCTTTGATTCTGCATGATACTTTCGAATTTGGAGGACACATTCCCCTCTTGGAACGACGACGACCAAAAGAATTCTTCAACAACTATATCATGGGTGGTTCAACACCTGAATAACCGTCATGAAATTGCGACCAAGCTTGGCCCTTGAGTCTATTTTTTTATAACTAGAAAGACAGCATCTTTTTTCATAGCTGCAAACATTACAAAGAACAAACCATCAATTCATCTGTTTTGAATGCATTATAGATGTTGCCAGTATTTTACAAAAAATTGAAAAGAAGTTAGATAGAAGACGGAAAAAAGCAGAGACAGGCGAAGGTAGACGTAGGTACCTGGGCAAGCTCAGTACAAAATCACCAGCAGATATTCCTTCTACCATGTCATAAGGGGCTCTCTCTGACACGTTTTACCAGACCAATCCATGGTTAGTGAAATCAATAATGCAGCAAGAGGGAGTTTTCCTACTAGTGCATGTCGAGCTCACCAATCGCGTAACTCTTCCTCCCATACTGTTTGCTGGCTGCTCCTCACTTTTAACTTAACGGATTTCCCCAGTAAATCATCACCCCCCACTAGGTGCTATAAATAAGTGTTACTGCCCCCCCGTTGCATGCTCTCTTCTCTTCTCTTTCTGACACCTACACTCCCACAGACACGTTTTCAGTTATCCTGACACTGTCAAACCGCCTTCGATTTACATCCCCACTTCCTTGTCCTTCTCTTCATACGACGAGAATCGCGAAGACTACTCTTTTTACTTAACTGAATCTTCTGGGTACGCTTACCTCTATCACTCGCGTGCTGGATCCTTACCATGGCTCCAGCTAACGATAGAAAGCCTAAGGCTAACGAGGCTGAACAGGCTGGTCCAGCTGCAAATACTAGGGCGAGCACCGCCAGAAGGGCAGCCACCACAACAGAAGAGGTCAACGATCCTGTGGCGGAAGTTGACATTCTAGCTACACTGCGTAGACTTCCAAGACCGCCACCAGAAGTGATAGAGAGCATAGCGAGATTTTCTAGAAGTTTGGACAATGTGATGGCTGCTATGACAGATGCCAATAAAACCGTAAATGAAATTGCGGATATGGTAAGGCAACATTCAAGCCCCCTGCCAGGCCCCAGCACTGCAGAAACGACGACCCAAACTTCGCTAACCAACACTACCAGAGCTAGCGCATCGAGAAACAAAACAGGACAGACAGAGCCCAACGCTACATCGAACAGAGAGGTAGCTGAGACAGCAGGCCCTCAAACTAGGCCGAGAGCTAGCGCATCGAGAAACAAAGGAAGAAAGACAGAACCCAAAGCTACATCGGAGAGAGGTGTAACTAAGGCAGCGAACACTCGAACTAGGTCAGCAACAAGGAAATCTACACGAACGAAGAAACCAACCCAACCGGCACAGAGCGAGGGCACAGTGGCGGAGTCTGAAATGGAACAGGATACAGTGATGCGCGACCAGCCCTCCGACGAGTCTAACGCCGCCGAAGCTCTACTTCAACTTGCTCAGGATCCCCTAGTCCCCGAGAGAAACCGTGAAGTCACTGAATCGCAAGCACAGCCTCAAGACGAGCTCGATGAAGACGGGGAATTGTTTGAAACATATCAGGGGATCGAACAATTGCAAGCGTATCTTTATCGACAGCAAAGATTGGCTGGTATACCTTCCGAGCAAATGGTCTCGATGACGGGCGAACGGGGAGCTCCTACTCAAAGAAGAGACGGGGGACCCGTTAACCGGCCTGATAACCCTAGCGTGGTGCAGTTTTCAGCGGGAGGTAGAGTGCTGGCGCCATTCATCCCCCCGGCAAGGTTCGACGGTGTCATGCGACCCCTCCCATTCGAGGGCGAGAGACAAGGCTCCAACGATGAGCCACCAGTAAATGATCAGTCGGCGAGGGAGGCCCTAGACCTGAATGAAGAGATCTATGGTCCAGAGGGAAGACCAGACAGAAACGAACGCACGCCTGAACGTGGGATCCCGGTGGGTGACACGCTGGACGATTACATTGACTGGTCAAAATCCTTTGCTGACACGACATAGGCAAGAGATTCACACATGACTGGACCTATGGTAGGTTGGGACCTAGACTGGTGGACAAACCTGCTTGCTGTCTGTTGACTTAGAAGCAGCACCGTACTAGACTCCGAACCCAAAGAATTCTACCAAAGTCTGTCCAGAGCTCACCTCATCGTCGATCGTCGAGCAAGATTGCGCCAGTTCACGTATCCCAGAGCAATGCGCCGAATAATTACCACCACGCCCACAATGGCTTTGATATTCTTCAAGCTTTCACTAACCATTTCCAGGTGGCTGTTCAGCTCACAGAGTTCCTAGAGCCCAATGACTTAGTTAATTTGTACGCATGCTCGAAGAACTGGAATGCCTTTGTCCGGCTATACCCCGAGAAAATAATCAGAAACTACTCAGAAAAGCAAGCCCCCGAATCAGATTCCATATTTCCCTTCCGTTGTTATCCCCAACTGTGCAAACAGAGACGCGTAAACGAATCCGAGCATGAGCTCGTGCCCGGTATTCCCTGGCTGCTCATGGTCATGCATCGCGAACGTATCGTCCAGTCAATCATGGAATGGATGCAACGAACGGGCTACGGAGTACCGACACGGAGCGGCGTCGCGATCCGAAAACTATGGTTTCTCATGGACATACCCGACACCAAACGCCGAAAATGGACCATCGAGCACAAAGGGCTCTGGAGCGATATGGATGTTTTCTTGGCTGGCCTCTTCATGATCCAGATTGACTCGGCGCTCCAAGACGAAGACGAAGGCGAAGATGACCTCGGCACGATGCGGCGACTCTTGATGGCCCAAAAGAGCCTGTCGGTCCTGTGGGATGTGCTGAGCGGCGAGATCTGGCAGACGGAGCTCGAGGTCGTCCAGTCATATGTTCGCTGGCGCTACGAGCCTCGCCCCCATGAGCGCGCCATGAACAACATCCTTGGTGTTCCTATTCAAGAGGCCGGACTGCTCCAGTACGAATCGTATGGTCAACACGGAAGAAGCGCCAAAGTGCGCCGGCCAGATTCACTCGTCATCCATGAACTGAAACGCCGAAAACTTGATGTACCGAAATTGTATCAGGCAGCCCTCGCAATGGAGGAATTGGTGCCGCACAAAGGCAACAAACCCCTTCAATGGGACCTGGCACTGAAGGAGAAAGTTGCGGGAAGTGGATTGGATTGGCGCGATGCCATCAACTTGGATCGCCCAAAAATTACCTGATGAAATGTAGGCGATCACTTGAGATGCATGTGGTTAGTACCATGAGAGTATTTATTTGAATGTGAATTTGCAAATTGTTGTGAAAAAAAAAAGATCTTTTATTTCTTCGTTTACCAACTTCGACACGAATGTTGTATAGTAACCCGTAGGGTATTCAAGTAATGAAAGGGACGGAAAGGAAGCTCCATTGCGGCCTGAGGCAGGCACTGCTGACGGGCATCACGTGCGGGAGGAGCCAATGTTGCGGCGGACCTTCACTTCCTTCGTCTTCTTCTTCCGCCAAACCGCCGTATGCCGACCAGCCCACCGACGCATTCCTGGAGACTTTCGTCCGGGGCTGTTGACTCTCACCAAGATTCTTTGATGGTTGAAGCCTGCTTCTATAGCTTGACTAGGGCCCCGGGATTGTGCCCGTCCCATGTCAACATCACCGCCGTGACAGGTCGCTGAGTTGGATCCCCGACTTCCTAGCTAATCCGCATCCCCACCATCTACGTACACGTCATGGACCATCATCACCTTACAGTCCCCAAATCCATATGTTCCTGGCCGAGAATGATGCTAGAAATCCATTCGGCCAATGCCCTGCTGAAGTTTACCCCCCAAAGGGCTGTCCCTTCTCCCTTCCGCAACTAATGAATACTCGTGCGGTGCGACCGTTGTGCCCGATCCGGCAAATTGTCATCTTGCCCTTGTCAGGTACGTCCGCCATGGGATCTACTTTCGTGGAGCGTTCTGGATCATGGATGACTGCGAGGCGTACTAGGATGGTGGTATGCAGCTACAACGGTCTGGGTCGTCGGTCTATAGCTTGCGAATCTTGGTAGATGCCGGAGAACTGCTTTTCTCTAGGCTTATCCGTTCTCCCTGCACGGGGTTCCTTTCACTTCCCAGAAGAGGATCGCTACCACCTCCCATCGGCTTCGTTGCAAACTTGTGGGTATGGATTTTATTGCTTTCTTTACCCCTCCCTATTTTTTGAAGTAAATGCAGCCATTGTCTTTCCAAGTCTTTGCATGTCTTTCGTGCTGGACGAGACAGCTGTTCTTGCCATTAGCTGGGGACGCTTCAAGAAAGCAAGCCATGTTGCATCCCGTGGTCGTCTCATGCGACCTTTCAGGGGCCTCAGCACGCGACAGAAGAAGGCTGTACGGAGTACACGGGCGCCAAGCTCGATTGGCCTTAATACGCGTTCACATATACAGTGCGACCCGATCTTGACTCATGATTATCCTGATCAGCACATAGCGACCGTGGAATTAAGGCGCCAACCCGGTCAAATCACTGCCCGTCGACTCCTACGATGGTTTCTGTGAAGCCGAGATCGGTACAGCCTCGGCGTCGACAGTGTGGTTCTATTCGGTGTCGTTGACGATTACGTCGCGAGCGTTTATTGTTCCCTGTAGACTTAGGTCCTTTGCATTTCTGTGTTTATTATTTTTTTGTTTCCTCTGGCAAGATCCCCAACAACCGACCAAGGCGATCCGGACGGAGGCAAGGGGCGTCAGAAGGCGGGGGATGAGCATGAACCGAAACGAGCCAAGAGCCATCCTCTCTTTCGCAACCTGCCTTGATATGACCTCGTCTCTCTTTCGAGATCGAGACGGAAGAGCAGAAAAGAGCAAAAGAGGCGCGTTTAATGACCAGTCGCGAAGGAAGAGAGAGAACCGCTCGTCTGACCCCAAACAACCCTACTAGCATAGGCGATGAGGTCAAGACCGACACTCTCAATCAACCCTGCTTGGGGGTGACAGAAAAAGAAGAAAAAGAAAAGAGAAAGAGGGACATGGTACTTGCGTGCTCACATCTCGTTGTGAGGCTGGGTGAGTATGCATAGCGATCCATCGCATTGGAAACGAGGCAACAATGGGGGGTTGCAGGCCATTCGTAGTAGAGCCGCACTTACGCAGGGTCAAACCAACGGGCCTCCGTCGATTCTCTCGCCAGCTCTTCTGGTGCTGTTGTTGGCCTTTGGGTTGAGCCAATTCTCAGGCCGAGTCACCCGCCACTGACTGGTCATTATTCACCGGGCTCTTATTGCCTGCCTGCCCTCCCCCTCTTCCAGTTAGTAGTTCCCCGGTCACCCTTCACCAACCTAGTAAAATGACCCTCGAGAGAGAGAAACGAAAAGAAAGAGAAGAAAAAAAAGAAAAAAAAAAAGATAAGCTACAAGGTCAAATCGCGAGGTGCGTCTTACCCTTTCCCCTTTCCCATTTCTTCCCTTTCTTTCTTTCTTTTTTTCTTGTTCCCTCGCGAAGTGTTAACGCTCGACCATTCTTTCTGCTCCCATCTAGATTCAACGCAGCTCGGATAAACCAGGCTTCCGCTCCACCCAGTCGCCCTCCCGCCAGAAAGACTTCTGAGAAAGAAACGCGGCGATACACGCTCTCCCCGACTAAGACCGGCGATAGGCTCCACCACAATCTCCCTCGAACACCCTTTGATGCGCATCCTTCCGTTCTCGCCTGGACCAGTTCTTCTGATCCCCCGGGAGCGTTTTCCTTCTCGATTTTTGAAACCCTGATGCAGTTGAATCGCTTTACATGGCTGGGTCCCGTAGGAGTCCGGTGTTGAGAGAGCAGTGGAGAACCACCGGCGACACTAGAGACCAAAGAGATCGGGAACGGCACAGACCTCGAGGTTCACACCGCGACAGGGGAGGAAAGCACGGAAATCGTGACAGGGACCGCCGACGCCGACAGAAGGACGGCAGACCAGGGCCCCCATTCCGGTCGCCGCCACCGCGCTCGTTTCCTCATCCTGACGACGACGAACGTCGCCCCCCTCGTGATTTTTCTCCTGGTGCCGCTTCCGCTCGTGGCTCCCCCGGCCTCCCTCACTCGGAAATCAAGCACCGCCAGAAACCACCCTTTCATCGTTCGCCTGACCAGGCGGACTTTTTCGATCTGGATCCAAACCGCCTTCGGGAGGCCGAGAGACCGACCGAAAGAGACTATCGACGAGACGACTCGCCCTCTGCTCCGCCTCCCAAACGCAAGAGAACTCGAAGCCCGTCTCCAGGCGGCCCTCCTCGCCACCCCAACCATCCGTCGCATCGTTATCCCGGTGACGATTTTGACCGAGGTTTCCCGTTCAAGAAGCGTGGACGTTTCCCGGGTCGGGGTAGGTCTGGTCGAAGATCTCCACGACGCGGCAGAGAGCGGCGTAAAAACGAAGGTGGGCGACGACCCTCCCCTCGTCCCAGGCGCTCCAGGTCCCCCGTTCGTGGAAGCAAGACTTTCAACTATCCCCGCCGGCGTTTCCAGAGCCCTCGCCCGGAAGACGACCTGGAGGAAGGACCTCGATATCGATCCGTATCGCGCCATTCTGTACAGTCCGGGGATTCGAGGTTTTCCTACGGTTCTCGACGTGACTCCATCACCATGAATCCAGGCAGACCAGCTCGTTCAATAACGGATGAGACCCCTCGGTCTCCGTCACCAGCTCGCCCTATACCAAGCTTCAATGCCGATTATGATCCAGCGCCTGCGGACGGTGGTACTCTGCGTGAGCCACACGGAAGGTGGCCATCAGATGCCCCAAGCGGCCCGCACTCTCGCCCATCCAGACCACGTGCTGACTCGAGGCAATACTCTGCATCACCACAGCGTGTAACGCCGACTAATTCATTCCACGGCTCTCCCCAACCTTCATCACCGTATTCTGCCGGTCGGGGTGGCTGGGGTGGCCAGCAGCGTTCATACCATGGACAGTCTGGGTAAGGGATTTTCTTCTATCTTTCTTTTCCCCCTTTGAATACCTTATCTGGATGATGCTAACATTCGGCAAAATCTAGACATTCATCACCATACAGATACGCCCCAACGGGCCCCCAAAGCCAGTACTATCAAAATTCCGACTCGTACGGTGCCTCGCATTCTGGCCTGTCTTACCGTGGAGGGTATCGTGGTAACCACCAAAGTCATGGAGGCGATCGTCGATTTTCGGGTGCTGGCCACGCAAATTACGGCAACGGTCCTTCGCCGCGAGGTCGCGGTCATTTTGGAAGCTTCTCACGAGGTGGTTCAAGTGCTCGGGGTCGAGGATCCTCTCATAGCCCTCGTGCGGCGTATGGCCCACCATCTCCTAGCCCCCCACCTCCCCCGCCATCAGACGATCAGATCCCCAAAGATACGGATGAGACCAGCAACGTCTTCGACCGCTCAAGGGACGAAACCCGGCCATCAAATGGAGACTCGAATAACGTCTCGGAGACAGGCGATTCGCAGGCACCACCCCCCAGTACCAATCTACCCGACACTGCAACGCCGAGCAAAGGAGGCAAGATCAGCTTTGCGTTCAAAGCGAAGACTACACAGGCACCAGCTCCGAAACCCGTCCCTGATCTGGCGCAGAGAATGTTGGCGCGGGAGCCTCCCCCTCGGGCTGCCGAACCGCCTCCGCCTCGAAACCGAATGCCCGCTGCTCCCCCGCCGAAGTTCAAGCCGGATTCGAGATCTGACCGTCGTGATCGGGACCGAGATCGCCATCGCGAAAGAGACCGAGATAGAGGCAGGCCCGATCGACGAGAGTTCCGCGACCCTCGTGGCTTCCGCGAGCCTCGAGACGGGCGCGACAACCGAAGAGAAGATCGTCGCTTCGACAACCGGAACGAGAGAAGGCGGGGAGATCGACGACAGGATTTCCGCGCAGAACGTCGGCGAGACCGTTCCCCGGAGCCGAAGAAGCAACCCAAGATCATGACTCGAATGAAGCCACGCCCTACTCTGCTCGAGGAGTTCGCTGATTCGGATTCGGTCTATTACCGAAAGCCCGGTAACGAGTCTGTCATCGGTGCTGGTACCTACGGAAAGGTCTTCAAGGCAATCCATGTCTATACTCAGAACAAGGTGGCGTTGAAAAAGATCCGAATGGAGGGCGAGAAGGACGGTTTCCCCGTCACCGCGGTCCGGGAAATCAAACTACTTCAGCATCTGCGCAACGAAAACGTGGTCAGTTTGCTGGAGGTGATGGTTGAAAAGAATGAATGCTTCATGGTATTCGAATACCTATCTCATGATCTTACCGGGCTCATCAACCACCCAACTTTCACCCTTACTGCCAGCCACAAGAAGGACCTTGCGAAGCAGATGTTTGAAGGGTTAAACTATCTTCACCACCGCGGCGTTTTACATCGTGACATCAAGGCTGCCAACATTCTCATCAGTAATCGCGGATTGTTGAAATATGCCGACTTTGGCCTTGCCAGGTTCTTTTCGAAGAGCCGCCAGTTGGATTACACGAACCGGGTCATCACCATCTGGTATCGGCCGCCGGAACTTCTGCTGGGTGAGACTAGGTACGGACCAGCGGTCGATGTCTGGAGTGCGGCCTGCGTCTACGTGGAAATGTTCACGAAGAAAGCGGTTTTCCCCGGAGAAGGAGGAGAAATCAGTCAGCTAGAAAAGCTGTACAATTCGCTGGGAACTCCCACGCGGGTTGACTGGCCGGACATGGCTGAGATGCCCTGGTTTGAGCTAATGCGGCCGACGGAACGCAAAAGGCGAGTCTTTGAAGAAGTGTATGGTTCGGTCTTGTCCCCGGCGGCCCTCGACCTGGTGTCTCAGGTTTTCCGTTACGATCCTGCTAAACGACCAACGGCCGAGGAGATCTTGAAACACCCATACTTCGTCTCCGAGGAGCCCGCCCCGCAGCAGGCCATCGAGTATGTCTTCCTTGTTCCTGTCAATTTCCATTCCCATTTGACCTCAAATTCTAATTAATATCTAGGCTGGAAAACATTGAAGGAGACTGGCACGAATTCGAATCAAAAGCACTGCGCAAGGAGAAAGACCGGGAAGCTCGTCGGGCCGAATATCAGAAGGACAGGGAGAAGCGTAAAGGCGGCCCCCCGGTTCCTCAAAGTGAACGAGATTCCAAGCGCATGAAGTCCGATGCCGCCGAGCTTTAGGGTCTTTTGGTGGACGTCTATTTTCATTGAATTTGCATTTTATTTCCAGCATCTGTTCTTCCCGTTGAGGCTTAAACTCACTTTCTCGGGAGGTGCATGAACACTCTCATGGGAGCGTCGCAATTTGCCAGTTCTGCATTTGATGGACGTATGACATCGAAGCGACTACTTGGTTTGCCCTGCAGATTGGTGTTTTTTTCTTTTAAAGCATGATGGGTGATGTACGACATGCCTGCATTTACAAGTGTGGTTTACACGGGGCGTACGGGAAGGGTTTTCTTCGGCAACTGAAGGTCATTTTTTTCTTGTCTTCTCTTATTTCATGGATTACATGGCACCTTCCATCACAATGGTTATTTAGTGTATAGATGTTTATTTCTTTCCATTGACTACCTGGTATCACACCCTACCGTTTCATTTATCACTTTCGTTTTCGCCGTATGGGTGTGTGGGTGTATGGGTGGTGGTAGTAGATAGGCAGGAGACATGGCCAATGCCGAGTCTGTGTCTACAGCATGACTCGAGGCAATGCACAGACAGCACCCTCGGCGAGAGACGAGAGACAGGGGACGATTCTAGATTTTATAATCTACTACCCACGGCGTCAGCATTCCATCAGCGTACAAAGAACATGAGCAAGCATGACCGCCATTCCCGAATTCCACCAGGATTCAGACTTTGCCTTTGGACCTCACGCTCGACCAGCAGGAACCTTTTCATGGAAAAAGGCAGTGTAGACAGCGGTTGAGCAACCTCGGTTTACCAGAGAATGTAAATTTCTCGTCATGAGACGAAATAGGGGAGAGGTTTAGGTGATGGAATCGCATGAAGACGCACCATTGTGGATTGAGGCCGACCAGATGTCTTGAGCATGGCGTTTATGCCCTGCCTGAGTTTTCTCGTGTGGCGGGTCTGGAAATTTTCAGACCGGTTAAACCATCGGTTCTTAGATAGTCCCAATTCGCGTCAACGAGGGAGGCTTAGAAGTCTACTGAAGGCCAGTGGTGGGTGCTACTGAGACCATGGCTTTGAACGGGGCTTCGTCCTTGAAGGCCACACAAAGTATCCTAGATCAATAACCGACAGCGCTCAAAAATGAGAGGCATTGACAAGGGTATGTCCCATCAATCAGGTCATCACCGCATCATGGAGCCCGAAAGAGCCCTCGTGATGATGGTTTTAGATGTGGAATTTCATTCTCGACACACTCATCGGAATCGCCAGTGCAGTGAAAGGAGTCGAGAGACCCCTGGTTGCAGCCAGCGATGATTTGAGTTGGTGGTCTTGGGTTTGTTGAAAGAAAAGAAAAGAGAAAGAAGAAGGGCGGGCGAAGATAAAGGGCCGCCGAAAAAAAGGACGCGATGGAGATGGAAAAACGAAGGCGCCGGGACGGGCGGGCCGCACGCTGATTGGCCAGGGCGGGCAGCTCGATTCAGGCCAACTTCGGGCCAGCCTCAGGCCAACGTCCGGGCGTTTGTTCACTTTCACTTTGTACCTCCGACTGACTGACTTGCTCGACCTCTCTGGCTTCAGTAACTTCCTTCCCTCCTGCTCCCTTTCCCTTCCGACATTCAATCAGAACTCCTCCTTAATCCATCGATCTATCTTCTCATCCAACTTGGCCCCATTCAGTGCTTCCAATTTCCCTGGCACCCGACCTGGCTCGCTCCTCTTCCTTGCAACACCCCCCACGTCTCTAGTGTTAACGTTCACGATCACGATCACGATTTCCCTCTTGAATTTTTCGATCTTGTCATAGCTTCGATTCATTCGGTCATTGTTCTTCCTGGCTTTCATTCTTTCACTCCTTCGTTCTTTTTTTCTGTGGTCTTTCTAATTTGTGTGTGCCATTAATTTTTTTCCACCACCTGCGGTTTTCTTTTGTTCCAATTTTTTTTTCCTATTTCAGTTTTCAATCTTTTTTCCCGGGCATCCCCACACCTGTATATCATACGTTTCGTTTCTTTCGCTGCAGAACATCCCAACACCTCGTCGCTTTCCCTGTTCCTCACTGATGACCGCTCTTTAATCTGAGCTGTCTCAGTACCGACCTCTATGGATAACGCAAACTTGTGGACTCGCCGATCCAAGTATGTCTTCCCCCTCCCCTCCGGTGCCTGGTCTTTTATAACCACGTTCCCGCCTCTGCCTCCCAATTTGGTCATCAGGCAGGCTAATTGATTCGTTCGCCTCGTTTTGTAGCACCTCCAAGCTGTCTCTGTCTATGACAGGGACCGACGGAAAAGAGGGTGGCGCTAGAGTTGAGATTCCCCGCACGGCGAAGCGTTTTGGTCCGGACAGCTCCCACGGTCGATCGAATCCCTTCAACGCCCTATCCCCTCTCTCGGGTGGCGTTTCTTCCCCGTCGACCAACGCTTCCTCTGCATTCGGCTTGGGATCCGGGGCTTTCGCGTCCTTCGGCGCTCCCAAGACCCCCGGCGGATCTTCCGACCTGAAAACCCCGGGCGGCGAAAAGCGCGATTTTACCTCGGAGCCGGAATTCGTGGAAAAGACCAAGAGCTCGGCGGTGCTGTCGTCGAAAGACCACCTGCTCAAGTCGACCTGGGTGATCTGGTACCGCCCCCCTACACCTAAATACTCCGATTACGAAAAGTCCACCATCCCCCTCGCGTCGATATCCTCGGTAGAGAGCTTCTGGTCGATATACGCCCACCTGAAAAGGCCTTCTCTCCTTCCCGCCGTCTCCGATTATCACATTTTCAAGAAGGGCATCCGTCCCGTGTGGGAGGACGAAGCCAATAAGAAAGGTGGAAAATGGGTGGTGCGGTTGAAGAAGGGCGTAGCTGATCGGTACTGGGAGGATCTCCTCCTGGCCATGATCGGCGACCAGTTCGCGGAGGCCGGCGACGAGGTTTGCGGTGCCGTTCTCAGCGTACGGAGCGGAGAGGATGTTTTGGCCGTCTGGACTCGGATCGACGGAGGGCGAAACATCAAGATCAGGTATGGGCTTCTTCCGAGGACAAAACTCTCAGGACCAGGGACTAATTTGTCATGCAGGGAAACCATCAAACGTCTGTTGGGCTTCCCGATCGACACCAACATCGTATGGAAGAGCCACGACGACAGCATCGCTCAGCGCTCGGCCATTGATCAAGCTCGCCAAGAGAAGGCCGCCGGAAACGCTGGTCACCATCACCACCACCATCATCACAATAACAACAACAACAACAATCACAACAACCACAACAACAACCAGCACCATCCCGGGGGCGACCGACGAAGACATACGGGCAATGAGGAATCTACGGGGGACAAAGGAAAAGGATCGGCGTCTTGATTTAAATCTAGCATTCTCCGCGGCATGTTCATGGTTCCTGTATAGTACAAGAAAACCAAAAATAATTGGGATGATTTGGGATCGGGGCATTGGGGCGAAATATTGCGTCTGATATTTTAGTGATTTGTTTGACATGGTCATTTTTCATTTCTTATTTTCTGGTTGGATGTTTTATGCGAGATGCCATGCACGTTTCAGGACGAAGATAAGGAACAAGAAACCAGAAAAAAGCAGATAAATGCCAGGCGGCCGAGGAATAGGATCTGGCCGATCGGCTGTATTCTCGGGAATATGCAGTAGTTGAGTACCTACGATATACTCTATACTCTATACTCTATGCTATATGCTATAGTGTTGTAGATGCATGCGTCCAACTGGCGGGGGCAGAAAAGGCCCACCGCCTTTTCGGCCATCATCATCCATGCTTGCGTCGCTCTCTCGTTCACGCCGCATGGGACTCTCGCCTCCGTCTGCTGCATGCTGGGCCATGACGATCCTCCAGTCCACTCGGGTCGTGCGATGACCGCTATATATGCCCCTACGTGACCACATATCAGGCCCTCTTTCCCTCGGGACTCCTGGTCCCCCCTCTCGTCCTCCGCAACCTGCAGCCATTTCTCCACCATCAAATGCAAGCTCCGATCAGTCCTCCGGGGGAAATGCCCTTTCGCCGATAGATTCTTTGACTACGCCGTCTAAAGCCCTGCTTCAGATCCCGCAGGTGAGTTGGATTCTCTGCCTTTGGATTTTGCCGCTGCCTGGTCTCTCTGCCATTCTTTTTCTTTTTCCTCCAATATGTGCGGACTTATCTATTTTTTAATTCCACTTTTGTTCTTCCCCTCCGTGCTTCTTTATCCGCTGTTCTGCAACCAACAATACCCATGTCGCAAGCACTTTTCTTCTTCTTCTTTCTTTCTTTTTTTTTTTTTTTGTTTGCTTCTTTCCTTTGTGATCCTAGCAGTTGATCCCACCCACCTCTCGTCTCGTGCGCGGGCTAACTCCTCAACCCCAACTCCAGTCCCCGTCTAGCAATGCCGCAGAATTCTGCATTACCAATAGACCTCGACCTGTACGTTCACTAATACGCCAGACCATTCCACGACCCGGATTAGGAATGCGTCGTTTGTAAATATCACCCTCAACATTGCGGAAGCCGATCGAGCAGTACTGACGCTTTGCGGATGCAGGCATGGAGACGAGAAGTCAATGGTCACCAAAGAGCGCGATGTCTCTTCTCTAGCCGACGAACAGAGACTATTCCCTTCCTATAAGCAGTACGTTATCCACCTAGCGGGTGATTGATCCAAAATCTGGCACAACGTGGAGTGTTGCTCACATGCGACTGCCTACTTTCTAGGAGCAGCCCCGGCGGGGTCACGATAAAACCCGGCCAAACAACCATAAAACCCAAGAAGCTACAGGTGCGGACTTTCCATTTTGCATAGGACTTCTGTGTTCTTGGTCTTTTTCAAATTCATTTGGTCGTCTAACGCATATGGCGTTCTAGAGCTTTGGGAGCTTGAAACCGATCAACACTCTTTCGGGCAGAGCCCGAGATAGCGGTCCCGTTCGCGCTCAGGGGAAACAAAATTATCGCGGCAACAAGCAACCACGCGTCGGGACCGGAACTTTCCATTCGGATGGAGCCGTCGATTTCGAGAGTCCGGAGAGACCGCTGAAGCGACAACGTCGGGAAAGCTTGGGTGCGTCGTTCGGGAGAACGATAAGCATCTCCGATGACGATATTATGGAACAAGCGGCGCCGGAGGATTCGTCGCTCGCCGGAAACTCGGTGTCCAGCCAACGTTCTGGAAAGGGGAAGAAAGCGAGGACGGTGAATCAAGTCGACGAGTACCGCGAAGTGGAGCGAAATGTGCGAATTCCCCGGGAATCGCCCAGTAAGAAGCACAATCGCCGGTCGCTGGACGATGACCGGGATGAACAATTCACTGAAGATGCCGCCAAAGAAAGACGTCTATCGGCATCAAATTCGGTGTTTGAGCCTGTTGAAGTTGACAAACAGCGGAGATCTAGGCATGAAGTTTTACAGAGCGTCGAGATACACGGCGTGAATGGCACTCTAGAAAATTCATCGTCGAAAGATCATTTTGTGGATGCCAGGCCCAATCGCGCATTCGAATTCCGAGAAAGTCCCGATGAGCTGCAGGGCGAAGCGACTGTTCGGCCAGTCCCGACGGTTTTGAATCGAGGCGTTAAGCGACTTACAAATGATGATTCGGAGGGGGAAGGGCAACCGACATCCAGTGGTCGACAACAATTGTCCCCGTCCGATATCCGCCCGACCAAGTTCACAAGTGCATCGTCTGTCAGCAAGAAGAAACCCATTAAAAAGTTGAAGCCCAAAAAAAGCCATGCCGACGTTCAAGTGTTTAAGATAACTTACCTCCGCTCGGGAGATTTGGAGCTTCTCCCTTCTCAAGGAGAGCCCATGGACTTGAGCTTTGACCTAACAAAGAAAGCAATTTCGTTCTATGCAAGCTCGAAGGGTCGGACTTCGGTGGCCTTGGACCGAGTCACCAGGGTTGAGAAAGGGGATGATGCTAGCCGGAAAATGCGATTAGGGTTGACGAGAACGAAAGGGACGGGCGATCAACTGGATATAGAGCTACTGGACCCCGAGGCGAAACGGGAGCTGTGCGCTTTATTCAATACTACGGGAGCCAAAATTGTGGCGAGGAGTGGGTATGTCAATCCTCATTTTCTAAATCGTTCCGAAGCAAAAGCTTACTCGTAAACAGTGAACATATGGACAAAGTGTTCACCCGCAAAAACAAGAAGCTAGCAGACCAGCAGTCGCATGAGAGCAATGCCATCTCGGAGAGTGGCGCAGAAAAGGAGTCACCGGAGCCTGTGACGAAGCCTGCAATCCCCAGGAGAACGAAACTGTCGGATGCGCTGCAAGATGAGAATGGGAATTTTGCCGGACAAAAACATGCAGAGACCGCTTCCTCGCCCCGTGGGAACTCGACTTCCCAGGAGGTGGAATGTACCTCCTCCAATGCCCAGCCCGGCGAAATCCAAAGATATCCACTCCATCATAAGTATAAATCTTTGTTCTCGCCTCCGATTCGAGCAACGCGCTCGATGGCGCGCCAGGCGCCACCTCCTACCGTTGTCTGGTAAGCCACCCTCCCATCCTTCTCTCATTTCTAGGAGATATCACTGATGCCCCCTATAGCGACGATGAGGAAGAGGAACATGTCCCTCAACCGATATCGAATGGGAAGCAGAAACGTTGGCACAAGTGTGTTCATTCCTTGCCTCGCTACGGCGCTTACATATTGACGATATCTCTCACTAGGCCCTTGATTTACCCTCGCTTTGGCAAGAAGAAAGCCGAGGTGGACGCTCAGGACGTGGACCGACTCGGCGACAACGAGTTTCTGAATGACAACCTCATAGGATTCTACATACGGTTCTTGCAAGATCACCTGGAGCGTGGCAACAAAGAGGCGGCGAAGAGGGTCTACTTCTTCAACTCGTATTTCTTCGCAACCCTGACCAACTGGCCCAAGGGCAAGAAAGCTATCAACTATGATGGTGTTCAAAAATGGACCCGGAATGTGGACATTTTCAGTCACGACTATGTCGTGGTGCCTATCAATGAAAATGCACACTGGTACGTGGCCATCATTTGCAACCTGCCGTACTTGCCTGGTGTTTCCAAAGCTACGAGAGAACAAGACAACCCCTCCGAAGGCGAGGTGTCTGCTGCTCGGCCAGATAACGAAATCCAAGAGGTTCGGGAAACTCCGGAGACTGGGGCAGTTAACAATCCACAAACCGGCAAAGAGGAAATGACGCGTCAATCGCTGGCTTCGATGAATTTATCGGACGGAGAAGGCTCCCAAGAGCTAGGTTCTCAGGTCCCTACGGAACCAGGGTCAATGGAAGCCAACCCGGACAGCCAGGCCCAGGCACCACAGGAAGGTGATTCAAAGGGCACCGGCCCGGGGTTGACAGACTCCCCCCAGAGGGCTCGAAAGCAGAAGAAGAAGCCCGCAGGACCCAAACATGACTTCCGCCAACCCATTATCATCACCTTTGACTCTTTGAACCTAGGTCGCTCGCCCACAATCAGCATCCTTCGCGATTATCTCCATGCGGAAGCCAAGTCCAAACGGGATGTTGAAATAGATAAGGGCATGATCAAGGGTATGAGAGCTCAGGAGATTCCATTGCAATCCAACTACTCCGACTGCGGGCTTTATCTTCTAGCATACCTCGAGAAGTTCGTTCAGAACCCCGACCTGTTCGTTTGGAAACTGCTACGAAGGGAAATGTCTACGCAGGAAGATTGGCCCGAAGTAAAATCAGGCCTGCTCCGAACTCGCCTTCGAACATTCCTGGACCGGCTATATGACGAGCAGGCGCAACTCAACCCTGAGAATGCCAGCGAACAAAAGATGATGGCGGATGTGCAGCCCATATCATATCTTCTTTCCTCTCCCATCGTCCTGAGGCAAAATCCACGACCTGCCGACCGCTCGAACGAGCGATCGCCACAAAGCAAGGGCCCGACCAACAGTGATTCGATGCCGGGAAATCCCTCCGGCAACAGCAGACCGGCAACCCGGTCCAGTCTTCAGCAATCATCTGCGAGCGTTAAACAGCCACAGAAAGAAACTTCGGGGCCTCGTATCAGCGACAAGCCCAAGCGTTCTGACAGAACGGATGAAATTATCGAGGTTCCCGATAGCCAAGAACCAGTCCAAATGATTCCTGCCTCACCGATGCGCAAAACGACTCGCCAGAAAGACAAGGGGAAGCATGCGCAACCCGGGGAGTCTGCGGCCATGGTTGTGAACCCGGGAAAACAGTATGCTGTTGAGATTGAAGATGGCAGCGCGGAGAAGGCATTGGATGCCGAACCCTCTGCCACAGGACAATCTTTTGAGGTAGAGATTCAGGTGAGGCGAACACCTCCCCCATCTACAACCAGCGAGCCAGGCGCGAAGAAGAGCCCGCGACCTGGCAAACGCAAGCACAAGACGGCGAAGGGGGCATAATGCTGTGCCTGCCAGACACCGTTGATGATGATGCCTGTCAGCCATGATGCATGATGCACATGATGTGTTCTTTCCTTATTTCCTTCCGCTCAATTTTCATTTTACGTTTGCTCCTTTGATTTCTCTTTTGTTCGTTTATTTCCCAAGGATCCATGATAAACATGAGGACCTTGAGCAGGCGTTTGTTCTTCCGAGTACCGGGATACAGGATCCTTCTTTCTGATTTTTTTTGTTACTGGGAGTGCATGAGATACCACGCATAGCATATGGATTTCTATGAGTTGTGTCTGCTGGGGGCAGGGGTCCAATGAACCAATACCGCCACGCGCAGCAATCATTTATATTTCTATTCTCTGTTTTCTACTTTTGTCGAATCTGTCTCTTATCTATTCCCGAGAGAGGGATAAAAAACAACTTTGTACATATTGTGGGTATTTAGACCAAGACGATCCACCGGCCATCAATTAGATCGTTAGAGACCTCTCCTCCCCGAAACTGTATGAGAAGAGGAAAGCGTCTGAACAGATAGAGAAGCGAAAAACCCAGCGCCTCGTCTATCCCGAACACCTTGGCTGCGGAAACCTGTCCACTTACCACTCACTCTCATCCGCCGTCACCCACCACGCCATCTTATCCCTCTTGAACGCCTCGAAATCCCACTCCGCCTCCTCCAGCTTCCCCTCCCCGGCGATGAACACGTACGTCGCCGCGTTCACCTCCTCCCCTTCGTCCGCGAACTCCGCCCCGGCCGCATCCAGCACGTCCCGCAGGTGCTTCCCGTCGCCGTCGTGGGCGTCATGGCCCTCCACGCTCAGCGCCTCCCGCAGGACCCGCACGCACACCTTCTCCTTCACATAGTCCGACCCCTCGAAGATATCGAGCCGGTGCACATCCCCGTCCGTTAGCCCAGAGACGACCGTCCCGAGGACCGACCCAGCAGCCCCTGCGTTTGACGTATCAGTCTCCCCCGCCCCCGAGGAGGTCGAATTCGGAGTCGATATCGACGACCCAGGCGCCGGCACCGGCACAATTCCCGGATAGTCCGCCCCCCGCACGCGATGTCGTCGGTATCCGTGCAATACGGCCGGCCGGAACGTCAGGAGCGCCTTTTGCCACGGCTCCGGCGTCGGGCTGCCGTGGATCACGCGGTGCAGGATTTGCGGCGCCATTAGCGTTCCTGGCGCTGGGCGTTAGAGTCCGGAAGCCGAGCTGGGGTGCGGGATTGCGTGGGATTGAGGATGGGGTGGTCAGGATGGGTTGGAGTAGGTCGGCGGGGTTAAATGAGGGGAACTGATAAGGATAGGGACGTGGATTGCGGGGGCTCAAGAGACCTACCGTAGAAGAATAAGACGTGGTCGCCCATGTTGGCTGTCTCGAGGGGGTATGTATGGAAGATAGGAGGGGAGAATGAAGAGTACAGAAGGACTATCAGCTCCGGATCGTGGCTGGAGCGATCCAATACATGGGCTTTATTCCTGCAGCTCTAAGGCGGTGAATAAACAGTCTAGGATGGCCTTACTCAGCCGTACCTGGAAATTACTGCAAGTATACAATCTCTTGAAACCGACCACCCCGAGTCCTCAGGGGCTTTGCTATATCATCTCAATTTCTGAAGCCTGCGACACCTTAGACGAAACGACTCCCCGACGCCGCTTCGCCGAGAGTTCCCCCCATCGCCGGCCCATGGCAACTGCTGGGTGAGCGGCGGTCATACAAATGCACGCAATGGCAATCATAGCGCTCTCAAGAATCATCAGGGAAATTTCATCATTAGCCAGATCGCTGTCAAATCCACCTTTCAGCTCCGCAACACGGAAGATCGAGCGAGTGAAGATCGTTAAAACGGCAATGGCAAGACCTGTGACTGGGTTAGCATAGGCTGATATAAATGCGGATGATTTCGTGACACGTACCCAGCAGGAACATCTTCCATTTCAAACCACTGCGAACAGATGCTGTAGACGCATTCTTCCTGTCTTCGGAGCTGCGGCGCACTCGCAGGGCGAATTCCGAAGCGAGCACGATGAACAGCGTCAGCGAGGCGACCTGGAAAGCCAATCCTGCAATCATGATATTGACCCCGGTATCGCGGAGGCTGTTTTGGTCCGAGTCCGCGATGGAGGTAATGGCGCCGCCGGCTGCTTGTAGGACCAGGGCGATGATATCGCAAGTGACGAAGAGGATGGTGTATGTACGCGGGCGAATCCTGGAGATATCCTCCCCGTAGACGATGACAATCCTTCCCAGGCAGATGTAAATGGCGGCGGTGAAGAAGGCCGGGGCAATCGTGAGACAAATGAGGTATCTAAAAGTCCAGTTGCTGATTAGCGTGCTTTCGTCAGAGGTATGTCTCAACGGTCCCGTACAGAAGGAATGCATTAAAGTCGAATGGGTTGCTGTGCATCATGACTCGCCCGATGTATCCCAGGATTTCAAGAATGAGCCCCGCGGCCATGGCTCCCATGTATGTCCATGCTCGGAACCATGTTCCCAGGGCGATTTGTGCGGCGAGGAGAAGGCCGAAGAGGGCCAGGAAGAGGACATTTGCCGGGATGTTGGGCTGGTAATTGATATAGGCCCAGTCAATTGGGCAAGTGGCCAAGGTGCAGTCGTCCATGTTCATTTCCGACATTTTCCGTGTTGATATTTGAGGAGAAAATACCGCCACTCTTTATACAATCCGAGTATACTTCCCAGGGCTGACAATGGGGCCAGACACGGAGTCCCGGCCAACTCCGAGTCCGCGGACTGGGAGGTCAGGGGGCCGGTCCGCGGACTCATAAGGCCTCCGGTTCCTGTCCGTCCTCCATCTTAGCCTTAGCCCCAACTCTTTGAATGCTGCCTGCTGCCTACTACGCAGTATGTCCGCGCCGGCCAGTCTAGGCCGAGTCAGGACCTGCGAGAACTGTGTGCGTGCTAAAATTAGGTGCTCGGGCACCTCGACCCAAGGCTGCGATCGGTATGCAACATCCCGCTTCTACTTCTACTCCAACGTCACCCTAACACGCTTGGAAGGTGTCTCCGTCTGAACAGAGATTGTTATTTCCGCGCAACTAAAGCTCGTACTCCTAAGAAGAGGGAGACGTATATCTGCCCACTCCTCGTATCGATACGATCGGTCAAGCTGACCGCATCGAATCTAGGCGAATAGATGCACTCGAGGACAAGGTGGATCGAATTTTAGGCCAGATCAATCAGCCTCACTCAAGCCCCCAACAGGCACCACTGCCACTGCCACTGTCCTCGAAAAGTGAAAGTTGTGCTCCGACTCCTCGAAATCCGTGCGATGTGATCGGGAACGGGCTGATCACCCGCGAAGAGGCAAATCGTTTGATAGAGAGCTTTCGTGAGGCCATAACGTATTTCCCATTTGTACAGCTGCCGAGAAACGCCACTGTCGAGGATCTCAGATCGGAGAAACCCTTCCTCTTACTCTCGATTCTTTTGGTCTCCTCGTTTCGAAATGTCCCGCTGCACCTGGCCCTCGAGGAGGTTTCGACGTCTTACCTTGGGGGACAAGTCTTGCAAGGCAATCGCCAACAACCCTTCGATATACTACAGGGATTGCTGGTTACTATAGCTGGGCAGGTTCTAGACAATTTCTCTCTTCATTACATTCACAAAAGCTAACACGGAAGATAGAACGAAGAAAAAACTCCATTTAGTGCGGTTTTCTGGATATCTGCACCTCGCACAAAGTATAATCAACGATTGCAGACTGGATTACCCAGCCAAGCTGCGAGTAGTAAGACACAGAATTGACGTCATGGACACGGATCCTCCGACAGAATCGATTTCCCTGCGAAACGAGGAAATGCGAGCTTTGGTTGGATATTTTCTCCTTGACGCGTGGTAAGTTCGATTTACCACCTGCACAGCCCGGTCTAGACCTGAAAAGACTATGTCTTGCTTACTTTCTTTTCACATGACTAGTCACTCCGTAGTACTACAGCGGACAGGATCAATGCCTTGGTCACCCTTCATAGAATCATGCGCTGCGAAGTTGTCGCAGGAATGCGAATTCCCAACCGATCGATACCTGTTAGGCCAGGTTCAAGTACAACACATGCTTGTACGAATCGATTCCCTAGTTGCACGGGGAGTCGGTGAGAATAAGGCTCCTGTGGATATAGAAGTTATGATTAGTTCTCTTCAAAGCGATTTTGAAGCTTGCAAAGCCCGGCTTCCTGTCCCTATGGACCATGATGGTGAGTTGACCAAGCCTTATCTGCACTGCAGATCTAAATTCTAACACCTGATTAGCATTTCAAGGCATTCCATCCCACGCCTTCGAAATCCATCTCTATCAAACTATCTTTTTCGATGTATACCCATCTTCCGCCGCGTCATTCGACCAATCCATGGCCCTCCTGCGAATCGATGCCCTGTGTCACGGACTAGCGGCTGCAAAACAATTTATGAGCTTTTACTTCAGCCTACCACCGGGTATTGAAAAGAGATTCAGTTACCTCCAATGGACAATGACCGGGTTCAGCGTTGCAGCTTCATGCAAACTTGTTCTCGCATCGTTGGAGCCATCCGTTCGAGATCACGAGCAAGTCCGAGGGTTGCGAGAGACATTGGATATGCGGCATGAAATCCAGAAATCCGTCAAGCGCATGAATACGCTTGATCAGGAGTGTAAAGGTGGGAAGTGGGATCAACATGAGATGTTCTTCTACCAAGATTGGCTGCAGCTCCTTTCTGAATGGTTTGAAGAGAAATACCGTCTTGCGCAGTCTGATAGTGCTGGAGTGAAGAACGGTGCACTGGGAGTCTTCACCACTGGAATCTCAGAACATCATGTCTATGAAGAGCCTCAGCCTGATCCTGGTTTTCCTTGGGTGGATCTTCAGGACGTTACGATTGAGGAGATGTTGAATGCGTGGTTAGGGCCAATGAATATACCACACTACTTTTAAGATGTACAAATTAGCCTGGATAGTTTCAGCGACGAATACTTACCCCTCTCTGCTTTCTTTTATTTGGATTACTTACTTTGATCGGGTGCTTATAGTTATAATTGATTCATTGGAGATCAACCAATCCGCGGCTTATCGATAAGCGACTGCGCCACACCGCGAGGCGCCGACGTGGCTTCACTTTCTGGCCTTTTCGCTTCCTCCGCATTGTTGGTTCTCCTCCCCTCGCATTTCTCCGTCTTGATCTGCTTTCCCTCTGGTCTATCAAGCTCACACCGGACACGGGGACCGGACAATTGACCATGCACTCCGCCCTGAATCGCGCGCAGGCCGTCTTCGGCTTCTTCACCACCGTCGCTTTGTTCGTCGCCGGCGTCGCCGCGCTCTCCGTGCTGCTGTATCCTGCCGATGACGCTAAGGCGCTGGTCGCCCTGAAGGATGTGAAAGTGTATGTTACGACCTGAGTGGAGCTCTCTTCTGACCGGGCTAGAGCCTTGTCTGGATTTGTCTACTCCCGCTTGCGACTGTTGTAGAGACGCATGTTGATCAGTGGGCTGACTCGACCGCATGCAGAATCAAAGGTCGTCCGAACTACTACTCCTCCAGGAAAGAGGAGTATGCGCAGATGCGATTCGACTTGGACGCTGGTATGTCCTTCTCTCCTTCTCTTCTCATCGCCCTCCTCGACTTTATTGCACCTAAAGCCAAGCTCGAAAGGCCTCTTACTCTGCGCGTTCGCTTTCCGAACAAGACAGCTAACCACTAAAGACCTATCCCCCCTCTTCAACTGGAACACCAAACAAATCTTCGTCTACGTCTACGCCTCGTACTCCTCGTCCTCGAACCCCTCGACCTCCCACCTCCCCAACTCAGAGTCCATCATCTGGGACACGATCATCTCTGCCCCGGAATCCCCCTACTCGCTCGCCGCGCTGCAATCCCGCTTCTTCCCCTCGTCCTCGGCCTCTTCCTCGTCCCGCGGAGCCAACAAGAAACGCACCCCCAAGGCGTCGGGCAAGAAGGCCGCCAAAGAGCCCGGGCACCTGCGTCTCCGCGACCAGCGCTCCAAGTACCAGATCGGGGACATCACGGGCCGCATGGCGGAGAGGGGCAACGTGACGCTGAACGTGGGATGGAATGTGCAGCCGTGGGTCGGCGCCTTGTGGTGGAGTCCGAGGTCTGGGGCCGTGCCTAGGACGGTGGGGGATGCTGGGCAGAGCAAGGCGTTTGATTTGCCCGCGTTGAAGAAGAAGACGCCTCCTGCTGCTGCTGCTGGGGAGAAGAAGGCTTCTGTTTAGGCGGGGCTGGGGTTATATTCTAGATTGGAGAATTGAACTTGGTTGGTTGGGAGTCGAAAGGTACGTATGTTTGACGTTTCGGACTTTGGGACATTGGAAAAGCCAAAGAAAAAAAAAATTAAAGTATTTCATATACCGTCTGTTAAGCATGGAAAGTTGTGATCATACCCTTTCTACAATATCACAATATACAAAGCATGCCGTGGAAATGAATTATATTAGACTTAAAGAATAGCCAAGTGGCGCCTGCCCCAAACCAGAACGAGTTCGGCGGCAATAGAAGCCCAAGAACCACATGAAGCAAACACCATTAAGAATAAGTCCCCAGCCATACAAACGAACACCGCCTTCAACACGTTGCGAGACACTGAGACAGCCCCGAGGGGTGGTTATAGCACCGTCAGAAAGGTTTAGTGATGCTTGGCTCGTTTAATTCGGTCGGAATACACGCCCGGAGCATCGATATCTGTCGCGGGGTTCACGGCACGCCGACGGCTGTAGTATACGTAGAGCAGATAGAAGGCATGGATATGGCCCGGGAGATAACTGAACCCAAACATTAGCACCGTTGCACAATGCCAGCAATGGCTAGGTTTTCGTGTAACACGCCAAAACAGGGATTTCCGACTCACCCGAGAATGGTCAGCAAGACATTGATCCAGAAGTCGACACCACAGCCCGCGATGAGGAATACGCCAAGAGGAGGGACTGCAGATCGTTTTTGTTAGTTTCGAAACTCGAAAAGGAGAGATATTTCCTAGAGTCAACCATGATAGAGGCATAGGCACTTACCGAACAAAGTGATAAGGATCATGCAAAGCATCGATGCCGTCGAAGCCATTTTGAATCAGGACGGCACTGGCCCGACTCGTGAATAGAAATACCGTGGTTTAAATATATAAGATCAAGTCTTAGGGTTGTTGCGAGCTAGTTTCAAGGTCCGTTTGTTAGGGTCGAACAGGGTACCCAGGAAACTGAGGATGAGAATCACGAAGAGGAGGATGAAGATATAGATGGGGACGGAGTCATCCTTGGGAGAGTTGAGGCGCTTCATGGTTATTTATACCAGGCCGGAGGCAAGATCGACGTCACGGGAAAGAGCAGATCGTTTGGACGCACAAGTAGCGACCACGCCAGACCCGCGTGTCCCTGTAGGGCTGAACCAAGGCAGAAGGTTTTCGTCGGCGGAAACCCCGTCGTCCATGACGTCATCCCGCGGCCGGGTGCCGCTTGCCTTGTCGGGCCTGGTCTGCCCGATCTGGTCTAGTCTGTGGCGCCACAGTGAAACCCGGGGTAAATGGAGACATGCGCGCTGATTGGAGGGGAGATGTGGCTGAGGAATGGTGGCCATGATGCAGATGGGAGGCAGTAAATTAGTGGCTCGAGGACTCCCCTCTTTATATATCCTCAGATCGGAGGATCCTTCACACGGCATCGATCGATGCTCTCGTCGTCACCTGCTCGTTCTTGTTGCCGAGCTTCGAAATCTGCAGGAATGCGTCCACGCCGTATCCTTCTAGGCTGTGCAACTCGAGGCTCCCGGCCCAGTATTCGGCATACACCCGACTCATAGGGAGCCCCATGCCTAGTCGGAGATTAGGTGGCCGCGAGGTGAGCGTATCAAGCGAGCCTTCGCGGAATGTTTCTTTGTCGGCCCGCTTCCTTTCCTTGGGCACCGTCAGCTCTTGCATGGTGGCGGCCATGGCCGGCACTTGTCCCAGATTTTGGAGCCGGTCATTGCTGTGAGGGCCTTTGTTGAATGACCAGAGGTAGGGAAGAATCTCTCGAGGAATCCCCCCGCCCTGGTCAGATATCCGCATGATGACATGCTGCGGCGCTTCGCAGATGAGCACGTCAATCGGGGGCGGGGGCTGCGACGATCCGTGGTATTTTTCGCCGACGGCCTGCATTGAGTTTCGCAGTAGCTCACCGATGATGTATTCCAAATGGCTCAGCATGTATGGGAAGGTGGCATCCAAGTGTCCCTGCACGTTGATCTCGGGAATTTTATCCGACTCGGAATCCTGTCGCATGGTATCCTGCGCCAGCTTCCCGCAGCGCTCGATCACCTCTTTCGCGTTGCATTTCAGGAACACCTCTCCGACAAAATCAGCGTTCGCGTCGCTGCGATCCTGCGAGTGGGGGAAGTGCCAGGGAGAGTTGAAGGTTTCCGTTAATGCCAAGTGTTGCTCGGCGATGACGCGGCGCGAGATACGCTAGAAATAGACCAAGGGACAAAACCGTCAGCTTTCCACATCATACTTCGTAGGGGACTGAGTTGGTGGCCATACCGCGCGCAGGAGAGTATTCATAAATAAATCCATGATATCGGGGGGCAACAGGTCCCGACACTCCAAGACCCCCATGGCCAACTTGGGAATCACAACGAGGTGTTCCTTCAAGGTCTTTCGAAGTATATCGCAAAATCTTTCATTGTCTTCCAGGGTCTTTATCTCGGGGATTCGCCGGAATCGCTCAAACGCTTTATAGTAGAGTTCATATACAAGGGAGAGGTGATGGTTCGCGACCACCACGTAGGGTAGTTTCTGGATATCGCGCAGCCGGTGGGCTAGTCTAGACGGCGCACACAAGATAGCACGGTTAGCGATTGATGGCTCGAGTCCTCTAGATCCCACGCTAACCTAGTTGGAAGCTCCGTCCGCACATAATTCGCAGAGCTTATCAGTCGGGGTTCCGTCAGGGTTCGTCCGAAAAAGGTCAGCTGCCGTAAACTGATCGGTCGGATATCGCGTTCCACCCATCTATAGAAGATGGCATTAGCTGGGATGTACTACCTAGAAGGGAGGGGGGTCATACTCATCCAAGGCGGAGACGGGCCGCCATGGTGGTGGACTGGGAGAATGCCGGGGCTGGGATGAATGCGGTCGCAGCTGAGGAGTGTTTGCGGGATGGGGATGGGGATGTCGCAGGAAGCGCCAACATCGGGCGGGTTGAGGTCGCAGCATGATGCCTTGGAGATGCGTCATGGGAGGGGAGGAAAGGAAGAAGAATCAAGGCAGATTATTTACGATTTCCGGGCGGGCAATGGCTAGTCCATACCTGGCTTACCGGCGGAGATCATCCAGGCGGGTCCCGGTGGGCATGCTAGCGGTGGCATGACATCCTTGTCGATACTTGAGGGGGTGGGTTGATTACCGGGAGAAACAGTTCTTTTGTCTGCCGAGGGAACAAGCTCCCTCGGTCACTCGGAGGGAGTAGAAGAGGGTCGAAGGGAAGTTCGATACGCTGTCGAGAGGAGGTTTGAGGCAACTCGTCTGGTCGTTTGCTTCGGCTTTCCTGCTGCTGCGGGCGGTGAGGGCCAGACATGTGACGTCTTAGGTAATGGCCTTTCTTTGAACAATAATTACTTTCCAACGGAGTACTCGGTAGACACTCGGATGGAGCAGCACGTTCCCTGCGCAGGAGGCACTGTCTACGATGCTGCAGCTCGGTCTGTAATCCTCAGGGTTGCATGACCCCAAAATTGAGCTATTGTAGATCTTCTCGGCAGAGTTCTGTCTTATCGTTCGATATTTGTGTGCACTCCGATTCCTGGTATCAAGAGAAATGAACCGCATATCACGTAGCCAATGTCAAATTCCCTGCGACCTAGAGGAGAACAGGACGGGAGAGAAGTAGAGAGAATATGGAGAGAAATGGACCTCGATGGACGCAATATTGAGAGCACCGAGAGTTGGACTGAACCGCCTGGAGCGATGCCGTCACTTAATAATAATCGTCCCGCCAGGCTTCCCCCGTTATTATTGGGCCCTCCGCCACGAAAGGTCCTTAGCTTCAGACTCTCTTTTTGACTTCGCTCGTCGTTGGCCTCGGATCGCTGCCATTTCCTCCTGCTTCTCTCTCCTGGCATCCCCCTTCCCCCCCCCATTCACTCTTTCTTTGTTTAGCGATCGCTTGCTTGCCGCCCGCGCATCGTCTGAAGGGTTGACTTTTAATTCAAAAAAATTTCCATTTCTTCACAGGGAAAAAAAAAAAAAAGAGAAGTATCTTGGGATCCGAGTGCGTGAGCGCTCTACTCTTATCCTAGATGGACAACGTTAGTTCCTTTCCTCTTTCCCCTTCCCCCCCTCCCCCTCCATCTTTCAAACAACTCCTTTGTCCTTGGCTTTGACCAAGGTCGGGTTGCCTTCGCCGCACGGGCGAAAACCCCCGAACATTGCTGACATTGCGCTCTCTGCTGTTCCCAGGTCGCGGAGAGTGAGATGCTCGTCGATGAATATGAGCAGTATCAGAATGACCGAACGGACGATGTGGTCGTCTCTCGCTCCGGCTCAGACGAGCCGGAGCAAGAACCTCGTGCCGATGACTGTAAGATCCTTTCCCCCCCACGAGCGCCCTGCATCGATGCTCCCGAGCCCCCCGCGGCGGGGTCGGATCCTATTCTCGCCAGTCCTTTCTGCTGGATACTAACGTGTGCTGCGTTGGCATAGATGCGGCAATGATGGCACGAGTCCTCCCTAAGGACCCCGATCTCCAGACCGAAGACGAGGCGCATCATACTTGGCACATCCAGGATTGGCGGAAATTGAGGAAGAAGGAACACGGTCCGGTATTCGAATGTGCAGGAGTCCCCTGGTTGGTTTATGACTTTCTCACCACTATACCGACTCCCGTGGCGTGGTTCTGACAATCGGCGGTCCTCTAGGCGAATTCTGTTCTTCCCCTACGGAAACCACGTCGAGCACGCATCGTTCTACTTGGAGCACGCCTGGGAAAAGGATCCTCCCGAGAACTGGTATGCCTGTGTCCAATTTGCTTTGGTCTTGTGGAACGTGAACGATCCATCCATCAAGATTTCTCATGGTATGCTTGGCGCCCTCCGCTCCAACCGAGCCCGCCTGTGCTGATTTATGGTTCAGTCGCCACCCATCGATTCAACGCGGATGAGGGTGATTGGGGATTCACCAGATTTTGCGAGTTGCGGAGGCTGTTCACGGTTCCTTGGGAGGGCCATGGGGCACCTTTGGTCCAGAACGAAGAAGCCAATGTCACCGCCTATGTTCGCGTCGTCAAGGACCCCACGGGTGTGCTGTGGCACAGCTTCCAGAAGTATGTCGGCGCAGTCATCGTTGGACCAAGAGAGTCGGGTGCTGATATGATCCCAGCTATGATTCGAAGAAGGAGACCGGAATGGTCGGACTCAAGAACCAGGGTGCCACTTGCTATCTTAACTCCCTCCTCCAGTCCTTGTACTTTACCAATTCCTTCCGGAAGGTATGTTTTCTTTCAACCGCTCGAGGACATTCGCAGGATAATAACCATCCCGCAGGCGGTTTACCAGATTCCGACGGAGGCCGAAGCCTCCAGGGACAACAGCGCGTGGACCCTCCAGCGACTTTTCTATAACCTGCAGACGAACGAAAGCTCGGTGTCGACCACCGAACTTACCGCATCCTTTGGTTGGGAGTCGAGGCAGATCTTCGAGCAGCAGGATGTCCAGGAGCTCTCGCGGAAGCTCATGGAACGGCTGGAAGAGAAAATGAAAGGCACGCCGGCGGAGAAAGCCCTCCCCGAACTTTTCGTCGGAAAAACAAAAACCTACATCTCCTGCATAAACGTCGACTACGAATCATCCCGCGTCGAAGACTTCTGGGATATCCAGCTGAACGTGCGAGGAAACAAGACTCTTGATGACAGCTTCAAGGATTACATCCAGGTGGAGACTCTCGAGGGTGAGAACAAATACGACGCCGGCCAGCCGTACGGCCTGCAAGATGCTAAGAAGGGTGTTATCTTTGAGAGCTTCCCTCCCGTCCTGCATCTCCACCTGAAGCGATTTGAGTACGACATTAACCGTGATGCCATGATGAAAATTAACGACCGCCACGCTTTCCCGATGGAATTTGACGCCACCCCTTACCTTTCCAACGACGCCGACAAATCGGAATCGTGGGTGTACCAGCTGCACGGCGTTTTGGTGCACAGTGGTGACTTGAACGCCGGCCACTACTATGCTTTCTTGAAACCCACAAAGGACGGGCACTGGTACCGCTTCGATGACGATCGAGTTACTCGGGCTACGGACAAGGAGGTGCTCGAGGAGAACTACGGTGGTGAATACGAACTGACCAACGGCGCCCCTGGCGTTCGGCAGCCTTACACCCGTGGTTTGTCCACGAAGCGCTCGATGAATGCTTACATGTTGGTCTATGTCCGGAAAACGAGATTGGACGACGTCCTTTTGCCGATCACGACGGAAGAGATTCCCTCTCACATCGGTAAGTTGTACAGATGCCTCGCGTGGGCTTTGCCAATTGCTGACCCAAAACTCCTCCAGAGGACCGATTGATTGAGGAACGCGCAGACATGGCACGCAGGAGGAAGGAAAGAGAAGAGGCGCACTTGTACATCAATGTCGGAGTCATGTCGGAAGAATGCTTCCAGGCTCACCACGGGTTCGACTTAACCAGCAATGATTTGCCCAATGACGACCCAGCACTGCCGGATCAATACCGAATTCTTCGTTCTAAGAAGGTCGGCGAATTTGCCGAGGAGCTCGCAGCCGAGAAGGGCCTCGATGCTAGCCGGATTCGCTTCTGGGTCATGGTCAATCGCCAGAACAAGACCACTCGTCCGGATCAAGTCATCAAGGACCCTGAGATGACTGTCGAAGACGCCTATGGCCGGTTCGGAACGAAAGGCAACCCCTTCAAACTCTGGATGGAGGTCGGTCAGCCGTCTGCGGATGGAACCATGACGTGGCCGGACAGCAACAACACGGTGCTTATCTTCCTGAAGCACTTCGACGCTCCGTCGCAGACATTGACTGGTCTCTGCTCCGTCTACGTGCGCAGGTCGCAGAAGGTGGCGGAATTGGCGCCCACCATCCTGGAGAAGATGAACTGGCCGGCTGGCACAGAGTTCATGTTGTTCGAGGAGATCAAGCACAATATGATCGACGTCATGAAACCCAAGCAGACATTCCAGCAGTCCGAGATCCAGGATGGTGATATTATTACCTTCCAAAGATCCCTGAAAGAGTCCGAATTGCCCCCGTCCGCATTGTACACCGATGCCCGGCAATACTATGACTATCTTCTTAACCGGATCAGCATCACTTTCGCACCCATCAAGGCAGCCGATGGTGATGAGTTCGTACTGACTCTTAGTCGCAAAATGACATATGATCAGTTCTCCCAGAAGGTCGGCGAACACTTGGGCGTGGAGTCCACGCATCTGCGCTTTGCCCCTGTCCTCGCCAGCTCTGGCAAGCCCAAGGCATTCATCAAGCGCAATTCCAACCAGGCCAATCAGACCTTGTACCAGATCCTCAGCGGGCAGATCACCGGCTACGGATACACAATGCACCGTCAGGATGCACTCTATTACGAAGTTTTGGAGACTAGCCTGAGCGATTTTGAATCTAAGGCTAGCCTGAAAGTAACATGGCTCCCTGAGGGCATCACAAAAGAGGTGCGTTTGAATGGCTGCTTAGTACACTAAGGATGCTAACCAACGAAACAGCAAGTTTTCGAGGTCCTGGTACCTCGAGACGGCACCATGTCTGATCTCCTGGCCGGGTTGCAGAAAAAGGCCGGCTTTGATGACGAGACTATTCGTGATGCTCGGGTCTATGAGACGCACGGCGGTAAGATTTACCGAGAGTTCCAGGGCGACTCGAAGATCGCCGGTATCAACGAATATGTTGTGCTCTACGCCGAGCGCACACCGGAAGATGAACTCAATATGGAAGAGGGTGAGCGGACAATCAATGCGTTCAACTTCGATCGCGAACCGAGCCGGCCTCATGGAGTTCCTTTCAAATTCGTGATTCGACCAGTAAGCAACCTCCCCACTTTCCCCGTGAACGAAGGGTTTTTATCTAACATCATAAAAGGGTGAAATATTCAAGGAAACGAAGGAACGGCTTTCCAAGCGAACGGGCATCAAGGGTAAGCAGTTTGAGAAGATCAAGCTTGCCGTCGTACCTCGATCCTTATACACCAACCCGCGATATCTTGAAGATGGTAAGCGCAGCCCTATTATAGAAGGAAGTTATACACGTCGTGGAATTAGACTAACATAGTCTCTCGCAGATGACATACTTTCTGACATCGTCGGTGATTCCGACGACCTTCTTGGTCTCGACCATGTAAATAAGAATCGGAGCTTTTGGAACCGAAGCGAATCGTTTTTCATCCGATAGAGGCAGGGCATCATGATTTCTTTTACTCTCTTATTTCTTTCCTCTCCTGGTGCCTGCCCTTGTGCTTTGTTACAAGGGATGTCCTCTTGACGTTGTGTATGTGATGGATCGAGCAGGACATAGTGCGTTTAAACTGCACCGGCGATTTTCTTGCCTATGAAGAACAATATAAACCTGGGCGATTGCTGTTCAATCTGTGTACTTTTTTTTTCTTTTTGTCTTGATTGTTGTTTAATGTTCCTGGAATGGATCTTGTGGATGGCCAAGAGGTGCACGAGGAGGAGTGTTCTGGAGATTTCGGAGGATAAGGAAAAGCACAATGAACGTGATGACTACCATTCTATACTCCGCATAAGCATTATTACCTAAGGGAATAACCAGCCAATTGTTGGCCTGAAAATGGCTTAAAAGGGCAGTTTATTTGCCCGACCCGCCCGGGTTGCAAACGTGGCAAACAGAGCCCGGAACACACAGCTGTCCAGAACTTCAACTTCGAGGCGCGTTTCATCCCAGCCGTTCCCCCTGGAGAGTTCCCCCAATTAACCCGCCGACTCTCCATACTCGATCATCATGCGTTTCGCAGCTCTGGTCATCGGCATTCTGGCCGCGCTGGTGTCGTCCGTGACTGCCACCGCGCTCACCTACCGTCTCGAGGCAAATGAGAAGGCCTGTTTCTACAACTACGTCGACGAGAGGAACACCAAGGTCGCTTTCTACTTTGCCGTGAGTGCCCCTGGAGGAGTCGGAATATTTTTTTGCTACGCGGTGAATTGCAACAGGAGCTAACTTTCCCCGCGAAGGTCCAATCTGGCGGTTCTTTTGATGTCGATTACTCCGTTGTCGGTCCCGGTGATAAGGTGGTCTTGGATGGGACGAAGGAACGACAAGGCGACTTCGTTTTCACGGCTCAGAGCGTGGGAGAATACCGGTTCTGTTTCAACAATGAGATGTCGACGTTTGCGGAGAAGTTGGTAGACTTTGAGATCGCGGTATGTTGGACTGCCATGACAGCATGCGAGCAAAACCGGTTATTGCGAGGACTTATGGTTAACGGTTCTTTTTCTTCCCTGCTGGCTAGATCGAGAACGAAGAACGCGCGCAGCTCCCTTCCCGACAGGGTGCTACCCCCGAACAGGCATCTGCTCTTGAGGAGTCCATCTTCAAGCTGTCCGCCCAGCTGTCGACTATTTCCCGCAACCAAAAATACTTCCGCACCCGTGAAAACCGCAACTTCAGCACCGTTCGTAGCACCGAACGCCGGATCTTCAACTTCAGCGTAATTGAGGGCTTGATGATGGTGTCGATGGCGGGCTTGCAAGTCTTCGTTGTGCGCTTCTTCTTCCAGGGCGCAAGGAAAGGTACGTACCCCCGTAGAGCCGGTTGCTGGCATTTGCCTCGTCGTCAACACCCGGTCCCCCAATGTATTTATGGCAGGTTCTGATTGTTTTGCAGGTTACGTGTGATGAGTGAGCATGAATTTTGATCTATGTATCTTCCCCCTTTGAATTGTGGCGTCTATTGTATCTACATCCCATTATAAGCCTTAGAATGTTTCATCTTATTGAAGCAGGTGAATTGAGACGACTTGGACTGTGTCCTGGAATGCATCACCCAGTCCGTTTTATTTCCTGAATGGCTTTGATCCCCAAGTGAACACAACATGCCATCTGCCCTGTTCACAAGGTTTACGTCATCATTACAGGTCCCCGAATCAACCAACCTGTTGGACGAGCAAACTAGTGCTCTAGCGGAACCTCCTTAGGACTAAAGCGGCAGGATCAAGGGTCTACCAGACAGACAGACGAGCGTTGAGCGGGCCTTACCGGTAGGGAACAGGTAAGGAGAGCCCTCATGATGAAAGGCTTGACAGAATTTGCCGTACCAACGTCACTTCGTACCAGCATCACCCTACGGGCAAGGGGAGGTGGTAGTTCTAGAAGCCGGAGACTGTCCTGTATAGCCTGACAGTGGCGATCAGAACTGGCGAAGCACATAGCGGTCGATGATGAAACATTTCGGTCAAATCCGACCGCAAAGTGGCTGTCTCAAGCCCTGTCTTGTTTGACGTCCGATGATGTATCCGATTGCAGGGGGCTGGTTACACGTATATACCGGTTTTTGGTCGAGGGCTTGGAGTTCCAACTCATAAGAAATCAGCATGACGTGTGAAGATGCATACAATGGACAGTCACCGAGAGGAATGATACTGTGGCAGATGTCTTGAGGGAGATCTGTCGCATCCTTTGCTATGACTCCACACGCCTCTGGTGGCAGAACAGAGCATCAGAGGTTGGTGCAGTTCTGTTTACTTTTGTACGGTGCGGTGATATCATCCGAGAGGCGAGGCGACCGCCAGACCTGTTGCTCCCCAACGCATTGTCGCAAACATTGCGGCTCGCTACCTTGTGTGGAGAAAGCTACGACGAAATGCATTGACAGTGCATGGTGCATCTCCCTTCCACAATCAGATTGGCATAAAAATGGGCAGAAGACAGCAGCTGACCAACGGGTCTGTAGGTATGATATAACCGAGCTCACTTCAAACGGTTCATTTCTCCACCACTGACTTAATTCAGCGTTTGCCCTTGCGAAGATCCACCGAAAACCTCTGCTACCGCGCTGATGTCTGTGATCAGACCACGGGAATCTAGAACGAGAAGGATTGGGCCCCGAGATGGTCCATTTCTTCTGCCCTTTACGTCGTGGCTCTGATAGGGCAACGGGGCTGATCCTATCCTCTCTCGTGCAGTTGTCTCATGTACATTCCCTTTGCCAGCTGCGTTGCGAGTCGGAGAGACCTACTGCTAGCGGCATAGGATGATGCACACTAGAGACTAGGTTATGGAAGAAGTTTTTTCGTCTCTCGCAATTCCTTGGCCCATTTCCCTCTTGGGAACGGGCACGACGAATATCCTCTTCTATTTGATTTAATTCCATTTGATATTTTATTATTCCTTTATTTTTATTGATCATCCCTGCCTCTGTTTCTGCTTTGAGACCGAGCAATCACTCCGGAGGCGGTCTTTTTTTTTTCTTTTCTTTTTTTCTTTTTTATTATTCTCCCTCCCACAGTACCGAGGGCTAATCCACCCTTGTGTGGCAAATATTGAGCGCTGATCAGGATAATAAAGCTACGGTTCATTGGTTCTGGATGCGGGAGTGGAGGAGTCGAGCATGAGGTCCAACCAGTGAGTAGCGGCGACGTGATTCCCTAGGGTCGGTTGTTTGATGCGGCGGGTCAGGAAGAGCGGTCGAAAAGTGCAAAGACGTGGTTCAACGAAGCCCTAGAGGATAAGGTCGGCAATTAAAGGACGCAAGGGAAGAGAAAAGGAGGAAGGGCGAACGTTCGGAAGAGTGTTCCGTCTAGGCTTGGGATTTTATGGGACCGAACAAGGGCGACGTGGAGCATCCGGGTGGATGGATGGGTCTGGATGCATATGTATTCCGAAGGATCTGATGATTTGGGATTGGGATGGCAAGGGCAATGATTGGGACCGAAGCATCTCATCCCAGGGGGGTTTTTTGGACGAAGGAAGAGAGAGGATGGCAGTAACACCGGAAGAAGAAGAAAGAGCGAGCACGGAGAAGGAAACGCCGCCTGACGTCACTGCCAAACCTCAGGCACCCAGGCCGCTTTCTTTTTTCTTTTTCTTTTCTTTTTCTGTTACTTTCGGTCTTTCTCTCCCATCCATGGTTCGTCCATCCACAGCAATGGACTCGTGGTCTTCCAACCACATGCATCATTCTCCATCATCATCTCATCTCATCGCTCGCTGGGCATTCCAAATCGGTCTCAGATGTTCGGTTGACCTGGCCCTAGGGGTTTTCTTTTTTGTTTCCTTCTTCCTTTCTGTCTGTCTTTTTTGGCTTTGGCTTTGGATTTTCATATTTTGGTCTCTAGATCTCGATAGTCGAAATCTAATTTGGCGTTCGATTTTAATTTATTTTCATTGACCCATTTTAATGACATGCTTTTCCATTTCCTCTTCCCTCATGAGGTCTGACGGGCTCGAGATGACGGAGTCTGCATACCGGACTAATGGCTTTAGCCTCGCGTTAGACCCGTTTATGACATATCACCCTCCCAGGGCTCCGCTTCGGCTTCTATGGTTCGTCCATCGCAGCTGGTGGCTGCGCGAAGTAACTGCAGCTCTAAATTTCTCCACGGACCACCCCTTCACATTTTACATCACACACACTCCCAGACACCACTCCCAGACACTCGATTCTCTGCTAGCAGAGCGGCCAGAGTGGCCTCTGCTCCTCCCTCCCGACTTCGTATCGCGTCGATCTGCAGGGACGGATTGGTCGTCGGAACTTCATCGATCGGCAACTACCGTGACCTCATTTCTTTGCTGGTGGTAGGGGTGGGACCATGGGCCATCTGGGGGATACCAGCGGCCTAGGAGCTTGTGGGGCCCGGTGATTTCAGATCGTTCGCTGATGTCGGCTGGGTGGCTCCAGTCGACACACAGACAAGGGGAGCCTAGGAGGGCTCTGGGGCGAGGATTGTTAGGGCCTTATGAATGACCCCCCAAAGACCGACAGAAGCTCTCCCCTCTCGAGAGGCGCAATGACGTCATCTCCCCCTGGGACTGCAGGAGGCATGACGCTACCGATGGGGCATGGGCGTGCCCTTTTGGTGTCATGGTGGTCGACGACATTTCCTTACTGACTCGCTCGTTCCTCTGTGAGGTAATTGGTTGGCCCTTGTGATCTCATATCAGACCCGACTAACTATTCTCCACGGATCTCCTCTTCGAACTGGGGCATCCCTCAGTTTATTTGAACCCCTGGTCTCGTCGTCGGCCTAAACAGTCTTCTCCCTCCCATTATCTCTTAGCACTCACTACCGATCTTCTCAACCTGACCCTAGTTTCGAATACCCACGCCCCTTTCAACATTTCAACTCAACCCTTAACACTGTCCTGGTGGCTAGTTTTCGTTTTGATTTTCTCCCCTGTCTATTACCCTTTCGAGATTCTATAACTCTCTCTGTGGAAAGGTGAGCCTGCGGAACATTTTGCCCTCCCTTGTCGGAAGGGATCTCTTTCCCTGCCTTTGACCCACGGTTGAAAGCCCGCTCCGGACGACAACTTGAACCTTGCGCCGACAGTAGTCAACCCTTGCCGACTGGGACTTGAATACGTACGCCCTTGTATCAGAACGCACGACTCTGTCATGACGAAGACATCCCGTGATCTTCGTCTTGTGACGACCGACCATCCAGCGATGTGGAATGATTTTCCGCTGACAAAGAGCATTGTGCAGGAGCTTCAATCATGTCTGAATTCATGGATCAGTCGACCAAGGGCACCCAGCCCATGTTCCCAACGGGCAGCGAGGATTACCGTCCTTCTGCCGAGCCTCACATCAACACGTCTCGGGCTTTGGACCCTCACACCTCCATTGAAGACTACAGCCGGGTGATGCTACAGTATACTCAGAACCGGATGTCTGGTTTCGCTCGCCTGGACGATGACAAGGGGTCGTCCGGGAGTCGCAGTGGCAGCGACACTGGAAACGAAAGCGGCGACTCTGCCAGTGGCGTGCTGGCACGTCAAGCCGATGGCCGCAACTCCACCGCTCGTTCTAGCAGCGCCTCCCTTAGCAACCCCCCTCTCAGCAATGGAGAGAAACTCAACTCAATCAAGGACCAACCCTAGACGTCCTTAAGGGAGGGTGTCGCCCTAGCTTGAGTTAATCTGGGAGCTTGCGAGGCCCGAACATTTCGGATCCTCCTTCCCAGGTTCAACCAACAGGCAGACATCCGTGAGGTCGTTGGCAACATCTTGGCACAACTATTGTGCAGCCAGATGTTGGTGACGAATGCAGGAGACACGACGCTATGGTTGTCTCTAGGCGTTTGATGAGGTTCAACAGAAAGAGGTCTGATTTGCTTTTTTTATACATGCGATGGTGGAGCGATGTCTCCAGACGATCAGCGGATTCGATTCTTTTCAGAGTCCTGGTGAAATTCTCTCAATCGACTGGAGATTCCTTGTTGACATTAGCCCCCAGCTTTTGACACTTTTCCTTTCTTTTTTCAGCATTGGTGCCCTTGGGAACGGATCTCCAAAAGATTCTAGATCCTGACAGAAACGCGCTTTTGGTCATGTCTCCATCGGTCACTAGCAAGTCGATGTCTACTCAAGATAGATTGCTTTTTTGGCCGTCGTTTACACATCGGTGTGTCTCTCCTTTTGATCGACGTCGTTTTTGATGCGGTGGCTGGCCCTTGCCCTTGCACTGGTCGGTCAGTGGCCATCCTTTTGCATGGTCATTTCACCCCCTTTGGACTTTGATTGTAGCTGTTCGTTATTCTAGTTCGGCAGCCATCAATCAATTCCTACAACGCCATCCAGTTCCCCTTTGAGTGTGCACTACACCCCTTTCTCGTGTATCATATATGTGTGCAGGACACTCACGTGTAACATTTGTGTGCTTAGCGACAGCGATCTTGATTTTTAGTTTTTCTTGGGATTTTGTTACGGGAAATTCATGTTTGGTCAGCATCAAGGTCAGAGTTCACTTCTCTGTTCTCAAAATTGGATGCAAAGGTGTACGATCTATGTGTGAGCCTGGAATGAACCCAGGCATTTTGTTTTTATATGGCCTTGATACCTGAATCAAACCATTTGGAATCATTTCAATCTTGGAACCCCTCAATGTTCTTTTCTTCTTAGTCGGATCCCTTGCATCCGCCAGGATCGTTGTCCAACTTAGCCATAGGCCGTTTCTGTCCAAGGGATGAAGCCACAAGGATAAGCTGCCGAATACATCCAAGCTGACTGACACGCGCAGGAGATGATGCATGGTACTGTACAAGTTGCATGTGCTCCCTTCGCCCTCATTGGCTCATTTGCCATGGCAAGGGCATGACAACCACATTCCAGCTATCTTGATTCACATTCCACAACGCTCCTGGTCTGTCAGAAAGCGCGCCTATTTATTCACCCCTTGTGCCAGCCGCATGGATTAATGAAGAGGCAGAAAGGGAACAAGGACCGTTCAAAGGGGAAGTAGGACTTTTGAGCTCCTTTCTTGACGCTGATTCCTTCCTTTCTACATTAACCTATACTGGAGTATCTGTCCATCTTCTGTTTCCTCTCAATATTTCCCACGCTTCCTCCTGCATAATCTAATTTTCTAACCGGCCTCAGGTTTTTAATTACATGAGAGACAAGAAGATGCATCCGCCAACGCTGCTTTCGCTTTCTCTCTCTCTCCTCACAACCTCCACTATCGCAATCCCTTTCACACCACGCGCCGCCTTCGAGACAATACCCACCGATAGATCCAGCTACATTGGCGGCGACGAGGTTCTGGGCTCTTTGATCACACAATCCGCAAAGGAATCAAGTAACCTGAACACCTGCCCGCCTTCGCATCCGACCAAGCAATGCTGCATGTCGATTACGGCACTGGCAAATGATGTCACTTCAGAAATCGGGGAGGTTGTGCCGTTGTTGAGTGAAGTTAAGCTATCGTCGCTGATAAGTTTGGAGTGTAAGTGTCTTCCCCTATTCCCTATCCCCTTACCTGCTTTCTTTCCCTTCTCTTGGATGATCAGGTTTGTGTATGTCGAACTGACAGCGATGATGAAACAGGTCGTCCGATGGACGCTGATGGACCCAACGAAGCGTGCCTGAATGATGTGATGTGTTGTACTGGAAATACAGGGGCAGGTTCCTCCCTTCTTCCCTATCTTGGGAGCTATATCGATCCCTTGTGGCGTTATCAGAACAAACTAACATCATACAGTCTAAACCCTCACTCATGAAAACGTGCAAATCCTGGGACGATGCCATCGACGCCAAGAAGAAGGCCCTGGACAGTAATATCAATAGGCAGATCGAGCAGATGATGAGCAAGAATGGTACTAGTAGTACCTCTGCAACTGTCGCTGCGTCAAGCACCACAGCACCGAGTCCCTCCGCTGTGAGTGTAGCTAAAAAGCATGGAGAGATGATACACAAGTCTGTGTCTTCATCTGCGACTCCATCTATCTCTGCCGCTGTTTCGTCATCGGAATCGAAATCTGAATCGGCTTCTACTTCTGACTCTGATCCGAGTTCTACTTCTGCGCCTGAACCTCCATCCGTGCCAACCACCCTTTCTAAGACTCTATCTTCAACTTCGGATTCCTTGCCTCTGCCTTTGAGCCCTGAGTCTTCGACTGCGCTTGTGTCTACGGCTCAGTCTGAACCGACCCAATCGTCGGAAGCTTCAGACCCAGCTTCAAGCTCTGAAACCTCGTCTGTGTCTGCGCCTGCTACACCCTCAGCTTCATCAACTGCGAATGCAGCCAAAGAAAACGAAAAGAATGCCGATGGCCCTGTGCCTACTGACTCGATTTCTACCACGATGTCGGAGTCTCGGAAACAGAGTACTGATGAATCTGCTCCTGCTTCGACTACGGCTACAACCATGTCTCGCAAGCAGAAGACTGACATGCCTGCTTCTCCTTCGACCTCGTCGGCAACCACGGAGTCTCAAAATGATGAATCCTCTTCCTCGGCCACAGCTACGACGATGTCTCACAAGCAGGAGCCTGACGTGTCTGCTCCTACGTCGACCTCACCGTCTACTACGGCGCCTCAGAAGCAGAAAAACGACAAATTATATCCCGCTTCGACTACAGCTACCACAATGTCTCGCAAGCAGAAGACTGACATGCCGGTAAGCACGGAGTCTCAGAATGATGAACCTCCTTCCTCGACCACGGCTTCAACGGTATCTCCGAAGCAGAAGCCCGACGTCTCCGCTTCAACTTCCTCTTCTTCTGTCTCCACGACAACAACAGCTACTACTTCGGCCACGGGCCACTAATTCCCCTTTTCTGCGTGATTTCTGCTTTTTCTCGCTTGGTTGAATCCTGACATGTATTGAGTGAATGTATGTATGTTTGTATGTATGTATGTAAAAGGCTGAAGAACGGAGATGGGATTGATTGAAGGCGACGGACGCGCTTTTTGTGATGGTATATGTGGTTTTGTATTTATTTTTCGATCTGTCGCTCTGGCTGGCGTCCTGCGAGTTTGGCTTCCTCCCTTGCCCCTCGTGTCTGGATTTTGTTTTATTGTTCCTGAATACCTTATTTATATGACTGAATGGAATTATTAATATCGTGATGATCATACACATTGTAACACAGATAGTGGATTCTAGTATCATTCTTTGTTTATTTCGTTGAGTTATAATACATACATACATGCAACCAACCATCCATTCTTGTTCAAGACGGTTACATCTACCTCCATCGCCCCGGAGGGTATCCGTACTGCCCTTGTCCTTGTCCCGGGCCCTGTCCCTGTCCCTGTCCTTGGCCGCCCGAATGGGGAGGAGGGAAGTGATATGACCCCGGAGGCATTTGCTGCGAAGGGCCTAATCCTGGACCGCGGTGCATAGACGGGTATTGCCCGCCCTGCGCCTGGTATGGCGGAGGGAAGTGCGACGTGTTCATGCCGGGTGCGGGTCCGCAATTCTGCATCGAAGGAGGTGGTGGAGGAGGCCAGGACCCCTGATAGTTTTGCGGAGGCGGAGGAGGTGGAACGCCCTGAGGAAACATCCCGGGCGGCGGGAAGGGAGGCCCGCCCGGCGGACCGCCTGCGAAGTGCATGGGATAATGAGGTGGGGGTGGAGGTGGATGGTGCTGGTGATGAGGAGGATATGCGGGCGCGGGAGGTGCGTGGCCGGGGCCATATGGATTGGGAGGAGGATGGTGGGTCGGGGGATGAGCGCGCGGAGGGGAGGGCCTCCGTGGGGAATAGGATTGGGACGGCCGCGATCGAGATCGAGACCGCGAGTCGTACTTTCGACCGGAGGCTCTGCGAGGTGGAGTTTGACTGCGCGACCGGGACCGACTCGATCGGCTGTCGTCGCTTGCCACGCTATTGCTATATCGCCTCCTTTTCCGAGGAGTCAGGCTGCGGCTGCGGCTGCGGCTCCGGGAACTGGCTCTCACATTCCTCTTCTTCATTTGCTGGCAGAAGGAACGAGACCACCCATAATAGGTTTCGCCGTCAAGGACATCGCCAGATTTGTCCTCTCGGATTACGACCTCGCCCAGATCGTCGATGTCGACCATCTCACCATCCTGCGGCTCGGGCTGGGTGGACTCGTAGATCCGGTCAACATCCTTTAGAAATGCCTTGACTGCCGTTACCAGCTTCTGGTCTGCCGGCCCCGCCAGAAACTGCAGGGGCTTGACCGTATCGGGGCGCAGAGGAATGGTCGAATTCGGGATAATGTGAGGAATGAGATTCCCAGCCGGGAGGTCATAGAAAGGGGTCGAAGGATCTCCGTGGGTCGCTGGCATCACAAACGGCACATCCTTTCCGGAGGGCTTATTTGTCGCATCCAGATTGCTCGTCTCGACGTCAATCGACGCTTTGACGGGGCCCGACAAGGCCGAGGTCTTGACAACCTCGCGCAGCTTGCCGACATAATCGCTGCCGTAGTATTCGTTGGCCTCCCAGATGTCCAGTAGATCGTCCAGTCGTCGATGGTGTTTCGGGTTCTTTTCTCGGTCGTAGGAGGCGGCGTAGCCCAGCAACTCCACGATGTACGGCTGCAGCGAGCCGCTGACGGTGGAGAAGGCGGCCCTCGATCCCATGTGATATTTGGTGTGGTGGAAGACGTCATTCAGCAGGTACATGATATGCAGGCGTTTTCGCTTGGCCGACGTCGCAGGAGCACCCTCTTCCGCGGCGAACGAGCCGGACAAGGCAGCGAGGTACTTGGCCCAAACTCCCACCCGGTTGGATGAGGAGACGACATGGCGGAGCAGCCATGATTTACAGGCCTAGTGCATGCCGGGCACGATGATTTAGTATGACACGGATTTCGACAGTCAAGGACTCGACGGATCATCAAACCTGGATGTTTGCTGACGAGCAATGGGATAGCGCCCGGTCGAGTGCAGAGTGAAACGCGGTGATGTCGTCGCGCGGCACCGACGTGGGGTCGGGGCGTAGCAGCCCGGCCGAAAGGGAGGCCTTTGCAATGGCCAGTTGATGCGAAGCCATTGCGAGGGCGCCTGGAGAGCAACGGAGAGGAGGGGATGGTGGCAGGACAAAAGATGCCTTGCAGCTGCTCGCGGAGACCGACGGCGGCGGTCTCCCACGTGACCCGTCTGGCCCGTCAGCGGAGCGGGTCAGGTGACTCCGGACCAGCAATCGCTGAGTCGATTCAAGCCAATGCGTCTGATTTACATGTCGACAGGATACGTAGGTCTCTGTCCATTTCTACACCATCACCCCTTTGCGTTGGTGGGAACCGGAAGGAATACACCACCGATATCTACTAGGATCGGAAAGTCGGAGTGCAACGTCGGTCTAGGATTTAATATAAACGAAGTACTATCGTACAGGCTATATACATGAAAGGCATGGATCAAAAAGAATGGAGCAAGAGCGTCAAAGAGTGTAAGAAGCAGACAGTACCAACAAAACGAAGGCAATTAGTTGAAAGATTGATACAGACGCACATCGGAACGCATTAGTACGGGGGTCATCCCGGGCCCTGAGCGGCGCCAGAGGCTTCCAATTAAGAATAAAAAGAAGTCGTCATGGTCCCAAGACGCTCGGCCCTTAGAAGTGGCCGCCGTGGCGACGGTGACGGCGCTGGTGGTCACGCAGGTGGAGGTTGGGAGCAGCAGCCGACGGGCTAGGGGTGGCGACCGGAGTGCTAGGGTTCACGGCCGAGGTGACAGAGGTCGCCACGGGGGGAACGACGGGCTGCGAGGACGGGGCAGACGGGGAGGGGACGGCCACCGACGAGGTCGTGGCCACGGCGGAAGACGAGGCGACCTCGGTGGAGGAAGAAGCCGCGGCCGTCGTCGAGGTCGGGGCGGCCGTGGTGGTCTCATCCGCAAGCGTGGGACCGAAGGGGAAGCACTTGTCATCGAGCGGAGCGTTGTATTCCTGTCGAAGCAGTGAGATGGGGGTCCTTCAGAGTGGATTCGAAATTGACAAACTTACAGCGATGGTCGCCTCGGCAATGGGGTTCTGGGCATCGTCGGACTTGGCCAGGGCAGCATTCAAGCTGACACCGGCCGAGGGAGAGAAGGTCACGCCAAACATGTGCTTGTCCTCGTCATCATCGCAAACACCATCGGTGGCTGTCCCGGATCTCGTTAGCATGGCCAGAAACACGAAAACAAGGAGCGTGGATCAAAGGGGACACTTACATTCAGCCAGGCTAAGGGTGGCCGAAACGGAAGGCTTCAGGTTGAGGCCGGCTTCCCATCCCTTGCCGAGAACCGAGATGGAGAGCTGAGCAGACGCCTTGGCGTAGACCTCGGCGGTGGCTTCGATCTGAGCATCGACCGACAAAGGCAGAGGAGAGACGCTAGGAGTCCAGCCGTCGGAGGTCACATCGGCCTCCAGGATGTCAATGTCAAGCGAAGCCGAGTCGTCGATGTCAAGGGCCACACCGGCGGAAACGGTGGCCTCTCCGGCAACTTCACTAAGGCTGTAACCAAGACTGAAGACGATCTGGGGGCCGATATCGACAAGCTTCTTGATGGAAATACCGCCGATGGGGATGGTGGCCACATCGAACTCATCGCCCATCTCCTCGGTGAAGTTACCGCCGATTCCGAGGGAGGGCTTGATGTCAAGGCCAACACCGTTGGGCTTCATGGAGAAGGAGGCGCCCGTGGGGATTTTCATCACGGTCTTGACATGGAAGCCGAAATCAAAGGATCCGCGGGATTTACACGAGTCACAGCCCAAGGTGACGTGAAAGTCCTTGCCGGGGACGGGGATCTCCTTGGTGAAATCGATGTCGTGATTGAAATCGACGTTGAACTCCTTGTCCGAGTCACGCTTCTCAATACCGGATCCCTTGTGATCGTTGTAGTTGCCAATGGTGAGTTCGTAGTTCTCGAAAACGTCCTTCCACTCCGAGGCCTCGCCGGTCAACTTGGCAGTCTGGGTGTTCTCGTCGAAGTGGATCTTGGAAACCTTGAAGGGCATCCGCTGCTTGTTCCATCCGCAGTGTTCACGACCGGCAATGACGATCAGGGTCCGGTTCTCGTCTCCGTTGATCCAGTCCCAGGCCTTCCGCGAGCGGGCGAAAGACTGGGGGTTGATGTAGTCAACCGCCAAGCTGGTCTGAGTGCAGTTCACGGTGCGCAGCTTATTCCGGAACTTCTCGGTGTTGATAATGCTGACCTTCTCATCCCCCGCGTCGACGGTGAACTTGGCCAGCGATGTTTTACCATCGGCGCTAGCTGTACGGGCAACGCTGTCAGTGGACGAAACAAGCCGATGGGAGAGGGACTGGAGCCAACGGCAAACTTACCACCCCAGTAGAGGGAGTCGGACTGCAAACGATCGAAACCTTCGAAGGGCAGGTTCTCGCCGCGCGCGGCGACGTCAGAATAGGGCGGGTCGATTTCCACCAGCTCCAACGACAAAACAGGCTGAGCAATCAAAGAGAGTAAAAGGCCGGAGGTCAGCCATGACCGAGAAAAGTTCACCATCTTGAAATGAATGGAAGCCAAGTTCTTCAACCAGGAAGAGTGATGGGCCGGTTCTAGAAAAGAGTGGATAGAGGTGAACCTCTTGCGTGCTGTAGTGTTGGGCTAAACATCATTTCTTGGGCGATTGAGGATCTATTTAACATAAACCTCGTAGGGCCATAGCCTCGTCGGTCATCGAGATCGAATATGGCCCCCGACATCCAACACCAGAAGGCTTCAGGCGGCTTGGCCAATGGCCAGGATGACAGGCCGTTCCTGGTGTCTCTTAGTCCAGGAACGGCGAACTCTATGAGCCCTAAGCCTGCATCTCTCAGGGGGCTGAGATGATCCTAGCACTAAGAGACGGAATTGTTCGTGTTGTAGCGGAGACCGGTCCACTGTAACTAAGGGCAATGAGGCTCATCGTGAAACCAGCCACCGGCATGACCCTTGGTTTTGTGAGGGCTGTTTCGCCCTATGCCCCATTATCACGGACAATTCAATTTGAATTTGGGGGCACGGCGTCCTCAATCCATGCGCGATGGTGTCAAGGCTCATGAAAGTCTAACCAGGATGTATAACCCACGCTGGCTTCTAGAAGCCCGCCTGCATTCTTCCCGGCGCTTGGTCGTATTTCCAATCTCAAAAAGCGCCAGTGGATTGCTTCAGCCTTGGTAGTTGGGGGCTATGGTGTTTGAACGAGGGTTGTACCGAATCAAGAGAGTCGGCCCCCCCGAAATTCCCCATGGCTCTGCCCGGTTGTTACTTCTGACAGGCTCTCTTTCTTCTTTTTTTTTTTTTAGATTTTCTTTTGGCGCAGCAATTTGGCCCCAAAAAAAGCCCGCCGTGTTCAACCCTCCAGGAGGAACTAGCGGCACGTAGGTGCAGGTCCGCAGGGACTCGAGTAAGATGAAGTTCGTAAAGGAAATTAAGCCCACAGGGGTCAACCAGTGAGAAGAGCCAGCAGTGGGACTTTCATGAGATATTCTATCCTCTCTGGGAAAAGTCATCCTGAGCGGCATTGCACGGTGGTCCTAGTTCGAGTTAGCTAGAAAATCTCTTGCGAACAAGCTCAAAGCGCCTACTACTGGGTTATTAACCTATTGTTCCCGAAACACCCTAGGGCGGGAAACACGCCAAGCATGACCGCAGCTGTCCGAAAACATGACAGCAACCCCAGTTGGTATTATCTATATAGCTTACAGGGTCAGCTATACGAAGTGGCGCTCGACGGCCCTGTGGGAGTCTCGGCGCGTCGCAGGGCGCGGGTAGTCGCAGGGAGTCCGTCGTCAGGTCAAGGGTTGTTGTCATAGACTAAATTTACCTAGAGGTTGCCGAGATAGGAGCTCTTGGGGGCCAGGGGGGAAACGAACGCAGCCTGATGGGGGCCAACTTTCTGCAACCCGAGGAGGATTCGGGATTTCATTCAAACCAACAACCGCAGTCGATGCCCAACACTGGCAGGGACTGTTGGTTAATCCAGTTCATCAGATATGAGGTTCAATGCTTGGCATGTCGTGCAGGTCCCTGACAGTTGATATAGGACCGCACAGAGGCATGTCTGTCGCTCGGCGGACAGCGGAAGTGTTTCCTGGCTTTCGGCATGCGGAGGTAGGGCTCTCCAGCTAGACTGGATCGGTGCGTAGTCAAGTAAGTGGATTAAAAATCACCGGGCAAAGCCCACGCTAGGCCAGCTGGGAGTCTGGGACTACCCCTTACTCCGTCGAAGCTGGGTTCCAGCCTTCCAGGCGTCCAGCCTCCGCGTCAAGAGGGCGCCTTTCGTCTCACAGGGGGTGGCCCTGACCGTCTGGCAAGCCGCAGACTGGCGGCTAGTTGGCAGGCTAAATCCGTCGTGCAGGCCGGCGTCCAGCGAGAGATACGCAGTTATGCCGACCGTTCTGATCGACTCCAGCCCTACTATAATTAGATTAGAGGAGAGCGACGCACAGCCTCTCCGGTGCAAACTCTGAAGTCAGAACTCGCAAGATAAGCCGACGGTGGATGCGGCGCAGATCGCCTGTTGGGATCGGCCGTCTTGTTTTTTTTTGTGTTAATTTGGTGATGCTCGCTTTGGCTGCGTGTCACGGGGGGGCGACGGGCTAACCAGAAGGAGCAGTTCCTGTTAACATGGAGCTGGAGAGCAAACAATGCGCAGTAATGCTGACAATTAATTCCCTTGGTTCGTACTTCCGTCGAGAGTATTTAACTGCGTCCTCCCATGCATGCATGGCCTTCTTTTGGTTTCGGTTCCTCCTCTTTCCTCTTTCGCTCCGTTTCGTAGGATCGGATACCTCAGGCACTCAGGCTCTCAGGCTCCCAGGCTCCTAGGCTCTCAGGCTCCCACGATCCCCGGGCCGAGAGTTTAGATTAGATAATCTGAGTCCAATGAGGGCCTCGACGGAGTACAAAGCAGATTGTATACTCCGTACTCTCCTTTACCTCCCCCTACCTGGATGGAATACAATAATGCCTACTCCCGATGATAGGCAGCTGCTGCGTATGTTCGTCTCCGTAGATTTATCCACGCACGAAGACGACTGCGATCCCCGCCGCCCCGCCGGTCTGGCCACCCGGAAGCTGCGAGACGGATGGCGTGAGTCTTTTCCGACTTTCCACCCCGGAATTTTGAGTCCACCGATCGCTCATGCATTCATCATATGTTTCGTGCCTCCGTAGCCTCTGCGACGCCCTCGCAGCCTATCACGCCCGCCCAGGTGGGGGATGGCGTGCTCGGTCCGGCCTATCGTGATCGAGGTCTCGCGGGCGTCGGATGACATGGTCAACTGGGGGGTCCGGCAATGTTCATCATATTCCTCATTCCTCGAGAATATACCGATCATGGTACCCATTCGGTCTGGGCGGTCCCGGCTGAAGCCTTACCTCTGACTCCGGAGCACGTACGTTCCAACCCGCGCCATTCTTTATCCCTCGATGCCATCATCGTGTGGTGGATCGCAGGGACCCCGCAGGCAACTCTCCACAGGCTCTCATCTCGCGGTTTGCTATACAATCACGCTTTGCTGCATCCCTGGCCCTTATAAAGTTGCCGCCATCCCCGGTCCTCGTGGCAGTCTAATCATTCACATCGATCCGTGCTATTCTACACAAGAACTCGGATTCCCTCGAACCGCCCGATCATTCAATCCCCATCTACATTCAATCTCCAATAGAACGAACCAGTTCCATATCTACTCCCCATACAGAGCAGCAATCTCGCTACCAATTTGACCATGTCTGTTGCAGCCCAGCTCATCCGTCCGACAATCCGCCACTTTTCCGTTCGTCGTCCCCGTCCGGATACGCGGGCCTCTCGATTCGTCGCCATGTCCTGCTTGGTCTCCGCCGTCGTGGTGCCTTTCATCCCGCCTGCTCTCGAGAGCTCCCGCGAGAAGCACCTGGGGTATCCCAACCATAACAAGTAAGTTCAAGCTGCTTCATTGTCCAAAAATCGAGAAGAAGAAAAAAAGAAAAAGAAAAAAAAAAGAAGGCCTCGCCATGATCAAATCACACCAGCTAACCGTCCCCGCCGTACCTGCAGGCCTCATCCCCCACTCTGCTTCCATGCCCGCTAGACGAGATGCTCCACGATCGGACTCGATATCCGATCCAAATGGGTATCCTCGAACTCAACGACTCGACCTACTTACGTCACGATTTTAATTTCTTTCTTATGTCCTGACCGGTTCCGACCGTGAGGACATTGCACATATGGGATGGTGTATCGGCGCAATCATGCGGTTGGACTGTGGCTTTGAACGGAGTTAATCGAGTTGCCATGCTTTCTTCGCACGTTTCCTCCTTTGCTCAAGGGCTGGTCCCTGGGCAATTGGATGATCGAGGATCAAATCGGAAGACCGGTTGCGCCACACTCTCGTGGGCAATCCAGGATTTCCCATCCACTTATGCCCCAATCTTATAGAAGATCGCTAGATGGGATGCACCCGATGAGGCGGAATAATGAAATAAGATAATGATATCGTTCCTTTTCTCTATACCGTGCAAATGCATGTAAGCAGCTAAATGTGTCAAATTATCTTCACAGCCCAGCCGTGGGAGTCCAAAGGAGCCGACCAATATCCAGAGCGCATCGAATATATGTACAGGGCCATGGCAAATTAGCTTGTCAACTAGCGTGCGCATAGCAAGAATCAGATTCTGGCTTGTAAAATGCCATCCCGGTCCCGCATCCCACCTCCTTCCCGGTCACGAGTGTCTCGGGCGGAGGGCATTCACAGTCGATTGCCCTTGGGAGGCCGGAATGGTTGAGCGGTTTCGTACTTCCCCTTCTCTAACACGCGCTCTGCATCGGTTTCGGGTTCGTGGCGGGTCGGGGCCGGGTCATGGCTGGCCTCGGCGCTAGGCGAAGCTACGTCGTCGGTAGCACTCTGGAATCGTGCCATGTTGGCGCGTTTCAAACTCGGGGAGTCGGTCGGGGTCGGGGTCGGTTCGTTCAATGTGGCTTGCCGTCGGTGCTGAGCTTCCATCGCAGCCATCTCCGCCTTGCGCTTCATCTCGCCCTCAAATCGGGCAGCCCGGTCGGCGTTGATGGATTTCTTCGCAAAGTAGTAGGCTCCGCCGCCAGCTGTCGTGCGCGAAGCGAATGAATGAGTGAATGATCAGAGGCTATGTGTAGAGCCTTGACAGCCCATATCGTTGAATAAAGCACCTACCGACGCACAGAGCACCCCAGCCATACCTATTGATATTCACAATCGAGTCAGTAGTTATCCGAAGGCCATGGAGGCTTAGCCAGTCGTCTCGGCATACCAGGTTGATCGAATCTGAACGGAAAGGTCCGACAATGTTAGTCCCAGATACTCCAAGCACAGAGCTGCTCCTAGGGTGACCGGAACCTACCGTGTTCATGATGGCGAATTGTACACAAGTGATGCAGGGTGAAGAAACAAAATGCCAACGGGAGAATCCGAGAACTACGTCAAGCCGCCAACGCTAAACGTTCCCGGGCGGTGAGTCATCCGGACCAATCATGCCAGTCTGTTGCCACCCGTCAAAGACATCGTCGATCTCTCCTTCATTCTCGTATCTTCACTTCCTCACATCCTCTGACCTTTCTCCTTCATCCGTCCCGTCCCCGTGTCCTTTCGGTCACTATCAGTCCTCTTTGCTCTCCAGCCTCTACGGACTCTACGAAGGCTGAATTTGGGCAGTATCGCAAGACTCCGTGTCTCTCGTTGAGCTCGAGCCTCGCTCTCACGGCGCTGGCAGCCTGTCAGTGGAGCTCTTGCACTCGACCTTTGTCCACCCGAGGCATCCCGGCACGATAGACGATAGAACTTCGCCTCTATATAAAGAAACCCCCTCAAGAGGAAGAAAAGAAAATAAAAGAAACGAAAAGCTACAATATGCCGCCCGCCAAGCGCAAGGCTACTGATAGTATGGAGTTCCGAGATTTGAGCTGGGTGGATAGCAGGCTGACCTTCAGCTAGGCGGTCGGTCAAGTAGAGCTTCGAAGCGGGCGACACCCGTGCCTGATACCCAGGATGTTGGCAGTAGCGACGACTACTCGGACTATGAGGAAGATGCAAAAGCGGACAGTCTGAAAGGTGCCGTAGAGTAACCATGCGGCAAGATATCACCCAGAGTGCTGACAACTTGTCTCAATAATAGAGGTCGTGGACAAATTCTCGCTCGAATCGTTTAGCAACAAAAAGGATACTTCGATTCAAAGGCAGGATCCGAATTTTGGTTACAAAGACTTCTCCTCGCTCTCGTTGAAACCGGACCATGCGAACCGTCCTCTCTGGATCGATCCCTTGAAGGGCACCATCACCTTGGAGAGTTTCTCTCCGCTGGCCCCTCAGGCGCAGGACTTTCTGACGACTATTGCCGAACCGCTTTCGCGTCCGACCCATCTCCACGAATATCGACTCACTGGAAATAGCTTGTATGCCGCGGTGTCCGTCGGTCTCCTGCCTCAGGACATCATCAACTTCCTAGATCGGCTGTCGAAAACGCCGCTGCCGGATACCATCAAATCGTTCATTATCGACTTCACCAAGTCGTACGGCAAGATCAAGGTCGTTCTCAAACATAATCGCTTTTTTGTGGAAAGCACGGATCCGGCAATGCTACAGATGCTTCTCCAGGACGAGGTGATCGGACCGCAGAGATTACAAGGGACGGAGGGAATCATCCAGCAAGCGGCTCCAAAAATGGGAGGCCTCGTCATCCCGGGTACCAAAGATGCGGCGGGGGTACAGCAGACATCCGAGCAGAAATCGGCAGAGGACGCCGGGGCGCAGGGCCGACAAGAGGATGATCTTCTCCTAGCAATCCGCGATGACGACGATGACGATGAGCAGGCCCAGGTTCACAGTTTCGAAATCCCAAACGAGGCGGTGGAACCGGTCAAAGCGCGTTGCCAGGCCATGGGCTGTCCGGCGCTGGAGGAATACGATTTCCGAAATGATGAGATCAATCCTACGCTGGACATCGATTTGAAGCCAAATGCTCGCATTCGTAGCTATCAGGAGAAGAGTCTGAGTAAAATGTTCGGTAACGGACGTGCGAAGAGTGGCATCATTGTCCTTCCCTGTGGCGCGGGCAAGACTCTGGTGGGTATCACGGCGGGGTGTACGATCAAGAAAGGAACGATCATTCTTTGCACTAGTTCCATGTCGGTGGTTCAGTGGAGGAATGAATTCTTGCGGTGGTCGAACATTGACCCCGGTGACATTGCCGTGTTCACCTCGGATAACAAAGAAAAGTTCCGCCGATCGACTGGTATCATTGTGTCAACATACTCCATGGTTTCGCAGACCAGAGCTAGATCTCACGATGCTCAGAAGATGATGGACTGGATCCAGTCTCGGGAATGGGGTCTCATGATTCTTGACGAAGTCCACGTGGTGCCTGCATCCATGTTCCGAAAGGTCACCTCTGCTATTGCGACGCAGAGTAAGCTTGGTTTGACCGCCACGCTGCTACGTGAAGATGACAAGATCAAGGATTTGAACTTCCTGATCGGGCCCAAGCTTTACGAGGCTAACTGGATGGAGCTGGCTGAGCAAGGGCATATTGCCAAGGTCCAGTGCGCCGAGGTCTGGTGTCCGATGACCACAGAATTCTATTCCGAATACATGCGGGAGAAGTCCCGGAAGGCTGCCCTTCTTTACATTATGAATCCTCGCAAGTTCCAGGCCTGCCAGTTCCTCATCGACTATCACGAGAAGCGAGGCGACAAGGTCATTGTTTTCTCTGACAATGTCTATGCCCTCGAACGGTATGCCTTGAAGTTGAACAAGGCGTATATCTACGGAGGAACGCCTCAGAATGAACGAATGCGTATTCTGGAGAACTTCCAGCACAACGAACAAGTCAACACCGTCTTCCTGTCGAAGATTGGAGATACTTCTCTCGATCTGCCCGAGGCAACCTGCCTTATCCAGATTTCCTCTCATTACGGTTCTCGTCGTCAGGAGGCGCAACGACTTGGTCGCATTCTGCGAGCTAAGCGTCGAAACGACGAGGGCTTCAACGCATTCTTTTACTCCCTTGTGTCGAAAGACACGGACGAGATGTTCTATTCCTCCAAGCGACAGGCCTTCCTTGTCGACCAGGGCTATGCCTTCAAGGTGATCACCCACTTGCAAGGGATTGAGAACTTGAGCGGTCTCGCCTACGCAACCCCCGGAGAGCGTCGCGAGCTTCTCCAGGAGGTGATGTTGCAGAACGAAACCTCGGCTGAAGTGGAGCACGTCACCGACGATCTCTTTTCCGGTGCTGGTGGCGCCCGAGGCAAGGGCAAAGGTGCTGTCAAGCGCAGTGCGGCTACTCTCAGCGGGCTGGCTGGTGGTGAAGATATGGCCTACATCGAGTATAACAGGAGTCGGAACAAGCAGCTGAAGGATAAGGCGGGCCATCACCCGCTGTTCCGGAAAATGGAGCGAGACCGTCTCAAGCGGAAGAAGGAAATGCAAGATTTCGTGCGCTAAAATTCGATTGGAACTGGAGTTTAGACTTGGTTTGTTTTCTTTTTTCCAGTTTTTGAAAGGGGAAATTTTGTATCTATCAGGGAGCATATGGATTGGATTGGGAGGTTGACATCAGATAAAGATGAACATAATTACATGAAACAACCGTTTATGACGCTAGCTGGCTTCGTATTGAGTCTTTACTGTTCATTATCGAAAGAGTGGTGGTCCAACTCCTTAGGTGTTGATACTAGAACTACTTACTACGATATATAATCTTCTCCCCGCATACCCGATCATTTCCCTGCCACTTTCATCCTCTTCCCTTTTAACCTCTCCGTCGTCATCACCACAAAAAAGGCAAAGAAACAGCAAGAACTGTAACCCCCAAACCCCAATAAGAACAAATAACACCCAGCAAATTAGCAATAAGTAATCAAAAAGGTCTCGACGATCTCCTTCGGTCCTCGGACTTCCGAGCTCCAGCTGGTCCAGTCAACATTACTAACCGCCAACGCTCATTTGCAGGTCCAGAACCCTCGCCGATCTGCTGATTTTCGACGAAAGCCACAGTCCAGGACCAAAACAAAGAGCTGAGGTATGTGGAAATGTGGACATGTGGAAACCCGCTGACATATCATTCTCGCGATGACGTCGCCGACGGGAACCGCGAAGGACCGAAGACCGAGTCCAGGAAGCCCTTGATTACTCCTGTGGATTACGATGGCTTGATTCCCCGCATTATCTGAGGGTGGCAAACAGGATTGGGCATAGGCTGAAGATCACTATTTAGACTGCTCGATGGCACGGTTCTGGGCTGGTCTTCTGCCCCCGACTTTTCATGTATTGGTCTCGAGGTGTTCCCGTGCTCGCGATCATTGATCGATCTATTCTTCTACAACGGAGTTCAAATTTATCAAGGCAAGAAATTGGATCTCGGGAATTGAGGTCGAGGTATAAGTGCCAGAGACGCTCTTATCTGACCAGTTCGAGCATTCCGCGGACTGCACGCGTTCCACTGCGCGCCAAACCCCCCAGATTTGGGCTTCAACTGAGCGGAACCAAACATCGCCCCGTTTCTGGACAATCAGTCACAATGGCTACCGCGCGCAAGATCCAGTTGACCACGTCCGATTCAGGCGTGTTCTCATCTGGTATCAGAGAAGATTCAGCGCAGGTGGCCAGCGAGCTTTTGCAGGAGGATCTGGAAAAGCACCATGTTTACTTCAACAATATGGGGTTTCATAGTAAGTCGCATGTTTCAGCCCTTGTGAAACAGTAAGTTGTGTGCGAGTCAGGGTGATTAACTTCTACAGACCACCTTGTTCATCATATCTTGAGCATCTTTGTCCTGGGGGCAACCCCGGAAGAGATTAGGGATGCATACAACAGAAACAAAGGTTATCAAAGACCGGCCTTACCAGCTGACAAGGCTGTAATCCAGTCACTGTACGACAAAGAGGGGTTCAAGAAATGTCTCGGAAGAGATAGGAACTATCCCAATTTCTTGGAGTTCTTCCAGCAAGAAATCGAGAAGAAAGGTGTTGAGAATGTTCTCAACGAGTATTTGTTCTCCGGAGATGAAAATGCGGAGAGCATGCTGGCTCGACTATTTGGAGGTAAGTATCTTAAGGTCCATTTACCCTTTCGATAACCCCCCAGTTCTCTTGAATTCTTTCTTCTGTTTTATTCTTCTGATATCGACTGTGTTCGTAGGACTCATCCACCCGCTGATCCATCTTGGATTTGGAATTGAGTTCAACCAGCCGGCTATAATAGCTGAAGCTCTGGCTCAAACAGCAATCCACGAGGACTGGACCGGTCCAATGTTTCTCTGGCCAGCCGAAAAGTTAGCAGGAGGCATTGGCAAGCCGGGAAAGAAGTCACTGTTTCAAATCCTGGAGGATATTCGTGGGAATGAAAAATTGACTGGCTCCGCCAAGTGGGAGGATGGTAATAAGTTGAGGGACGGAGTCCTGCGGCGAGCGCCAGATGAGATGCTCAGATACGCTGCGGAATTCACCGTTTCCAGCGATCAGATGGAAGCTAAACTGGCGGAAATGATAAACACAGTCGGTAAGCTGGAACTAAAGCGTGCACAGCTTATGGCAGCTAATCAGCTCGACAATACGCAGTATATTACAGCAGTGCTGCACAACATCCCCCTAAGCAGGTCAAGTTCGACTTCTTCCTCATACATAGCCTGAACTCGTCCATTTTCTTCTCGAAAATCCTGTCACTTCCATTCCTGCACACCCAAACCCGATTGCGTCTTATTGAATGGAAGGGGCGCTTGGATCTCCTGCTCTACGTATCTCGCGGAGCTCCTGTACTTCTCCTGAATGAAGTGACAACCTACCCGGCTTCAAAAAGCTGGGAGACCATTTTCAAGCATTGCAATACCCACCCTGGCGATGACGGACACTTGGCGAAATTGGCGAGAGCCGTTGCTCATGGCGAAGCTGCGTGCCGTGCTTTTGAGAGTCAAGCCACGGAAAGGGGACTGATGATCACCGGTGATATGTGGTTGAAAATTGGCAACATGGGTAAGTTGGGCCTGATGAGAATCATGAGACTGATCTTGGCAGCTAATATTAATCGCTAGTCATGGATTCGACCTCGGACCAAGGACCACTGTGGGTCCGCTCAACGGGTTTCGAACAGGCCTGGGCAGAGTTTCAAGAGCGACGGCATCGGCTGTGAGAGGAGGGGGGATGGGTAGGATCAGGATAATTTGTAGCCATAATGAGCAATGAAGCGTTGACTGTGCCATAACCCAAGAAACTCGCGTCCAAATAAAACCGCAGCAGGCGACACGTGCAGGCGGTGTTTGCCCGGTTTGCACCCCGACTCACGTGGCGATTGCCCGAGTGGGGCGACCTCCCCAACAGCTTCATTTATCGCCGCCGCTAAGCTTCTTATACTTCTCGCTCTCTCCCCAAGCCTTTTGCTGGCCCCTCCCTCGGTCCCAGTCTCATCTTCCCACTTACACATCAACATGGCGGGCGACCAGGACTCGAACCAAAACCACCATACCAACGGCTCTCGCGGCTGGCCCGACGACGACAACCCATTTGTCGCCTTCCGCCGTTTCGCCGATGAACAGATCTCGTCGATGCTGCAGTCCGTCGTGGGCATTCCATCCATGGCCTCCTCTCCGTCCTCCAGTGGCTGGGCTGTTTTCGCAGATGATCCGAAATACGCCCGGGATTCCCACTATCGCCAAAGACAAAACGATAACACCCAGGGAACCGAAAACCCATCCGACTCGGACGTCCCGGGCGCTTCGAACAACTCAGAAAACCATCCTTATTCGCGATCGGAAAACCCTTGGCGCTCTCACGGATTCGGACGACGTGGTGCGTCTCCCCATGACCTCTTCGATCTGGATTTCTTCGATTCCTTCTTCGACAAATTTTGGTTCGATGACCACACCTCTCGCTTCTTCCACCCGTACCAACGTCCCATGTTCTCCAACCTGGTGAGCGACGATTCGCCCGCTTGGCCGGTCACATACCTTATGTTCAGCCCCTATTCGCCCCTGCACCTTGAGCGCCAGGCCCAGTATCGGTCTCACCGCGAAGGCGGAGTCTTTTCATCGCTCATGTCGTCTTTGAAACCTTCCTCCGAGCGCGACCAATCGGAACCACAGTGGAGAGAAGCCTTCGAGGATCTCTTACGACTTGAGAATGGAAAGCCAATGCTCGACCGTGGCTCGGTCGACACCAGCAAGCGAGAGTCTGGAAAGGAATGGATGCAGGGCTTGGTGAAACGCGGTAGTTTGGGAGACAGATGGAAATACGTTGCCAGCGGGGACGGTCGCCCTTGGTCCACTATCGCATTTGACAGCTCCAAGTCGGGAGAAAACGGTTCCGGACAGTCGGAAAGAGACCACCGTAATAATGCCGTGAAGGCCGGGTTCAGCTGGGATGAGGAGCCCGAATCGGTAACTGAATTGGACCTATATGACCGCTTCCTTGACGACATCGAGGCCCGTGAGCGCGAATTTTTCAGAGTGCGCGAGAGCCCTCTCCTTCGTCTTCTGCTCGATGACCGATATGAAGGTAGAGATAGACAGGAGCCGTCGCGCAAGGAAAAGCACGGAGACGATGCGGAAAACTGGCTGGAGCTGGTCTCTGGTGGCCAGAGGAATTCTGTTCCCGACACCGTTCCTGAAAAAGAGAAAACCGCAGTCAAATCATCTGCAGCTGTCGACACTCCCTCGGTAGCAGACCAACAGTCCTACGTCATTTCCACAAAAACCACGACGGAGCGCGTCCGACTTTCAGACGGCTCTGTTCAGACGAAAATCGTCAAGACAAAACGCTTCGCCGACGGTCGCGAGGAGAATAACGAATCTGTAGAGGTTGTCAACCCTCCTCAGCATAATCAAGTACCCCCTGCGGACCAAGACGAATCTTCGTCTAATCAGAACAAGGATGGCTGGTTTTGGAAGGGCAACTAGACCCGTCTCAAAATAGCCGACTTTCTTTTGTATACCAGTCTCTCTTTCTTGCATATTTTATTTGTGAAGTTTTAGCGTTGGTCTATGCTGGTATTTTTTTGGTCGTCCTTCCATGTGTTTCCCTCATCATTTCTTCCAATTTTCTCTCATTTCATTTCATTTCTCTTTTTATTCATGATAATACGGGGACCACCTGTGGCTACAGTACCGGCACATTTTGAAACAAGCATATTGCGTCTTTCGCTATTTACAATGTGAATTTGTTTTTCAACGAATAAAAAGAAAATCAAGTATATTCGCCATGAAGGCTCTTTCCAAGTTATATATCTCTATATCCTCGTAGAAACCTAGCACGTGTTGTATTAAATGGTTCACAGAATTGAGTCACCAATCTATCACTAACAAGATCTTTTAACAATCCAATCCTCAAGATGATAGCATTGATACTCGGACCGCCGTCATACAGTAGCAAGTCTATGTGACTACCCCGGACAAAAACGAAATGTCTAGTCGGCCTTCACGCTCTTCTTCTGAGCTTTTCCGGTAGTCCATCCTTTCGATTCCCAATACTTAACGCTATCTTCCATCTTCTTGTAGGCCCAGGAGAACGAAGGGTCTATTCAACGTCCGATTAGTCACGTAATTCCCATCGCCAGATAAAGGAAGGGACAGGAAAAAAAAGAAGGTAATTGCACTTACAGAGGAACTGGCGGAGATCGTGTCGGTTGTCGTCAGGCGAGTATTGTTCCGCGTGGTAACTCGGCGTGATCACGGTCTGCTTGTGTCGATTGATCGCATAGTTGTAGAAGAAGTGGCGTGTCTTCTCGTAGATCTCGCGAGGACTGTACTCGTTGCCCCAGAGGTGGAGGAGCCGCTCGTACATCGACCAAGGGCCCAGTTTCTGGATCTTGCGCAGCCGCCCGAAGATGGAGAGCTCGGCGTAGGTGACGCCCATGTCTGCTTCGTCGGATTGCACGTAGGTCGCCGTGATGGGCTCCAGTTCGGCGGTTGGGGTGGCGGACAGGAATTCGTGGAGGATGGGCAGTTCGAAGGAGTCGCGGGACCAGGCGATGAATTTCTTGAGGTCAACTTTGGAGATGGAGCCGATGGGGTTCAGCTGGAAGTTTGTTAGTTGGCTTGATGCTGCACAAGGGACGACTTTTGCAGCAGGAACTAAAAGAATGATGCAGGGGGTCTCTAAACCCTAAGGATTACCCAATTTTGGGGGATGGTCGATACTTACATCGGCACTGCTGGCGTCATATTTTGTCAGGTAGCCTCGCAGACTGCATTGATGTAAATTAGTAGTGCTCAAAGCCAGGGGATATGGACGGAAGCCGGAAGATCAAACGATATTTACATACCATTCTAAAAGCAATTAGTAAAATTAAGGGAAGAAGAGCCAGAGGATACATACCATCGACATTAGACGACGCCAGCACAAGGAGTCCACCTCCACCCGGGCGTTGACGGACGGTTGGCAGTAAAGAAGCAAACAGATATGAGAGGACCATTCTCAAACGCGCCTGGACGTTTTGCAAAGCTTGATTCTCTGCCCGACTACCACCGTGGACCTTGAATTTAGGCTGGAATGTTGTGACAACGGTGAAGAGGTTTGTCAGAGAAGTCACGACTGTGTCGAAATTGAAGTCGACATGGTAGGATCCGATATCTGCAGCAAGACCTTTCGCTCGGTCCCGTGTTTCTTTACTGGAGTTTTGCGTACCCATAAAGCTGGTGTGGAATATGCGGCTGGGACAATGTTAGAGGCCTCAGGCATTTGACAGGACAGAATAATGCGCAGAGCGTAATAGACCTACTTGCAAACTTCTTGGCTGGTAGTGGGAAGCCATGTCGAATCGGCCGGCTCGGCACAGAGTCTTCGGACATCTTTGATGACCTGCTCATTCCCCTCTGACACGGCTTTAATGACTTCTCGACACATGGAATGCACAATAGTAGCAGTAGCACAACTATCAATACCTCCACTCAGGGGGAGGAAAAAGCCAGCCGCACCGCTTCTCCGCAGGTAGTCCCACAGCCAACAAGCCGGCCCAAGAGCAACTTCCTCCTCGGGGGCATGATAGCGCGCGGCAAGGGTTTCAGAGGGAGCAAGGCTGGGCTCGGCCTCATCATCTCGGCGAGAAAGCCTGGTGTCCAAGTCAAGGCGAACATAAGGAGACTGCTTGCTGGCCTGCATGTTGCGACTAGAACTGGAACGGTAGGTCCTCACCTGTACGATTGATTAATGAACGATCCAGGGCTGGGTGGAAACAGGCGTTATACTTCTTCAATGTCAACGGTAGCCGTGACGACTTCCACATCGTTCAGTGAGAACTGGGAACCCTGGGCAACAATGTTTCCGTTGACCACAATCATCGCACAGCCATCGTAGTAAAGTCTATCGCCATCGCAGCCTTGCTGGTTTGCGTACAGGTAAATGCCACCGCTCTAGGCAGAGTTAGTTACCAATATTTTCTAGGACGAGTGAATAGCACAGACCAATTTTGTAGCTTGGGTGATGAGGTTAATCCGAGTGTCAAGCTTTCTAAGCTCGTGGTGACTTCCTGACGAGTTGGAGATGATTTCCACGCCTGCGTAAAATTAAGTATACCGCGAAAATAGACCACAGCAACACCAAAGAACCTAGACATACCAGCAAGGCCATAGGGAATATGAGGACTGTACCAAATTAGTGAGATATTTTATGTGGAAAGACAGTGAAACGCACCCGTTAGGAGTGAATAATTCCTCGCACGTCTCGACACCGAAACAAGTATCCCGAGTGCTGATGACTGCATCACCGAAAGGGACCTTGTACTGTCCAGTGATCTTTCCCACGATCTGCTCAAGGTAGTAATCCTCGATCTCTTGAGGTCGTTGCCAGGGCGTGAAGTGCCGGAGCTCTCTGTAGTTACCGTCTAAATTTCAGGCGTATTTATCAGCGCTTCATGTCAATGGTGGTTTCTGCTGAACCAATAAGGAAGTATGATTGTCAAAGACAAGAGAAGGGTAACGAACCGTTGGCGAGCCACATCTTTGGGCGGATCAAGCTGATCTTGCGGTTGTAGAAGATGACACTTGAATTCCAATTAGCAGGGAACAGGTGCACATCTACACCAGAAAGACAAGGGAAAAGAGAAAACCCACCGGCAATTATACGATACGTTCCTGTGGCGTACGGGCATACCTACCTATAGCCTTGTTAAACCTGTGGACCGACATATCAACAGGGCGAGACACGAACATCAACCACAATATCCTGACAGTCGGGGTGATCAATGATGCGGGCAAGCATCTCCCACGAGTGAAGGAAGGTATCGCCCTCGTGAAATCCATCCAGCACGCCATATCCTATAGCCCTGTAAATACTTATGAACCACTTGTGGAATCTCGTTGTGAAAAGGTACCGGTGATTTCAAGTTCGGGACCGACTCGCAGAGTAGCACCTGCAGCCTTGGCCTTGCGAATACTCTCGATGATTCGTTCCGTGTTCCCCTCAAAGTCCAGAGCCCATTGGTTGAGGGAGCTGAGGTCGAGCTTGTCAGTGTATGGTCTTGCAGGAGGCGGGCCATGCGCTTGACCAATTGAGTCTCTCACCATGTTGCCAGAGTCACAAGGTGACCCATGTTGACCTTATTCCCGGCTCAATCGAAGCGATAGGAAATGACGAAGGGTAGATGCAATCGCCCCTAGTAGGAGATGTGTCAATGATTGATTTCAATGGCTGGTGCGCGAACCCCGGGACTCCACATGGAGCTGTGGATGAAGAGTGATTCCCGGAAAACTGGCCCAGACAATCCGAGAGCAAACCCACCTGGATATCCCGAGCAATGAAGGGCACTGAGTCTGCGTGGAGGATGTTGACGGGGACTGAATGACGCCGATAAGAATTGGAGTCGGAATGACGCCGGTCACGTGTGTGGGGAGCTCCCCTCGTGCCCCGCTGTCCGTCACGGTATTACCGCCGGTCCCGATTCTTACCCATACAAACCCATAACCGTCGCTGGCGGTGCCGGTAATCGGATTACGCAAGCGGAGGGCCTCGGCCGGCGGGACGGCTGATTAATGCATTCTTATCGGAGGCACGAGAAGAGCAACATTTTGGTATAGACGCTTTGGACTTCCTCAACCTCCCTTCCTGCCGGTCAATTTGCGTGTCTTGTCGCATTGCCCCCCGCATAGAACCCACCCTCTATTCTACTCGATTCCAGTACAATGAGTGATCATTCTCAACTCCCCACGCCTGCGCATACGCAAGCCGAATCGATGCTGTCTCGACGGTTTGGAAAGGAGACTGTGAATTACTTCTCCAGTAAGGATCTCCCCTTCCAATGCCCGCCAGACTTTGAAATCCATGTCACTAATTCTGCCAGGCTCACCGTTGAACCGGCTTTCGTTCCTCCGCGGAGACCACCCGTTTCTGTCCGCAGCCCTGAAGCACCCCTCTACGCGCTTCATTGTTCTGAAGGAGCTTGCTCCTCTCACAAAGTCCCCGGCGGAACTGTACCACGCAAAGCACGAGGAGGTGCAGAAGCTGGTGCCCGCGAGTATCTACGATAAATCCGAGGAGGACATCATCAAGGAACATGACTCGCGGAAAACGAGCCCGCATTTGATATTCCTGGGACTGGACGAGAGTTCTAAGCAGGGTGGCTTTGCTTGGAAAATCTATACCGGAACCCCCTACTTTGCGCTGGATGCGACACCCAGGGGCAGCGAGGAGCAGCAATCCAATGCCAAAGATATCCTTGGCGCTCTCGAGGCGAAGGGGCTAAGTTTCCTTCAGGCGAGAGTGGCGATGTCCTTTTCGGCGGATGAGGGTATGTTCTACATCTGACTGGTTCTGCAACGGTTCAACACATGGGAATTCGCTAACACCATCGCAAAGCCGCCATCTACGCCCAGGCCCGCGCCTTGATGGACTGGAACACCCGAAACACCTTCTGTGGCACCTGCGGCAACCCCACGATCTCCGTGAACTCGGGCACCAAGCGAGCATGCCCTCCTACAGATCTTGCTCGTGTGGCTGAAGGAAAGCCTGCCGACCGGCCAGCATGCAGTACGCGCACCACGATTTCCAACCTATCCTTCCCGCGTACCGACCCAACCATCATCGTGGCTGTGGTCTCGACCGATGGCAAACGCATTCTGCTGGGCCGTTCCAAGCGCTTCCCTCCCAACTGGTACTCGACCCTGGCTGGGTTCATCGAACCTGCAGAGTCCGTCGAGGATGCAGTCCGGCGAGAGGTCTGGGAAGAGGCGGGTGTGACGCTATCGCGTGTCGTGATCCATTCGACGCAACCGTGGCCTTACCCTGCTAACCTGATGATCGGAGCAATTGCGCAGGTCAGCGACCCCGCCCACGAAACGATCAATTTAGAACATGATCCTGAGTTGGAGGATGCGAAGTGGTTCGATGTTCAAGAAGTCGAGGAGGCCTTGAGGATAGGAACCAGTCCTTTGGGAGAGAAGGCGGGATCTGAATACAAAGAAGGGGGACTGCGACTACCGCCGCCCACCGCTATTGCTAATCAGTTGATCAGAGCGGCGATTGGTATAGATCTGCTGGGGGACAAGAACTCGAAGATGTAGAGGCCGGTATGTCGTGTTGGGATTGGCCGTTTACTTTGGGGTGTGGTATATAGGCGGTATACATACATACTAAATACAGGATCGGTGTTATAGAATATCGCATGAAGCGAGCTGCTGAGAGAAGATTCAACTCGTAAGGATGCATGATTGGATTGCTCTAGTGTAGGTGCGAAATATCCCCCGAAAACCACACACCATATGATGAACAATCATGGGTTGAGGGAAAGAAAAGCATGAACACTCATAAAAAACGAATAAATCCGAGTTGAATAGGGGTATATATAGCATGAGCTTTCAATAGACGTTCAAAGATTTGCATACACAGTTCCATCTCGAAGTTCATGGATACTCTCCTTGCCAGACGGCGAACCAACCTCGGTGTATCTCCTTCCGTCCCTTAACTCATGAATCGTGATTCTGCGATGGGATTTCCTATTCCGCCGTGAGCTGAGGTTCGATATAGACGATTCGCCACGTTCACCAACACGTTGTGTCGAGTCAATACTCTCCGAGTCGCTGAGTGCCACGCTGCTGGCGGGTGTTCCTTCTCGACCGGCTCTCTCAATAGACGCTTGGAGCTGGGCGTCCGCCACCATTGCCATGCCATCTTGTTGGTACCACTGCCGCATGTCCGTCGCGTAGGTTTCTTCTTTCTCGTATTCAACCGGCGGGCCCTCGACCTGCGTCTTGTTTTGGCCGTCAAAAACCGCCCAAGCGCTAGTGCTCGCACTAACGAGCATCATGGCGCGGTTGAAGCTTTTGACCTTGAAGTTGCGCAAAAGAATAGCGTCACCCTCCGATACGGAGGGAAGAGCTGCCTTGAAAGGTCGAAATATTTGAGCAAAATGAGTTGTGCCCGCCATAGACGGATCCGTCAGCTGAAGGGTCAATATGTAATCCTTCTTTCCTGAAGATGCTCGAATCACAGGGCGTGCTTCCGTAACAGCGGAGATGGTATCTATCGAAGCATTGTAATGGTCAACAAGCGTAGCAAGGGGCGCAAAATAAGAGAGTTTGCTGCGCAAGCCCGGGTAGTGGCGGTCTACGCCAATCAAGCTAATGTCGTCCAAGGCGTTTCTGGCGTCAGGGTCAAGGGCAAACCCTGCCTGCAGAGACCGGACGTCGTCGGAAGTATGGCTCTCCCTATGCATTAATGACCCCTCGATATTCTGGGATCCTTCCCGTGATTCTACCACGGAACTTGCCTCGATGTCGGAACCATTCTCTACGATATTCTCGTCCAACGCTTGAGATGCAGGAGGCTCAGCATGAGTGTAAGGAGGCCTCTCATGCTTCCGTGAGGCACTGTCTTGGGTAGGCTCAGGAGTCGGTAACGATTCAGCTGCCGCGGCAGCTGGAAGGAATTGCTGGTGGATTTCGTTCAATGAAGTAGAGCTCGGACTTGCCAATGGCTGGGATTGGGAAGCAGAATCGTGCCCTTCTGGAATGGTGCCGGCGGGAATGTGTGAAGATGCGGCGCCGTCGAGAATCAAGCTATAATCGACTTTCCGATCAAAAGTAGACACTTCAATTGCCTCTCTAGATTCAGAAAGTCGGGTATCTTGCTTGTCACCCTCAAAAGTGTCGCTTATTCCTTCCTGACCAGGGCCGGAATTGTATAGCTCAGGATCGATTGCCATCTCGACAGCATGCGAGGCAGTTTCACCGATAGTACGTGTTTCCTCGATTGTTTCTGTGATATTAGAGTCATGGTGCAGGAAATCTTGTTCTGGGGCTTGTGGTGGTGCTGTTATGCCGTGCCGTTCTTCGTAACTCTGTTGAGAAGTCGCTTCGTTTTCAAAATTCGAATATTCCGAGTAATCGGCACCCGAGGTAGACATGGTTATCTGCGCCGTATTTTCACCTTGCTCTGGCGCTTGTCCAACACGTATTTGTTCGGGTTGAGTTAGCCCATTGTCCAGATGTTGATTCTCCGCCCATTGTTCGCTGGATCTTCCATAATCTGTCTGGTCGAGCAGGACCACTTCGTCGTCTTCCTCTGATTCTGATTCTGGTTCAGACCCAGACTCAGATTCAATTGGCTCGTGGTCCAGTTCTTCTCTATCCTTCATCTCCTCATCCGCCATTTCGTTCTCCACTGGGTTGCCTTCGGGTTTCTCATCATTTTCATTGTCATCAGATGCCACTTCCATATTCGTAACATCGTCATTCACATCCTCGTCTTCTAACATCTCTTCTTCCGGGTAATCTTCTTCCAAGAGTTGTGCTCCCGAGGATTCCGTTTCCGAAAGATCTTCTGACATTCGTTCTGACGATTGTGTTTTCAGCTTCTCATTTGTGAATCGATGGTCTTCCGCATTCTCGGCTTCCGTGTGGTATTCAGCTTCGGGCCAATCTTCATTTTCGGAATCAACAGAATCTTCACGGGACGAGTGACCGCTGCTAAGTGATGGAGACGCTGGTTCCTGGTCACTGGGGATGTCCCCTGTTCGTGGTACAACATGGGGAGCTTCATCTTCGCTATCACTGTCGAGCACAATGACTTCAGGCTGCGAGGTTTTCGGTTCAGGTTGATGCTGCTTCGGCGAGACATCATCTACCAAGTCCGATTCAGAGTCAAATTCGTCTTCCTCTTCATACCGGTCCCCATAGAGCCTCTCTTCTTCCTCGTCCGATTCCTCATCTGAGTCCGAGTCTTCCGTTTCATCGATTTCATCTTCCTCCACTTCCTCCTCGTCCTCTTCATCATGCGCAGAACCGTGGTGGTGATCTCGTTCATCAACTTCGTCGCTCTGGTTTGTTGAGTTTTCTTCGACCTCGTTTAGAGCAGGTATGCTACCCTCGCGAGTTTCCTCGGCAGCAAATCCCCGGTAAACTCGTTTTTCATGTGGATTGTCTGCCTCCACTTCGTCTTCCTCCACGTCATGATTCTCCTTACTAACCGTCTCAGCATAATGCTCTTCCATCTCATCTTTTCTCACACCAGGCTCATCTATATCATTGCCTTCCATGTGTTCCTCATCAGTGTGTTCATCCCCCGCGTTGTCATCCTTCGGTTCTTCAGACTCACGAGGTCCTGTCGTTGCGTAGCTTTCGCGATTATCTCTAGTGCGATCCTCACCGTGGTTGAGACCTAATGTTGGGTCCGCTGGAGGCTCGACGGAAATAGCAGAGGATTTCTGGTCTTGCAGGACGCGGTCAATGGCGGTTCTTGCAACTTCGGCGACGGACTTATCAGCCGCTGTGGCAGCCACGGAGGGGCTTGAAGATAGGGCTTCATTTTCTAGGCCAGTGTTTTGGATTCCTGATTCTCCGACGACCATCGTCGTTTGGCTTTCCGTCTCCAGCACAGCGCCCGCGTGTTCGCTCGTGTCCTCTTCTGAGCCTTTAATTTCCCGAGACAATGATGTACTGACGGTCGTAGCGTGAGTCTGGGCCACGTCTGTGATTGGCATGAAATAGCTTTGTTGACTGGACGAGTTCGTGACAAGCGGAGACGGAATGGGTAATCCAGGAGACGGGATAGGATGAAGACGCGGTGTGTCTGTTGGAAGAAAAGATGGAAACTGGAGAAGCCCCTGTCCGAGTCCGAAGGCCGGACGAGGAAACTCTGGTTTTTGAACGGTAGCAGGGTGAACAAATGGATTCTCAGCTTCGAGCCGTTCTGGACTTTTGATCGGCTTTGCACGGGCCTGTGGCGTCGGAGAGTTCCCCTCGGCAGCTTGAGCAGTATCCGAGGGGGTTTGCTGACCGGCGTCATCGCCTGCCGCCTCTAGGGGCTTCTCCGGGGAAGTTTCTTTGTCTCCATCCGGCTCCGACCCCTCACCCCAATCCTCATCAAATATGTGCGTCCAATCAACCGGTAAATCCTTGTCGCCCGGGCTTTCTGGTTCGTCGACCAAGCGCCAGTCGCTGTGTTGCATACTATATCTCGGTCGTTTCCTGCCTTTCCCCGGCACATACCCATCCTCTTCGGCAAAGGGATCGAACGCGGAATCGACTAGACCTCCGAAGGATGCACGCGATTTTGCCGTGAGAATTGGAGTTTGCCATGATCCAGAATCTCCCACATCTTCAGTGTTTTCGCGCTTGTTGAGGTTGTTCCTAGGAGGGGTGGTCGGAGCGGTGGTCGCGGGCTCGAGGCCATTTGTTTGAGACAACGAAGGCTCAACCTTGATGGTTGAGAAGGGGATGGAGGATCGCGAGACCTACAATGTTAGTCAGTGGGCTGTCCGGTTACCCATGAGGCCTGAGACATTCTGGGGAATTACCTCTAGAAAGACACGATCATCGAAATGCACATCCCACGCCACGCATTTACCAGGCGTCTGGACTGCGGCATCGTTGCTCACGAACCGCGACCCAGCCAAATCCAGGCACACATCATCTCCAATGCCAATTTTAGACTTCGCCACATCTTTGGCGACGGGCCCATGAAAGATCACTTTGACTTGACCATTCGAGCGACGTAGACGGAAGTCGGGCTCTGCTAGCAGAAGGCCGAGGGACTTGGTGGAAGACGAATACGGCCATAGGAGCGTGACGGTGGCATGAATGGCGCTCGCCTGCAGGTTATCGGCTGTCGGCGAGAGCTGCGCGATCGGGATGCGCGACGAACGTAAGGGTTTGGAGATCGGAAGCTGCTCGGCGGCGTCCATCGCTGCGGCCATTTAATCGAAACACGATTTCCACATGTCCTCGATCGTCGGATCACGCGCGTTGCATGGCCCCCTTGCACCACCGGTCCTCGACTTGCGATTTCCTCGGAGATTAGGAGGAGAGGTAGATAGCTGGGCCGAGTGACTCTGATTGAAGGATTGCGAGCGAGAGAATCGACGAGGGAAGCTTTGGCGGTGGCTTTGCATCACGGGGTCTGGTATGCGTATTGCCGGTATCGTCCTATTTGTAGTGTAATCGGCATATCACCCACGTATCAGCCTGTATCAGCCTGTATCCGTCTGTATTCACGCAGCCATTCAATGTTCCTAATGCATATCCAGGGCGTCGTTTGCCCTCTCCATCCTTCCGGGCTCATCGGAGCCTCCTAAGGTTGGCATTTCTCTGCTCGCATGCCATCAAGGGCTGTCGCGAGGTCCCGAAGCACGACATATCATGGCGGGGTGGCAACACCCGTACTAAAGTCAACCCCCCCGCCAGCTTCGTTAGATGCCGGATTCCTCTTCCTCATTCACCTGCAATCCATTCCCCTCAAGTCAACTAGAGGGGTTCTTCCACGATTGGACCCGTTGAATCCGTGATCGAGCCATGACAGTTTCAACGCAGATCCGTCGAATTGCGGTTATCGGTGCGGGCCCATCGGGTCTAGCGGCAGTGAAGTATGTATGCAACGTTTTCTTCGAGACAACTGTTTTTTTGGCTGACAGGGTTTCAGGTATCTTTTGGCCGAGAAGGTTTTCGACACGATCGATGTATTTGAGAAACGCAGCGCGGCGGCTGGAGTCTGGAACTATTGCCCGGGCGCCTTGAAACAAGGCCTGTCGACACCTGTCCCCCAGCTTGATCCGAACGAGCCTCTGGAAAAACCCATATGGCCGAAAGGGAAATCAGACCCAGTCTTTGTATCGCCCATCTATAGTACTCTGGAAACCAACATCCCCAAGGAATTGATGAGCTTTGGAGACAAACCGTTCCCTGCGGACAGCCAAGTGCTACCCCAGCATTCTACTGTGAAGAAGTATTTGGATGATTACGCAGAGGAAGTGCGAAGCTTCATTCGTTTCGAGACTCAGGTCGAAGATGTGAGGCGGAATGGCTCCGAAGCGAGCGCCTGGACTCTCTCCACTAGGGACCTGCGTACGGGAGTCAGCAATACGCATGGCTATGATGCTGTCGTTGTCGCCAGCGGACATTACGACGTTCCTTATACGCCCGATATAACCGGCATTAAGGAGTGGAATGAGAATTACCCGGGTGTTATCTCTCACTCCAAGTTCTTCGACTCCCCGGATGATTTTCGCGATAAGAAAGTCATTGTCGTGGGGAGTTCCGCATCAGGAATCGACATTGGGAGCCAGATCAGTACGGTGAGCAAGGGCAAGCTCCTGGCTTCGCAAAGGTCAGAGTCGTTCCTTGTGCCCTCCACTGCCGCGGACAAGGAATACTTCCCTGAGATAGTGGAGTTCCTGCCAGCAACTCAAGGTACAAGGGCAGTCCGCTTCGCGAATGGTCGGGTTGAATCCGAAATCGATGCGATCGTCTTCTGCACCGGCTATCTCTACTCGTTCCCATTTCTGTCATCCCTAGATCCTCCGCTTATCACGGACGGTCGCAGAACATTAAACACCTATCAGCATCTTTTCTACACATACGATCCCACCCTAGTTCTACCGGCGCTGCCGCAGAGGGTCATACCTTTCCCATTGTCCGAGAACCAGGCTGCTGTTTATGCCCGAGTCTGGTCTGGCCGACTTGCGCTGCCATCTCTCATCGAAATGGAAGACTGGGAGAAGTTAACCGTGGCACAAAAGGGTAACGGGACCTCCTTCCACCTCTTGCCCTTCCCCCTTGACGCAAATTACATGAACTTCCTCTATGAGTGGGCGTCCCAGGCATCGCCTCGCCCTGGTCTTCTGAATGACGGCAATGGGAAGGTAGGGAACTACTGGGGAGAGCAAGAGAAATGGCTGCGGCAGTTGTTCCCCGAAATTCGAAGAGAATTTATTGCAAAGGGTGAGGCAAGGAAACGAATTACAAGCCTTGAGAAGCTTGGCTATGATTTTGAACAATGGAAACGGAGCCAGGAGGAATCCTCCGTGAAGTTATAAAATAGACGCTACTAGATAGACTTGCTAGCCATGTTGCCTGAGGCAAATTTTGTAAATATAGATGGCCAGGCTTAGGTAGAAGTTAGAACCTAGAGAGATGAAATCCGAGTACCATCCATGAACGTTCCTCGGAGACTCAGATCCTCTGCTTTTGAAAGATGAGCATATTTGCCAAACACTATACTGCCATTGAATGCTAGCATCACTCTGAGGTAAGTTGAGGCTATTCAGGCACCGTTGCAGAGGGAACCGGAGAGGCCGTCATTGATGGGCGGCCTTGGGCGATAAGGCGTCACGTGCCGGCGATCATCCGCTGCCCGTCGCCCGAGTTCATTATTCCATCCATCCATTCATTCCTTTACCCTCATACTTTCTCACTTGCCCTCGTCCTCTTCACCCCCCCCCCCCCCCCCCCCACCCTCGCCAAGTTCCTCTGCAAGTCCCCGCTGCATCGGTCTTTTGCAGGTAACACCCACAAATTCCTTATTCACTGCACCCCCACTTTTATCAACTCCTGTACCTGTGTTATTCTTGAACCTCCGCCATGGTCTCCACTTCGCCGATGTCCTCTGGACGCGCATAATGGGGTGCCGGCGCAAGTCCTCTTCTCCTGTAATTTTAAACTCCACGGACGAAACCAAAAGACCCCAACGGAAGCAGAATTTCGTCATTATCTCTAGCGAGGACGAAAACGACGACAACCATTCAAGTTCCAATTTAGACGACGACGAATGGTACATCAATTGTATTCTTGACGAGACCGAGTCACAGTACCTGATTGACTGGGAAGGAGATTGGTCACCAAGTTGGGTGAGTCGCCTTCCCTGCCCGCTTGTCGTGCATTGTTCTTGGGTAAGCCTGTTCGACTTGAACTGCGACTAATAGGGATCCTGTTGAACAGGAACCCAAGGAGCACGCCAGTGAGCTTGCTATTCAGACTTGGGAAGAAACGAAGAGACAGGCCCACTCCAGGCCAAGTAGTTCTATTGAAATAGAACAGTTTGAATCATCTGTCCGACGACCCCAAAGTCGCAACAGGGAATTCCCGGGTCTGTCAGAGCAAGATTCAGAACGCGAGGACTCTCCTCTATTTATTCCAATTGACACAGTATCTGAAACACCGCAAATTGAAGTGACCAGCGAAGTCTCCGACACATCTGTCATAGAGCAATCGCCAGAGCCAGCTAGACTTGGAAGCATTGACTCGGAGGCTTATTTTGAACTTAGCTCATCATCGCCACCTCAATCTGACATCTTTGGATACACGTCCAAGTTTGTCATTCCTGCAGAGTATCAGCTTCCAGACGAAATCCCAGATACCTGCGCCATCCCGAATACTCCAAGTAATCCCGGGCACGCTTCACTCACTACTGACCGACAAATACCGAATTCGGACAGGGTACCAGTTTCAGAATTTACCAAGGATTCTGGAAAGCCCGAGTCTGCTAATTTTTCCGTCAGTCGGACTCAAGAAGTGAACGAAATAGCCGAGACTCCTTCTGGTCCGTTAAGCATTCCTGAGAGCCAGTGGTCGCAAATACACACTGAATCAAAAGGCTCTTGCTCACAGTGCTCTCATAGGACTTTCAGCTATCGGTCTATCATCAGCACTCTAGTCTCACAGATCTATCGCTCCGGTAATTTGTCTTCCGCAGGGGATCGACCCTACACTGGTATCTCTGATGGTTTTCACTAACTTCCTCCCAAGGCGGCAATACCCCTTCTCAACGCACGAAGTCAATACCAGACTCGTATCCAGACAACAAGATACCAAGCCAAGAGTCAATACACATATCACAGATTATTTCGACAACCGAAGTCACCGTTGAAGCCATGGAGGATGAAAAAGATCCCCAGTTAATTGACACCATGGACAGATATGACAAATTTGACGGTGCCACGCCAAGGGAAAAATTGAAAAATGCATATGCTCAACTCAACGCTAGACTTAGTACTCCGGTCATCCAGAGTAACGATGCAAGTGCCACGCCGTCCTCCGCAGGAGATATTGAGCCTACAGCTTCTGCTCCTGTGCCGGAAACGGCCGCGCCTCTAAGTGTCAGAGTGGATAGAGAGCATGGCAGCCACACACAAACAGATGCCACGTCAGCTATCCCTGCGCCGTCCGCGGAAGAGCCTGTACTGGAGCTCTCTCCACGACACGACGTGCAAACGATTCAACCCAGCGCACTTGCAGTTAATAACGCCGAGGAGATACTCCCGGGGTCTGTCCATCTCGGTCCATCTGAATTTGCTGTGACGCTCCCGATGGACTCCAGAGTCAAGGATAGCTATGAGAAAGTCTTGGCTAGTGAATCGCAAGGCATCCGTGAGTTTCTCAAGATTTCGAGCTCTCACGATGAAGTAGCTGAAAATAAGGTAAGCCCAATTCAAACCCCCAATTCTAAACATAAACCTTTTAAGGCGATTATTCTAAAAGTTTGCCCAGATGGAAAGCCTTAAACTGAAGGTACACGACGTGCTTAAAAATTTGAGCAACGTTGCAACACACCCAGATCCGAATCTCAGTGCAACGGATTTGGCGCAGGAAGCTGCATGGGCTGAGTATAACAGCGCAAAGTTCCTGCTCTTAGGTTATCTCGTGCAGCTTGCGAGTAGCCGTGACATCCACTTGGTAATCCTGGTCCATGGGGAGAAGTCTCAGAAAGTTGTCGAACGCTACCTGACAGGTAAGGGTCTTGTCTACACGCGGCCGCGCGAAGAGATGGGACCTGGGACCAACCTCGAAATCTCCATGATTAAAAATTCTTTGAGTTTCGGGATACAGTCGACTCGCAATGATGGAATTATGGAAACCTACAAAAGGCCTTCTGCAATTATCTCGCTAGACTCCTCCTTCAACGCAAAAAGCCCATCGGTGGAGCATATGCGCACCACTTTCGCGCGAAATGGAAATCTGCTTCCCGTGATCCGGCTCATTATCGCAAATTCAAGTGAGCATGTTGAGCTGTGCTTCCCTAACCTTGAGCAAATCCAGCAGCTACGTTTGGTCATCCAGTATACCATGCATCTTTGTGATATAGTGGGTGACCTCCAGGACGACGCTCTCGGTGTGCGCGAGGATATAGACGAAATTCTCTGTTGTCTCCTGTCTGATAACTTCAACTCCCACTGGTCACTGCCCCAGGTCGAGCCGCTACATATCGTCAGCCCGGAGGAACTGGAATCCCTTCCAGTCGAAAGCCAAGGCAGAGCAGATGTTGAAAGCGCGTCCATCACGCCAGCACCAAGCCAGAAACGTGCATTTGTAAGTCATACAACCCGAAGTCTGCCTACACCCATGTGTAACCTATGGATGACACTACTAACATACGGATAGGACGTGGAAGAAAACGAGGAGCAAGCCTCCAAAAGACTCAGAGCCGATACATCACAAGACCCTACCCAGCTCACGGAATCCTCCAAATTCCCCAGTCAGACATTGGACCGTGACATTCAAGCATTGGAGAAGAGCCTCATGCAAATGAGAGCCTCGCATGCCGCCGAGCGTCAGAGTCTTCAAGCATCGTTGGCTGCTGTACAATCTCGTCTGCAGGAGAAGGAGAAGGCACTCGAAACGCTCCAGCACCGCTATGAAAGCCGGACCAAGGATCTTCATAGAACCCGACAGGAGCGCGATCGACTGTCTGAAACCAAACTTGCCTCCGAGCAGAGAGTCGAGAAGCAGAAAGAAGAGCTCGGAAAACTGAGGGATGAGCGCACTCAACTAAGGCACGATCTGGAAAAGGCTCGAGAAGAGCTGAAGACTGGCGGAGGCAATGCAGCAGAGTTAGAGCCGGCACGGGAGGAAATCCGGCGCCTGACCAAGGAAAATGCCTCCTTGCAACGAAAGACAGAATACGAAAGCAAGCAGGCGGAGTATACGCGCGAGCAGTATCAAAACGCATCTACCGTGGCAGCGCAAGCCGGAAACGAAAGTCGCCAGCTGCGGGAGGAGAATGAAACGTTGAAACGCAAGGTGGCCGGCGATGTCGCTCGACTCAAAGAGCTCAACCTGAAGAGTGATGCAGAGCGGCATATGTCTCGTATCGTCGAACTGGAGTCCACCCTATCAAATCGCGACGATCTGCTGCGCAGGAAGGAAGAAGAACTGCGAGAAATCCGTAAAAACCGCCCTTCAACTCGGTCGACCAGCACCCAGCCCCGAAGCCCCAAGTGGACCGCCGGTAATAGCCGCCCTACAAGCCCCGGCATCAACAATGGTTCAGCCATTGCCGGCCGGGGCAGTGCCTTGAGGTTCAGCTCGGAAATGTCTCTCTGAGATCCTCAGGTAAACTGTCAATATTGTGTTGTCTCGGATATTGTTCCTTTGGTTTCTGCATTCTTGTTCATCTCTACCCAGCCGATACTTGTTGCTTGCATTAACAGAGCGTTTTCTTACCCCCCATTTGTCCCTTCTAGATTTTCTTAACCATGCTGAGGTAAGCATGTAGAAGCCCAGCATGTCTAGTTTTAACGAAACTGGGCGACTTGAAGAGCCCGCCCTACCGTTATTTTCTGAAGAGGATCCAATATGAATACTTAGCCCCATTGCCATTTGGTTTGCTGTCCACAGACTGTACTAGAGTGTGCAATTAGGTAATTGCTCCCATTGGGCTCAGTGGAGAGCCATCATACGATGTTGTTTCAGGACTTACTGGGCATACTCCATACAAGCAGTGAGAAGCCTTGTAAGGCACCGCATCGTCTGATCGTCGTCCCACTTGGCATATCCCGGTCTACTACGAGTCTTGGTGTTACTTGTATATTTGTATTGACATGGTCATGTATTTCATATCCTCACGTTCGTCGAATGTCCAACAAACGAACTTATTATGTTGGATACAAAGTTAAGGAGCTGACATAATATGCAGACCCATGATCGACATGGCTCCGTTGTATGAGGCGACAGCAGGAATGTCTCTCGAGGAAGAGACTGCGAGCCAAGCGCCCTGGAAAAGCGCGTCATCGATGAAATATACCAGCGTGGATAGAGCCCAAAATACCACAGTATCCCGGTAGTGATCGGCAAGCAAGGGGCACAACTCCTGTATAGTCTTTGTTGTCAACCGTCCCCGGGGCTCGGTTGGTAGCGAGAATCCGGACCATTAAGACCCTCATCCACAGTCGATCCTTGCTTGACGAGTGCTCCGAAATATCCTGATTCCGAGTCGTATAAATAGAGCCGACGAATGGCATTTTGGTGGCGTCAGCTCATGGGGTCATGAAGCAAGGGATCGGAATGTTGCCATGGCAGACAGCACTACGGACAGCAAAAGCCGGGTGGGCGAAGACCAAATAGTGCAGCTTTCTACGCAATCCCCAAACTCAATTTGACCGAAGGGAGGACACAAGGGGGTTTGAGCGGTGGCATACTGCCTGGGAAAGTCTGTTGAGGGTTGGCGCCGGTGGCCCTGTGACGATCTGCGCGTGCACGGAGGAAAAATCAGAGGGGGAAAACAAAGGATACGACGACCTGTCTAGAAGAGGAATCTGGGGTAAACTCCGACGCCTCTGCTGGACGTATCATGTTGACGGTGGGTCGGCCAGAAGAATTGGAAATGGTCCGTGTTTCAGGGCTATTTCCGACGAGATTCGGTCCAGTTGGGGCCATGAAAATAGAAAGATGGGATAACCGTCCAAGTCCCAGGCGAACACAAAGACCATTTTTCACGGCAGCTGTTTCCGGATGTCTCTTCTCCCTCTCCTGACAGCCGGATTTGATTGGAAACCCGTGGAAAGGTCATCCATGGAAGCAAGCTGAGCGGGTAGCGGAAGAACAACCATGGGTCAGGCTGGGGGTGGCTGGGGAGTCGCTTTGTGACAGGGTCCATTCTGTCGGCGTCGTCAGTGCATTGGCCAAACTCAGAGCTCCATACAGCGATGGGATGCGATGAACAGGTAGAAAGTACTCTGATGTCAAGACAGAGGGAGGGAGAGAAGGAGAGAAACACAGGCAACAGACAGGAAGAAGAGCAAATCACGGGCGATAACAGCGTTTAATAAGCTTATCGATAAGGCCCCGCTAGTCCCAAAGCGGCGCCCACGTAAACACCAAAACAGATCGGGCCTCACCGTTCAACTTGTCACTCTCGCTCTCTCTCTCTCTCTCTTCCTCTCTCTGCCTTCCCTCGTTCCCCCCCCCGCCCCCCCTGTCGTTGCGCACGTTGCCGTACGCAGGTGCTTCCCTTTTTTTCCTTTTTTCCTTTCTTTTTTTTTTCTCTCTCGTTTCTTTTCCCACTCCACCCTTTCCTCTTTTATTTATTTCCTCTCTCTCCTACCATGTCCCTCTTGACTGCTCTTCACGGCTCCTGATCCTTCCTAAGTGCCGTCCTTCCTCCGCCTCGGGGAAGCTTCACATCCCCACTCTGCCAACGCAACCTCTCCAAGGACTCGTGTCCGCCAATTGATTCGTCCTCACGCTCGGCAAGCTTTCTTCGAGATCAAGTCGCTGTCGACAATCAATTGTCGCTCGTCTCTCCCCGTGATGGCCCCGGGCGCACCTCAACTGCCCACCCGCTTCCCGTGCTGGTGCCGAGCCGTGTACTCCTGGGGCGGAGAAACCAAGCGAGATCTGGGTTTTGTGGAGGGCGATCTGATAGAATGTTTGAACGCCGGAGATGGTCAGTGGTGGATGGGCCGGCTGCGACGCGATCGGCGCATGATGGGTCTGTTTCCCTCCAACTTCGTGGAGGTGTTGAGCGAGAATTTCGTGCCGGTCAGTCGCACGGAGAGTCCGATGGGCCCGACGGCTCAGTCTCCGATCACAAATCCGACGTCCGCGCCGAAGAAACAGAAGACGGTGTTCAGAAAGCCATTTCAAGCCCATAAGGAAGCGGTTGCGCCCTCCGGGGAGATGTCCCGGAGCGGCACCTCGGCATCACCGGTAACGAGCTCCATCCCCCAGACTCCACCCCGAGATGGGAGTCTTTCGCGGAAAGTCAAGCCCCTGCGCACTCCGGCGACCCAGGTGAAACACCGAAGCTCCGTGGCTCGGCCTTCTTCGCAATCGGGATCCTCCTCGCGGACGGCCTCACCATGGACCCCACAGTCGCGACCCCAGCGAGAACCAGAGTCATCGCCCGCATCAGCAACGCCCACAGGTCATGTCATCCCCGTGGTTCGGCCTCCATCGCGCGCTGTATCCCCTCGTCCGCCGCAGGAAATAGAACTGTCGTTACCTACCATTCCCCCGGGCCCAAGCTCCGCTCGTTCCCGACCTCCGTCGCGCGCGGCGTCTCCCCGACCCCCCGATGAGATGGACTACCTCCCACCTACAGTACCACCGGCAGTCCCCATGGGATATCACCATGTTCCCTTTCGCCATACTTCCTCTCGCGAAATCTCACCTCTAGAATTACAGGAACGCGAGGATTCGCCGCCCCCGCCTCCTCCGCCCCCGCACCGAGTCGCGGTCAATCGACAGCCGTCCGTGGAGGTGGGCGTTCCGACTCGTTATGACATGAATGATCGTTATGTGACAATATCAAGAACTCCATCTCCGGCCGTGCATTCGCGTGGACATACCCCCTCTCCGCTTCGAGACGCCATGGAGGATGTGATGACATCTTTGGAGGACATGGGCTTGCAGCGAGGCGAACAGTCGGCATCCCCGCAGCCGTCATTCGACAACCCGTGGTCACCGGATGCTTATGAGACCCTGCGAGACGGCCGGCCTGCGCAACCGATGGGTCGCTCGTTGACGTCGTTGGGATTCGACGGAGATAAAGACGATCTGCCCCCAAGCGCACCGCCTCACCGAAGCAGCGTCTATCCCACGGACCATTTCCTCGATGGCCCGCCGCAGATCAACAATTACGTGCAGAGGATGGAAAGCCGGCTTCGACAGATGCAGGCGCAGAATCGACGGGGCTCGGAGGATATACACTTATCGGAAGAAGACGAAGAACCTCCTCCGCCACCCCCGAGAAATGTTCCCTATCACGGCCGGCACAATTCTGTACCGGCGCAATATTCTTCGTATCCGGCGGGCCGGCGATCAGGGCAAGATCTGAGGGGCGACATTCTTGACCGGAGCTATACGAACAAATCGAGCACAACCAACTCCTCGAGTGGGGTGCAGAGTAACAGCACAAACACGACGGCCAGCACCGAGCGAACGAGCCAGAGCTTGATGAGTGGCGCGTCCGCCGGCGGGTTCAGCGCCACCAGCGCGGGAAGTTACGCCCGGAGGAATGTCGGAGCCAACGGACGGCCCAATACGGCGGTCGACGCCTTTCGCGGCCGAGGCTTCAGCGACATCTCGCGCATGTCTCCTCGACCCGAAACCCCTCTCACCGGCATCTCCTATCACTCCAGTCACAACACGTCTCGGCAGGGTGCGTCGTCGGCAATCCCTTGGACGTCCCCCGATACGGTCACCGAAGAATCGGCCGGAGTGTTCGGTGGGCTTTCGACGCCAAAGGCCAAGAAGCATGGGTTTTTCAAGAAGATCTTCGAATCGGCCAAGACCGGCGCCGCCAATGCCAGAAGCAGCATCGCGGTTGGGCAGAATGGCGGGTCCTATTCCCCGACCAAAGGTCGGGCGATATCTCCCATTCGCTCCGCCCAGTCACACCGAGATACGGCCCGTGAGATGGGGCTGGGTAGTGCCATTGACTGGGTGCAGGTGCGGCGGGACGTGAATCGAGCAAGCTCGCCCAGCCGAAACGAGCGCGTCGAAAGGGCTGAGCGATGCCAGATGATGGATCATCCGGTGATCTATGCGGTGGAAGAGTTGTACGAGAGCGCCGAAGGCGATGAGAGCATCGACGGGCTACCGATCAGTGAGCCTACGGATTTTGCTACTGCCAATCTCAACCTCGTGGATAAGAGTGCCCGCTTTGTCAATAGCCTCCCGCCGATGACCAATCCGATGAGCCTTGCCCAAGGATACGTATGCCGGCCTTACAAAAGTGATGTGCAGCGGCTTCGGGCCCTCTTCACTTGGGTCAGTGAAAAGATCGCCTGGGATGAACCGGTGGAGGAAGTCGGCATTGACCTGAAGAGAGTCCTGCAGACCAAACGAGGGAGTCCCCAGGAGGTTGCCTTCCTTGTCCGGGAGATGTGTGCCGCCGTTGGTCTGCACGCCGAGGCCATCAAAGGGTTCCTCAAAACACCGGGCGACCTGTACGATCTAGACAACCTCTCTCGCGCGAACCATTGGTGGAACGCGGTGCTGGTTGACGGCGAATGGCGCATTATGGATTGTTCCTTGGCCAGCCCGACGAACCCGCTGAGGAACGAATTCGTCACTACCTTCTCGCCGGCGGCCGAGAACTGGTATTTCCTGGCGCGCCCTCTCGAGATCTGTTATACCCACGTGCCTCTGATCCCCGAGGAGCAGCATATCTGCCCCCAGATCTCCCTGGATGTTCTTCTCGCCCTGCCACCCGTCTGCCCGCCTTATTTCAAAATGGATATGCAATTCCCGGACTACGACACCAGCCTGGTACGGATTGACGGCCTGGAAGTCATGCAGATTCGCCTGATCGTGCCCCCCGACGTGGAGTGTGCGGCCGAGGTTGAAGCGCCCGCCTTCGCCCGCGATTCAGATGGGGACTTCTTTGAGAGTGGCGAGGTGGTTCGCAAGCGGGCCTTGGTTCAGCCCGACTGGATTCATGGCCACAAGCGAGTCACCGTCAAAGCCGTTCTACCGGGCGACGAAGGACAGGGGGTCCTGAAGGTATACGCGGGTAAGAAGGGGCTGATGCATTCCAATCGTGACATCCCTCATCCACTGGCCCTGTCAATGCCCATCATGCATAGTGGCGAGAACCCGCCGTATGAGTTTGTCCTGCGCCATCCGACTCCGCATGCCCAGCGGCACGACCTGTACATCATGCAGCCACAATGCTCCAAGTTGGCCGTCAACAACACCTTTGTGTTTGCCGTTCGCCAGCACCCGTCCTCCCTCCCGATCCCGTCTAACGGCAACGAATCCGCTTTGAGTGGCCGCGTCTCACCGTCCATCCTGACCCGACCAGCGAGCGCCCTTAGTATGGTTTCCAGCTCCGCGGGTGGCTCCTCCGTCTCCACCGTCTCGAACGAGTTCTCGGCCTCGACGTCTGCCATCTCGTCCGGCCGGTCGAATTCGGGGCGAGAGAAGCCGGCCAAGCTGGCAATCCAGTCGCCGTCAGGCAAGATCTTGCGACTGAGCCGCAAGGCCGACCACATGGTCAGCGCCACGAGCAGTGCAGACTCCGCCACCGATGCTGCGGCTGAAGGCAGCGTGTGGGAAACGGTGATCAAGATCGGGGAGCGTGGCGTGTGGAGAGGACTCGTCCTTGCCGATCGTGTTGCCCGATGGTGTGTGTTCTGTGAATGGGAATGCTTCTAAACGACATGATATCTGCAATGATTCTATGTTCCTTGATACATTTCACTTTTTCCCATCTTTCAGTTCGACCCTCTTTTTTTTTCTAATTATTCTTTTCCTTCTTTTTTGTCTTCTTGCACACCGCATGACCTTTATCTGAGAACCGAAAGCAACGTCGAGCATTTTGGATTGGCTGACTGTTTTTCATTTCCCGCATTCTTCCTTGCCTAATGGTTGCATTGCATCACTGAGCCCGGGGTTGGGGTCCTGCATGGTTGCATCATTCAAGATGTTATGTGTCATTTGATCGTTTTTTTTTTTATCTGATTTATGTGAAGGGCAAGCATGGACGGACGCAAATCTACTACATGAGTTGGAGTTACTGGAGAACATTCCTTGCGTATGGCGACTGGGTGTACAATGTGTGATTATGGACTTTTTCTTTTCTTTTCTTTTCTTTTCCATCTTCTCTTTCTTTGGCATTGTATTTCTTTTTATCTTGGACCACGACCAACCAGCGCATAGACTGATGCATGAATATTAGAACGAAAGGTTAGGCCTAACGTCATGGCCACAACCCTCACATAGTTTTGTTTTCTCTTCTGTAGGTCGTGCATTCGTAAGATAAATATAGAGAACGCCCGCATCTCGGCGCTGTCCATCATCATCGCTGTGTCATATATATGTGAATATTTATATAGAAATCATATCGGTATCAAAGCCTGTCTCCTGCCGGAGAGGTCACTGTCTCCCGGACCAGCGGAGCCACCTGTTTCCGGCTCTTTGTCACATCCCCCTGGACCCAGATCCGTCTCCAAGGGACCTGGTCACTGGATAATACGTCTCGGATAGTCTGGGCCTCGGACTGGCCATCCGCATGGGCGCTTCCCAGATCAGACCACTCCTGCAGCTGCAACTGCGATCTCGACCGAGCCTCTAGATCGCGGAGCGCATGAGCCGCGACTCCATCGTCCGGCGCACAGACAAGGAGCTCGCGCACGAACGCGCCGTCCCGCACCGACGAGCTAAACGCCGTCATCACCACGACAATGTCCAGGTTCCGCTGCTCCGCGAACACGCGCAGCGCGTCCAGGAATGCCCGCGCACTGCCCGCTTTCCGCACAATCCAGGGGATCGGCTTGACCATGGAGCAGAACCCGATGCGCACGGGTCGGTCGGGTCGCAGGGGTGACGACTCCGCCCATTGCTTGTAGTCGCGGTCGAGGATCTCATCGACCGTGAGCAGATCCAAACTGTTCTGTTTCGTTTCCTGGATCTGCGCGTAGTCTCGCTCGATGTCACTGCGCTCGGTATTTGTGGTTTCGAGCGTCTGTCGCAGGATATCCTGCGCACGCGTGTCAACCGCCGTCACCTTGTCTGCGGCGGTCATGTTGACCGTGTCGATGAGTAGCGGGGCCATGGCTAGTCGGGCAATCTGACATTCTTCCTCGGAGGGGTTCGAGTCTGCGGTAGGGGAAGAAGGCGTGGGCCACAATCCCATGGTGTGCAAGGTAGTCGTGACAAGTGAAGAGCAGGATCCGGCTTTCTCAATGACCAGGGGGTTGAGATTAGGGGCCAGAAATCCCTCATCGACGTGGTGATCGATGCAGCCGACGACGGAGAATTCGACCGTCGGAAGACCCTCTAAGCGTCCGGTTCCGCGCTGCCCATTCGTCGGACGGATCGGTAATGCGTTCCAGTCGACGAGGACCGCGTCGGCGGTGAGGTGACGGGGTGAGCCATCTGGTCCATGCTGCTGCTGCTGCTTCAGGTGTTCTGCGAAGTCTGCGACGGTGAGGATGTGGTCGCGGAGGAGGGGCCCCGCGGATTCGGGCGTGTCGTCCCACGGCTGGTCTGCCATGTTCGTGGATATCCAGAGTGCCTTGGCAAATTCAGGCCGTAGGCGACGGAGTTCTGGGCCCGAAGGGACCTTGGAGAGGTTGATGAGGGGGATATGGCGTCGGGAAGTGCGATTGGCGAAGTACGAGTAAACCAAGGCGCATACCATCGAGTCCAGATCGGCGGAGGAGTTGCCGATGACGTAGATGGGGGATTCGGCGGGAGACAAGGCCCCCGAGACGAAGCGAAGATGGGTCTGGCGCGCAGCCCGTAGCATCTGCAAGAGACTTTGCGCCATTGTGCGTAGGGGTCTGCAGTCTGCAGTCTGAAGTCTTCCAGATGAGCTGATCAGGTGGCAGAGGGCAGATGGAAGGCGGTGAAGACAGTCCAGTTATATTGCAGCAGAATCCCTCGCCGCCCGGTTCACCGCCCTTGCGGCATCGCGAAGCATCAACACTCGTCCCTCCTCGTCCCCTCAACTACTTCTCTCTTTCACCCGGTCAATTGGAGGGGCTGTTACATGTTCTGATTCCGGTCAGTGCATAGCTCTTCACCGAAGTATACTTCTGACTAACCCTGGCAGATTTCTTACTATACTCTCTCCGTTCATCCACTAGTAGTACGAATATATAGTTCCGAAACTACCATCCTATACAACTCAAACAGTGAAGCGAGCACCTGAATCTCCCCTCTCACAATGTGCTTTTCCCTCCCAGAAGCATTCGCCAAAATCCCTCGCCATCCTTTCCTATACTCGCACCCCTCCCCGATCCATCCCCTCCCCGCTCTATCAACCCTGCTCACTCGCACCCACCACCACCCCACTACTAACGCCCCATCCATCTCACTCTTCGCCAAGCGTGAAGACCAATGCTCCCCGCTCGCCTGCTCGGGCAACAAATACCGCAAACTCGAATACATCGTGCCGCACATCCAGCGCGGATGCGCACACCAGCCCGACGGAACGGACATCCCCGACGTGACCCCCACCACGCTGGTCACCGAGGGCGCCGTCCAAAGCAACCACACGGTGCAGGTCGCCGCCGTGGCGACCCAGCTGGGCCTGGACGCCGTGGTGGTCCTGCACAAGAGCACAGGGGGCGGGCTGGCCTCGACGACCGATGCGCCGGCGTTCCTGCGCACCGGGAACGTGCAGGTCGACCGGCTGCTGGGCGCGGATGTGCGGCTGCTCGAGTCCGACAATGTCGCGGACGACGGGTCGGATCCCATCGCGCCGATCATGGCGGACCTGTGGCGGCGGGGGAAGGTCCCCTACTGGATCCCGTCGGGGGCGAGTTTGCACCCCTTGGGTGGGCTGGGGTATGCGCGGTGTGCGTTTGAGATCGCGGAGCAGGAGGAAGAGCAGCTGGGCGGGGAGGGTCGGCGGTTTGACTATGTCTTTGTGGCCTGTGGGAGTGGGAGCACGGTGGCGGGGTTGATTGCTGGGTTCAAGTTGTTGGAGAAGATGGAGGTGCGGCGGACGGGCGCGTCGTTGGGGACGTCGTCGCGCAGAGTCATTGGCATCTTGAATTCGCCCACGAAACCGCGCGAATACCACGAGGGGAGGGTACTGCAGTTTGCGCGGCGCGCGGCCGTCCAGATTGGCTTGGACGCGGAGGATATCACGGCAGACGACGTGCGGTTGGACGATCGGTTTGCCGGAACGGGATATGGCGTGCTCGATCCCAAGACCAAGGAGACGTTGGCGTTGATGGCCCAGCGCGAGGGTGTTCTTCTGGATCCGGTCTATACGGCCAAAGTGGCAAGAGGCATGGCGCATTGGGTGCAGCAGGGAGACATCGCAAGGGACTGGCCGAGCCAGTCTAGGGATCCCCATCCGATCAATGCCCTTTTCATTCATACTGGTGGGCAGTCGGCCCTGGGCGCTTACGCTGACGTTGAATGACTTAGGAGTGGAGGATAAACTAAAAGGTCTATTTCATTAGGGATACAGAAAACGTGGTTCGCGTAGTATCACACTCAACATGCAAGCAAAGACGAGCAGGAGCCAAGGAGATATCCGGCATGACCACTGCCAGGAACAGTGCGAGTTCCGCTGAACCTGGTTCGAGCAGAATCACTGAGAGGCCATGTCGAATAAGAACGAAAGCAAAAGACAATAGAAGATCATGAAGCAAAGAACGGAGCACAGAAGCACATCCCAGGTATGCAGAGGCCAATCAGCTCTCCCCGCCATTTCGCCGGTGCCTGGGATACACGGAGCTCATAAGAAACAGAAACACAGAAGGTAAATATCAACAGCAAAGAACCATATCAAGAACATAAACACCGTTAGGACTCATACATCGCAAAGCAGGGAAGAGACCACCGGGTGACTAGTAAACGCCACAAAATGCCTGCCGAGAAGGTGATGGATTCGACGTCGAGGACTCGTCAAAAAACAAAAAGCACAACAGTGATAAAAAGGTGATAGAAAAAAAAAAAAAAAAAAAGGAATCAAACCCTCTCTCATGAAAGCCCCCGCTAATTTTGATCACAAAAAGTAGAAGACAAAAGAAAATAGTAGAACTCCGAGTTGAATTCCCCGTTCATGGTGGGTGTTAAGCCAAGTCTGCGGTGGATGCAACTTCTGATTCAGCCAAAGCCTTGACGGCTCCATTGGGTTTACTGTCCGGTGAAGCTTCATCCTCCGTGGGATCAGAATGATCCTCATTGCTCGCATCGAGCGCCTCCAGCGCCTCGTTGGCGTGGGTGTTCTCCATAGGCTCTAGTTCGGGCTCTGGTTCCTGCTGTGGTTCCGGATCCGGTTCAACGTCTTGGTTCGTCAGGTCTGCAAACACATCGTCTAGATCCTGTCGCGGACTGCTATCGAACGGGTCTTGATGATCGACGTCCACACCCGGGGTCGTGTCGTTTTGGTCCCGAGTAAACTGAGGAGAGCTGAAGAGTGACGTATCCAGCCCTCTATGATGTGGGGAGGGAGACCGAGCGGGAAACGAAGGAGAATGTGCTGCAGCGTGAGGTAGAAATGCCGAGGAATTCGGTGCGAAAGCTGGCGTGGAGTCGTTGCCCGGAAGGGAATAATTGGCAGAGAAGGGGTAAGGCGGGTTTTGGGAGTCCGACAGCGTGGCCAAGGTAGGGTCGGAGCGATAGGCATCGGGATGAGGGCCACCGCCAGGAGTGTGAGGTGCAGGCAGGAGAAGTGGAGGTTTGCTTATCGGGGAGTCGATGGATCTGCGTTTGCCGAGACTGGGATGTTTCGAGCGCAGGTGAGGCGGGAGGTCTTCAGGGCGTTCCACGCCCAACTGTGCCATGATCTTTTGTTGCTTCGTCGGCCGCGGCTTGCGAGTGGAAAGAGACTGCTCTAGGATCGGCGGGGCTTCTGGAGCCACAGGCGCCCACTTATGGATCTCTTGCCGGAAGAAATTTGTCTCGTACGCCAATAAAACCTCGGCGCCCTCGATCTTCCGCAAATAGAATATCAGGGTCGGAACTTCCTCGGTAGTGGTGCAGGCAGCGTTGGTGAAGCTCTGGAGAAAGTCACGGAAGGTAGTCGCTTGATTGAGAATATTATCCAGAATCTCTTCTTCATCAGGCTGGAACGGCAGACAAGCAATCTCCGCCTGCCATTCCTGAAGATCCTCAAGCTTGGGGCGAGCGGCATCACGCGGAATCTTTTGGCGCCAATCGCAGATCGGACAGGTGTATTTGTCGAACTCCTTGACTTTCCCTCTCGCGATCTTCAAGCACTTGCCGTGATACCTACGAAGAGTGGCTATTAGCAAAGGGGGTGTTGTTTGTTTCACCTGCAGGGACGAAAACGCTTACCATTCGTGGCAGACCTCACACTCAATCATCATCCCCGCCTCAGAATGCCGGCAAATGCAGAACACATCCCGTTTCCGTGACTTCCCTCCACCCCACATGCTGGGGGCAGTGTTGTTCTCTAGTAGACCGTCCGGGCTGTTGTCCCTAGAGGCCGGTTCGACCGGAGGCCGACACCGATCTTCCAGATCAAAACAGTAAGAGTTTCTCTTTTCAACGTACTCCATGTGGGATTTCAAAATGTGAAGCGGAGCGTTGGCCTTTCCAAACAATTTCTTGCCCTTCCGCATCCAGTCCTCGTGGCGTTTCTGTTCTCGTTCCAGGTCAAGGGCACCGGTTGGCCGGCTGTTTAGTTCTTCCAGAGACTCCATAAGTTCACGGACCTCTTTGTACTTGGGACGCTTTCGAAGGTCAGGATCCCTACTCCGTTCATACAGGGATTGGATCTTTTTTTGCGCCTCACGCTGCTTTGTCAATATGGCATCCACGGCCGCAAGGGTCTCGGGCGAGACGGGGAAGCGGGATGCCTGCGCGGACAGAGCTTCGAGCTGTTGATAATGGACCGCCTCAACGGACATCAGTTCCTTGGCTTTCGCTTCCCAGGCCTCACCATGGCGGCAAAGGTCCCTAAGATAGAGGAGGTGGTCATTAGTGTCCGAGAGTCCTAGTTGCTCGCCGGCGAGGATAAGTTCTTGGCAGTCCTTGAGGGTCAAATATTGTTCACGCCTGCGGCGCGCTTCGTCGTTCCATTTCATCTGCCGGAGGATGTGTTCCAGTCCTTCTACCTCGGGTATCTCCACGTTGAAATTGCGGGAGGCCTCCACTAGGTCTTCTACTTCCTGGACCGATCGGATATGGGGGTTCATGAGGGCACCGTTAACGTCCTGGCGGAATTTCTCGATCTCGCGGGTCTTTTCTTCCAGAGTCGCCATCTGTGGACAGTCGAACGACAGTTTATCAGCCTCTGCAAGAAGGGCGTAGATGTTTTCTACTCTGCGAACTTCACGATCACGTTCTTCCAGCTGTGCGGCCTTAGAAGTACTCCTGCGCCAAGCCTTCTCGTTCTTCCTCCGGTTCTGCTGCTTCCGGGTGATATAATTGGTTGCTTCTTCAACCCATTTATCGCAGCGCTGAACGAAGGCCGCAAGATCTTGGAGACCAGGCAAATGGTATGGGATTTTCTCACCTTCATGTAGTAGGGTATGAAGGACCTTCAGCTGGGGCCTAGGATCTTCTTCCAGAGTCTTGTCACGCTTCTCACCCCATGCTTCCGGGATTCTGGCACGTTCCTGAATCTTTTGCACCAAGGACCTCAACTCGTCATCGCTAATCCGGTAACGCAGTGTGTGGTCCGGTCCAAGTAGCCTTTGGGTAAGCGGCTCTCCACAACAGTCGTAAGTATCCACGTGTATCAGGCACACGGTCTTCCCGGTCCTATGGCAGCGAAATTGCGTCAGGTAGCTAAGAGCCTTGCAGAACTGGCACTGGTAGTCCTCCTCGGGAAGGTCTTCCTCTTCAACGATGAGCTTCAGTTGACAACCGCCAGCAGGCGGAGGCTCCCGGGATCCGAGAGAGCAGTTGTGAGGCGCGACCTCTCGATGTCGGACTGCGAACGAGGCTCGCTCAGCCAGCTCACGCGCGCAGGTTCTCTGGAGCGCGGGGGACAGCCACCTAGCGGTTTTGATCGATGGGTCACGAGCCGCTGCATTCAATAGCAACTCGTCGTGCGAGAAGCATGGATGACGCCGGAAGGCCTGTAAACGCTCGACGCCCATTGCGCCCCACGGCTCCCAGTCTGCCGGTGCAAAGTTGACCGCTTCATTGAAGTTGAAGCCGTGGTTGAACCCAGCATGATACGCTTGCGGAAAAGTGATGACAAATTGCCCAGCTCTTTGATCAAGTGCATAGACGTTGACACCGGCCTTCCGGAGCTGGTCTGGCGGCATCAGAGTGACAAGCTGGAAAAGCAAGTCAGGCTGACCTTCGAAAAGCTCTGGAACAGCCTGTCGCATTGCCTCTTCGAATGCTTCGGCATCCGCCCCGGGAATCCCGTACCAGGTTTTGGTAGCGCCAAAGTGCTGGTAATTAGCGGAATAGGCGTAATGGTCCTCATTGTGCCAGCAGAAAGTTGAGAAGCACATGCCGACATACACCCAGGGAACCGTCATGCCGGAGATATCAGACTTGATATGGCGGAAGAGGGAGTCCCCGTGGAATGGGAGAACGTTTAGATTCCAAGGGTCAGTTGAATAATGGTCGAGCGGATTTCGTTCGATCGTGGGGAATCCACTTCCATGAGTAGTTGAGTGGATGTCGGCACCGTATTCGACCTCAACCGTCTCCGTCAGACTCTCTACTAACCGCCAAAACTCCCTTTCCACGTCATCTTCGGACTCGCGCCGATGAGTGTTGAGAACAGGATCAAACGGCATCTTGGAGGAAAAGTAATTTTTCTTAAAATTATGGGCCTTCTCCTGGAATTGCTTCAGGGAATAGACCCCTCCTTCTTCGAAACCGAACTCCCCAGTGCCGACAAGACACTTGGGGCAGTGCCAATCATATTCAGGGACAGTTGTCAAGGGAGGATCGAGGCATTGCTTATGGTACCCGTGGTCACAACTATCACACACGAGGATAGAGGATCGATCTTCTGACTTTCCACAATTTTCGCACTTCTAAAAATTCATTTAGTATCTGAGATATAGCGAGTACGTGCCTGTTGGGGAACTTACCTCGCCGGTTTTGCGGCTGTCACTCCTGCGCGGCCGTGGTGGGGTGGGACGCAGAAGACTCATGTGTGAACCAGCGACAGTTGGTGGAGCATCTGCATGGAGAACATCAGAAATGGTTGCTTCTCGATTGGTTCGATCTTTTTCTGACATACCCTTTCGGAGGCGCTTGCTTCGTCGGCCGTTTGGATCATCGCCGTTGTCAGTTTGCGAACCGCTTTCGTGGCTGATCGCGCGTTTCATAGGATGGCCTCCGTGGCCATTAGAAACAGGCGTTGACGTGGCAGGGTGTTCTGCGACACTTTTCGGAGTAAGAGACCCATTCTCGGTTTCCCGTTTTACCGGAGGAGCACTGTTCACGGCGACAAAAGAAGGGGATTGGTTGACAGCAGTGAAGCCGGAACTGGCATTGACGGGTGTAAAACCGGAGGCGATGGGCCGAGGAGGAGTAGGCTCAACCGCTGGCGGGGGTTTATCAGGGGTTGGCTCATACTCCTTCGGAGTGCTCTGAGGAGCCACGGCCGCCATGCCCAGTGCGCTTTGGGGCGTCGCCGAAGGAGTACGGGTTTCCGGCGGTATCGGCTTCTTGGTCATAGGCGAATGGTTGGGCGACGGAGTGTAAGGCCCACCATGTTCCAGCTCCAGTTGCTGCTGCACTCCAGGCTTAGCCACCCGGAGATATTCCTCGTACGGTTGGAGCCATCTCTGATAGGAATTTTTCAGTGATGTCGAAAGAGAAGACATGATCTTGCCGCTATAGCCCAGATCGCGACCAATCTCCGCCCATTTCTTCATCTTGCAGACCTGATCAAAACCACCCCGGACTTCGACCGCCTTTTTCAATTTGTACAGATCCAGAGGTCGCTTATCGACACTCGGAAAGCGATTGAGATTGGTACCATTTTGTTTGTGATACTTGGCCAACTGGTCGAGGTAGTTCAAGTTTGCACGAGTACCTGGGTTCGGGTCAGAACTGGGCTGCGGAGTTCCACCGGCAGCGAACGTGGCTGAACGCGGGGGCATACCTCCTTCAACCGAGTTAAGCTCCTGTCGACGAGTTTTGAAGTGGAAGCGCTAGGAAAGCACGTTGTTAGCTTTATTATTTCGCGAGAAAAACACGCATTGAGCCGCTAAGGGGAACGCGGCACTCGTGCCGAGGGGGAAGGAACACAATGAACGCTCTCGAGCATACCTCTGTGTCGATAGCAAAGGTGGGTTGCCATCCTTCGGGTGGAATAACCCTGCAAATTCCATATTTTTTGCCTTCAGGCGCGATCTTTCGAATGTATGCTTCCGGATCCCGGAATTCCTCCTCGGTTGGACGAAAGGTAGGGGCTTCTTGCAGACCGTGAGGGCGGATTCGTTTGCTCGGTTCTCGAGGGGCATTGGGCTGTCCTCGTCGCTCGACCGTGGACAGATCCAGAGGGGCAGAGCGCCGAGCGCTCAAAGGTACATTGTGAGAATGCGATATGTGGGTGCTGGAGGATCGGGGAGGATGACGGCTGGCCGAAGGCTGCAAGCCTGTCGAGTTGCCTCCCGTTGAGGCCGGGGCCACCATTTCTAAGAAGCGACGGCCTAATTGAGAGCGAAGGGAAATATCGCGCCTGTTTTATCGCGGACGGAAGGGGGCAATCATCCGATGCGAAAAACACATAGGACGATCGAAAGGCCGGGAAGAGGGTAAGGTGAAATGAAGACAGAGAACGAGAGAGATATAGAGAGTTGGAAAGACCGCCCGCCGATGCCAAAGGCTGGGGGGGAGAGAGGGTGGGTGGGGAGAAGCGAGGGAGAAGAGGGAGAAGTGGTGAAGGGAGCGGACGCGAGAGGATTGGCAGATCGATGTTCAAGGGAAGACCGAGATGAGCCCGGGAGGGTTAGTGTGGAGACACTCGGAAGAGTGAAAGTACGTCGTGGTAGTGAAAAGAAATCGGTCCCCCAAGTCAGCCTAGAGAGCCGTCGAGGTGGTCGTTAGGCCGGGCCAGGATTAGCAGGGACTAGGTCGAAGCTATGAAAGTAATGATACTAGTGAATCAGCACGCAGTCACCATTGGAGGATTGAATCGGAGTAGCTTCGTTAGTAGGCCGTCGGGTCAGATTGGAGGGATCGGGGAATGGGTAAAGGTGTAAAAAAAAAAAAAAAAAAAAAAAAAGTCCAGGTCATAAAACAGGCGTGGGTTAGGTAAGCCCAGCGATTTGAATCAACTAGGACCCAGGAGTATCATATAGAAGAATAACCATATGTATAGATACTCCGTATAGATCATTTTGGAGCCCGAGAGGTTCCCATTGCAAAGGAGTGGACGTACATACCGTGGGGAGTGGAGTGGATAATGATGGGTATACATCCAAGGGCTGGAGTCGGATGGAAGTGGAGCGAACACTAGCCAGAGCGATGATGAAAAGGCGAGGAACGGAGGGGAACAAGAAACGAAAAAAGAAAAGGGAAAAAGGAAAGAGAGAGACGAGAGGAAAGCGAGCCAGACCAGCCAAGGATTCAGGAAGGGGGGAGGGGGAGAGAAGAGAAGGGAAAAAAGGGAAAAAAAAGGAATCCATGAGTTGCATCTGGCAGCCTCAGGCCCACGCAGCGAAACCATTCTTACGGTATGGAAAGATATTGCGGCCGCAAACGGTGATGTAACGAGATGCCGCCAAGAACGGGGGAGTGCAACCTTAGTACGAGTGGTGCTCCGTACAGTGTTTAAGATTTGATGAACACTGGCCGTACGCGCCATTACGAGGATACCCACCGGTACGCTGGCGGTCCTCGAGGACGGTAACAATACCGGGATACGGGCTGGTGCCTCTACTTAGTTTCAACTACAGTGGACGGAGGCGCCCTTTTTCCCTTTTCCCTTTTCTCTCCTGCATGCGAAATCGATTAGCAGGTCTACCCGATGCTCAATCTGAACCCAGTCTTGATTGCCAACCGGCCATCAGCCCACTTTGCATCCCACCGGAGTGCCGACATTTTCCCGCCGGCTGGTCGCTCCCCAATCCTCCCATGCCTCGGCAGACCGTGGCCATCTTACCCTGACCTGACTAACTACGACGTACGATAGTTACGCATTCTTCTTCCTACGTGACACGTCAACCATGGACCGCATCCGACTAAAAGTCGTCCAACGTCCCCAAACAATTCGGGAAAATCCTGTTTAGGGTTACGGGGGGCCAATATGAACCAGGAAAACTCCCCCCAGCCCTTGTCGGTGGAATGATACCTGGTCCCTCCTAGTGGCGCCTTGTGGTTGCCCCCTCCTCCCATGCAGGGCAGCCTAAAGGTCAAGAACGCGAGATCGCGATGTCTTTAATGATACGGAACTTCCGGTTCTCTACTGCGTAGGTCCCTAGGTACACCTACCTAGGTAAGGTAGGTAGTATAGTATAGAATCCAGGATCCTTGATCGGTCATTTCACTGCTTGGATGACGGCCGGCGCCGTCGGTCTGCGCGTGACCCGCCTCAAAATAGAAAGAGGTCAGGTTTAGGTATATTAATCATCCCCCGTCCTGGGATTCTGGCGTTGAGTCTCGGATGTACCGGAGTCATTACTGACTTAATTGCCCGGTGGAAAGAGTGTAAACAAATGGTTGGAGTTCGGATAATTCTGCAGTTTCATAGGACGAATATAGAAGCGTTCTCCTTCGGAACTGACCGGATTTACGCCGTAGACCGCTCCAAGCTAGAGAGCTGCATGTCCGGATGGCAGACACGACGTAGAGACGAGAGAAGTCGAGAGACGACGGACTGTGGAGAAGCGAACGCCGTCGATCTGCCCGGCGGCGGCCTCAGGCCCCAACGCGGAATGCCGCCGACGTCGCCGCGCAGAACGGATGTAGATAGATTGTCATCACAAACACCTCCCCCAACCCAAGGCAAGTGGCTGCGATCGTCAATCAGAAGAAAGTGGACTCCAAACACTCTATCAGCTGCTTACTCCCGTGGCCGATCGCGTCGCTTGATCCAAGGCTTCGTTAGCAACTTGTCACCATGGCGGATGCCCAGGGCAACCACACAAAGCCAATCCCGGCCTTCTATTGTTGCTATCTACTTCGGTCCACCGTGAAGCCGAAGTCGATGTACATTGGCTCGACACCTCATCCTGCTCGGCGTCTCGCCCAGCATAATGGTCTCGCCAAAGGAGGCGCGCGCAAAACCGCAAATGACAAGAGACCCTGGGAAATGGTTGTCATCGTCGAGGGATTCACAAGCCGCATTGCTGCGCTGCAGTTTGAGTACGTGCTGCCTGCTTTACCCTTTCATGCGAAATCTGTGCCAAATAGCTGACCGATTCTAGATGGGCGTGGCAGCACCAGAAAAATTCTCGCCACCATGTTGACTCGGACGACGAGAAGGCCAAAACTTCGTCCAAGGGTGGTCTCGACTCTGGCAAAACAACGAAGGTCCGCCGCTCCCATGTTCTCAAAGTATCGCTGAGCGCTCGTTTGGGCACCCTGCATACACTGCTTCGATCAAATCTTTTTTCAGGCTGGCCTCTTAAGGTCCGATACTTTGCTGCCGACGTCTACAAGGCGTGGCAAGGCTGGTGTGACCGTGTAGATGGTTTTCTGCCAGACCATGTGGCGGTCATCCCCGACGGCGATTGCCCTGAGGCGTACAGGCCGCATAACTCCAGTGACCCCAGAGTAGGAGCCATCCATTGCATCAAGCCTGATTACAAGCGATTTCAAGATTATGCGGAGAAGGCGGCAGTTCTACTTAATAATCCCGGGATCCTATGCAAAATCTGTGAGCTATCGGTCGTTCCGGACACTGAAATGGTGGTTGTTTGTTCAGAAACTAAATGCGACTGCGTCACTCATCTAACGTGTCTATCAAATCAATTTCTAGATTCTGCTAATGACCCGGACCTTTTGGTGCCCCGTTCTGGTCCATGTCCCGCATGCTACAAAACTGTCCAATGGCCTTTAATGATGCAAGAATTGACCCTTCGGAAACGCGGTGGAAACCAATGGCAGAAGATTCTCCCAAAGAAGAAAAAAGAAACGAAAAGAACCAATACCGCTGCCAAGCCGAGGACCAAAAAAGGCCAGAGAGCCGCCAGTGAATGTTTGCCTGGAGCGACTGAACCCGCAGATCATCAGGCAAATGACGACTTAGATGAAGATGCGCAGGATGATGTGTCCTTAGATGAGAACTGGAGTGATCTTCTAGACTTCGAATCGGATTCCGAGCGTGAAGATCCGCCTGGATCCCAGCAGGTATCTGAAAGGGTCGAAATAGTCATCAAAGATAGCGACGATGATGAGGAAGAGGTCTTCGCATGATAATTCTGATGATCCGGGGCGTCATGGCTGGTATCGGGAGTAGTTTAAGCCGCAAATCGCTCCAGCTTCCTTAAAGACCCGATATCACCTAAGCGGGCTATGCGTTCCGCTACGGCTTTTTGAATGTCCTGCGACACCTCCTCGAACTGTCTCCCTGCATCAATGACACGGATGTCACCGCTTGGCTGCAGGCCGAAGATGGTTCCAAACAGCTCACGCACTCGTTTTTGCATGGGTTCGTTCTCATAGCGCTCCACACCGAAACCACCTCGCTTGGCCGCTTCTTCGGGGGAGATCTGTAAGAAGAGGCATATGTCGGGGCGGGGCAAACCAATTTCTGGTAGCCATGCCCATTCAAGAGAGAGGTTCGGGTTCCCCTTTGCAGCGGAGTAAACCGCACCGGAGTACGAGTAACGGTCAACTATCACGGTGGTTCCGCTAGCAATGTCTTCCTCGATCGCCTTGGCGGCCTCCCAGCGATTGGCCGAGAAAAGAAGATGAATTGAGTGGTCATCTAACTGCGACTGGCCCCTTAAATAGCCGTCGATCATCTTGCCAATAGGCGTGGTTCGGTCTGGGAAGTGGACGGGTCAGAATGGACTATTGCATAGGTGAACTCCTTTGAAAGAGACAGGGCCTACCTGGAAACCGAACATATTTAACAGGGTGCCCTGATGCCTGGAGGGAGTTGCGCAACGCCTCACACTGGCTCGATTTACCCGCGCGATCTAAGCCTTCGACAACAAGGAGAGCCCCGCGCTGTGGTTGTCCATGACTGGCGAGTTCTGCCATGTTCAGCGGCCCAGAACGTATAATCCGGGATGAGAACAAATAAAAGCAGCCGATTGCGCAGAGATCGGCTGGTGGTGAAGTGCGCCGGCGAAGGATGCGGAGTGTCGGTGGTTTGAGAGCGGAACCGGCTTGGTTTATTTCTCAGGCATCCATCCCGCTGGAATTCGTTTTCTCCGACGAACATCGGCTTTTCCCTTCCTGCTTTCCCGCGGTCTCTTCTTTTCGACCTGACCTGTCTCATCCACGTTCCTCATCGACATGGACCCCGAGGCCCCATCTCAGTCTCGCGACGAGATGCTCAGTTTCAGTCTTCTGAATCCCACCTCGGCCTCCACCTTAACCCCGCGGCTGGGCAATCTGGCCATCGCAGGCCGAAACCCCATTTCCACGCCGCACTACATTCCCCTGACATCCCGAGGCGCGGTGCCACATGTTGCGCATGATGTGATGCTTAAACAGACTGCCATCGGCAGTTTGTATTTTGGACTGGAAGATTGTAGGTCTAGGTCTCGTCTTTGTTTATCGTGATCCGCAGCCAGAGGGCTGACTGGTGATGCCCATGGGGGCTCAGATCAGTCATAGAGAAGCAAAACCAAAAGAACAAATCCCTTCCAATTTACCAGGTTCCTACGGAATCGCACGAGTCGGCTTTGCGCAAGTTCACTTGCTTTCCCGAAGACTTGCTATTAGTCCTAGGACCACGTCGCGTGCCTCCGATCCCGACCCCTCCGATGAACACGGACAACTCGATCGCCATCATGACGGCTTTTGGATTCCGACAGCTAGACGCAAACCAATATGTTGAGGCCGTGCAGAATTTGCGACCGGATATTGTGGTTGGGCTGGCGGATTTGGTTGTAGGACAACGGCCTGGGTACAAAAGGCGGGGAAAGATGGTCGATCGGACCCATGCCTTCGCGATGCATGCCACCGAAAATTTATACGGACAGGCGGTCTCAGAAGAGAACCGCTCCAAGACAGCCTATTTCGCGCCGGTGCTGCCGCTGGACAATGCCGAGCAGATGATATATCTGGATGAGCTAGAAAGTGATCTGCGACCACACATCTCAGGCCTTGCCTTGTACGAGCCGGAGTCGCTGTCGGTCTTGCCTGAGACCCTAGGCAGCTTGCCTCGACTGCTATTCGGCCAACCGGCTACACCACAGGATGTTCTGCGCGAAGTATCTCTCGGTGCGGACCTCCTTACGGTACCTTTTGTCGGTGTGACTTCAGATGCCGGCGTGGCGCTGGAGTTTGCATTCCCACCTCCATGCCCGACCGAAGGAAGCGCTTCAGAGGCCCGACCACTCGGCTTTGACCTGTGGTCGTCTGTACACACCTTTGACACATCACCTTTGGTCGAAGGATGCCAGTGCTACACCTGCCGGAATCACCATCGCGCCTACATCCACCATCTCCTGACCGCCAAGGAAATGCTGGCGTGGACTCTCCTTCAGATCCATAACCACCACACAATGGATGTATTCTTCCAGCGGATTAGAGAGAGCATCCAGCGCGGAACCTTTGAAGCTGAGGTCCAGGCATTCCAGCGATTCTACGCCTCGGAGCTCCCCAAACAGACCGGTCAAGGTCCAAGGTGCGTGTTCACCCTTAACCGCATTCAAAAGTTAATAGAACAGCCCGGTAAGCTAACAAAGCACCTTTCAGACTTCGCGGTCACCAGATCACCCCCTCTAAAGCGCATCAACCACGTCGAAACCCTCGCGGGTTTGGCCGACTCGACGATGCACTCGAGAAATTCGCCGAGTCGCAGTCATCGGTGGCCACACCAGATACCGATGCTGAGGGGCTTGAGGCTCACGGGTTCGCGAAGAAACAAGATTCGTGATTACTTTTTCTGCTTGTTCTCCCCTTTCTATTTTTCCATAGACAGACGCATACAGCTATCGCATATATATACATAGCTAAGGTGTTGCGGAGTTGAATTTTCTTAGGGCATTCAGACCTCTATCCTTTTCTCCCATGCAAAAGACATATGACATACCATTATCAATATGAACAAGGGCACACGACCAGGTTGAAGCATAAGAGTCAGTCTCAACACCCAGATCAGACAGCGTAAGAGTGAGACGTTAGAAAAGTCGTTAGATTCAAATTATAACAAGAAATAAAGCAAGGGATATGAAGCAAAAAGCGCGCACGAGCATCATGTCTACTTGCTATTGATCAGAACGCGCCACATCCACTTCACCTCATCCTCTTCTTCCTGGGACCCGATCTCGGTGCCAGCGCCGAAGTCCTGGCCGACCACGCACACCAGCCATACGTCGTTCTTGGTCTCTTCGAGGAACCTTTCCGAGGGCGAATCGCGGGGGTAGATGCGACGCCACTCGTCCCAGATACGGTATGCCTCGTCGCCCCAGGCGCGGAAGCTGACCTCCTCGATGATGGTCGGGGTGACGATTTCCTTGCCGCGGAAGACGCCCCAGGTGACGGCGTTGACGTTGGCCGGGTTCATTTCCAGCGGGTCGGCGTCGGAGGTCGGCCCGGGAAGCGAAGTCTCGAAGTCGCCGTGCGCGTTGGCGGCGAACCAGGCCAGCTTTTCGTGTCCGTGGCGGGTGAGGATGGGCTTCAGCACGTTATGATAGTCGGCGGAAGGGCAGAAGAACTCGACAAAAGGCTTCTGGAAGACGAAGCCCTCGCCGGGAGGGCCCCACCCGAAGACGGGGTCGGAGCTGCGGATGCCATTGACGGCGGGTTGCGAGGCCAGGGTCCACCAGCCCTTGCCATCGATCAGCTGCAGCAGTTCAGGTCGGATGATGTCAGTTTCGGCATTTAGGCCGTTGCCGCCCTCTTCGGCGCCACCTTCGGACCAGGGCACGATGTACAAATCGCCCGAAACGTGTCGGCGGAAGAGGGTACTGATATCCTCACGCGACGCCGGGTGGCCCCAGATGCGGTGTGCGATGGAGGGAGGGACGTGCAGCGAGGGACCGTAGCCGTCGATCTCACCGAATGCAGGAGAGCGAGCATCTCCCCATCGGCCGTTCGGGAAGTCATCCCAGGTCGCCTCACGACCCAGGGCTCCCAATCCTTCAGAAATCTGCAGGGTCGTGTTGCGATCCGGGGGCATTGCAGGCATGCCGGCACTGGTTGCGGGGGCCTCGTGCGAGGTAGAGTCCTTGGACGAACCTCCGGGCGTCTGGACCCGGTCGACAATGACACGGTTATGAGGGAGCGAGTTGATTGACGAGGCCCGACGACGGGTGAGAGAACGAATGGGCGCGCCGTTCGGCGCCACGTAGGAAGAAGAATCAAGGGCCGATAGACTGCCACCGTCGACCAGCGCATCGGAGTCTTCCGAGTACGGAGGGATTAGATCACAACGTTCCAGGATGAACGACACCGTCTTTTCCAAGTTGAGCGTGTAGAAGTGGAATCCTCGGTGTCCCGGGGTGGGGATGTCCTTCATGCCGTCCACGATGTTACTGATGATATCAACACCGATACGCTTGACAGCGTCGTCATCATGTTTGGCCTCCTCGAGTTTGGCCAGGACATTGGGCGGGACCTGGACGTGACTGAGCTTGGTGACTCGAGTCAAGATCTTATAACTATGAATGGGCATCAGGCCGGGCACGATAGGGATGGTCTTGAAAGCGCCGGACTCATGGGTCCGCAGCCGGTTCTCGAACTTGGTGTAGGCATCGATGTCATATGTCAACTGAGTCATGATGAAATCGGCGCCCGCCTGTGTCTTCTCGACCAGGTAGGGCAGGTCTCGCTCGGGATCTTGAACATCCTGGAATGAATCGGCCGGATGGCCCTCCGGGTAGGCAGCGACACCGACACAGAAGTAGTCGCCATGCTGCTCCCGGATGTATCGCACCAAGTCCACCGCAAACGTGAAGTCCTTGTTGCTGTTGTCCTCGCCGTGCATGTTGTACTCCTCGCTACGGGGCGGATCACCTCGCAGCGCCAGGATGTTGCGAATACCCAGAACCTTGGCTTCCTCCAGCGCATGATCCACCAAAGCTCGACTCATGTTGGTACAGGTCAGATGTAGACATGTCGTCAACTGCAGCTGGCGTTGACAGATCTCGGCCAACTCCAGCGATCTCGTCGCAGTGCTTCCTCCGGCTCCCCAGGTGACGGTGACGAACAGCGGCCGCAGCGCCTGGGCCATACGTTCCAAACGGGCTTGTAGATTGGCAAATCCCTGTCACAAAGCATGTTGGTTAGCGACCTCATGGGCCTCCCAAGGACGAAGTGCGGGGCGAGACGGGGGGAACCCCACCATCTGCGTTTTAGGAGGGAAGAACTCCAGCGAGAAATAATTCGCATCGGGCGGCAAAGCCGCGATCTTGTCGGTGATCTTCTCCATGGCGAGACTCGAACGACGGAGGAGCCGAGGGGGGTGGGCAGAGAGAGGTGAAGATGTGGAGGAGGAAAATGAGGGACGAGGAACTGCCCGAGTGGTGCTGCGGCGGGCCAACGGGAGGCCTCGGATCGTCGCCGTGAGGAGAATGACTGGACAACTTCGTTCACGCCCTCACTCGGACTTGATCTCGATTGTTGCGACTCGCGTCCGGGTTGCCCAGTCCATCTTCGAGGACGTGCAAGTGACCACCGCCAAAGGAGGCGTGGAAAATTCGCCGGCGAGGTGCAAACGCTGCAAACACGGGTTGGTCTTTTATCGTCCAACGCGACCAGGGAGTTTGTTGCTTTCCCTCGTCACTCCTATGAGTATTACCACCATGCCCTCTCTACGCCCCTCGCTACGTCCCTTGCGCTTCTCGCCATGGAAGTCCCCGTCGCGCTTTTATTCCTCGCCCAAAGAACCCCCCCGTTCGCGCTTCCGCCGCCTCAATGACCGCCTGCCGTCGTTTCTCCGGTCCTACACCACGCCGCTTCTGGGGGCTCCGGGCACGCACATCACCTCCTTTCTAATCCTACATGAGCTCACGGCCATTGTTCCCCTGTTTGGCCTGGTGGCGGCCTTCCACTATGGAAATTGGTTCCCGGATCTGACGTCGAGCGCGGCGTTCGAGGAAGGCACGCGACGCTTTGGACGGTGGTTGCGCAAGAAAGGCTGGGTGGAGGATGATGCCGAGATGGACATGGAATTGTTGGCGAAGGAGCGCAAGGAAGGGTCGGTCGACTACAAAGATTTAACTCCCCCCAAGGACGGGGAAAGAAAAGGGATGCGTCTAGTATGGGAGTTCGCGACGGCCTATGCAGTCACCAAGGCTCTACTACCGCTGCGACTCGCCGCCAGCGTCTGGGCCACTCCGTGGTTTGCCAGAGCCATTCTGGGTCCCGTCGGAGGGAGACTCCGGGCGCTCTTTGGGCGGAAGTAGATCGCGGTTTAGTTTCCCGAGGTTGTCGACATGCGCGGGAATCATACGTGGCGGTGATAAACCAGGCATCAGAAGTCTGTACAAATGTTTTATATTATTTCTCATGACGTCTTGACTGATATAGTATCATCCGCTGCCTCCTACATTACACACGGCAATGGGGACGCAGCTCCTGCGAGGGAAGATCGAAAGGAGAAATTTAGGCCTTCTCGTAGATCCAGTTAGCCTGGCTCTGGGCGTACTGCTGGAGCTCGGAGGGCTGGAACCAGAGGGCAATCTCCTTCTGGGCGCTCTCGACGCTGTCGGAGCCGTGGCAGACGTTGCGGCCGACGTCCTGCACAAGCATTAGTACTCAACCATCGAGGAGGGTTCGTTCAGATGGGTCTTACAATGGCGTAGTCACCACGGATGGTGCCGGGGGCGGAGGCGAGGGGGTTGGTGGCACCGAGGATGGCTATTGTCCCGTGGTTAGCATGCGTGCATTCAGCGAGGCCGTCGAGAAAACTTACTACGGCCGGTCTTGACGACCTCACGGCCCTCCCAGACCATGGCGACGATGGGGCCGCTCAGCATGTCTGCATTGACAGTTAGCATATTCACCGATCACATCCAAAGCATCGAGACTTACAGGAGACAAGGCCGGGGAAGAAGGGCTTGGAGGAGAGATCAGCGTAGTGCTTCTCGAGGTGCTCCTTGGAGGGAGAGCAGAGCTTCAGGGCAACGAGCTTGAAGCTGGAGAGCTCATTAGCATTGTAAACCACCGTGATGCTGCCCGGTAAGAAATACTCACCCACGGTTCTCGAAGCGGGAGAGGATGGGGCCAACGAGTCCACGCTGATGAACAGTCAGTTTTTGTTGTTCTTTTCATCGGAATGAAAAGAGATTCCACTGGATTCACAGCGGAGAGGGTCCAATTGGTCGTACCTGGACACCGTCGGGCTTGATGGCAATGAAGCTGTGGGCGGATCATGGATTAGCGGGGTCGGTGAAATGAGGGGCATCTCCAGGTCGAGAACACATAAAACAAGGAGGGGGGGAGAAGAGAAGAAGAGAAGAGATAAAATGCCATGGGAATCGGTTGGACTTACGTCTGCTCGGTAGACATGGTGATGGATAGTGGATTGAAGAGATGCGGGATCAATTCGGAAGCGATTGAGGACAGGAGAGAAGAGAAACTTCGTGTGAGTTGGCGAGAGAAAATTATCATATAAATGGATGCCCGCAAGTGGGGCGCCCGGAGGGGCACGCATGCCTGATGCGGCCTGGCTGCCTGGTGGCCTGGTGGCCTGATGGCCTGAGGCTGCCAGGCAGGACGGTCCCTCCCCGCCCCAACGGGCCTAGTGCGGTGGCGCTAGTCCTGAACGGGAGCTCTCCGCGTTCTCTCCATCAGGCCAGGCTGGACCGATCCTCCATCATATCAGTTTGCAATTATCATCTGAACCATCTGCTTTTCGACCCGACGGCGGCCTGTACTTTGTGTGCTGTAGTCTGTCGCCCCGGATAGATGCAGCTCGCTACCTGTGAGATCCATTGCACCCTCGGAGGCTGAGAGTTCTGGTTCTGCATTTTGTGAGCTTAACCATGGCCGCGAGCCGGCCGTCGTCCGCCTGGACGATGTTGTTTTCGTTGGTCATCCTGATAGGATGTCTCGTTGTCCCCGGAGGTGAGAAAGGCCCATAAGTCGTAATTGGTCGGTCATACTAATCTGTGGTGGTCCCTTTTAGTCGCCGTGAAGCATGAGAATTTCAAGAAATGCTCGCAGTCCGGGTTCTGTAAGCGAAACCGAGCGTTGGCTGACGATGCCTCCGCTAAGGGCTCGTCGTGGAGCTCTCCGTACGAACTCAACCCTTCATCGATTCATTTTCAAGATGGCCAATTGCAAGGAACAATTCTGAAATCCATTTCCTCGACACAGAAAGTTGAACTTCCTCTGGTGGTATCCTTTCTGGAATCGGGTGCCGCTCGTGTCGTGATCGACGAAGAAAAACGATTGAAAGGCGATATCGAGGTTCGCCATAACAGCAAAGCGCGGAAGGAACGGTATAATGAAGCAGAGAAATGGGTCTTGGTCGGTGGTCTTGAATTGAGCAAATCTGCCGCTTTGAACCCTGAAGCCGAGGCCGGAATCTCCAAGGTCTCGTATGGACCCGACAATAGGTTCCAGGCCATCATTCGGCATGCTCCGTTCAATGTGGAATTTCAGCGTGACGGCGAGACCCACGTCCAGTTTAACAACAAGGGCTACATGAACCTGGAACACTGGCGACCGAAGGTGGATGCTCCGGAGGGTGAAGGGGAGCAGGAGGCCGTCGAATCGCAGGAAGATGAGAGCACTTGGTGGGAGGAGACCTTTGGTGGAAACACCGACTCCAAACCTAGAGGCCCGGAGAGTGTCGGCTTGGACATCTCGTTCCCCGGCTACAGCCACGTATTCGGTATCCCGGAACATGCTGACTCGCTCTCCTTGAGAGAAACAAGGTACGTGCTGTACTCGACTTATACCCACCAAACAAGGCTAATGGTTTTATAGAGGAGGTTCCGGCAACCATGAAGAGCCCTACCGCATGTACAACTCAGATGTCTTTGAGTATGAGCTCAACAGCCCTATGACCCTGTATGGGGCCATTCCATTCATGCAGGCACATAGAAAGGATTCTACGGTGGGTGTCTTCTGGTTGAACGCCGCCGAGACCTGGGTAGACATTATTAAGTCTCATTCTTCCGTCAACCCCCTGGCTTTAGGGGTCGGGTCCAAGACGGATACTCAAAGTCACTGGTTCTCGGAGGCTGGGCGAATTGATGTATTTGTGTTCCTGGGCCCCACGCCGCAAGACCTCACCAAAACCTATGGGGAGCTCACCGGCTACACTCAGTTGCCTCAGCACTTCGCTATCGCGTACCACCAGTGTCGCTGGAATTATATCACCGACGAAGACGTCAAAGAGGTCGACCGCAACTTTGACAAGTACCAGATCCCTTACGACGTCATCTGGCTTGACCTTGAGTACACCGATGACCGGAAGTATTTCACGTGGGACCCCCTTACCTTCCCCAACCCAATTGGTATGGAAGAGCAACTTGATGACTCTGAGCGTAAGCTCGTGGTTCTCATTGACCCCCACATTAAGAACAAGAACCAGTACACCATCTCGGAAGAGCTGAGGAGCAAGGGCTTGGCCACTCAGAACAAGGATGGCGAAATCTATGATGGTTGGTGCTGGCCTGGATCATCCCACTGGGTTGATTGCTTTAACCCCGAGGCCCGCAAGTGGTGGACATCACTGTTCAAGTACGACAAATTTAAGGGCACACTTGGCAACGTCTTCATCTGGAATGATATGAACGAACCCTCGGTTTTCAACGGGCCCGAAACCACCATGCCCAAAGACAACCTGCACTACGGTGACTGGGAACACCGTGACATCCATAATGTCAACGGTATCACCTTGGTGAATGCAACTTACGATGCCTTGCTGGAGCGCAAGAAGGGTGAGGTTCGTCGACCTTTCATTCTCACCCGGTCTTATTACTCTGGCGCTCAGCGCATGTCCGCCATGTGGACGGGTGATAACCAAGCTACTTGGGAGCACCTGGCCATCTCTCTTCCGATGGTCCTGAACAATGGCATTTCCGGCTTCCCTTTTGCCGGTGCCGACGTTGGTGGCTTCTTCCACAATCCGAGCAAGGAGCTTCTCACGCGGTGGTACCAGACAGGTATCTGGTATCCTTTCTTCCGTGCCCACGCGCACATTGATACCCGCAGGCGCGAGCCGTACTTGATCGCCGAACCCGAACGGTCTATCATTGCCCAGGCAATCCGCCTGAGATACAGCCTTCTGCCAGCCTGGTACACTGCCTTCCATGAAGCGTCGGTGAATGGAACGCCCATTGTGAGACCTCAATACTACGTTCACCCTTCGGACGAGGCTGGGTTCGCCATCGACGATCAGCTCTACCTTGCCGCCACTGGCCTTCTCACCAAGCCCGTCGTTTCCGAAGGGACCGACTCGGTGGACATATACATTGCTGACGACGAGAAATACTATGACTACTACGACTACACTGTTTATCAGGGCGCTGGAAAGACTCATCGGGTGCCCGCTCCTCTCGAGCGAGTTCCATTGCTCATGCAGGGTGGCCACATCATTCCCCGCAAGGATCGCCCCCGTCGCAGCAGCGGATTGATGAGATGGGATCCGTACACCCTTGTCATCACGCTCGACAAGAACGGCGAGGCCGAGGGAACGCTATACGTGGATGATGGGGAGACCTTCGAATATGAACGTGGAGCCTACATCCATCGCCGCATTCAATTCCGTGACTCCACGTTGTCATCCGAGGACCTTGGGACCAAGGGCGCAAAGACGGCCGAATACCTGAAGGCCATGTCGGATGTTCGGGTGGAAAGGGTGATCGTCATTGATCCCCCCAAGCAATGGCAAGAGAAGACCAGCGTGACTGTGATTGAGGAGGGATCCAACGCCGCATCCACCGCGGCGGTGGAATATCACGCGCAGTCCGCCGGGAAGGCCGCGTATGCCTTGGTGAAGAACCCCAAGGTTAGCATTGGCAAGGCCTGGAAGATCGAGTTCTGAGCGGCAGTAGTGCCGCCGACGAAGGCGCGTATACATAGGACGACTCTATAGCACATTGGAATTAGATTCCCCAGGACGGGTCGCATCGTGTCGGTCATTCTTCGGCGAAGATAGTTAGAGCTGATACTCCATAAAGCTACCGTACGTAGGCAGTATACGAAGTTCCTAGAACTGATGCGCCGGAGTTAACGACGGGCGTGGGGCCGCTGAGTCAGCGCCAGGGACGAAAAAAATCGACTTCGTTGGCCGCGCATCGCTTTAGCTCCTGGTCGGTCGCTGCTTGGCTCCGGTCCATCGCCCATTCTTATTCTTATTCGTATCCTATTTCTTTGGTTCGGTGGCCCTGACCCTTTTCTTCGCATGGAGCCCGTCTGCTAGGTCCCAACCCTCCAAGCTCTTCTCTTCCCCTTCAGATTCCCTCTTCCCCCCTGAGTTCTCCCTTGTCTCCGTCAATCTGATCGGGCAGAAGAGCGCCTCGAGGGCTGTTTTTTTTATTCTCTTTGTGCTTCAACTACTCAGACTCCCGTGATTTCTGGAGAGGTCCATCCGTACACTCAAGATGTATCTGATATCGCTGGCTGTAGAATATGCAGCCCCGGCCTTGTACGTGGGAATCCAGAACCTCCGCGTGTTGAATTGATGACAGCGTTGGAATTGCTCGCTGACGCCCCATGCCCTAGTCTGATCACCTCTCCTTTAACCTCGTATGCCGACCAGATTCTCAGCATCCACCGCAGCCGGAATTCGGCCGGGTTTTCCCTGGATATACCCTTGATCATGCTGGTCGCATCGGTATTGAAGTAAGCCGTTCACCTACAGGGTCATCCCGCGCGCAACTCTCGATTGACAATGGTGGCTCAGGGTATTCTTTTGGTTTGGTGACAATTACTCGACCGCTTTGCTGGTGCAAGCGGTCATCATGATCGGCGTGCAGATGGTCTTGCTGAAGGTTGCGCTGGACAATCGGCCGTCTGCCGGCGCAAGAGATGGTGTTGAACACGTACCTTTCAGCAACGCCGATAATGCCGCCGGGTTCTCGAGACCGTACGAATTCTGGCAATGGAAGAGCGCGAAGCCGTACGTGATCCCTCGCCCAGTTTCCTCGGCCCAAGAGTCTCTGCGACCGGCTCGCTAACGTAAAAGGGCGACAGATACTGGATGTTCTTGGCCTATTTCATTGCTGGACTGTCGTTCATCCAATTGTTCCTGTCCCCCATCGCCCAATCGGAGTTCTATATCAACACCCTTGGCTATGTCGGGCTGGCCGTGGAAGCTACTCTGCCCTTACCCCAGATCATCGCGAACCACCGAACCCACTCGTGTAGAGGATTCCGCGTGTCGGTGCTGGCGGCGTGGATTCTCGGAGACATGATGAAACTCAGTTACTTCTTCTTCAGCGCGGAGGTGATTCCGTGGGCGTTCCGCCTGTGTGCGATGTTCCAATGCGTTTGCGACCTGTATCTCGGGCTGCAGTTTTGGATGTATACCCGGCCCTCCTTCGGGACGGCCAGCAGCTCGGTAGAGCTTGGAGAAAAGGATCTCCGAATGACCTGAATAAACGTTATGACGGCGTTGACCACCTTGCCGGGGCGCTCGATGCGTCGTAAATACTGGAGACCATGCGTAAAGACGGCGAGGATCTTTAACCAAATGGATAGACTTAATAATGCGACTATTTTCATACCATCGATAGTGAATATCTTCCGACCCGAACAAGGACGTAGAAGTAATTAATTATATGGGATATCGCAAGAGACCTGAGCCGTTCGTACTCGACGATGGATGACGCGACGCCGCAGAGGAACCCCGCCGTGACCCCACCAGAGCTGCTTTCCTCTCCCCGCTCTGAATCCTTCCTTCTTCTCTTTTCCCCCGCCGACTCGAAATTCAAGATCAACTCGATCTTATCAACACTCCCTGCATTGGACTATCGGCTTCCGGAGATCCGATTCCTCGAATGGTGCGGCATCATGGCGTCCAGCTCGGAAACCATCCGCATCGGCTACGTCCCGGGTATGACCCGACTTCCCTTGGTATTCGGAGATGGTGGACAGTCTTCTTGACTGGGGATTCTATAAGGCATAGTGGCTGACACGCTGACCATGAGGCAGAGCACTACCTCACTCCCCTTCATCTGGCCCTCCGCTCCCCGGCTGTGCAATTGCTGCCCTTCAAGCTCTCTCTCATTCCTTTCCCATCCGGCACGGGACATATGATCACCTCCCTTCGCGAGAAGGAGATTGACATTGGTATCGGGCTGACCGAGGGCTGGGTTGCCGGTCTAGCGGGGAAAGCGCAAGCCCAGAAGGATGCTGCCGAGGGAGGTTACAAGATGGTTGGCCAATGGGTCGATACGCCCTTGCGGTGGGCTATTGTGACGGGTCGGGAGAGAGATGATATTCAGACGGTGGCTGACCTGAAGAATAAGCGGGTTGGCATCAGTCGACCGGGAAGGTAGAGTCGACCGGACGAAATCCGAGCAGATCTCGCGAAACAAAACAACAGTCAGATGCTAACCGCTGGGGGAACTATTTAGTGGCTCCCATATCATGTCCTTTGTTTTGGCCCAGAAGCAAGGCTGGCAACCCGATGCATTGACTGCCGTGCCGCTGGGTCCTTTCGGAAGTCTGCGCAATGGAGTGACCGGCCACGATGACTCGCATCCGGAGGGTAAACCCGAGCCCACGGCAGAGTTCTTCATGTGGGAGCAATTCACCACGAAGCCGTACTTCCACTCAACCGCGGAGAAGCCTGACCCGCCTCTCAAGAAATTCGACGAGATTTACACCCCCTGGCCTTCCTGGATGGTGGTCGCCTCGACGGCCGTCTTCCCAGAACCAGAGCATGATTCCAAGCTGCAGCAGTTGTTCAAACTTTTCGATCAAGGCATCCAGGATTTTGAGGCCGACACGACGCAAGCAGTCCGTCTCCTTGGAACAGGAGAGCTCGGATGCACGTACACCGAGGAGGATGCCAAGGAATGGTTGAAGGATGTCAAGTTCGTCCAAGGTACCCAGGGCGTGGATCGGAAGATGGTAGAAAGCGTGGTAGATGTCCTGAAAATTGCCGGCGTTATCGACAGCGGCATGACTCATGACGAAGCCGTTGAGAGAGTCATTGGAATTCACCGGTGATCGCAGGATTCGTGGTCGACGGGCGACGACTGCCAAATACACAGAGAATGTTGCGATGGCCCACTTTCTTCAATCAGAATTGCTTCCACCACGATGCACAGACGTAGGATGTCAGTATGCTTAAGGTCTGTTTAGTTGTCAAGCCAAGTGCCGTATCTTATTGATCACCAGGACGACAAGTCGCATTCCTGAGAGAACATGCGGGCGCCGGTGGAGCTTGTGTAGCCCTTGCGGCGTTTAGTCCTCGAGAGAAGACCACGCTAAGCAAGCTTCAATGAATGACAAGATCAGGTCGGCTTATGATCATTTTTAAAGCGACCTCGGAGTGTTTACTCCTTACGTGCTCCCCAGTCTCGTGCTGCATGATGCACATGGACTCAGACTTAAACGCGCATTGCATGGAACCGTCATGCAGGAAACAACTCTTTATTGCCCAGGTTGAATACTCGACCGCCACTGTGATGCCTCGACAGAGAGACCACCTTCCATAGTATTTCCATGCCCCTTGCGCACATACACGGGTTATGACTAGCCAGATATCATATTCAAGGTAGCGATGGGCCGAGGCCATCTCAAGCTGGTGGCCGAACGGGGTTGCCAACATTCCATGGACAAGGCCGACTCCCCGACAACGACACTGGAATGTATATCAAAACTGCCCGTGCCAATCACATTGAGTGAGGACGATCTCAGCAGCGACGATACTGCCCCGTCTTGGAAAATGACAGCTACAGCAGGATATTGGGAATGCATGCGCAGGTCCTCGGGGTGACGAAGCTCTCCATCTGATATCGTCTATTTGGTGGCCATAACAATGAATTTGGAAGCGCACGACGAGGTTTAAAAAGCCTCTTGTACTGGCCGTACCTTTTCCTTCTTCTCAATCGTAAACCATCCGACAATTCGACGACATCCACCATCTCAGGGCTTTAGTCACTCTTTATTCTTGCCCACTTTGTCAGCTCTCGTCACATACACTCCTTTCTGAACCGATCCAGACTCTCTTTACCACATATACAGGTGTCTTGGTCTCATCTCTCACTACCATGTCTTTCCTTAAAAATATACTTGCCCTGTCAATGGGTATGGCTTCTCTGGGAGGAGTCTACGCCAAACTGGATCTTTCTTCTTCTTCGAATGTCGTGGTATACTGGGGTGAGTGTCCGATGCTCTTTTCTGAGTGGGTGGTGCATCACTCTAACTTCATGGATCTTCACAGGTCAAAACTCGTTTGCTGGAACCGGAGATCTCGCGCAGCAGAGACTCGGTTATTACTGCGATGGTATGGCTCTCCCCCTTCTAGACAAAGTGCCTAATCACTGATGATCATCCAGATTCAAACATTGACGTAAGACTGACTCGCCATGTCTTGGAAGGAGAAGCGGTTTGCTCACATTGAAACGCAGGTTATTGTGCTTGCTTTCTTGACGAGAGTTAATGGCCAGGGCGGTGCCCCGGAAGTGGACTTCGCAAACGCCGGAGATCGTTGCACAACGATCGAAGGCACTAATCTTCTCAAATGCCCTGAGATCGGGTACGGACATGTATCTCCTTCTCATGCGAAGGGAATCAAGCTGACATTCAGCAGGGAGGATATCACCAAATGTCAGCAAAAGGGCAAAACCATCATCTTGTCGATTGGGGGCGCTACTTACAGTGAAGGAGGATTCCAATCCGAGTCCGCTGCCAAAGACGGGGCTGATCTGATCTGGAAGACGTTTGGCCCGGCCCAGTCTGGCACGGCTCATTTTAATACTACCGTTCACCACAATACCACAGTCCCCTACGCCCATGGCAGCATTGTTCGTCGTCAGAATCAAGTTCGGCGACCATTCGGAGATGCCGTGGTGGATGGGTTTGATTTCGACTTCGAGGCCCACGTTGAAAACATGGCTCCCTTCGCGAACCGGCTTCGCGAATTGTCTGATGCCGAAACCTCCAAACAATACTTCTTGACCGCGGCGCCGCAATGCCCCTACCCCGACGCAGCGGACAAGGATATCCTGAACGGCCCGGTGTCCGTAGACGCCGTGTTCGTTCAGTTCTACAACAATTTCTGCGGAGTTCAGTCATTTGTCGAGGGCCAAAATACGCAAAGCTCCTTCAACCTCGAGACCTGGGACAACTGGGCCAAAAATGATTCCCAGAACAAGAAGGCCAAAGTGATTGTTGGGGTTCCAGCGAACACCGCCGCGGCCGGCTCCGGATACATCCCAGTCACCAAGCTGCAATCTGTGATCGAATACAGCAAGACCTTCTCCAGCTTCGGAGGCGTCATGATGTGGGATGTCACTCAGGCGTACGGAAATGATGGCTTCCTCGAGGGAACTCGACAGGCTCTCCGAAGCAGCAAGTCGCGCGTCTCGACGTGGCCCTATCGCTACGATCCAATCCGATGGTAGACCCGATGCCTGTCGCAGTGGGGATTTTATGGGGCTGCTGATTGTTTAGTATATAGTCTTCAGCTCTCGTCGGTTTCACTTCGGGGTTTCCCCACCACGATACAAGGGGAGAGCATTGTATATAGTCCGATACTACTACTACTACTACCTAATAGCCTAATAGATTCATATTGAGGGAATTGTCGATCGCAATGAAGCGCGCAGTTAGGGCTGGCCGGCACGTGCTCTGCGCCATTTTGTCACGCCGCGACCTCATGAATCATCATCTTCCCCTCCTCATCATCTCCTCCTCATCATCTCCTCCTCAGCTCGTCATCTCCGCCTTACACTAGACTCGATCTCACGACCAATCAGCCCCACTCTCGTCTGCTCTTCAACCAAGGCATCGACTCGAGGGATCGGCCCGGAATCTGCACGCGACATGAACTATTGGCTCGCAGCCCTGCCGATCGTCTTGAGGTGGCATCACGGCCTAGCAAAACATTCAGCTAGCGAGTGAGCAAACACCTTGAGACCCCGTAGGCATGCATTCACTACACCTCATAGCTCGCGTTGATTCCAGCGCATCCAGCCAGCCACCTCGGTATTACCTCGGTCTAAGTGTGGGCTTGCTTTCTTGGCCTGCATCCATGGTGCATCCATGCCGCGATGATCATTCTCAGCTCCTCCTTCCGATCACTGCTCCTCCGCATATAAGGGGCACGGGGGAGAGCCCAATCTCCCGACTTCTTGCTGTCACTCCTCTTTAGCCCAGGTGTTAGTGTTGTTGTCAAGCTCGGTCGGCAAGCCGTTTAACCTTTTCCCCGTCGTCCGTTTTCCTCGCCGTCAAACCTTCGCCATGGCTCCCAAGTCTCTTTTCTTCTCGCTTTTCTCATCTCTGACCGTCGCTTTGGCGGCCTCCCTGCCCCAAACCGACTATGAAGTCATGGTCATTGGCGGAGGTCCGGCTGGACTCAGCGCTCTTAGCGGTCTCTCGCGAGTCCAGCGCAAGACCGTGCTTTTCGATTCGGGTGAATACCGCAATGCTCCGACTCGGAACATGCACGATGTGATCGGCAACGATGGTAATTGCTCCACATCATATGTGATATCTTATCTTCTCAGCTGACCGATCGATACCAGGCACCGTCCCCAGCGAGTTCCGTGGCCTCGCTCGCGAACAAATCTCCAAATATGACACGGCCTCTTTCGTGGACAAGAGAATTACCACTATCACGCCCGTCACTGACCAGGCCGCCAACACTACCTACTTCAACGCCACTGACGCCGACGGCGTCGTGTACTCCGCCCGCAAACTCATCCTCGGCACTGGTCTTGTTGACGTGCTCCCCGCCACGCCCGGTCTCCAGGAGGCCTGGGGTAAGGGCGTGTACTGGTGTCCCTGGTGCGACGGATATGAACACCGCGACCAGCCCTTCGGTATCCTGGGTGCCCTGCCCGACGTCGTCGGCAGCGTTCTGGAAGTCTACACTCTGAATCAGGACATCATCGCCTTCTTGAACGGCACGCATACGCCCGAGGCCGAGGCCGAGCTGGCCGCCAAATACCCTAACTGGAAGAAGCAGCTGGACGCCTACAACGTGCGCCTGGAGAACGCTACCATCGCGTCTTTTGAGCGCATTCAGAGCGGCGAGGACCACCGCGACGACAAGGGCCACCAATTCGACATCTTCCGCGTGCATTTTACCAACGGCTCCTCGGTCGACCGCAACGCCTTCATCACCAACTACCCGACTCAGCAGCGGTCCTCTATCCCCACTGATCTCGGTCTCGCCATGAAAGACGGCAAGATTGACACTAGCATCAACCCGGGAATGCGCACTAGCAAGCCGGGTGTCTTTGCCATTGGCGACTGCAACAGTGACGGCAGCACTAACGTGCCTCATGCTATGTTCAGCGGCAAACGCGCGGCGGTTTTTCTTCACGGTATGTTTGGACACCGTTTCTGATGGAGCATCCTCTCTCTCTGTATACCTCGCAATTAGGAATGCTAACAAATAACAGTCGAACTGGCCAAGGAAGAATCCGCTGCTTCCATCGAGAAACGGGCTTTGCCTTCCAAACGGGCCATGCTCAAGGCCGCTGAGCGCAGCATGGGCAACGAACTGGAGGCATTGTGGAAGCGCGCTCGTGGGATATAAGAGAACGGTTCCTCATATGAAATACTACGAATGAACATACCTGCGGACACTTCATCTAATGCTAGCAGCTGATTATGGGGTTTGACGATAAATGATTGGCTTACATATATTTACTTGCCTATAAAGTTCTTTCTGAATCATCACCGTTACGGAGAGTTTCAGGGAGCTATAATATATCCAGAATCCAACGTGTTATAAAAGTAATAAATCAACCAATTACAAAAACTATTAGTGAAACAAAGAACCCAGATCCACTCCTTCCAGCCCAAAGAAGAAAGATAAAAAAAAGTATTACATAAAACAAAAGATTTATCGGAGTTTTGTCTTTCCCTTCTTCAACGCCCCCTTAGAATCTCGGAGAATACTATGTATACTCGATAGTTCTGTCTGGATCTTGTAATGTGGTCCAAGTGCTTCATCATCCGTTGCATCGTCGGTCAATGAATCAGTCGACCTCCTCCTCTTCCTTGCTGGCCGCCAAAAAGAAGCGGCCCGGTGGCTCGCCGGGCTTCTCGTATTCGACCGTCAGACGTGCAAGGTGACCCAGCAGGTTCTCGAACTTGAGCGCGTTCTTATCTCGCTTGGCACGGCCGAGGTCGTCGAGCCACTTGAACTTGTTCAGCATGAAGTATACCAGGGCGATGACGATCTCCACACCCAGGGAGTAACCCCAAACGCGGACCACCGTGACAATATCAGTCCAGCCGTTCGTGGTCTCGACGAACTTATCTGCCGGGTTGGTGGGCATTGTTTCGTTGCTGAACCAACCGAACAAGCAGAAGATCGTCGCAAGGATATCCACGCCCAGAATGGCTGTGACCAAGTGGATGGATGGCCAGGTTTCGGCACCGCGCGTGACGAAAATCAGCCAGTTCTCGGTGAGAGCCACCTCGAGAAATAAGACTTCTTGGATCGATCCCCAGTTCTGGATAATACCCCCCGAGGGAAGGAACATGCTACCCCGAACAACCCACGTTCCCAGGGCCAGCAAAACACCCAGCAACACCGAAATGAACCAGATCTTGGGAAGTTGCCATTGGACCGGGCGCAGCTCAAAAGAGGCATTGTCATACGCCACTGCAACCGTTGCCAAATCGGCAAAAAGAGCCAGGAAAACGATCAGCTCCACCCGAATACTTTCGTTGATGATGATCATGGATGTGACCAAGTATATTTCCAAGTGCAAGCAAAGAGCAATTCGATACTGAATGTATGCTTTCATGCGATGGAAAATCTGACGCGCGACCTTGATCGAGTCAATAATGGTTGAAAGTCCCGGCTCCAAGAAAACAATATCTGAGGCCGATTGAGCTGCCTCCGAAGCACCCTCAACGGCGATACCACAATCGGCTTTCTTCAACGACGGCGCGTCATTCACACCGTCGCCGGTCATGGCCGTTAAATGGCCCCGTTCTTGAAGCATCTGAACCACTTGATATTTATGTTCCGGGAAGACCTCCGCGAAGCCATCCGCTTTTTCAACCAAGTCACCAGCCATGGCTCCGCTCAAGCCGCCGTGAATCAGTTTATCAGAATTGTAGACTTTAGTCCCAAGAGCAAGCATTTTGCAGGTTTCCTTGGCAATCGCCAGGGCGTCACCAGTAAGCATTTTCACGCTGATACCCAAGTTCTGGGCCTCATGGATTGTCTGCGCCGTATCCTCTCGCGGGGGGTCAAACATAGGAAGGATGCCCAGCAAGGTCCAATCTTCTCCTTCCTTTTGCACCGCAACCCCCAGAGACCGAAACCCGCGATGCGCAAATTCCTGTGTTTTCGCCTTGTAGTGATCCGCCGTCTCTTTCGAGCAGTTGGACAGCTGAAGCACCGCCTTTGGAGCGCCCTTCGTGCAGGTGTACCTAATTCCATCACAGGTGGCAACAGTCACGATCCGCTTGGAAACCGGATCAAACGGTTGGAATTTTTCGGTCTCCCAGCCCCGGCGCAGAATCTCTCTTGCCTTGGGATATTGCCTCAGCGAAAGGATGGTCACTTTGTCAATCGGATCCAACGAGTCAATGTTGTGCGAAGATGCGAGGACAGCAACGGCAAACATCCAGTCAGGGTCAACTCCCTCGGCAACATAAGGGTTTCGAATGCTCAGTTTATTGGCCGTCAGCGTGCCGGTTTTGTCCGAACACAAGATGTCCACGCCCTATCCATTTCTGACATTAGCTCCCATGCTCAGAGATTTATAACGGGCGTGGGGGAGACATACCGCCAGTGATTCGATGGCCGTGAGCTTCTGCACGATCGCCTTCTTTTTCGCGAGATACGCGGCTCCCACCGCCATGGTCGTGGTGGTCACTACGGGGAGACCGACGGGAACTCCGACAATCAGCAAAGCAAGGGTATAATGAAGGAGAGTCTGTTGGCGAGGCGAGGCAATTGGCAGATGACGGAAGAAGCCACCGATCCAGGCAGCCAAAATCCAAGCCATAACCAGAATCAGAAGAGAGGTTCCGATGTTATCCATGACGAGTTCGAAATGGCCAGCACCTTGGGCCGATTGAACCATGCTTGCCGTCTTACCAACGAACGAGTTCTTCGCGCTGGCTTGCACGATTGCGTAGGCTTTGCCACGTTTACAACCAGTCGTGTAGAAGATCATTTCGCCCATGAAGCGATCAACCGCAAGGGACTCGCCGGTGATAGCCGAGTGGTCACAAGCCAGGATAGGGTAACCTCGCTTTCTTGTCTTCTGCTGTTTCTTTTCGGCATCTTCTTGCTTCTCTTCGCCACCTTCTTCCTCGGCGGCCTCGTCCATGTCGGACTCCGACGAGCTACTGAGATCACCTTGGTCCTGGATGTTTTTATAATCCTCAAATCCGCTGGGGTCCTTGAAATCACAAACAACACGAGAATCGGCGGGCACCACATGACCTTCTCCAATGATGATCTGTTACCTGGGTTAGTGTCCGAAGGCAAGCTGGGCCAATTTGAGGGGAGCGGCTGATGATTGGAAGGTAGGCAAGATCAAAGGCATTTCAAGCTTGGATTCACATACCACGTCGCCAGGGACGAGCTCGCGAGCCAAAATTTCTTGTTCTTGGCCATCACGGATCACGGCTGCTCTCATTGCAATGTCGCCTTTGAGACTAGCAACAACATCTGCTGCTTGCTTTTCTTGATACCAGCCAACGGCAGCGTTGAGACACAGGATGCCAATGATGACACCAAAATCAATCCAGTCATCCAATCCAGCAGCAAGGAGGACAGCCAGCTCCATCACTACGACCAGATTAGAGATGCTGCTCATACCAGGATGAATTATCCAGACAAGAAAAATGTGCGACTTACCATAAAGAATGGGGCCTCGGAAATAGGACAAAATCTTAGCAATGGGATTCTCCTTCTCCGACACCAGTTCGTTCCATCCCGACTGACGCCGTCTAACAGGGACTTCGCCACTAGGGAGACCTTGACGAATATCGGTGAGAAGCCATTCGGGGGGCATTTGCTGGGAGTCCTGATCGACACGCTTGACATGCACCTTGCGCTTTTTCCAAGGAGCATACCAGACTCGTTTCACCTCCTCCTCGCCTTCGCTTCCGCTTCCTTGTCCCTCGCGATATGTTGAAACATACTTCACGAGTTTTCCGTATTCATCCAAGTTGGCATAGTCTTCCTTGTAGGAGACACGGGATATCCGTCTGGACGAGCGTCCCTCAGAGACGGAAAGGCGACTCTGCTGCGCGCGCTCGGGATCGCCAGACGTATCGCCGCCGCCGCCGCCACCTCCACCATCTTGCTGAGACATATTGTCCTCGGTGGCTTGTTTCGAATAGCAGGGATTGTTGAAAGTACTAGGACCTCTCCTCTTTTCGGGGCCTTCTAAGCACCGCTCCTCACGGGCCCGAGAGTCAAAGTGAGTGAATCGAAGCGAAAAGAAGGGAAGAAAAAAACGAGAACAACCAAAACGATGGAACACCCTACGCGAAAGAAGACCCTCTCTCCCCTTCAGACTTGGAAGAAGATGCAAGAAAGATGGCCGAGGGCTTTTGGTTCCGAGAGGCGCAGAGACTACACCCATTCCCGCAGGGTTGGCCGGGGTCTGTTCTACGCAAAGAATATCATGCTGACGTATTCGAGTCCAGGAAGGTTCCGAATGGTTACCCGGTGATAGATACCAATGTAGTAGTAGCATCTGGGAAAAGAAGGCGCTGAGGCCCGGTCGAGCAGCTTCGGCTCCGGACCAGGAAAATCGCACATCGCGTTCGACCAACAGAAGCAACTCTTGACGTATGAGACGGTGGTCAACTATCCGAGAGGGCCGCTCCTTCGCCCTGCGATGAGGGCCGGTGCGGAAGAGGCCATGGAAAGATGGTGTGTACCTCAATTAATCCTGGCGTATTACATGCCGATCCCAGACGATGCGAGCGAATTGACTCTGGGACGATAATGATTTCCAGGGTTCCGACCAAGAAATGTCAACCGACAAGTTCGGTGAGAACCACGGAAGGGACGGATAGAAAAAAGCATGATGGAGGGAAGCTTGACGGGTGGGCCAGTGGAGACCTGGAGAGTGCTTCCGACGTGGGGTTAGCTTGGCCTGGGTTTTTTGTATGCCACCTGTGAATCTTTTCCCGGCTTGTTGCCGTGCAACTTGGACTTGGAGAGCCACAGGCGTGTCGACAATTGATGAGACCGGGAGAAGAACCGATCCTTGACGAGGGAGGATAAGAGAAAGGGAACGAGAGAAAGAGAGAGAGAAAGAGAAAGAAGAAGGAAAAGCCGAGAGGAACGTGACGTCCCAATCGGGACTAGCGGCCGCGGCGGGCAGCCCACCAGCGGCGCCCTACACCGCCTTCCCTTTGAGGGTGACATGCGACGTCGCCGGCGTCTCGACGTAATCGCCGTTGATCCTCATCCAAGGATGAGCCATCGCGACGGATCATGGATGCCCTTCTTCATGGTCAGACGGTGTCCAGACCCTTCCCCCCGCCATCCCTGCCAAATTCTCCACCTGCCACCCCCCCCGGAGAGTTCTTTGAAGATAGTAGTCCCACTTTTCTCCGTATTTCAAGGGACACCATCACACGATATAAAACCCTGCCTAGTCGCCTAGTTGACTTTCTTTTCTCTCGTCCAACTCGGGGGAGTTTTGGTGGGAGAAAATAAAACACACAAGTCGAAGAGCATACTCCGTCTATCTGATGCGCATCCTCCGGGACTTGGTGATCGCGATGCCGTCATGACTACGCTATAAACTTCTGGGAATGCAACTCCGGGCTTGCACGGTGGAACCAACCACACCGTTTTCTGTCCGCCATAACCCGACAAATCCTACCAGAGGTGATCACCGATTCCTGCAAGGGCTATCTTTTAAGGTTCAAGAGTCCATAAAAATGGTAGGTCTATTGGTGTAATCGATTTATTCTTACTTTTCTTGCTCTTCGGATCTTCATCAACTCTGGTAAAGACATGTCATATCGTATATGCATAACACGGAAGCTCTTTTCGTCGATTCGTCTATTTACCGGTCTTGCCGGTGGGGATGTTGAACAGCACGGCCGGGTTTCCGGGCGCGTAAGGCCGGTCCAGGCGGAAGTAACCCTTGCGCTCGAATTGGATGATATCGCCCTCCTTGAGGTCGGCCACGTTGGCGTCAGCCACGGCCTCCTCGCGAGACTCGGCGTGGTAGTTGACGACGTCCTCGAGCGCATCGTCTTCCTCGATGACGTCCTTCTTGAGGAGATAGTCAAAGTCCACCAGCTCCACCGGGATCAGCTCCTGGCCCTCCGAGGACAACCAGGTGACCTTCTTCTCGGTCTTCTTGAAGTCACCCGCCAGATGGAGTTCCAGTCCCAACTCCTTGACCGCACCCGAGGCGTCGGTATCGATCTTGCGAACAATGGCATTGCCCCAGTTCATGAGCGTAATCTCCTCGTCCTGCTTGAAGCTCTTGGCATCCTCCTGGTCGAACACGAGACTGCCGCTGTAGGCAACCTTCTTGGTACCGACGGCAGGGTTCTTGTTGTGCTTGGGCTTGTCCTCGGTGTAAGCGGCGGGAGCTCCGGTCACAGTCGCCTTCACGATGTCCTTCTTCAGGACTGCGGTGTGGCGAGGGGCAACGGGGTCAATGTGCTTCTTGTTGATGGCCCAGAAGAGAGTCCAGTCAAGGTTGATGATGTTCTTACTGGGACCCTGTCTAAGAATGAACTCACGCAGGGCCGGGATGGTCATTCCGCGGCGGCGGATACCCCGGATGGTGGGGAACAGCGGCGAGTCCCAGCCGGACACCGCGCCCTGGTCGACCAGCTTGGTGAGCTTTCTCTTGGAGAGGAGGGTTCGAACGAAGTTCATGCGAGCAAAGTCCCAGATCTGGACGTCGCGGAGCTTGAGGGCATCCAAAAACCACTGATACTGAGGGTTCCGGTCTCGGTACTCGATGGTTCGAAGGGCATGGGTCACGCCCTCCATAGAGTCCACGATGGGACAGCAGAAATCATAGGTCGGGTAGATCTTCCACTGCGCGCCGGTGCGGATGTGCGGCGAAGGGTTGCAGCGGTAGATGACAGGATCGCGCATGGCCTTGTTCGGGTTGTCGACGGAGATCTTGGCACGGATGCACCATTTCAGACCATCGGGCGTACCCTGCTTCATTTCCTCGAAATGCGCAAGGTTCTCCTCGACGGAAGCATCACGGCGCTTGCTAGGCTCGCCGTTCATTCTCTGGGAAGCCATGGTCTCCTTGTCGGTGTCATCGGCGTAGGCGTTTCCATCCTTGATGATCCGAAGGGCGTAGTCGTACAGTTCGTTGAAGTAGTCACTGGTGTGGCTCAGCCGGTCGGGCTTGATGCCCATGAGAGCAAGGTCCTCCAGAATGGCGTCGGAGAACTCAAGCTTCTCGTTGGAAGGGTTCGTGTCATCAAATCGAACCAGCAGAGTACCGGGGTACTTCTCGTGAGCAAAGTAATCGTTGAGAAGCGCGGCTTTGGCGTGTCCGATGTGGAGGTAGCCGGAGGGCTCGGGAGGGAAACGGGTCACGACACCCTTGTCGGTGTTGAGGAGGGCAATGTCGTAGTTGGCACCGGTCTCCTTGGCCTTGGAAGCCTTCTTCTCCTTGGCGGCGGCAGTAAGGCTCTCGAGGGCCGCGCTAGCCCAGGGGCACAGAGACTCCAGGAAGCCGAACCAACGAGTCAGGTTGGCAAGAGATCCCTTTCTGATCGCACCGATGGCAACACGGTTTCCCCGGAGAGCACCCCAGAGGGCAATGTCGGCGGTGGACAGCGAGTAGCCGACCACGAAGGAGCGCAGGATGAGGTGGGTGTTAAGGCGCTGAAGCAGCGGGTCGATAGCCTTGAAGTCCAGCGTGGTGTAGGATTCAAGCTGCGAAAGCCATTCGCTCTCCTGGAAACGAGTGGTGTTAGCTCCACGACTTTTTCTTTCTGCTCTCCGCTCATTGTAGGCTCGGTGGTTCTTACCAGCTTCTCATCCTTAGCATTGAGGAAGGGGAAATTCTTGCGCAGTTCCTGGATGGCATTTTCGGTACCATAAGCAGGGGAGCCACTGACTCCGGTGAACTGGACCACGGCCTTGTCACCCTGCTCGAGGACGGCGGCGTCCTCGTAGGTGATGGAGATCACCGGGGTGGGGCGGGCCTCATTGATGGAGGTTGCGACCAGCAGGACCGGAAGCAAGGCGGCCTGGTTGGCCTTGGAAGCCAGGGTCAGTTTCATGTCCGACATAATGCGTGGATGGTGGGGGGAGGAAGAGAAAGAAAGAAGATCAAGAGGGGCACGATTTGACTCCGCCCGATCGGGGTTCCGCCGGCGTGACATTTCTCCGGCCGGAGCAGAGCGAGAGAGCTTTCGGGCAGAAAACATTCCCCTGCCTTCAAGCACGCACCGGCTTCAACGATGTCGTCCTATAATTCCCTCCTGCCCTCGGCGGCACGGGGCCTCCTGTCGTCATGTCGCTTGCCTCTCCGCCAGAGCCCAATGGTCCCCGTTTTCTCGAGTGTTCCGCAGCAGGTTCGGGGAATTAAGAGCAACAACCCCCAGGCGCAGGCCAAAAGAGCCAAGGAGAAGACAAAGAAGACGACGAAGAAGGGTCCTCGGATATTCAAGCAATCGGATATAAAGAGTGCGCAGCAGTTCTCGCTCTGCGAGGCCATGAGGTACGTTTCCCTCCTTCTTTTCTCTCTTTTTTCCCCTTGGGCACGGGACTCGAGCTGATCGAACCGGACTTTTAGATACCTCCGTGCATTCGAAGTTGGTCGCGAGCCAACCGCCATCAAATACGAAATTCACGTCCGGTTGAGGACTCAGAAAGACGGTCCCGTCATCCGTAACATGATCCGATTCCCTCACTCGGTGCAGACCGAATCCCGAATCTGTGTGGTGTGTCCTCCCGGTACAAGGCATGAAAAAGAGGCTCGCGCGGCTGGTGCCGTCCTTGTGGGAGAGCAGGAGGTTTTCGATGCCGTGAAGGAGGGCCGGATTGAATTCGATCGCTGCATTGCTCATCCGGACAGTTTGCCGGCGTTGAACAAGGCCGGACTGGGCAGAGTTCTCGGTCCTCGGGGCTTGATGCCTAGCGCAAAGACCGGCACGGTGGTCGAAGACGTGGCCTCTCGTGTTGAGATGCTGCGTGGCGGTACTGTCTACCGCGAGCGTGATGCTGTTATTCGATTCCCCATCGGACAGATGGCATTCACACCCGAGCAGCTGCGAGACAACCTGCGCACCACGATCGAACAAATCAAGAAGGATGCGGCTGGCCTCAATGACCGCATCAACAAGGAGATCTACGAAGTGGTAAGCGATATCCCATCCCTGGCTTTCGGCGTGGGGAAGCTAACCCGCACCAGGTGCTGAGCTCGACCAATGGCCCTGGTTTCAGTCTGACTGGAGACTTCAAGCCCGACGATTCCTTCGATACTGCATCTTTGAGCGGTCTGTAAAATAGCGTCAAGTTCCTGGGTGTACAAATTATGTTTTATTAGGCAGGACACGGTGTATAATGGTATTGCTTCATATATATTTCTCGTTCTGAAACGGAATCAGAATATTCTCCCAACGCCGACGCTATGCAAAAACAACTCTGGTACCTGTCCGGATGGGATGTGTTATAGTTTCAAGTTCTTCAGCGCCGTCACGGCACTGGTATCCTCCCCCATGAGCTTGTAGAGACGCAACACGGCCAGCGTTTTTGTATCTCGCTTTTCTCCGGCATGGCTGGCTTGCTCGAGAGCGGTTTTCAGGTCCAATAGCACGGCCGACTTGATTTTGGACAGGCGCGGCTGCTGTCCGAGTAGAAACGGATGCTCATCCCCGATGCGGGACGACAGCCTCGTCAGGTAGACCAATTTCTGGATATGATGTTCCAGTCGCTTGAGCGAGACCAGCGGGGTGGTCGATGCACCGCTAGACAGCTCCTCATCGTCGTCACCATCGGTCTCACTTTCCAGCAGGTCCGAATCCGCATCTTCTGCCGCAGGCGCACCTCCGATCATCAATCTCCTTTCCAGTTCTTCGACTCGATCGGCGAAATCCAGCAACGCCCGGGCAACGTTGGTGTTTCCTTTCAGCCGTCTCTTCTCCTCAATCAGCTGTGCGACCTCTTGGTGCCTGGCCTCCACTTTATCCCGAATCGCCTGCACGTCTCTTTGGAATGCCAACAAACCGACCCGAACCTGTTCGACCTTCTCTTCCCCTCCGTGCAAGGCAGTTCCCAAGGATAGAAAATCCTGGTAGTTCTCATTGACCAAATCCAACAGTTGCCTGCTCAGCGCCTGATCCAACTCCCGCAATTCCTGCCGCAGGTCTTCCAGACTCTGGTGTCGATTGGTCAAGGAGGATAGGTATTGCGCCGCATCGAAATCGGGTGTGAGAAAGGAAGCGCGAGACAAAGGTTCGGGGAATGGGAGACCCGCGGTGTCGTCGTCGAGGTCGGAGGCCGACTCGTCGGGGTCGCCAAACTGCGGGCATCGCGGATGATCAGTTCCAATGGCCAACCAACGAGGGGGAAGGGGCAGAAGGGGGGGAGGAAGTTGCATACGCGAAACCTGGTCATGCTGTCGAAGGAGGGGGGAGGCGAATGAGGGTGGACAGGATGTAGTAGTCGTGAAGTTGCACTGCGGAGTGCGGGAGGAGGGAGTTACAAGGTGGAAGCAGCAGGAGAGCAAGTGACCTTTCCTTCCCGCGCCGGCCAACAGTTCCAGACGTGAACACCACCACCACCACAACCACCACCAACGCTAGCCAGCTGGCCCTCGACGGGGTTCCTGTCTCTTCCCTGCGTCACTCGCCGACTTTGGTCTCGAATCACACTCCTGCTAGAAATGGACGTCCGGTCAGACCTTCTGTCCGGCTATTCCTTTCGCTCGTCGGCGTCTGCGTCGGCGTCGGTTGACCGTCATCGTCATCAGCCCAACTTCGGCCGGTATGAGTCCACGCTGGATGACTCTGCTCGTGCGTATCGTGCCACCGCTCTACAACAGCTCAACGGGGCTCCCAGGCCGCTGTCTTGGAAGAATCGACAGACCAATCATTCCGCCAGCCGCTCCTCCACGCTGGCGACGCAGCCTGTGCTGGTGAGGGCCTATTCCGGCGGTCCTGCTGAGGATCGCTCGCCCCCATCCAAGATGTCTCTTCGACGATCGTTCCCCTTCACTGGGAGCTCTCGGGCCCAGCAACGGGGACCGGAAATTCCCTCCGATGAAGAGTTCAGCATCGATAGCATTCTCCGCGCCATCGAACCGAACATTCGTGGGACACTAGATTCCATCGGAGAGATTTGCGGACGCAGCAAGCTCAGCTTGGCGAACGAATACGGCAGCCATATCGCACCGCTCGGGGAGATTCGCGCCCCTCCAGGCGGTCTAGTGACTGTCGAGGAGGCCAGTTCGGACAACGAAAGACAAGCTAACGATAATGTGGTCATCTACGACGACGAGAACAGCGTGACGGATGGCCGTGATCACATCTCATTCTCCCATTATGGATACTTTCAGCATGGCCGGCAGCCCGGGATGACGTCGTCCCACGGGGCGTTTCACTCGATGCACCCTATTTCCGAGGCAGACGTCTCGTCGACGCAGGCGCAACCTCTCACTCCCCGGTCCGCCGGGTTCAACCCAGGGCCGGATCCCGATGTTGATTTAGGTCTGCCCGCCGCAAGTAGAGAATCTGCGTCAAAGCCACGATCGTATGGGCGGGCGTTGCTGGCAAAGAAGGCCGTGTCAGGCACAGACCAGACGCAGGGTATCTTGACGCCGGCTCTTGTATCGGAGATTCTTCTTGATGCGCAAGCAGATAGTCACGCGGTAGGCTCCGCACCGTCATCAGAGCCTCGCCGTCGCTCGCCAAAAGGACACCCTCGTTCTCGGGTTGATGCCGTCGGAGACCGGGAAAGCTCTTCTGGAGAATCACCCAAGGCGTCGGTCCTGGGCGACGTGCAGGCTCTTATCGGCTGGCTTACACAGTTTGCTGGCTATAGAGCAGACGCCGGTGAGTCGAAGCAGACAGCTGAGATGCGACTGCGGATGACACTTGAGCGACAGAACGACCTCGTATCCCTCGACTCAAATTAATTTGAACCATAGACTCTTTGGTGAAACTGTTCAGGTAATGATGCATGCCGTTATGATAATGACCTCTGATGATGATTTTCTGTTGGTGTCCATGTATTATGCCAACTTTGATGAATGATATGTTCATGTTAACCTCGCTTTTGAGTATATGCAATTTCAAATGATATCATGATCTTTCATTCCGCAATACATCGTAGAACGCTTTCTCACCCACTTTGCCCCTCAATGTCTGAGAGCAATGTTTTCGCAAACGCCTCGAACCGGGGATACGACCAGCAATCCCGGTACCTGTCCACCAGCGGCCTCTCATCCACGACCTCATCGGAACTCTGTCGCTCTGAAGTCACCCCATTCTGATCCTCGTCTTCGTCCTCATCATCACTTCCCCCAGCCATTTTCCCCTCCACCAATTCCCCAAACTTTACATCAACCGGCACAATCCCCAGGAACTTGACTCCCATCTCCTGTGCCATGACCTGTCCGCCCCCACTCGAAAACAGATTCGTGGCCTCCCCGCAGCAGGGACACGTATATCCCGACATATTCTCGATGACGCCGAGGGCGGGGATGCGCGTCTTGACACAGAAATTGACCTCCTTGCGCACATCCGACGTCGCAATGGCCTGGGGCGTCGTGACGAGCACCGCGCCCGTCAACCGGGGCACCCTGGACGCGATCGCGGCCTGCGCGTCCGTCGTCGACAGCGTCAGGAGCTGCTCAGCCAACGCGATATGCTCGTCACTGGTGCCCGGCGGCGTGTCCACCAGCAGATAGTCGGTATCGCCCCAGTACACGTCCGACAGGAACTGTCGAATCATAGCGGTCTTCTTGGGCCCGCGCCAGATGACGGCGTCGCCGCGATCGCGCAGCAGGAAGCCCAGCGACATGCATCGTAGCGATCCCTTGGGGGTTGTGGATGAGGTTCCGTCTGTGGCGGAGGATGCGTTCTCGGCGGCGTGGACGGTCACGGGAAGCCAGCCGCCGGGGGCTTGTGTGATCTTCGCATCTTCGAGGCCGACTAAGCGGGGGATCGAAGGGCCCGTCAGATCAATGTCGAGGATCCCGACGGATTTGCCCTGGAGAGAGAGGGCAAGGGCGAGCTGCAAGGTGACGGAGGATTTGCCGACGCCACCTTTGCCGGAGAGGACCTGGAGGACAGGACTGGGTTAATATCTCTTTAGGAATCGTAGGAATCCATAAATAGCGAAAAAAGAGAGGGGTAATGCATAAGAAAGAAAAGGAAGAAGCATAACATGCGGCGCAGGTGGCCTGCCATCCAGGCCAAAGGCAAGCATCGTTATCGATAAGCGCCAATGAGGGGCAGTTCCTGATCATTTCTGGGCTGTTGCTTTCGTCGCCTCGAGGAAAGAAACATGGGGGACATGGCTCACCAGCACGATATTCTTGACACAGTCCAAAGGCATGTCTTGTACGGCAGGGAAGGGCGTTCTGGAGGGAGACGGGGGAAAGAAAAGTTGAGAGGCGGCCGATGTCGCTTTTCTGCGTCATTCCGCCGCTTATCAATCAGCCCGTCGTACTACGCATTGGAATCAATTCATCAACCCGAGGGAATCGATGGTAAATTCATCATTACTCGCTGGAGCTATCTAAATGTCTTCAATTTTGGTCTTTCGCCAGTAAACCCGCGTCACCCAACATTTTTGGTAGCATCTCTATCTCGTCAAAGCCCCTTCCCTCGGGCGAATAGTGAGCCTCAAAGAAGGGTTCATTGCCACTTTTGCACCACCACGCCTCCGCGCTTGAACTCTGCGAGGTCGCCCAGGGCGACGTCCTTCTCGGTGAGCTCCTTGCTGGGGAACGTAGTCATCAACACCCAGGGACGGGCCTGGTTGGCAGGGCTGGCCGCCGACACGAACTGGTAGACATCGCCGATGGTGTGGGTAACGTTGAAGCGGGATACGAGTCGCGTGCCATCCCCAAGTCGGACCTGCAGAGTGATCGTCGGCTGCGATTCGTCTACAGTCGGCTTCGCAGGGTCGGACTCGGTCTGACTGGGAGCGGGAGCAGCGGCAGGCGCAGGCGTGCCTACGCCCGGAGTCGGGCTTCCTAGGCGTTGTCCTTGTCCCGAGAAAGGCTTGTATTTGGGCTTCGGTTTCACGTATTTCTCCTCGTGCTGCTTGATCTCCACGTCGACCTCCTGGCCAGGCTGGACATTCATGATAGAAAGCGGAGCACGACCCTGTCGGATGCCTTCGAGGATTTCCGCGTTGCGAGGGTCGTCAGAATGGTAGAGGTCACCGTCATCCACGGAAAATCCGTCGGCCCAAAAGTGAAGAGTACGCTGAACGCGCTGCGGTAATTGCTGTACAGGTGCGCTTGGGGTCTCGATTACGCGGCTAGGAGCGTCATCGCCGCCAAGGGTACGAGCCGTGCCTGTGAAATGAGACTGTCTGGGCGTGGGATCGTCCGAAGCCGGAAGCTGAGTCCTAATGTCGAGTTAGAGCCGGCGGCAAAGAGGTGCACGCAACATGACCCTTACCGTTTGGCCTTCTCAATGATCTTCTTCTTAACGTCGTCCGGGTTCTGCACAGCCAGGCCCGACTTCTCACCCCCGGCGAAAAAGTCTTGGTTCGGGTTGTCATCCTCCTCGGACGAGTCCGCATCACCGCTACCGGCGCCTCCACTTCCAGATGCATAGTCGCCTAATGTCGCAAATCTCTTCTTGGGGGCGGCGTTCCGAGACGAGGACGAAGGCTGGGCGTTAAGGGACGGAGACTCCGAGGAGCCGCCACCCAGCGATCGGCCTCCGGACGGCGCAGACTCATTTCCAGCCGATCGGCCTGGGTCTTGTAAGGCTTCGTCTTGCTCGGCGAAGAACTCCGTCACTGCCGCTTCGAGATCCCAATCATTGCCCGCGAGATACTCTAGTGCCTTTGAATACAGGCGGGATCAGCGACAGATCTCATCCAGGGGAGGGGCACTCCTAGAGGACTTACCCCATCGGGACGCGTCCTAGTCATGGCGCAGAACTGCGAGACGATCTCATCTTTCTCGGTGTTCATGTTGGCGGGATGAGAGTCCGGCTGCGGGGTTCTGACAGCGGTAGCGTGGCGGTTGGGGCAGTCTGGGGTTGTTTCCACCGAGATGCCAGATAGATGCTGAGTCTCGGGGGGGGGGATTGCGAGGACGATGAGGCAGGGAATGGAGAATGTCAACTGCGACGCTCGACAAGCGCTCAGATCCAACGACCGGGGCGGTACGTCACCGTTGCCTGATTGGTCATCCGGGTCACGGGATCTTCCGTGGCTGCCTCAGGCACAGACAGACGGTCATCCGCGAATGGCGGCGTCGAGTCTTCGCCTCCGCAGACGAATCGCGATGGACCGGAAGAAGACAGAGAGATAAAGCCATGCCGCGTCTGTGTCTCCCCATCGCTCCTGCCCGTCCAGGTCGACGTCGCCCTCGGTGGCTCCTGCTCTTTGCGGGCATCCAGGCATCCAGGCATCCCTGCTTACATAACCACCCTCCAGGTCAGGCGGAGATCGACTGGCCTCCACCTCCACGACCTGCTGCTTTCCATCCAGAAGAGATCCCGCCTGCTGCCTCGAGTGTCTTTCGGTCTTTCTATCCGGCGGGGTTGAATCTACAGCTCCTGCACATCCTGCACAACGCCTACGGATCTTCTCCGAAGACCTGTCGAACCCTGATTCGATCCGCCTCCTTTGTTGTCACCACTCCTCCCCTCCACCCGCGCGCCATGGCCACAGACGACCACTCCCACTCGAGAGTCGAGCTCTATGAATCCGGCCTGACGGTCCCCTCGGATTCCGAGAACTACTCCGCCAACAATGAGCTATCCTCGTCGACGTCGAGCTCGCCCTTGATTCTCTACAGTCCCCCAACCTTCTGGAGCCTGCTGCGAGGGGCAGCCATCAACCTGGTCCTGCCTTTTGTGAACGGACTGATGTTGGGATTTGGTGAACTATTTGCCCATGAGGCCGCCTTTAGACTGGGCTGGTCCAATACCAAGGTACGGCCGATGTGCTCCTGTAGACGAGTGCCGTCTGCCGTGAATCATGCTCATTATCTTGCCCTTTCTAGATCTTCCCTACCTACCGACGATCGAGATCGTTGGCCCCCGGCGTGGAGGCTCGAGAGATCCCTTCTCCGAGAAGGAGTATCCTGTGAAGCAGCCCTGTCCGGGAATAGATCCAATCATCCAGCCAACCGGTTATAGATCTTCGAGGCCCCAGGTCCTCACGCACGGTGCGGAGCGGAACCGTCACATCAAAACTCCTTGCCCTGCCCTGTCCTTCCTCTCTATCTGTCCATCTGTCCATCTTCCCATCCGTTCTGTTTGTCGGGCTGCCTTGTTTATTCCTTCTGATCTCCAGCATGGGATGCGTATATGGGGGGATTAGTGTACATAGATCCTCAGACACCAGTAGTAGGTCTGATTGACTGTAACGGCGTTTGGCGAAACCTCTCGAATGCGGTCTTACGGCTGCAGCCCCCGTCGAGACGACTGTATGTCTTAGAAATCGAAGCCTCTTCCATTCGTCGTCTCTTGTATACCCCGGGGTCACGTGGGCGGCCGCCCGGCAGAAAAACGGGCGTCTTTCGGAGGAGCGAAAGGAAAGCGAAGTCTCCGTCTCCTTCATCTCCATCCCATCTGCCACGGATCTTGACAATGCTGGGAGGATCTGGTCTTCAAGGGCGCGGCATTATGCCCGCTATTGCCCGGCAGCGATTGGCTGCTTTCCCGCGCTCCAGTCGTTCGGTTCGTCTCCCGGAAGCCCTTCCATGGCGGGTGGCAGAGCAAACTGACTCCGATAGATGTCCTCGTTCCGTGCCCAGACTTCCGGCCTTCCTGCTCGTTATGGGGGACTGAACCAGTCTCTGGCCGGCAATCGATCCTGGCGACCGGCATCTGCCATCCCTACGATCTCCAGCGCGCGGTTCAACTCATCCTCGTCCACCTCCGCCAACAGCGCCGTCGATGCGACTCCTTCAGCAAATGCCTCCGATCTTTCGGATCTTTCAGTCGAGGGCATCAATGCGATCCCCGAAAAAATCGGATATCTGAAAGATATTGGCCTCGACTACGGCTGGGGCCCGACGTCCCTGATGGAGTTCGTCATCGAGCACGTCCACGTCTGGTCCGGTCTCCCGTGGTGGGCCAGTATTGTCGGCACCGGTCTACTGATCAGGCTGGCGCTGCTTCACCCCATGCTTGGAGCCGCGGATACCTCGACGCGGTTGAACAACATTAAGCCCCTTCTGGACCCGCTCCGAACCCGGATGACACAGAGCATGAGAGACGGGAACACGGCACAGGCGCAGCAGCTGCGAATGGAAATCAGCCAGACTCAGGAGCAGCATGGCGTCAAGGCCTGGAAGTCGTTCGTTCCGTTGCTCCAGGTGCCGCTTGGTTTTGGCATGTACCGTGTCGTTCATGGGATGTGCGCCTTGCCGGTACCCGAATTGGCCCAGGAATCCTTTGGCTGGATCCGGGATCTGACCGTGGCCGATCCGTTTTACATCCTCCCGGCCTGCTCGGCCTTTTTCTTGTTCCTGGCCCTGAAGGTAGGCCCGATTTGATCCTAGACTGTGCGTCAAATGCTAACATGCCATCGCAGAGAGGAGGTGAAACCGGTACCAACCAATTCTCCAACTCGGCCGCCGGCAAGGCCGTTCTCTTCGGTCTGCCTGCTATCTCCCTCGGCTTCCTGTCTTTCTTCCCCAGTGCGCTCCAGCTCTACTTTGCCACGACGGGTCTGTTTGGTTTGGGTCAAGCCTACCTCCTCAGCTCGTCGGCCTTCCGACGGGCCGCCGGAATCGCCCAGGCCCAGCCGGCCATGACGCCCGAACAAGCGGCATCGCAGCAGCGCAAGACAATTCGGATGCTCGCTGATCAACTGGAGGCTAGCGCCAAGGCCGCCAACCAAGCGCCCCCGGCTGTGGAGGCCAGCGCCATCGACCGTTTGATCGGGTCGCCCAAGAGCTACTGGAAAAACTTCCGCAAGGATATCGACGAGAAGCTCAACAGCATCAGCGGCAGTGCGCCGCCGACGAACGCCGACGGGTCGCCTGCGGAACCTCCGCGACTCAGCGAGAAGGACCGTCAACTGGCGGCCGACTACGAAAAACGGCGCCAGGAGGAAGAGACGTGGAAGCGGGACGAGCGCAACCATTCTCGCCGGGCCGCCCATCTGAAGGCCCTCGAGGTCGAAAGGGAGAAGGCCCGCGCGGCTTTCAAGAACGCATCCCCCAAGCAGCGGTGAGCTTGACCACTTTATACCAGCCCGGTTTGGAGTTGTATTTCATTGTACAATATTGCGGTCCCTCCTGTTTGGCCTTTTGCTATTGAGCTATTTGTTTCCTTTCCACCTTCATGCCTGTTTAACTACGATTGATCCCGTTTCCATAGCCCGGACATTATTTAGAATGATATATTTCCGAATAGACCATCTTTTCTCCATCAGCACCCCCCTCCTGGAAGGTCAAGGCCCCCGATGGGAAGATAAAGCCTGCCGTGAAAGCGACCATGGCCAGACACTGACAAGGCATGCGAGGTGGACCTGCAAACACATCACATTATAGGAGAGGCGTTTGCGTCTCCCCGTCACCTTCTGGGTGGACGTGAAATTCCTGCACCCCCTCGTTTTCAATCGCTGACTCGTCGCTGAGTCGTGCACTTGACGAGATGGGAGTTCTCTTTCTTTCCACCTTCCTTGATTGTCATCTCTCTCCACTTCCATCACGTCTGTCATCCCATCCTTTCCCCATCCGCAGTTTCTTGACCGACTCCATCGAAGCTATCAAAGATACATCCACGATCATCTCGAGACAGACAGTACATGACTTGAATCGAAAGATCCTCCCAGGTTCCATCAGAGAAGAGACAGCCAGTTCGTAAGGTAAGTGAGAACCATCATCACCATCCCCATGGAAGTCCATCGGACCCCCCAGCAACCAACCACAACATACCTCCATCAACTATCTACTACTGGCTAACCCTACCCTCGCCCCGCAGTTCTCATACTTGCGGATGCTGCTGCAGGCCATTCTCATCATCGTGAGCGTGGAGCTCATCCGTAAAGGTCTGGGTCGTTTCGACTTCCACCGTCGCAGCGCCCGAAATCGCGCGGCCACCCGTCTCGACCATATCGAGATCCGGGTCGACCCTTCCTGGCGCCGCCATGGACACTGACGAGTTCCTGTTCAATCTGGTGCTGTACAGCGTGGTATGTCTGTTCTTTCTCTTCTGGTCTTTCGCTCTGTCTGCCTATCCATGTCGATCTCATATAGCCCCGAAGCATCCACATCCACATCTACCAATGCCATATCCATTCCATCCCACAAGAGCCAACTTTACCAATAACCTACCCACTAGGTCGCCTACGTTTTTATCCTCTTCGGCATCATGTTCTATAACTACATCATGACTCTCCACCACCAACCCTTCCGCGAGGAGTAGTTGGGGCCTTCGTTCGTGTGTGAGGCCTCTGAACCCTGCACGCAATGCTCGACGACGATGCTGCATGCCGCTTTGTTCCTTCTCATCCTGTTTGTCATCTTGTCCGCGGTCTTTAGTCATGGCATCGGGTGCGCGTGTTGTTTTTCTCTCTGGTTCTGACTCTTCCCAACTCCACGTTCTCTCTGTTGAAAAGGTGGCGAATCCGTATGGTAAAGACAGGGTGAATGGTTTGTCCAGGGAGATAGATGGGAGAGGATTTCGGGTTGCATTTGCATTTGTGTTCTTCTTTCGTGAAGGGGGGCTGGTGGTCAGACTGAGCCAGACGATGGGTGGTGGTGGTACTTAGGGTTGTCACTGATGAATGCGACTTGTACTCGGTCTTCAGGAACTCGAGTACTATGTAACTTCGACTGAAATGAGACGACAGCATAGCCATTGACTTGATTCTTCGGAAACGCAATGTAGTAGGTTTCATATCTGGTTGCCGTGTTATTGCGAAAGGGCGGATGTAGGTTGTTCTATATATATTCGGTTGCAGTTGGGACAAAGGCGAGTGATTATCTCGAATCCACGCAATGAGTGCCTTCCCAAAAGCAGTCCACAGGGTCCAAAATCTTCAAGTGTTTTATCCAATTGTAGTCAAGACGAGGATAGCATACATAAATACACCCCAAACTCCCAGACTGACATGGAACAGAATATAGAAAGACAGACATGAAAGTAAATTATTCTTTGCTAATAGATACATGAAGAGGTAATAAAATGGAAAAAGAGAAAAGAGAAAAAAAGAAAAAGAAAAAAACCAAGTCAGATCTTATAAGACATCGGTATAAATGTATATGATAGATGTAAATGCGGATGCGGATGCGATTGTCGATATGCATAGAGTTGTGGATATGTGTGGTTTTCCTTCAAATCGATATACTTGAACATACCAGAACAATGGACCGGCCATTCATTCGTCATCGTCCCCTGGGGAGGGAACCCCTTCGTGATCACCTTCATCCGGTCGGATTTCTTGGTGGCGTTTTTGTGATTTCTATTTTTTGGTTTCTAAGAAGTTGGCATGGGGATCGAGGTCAACGGAAGGGCCGGCGGCGGCTTCTCGTCCTCTTCGAACATCTTCTTCTCCAGTTTCTGCGTCAACTTGGCGCAGAACGGATCGACGTAGGTGGTCCACATCGATGCACAGAAGTAGACCAGCGCGATCCAGGCGGGAATGCTGATGGCCACAACCCAAGGGGGACGGAGAGGGATCCAGGGGGGCTGGATGATCTCGCCGTCTTGGTCGTAGATAGGCTTCCCGTTGTCATCCACGATCTCCTCCCACGGTTGACCGGAGATGCCGTAAAGCATCCAGCAAAGGACGGTACGGAGGAGGGTTCCGTGGACCAGATAGACGGCAAAACTCTGCTTACCGAACCAGAGCAGGAGTCGGTTGGCGAGGTGTTCCTTGGTCGAGGGAGAGAGATAGATGGACATGATGATCAAGTCGATACCGATGGCGGTGTAGCGCTTGCCGACGTTGACGTCGGGCGGGAAGATGTACTGGGCGGCTTTGTACATGTACTTCGACCAGGTGGCCCATTCGGGGTGGGAGCCCGGGTAGGAACAGACTAGGAGACCGGAGATACCACAGATGGTGGCGACGATGCGGCGAGGCCATTTGTGACGCTCGAGGAATTCCTTGAACGAGGTTTCGTAGGAGAGGTCACTGAGGAACATGCCGTAGATGGCTTGGATCTGGAACGTTTCTGCAAGGATCGGGTTAGGACAAAGACCGCCTGTCGAACCGCGCGGGAGAGAGGGTAGCACTTACCGGTGTCCTTGGTGGCATCCTGGTGGAAGTAGAGAATCATAGCGAGGTAGATTCCGATGCGATAGCGGAACTTGACATACATCAGGGCGCACAGCATGATGTACACCAGCATAGAGGCCTGCAACAGAGGGAGCAGGGCCCACTGATGGTCGTCATAGGCCTGGAATCCGGTGGTCCAGGTACTGAGGAAATTCTCGAACAGTCGCACCACCTCCTTCCAGAACGAGTCCTCCAGGTCCACCGCTGCGTAGCGGCACCACCAGCAGTCCGACCGGTTGGCGGCGGTGAAGGCTCCAAACTGCGCCATGATCCACGAGATAACCAAGGCGATGGTGGCGGGGAATATGAGACGGGGGGGACGGCGGAAGGCACTCTTCGCGACGGAGGTGAAGGCACCGAGCTGGTCACCATTACGGGCCTGCTTGATGGGCTTCAGAGCACAGACGTATCCGGTCAAGAAAGCGAAGATGGTGACACCGAGACGGCCTTGCCAGGGGATTCGGAGAATGGGCCACTGGAGAATCCGCGGGGTTGCGTCGGGGTCGTCCCGAGGGGCGAATAGACTGAAATCCCATCCTCGAGCCAGATGGGTCATGACGACCAGGAAGGAAGCAATGCCTCGTAGACCCTGACACGTTCATCGTTAGTTCGGCGTTTCTCGTTGGCGTTGTTGGCCTCCATCCCCGCCTTTTCTTGCGAGGGACGTTGTCTTTCCCCGGGAAAACTCACATCGATCCACTTGACACTCTTTCTGGGGTCACCCTTGACCGAGGAGTCTCCGCCGGACTTCCATGGCAGATTATCTACAATCTGTTGGTACAGATGGGAGGGTTGTAAGGATTGCATTGTGAAGAGACCAATCCTCGGAACCCGAGGAGGGAAACAAGGGGGGGAAACAAAAAGAAGGGGAGGGTCGGCAGTCCAAACGCGATGGCAAAATTAAGGGAGTGACAGAGCGAGTACCGAGAGAGCCATCCAGGCTCTAACACAACACAGAAAAATAAAAGGGCGACCCAAACAACAAAGACAGGGGGTAGGACGGTAAAAGAAGAACCGTGGAAGGACAGATAGCAAGAAGGGGAAGAGAGCGGAAGGGGAGGGAGGGAAAGAGAAAAAAAAAAAGGCCAGAGGGTCAGAACGGAGCAATCAGAATGCCTAAGTAATAAAAGACACAAAAATAGATCGGGGTAAGGCAGAGCCCAGGAATAATACGGATCAACGACAGCAGCATGCGCCAAGCATCTAAGCTCCAAAAGCAATTAACGAACCCGGGTTCCCCATACGTCGGGCGAAGATAACGGACGAAGCAGAAGACGAGAAAGGATTCATGCCAAGCGATTGCCGCTATGGGGTCGCCTAAGCCCTAGTCCCAGTTGGTTTCACTAAGGGACTGACCATTGAGACTAGGGCTGGAAGGGGGTGGGCAAGGGACCCGGGAGGGCAGGGTAGAAAAGAAGTGGTCCCTGATGCAGCGATGTGAAACTTCAGCGCTCGAGGGACGGCGGGACGCGTAGTCTGACGAGGGAAGAGAAACAACCAAAATAAAACCAGGGAAATAAAAAAAAAATAAAAAAAAATAAAACGATTAAAAATGAAAGAGGGCACGGCAAGGAGCATCAAGTAGAGTACTTCCCATTCCAGCGAGACGATTGCGCCATGGGGACCAAATCAGGATGGCGAAATACGAAGGGGGCAGGCCGGGCCGGAGAACCAGGCGAGTGGCGGCCAAAACCCGTGGATACTCAGGATCATCAGCCTTATTAGCCCTATTGGCATGTTCCGACCAGGCCAGGGCTAGCCTGGCAGGACGCAGGAATGGCATCAAGCGATTGCACAATAACACCAACCGGCGCCAAGAGGTCTTGGCAGACGACGGTGGGTTTTTTGGCCCGTTGGGTCGGTGAGACAGATGGAGTTCAGGGGATGGGGGCAGGGCATGATTGGTGCATTAACTGGGGAGGAACCTCCCAGAGTCCCTGGGAGGGTGGGAACCGGGAAAACGATGAAGAGGATGGCTGATGGAGATGGAAGAATGAAGAAGGATGGGATGGCGATGGAGGCGAGGGACGAAGAGGAAGAGGAAGAAGATGAAGGAAGAGAAGAGGAAGGAGAGGAAGAACGAAAAGGGAAAGAGAAACAAGATCTGTCAGGTGTCCAGCGTAATGTCAAGTACAGCCAAGTACGGTCAAGTACCGTTGATAAGAGATCCGCCGGCGGAGGTACCTGGAGAGGCTGGTACCGGCGTGTAACGGTACCGATCAGACCCTGGCGAACTCGAATACGACGGAGGCTTACGGAGTACAGCAGAGGGTATACGCAGTAGTGTATAGTATAGTATAGTATAGTATAGTATACATTATGCTCCGTACACTCGACGGCGTGCGATTGATAGCAGATGAATTAATCTATCTGACACCGTCTCGTTCTCGTATCCACCGTCTCCTCCCCGACTGGTCCCTCTGTCACGGTATCAGACTCGCCTCTTCTTCGCTTCTTCGTCGTCCTCCCTCCTAAGGCTCTTGGTCTCTCGGCATCGGACGGAACCCCCTGATACGGTCGAGATGGACTGGAGTCATCCGAATGAGGACCGGACTTCTTTTTTATCGCCTAGCGTGAAAACTTTTCACCAAAAAAAAAAAAAAAAAAAATAAATGACCCTCTTGGCAAAGACCCTTGTTAATTATTTTTTTGTTACGGATCCTCTGTCGAAATGTTTCCTTTATCGGAAAATTCGTCGGCCTCCGACACTACCGGCGCTCCACGTCACTGACCCTCGAACCCCCAGGTTACCCATACTCAGCCCCGAGAACCCAACCCCTCCCCCTTCGCCGTCCCGTTTGTACCGTCGTAAGGCTTCGCGCAGGTGCGTGGGAAGCAGTTGACCCCGATGCGGATTCGCAGGAAGCTTGAACTCACGACGTGTGACGGGTGGTCCCTGCGCCGGCGCGCCGTCGGATTCCTCGGGTTTGGACGCCTCCTCAGCCTCATAAGCCGCCAGCGCTGCCTGGTCGTGTGCGTCCGCCCACTCCGCCTGCACCGTCCGCGCCTTTTCGATCATTTCGCCCGCAAAGACCTTGGTGAATCCGTTGATCGTCGTCACCACGCTCGCCGGCACCGACTGCGATAGGGCGTGGTTGACGATCCGTCGTAGCGTCTCCTTACGCAGCTTGGCCCGTTTGAACAGATCATATCGTTCCGACTGTAGAGGATTAAACGCATCCACCAGTAACCTGCAATGACAAAAAAGAACGCATCCCCTTCATGTGAGCCACTTGCCGAAGAGGGAAAAAATTTTTTTAAAAAAAAGGAAGATCACACCAAGTGATCAACATGTTCTCAGCCCTCCAAGGCAGAGGACGGAAAGGAAAAAAAAAAAAAAAAAAAAAAAAAAAAAGGAGAATACGTACGCAAGATTCTTCTTCTCCGCTTCCGTATCGGTAGCCCCTTCTTCTCGGCCTAGCAGTTCTCCCTCATCGTCAAAGTCCTCGTCGTCATCGGCCTCCTCCCCACCCGCACCTCCAGCGCCGGCTCCTCCTCCTGTCCCCCCTGCACCTCCTCCTCGCACGGATTGCCCGTCCGCATCCACCGACCCGAACCTCGTCTCGGCACCTCCTCGCGCACTCAGGGCATCCTCTCGTTGTTCACGCTCCTTCTCCGCCTTGCTCTTGCGCCCGCGTTTCTTGGCCTTGCCGGAGAACACCCCGTCGGCGCTGGCGCCGCCCAGGCTCCCCGTGAAACTGCCCGTGACGCTGCCCGTGTCGCTGGCGGCGCTGAAGCCGCGGGGGTCCGCGTCGATGGTCGTCGGGAAAGAGGTCTGGCGGAGAGGGTGCATGCGTGCGCGCTTGGAGCTGCCGCCGAGTGGCTGCGAGGCCGAGGAGGAGATAGAGGGTCGCTTTAGCGGGTTGCTCGGTGGGGGCGGTGGCGAGGACATGATGGCGGGTGCGTGTGTAAGTATGGGGGTATCGTTTCGGCGTCGAGGGGATGAGGAGAGGGTGATGTGATTCTTGGTCGCGGAGCTGGTGTAGGTGGAAATCGTAGTCGGCGGTCAACTCACCGAGCAGTCCGCTGTGGTCGCAATGACCCAAAAGATCTTCATCCGACAGGGCCAAGGATTCCAAACAAAACTAATGGATGGCGCAGTGGTCCAGAGACCGGGAGATGAGAGGGAGGGTTGATGGAGAAGTGAAGGAATCTGAATGTTGATTGAATGACGGACGATTGTCTCCGATGCGGCAAATCCCGTGGCCGCTCTTGGCATGTGAGGTGGCCCAGTTCCTGCTCGACCGCTCCCAACTACAACTCGAATACAACTCACGCTACGTACTTTCGGCACAGTTCGGTCAATTCAAACCCGCTCGAGTGGCTTTCGTTCGCTTGGTGGCTAGAAGATCAAAACTATGTAACAGGAATGCAAAGGAGTGAAAGTACAGAGGTGCAGTGTCCGGCCCCAGTTCAAAACTCGGAGGGTATTTGAAAAAAGAACGACAAAGCGTGGACAACAAGACCAGCAACGGCGCGACAATGCAAGACTACCACAGAAAAGACCGAAGAAACGAAAAAAAAAAAAAAAAAAAAAAAAAAACAGGATTCTCAAAGGAACTGGCCAGTCGCGTGACTAGAATGGATGATGGCACTGGTTGTCCGCATAACTCAAACGCACTCCTCTCCGAGACGAGGAGCCCCCCCTTTCCAGTCAAGTCGTTCGTAGTAGCGGAACACAAGCTCGTAGCCATCTAGATCGTGGACAATGCGATCCACCCGACGATATCCCTTCACATGCTCCATGCGGCTGGTCCGCCGACCCAGGTGACCGGCATCGTCGCCATCCGCCGGCGTGGCCTCGAACACGGTGACGCTGAAGCGGCCGGGCTTGAAGATGTTCACCACCTGCTGCACGATGCCGGCCGTGGTCTGGCCATTCTGGGAGTGCGGCACGTTGGTCTCGAACGACGCGTAGGAGCACTGCGGCTCGGGGGTCACGTGCACGGTGAAGTAGTGCGTGCCCATGCTCTGGTCGGGAGACGGAATCACCCCGTTGGCGGAGAACCCGCAGGGAGTGAACAGGTAGGCATCGATCCGCGAGTCGGGGAACTTGTCCTTGGAGTAGACGTCCGACAATCCCGAGGATTCGGAAACCACGGTGCCCAGCGCGTGACCCTCCGTCGTCAGTTCCGGAGGCAGGACCCGGCCTTCGTCCGAGCCCAGGTCATCCATGTCTGAGTTGTTGCTGAACACGTCGACATGCTCGTCCTGGTCCTTCTCGAAGTTGCGGTAGCGCTTCTCCGCAACGGCCGTGGCGTGTTCGAGATAGAACTGCTTCGCGTTCTCCTCCTCCAAGTCGGTCATCAACACCTCCAGGGTCTCGTCATTGCTATAGTCCACGGGCGCGGCCTCTGGGATCTGCAGGATCTTGGTCTCGGTCATACCGTCATCCGAAGCGGCTTTCGGACTCGCCGGCGGGGTGAGCAGCGTGTGGGGCTCGGTCAAGTACAGGTACCAATGCTCGCCGTTCATCTTGCCAATCATGTAGGCACTGCCGTTCAAGAAAAGTCGGTCCATGGTGCGCACTTCATCTCTCCAGCTGCGGTGGGGACCACGCTGACGGTCCGGGAAGAGGAAGTTCTTCCTGCTGTAGAACACACGGTAGGGAGCCGCTGCCACGTCGATTCCTCGCGCCGAAGGCGCGGTCGCTTTAGGGAAGCCGCCGAACAGAGCAGCGATTTCAAGGATGCGCGGCAGGCCAGACAACAGGGTGGTGGTGCCGCACGTCTTGAGGATCAGCTTGTGAGGCCAGACGAACATGCTGGATTCCGAAAGCAGGTAGGCGTCCACATCCTCCGAAGAGACAATGGACAGCACCTGGCAGTTGACCAAGTCCAGCATATCTTTCCAGATCTCCTCCGGCACTGCCTTCAGACCGGCAGGCTTGGCCGGTCCCAAGGACTCGGCGGACGGCGCAAACCAGACCTCTAGAAGCTTTTCGGGACCTGCGTCAAACCGTTAACATCAATTCAGAGATTACACACGAGCACCCACGACGAGAAATGACGTACCTTCGAAGGCATTGGTGGAATCGAGATCCTGAGCCGCCGCATGGTTGATAGTCAGAGACGGAGTGCCGGCAAAAGAGGACGGCGAAGCCGTGTAGTTCTTGGGAATGCCAATGTACACCATCTTTTTATTTTAACGCAGTGATGCTAGCAATGCGCGACGAGGGCAGAATCGACGAGTGAATGCGACCCAAAGAGAGTTGTCGCGGCTCGAGAATTTGTGGACCGTAGACAAGGAAGCCTAGGAAGCACTATCTGCTACCCAGACGAACAAAGGGGGGAAATGTCCGCCTGAGAGAGAAGGCCCTTGATCGATCGAGTGAAAATGAGGCACACAGCCCAAACGAGAGAAGTTCAACGAAGAAGCCGTAGGGCTGCTAGGGAGGGCGAAAAGAGAGGGAGAGGAGGAAAATGCCTCTGGAAAAAGGAATTGTGACTATCGGCGTTGAACCCTCGTGCTGGAAGATACCGATACCGGTAAAAGTATCGGGTCTAGCAGACGAGGAGATCTGCTTTTTTGGAAAAATAAAAGAGGAGGGGAAATGAGGAGAGGCGGAAAGAAAAAGACGACCAACGTGGGGCGTGTTATCGAGGCCTGGACCATCACACGGAGCGAAGTTAGCCAGCGCAAGACCAATTGGCATTGGGGAGCGGATTGCATTACCACCTACTTTGCGGGTTTAGACAGAAATCGCAGTAGATCCTTCGGGTTCATGGAAGGCAGGACCTAGATCGGGCTCAGAGCAGCACGATGTAGCAGGAAGCTACGAGGTTTGACATCTGCAAGAGACCGACAAACGCAACGCGACAGCCACGAATTGAGCTGACCTCGCTCCAAGGGGACGAGGACAACGAGGGAAGAGAGAAGGGGAGGGGGAAAAGGACGACGTGGGGTGGGAAGTTCGTCGAGATGGGCACTTGGATATTTATTAAATCCAAGGAATATTTATGGCTGGTCAATGTGTGGGCCCGGAAAAAAAAGTCGCGGGGCGCCAACGGACCGGCAGTTTTGAGTTGGGCAGGCAGACCTGATCTGTCAGATGCGATCGTCCTGGAAAACCCGACCAGAAGAGAAAGGGGAAGACAATTGATTGGTGAGAGAGAAGGGGGGGACTAACCGATGATCTGACCAGGGAGGTTGAGAAGAGAAAAGCGATCTCTTCGAGGTGAGAAGATGGAAGATGGAGATGGCCAAGTGGGGGGGGGGAAGAGGAAGAAGAGAGAGAGAGAGGAAAAGAGTGCAGGAGGTCGTGCGACAAACGCAGGCAAATTCCCTCCGCCGCTGTATTTCTTTTTTTTTTTTTTTTTTCTTTTTTCTTTCTTTCTTTCGCTCTTTCTGCCGGCTCCTTGCCGAATGGAGAGAGCGGTCAGTCAAAGGCGGGATGACATAAGCCGGTGACGTCGAGCGATCGACAGGCAACGCTTCCGTCGTCTCCAGAAGTTTACGGCGACTGCGTACAAACCCTCGGCATTCTGGCATGGCGAAGGCAGCCATAGAGCTGGTCCTGCCGTCCTCGATGTCCTGTGGGATCATTTTACCTACGTCGTGTAACGCTCCTGCTTCCTGCTTCTGTGTCACTTGCGAAAAGGCTAAATTACAGCCAATGTGGATTTCCAACGCTGGCATTCGATAGTATGTGTGGTATGGACTTGACCCCCGATGCCCTTGACGGTGAAATGGGAAAAAAATAAAAAATAAAGAAATAAAGAAAAAGAAAAAGACGAACATGAAAGGAAATACGCCGATCCAACGCCTCGAACGCACTGGACCCCAAGAGAAAATCCACGTCCATGATGATGCTTGTCCCACCGCCAGTTCTCTAAATATTCGAACGGGAAAAAGAGAAAGCAAAAATGAAAAGAAAGAGAGGGATAGAGAAAAATCAGGTTCATGAGTCAAGGACGGCATGCGCCAGCTGCACCTGGCCGCGTTCGCTAATCTTGCTGGCAATAAACTCACCCACCGCGCCGTTTAGTCGCTGCCGTACCTCGTCGGTGACTATTCCGCTATCACCGTTGGCTAGAGCCATGCGTCCCTCCCGGAGATTGGCCAGCACGCCGAGAAGGCCCTCCAAGACCCGTTCGGCTTCCGGCCGCCGCGCACTGTCGTCCGCCATGCCGTCCTTCAGGAGGTTGCCATACGTCGGCACGTTGGGCAAAATCAAGACGCGCACCGCCTCTGCGCCGCCAACCTCAAGGATACCAATGATGGCGCCGTAGTGGGCGCCAAATGGCTTCGACGGGTCGAGGAACGTCTTCAAGCACGACCGAGCGAGTCGCGGTTTCAGCGTCATCGACGAAGGGGAGTATTTCTTGGCGATTTTGCCAAGGAGAGACGCAGAGAGGTCCCGTAGGGCAAACTGTTCGGACAAGTCGGCATTCCCGCCGAGTTGTCGGCCAATCAGGCAGGTCAGGATGGGAGGGACAAGCGATGCAACCTGGGCCGGTCAGTTTCACAAACATCCTTCGACAAACATCATCCGATGGGTGTGCGACTCACGTAAGGGTCCACGTAGAGCGATTTGTTCTGCACCAACGCCTCGGCCATACGCATCACCTGCGTCAGAATGAAGATATCCTTCATGCCGTGGGTGACCTTCTCGGAGATGAACTGCACGAAATACGGCACCAACTGGTGCAATCCTGGGTCTTCGCGCAGACTGGAATAGCCCGACGTACGGTACTCCTCACTGGACTCGTCCAGAAATGCGTTGCAGACCTTCCCGAAGTATAGCTGCAGCTCCTTCGACAGCACGTGCTTCACCAGCGGCTTGACGGCCACATTACCGCTGCCGCTCATGGCGGCCAGCGTGGAGTTGGCGTTGGGACCCTTGGACATCAATTCCAGGTTTCGCGAATCGGCGGCGGTGGGATTCTGAGGAATGGATGGTTGCACACCTTCGACGGCCAACCAATGTGCTGTTCAGAAAGGACCTCTATTAGCCAAGCACCCTTGGAAATCTACGCACCTCATCAGGATCAAATGTCGGGACGGGGGTGAAAATGTACCGGTGAACGAAATTTCGCGGGGCACCTTTGGTAGCGGCGCATTGATTAGCTTCTCGAAATCCACCTCTTCGTCCTCCACGTAGAACAACGGCTGTCCGGGGCCCAAAGAAGCCTCGCCGAACCGCAGCGGCCTGGTAGATTCGTATCCATACAGCGGCTCGACATCCAATACGCGCAGGGCCTGGGCCACATCCTGCGTGGTGAGTAGGGTGCGACGGCTGTGGCGCATGAACTTGAGCGCCTCCTCCAGCACCTGAGCGATGCGGTATTCCACGTCGCGGGAGAGGTTCTCGGTTACGTCGTCGTTGATGTTGGCGATCCCCGCGGACTCCGCGACGTCGCGGATATTATCCGGGTTCCAAACGGACATCGTGGCCTGGCCTCTTCAGAGGGCGAGATGGAACGCCGAGAGAGCCGGAATCGGAGAGGCGAGATGCGTGGTTGTCGATTGATTGGTGAGCGACGATAGCCGAAGCCGTGCTCGCTCGTGGAGGGATCTGAGAGGGTAAAATTGGGGTTCGATTACGGGAGGCTGAAATGGTCCAGAGAGGCGGCACACATTCTGCAAGCCGAAAGAACGCCCGGGAAGGGGGAGAGGGAGGAGAGGGAAGTGAGAGAGAGCTGGCGCGGTGAGTGAAGACTGAAGAAGAGCGAAGGCAAAGGGAAGGCGGAAGACAAGGCGAGCGGCCCTGCGCTCTGGGCACAAGTCGCTCCCCGTAGCGCGTCTACATCGATCGAACAAACTCAAGACTGGCTCTGCGCAGAAGAGGAGTGGATGATTTTTTCTGCTCTACTAATTAAAAATTACTATCTTAAGCCACCGGATCTATAAATCCGAGGCGCGGAAACACGGCGTTTCGAGGTATCAAGGCTTCAAACAATCACAAAACAATCGCAAATCTAGAGTCCTCCGGGTATCAAGCCAGCGATCCATACCATTACCATTAACTTTTGTTTTCTTCTTTTTCTTTCTTTCTTTCTTTCTCTCTTTCTTTATTTCTTCCTGCTGCCAGCGTACCGGGAGACCATGATCAATCTCATCTATTTGGCCTCGCCGGCAACGGGGGCTTCCTGGGCCGTGACGGCTGCGTCGGCCTTGGGCGGTTCTTCCCTCTTGGGCTCTTCCTTAGGGACCTCGGTATCCTGAGTCGGCGCCTCCTGAGGAGCAACCTTAGTGGCCTCCTTCTCCGGCTCAGGAGCCGGGGCCGCCGCAGGGGCGGGGACGGGTTCCTCCTCCAGCTTCACGGTTTTCGCGGATTCCTGCAGGGCAGGGCCGTTTCCACCGTAGGCCTTGGGAAGCTTCTCCTTCACGGCAACATTGAACTCCCGGCCCAGGTTGGCGCCATTGGAGATGGGGTGGAACTTGCGGGTGGTGTTCTTGCTCAAGAAAACCTTCATGGCGGCGAACATCCAACCCATGAGGGACGGCACGTTGACGAAGAACTTCTCCCGCAGCAGTTCGGGGTACGCCGTGGTGAAAACATCAATGGTCTTCTTGGTGGCGGCTCGGAGGTTGGGGTTCAGTCGCAAGAAACTGAGGTTCAAGTAGTCGTGAACCTGGACCATCTGGTATGGGTCCTCACCATCGTACTCGATCACCGAAGTTGCCTGGGCCAGCTTGAGCTCCTGGACAGCCAGCTCCATCAACGCAACACGCCACTTGACGAACCTAGATAGGAGTTAGGATACTCTGCCGCATTGGCCACGTAAATGGGGGGGAACAGGTAACGCACTCATCCATATCCCCGAAGGTATCATCGATGTTCTTGACAGCACCGTAGATGTTCCAGGTAACAACCAGCTCCTTGTTATCCGCCTCCTGATATGTCGTCAGATATCCCAGGCCACCGAACTTGCTGGCATTGAAACGCCCCGATTCCACCAGCGCGGCGGGATTCATCTGCTTGCGCCACTGCAGCGCCTTGGTCAGCTGCTCCTCCGCCAGCTTCGCATTGCCCTCGTTGGCCCGCAGGAACTTGATCAGCACGTTCACCGTCGGGGCGTCAGCAGAGTCCTTGAGCGGGACCCCCCACATTTCGTCATGACCGGAGCTAGACAGGATGGAAGGCAGTCGTTCCAAGAGCTGGCCCAAGGAGGGGTTCTTGGTGAGGTAGTCGGGCTTCGCATCAGCGGCGGGCGTTTCCTGCTGCCCGTCCTTCACCTCCTGCGCGGCTGGCGCAGCGGGTTCCGTCGTCTCGGGGGCAGCTTCGGGGGCAGCTTTGGGGGCAGCTTTGGGGGCAGCTTCGGGGACAGCTTCGGGCGCAGCCTCGCTGGCAGGAGCAGTCTCCGAGGGCTGTTCCGCGGGAACGGTCTCTTTCTGAGCCGGTTCGGCTGGTGTCTGCTCGGGCTGAGCCTCTGGAACGGGGGCGGGAGCAGCCGTGGTCTCGGAGGCCGGTTCAACGGGCTTGTTCTCAACGACTTCCGGGGCGGGAGGCGCAGTTTTGTCTTGTTGCTCGGACATGACTGAGGGTGGGAATGGAAATCTAGGAGACAGGAACGATGGGAAAAAGAAAAGCAAGCGATAGGTCAACGGAGGCGAGAGGCGATAATTCGATGAAGGAAGTGGTGGTGGGGGAAGCAGAGAAGGAAGCGGAAGAGCGAAAGACAAGAAGACAAAAGGAGGGCAGATCACATGGAGCGCAGTCACGAGGCAGTCGGGAGTCTTAAATAAAGCCAACAATTAATTCACGGCGTCGTGCTTGGGATTATCCGATTATTGCAAATTGGATATTTTTAGGGTCCATCCCTGCTCCATTCCTGCTCCATCTGACGGAGTAGTCTAGAGCGATTATTATTAATTGGCAAGTTAATTAGCCTGCAAATGAAGTCCTGGTGGATGCCTCACATTCTGGCCCAAGGCCCATCGCCAGTCCTCCAATTCTACTCCTCCGTCCAAACCAGAGTCCTTCAGGCTCAGGGATCCCTCTCGACGTGTCCAATCCAGGTCCAAGTGGCATGACTCATTACACAAGTCAAGGTTCAACCACCGATCAGATCCCAATAGTCCTACGGAGGAATGGTCGAACACCCCGGTTTCTATTTCGGTCCCTCCAGTAACCAATTAATCTACGCGCTGCATGTTTCATCCCCCCCGTTGTCCTTGCCTTCGCGGTGGCCTGCAGGTCTCGACTGGATCATGCAGGGCTAATGTCGTTGCCCGGTGGAGCTGCTGTGTTGGCGCCTTGGACGGCCTCGAGACCAGTCGCCCCTGACAGCAACTGTCCTACTCTGGTCCGGCGACATGTTCACCACGGAGTAACTTTGCTCTCTAAAGGGATAAACAGGAATAATAAGATGAGCAGAGGAGCAATCAGCACCGACCTCTCCTGCAGGTAAAAGCCTGTGTGTCATAGTTCTCAAGGCAACCATTCTTGTTCATGCTTGTCTTATCTCCAGGGATATGGAATCGAAAAGAAAATAGAAAAAATAAATAAAACGCAGAGGATGAATGTGAATGACTGCTCAATCAACAAAACAAAAGGGGAGGGGGAAATCAATATCAATTAACGGATGCCTCTTGTGTTGCCCCCTTCTCATCTCTGGCACGTTCTTTAACCCGTCAATATGAAACAACTTCGGATGCAATGATCGCTTGGGGAATATACAGGAAATGCAAAATTTACAAATCGACGCTCCGTGTCGGGCATGTCTTTACTTCGTTCCGTTCAAGAACTTCCCGGGAATCTGGGGCACCGGAGGAGGGATCGGGGGCGACTGAACGTCTTCTGCCTCATCCTCGTCCTCGTCCATTTCGTCCAAGTTCTCGGGATGCCTAGAACCACCGTCAGGTTAGATCGCACTGGAAAGGGGGAAAGGGGGAGGGGTTAGGAGAGGGGATAACAGCGGACAAGCCGTCCACGTACGCTAGAAGTTCCTTGATATTTCTCATCTCGTAGTGTCGTTTCCGCTGCCGTTCGAACTGACGGTGCTTCTCCTGAGCCTCCTCGGCGGTGACCATCCCATCCTCGCCCAAACCAGCCTCCCCATTCGCCTCTCCGGCACCAACCACCACGTGCTTGTCACTTCGGTGCGACTCATTGCTCAGGCTGCGGCCGCGCACGATCCGACCATCCCCCCGGGCATGCGCCCCGCTGGCGAGAGATTCCTCCGGGTCTCCCAGCTCTAGCTCGGGGATCTCATCCTCCGCAACAGCCTTCTTGGGCGCCTTCGTCGATTCGTCCAGTTCATCCACCACCACATCCTGTGCATCGATTAGTTTCTCTTCCGCCTCCGCAAGCTGCATCTCATCCTCGTCCTCGGCCGGGTCGTAGCGCGGGGCGTAGGGCGTCTTGGGCTCGTCGATCTTCATCTTGGCGGTCTTCTCTTGCTCCGTGAGGTAGAGATTCGCTTCGTCCCATTTCAGTCGCGGGGAGTTTTCATCGTCCTTGACGTCGGCGAGGGACTGGCGGCGAGAGGAGGTGCCAGGACGAGTATTGGAGGACGATCGACGGCGCCCGGCATTCTGGAGGGTGTTTTGGAGGGTGAGCTCCTTGTTGTCCGCGGTTTCAATAGCCGGGGTTGGCGGGGCGAGAGTTTCACTGGCGTGCGACGCTCGAAGAACGCTGTGCGAGCTCGAGTTCTTGAGAATGCCTATCAGTTGGGAAGCCAGTTAGTCTGACAGCCCATCCCAGAAGACGTTGGGCACCAACCCTTAGGCCGCTTGTGCATCTCGTCCATATCTTGTGCCATTGTCATCGTAAAAGGAATGCGACGGAGGCTGTCGCGCGGTCGGTCGGATGTTGTAAAGGGACAACGATTCACAAGTCTATTGATGAAGATGTAGTCGAAGTGATGTCTTCGGTCGAACCAGATGGTATTAAAAATCAGAAGCCACCAAGTAGAATGGAGAGGGAAAAAATCGAAATCGAGATCGAAAGAAAAAAAATAAAATAAAATAAAATAAAAAAGCTGCCGTCACAGGCTGCAGGCGGGTTTTTTTGGCGGGGGGTCTCAGCCGCTTGAGTGGTCAGCCAATAAGTGCGGTGGGACGATCGGGGCACTGCGTCTTCTAAGCAGATCGGCTGATGGCGGTGCGCAAAGCAGATGGGTAAAGCGAGATACGAGTAAGCCACCGAGGGAGGCAGCTGAGGAGGGATTTGAAGGAGGTGTCTGGTGGTTGACGGTGAAGAAGGAAGTCTGGGAAAGTCGGAGAAACGTCACGTTGTGGTTTCACCTGAAGGGGCACGTGGGGCAGCGATGACGTCGATCAGGCATCCCGTCAGGCAGGCCGATTCGACGAGGAAGATACGAGGATTCTACGAGGAAGACCCGGAGCTCGTGTCAAATGCGTGGATTCGATGCTATCATGCGATGGAATGCAATGCGATACCGTGTATGGAATTGTATGCCCAAACCCGAACAGATGTCCGCCGGTCCTATAGTCTCTACAGTCCAGCCCATGGCAGTGGTACTCCAAAATCCCAGCAAGAAAAGAGAGAAAAAGCAGACAAGCAGATTGCCACCCTCGGAAGTACGTGTATAGGGGAATATTTTTCAAACCAGATATGTAAAAGAAAAAAGAAGAAGAAGAAGAAGAAGACAAAAAAAAGTATATAAACGTAATAGGATGGGAGGAAAATGAACGAAAAGAAGTGAAGCATATTGGTCTTCCATACTCCCGCACGAGCAGGAAACAGGAAAAAAAAAAAAAAAGAAAAAGAAAAAGAAAAAGAAAAAGAAAAGAAAAAGAAAAGAAAAAGAAAAGAAAAAGAAAAGAAAAAGAAAAGAAAAAAAGTTCCAATCGTTGGAAATGACAACACAAAGGTGACATGTGCTCCGGGGATAAGTCATCCAATTAGATGGTCCAAGATAAGAAATTTCACGATGCAGGTCATAAATGGTATCAAGTCGTCAAAGGAAAGAGAAAAGAAAGAAAACTCAGCGTACAGATAAAAAAGAAAGCTTGGAATTGAACAGTCACAAGTGGAAGCAAGCACTTAGGCGATGGAATCGAATTCCTCTCGTTCGCGAAGCCTGTTCCGCGCAAGTTCGTCACCTCCATTGGCCGACAGCTGCATCCAGTGCAGCGCGAGGCACAAACTCTGAGGGTCCGACTTGGAATCCTTGTCACGCCGATACATCATTTCGGCTTTAAACGTGTCCCGCAGCAGCGTGAGCGGCAGTGTAACGCGCGGCAGGAGCTCCGGGTGGGTGAGGTAGAGAATCGCCAGTTCCCTCTGCGCGACGGGATTGCCTTCTTTAGCGGTGATGATCCACATTCCCGCTGCGTCCTCGATCCCATGGCCGGGCCGGGGATTCATGTCATGCCCGTGAGGGGGGTGACGTCGACTAAGCTCCTGGGACACAATGTTGTCCGCAATTTCAACCATGCTTTGGCAAATCTCGTCCTTTAGGCTCAAGGCCGCCAGTCCGAATTGCAGGAATGCAGTCCCACTATCGGTTTTATTGAGCGTGTCCCCGGGAACAAACGCGGATATGAACTGCAAATCTCGGAAAAGGGTTTTCGGTTTCACCTCGAGCAGCAAGTCGCGCAAGGCGTCCACTATCTGCTTCTCCGTCGGAGCTGAATAGTCGGAGGGCCGAGAACCGAAAACAATTGATTCGGCGGCCGGTGACGTGGGGGTGTGAATGGTGTTCTTTTCGACCCGCCCTCGAGATCCAAGCTGCGAGAAGCTGTGACGAGTAAGTCTCGCCCCTTGACCAAACGCGCGACTTCCCCGGTGACAACTGGGCTCTTGGGTCGAAGAGAAGGCATTGTCGTCAGGACCAGAATTCAGCGAGGCGATGACTAGTGCCCGTAAGTCACGGAGCGCCTTCAATTTGACAAACGGGTTGCTGTGCCGAGAAAAGACCTCGATTAATCGGCGAAAGATCATGTTGTACGAAAATGGTGTCTGATCTTCGCAGTCGAGCCCGGCGGGCTCGTCGGGCACTGAAGATGCGGCGTCCTCGTGTCGCGCTTGATCAGATGGCCCGACTGATTTGCTTCTTCGCCCGTTGGACGGTGTACGGTGGAGTGTTTGACGGAGCAGCCGTTCGTCACAATCCGCATAAAACCGGTTGATCTGGGTGCGTTTTTTCATCTGAGCTCGGATTCGTTTTTGATCCACCGCATTACCAAACCAGGCGTCTGTTTCGGTGCCGCAGCTCCAGACCGGTGAGCCCAGATCGCTCACCAGTAGGCTTGTCAGCGTCTGTCGCAAATCATCAAGAAAGGTGCTTTTCCCGTTCGATTTACGTTCGTTCCGACGAGGCTGCTGACCTACGGTGTCACTCAGCATCGAAGGGGGGCGGGAATATATGCTGGATGTACTCGGAGCATAATTCGTCGGCTGATGCGGTGCCGACCAAAAAGTGCTGCACGAATCGCCTGTAGAGATAGAGGCTGCTCTCGTTGGCGAGCCGCCCATGGAGGAAACATCCCCGATTGAAGGTTCTCGCGGAGTTCTCCACTTGTCAGACATGAGGCTTTGGAAGGAAGTCTTTCGATTCAACGAAGGGAGGTCCTGCGAGAACCTGGAAATGGAATCCGATGGACGAAGCGTGTTACCATATGTCTGCGAGGAATGTCCGAAATCTTCGTTGGCGGCGCTGAAAGGCCGCAGTCCAGAAGACAGGCCCAGGAAGCTACGATTGCTAGATCCCTCGTATTTGGCTCTCTCCTTGTGGAATAACTCGCTCGCCCAGAGCACCGGGGTTTCGGCCATGGTCTCCCCGACAAGTCGGTTGATGCTCGACTTCACTTCGTAGCAGAACCGGTGAATGCGCTCCTCCCCTCTGCAGAAGTTATCGATATTGTTGTGAGACAACCATTTGCGAATCAGATCGACCTGTTCGTCAGAGAGCTTGTTGGGGCCAGCCTGGCTACTCGGAGCCTTCATTACATTCATGACCTGCAACTCCGGCTTCTGTAGGAGCGAGCCGCCTAGAGATCTTCCGCTGCCGCGTGATCGGCCCTCATTCGATGTCTGTTTGTGGAGGCGAGCCGAATGGATCATGGTCTTCAACGCAAGAGCGACATGCTTTGCATCCTCGTATCGCATGGAATTCCTGACGTCAGTAATGTACCACATCTTGTCCCGCAGCTTCGTCACGGTGGCCATTGTATCCTTCATGGTTCGCTGCAGCCGCTGCATGTGACGGTCAAGGGCGACAAAATCACTTTCGCAGCGATCGATAACTGACCGAGATGCCTGGAGGGAGCGAATGCTCGAGGTATACATTGGGCCTAGGATCCAGGAGTCATTGGCCACGCGAGACGGAGTGTTGGAGACGCTGCGAACAAGTTGGCGGGCAGCGTTCCACCAATAGTGGGCCCCGATAAAATCGGATTCATGGTGACAGGTGGCCATGGCCTGGTTGAATCTTTGCTTCAGGGAAAGGCCCCCGCCATAGTGGGGATCGTGAGACGGCAGTCCAATCTCACTGTGGTCACTGGCAGGATTCTCCTGGATTAATTTCACAATAGCAGTCTGGAGAGCTTCAAAGTTATCTTCCATGCCCAAGGTAGTGGATTGGACATCATCAACAGAGGTCTCTGCGCAGCTAGATTGGTTGTCAGCAAAGAGACCCCAGATGAGCCGTTGTCCGCCTTGTGCGACTGAGAAGACCGCCCAATCTTCCGCCGATGGTGGCTCCAAGTTCGCGCGACCATCAGTGTCGCCAAGATCGGACAGCTCAAAGCGAATTCGATCTGCGTTGCGGCTGAGACAGTTCTCAGGAAAAGACAGAAAATCCATTTCCGATGGGAAGAGATGCCTGCTTGTGGAGTACTGCGCCATGTGGCTATCACCAACAGGCCGGAAAAATCCGGGCTCGATCAAGGGTGTCATCTGCTTATCCCGGGGAGACAATGGGGAGGCAAAAGATGTGGTGGAAACGCCCGAGGATGGAGTAGAAACGTTGTACACGGACGATGGCGGTCTGGGGAACAACGAATTCAACACGGTGAGAATGTCGGAGGAGGAGAGCATCAGAAAAACGGCTGGCGAATCTTCTCTCTCTACGGATCTGACATATGAGAGCTGCTGACGAGACACGTGCAGATCGGACGGCGTGAAAGCAAATCGATTGAGCATGCGCTCAACATGCTGCCTGACCGTCGGGCGGGCCATAGAAAAGTGACGCCTATCGTAAAAAGAGCGTTGCGCCCTTGTTAGCGCGCTGGTCGGCTTTCGAAAAAGGTCTCGGGAGAACAGGAAATGAGAGTATACACACATTGATCGAAGGATAGCATATACTTGAGAGTAAGCCTGGAGTCCGACCTGTCCTAGTAATTTTTCGCGGGCATCCTTCCTGATAAAAAAGTCAAGCAAAAGTCCATGTGCCTAAGCGTAAGTGGTTAGACCCGGGGGGCTCAAAAGACCGTTTCAGGAGACATACCTCAGGATAAGTTAGTGCGCCGTATAAGAATTTGGAGAAAAACCACTGGACAAATAAGAACTCGAGGAAACGATCACGGCTATCCGGGCGATCCAACTTCTGCAAGACGGCCTTGCTCAGTTCCATCACCGCATGCGGGAGCCCTCCATCCGGGTCGTCCAGGAGTTGGAACAGACCATCAACGGCGGACGCAAAGAATTCCTCGGCCACGTCAGTTTTCAAGGGGTCGATCGGCTCCGCGTCAAAACTCAGCCCGGCCGGGGGTTCTACGTGTTCCAACAGGAAGGCGCCCGTTTGGAGGATGTCCATCAGGTATAATTCAAATTTGGGCTTTGCTTTCCAATCACTGCCCGTGGCCCAGGCGGCCAGGATGTTGCCGATAAGGGGATAATACCTACTGCCGCCGTCGGCGACCAGCTTTGCGCAGACAGAAGACCATACATCCAGGCGCAACCGGGCTTCGGGGGCATCCGAATCCAGCGGGGCGGCAAAGACATTAAATAGTAAAATAGACAGAGCATCGGTTCTCTCAAAGGCGAGAACATGGTCCCTGAAAGGAATGGACGACGCAGGGTTGCGCCTGGGGAATGAAGTGTTCCGGGACCGCGAGGCCGACGGGAACGAAAGATCACTGGTTTCCCACGACGGGGCCGAGGACGAGACCAGAGCGCCCAGCTGACCGGGTGTCAAGCTGCACAAGCGCTCGAAGATGAACTGGGCATCGGTGCGGACCGACTGCAAGATCCCGATGAGATCGGCCCTGGACTGGGGACTCAGCTGCAGGAAAAAATCCGGGGCACGGTCAACGGCCGCCTCGGGGGAGGATGGCCAGTCTTCCAACGGGTCCTGCCGGTGGAAGTGGCGCCGGAATGCGGAATCACAGGATCCTTGGAGGTCAATCATGGTATGGTAGAGAGCAATAAAATTCGCCTTGTCGTCATGCTTCAGGCGGTCGACTAGGCCGCGCTGGACGGCGGCTCCCACGCGAACCAAACGGGCGGAGATGCCCATGGACACTTTGGTGGCATGAAGACGATGTTCCAGCCTCTTGCGGCGGGTCTGCTTGTGCTGGTTCTGGCGATAACGGACGGCCAAATCCTCAAAGGACACCTTGGGGGGATCCTCCGCGGGTGTGGCTGGCAGCGGGTGATCCGTGGGATGTCCATCATCGGAGCAGTTGGGGGTTGCTATGAATCGCGAACTCGAGCAGTCCGAGTATCCAGACTCACCTGCGGTCTGGCCCCGGGGTTTGGGGACGGACGACTCTGAAGACATGCCGGCCGTCGCAGCAAGTGGGTGAGATGCAGCATCACATGTTGAAGTAGCCTGCGCTGAAGGATACAAGTCTAGCATGCGCACGAAGCGACGAGGGAGGCGACGTCAGCAACGTACATGGACATGTCTGCCCAATCGATAAGATCAGGGGGGTCGGCGATAAAGCAGTGGTATGTAGATGTCAAGTCAAGTCCATGGACGAGGAACGGGCGATCATTGATACAGGTCATATTTGCAAAGCAAACTAAAAGGGGGGAAAGGGAGGGGGATCTGGAGGGGCAGAAAAGAATCAAAAGGAAAAAAAGGAAAGAACGGAGGGACATACTGGTCACATAAGCCAAGGTCGATGGAAGACCATCAGATTGGGCATCGAACATGATGTTGCCATGGGCAGTCTCCCGGCCGGCCAGCCAAGAAGACAGTGGAGGTCGCAAGATGCCCCTGGCGTGGGAGACCAACTCTCTATCGCATGGTTCAGCCCTTAGAGGCGGCACGGTAGACGAATGGCGGTCCTCATGGAGAGCGAGGTGCTGTTGATGGGGATCAAGATGAATGCCCGACGCGATCGACGGCTCCAGGATGAGCGAGGCGGGACGATAAGAAGGAAGAAAGCGAGAGAGGGCGAGAGCGAGGGAGAGGAGGAGAGAGGAGAGAGATGGCCAGCAGGAGAGAGGGAAAAATAAAAAAAAAAAGGTGGGGTCAAGTAAACCAAGGAGCAAGAGCAAGAGGGCCAACGGAGGGGGAGGGATCAAATAAAGAGAAAATAAAATGCAGATGCAATAAAATCAAATGAACAGCAAATAAATAAAAGGAATGCGCATCGTCCAATACAGCGGCAGGCCAGACGGCGGAAGGACGAGACTAAAACACTCCGGTGCAGGTGGAGAGGAGCAGTTCCGATCTGATTTCGGAACGATTCAGCAGGAAAGACAACTGGCGGGAGGAATTTAGTTCAATCCGTAGGTAAGAATGGGGATAATAATCGGAAGTGGATGACATGCAGTGGGGAGAGGGAGAGGGAGAGAGAAGGAGAGAGTCAGGACGAACTAGTGTCGCGATGCCAGCAAATCGACGGGACGTGAGGAGGATTTCTGGTTCCTCCTTCCTCAGAAAATCCCCCGTTGGTTGGCCGACAAAAAAGAAAAAGAAAAAAAACGTTCTTGAACGACGTGAAGGCGGTTCCGACGAGAGAGTCAACTACGATGGAGGGGGGTGTTCTGGACCCTGGCGGTGACTCGAACCGGACGCGTGCATTGGGATTGATGGTGGATGGGACTGGAGGTGTGACAACCTGTACGACGGCAGGTCATAGATATTATTATTGACCCTCCTCCCTACGGAGTATGGAGTAGGTAGGTATATACTCCGTATAACTACGGTATACTCGATACGATGGATATCATCAGTCGACACCGGAGGGATATCGGAGACGATCCATCCCTTGATCCCCTTGATCCCTTGATCCCTTGATCCTGGACCTCCTCAGCACGATGTATTCCAGACGCTGGTCATCTCCCTCGCCGATCGTCTCATGCCACGAAAGCGTCGAATGATTTGGACTCGGACAGCGCAGTCGACCTGCGGACGAGGTACCCCCTTAAGGCGTTGCAGAGCGAAGGGGGCAGCCAGCGGTACGGCGGGCGAAAGTAGCGGGCGACGATGAGCTGGCACTGCATGCAGCGTCCGCCCCGTCATTGGCCGCTCCCCCTCCCTCAGCAGGAGGGTGGGCACCGTCAAATCAATTGTCCGGAGTCAATTGGTAATATTTATCTCCAGGATATTATTTCTTATTTTCTTTTTCATTTCATTTTATTTTATTTTTGTCTCTTTTATTTTGATTTTATGCGATTTTCATTTTATTTTATGCTCCTTCGTTCCAAGAAAAGAAAACCACGAACAAAAGAAAAAAGAAAAACGAAAAAGAAAGACCCACTGGCACGTGTTCCTCTGCCACTGACCAGCACGCCCCAGTCCTAACCCTGTCCGGCCTAGCGCCGTCATTCCTCAGCTGAGGTGGAACATCCCCCCCGATCGGATCAGAACAAGATCAGGACAACCAGACAGTCGCTTCTTCAGCTGCTTCGGACCCTTGAGTCATCCTGCCAGAATCACGGCTGTGCGCAGGATGCAGGTTTCATGCCGTTCATGCCATGACCTTTTCTCTGCGTTGGACATGTCGGCATATCATACAGGCTTCCGGAGTACGGATTAGTCCGGTGGACGCCTGCAATCCACCATGCCGTCAGAGTATGTGCATCGCCCGCTAACTTGTCAACTACGACACGCTCGCATTTGGAAATAGCAAACATCGGAAATGATTCAGCGGTGGAAATGTCCAATGAGGGGAAGGCAATAGAAAAAAAAAAAAAGAAAAAAAAAAAAGAAAAAAAAAAAAAAAAGAAATGTAAATACTACGTAGTATGAGTTCCATGTACCGGCAAAGAAAACAAATTCCTCCAGTCCGACGCCGTCAAACTCCAATCGTCCCGTAGTTGATGCGCTGTGTCGATGTTTCCCATGGTCTCTACTTGCAGACCCATTTCTTGTCAGCCTCCTTCTGTCCCACCCGAGTGGCTACGCTGGTCAACGTGTCCTTCAGGGCGTCTTTGGATACTTTCGGGAACCTGGTAGTGAGGGTCATTCGTTAGCACTTTTGCCCCCCCGCGGCCCTCTCGTTTCAGCTGCCGTCAAACTCACCGTTTTTTCAGGATTTCCACCAACCCCAGCTTCGAGAGGTCGCTGCCGTTGACCACCTGCTTGAACTCCTCGAGTTGTTCCGCCGGAAGCCCCCTCTTGGCCTTAACGGGCGCCGTCGCAGCCAATGCCGCTCCCTCCTGCGTCGTCGTCGGCGCATTGGCCGGCGCATGCCCCATGAAAGCGTGAAGCGTCGACCGTCCCGCTGCACCCGTTGGCGCGGGATCGGCGGCCTTGGGCTTGTGCCAGTAGGCTGTGGAGAACGGGTCGATCGGAAAAGTCACTGAGTCCGATATCGTCTCCATCTTGTACACTTGCAGCGACGGGTCCACGCCGCGTTCCTGCCACTGAATTCCCGTACAGACTGGATCTAGATCTCCCACGATGAGCCGTCTCTTGCCATCCACGGGATGATCGTCGTCGTCGTCTAGAAATCCCTCCATGTCGTCGTCCCCGTCATCGCTGCCTTCTTCTTCCTCTTCCGAATCCAGCTCCTCGCCCTCCTCCGGTTCCTCCCACTCCGCTTCGGAATCGTAGTCATAGTTGGTTTCCGGCAACCCCCGATGGAACGGGTTCCTCATCAACTTTCGTGCCGCCGACCCGGGCAATGACTTGGTGTAAGTTCCTTGGTACGGCGGTCGAACGTCTTCGCCAAATTTCAGCGACTTCATCCGGACCTGTCGCAGGAAACTGCGTGGTTTCTCCACAGCCTCCGAAGTCCCGGACTCCTCGTTTCGATTCTGCATCTGTGATTGAATGTCCCGGACGGACGCAGGAAGCCGCCCACATCGTCGCTTGTATGGCATCATCTGAAAGAGCTCCGATGGACGGAACGCCAGGGGATCTGGCGAGTTCTCGCTAGCCACCTTCATGTAGCCGTCAACCTTATCTCTCATAAACCCAAGCGCCTGAGAGTCTCGTCCGAATCTATGCGGAGGCGCAACCGTCGTGTGGGATTGCACGAAGAAATCGGGAAATATTTGTTGGTAGTCATTGTCGGCGGCCTGGACGGAGTCGAGTGAATTTCCATCCCCGGCGGACTTCTTAGGTGACCCTGTGATATTGGCCGGAGCGTTGTTCGTAGATCTCGGTTTCGCAAAGAAAGCATTCAGCTTTGGTTGAGCCTATAAAGCGTGTGAGCTCCAGCGTAAGCCCCCCGGTGCCTCGTCCTCCTGCGTTGTAGACTTGCAGCACAACACAAATAAGGGGAAAGAAAAATACTGACCCGCTCCTTCTTCAACTTCTCTTCTTCCTTTTTGCGCTTCTCTTCCTCCTTGGCGGCTTCTTTCTTCCGCTTCTCTTCCTCCTTCACGGCCTTCTCTTCCTCCTTGGCCTTCCGCTTCTCTTCCTTTCGCTTCCGCTCTTCCTCGCGTTCTGCATCCCGCTTCTTCTTCTCCTCTTCCTTCGCACGTTTCTCTTCCTCTTTCTTCGCCTTTTCTTCTTCCTTCTTCGTCTTCTCCTCCTGCTTCTGTCGTTCCTTCGCCTCCTTCTCCTGTTGCTTAGCCTCCTTGCTCGCCGGAGACAGCTTTCTCTTCTTTGGGGCCGGCGTCCCGGTGTCCCCCGTCGCGTCCGGCTGCTTGTTCCCCTCGGTTGCCGTTACCGTCGTCGTCGTTGTCGTCGCCGACTCAAGAATTCCTCCCGCGGTGGTCGGGTCCGTGTTCTCCTGGTTCTCCGTATCATTGGGGTTCGGTGTCGTCTTGTCATCCGGATGACTCGACGATCGAGCTTCTTCCATGTCTTGGACCGAGCGCTTGCGTATACTTAGGGGGGAAGAAGAGACGGGGCGTGGGGAGTGCGGCGGCGGCGGAGGAGGAGGAGGAAGGGGGGAGAGACTGGAATTGGCGTCGACCGATACTTCCATCGCTGTGTGTATGTGTGTGTGTTTTATTCCCACAGGATACTAAAAGATCTCAAGGCGTATGAATTATAGCGAAGTCGGAATGAATTGGGGTATGGGCTGTTGCCAGTCCCTGAGAGCGAGGGTGTGTGTGGTGGACCGTGTCATTTGATGCCGGACAAGTGGTTGGAACGCGTTAATTGGATTGCCGTCGCGATCCCGTCGCGTTGGCGGCACGTGGTGATTATGTAAGAGGGGCCTGACTGGAGGTTGCCGTGAAATCCCGCCCGCATCCTCGATGTAGGCAAAGGAAAACAAATACTAGAACCACATGGTGGATGGTCCCTTGGTTGAGGTTCAGTTGAGGTTCATTTGCAATTGCAGGACGGAATTGGCCCTCCCAATCCTTCAGGGATCCCTGATCTACGGATACACAGCAGGAGATCGGCCGCAATGCGCCGCCCAACATAACCGCCTACCCCTCTACCAGGCATCAGATTCATTCTGATATGTACACTTCAGATTATTATTACTAGCTGTTCATAAATCCATAAAATAACACATAACACCAAGAGCAGTGCATGCAAACACAAGTGACGCAAAACCCAATGCATCATCAGAAGCACAAGCGCCAATAACATGCTGTGGGGGGAATAAAATGAGCAAGTACAATGCAGTCAGGCATTTGATGCACCAACAGGCCAGGATCCGGGTACTCAGTGCAGGCACTGGCTAGAAACAGACCGGCATCGAGTGGAAACACAGAAAAGGAAATGCATGGAACATGGAAAGCGGCAAACCAAACACATCAACACACAAATGGAGACTTCTCATCTACATGAACAGTCGACTCGGGTATTCTGATCCGTTTGTTCCAAAGTCAATCAACAATGATGTATAATGCAAGATGCATGGCAAGCGCCTTAATCACTTAAATCCGGGTTCGCGACAAAGAGACGGACGTTGGTCATCGATGTCGTCCGGTCGTCCACACTGCCGCGGCGTCTCAACTCGTCCGCCTTCTTGGCTTTTTCGGCGGCGGCGGTGACTGCACTGGGCGCTGCCATGTCGCCCACGCTGCCGAAATTATCTTCCTGCTCGCTGGTGCGGCTGTGCGTGGTAGCGGCATCGTCCTTGAACGAAGCAGCGTCCTTCTCCTCCTCGTGATGCTCCGCAGGAGGGTTCTCCGACACACCGGGGAGGTCGGACTTTTCGCCGGGCGGAGTGACATTGCTTCCCATCGTGCCCTGGGGCGTCCGCTGGTAGCCGCTGGGATAACGGTTGCTGCCCAGAGAGCTGCGACCGCTGCCGGTGCGACGGTACGGGAATCCGTTGTCACTGCGAGAATCATCGTCGGCATCTCCCACCTCGTTGGCACTAAGCCGCACGGGGACGGTGGCTCCGACCAGCGTCGACGGGGAAAACTCCGTGGTTCCCTTGGTGCCGTGCTTGGTTTTGTTGCTGGCAAGCGTACCACTCCGTCCGGCGCCGGCGCCGTGAACTTCAAGGTACGCTCTCTTCTTGTCGACCAGCTTCTGGGCTCGGATGCGGGGATCCTCGGGCTGCGCCCGATCACACCAGACTGTCGCTTTCTGCCTTCGCATCAAGGCGACGTATCCCAGCTGGGCATTGGCGGATCGGGACGAAGTGCTCCTGCGAATGTCGGAAGCCACCGGGTGAGAGCCGACCGCGTTGCCGGTGGAGCTTGTGGACGTGGTCGCACTGGACAGGCGCCTCGAAGGGATGTAGTTGGGAGGAGTGGTCATGGTGTGATGGGGCGAGGGGCCGGCAGAATAGGGTTGTTGTTGTGGTTGTTGTTGTTGGTGGTGAGCCACATACGGCAGCACGTGCGAGGACGAGGTCCGACTGCGACTGTGAGCCAGGGAGGCCGCCGAAGGGTGGGGGGAGAGTTGGTGGTGTCCGTCGTAGGACTGAAACGAATGGCCCGAACGCATTCCCGGGACCGGCTTCCGCGCGGGTGGGGGCTGGTGAAGTCGATAATCGGTCATGCTGGGCTGTTGCAACTGTACGCCGGCCATGTAGACTCGGATCCGGCGTGGTCGTTTTTAAAGAAGGGACGAGCTACCGAGGGAGAGTTTCCGGGTCAACACCGAGGATCCCGAGTGTTGGTGGAAAAGCAGTTAGTGTAGCGATAAGCCGAGTCGGGCCCCCTCTGCGTGAATGGGACGATGTGGATGAATGGAACAATCAACGCCCGACGCTCGTCATACGGTGCAAGGAAACACCCCAAAGAATTGAACAGAAAAATCAAATGCAATCCGAGTCGGCGCGCAGTGAAGAAAAGAAGAGGCACTCGCTCGAGTCGACGCAGCGAGGGGAGGGGGTTGGCAAAGAAAACGGCGTCTCGCGGACGAAGCGACGTGGGAGGCGATTCGCAAGCGCCCAGGGGGTGAAAAAAGAGGAAAGACGAGAAAACGAAGGTGAAGCGGCAACGGCGGACACACACACGAGGCCAGGCAGCGGGTACCCAATTTGACCAAGTCACGCCTGCAGGAGAGCGAGGAGGCGGATCAACAAAGAACGGAGGACAATGGCGGAGGGCAGGACCGAATGGTGACGGCGTCGTTTTTCGAGGTCACGGAGGGAGGAGGAGAAAGAGAGATTGTTTATAACGGAGGCAGCGCCAGGGAGAAAAAGAGGGGAAGAAAGAACCGGTGGATTCCTTAGGTTTGCCTGGTACCGAATACGATGGGGCCCGTGTGACGCCGTATTTACCGTCACAAGTACCTTGGGCACGCTGCGGAGGGTGGATTGGAACTGCACCGCCACCTCTTTCCCGGGGAGGGACTGCAAGTCTTTCAGTGAAAGACGAAAGTCTGAGACAGTGAGACTCCGATGGATCATCAGGAGATGGGGCCATCCATGGATGCTGCGCCACATACCCACGTGGGTGGCCGTACTCCGTAAGGTATGCTCTACAAGTACCGTAACAAACGCTGCAGGTAACACCGTAATACAGTACCGTCTCCTCCGTACGCCGTACACACTGACAAAGCCCCCGCAGGTCACGGGCGGTACCTGCTCTTGTGTGGAAAACGCTAGGAACAGGATGTACCGGCCATACCACCTCCTCCGTAAAATCTCTTCCGATCGCGAAAGTCGCCAAACTCATGACGTCGACGGACTCCACCCGATGAAACATCCGGATGAAACGGGAGACCACGACTTGTGCAATCATGACATCTTGTCATTCGGTGACATGCCACAATGGCCTCGCTGCCACTTGCGAAAACCTACGGAGTACTCCCTACGGCGTAAGCGGATCAGGTTGCTAGTGACCGGCTAACGAGCATTATGGACAGATACCAGACTAGTGCCTGGCCGATCATCCTGATATCCACGATGATTATCTACTATCGACAGATCCTAACGGTATCTCTCGCCTGACATTGGCAGAAGCAACGGGTAGGCCCCCCCCCCTTCCCCGTGGCCTTGCAGCGTGGTCGTGGCATTGCTCGGAAGTGGTATGCCACCCAACTCGACTGCATACAATGCGACCCTCGAAGTCACCCATCCAAGCTGAGCTGAACATCGCGGAGCTGTCGTTTCGTGCTGATTCCCCACTTCGGCTTCAGCTAAAATACGTGCTGGCCAGTGGCGCGGAGCTAGGGCCTCCGGATCAGCCAGCCACTCTGCTAGAGCCTACTACGGAGTTGAGCACTCGGAAGGCGGTTCATGGCAACCGGTGGTCCGCGTCCCTTCTGCGAGTGTCAGGATTCAGGATTCAGGAGTCGCGCGGTTCTGGAACTTGGCAACCCGCAACGCAGCCTTGTGCTATCCAGATGACGGTTACATTGACCGTGGGATTTCCCGCGCTAGTCAAGGATATATTATGTTATTAGGGGGTCTTCGTCTAGCAGCAGTTTGATTTCATAAACTACATGAACTACCTTGAATCCTTGCTTTTCGCCCCATGGAGCCGGACGGGAGGTCATACAGCGTAGTACTTACCTACTTTCTAGTAGTAGGTAGAGCCTCCATGGAGTGTACGTTGTAGAACCCCTGGAACCCAGGTACCTAGAAATACCTCCACCTCCCTACCCACACGTACGGCGTTCTCCGTACTGTCGAAGTACCGGCGGGCGCGCAGCCGAGGAACCCGCCCAGGCGGCAGGTGATTGGCTGGAAGGCCCCACCGCCATCAGAGCCAATCAGCGAGAGGGACGGGATGACACATCCGCGGATGGATTCATTTCCTCTCGGCGCTTCACTTCATAAAATGCATACTCCGGACAGGCATGCAACATCCAACCAGAATGCCGGCCTACACAGACCCCTCTTGATCCTCTAGCAGCTCACCACCAACCATGCACCATGAGCAAGCGTTCCTACGGAGAGTCATTATCCCAAGGTGGCTCTCAGCCGCCCGAGCATATCGATAACAATCATATGCTGCCCATCAACGACCTCCTGTCCCCCGATCAGGACCAGCAATCCGCCTCGTCATCTAAGAAACCCCGTAATTTCATCGCCACTGTGGTATGGGCTTTGCTCTCTTGCCAGATGGATCCTGTGCACCTACGTACTGGGATGAATGCTGGATACAGCTAGCTAACGTCACGGATAGGCTTGTGAAACATGCCGACTCAAAAAGACCCGATGTGACGAATCCAGACCAAAATGTGGCTTGTGCAAAGCTCTTGGTCTGGAGTGTGTCTACAATGAGCGGAAATCCTCGAAGTATGGAGCCATCCTTTTCATCCACCGGGGACGCATGTCTTCTTTTTTTCATTTTTTTTTCTTTCCCCCCTCGGTACACCGAACTAACGGGTCAATGCAGACGAGACCATTCCCTGAGCTTGATTATGAGCACTCTCCATCGGCTAGAGACCAAGCTCGAAAATCTCCCGTTGGCAATTAGTCATGACCTCCAGTCCCTCCAGGGACAGATGCTTCATGCTCTTGACGATCCTGTAGAAATCGCAACCCCAGGACGCGGGAACCAAAAGGCCAGTAAGCAAGCATCGTTGGCGCATCCGGTAACGCAGGACCTCACGCCCGATGCCGGGGAACCTGATGACTTTGAGTTCGATGAGCGTGCAAATGCGACCAACCCGCTGGGCCAGATTTCGATCTCCTTTAGCCAACACGGTGTCATCCTTTGGCCGGGGGCCCGGGAGATTCTTCCAACAAGACTTCTCGAAGCCCATGAACGATTGGGGAAAAACTATGTGATAGAGACTGAAATGAAGCGGCCCCAGCTACCCATGTACATCTCCTCATTCCCGCAACAGGCCGGGAATGACTGGTTAGAGGCGCTTCCGCTCGCGATGGTCAAAGGCCTGTCCGATGCGTTTTTCTCGACCTTCAACCCTTTCACCCCCATCATGGATAAGAACTTCTACTTTGCACTGACCCTTGGGGCTGCCATTGAGGACGGTTTTGGCTATACAATGGAGAGCTGCCTCGTTCTCAATGTTATGGCCCTAGGGTGCCTTGCTGTTCAGGCCCACAGGGAAGGTAACTATCCGTTGCCAGGCTCCCGAAGTGGTCAATTCGACCCCCCAGAGTGGTTGGATGTAATTTACGAGGATCCGCCGGGACTGCGCTTCTTCAATGAAGCTCGCCGCCGTATCGGCTTTTTGATGTGCACTAATGATATCCAAAGCTGCCAGTTCTACCTTTTGTCGTCGTATGTCATTCTTACTACTCACGAACCCGCAAATCTTTTGCTAATTGAGGAACAGTGTTTACTACAGCCAGATCCTTCGGGTTATGGATTCGTGGGCTATGCTTCACCGCGCAGCTACTTGCTGCCTATCAATGCTAACCAAGTAAGTCTGCCTCATTTTTGTGCGAGCTTGATCTTTATTTATCTTTTTGGCTGCCTCAAATTAACACTTCGAAGCCATGATGTCAATTTCAACGAATGGGAGGGCGACATGAAGTCGCGCGTCTACTGGAACTGCGTTATGAATGAGACCATTCTCGTGCAAGAATTACATCTCCCCCCAAGCGGACTTGCTCGGCTAGAGGAATTCGTGCCTATTCCAAAGTTCATCAGTTTCGAAACCGTCGGCCTTGGACCTTCCAGGGCATCTTCCACGGATGAGATCGACGACTCCTTTTTCCAATATCACTTCCTCGCGCAGGTCGCTCACCGTATTATCTTGACCCGTATCCGGCATTCCTTATACTTCTACTGTAAGTTGCCGGTTCGCATGCGCATGCCCAGAGACCCCGATCTAATAGAATTTGCCTTCCAGCCGACTCGGGAACATTCCCACTTCCTGCAATCAACGCAGAGCTTCACCACCAACTGGATCAATGGCGTCTCAACCTGCCCCCGGCGCTTCAGTTCTCTGACACTCTCCCAACCACGCCGACGGCTGAAACCCCTGCCGCTCCGTCCCCATCCCCCATATCGCCCCATCCTTTCAACCTCAACCGTCCTCTATCACCGGCCGTCGCCGTGTCGGAGGCCATGCTCCGCGGTCGGTACAAGATCGCCAAATTCCACATCGGTCGTCCATATCTGTACAAAGCTCTCCGCATCCCGGGCTCGCTCTCCGACGACGATCTCGATCAAATGCGCAGCGGCCTCCGCAACGCCATGGACTGGCCCGTAGTCGGAGGTCTCTTTCGATCCATGAAAAGTTGCATCCCAATCAGATTCGCCTTTTGCTCCCAGTAGGTGTTTCCCTCCCCCCTCCCTTGAACATAGGCCCTTCCGTTCGCATCCAAACTCGGATCCACCATAACTAGAATTAGCTAACGAACATCCGCCGTCGCAGGTTCTTCGGCCAGATTCTTCTCTTTTACTGTATTTCCCACTCTTCGGATCCCCGACTGCGGAGCACTTTGCCTACGGGCTGGGAACGATGGAATCACGAAATGTTGCGCTTCCTGGAAGACTGCGCGCTTTACAGCCCGGCCGTTGCGAAAGATCTGGAGCTTTTGCGACTCCTGTGATGAAGGATTGGTTTCTGGTTGGTTTGGACCGCTCACCTCCTGAATGTTTCTCATGTCCGGGTTTCGAATGAGTATCAACATGTATTGTACGATAAGATTTCGCTATGATTAATGTAAACGTCTTCAATGATGAGGTAAGAGGAGTTCAGTTTGTCAGAGGAGCTTGAGAATTCATATCAATCATTGTACGGGATTATTTACACCTTCATACGGCGAAGGGTTGGTTGAGACCGACATGCTGAATCCAGAGAAATGCTTTCTTCATCGTCTCAGACATGGCCTCGCGGGGGTTCAACCATGCAGAACGGGCCAATGCAACAGAATTAAACGCTAAAAGAAAAGCACATAAAAGGGAAGAAAATCCGGGCCGAATAGAGTTCATGGAGTTAGGGTTTCTCAACGCCCTCTTCACAGAGCCCATTCATCGGCCCTGTCAGAGTCCGTGATAAATGGCTTCTCAATCTGTTTGATGGCGTGATCACCACACAGGATACTAGTGATCAGACAGGGTCAGCTGGCTGGAACTGCGAAAGGCCGGTGATGATGGTGGTGACAGTCACGACACAAGGCGGGAGGGTGATGAACTCACCATGCTTCCGCTATCAATCCGTCTAGTTCTCGTACGACCTCTTCCCGTCGAGCGGTGGCAATGTCGCCTTTGTTCAGCTGCGCCTGCAAGTCGCGAATGTATTTCTTCTTTCCGCCCGCCCCCTCGAGGACCTCCTTGCCCAGGCAATCGCTGTGGAAGGCATGTTGGCAGGGGAAGACGAAGAACTGCCGGCTGAGGACCGGTAAAGAGCAGAGCCAGCACTTTTCTCCGGGCTCAACAATAGCATACCGCGTGTCCAGACCCGAGATCTCGTTTCGGATTTGTCGTGCGGTCTGCGCAGAATTATCCATTTCCTGGCGCAGTGCATCAATGTGCCGTGAGTAATCCTCTAGGGCACTGCAAATCTCATCCTTGAAGTCATCGATGACGACGAAATCCGGGAAGAATGGGATGAGATCCTCGATGCGGAGGAGCTCGCATCGACGCAGAAACTCGATGGCATCTTTGATGCCGGTGCCTGGTTGTTGAATCTTCTTCTCGGCCACAAGGAGCCACAGTTTCTTCCGGAGTTTGTCGTTGCCCTCGGGCCTATCGGCAATTATCGCCGCTAGTTCAATGTCATCATGCTGCAGAGCTAGCTCGACCGCCTGGAGGTACTGTCCCATGGCACTGTAGATGTGAATGCAAGACTGCACACGCTGGTGGTAGATGCAAAGACGGAGCGCGAAGTCGGCATCGTACGGGGGCGGGGATGATGGTTGCGATTGAAGATAGGTTAGAAGCCCAGCTTCCGTGGAGGAGTTGCTTGAGGCATGGATCGATATAAGGGTGTTGTGGACTGCAGCCGAGGGTCGAGGATGATTAACGATGATAAAGTTCAAATATCGGACGGCCTGGTTTTGGCTCAGAGAGATGTTTGCCGTCTTGTTGTAGTTCAGCAAGGCAGGTATGAGGCGTTCAGGTTCAAGATTAGTCTGTCGCATTAGTATATCTATTAATCCTGTCGCAGCGTGGGTCATAAGCACGCTGCTATATTTGTAGAAGACGTCGGGATCACTCTGTCTCTGGAGGACATTGAGGGCCTCGGACCACTTCTCCCGCTGGATCCAATACGAGAGAACGTAGTTGTGGTCGTTGACGGCCGTGGCGTAAAAAAGCAACTCCTCCTCTCGGCCATGACTGCTGATGATGTCGTAGACCGTCTTCTTGTCCAGATCGAGTTTATATTTGGTTACAAACTCGTGGAACTCGGCACGGACATCATCGAGGTTGGTCCTAATTTCGTCGGTGCTGGTCCCTTCGGCCAATTCCGCTCTGGTGGCGATGTTATCATCGAGGGAGTTCAGTTTGGACATGAACACTTCCACCAGCCAGCTGGCAACCATGATCCGTTGCATCGACGACGACTTCTTGTACGTTGATAGCTGAGATAGAAGATACTTTCGCAGAGCGTCGTGTTCCCCGCGGTTGATCAGGGTCAAGCAGACCTCTTCGAAACCCTTGCTACTTTTGCCCCAGATCTTTGCGGCCTCGAGATAACGGCCCTTGGTGGCAAGAAAATCCCCCGAGGCGGTGGAAACAGCATCCTTCTGAGCGCTGCTGCGAGCGTACTGGAGAGCTTGGTCGTACATTTGTTTCTGCAAGAATATCTTCCACACGTCCCTATCCTCGTCTTCGACCACGACCTCGAAGATTTCTTGACTGGTGAATAGCCAATAGGTGTGCTTCATCGAGTCGGTCAGAAGGCCCAGGGTACTTTGTCGAGGTTCAAGCACTGCCTGATCATAGACAATCTCATTGTTCATCCGGTTGACCGCAACAACCCTGCCTTCGACAAGCGCCAATATGTGCCATTGCGAGAGGGTCAGAGCAGTTATAGGGTCCTGGATGAGTTTCCGGCCTCCCCTTGCAGATTCACTAGCGGGGAAGATTGACCGTGAGAGCATACTTGACTTTTCGAACGGCCGGTTGACTTGATCCGACGCATACGGCAGCTGGCCATGATAGATTCCTTGGGAGTTCAGCCATGCAAACTCCTTGTCAAAGTCCGAGTCCACACTGTGGCCATCAGGGGTAGAAGGGGATATGGCCAACGCCGATGGGGCAGCGCCAGAGGGCTTTTGGATCTCATGTAGCACCGGTGTTTCCCGTTGGAAGAGATCGGCGTAGATTGAGCCTCCCCCTTCCCTTCCACTACGCACCGCGCGGCTAACAAAATAAGTCAGCCGACTATTGGTTGCAAGCAGCACCCGTCGCAGGTCAGGCTTGGTCGGTATCAGCTCTGCCCAAATCCCTGTTACCGGCGACGCCTCCGGCACCTTGTAGACCACGCTGACGTGTTTCTCCTCGCGACGAAAGAATTCCGGAGACGGTTCAATGTAGACTTCATATATGGTGCCATCGGTGGTTCCCAGGAGGATCTCCCTAGTCGAAGCCGTCGGCACTGATGGGTTCCAGGCGATACTCTCGATCGAAACGCCCTTCAATCGCGACAGCAGTTTCGGTTGCCGCGATTGGGTGTGGAGGTAGTAGTTCTCGCCCAAGGTGGTTGTAATGATCAGATGCGATGCGGAAGGGTCCAAGAACATGCGTCGAATCACCCCCGTTTCCGAGGACTTCTTCGGGAGGTCGATGTCTAAAACAGCCTGGTTAGTATCGCAACGGAATTTCGACCGGCAAGCGCATGGAAATCAAGATACCATCTATATCCTCGGGCGTATCCAGATCGATGCGAAGGATTCGACCCGTTGACAGGGCCAGGACAAGCACGTTGTTGGCGACCTGCGCAGCAACGAAGTCCGCAGCTAGTGGGAACTGGAGCTGGACACGTCGGACATCGAACATAGAGAGAGCTGCGTCGGGGGAATCAGCCAGATTGCCGGGAGCGACATAACTACCGGATGCATCCAGCGCCATGATGCGCCAAATTAGATGGGGCGGGGGGAAGCTATATCATAGCGGGATCCCCGAAGAAGCGTGGGATGTTGAAGTGACAGGAGGAGCTTCGGGGATTCGCGATGACGAGGCGGAGAGCGGTGGGTGCCTTGGCGCCTGAGGTGTCCAGACCTCTGCCTGATGGGGCTGCGAAGTATACAAAGAACACAGAGTATAAACTAGTATAAACTACCTACCTCACGAACGAGGTAGTCTAGACGGAGTCCGGGATACGCTCCCTACAAGACTCAACAGAGTTCCGTCTTTCTCTTCTATTTCTATCTCAGCCCGTGTGGTCTATTAATCCTCCCCTCAAACGCCATCCTAAGACATACTACGGCAATCAACACACGAAGAACCTCATCAGGGAAAAAAAATAACAATCAAACCAGTAGCTCGCTTCATGCCACTCGTGCCGACGGTGGCTGGGTATCATGCATCTCTCGCCGCAGACCTGCAATCACATAATCACACACTCTCGCTCCAGCTTTCGTCCGATCTTCTCCCGTGGCTTCTCCTTGGACTTCTCTCGGCGCTTGCCCGGGTCCCTCGATCGCCATGACAGTCTTTCTTTGCCTTCAAAGCTGCTAGTACCCGACTTCTCCCCGGGATGAGCAGCCGGATCATTTCCTGGGGTCAATTCGTCGTCCCCGTCAAGGGAAAAGCCGTCATTGCTGATTTTATCCCTACTGAGCCGCCCAGTGAACCGCGAGAAGGTAGCGCTGATCCTGTTTTCACTGGTTTGGCTTCCAGCACGGCTTCCCGGGTTGCTTTTAGTCGCTTTGGAACCTCGCCGGGAGAATGTGTTGGAGTTCCTTCCGCCATCGTCGTCTCTAGGGCCAAGTTGTGGTGAACTAGATGAGGCGGTATACACCGATAACCCCCCGGTTTGATTTGCAGGGTCAGAGAAGGCTACGCTCTGCTTCCTCTCGTTTAGCTCAAACGGCATGCTCTCGGCATTATCGGGCCCGGTGATTTCAAAACTTGGCCGGTGAGGATGAAATGCCTCGGGCCGATCAGTATCACGGGCGTCCATGGGTGATAGATTGAGGTTCTGCATGACCGCAGGGTCTATATCATGGATTTCCTCGGACAACTCTTCGGAAGAAACCTTGCTGGGGAAATTGGCCACTTCCGCATCCTCGTCGACAGGCAGTATCTGATAGAACAGCAGATAGGGCGATTCATACTTCAGGGCTTGCTCGATGTCAACGAGAGTGACTCGCTCCTTCGCCAGATCATCAAAACGCATCCAATAACGTGGAGTGTTCGAGGTATTCTCTTCGGCCCCGTGGGAGCTGGCCGGGGCTGCACCGGCACTGGTGCCCCGAACGATCGCGATGTAGTGCCCTGAGTCGACAGAGATACCGCGATGGCAAACTATTGCTTGCAGGGATAATTTAAAATTTCCATAGATCGGGCCTTCTGCATCCATGCTGTCGTCCTGAATAAAATGCGGTAACCCAATCTCCGTCGGGATATCAACAAAAGTATCAAGTCTGACTGTTTTCCCACTAGGCAGCATCGAGTACCGCTTCAAGCACATGCCGAGAATTGGCCGCTTTGAGGAAAAATGCGCTGCGACCTGCGCATCGTTGGTGGGGGTGTTATCTGTGTACCACGCTGCATGGTATGTCAGCAATCGAAGCCAAGGATACAAGAAAGAGGCGCCTCACGAATTAGGCTGAAGAATTGCCACGCAGGCATCATGACTTCTTTTCTGTAAGAGCCTCTTCTCTGAGACGTAATAGCGCCTCCGTCGCTTGCTTTTTCGCCTTCAGGGTCCGGAATGAACCGTTCCTGGACGATGCTGCTTCGTCGAGGCATGGGGGTTGCGTTACCCGTTTCCGTGACCGACGATATCGAATTCACGCTGTCAAGTCGCACAGGGGATGATAGGGTTGGCGATGCGGAAGGTGTAGGGGAAAGTTCCACGGTTTCGACATGTGTCGTGAAACCCTTGGCCAGGGAGTCGACTGACTTCGTGGAGCCCACCGTGTTGCGTCGTTCTAGGTGGCGCTTCACTTCAATCCTATTGTTGAAGTACGATTCTAGGCAGTCTTCCAGCGTCACCGTCTTCCCATCCTCCGGTTCTGGGATTGCGACTTCCAGCAGTCTTTCGTTGACGAATTTGTGATCGCCGCTGACGTCCTCTTTCCCTGTGTGATAGATATCCATCTTCAACGTAAGGAGCGGTAGCTCTAGCTTTTCCGTGATAAAGGTAAATGCTTCCGAGGCGTCCTGTTGGCGCAGTTTGGCCGCGTCTTCCCAGCCACATTCAGCAAGCGCATCCTGCAAGTGTTTCGTCTAGGAAGGACAGCATTAGTACTGGTTTAGTAACATAGCGCGAAAGGGGTTGCATACAATGTCCGTCGTGATGAGCTTTCCTGACCGCAGCATGTTGACCCAAAGTCTTAGGAGTATCGCAAGTTTTCGGCGAGGCTCGTCATTAAAGGATTTGTATAAGATTGCCTCGAAGCAGTCCAGGCGAGCAAACATGGCAAACAGCAGTGCATCCAGGTAGCAGGTGACATTTTCTCGATTCTCCGCTCCCAAAAGCTTCGTGTGGGGGGTATAGTCTCGTACTATTCCTTCGATCGCATCCTCGAGGAGCAGGAGCAACTCAAAGGCTTGGTCCACATCTCCTTGTGCATGGTGTGATTGCAGCGCATAAACAAGATGGTCCTCTTTCAGATTCGTGATGCCAAGCTGGGAAATGCGGCGTTCGAGTGATTTGACCTGCTCTCCCCGCAGAGATTGGTTAGTCCAGAAAGCCAAGTGGGTGTGTTTTTCCACCGTTCACCTTCTTTTGTTCGTCACTAGCCTCGCCCGCTGAACGGTCTGACGAGAAGAATCCACGGAAATGAGGACGGGAAAGTACGTTCGAGGTCTAAAAGCCAGCCAGAAAGAACATCAGCATTCATAGGATTCTTCTCTGAGAGTCGGCGGGATGCTACCTCTTCCTTGATGTGCTTTCCATGTCTGCTGTATCGCTCGCGCCTGGTGAGAAACCTATGAATCCCACTCATCTTTTAGAACAGAGTGTCCGGAGCCAAATGCGTTTTTGACGACAGTTCCAAATTGCTTCCGAGTTTGTTGACTTGGGGGCGAGTCGGCATGAGCGCAATATAACCTCACTCAGGCCCCAGGATTTCCATAGAGCGCACGAAGAATTCCCGTGGGGTCGGCGAGCATATCAGGTGCCTGGTTCTTCCCTTTTTCTTGTTCGTTTTTCTTCTTTTTTCTTTGAGACCGTTCGTGGATTAGCAAATCCACTTGCGTGCTAGGCACCAGCTGAGAACCCCCAGTGACATCACATTGGGTGGCATAGACGGAGGGCAATGAACGACGCAACGCGAGAGTCCAGAACACGAGGGGAAAGGGCTCAGAAGGTATGGTGAGGACCGAGCGACAGGCTCATCAGAAGACCGGGGCACCAGATCGACGGAGTTGGAGCGCAGCAGCTGCCCACGACTGACGGCGGGGACGATTGAAGCTGATCACATGTGGAGCTTCCCGCCGCTGCGGAGCGGCGCTGGCTGCCTGATGTCGCCGCCAGCTTTCTCAGGCCGCTAATGGCGCACGTGATGCGGTCCCGAAGTTGCGAGGCGCTTTTGTCGCCGATCCGCAAAACAATTTTTGGACGGACGTTGGTCTCGATTCATTTCGCAGCGACCACCTTTCCTGTCAATCTCAATGGCTGCCAGCGAACCGTCCCGATACCTGGCAAGGTCATTGCCCCGGGCTTTTGCCCCATCCGCCATCCCCAAGGGCTTCTGCTGGCGCCGCAATGTCTCCGATAATGCGTCGTCCAAGGCCCCCGTCGAGGTCAACGACGTCGAGTCCGCAGGCTCTCTGACTAGCGCTGCTGTGTCGGAGGATGTGTTGAAGACCTTTGACCCGATCGCAAAATCCAAGGGCCGCAAGAAGCAGCTGCCGCGGAGTCGGTACGTTTGACCACGCTCTGTCACCGGCAGACAATCGAGTTTCTTCCTCGACTTTGGCCTCTAATTCTCGAAATGCAGTTACCAATTCCGTTCGCCAAAATATGATCGTGGCCCACTCCATCCTCACCGTCCTCCGCCGCCCTCTGATCCCTCCTCCCGTCTCTTTGTCCCTGGCCCGTTCACCCTGCCCAGAGTCGAGCAGACCTACCAATCCACCGTCGCCTCGGACATCCTCTCCCTCTGCTATGTACATACCCCCCCGGGCTTCAAGCCGCCGCCGAAAGCCCCCCGTCTGCGCTCGTGGGACGACAGCTCGCCCTATAACAAGAACAGGCAACTGCGCGGACCCCGTGGCGGTGATGTCCTGCGACTCCTCCGCAAACCTATCAATTTCAACAACATCCCGGAGCTAGAGCGCATCACCATCCACAGTTACGTTAAGGGAGCGGCGCAGGAAAACTCGTCGTGGATCCATGTCGCGGGTATGGCCGTCCAGGCCATCTCCAACGTTCGGGTTGAGACATTCAAGTCGAAGACCAGCGTTGCCACCTGGGGCATCGCACCGGGCAGAGACACGGTTGCCGTCAAGGCCGAGCTCCGGGGCGAGAACATGCTCCATTTCTTTTCTAAGCTGGTTGACGTCGTGCTGCCCAAGATCAAGGACTGGGAGGGCGTCAAAGGCAGCAGTGGTGACAGCAGTGGAAACATCACCTTCGGTCTCGACCCCGAGAGTGTTGCCCTTTTCCCGGAGATCGAGGTTAACTATGACATGTAAGCTTACGCTCTCACTTCCTCTCATCCGCTGGTTTTTATAGGAGACCGGTGACTAATTTTTTTTTTTTTTTTCTTTCGACGAATAGGTACCCCCCTAAGCTGATCCCCGGTGCTCACATCACCATCCATACAAGCGCCAACACCGACAAGGATGCTCGTCTTCTTCTCAGCGCCATGGGTGTCCCGTTCTACGGAAAGTTGGTTGATTAGATGTTCGAATTGATACGTCGGAGAGTGGAGTCTTGATGTCATCCATCGCCTTGGTTGATATTGTTTGGATCTGTAACAAGGAAGTCATTGTGACGCTTTTCAACTCTTGTAAATTATCTATATATTGCTTTTATCGACCTTTCACCCTTTGTATTGCCCAAACTTTCCGTCAGCTATAGAAATCATAATTCATGTTGAACAATAGTTTGATCAAATGTCTAAACAAGAATTCTGTTTTAAGTTCCTAATCGTTACAGCAGCTAAGTTTTACAAATACAAAGGCCCTTAGGCACAAAGATGAGGCGTCGTACTCTGTACAGGGATATAATCTCATTCCACATGGACAATGATCCGGGATAGATCAACGTATATAGGGTTCGCCCAAGCTTCGTTTACTCCAGGAAATAGACACGCAAAGACGGATGCAACAAACGCAAAAAATCAAATAGTGACAAAAACCAGCAAAGAACGTGAACAAGTCTGGGGGTATTCAGGTTTTTATAAAAAGATCGCTGAGACGTCTCAGGCAAGGGGCGCGGTCAAAAACTGGCATTTCAGCAACTCATCCGCGCTCGGCCTCTGCTCGTAGTCAACTTGGAAGGTCATGTCCAAGAAGGCGACGGCGTCATCGCTGGCATGCTCCGGGGCGGGAGGTCTCGCCTTGTTGCTGCCGATGGCGAAAATGGCCTGCAGTTGACTACAATCCGGGAAGGGGTGAGCGCCTATGAACATCTCCACGACGAGACAGCCCAGACTCCAGATGTCAGCCTTCTTGGTATGAGCCGTCTGTCGAACAACTTCCGGAGCCATCCAGTATACACTGCCCTGCAACGAGGGGCGATGCAAATGGCCGGCCCCGGTGCCACTGGCCCGAGAACCGAGGACCGTAGAAGCCTCCACTCGCTTGGAGATACCAAAATCAGAGATTTTGATGCCGCCCTTGTTATCGACGAGAATATTGGCACCCTTGATGTCACGATGTATGATATCTTGGCTATGGAGGTAGGAAAGTCCGGACAAAATTTGCCTCACGAAATTCTTAATCAAGGGCTCCTGGAAGGTGTTGTATTGCTTCAGCATCGTGGCAATGGAGCCTCCCGGAACATACTCCAAGAAAATATTCAGGTACTGGTCGTCGGCTGAAGTACCCAAGTACTGGACAATGTTAGGATGATGCATCCCCTGCAGGAGTTCGATCTCATGCTTGAGTGCGGTGACCATGCTGTTTTTCCTTTTGTCAAACTCAGTGCCCTTGGTTGCTGATGGAATTTCTACTTGTTTGACAGCCATCAGCTCTCCAGTGATAGAGTGCAAGGCCAGGAACACGCTGCCAAACGACCCCTCACCGATCAGGGATCCCTTCATCCAATTCTTGGGGGCAAAGTTGTTTCCGGCCAAGAAGTCATTAAGGCCATCGTCCTCTTCTTCCCCGTCGTCAGCCACAAGGACACTCAGTCGCTCATTGAAAGAGCCTCCATCGGTCGCGGCCACGCTAGCATTCTCGTCCAGCAAACTCTGGCGAGAATTGCCGGGGTCATCAGAGCCGCTATCGAATGAAACGTACGATTTCCGATTCGGCTCGATGGGAGATTCCTCCTGGAGCGGCTGCAGGGAACTAGATGCGATGGAGTCCCGGTACGCCGTTTGGGGAAGGCTAAACTTCGACACCGAGAGTGGTCTCGAGGCCCGAGTAGGCTGCGCTCCAGGGTTGAGCCAGGTATCGGCAATGCTGGGAATTGGGGGCGCGTCTCTGAGACTCGACGCGTAGCTTGTATTGCTGACGACGCTCATCCGACTTGCTGCTCGACTCAACCGTTGGGACCTGCGCACCGACATTCGCATCGTCTTCTCAATGTCTTCGCGGTGGTGACTAGGGAAATACGAGGCGATCTCATGAATGATCATCTCGCTAGGCGGTCGGGCACCGAAGAATGACCGCAACTTGGACACAGGGTGACGCTCCGCGTTCAAGAGTTGTAGCTCTGGATCGCTTGGATTTTGGTGGTGACGGGTGGATACGGGCGACATGGGTTGCTTGATATTGTGCCAGGATTCGCCGGTAAGTTGTTGGATTTTGAGCTGATTGCGCATGTTGGAGCTATTCAAGGCGTTGAGGTGGGTCACTTGGCTTTCATCCATGGCAAGCTGGGACGCGCGACGAAGCTCGTCGCTATCGGGTTCTCCGGCATGGATTTTCCGTAAGATGAGACGACTCCGCTCGGATCTGTGCGAGCCCTCACAGATTTCCATAAGTTCATGATCCCCGAGTCTCCGGCAGTTAGACGGATTCGGCTCCAGGCCGTCCAAAACATAGAAGCAATAGTTCCGATATTGGTGCTCCGGAAGCTGCAGTTTCTTCAGAACACAGAGGATAACCTCATCGGCAGTCTTGCAGTGTTTAATGTTCAAGACCTTGGTCTGCCCCCCCGTGTAGATGATGCGGATGACCGGCGAGTTTGTGGGCAGGGAACCCATCAAGCCGTCCAAGCTAGGGTTCTGTCTTAGATGGGAGGCACTCCTGTGAACATGTCCTGTCTCGCCAGGGGTTCCTGGGTTGCGGCCGGAGGTCGAACCGCCAGACGACGGATGACTGAAATAGCCCTGACCTTGGTCCTTTCGGCTACTGTCCATCGGGCTGCCGGCTACATATCGATGAGCTCGCAGAGGAGACCCTGGACGAGACGATGATCTACCGGATGCATGCGCATGGAGACCAGTATCGGCGGTTCGAGATAATCGGCGATTGTTTAGGGTGTGTTGTCGAAGGGGCTGGCGAGAAGAATCATGGGTAGGCGCGTAGGTAGAAGCTTCCAGGGAAGCCAGTTGGTTCTATGCGTCGCGTTAATGGAAAGGCCGAGTTAAAAGGGTGGAAGGTACGCACCAAGTTTCGTTGCTTACGATTCGCAACCGACTTGTTTCGAAGCTGCTTAATGGCAACGAAGATCCGGACTCGATCGCCAATTTTCTTCACTCCCATTTCTTGAAGGATTTTTTGATCGCATTCGATTAGATTGTTGCCGTTGAAGTTATTTGCTATAGCCTGTCAGCTCCGGCTTATTGTATGCCATCTGCAGAGATGGTGCACACAGGGGAGCTCCAGCGTACCTCTGAACAAGGGTTCATATTGGCCGCAGTTTATGCTGTGCAGCCAGGCAACCACCTGTTTCTCGTCCCAGGACCTGGCAACGATTGTTAACGGAACGGCGCCCCTCCGCGACGATTTGGGCCGGACTCACCGAACAGCATCAAGGCCGTCATGTCCACCCGAAAACTCCGACTCCGTGGGGCTGGTAAACAAGGCACCGTCCTGAGAATTGGCGAAGATGGCCGATTTCTGAGGACCGGTGTGGTATGACGTTGTCGGGGTTTGGGACGATGGCACACCCAATGGGGTCGAGTATGGGGCCTTTGACGCCAGCATAGTTGTCCACCTTGGATTTTGCTCGACAGGCCGAATGAGAATCCAAACCTACAACCAAGTCCCCTCACACCTGAGCGATTGTTTGCGCTTATTCACCGGCGACGGCGGCGGTGGCGGAGGTGATTTCCGTTCGGAGGTTATAAAAATCGAGAACTCCCGACACAGGTTCTAGATGGGCTAATGCATGATCCGGGAAGGCTCCTAGTGTTCTGATGATCCGTTAGCTCCATAATTTTTTTTAGAGGAGGGGCCATTTATTTGCAGATGGGCTTGAACGGATGGGGAAAAGGGGGGGGGTTAATTCAAGCGAGGTGGGCGAGGGGGGAAGGGGAAAAAAAAAAGTGGAAATAAAAGAAAAGAAAAGAAAGATAGACAAGATTGCGAGAACACACGAGTCGAACGAGACGAGGGATTGAGAGAGCGTACCGAGAAAGTGACGCTGAATATTGCAGCGTAAGCAAAGATGATGGCGATCAGGCACTTGCAAGCGAAAGCCTCCAGGATCCCTTACGGACCCGACAGCGTCTTGTTCCGGGCTTGAGTTGACGACGGAGTTTGACCGCCCCGAGAAGGTCACGATCGAGCGTTATCAGAGCTAAATAGTCGAGGCGAGGGAGGAAGGGAATGGGCAGGGTCGGGCTCTCGGAGACCAGGTGGAGCACGAACACACCGAGATGATGACAAGAGAAGGAGAGAAAAAAGAGGATCTTTGGAACGCGGACGATGGTTGGGAGAAAGATGCCCTCCGCGGCCAAAGCAGCAGAAGCGAAAAGGAAAGAGAAACAAGAAGGCCTCCCCACGATGACCTCCAGGTCCAAGTTGACTGTGATTCTCGCTATCTGGGCCGATCGGATGGAGACGCTGAAACGCGGGTGATTTGTCAGGCACTTTTCCATCTGAAACACGCGGCGACTTGTGGGCGGTGGAGGATCCATGGTTCTCCCTCTGAGGTGGACTCTGAGGAGTACGTCGGTCCGGGACACTGGAAGATGTACACGAGCATCCTTCAGTATTCCCGAGTCGAGTCAGGTAAGGAAGTACGCCAGAGTAACTAAGTGAGTGAGTAGTGAGTAGGCAGTCGGGTAAGGAAGTATACCGGAGGGAGTGATGCCAGGCTACCCAGTCGGTTGGATACACAACGCATCTGAAACCGGCTGACGACGGCCGTCTCCATCCCCAATGATAATAGCAGCTCTGGCATGTCCATCTCAGACGGAGTTACGTGGTAAAGCATAACTTATAAATAGCATCGTATCCCATCCCAACGGAGCTTGGGCCATTTCGAGGCGAGTGGAGACATCTTAGGGCCTGGTTTGGTAGCTGCTTCTGTACTATGTGTATTTGTTTATGTCCTTGTAGGGTCATTCAAGCGCAGAATAGTTAACTAGGTATTAATTCCAGGATTGCTAAGCCAGAATACGAGACACCGTCTACGGAAAGCCTACAGACCATCTCCGCACAAAGAGGGTGGCAGAGATGGAGGGAGGGAGAGATGGATGGGTGGAGAGGAGGGAGGGAGAGATGGATGGGTGGAGAGGAGGGAGAGGGGGTGTGAGAGAGAAAAAGAGGGTGTGTGAGAGGAGGGGAGAGAGAAGAAAGAGGAAAGAGGAGAGAGAAAGAGGGTGTGTGAGATGGAGATGGAGGGAGGGAGAGAGGCAGACAGAAATGGAAGGAACGAACGAAAGACCGGCAGAAGAAGGCATCCCACGTGACCCGCCCCTCGCAAAAAAAAAACCCCCTCATGGAAAAACCCCACAGTGTTTCTTCCCCGCTCGTCCTGCTCTCTCCATCAACGCAGGACATGCTCCGATTCCGTAGCAATTCGCGATGGAGGACGAGAGACCTGCCCCGGGAAAAGTGAGGAAAAAATCCACCCCCGTCCATCGCAAATCACTGTCCTGCGAATACTGCAGCCGCTCCTTCGCCCGCCTGGAACATCTCCAACGACATCTCCGCACCCGTTGAGTAACCCTGATCTCGCCCACCGCGCCGTCTTCTCCTCATGGCTAACGGGGCTCGACAGACACCAAGGAGAAGCCGTTTTCATGTGACATCTGCTCCAAATCGTTCGCAAGGAGGTAAGTCGTCCTGCCCGCCGCAATCTGCCCGCCTCGCGCTAACACCGGGGGGAAATCCTCTGCAGCGATCTGCTTGTCCGACATGAGCGACTAGTCCATCCCGCCGAGGCGGCCGCCAATCGAGAACATCGCAGTCATGGCAATCACGATGTTCCTCAGACCCCGTCCACCATAATCCCGCCCGCCCACCACGAATCCCGCATGCTCGAGCTGGCGGACGCCGTGCCGGTTCAGCCGCAGCCGGTAGCGCCTCCCCCGGAGGTCCAGGTCCAACCGCCCCCAATCGTAGAAACAACGCACTTCAACCCGTCCTGGGGGTACGACCTGAACCTGCTGTCCCATGCCGCGAGCCATGTGGCCCTGGAAGGCCAGCAGGAAAGCCTGGAGTCCATGCGGAAGTCCTCCCAGAACGTCGGCCCGCAGCCACTTCCCAGTGTCCCCGAACGAGCCATCACCGAGAATTATGGCGTTGAGCCCTCCATCCTGGATCTGACGGACCTAGGCGACCCGGTGCAGGACTTTTCCGTGTTCCTGGAAAGCGTCGGCCTGTCTTCCGATTGGGATTCCGGCGTTTTCTCCACGGTCGAAGACCCCATGTTGACTAATCTCCCAATGGATTCGAAACCAACCGTCCGCGACAACCCGAGGCTTGGGCCCGATATCATGAGCGACCCTCGAGGTGCTGCCGACGAACCCCCGTCCTTCTCGAATTTTGGCTCTCGCCTCCCATCCCTGCAGCCGGAGCCCCATGATGTCGACGAGCGTCTCGGGTTCGCGGATGACGGCCCTCGACCGGCCTGGGATATCACCAATGCGGACCGGCAAATGTTCATCTCCAAACTTGAAGAATTTGCTTACATCCTTCCCAAAAGCTTCGTTCCGCCGTCGAGGCATGCCCTGTCTCGCTTCTTTGCTGGTTACATTAATGGCCTGAACGAGCATCTTCCTTTTATCCACGTCCCAACGCTGTCGGTGGCCAAGTGCTCCCCCGAGCTCACCCTGGCCCTGGCCGCCGCTGGATCTCACTATCGCTTTGAAAACAACCGGGGCATTGATCTTTTCCATGCCGCCAAGGCTATCCTGCTAGAACGCCTTCACAGGAGGGATAGCAAGCAGGTGCAATACCCATCTTGGAACTTCCTATCTCCCTCATCCGGATTCCATGACTCGTGTGGATCATCTGCCGCCTCCAATCACGCGAGCAGCCCATTTCAGCATCATCACATCGCGCATCAGGTTGATCCTTCGGGCTATGCCCCCCAGGACTCCGAAGCCCACATGGAAGTCATCCGAACATTCTTGCTGCTTACGGTCTTTGCTTCTTGGGAAAGGCACCCGGAACTCCTGCGAGAGATTCTTTCGCTGCAAAGCACTCTTGCGAGGCTTGTCAGGGAGCATGGACTGTCCGAGCCACCCCCAAGCCCTGATCCGAACAACTGGGAAGAGTGGGTACGAAGAGAGGGGAACAGGCGCACTAAATTCATCGTGTATTGTTTCTTCAATCTTCACTCCATCATGTACAACATCCCTCCACTGGTGTTGAATGCGGAGCTCAAGCTGAACATGCCGTGCTCCCATGACGTCTGGAAGGCCAGCAACCCGACTCAATGGCGCCGGGTCATCCGCAGCCGCCATGGGTCGGAAGTTTCTTTCCAGGAGGCCTTTGCCAAGCTATTCCTCAAATCCAGCATACCAAATTCCTCGGCACCCATCTCACCCCTGGGGAATTATATTCTCATCCATGCTCTCATACAGCAGATATTCTTTGCCCGACAGCTTTGTCTTTCGGCGCCAACCATGCAAAGCACAAGCCTCAGGCAGGACGATTTATCCGTGCTGGACAGCTCCTTGAGTGCGTGGAAGGCTTTATGGAAGCGCACCCCGGAGTCCAGTATTGACCCTCAAAATCCGGCGGGCCCGATTGCCTTCACATCCACTGCCCTTCTTGGCCTCGCTTATATTAGACTGCACGTCGATTTAGGGCCCTGTCGCCGTCTCATCACTCAGGACCCGGTTCAGATCGCACGAGCTCTGGGTGAATCTCCCCCGATTGCCAGAAGCCCTCGTCTGATCATGGCTTTGTTGCATTCCGCCCATGCACTTTCGATCCCAGTGCGTCTTGGAATCGATTTCGTTGCAAGGACTCACTCCTTTTTCTGGAGTATCCAACACTCCCTCTGCAGTCTGGAATGCGCATTCCTTCTGAGCCGCTGGCTTCTATCTATCCCAATGACACAAGCCGAACAGAGACTGTCGGAGCATGAGAGGAAATTACTCCTGTGGATCAAAAGTATGATGGATGAAACCGACATGGCTGTTGACCCCCCGGGCCCGCCTGATGTCGACTTCATGGCCAGTCCCTACAAGGCAAAGCAACTTAGCGTTGCTATTGTTCGTGTATGGGCAAGGACTTTCAAAGGGAATACAAGCTGGGCTATAGTCGACTTGGTCGGGTCAAGCCTGGATGCTTATGCCGATCTTCTGGAGACGCAAATGTGAGAACCTCGTGTTTGTGTCTTGGTCCCTGTGTTTCATCGATCGACTTGCCTGTGAGATTCTGGGATTCCGTTCATTAGCCTGTCCCGAATACGAGGGGCTGTTGGCAGGCTCTTATCGGGTGATTTGGTATTTGTGTCTTTCTTGTTCAGAGGGCCGCTTTAATCACCAGAAAAATTAATCCGAAAATGGCCCTGTCATTCTTTGTTTATCCTCTTGCTCGATATCAATATCTTTGCAAGAATCCAGGACCGATCCGATGGACTGGGGCGGTTCACATCTCAGGCTTGGGGTTCAGATGAGCTTCGCTGCTTGATATGATATTGTTATATACCCCTGTCCTCATTCTTCCTTTTATTTCCCCTGTATAAATTAGTGTGAAAGTTCTTTATGACGGAGGAACCGGTCAATGTTGATGTTTTTTTTCCTTTCTGTCTTTCTTGTTGCGTTTATATATGTTTTTTTTTTTTTTCTTTTTTCCACTTACGTTGGCCCTTGTGGGACAAATTATGACGGGCCAGAGGACTGGGCTTTTTTTTTTTTCTTTTTTTTTTTACTTTAATACCTGCAGTGTTGCTCGATTCTCCTTTATGAGTCTTCATGCGCTTGGGATTGATTTGATCTGGTTTTTCTGCTTCTCGCTTATATTCCTGACCTTCTGCTGGTCCTGAGGGAGACTTTCATTGGGTCATTTATGACACCATCGCGAACGGTGGTATTGTTTGAGTATTTGCACGTACAAATCGCAATTTCTTTGTTCCTTTCTTGACACTCTAAAATAAACAGTTGCTTATCGTGGCTTCTGGGACTATATCTACAGTAAATAATCTCATCATCTGATCTCCAAGCTTCACTTTCGTATCCACCCGAGTCAGGAATTAATTTTTGGCTTTCCCTCTTTGCGTGACACTTGCCGGGACAAATCGCAGAGCGGACATGGAACGTTCAAGTTGAGATACGTCGGTCTCTGATTTCTGCTGAGGTGCTATGTTTTGCGCAGATGTCGGTTCCGAAGAAGGGTCTGAATTGGACACAGAAGTCTTTCGGTACCTCAGCCGACCCTCTTGGGGCGAAGTAGGGGTGTTCGGTATGCGATGCCGAGGCTGGGTCGTTGGTCGCAGTAAAGAAGTCGACTTATCGATGCCATCATTCACAATGTAGAAATTGTACGTCTGCGGAAGATCGATGTCAGCAGCTGTCCCTTGCTCTGGACAAGCCGGACTGTACCTTGGGAAACATATGCTTGTCGGTTAAGTGCATTCTACGCTTCTGCGGCGTTGAGCATTTCTTCTCGCAGTCCTCGATGAAGCATCCGTACTGCTCATTTCAAGTTAGCTTCAATTCGTCAGAGGGAGTCCGCTGCCTTACGGTCTTGTCTCCTCGGTCTCTTTTCGCCGCAGTCAAAGGATCGTGGTTCTCTTCGATGTGCAGGCTCAGGAAATGGCCCGTGGGGAAGTTCTTCCCGCACTCTGCGCATCGATTGACGTGGGTTTGCAAATAGTGGACCTCATAGTCTTCGTAGGAGGCGAATGACAGGGCTCCCCGGTGAGGTGGTAAGGAACAACGCATCACCGTCGAGACCGGGTTGCCTGGATCCAAGAGGCGGGATTTGGCGCGTCCCAGGGAGGTGGCCGATGATGCTGGGGATGAAGATCTTGATCTAGGGTCTAAAGATGGCCCAGCCGAAGGGCTTCGGGACACGCTGCGAGAGCGTTTCGACATGCTGGAGATATATTTTGAGAAGGGAGAGAGAGTAAAAGCGAGTGAGAGAGAAATCTCCCTCGTGTTTATGGATGGGAGCACATTTCAGAATCCACTGAAGCAATAACGGTTCTCTGGTGTTTGCTTTCTGGACGGAACCCTGCGGCCAGTTGGCCATCAACGGAGAAAGTCTGGAGTCGACATGAAGAACGTAGATATAGATGAAAATCAACCGCATTCTGCCCGATAATTCAGGCCGCCAGTCGGTAATACCGCCCGTACAGACGGTACGGTAAGCGCAATACGGCACCAGCCACAGACAGCCACAAAGCCAAAGCCACCGGTTTCTTTTTTCCCGTGATATGCCATTTTCTCCATTTTCTCTCCAACGAGCGGCGGCCGCAACCCCTCGCCTGTTCGTCCTCGTCGCCGTCCATCCTGCGCTCGCCTTCCTTGCTGCGCTTGCGCCGTCGTTGGCGACCCTCTCGTTCTCATCCTCCGATCCGCTCACCGTCTGCTCACTCGTTCTGTATATACTACTGATGGATCGTTCACTGCTTTGGTCGCCCGCAGACTTCCAGCCAGCCATAACCATCTGACGGGCGAGGTCAACGGTGGAGTGACGTACGGCTTGGTTTCGTCGTCTCCTGAGCATGGCGTCCACGTTTCAGAATACGTGGCAGTCAGTACCTTCTCTCCCCTGCCGTCTCTGCGATGTGGACTTGCTCTAAATCCCAATGTGCAGGATTGCGCTCGATGCCGAAAGGGAGCTTCTGAAGAGCCTTGCCGACAAGGAACCTACGTTTACCGCAATCTCGCACTATCTTTCAGAGTCAGTCTCCCTTCCCGAGAGAGCTGCAGCCGCCGCTTGATGCCCATGTCCTGAGATCTGACCATTCCCCTCCCTCCGATGGCGCAGATTCCGGACCGCCTGCCAGAATGCCATCCTCCGGGATTTTGAAGCCGCGCGCTCCGTCGATGTTGAGACCCACCTGTGGGATATGCATCTCAAGATCAACACTCGATTCCGCAAACTGCTCTCTCGCGTGAGTGCCACGAATCCCAGGCTTCCTCGTTTTCTGCCGTCTAATCCCAAGGCGCATGTCTAGTTTCGCGACGAAACTGTGAAGAAGAAGAAACCGGTGGAGAGGCGGAAACTTGAAAAACACTATCTCGAGTTCATCAAATCAAGCCAGCGGTTTTATCGGGGGTATATCCAGCAATTGTCGTCGCATTTCGGCAGTATTCCCGAGCTTGAAAAAGTTGCGCGGAAATTCAATTTTGACAGTGAGAGATACCATTCCCGTCCTTACCAGGGTCTTTATTGAGTCCGGGTGTGTTTCATCAGCAGATCTTCCCGTGGGGAACTCGACGCCTCAAGCGTCCGGAGACCTTCAACGGCGTGTACTTCTGTCATGCCATGGGGCCCTCATCCGTCTCGGCGACCTCTCGCGCTACCGCGAAACCGAACTGGTCAGCAAGGACCGGAACTGGGGGCCGGCCATTGGCTACTATGACTTAGCTATGATTATTTACCCGGCCTCTGGCATGTCGCACAACCAGTTGGCCGTTATTGCTCTGGCCGATGGCAGCCACTTGAGGGCCACTTACCATCTCTACAGAGCTCTGGCGGCGCAGGAACCCCACCCGTCCGCTCGGAGTAACTTGGAGATTGAATTTCGGAAGGTCAAGACTGCCTGGGCTAAGCAGGAACTGATTCGTCCGGAAGATGCTGGCGTTCCTGGCAGAGCATTGGCTCCTTGGTTCGTGTACTTGCACGCCCAATGCTACAATGGCACCGACTTTCCTGAGCACGACGAGCTCGAGAGTGAAGTTCTCAATCAACTCGCTGTCGACCTTAAGGAACGCTCGCTTGAGGGTACTTTGCAAAAATTTTGCCTGGTCAACATTGCTGCGGAGGACTTTTCCAGGAAACGCTCCAATGGTAAGCCTCCTGACTTCGCCGACACCAGAGCCGTCATTGATCTCAAGCTTTAGAAGAGTCCGTATCAAATGCGCGCCTCTTCCTTCAGCGAACCAACGTCAAAACCTTCTTCACCTTGCTTCAAATCCTTCTGGCTGAAGTGGAACGATTTGCGGTTGAGGATCCTACCAGCAAGGAAACAAGAACCGGCTCAGATAAAGTCACCGTCGTTGCGCGTCGTGTTCTGCCGGCTCTTCGGAACTACAGCTCTTGGCTTCTCACCGTCAGCAATCTGCTAGTGGCGTATAAGGAGGAGAAAGACACCCCTCTTGCCGTGCAGATCACGGAATTCTGGAAGATCTATGCCAACACCCTGACTCTCCTTGCTTCGACTTTTGACGTAGTCCACCTACCAGAGATTGACTACCTCTTGGAGGAGGATGAAGAGACTCTATGTTTTGCACCCCTCAGTGTGGATGCCACGTCTCGCAGGTACTTCGATATGAACGGCCAGCAGAAACCTCGAATGAACGACCCAGGGGTCGAGAGAAGCCATCCCAACATGGAAATGCTCTACCGCATTCGTGAATTCGTGATCGATGGTTTAGACCTGGTGGTCAGCAATGTATGCCATCACTCCTCCCTTCATCTTATATCCTTGCCCCCATTGTTGTGGTTGCTAATTCGTCCTGGCTCAGAAAATCCCCGTGGCTCTAGTCGATGACGAAGACAAGAAGACTTTCATCTACAAAGAAGAGGATCTGCCTTCTCAGTTCTTTGCCAGCCCGGCCGGCCATCATCACACGCTCCCTTCCGCCAGCATCGGACGGGAAGACATTCAACAAGTGGCGCAAGATCAGGATCCCCATCATGCCATAGATGCCCGGAGCACATTTGGCGGCTCGCAGTCGGCGTCGGCGTCAATGTCGGCAAGTATGCATCGTATTGTTGAGGGGGTAGAGCGGCTGGTCGAATCAGACACGTACGAGAACGGCCCGGCCTTGCCAGAACACCTGGCCTTCTCCCAGAATGCCAATCAACATTTACGATCGAGCCGTATGTTCGATCTTAGTACGGATTCGATCTTCCGCGAGGAAAATTTTCCTCCACGTCAGACCCCCATTGCCCCTCCTGGACTGGGCCCACCGATGCCAGGCGCTGCCGCTCTGGTCAGGGATCCGTCGTCTCAATCCTACACTTCGAGACCAGCCCTTCCCGGCATCCCCAGCATTTGGAACACCGCACTTTCGCCCGATCTCGGCGAAGCCTCGTCTCCTCGGACTCCACCGGGACTCGGACAACGGCCGGCTCATATGATGCCAGGAAGCGTCGGTGCACCCGGTCATCGTCACCAACCGTCTCAGGAGGCGATTGCCAATGAGCTCCTGTTTCGCCAGAGTCTCATGAACCAGGTCCCCTTGCAGAGCCCCCTAAGCGGTCCCGGCACCATGTCCCCATGGATGGGCGCAACCAATCCCGTGTCTCACCATCGTCTCTCTGGCCTCAACTGGGAAAGGGCACAGCTGGAAGCTGCCCATTCGCCCGCCTCGCTCGGTGTCCCTAGCCAGCCGATCTCAAGTGGCTTGGCCAACGCCTCATGGGCGAATGATGCATTCCTTGCTAGTACCCTCTCGTCGGGACCCGGCTACCCCAGCTCCGGGTTCGACGGCAATCGCAAAACCTCCACGCAGTACGGCGCCATCGGCCAAACTCCCCCTTGCGGACAAGGAGGGTGATCACCTCGTTCCAATCTTTTTTTTTTCTTCTTTGGGCATGTGAACAAGGGCACATAAAGGAACACGGAAAGAAAGAAAGAGAAAGCAAGATCTCGCGAAAGAGCCTAGGGGCGGTTACATGCAACATCGAAAGGAAGTGTTGATGGACTGGTCATCCGATCCAGACTCGGATTGGAGGAGAAATGAGCGATCCTTTCGTTCTTTCTTCTGTGGTCAACTGCAGAGACCAAACAGATCGACAGGTCTCTTTTTCTCAAGTCCTCTCCTGGATTCTTCTGTCTTTCTTTCCGACTTCAGTCAGTTTCATATTCCTTTGCGGTAGGCCTTTTTTTTGGTGGGAATTGAGCAAAACACGGGGGCGTTGTGTCACGGAACAGACGGCCAGACAGCCTGCTACTTACGATCTTTCCATTCTGGGCGGACGAGCCGGAGATTCGAGAAAAGATCGGTCATCTTTGATTTGATGAGAAGTCTGCAGGTGATTCATGAGGTTAGGAAGAAAACGTTCAACATGGTTCTTTTCACTGAGCGAATGCGATCCTGGTTTTATAGGCCCAGCTAGCCTGAGGCCTTGCAATGGACAGGTTCGACAGAAGCGGGTCTTACTCTTCTTACACGTTAGCTAAATTTATCTTTATTTTTCGCTTCAAGTCTTTTTCTGGTTGTCGAATCTCAGTTATGTTTATGACTTGGACACTCGCTTTATCCTATTACTTTGCGGCGAGCACGATAGCGATACGAAGTTCCAATGAAGAATCAAGTTTTGAAAAATCACGTCCTCAAACGGGAAACTCTCTTCTAAGCATGCTTGAAAGATGCTTTGAAGATCAATTGTATTGAGGCGAATTCTATATAGGACCGAAAAGCTGGTTCGTCATTTCGTTGTTGAGAACGTCATCTCTGCTGCTCCTGTCTATACCATGAAGCGATTGGGAGCGCATCGTCACAAGAAAATGTTAAGGAAAATTAGTCTAGGACGTTAAGTCGAGGACCGGGTATAGGTTGAATTTTGAAACAAAGAAAACACAGAAGAAAAGGACATTTGCTGCTGCGGGTTTCTGTGGCCTCATTGGGTGTGCGGCGAGACTTTTAGGAAGAATCAGGTGTGATTTACGAACGCTCGGTGGGAGTGTAGGTCTGCTTAGGGAAAGGGAAGCTACAAGTTGAAAGGTCAGTTGTCGCTGCACCAGCCCAGATCATCGAAGGTTTAACTTACGAAGGACCCAACTCCTGGATGCTCAGTCGAGCGAGCCAGTGGCCCAGGTCAACACTTTGCGCAAGAGACTTGCCCTGCACAATACCAGCAGAGAAACCACCGGCAAAAGCATCACTAGTAAGACATCGAAGGTCAGCCGAAGGCTCAAAGCACGATAGCACATCATCACTCTCTACTTACCCAGCACCGTTGGTGTCGTTAATGCTCTCCTTAGCGATTTCGTGCACGCTGAATTCCTGGACTTCGACCTCGCCCTTGGGCTTGGCAGTAGCAGCGACGGTGGGAAGAGTGCCCTGGGTCACAATGGCCGTTCTGGGGCGGCTGGTGTTCTTCTTGGGCAGCTGGGCCAGCTTCTTGGCAATCTCAACCACGTCGTCAGTACCCCACGAGTGGCTTTCGGCGTAAGCACGAGCCTCGGTCTCATTACAGAAAGTGTAATCCGTGTAGGGAAGGACGGAGTCGAGCTGGTCCTTGAAGAACTGGGGAATGAAGGGAGCCGAAAGAGACAGCATAAAGATCTTGTTCTTCGCCACAGCCTCTTCACCGAGGGCCTGGATGGCAGGAACACACACGGTCAGGTGGTAACCACCAATGTAGTAGACCTGGGCCTTCTCGACGAGAGACCAGATGTGAGGCTGCTTCAGATGCTCAAGCTTGTACTCGTTGGCCGCAGCAAGGTGGGTGCACATGCTACGGTTGTGGCCAGTAATGATGACACCGCACTTGCCAGTGGGTTGGGCCTCGTCGACCCGGTACTCGGTGTGGACACCGGCCTTGGTGCAAGTCTCCTTGAGAATATCGGCATACTTGTCTTTTCCGACACAGCCAATGTAGAGAGTAGAGTTGTCGGGGAGAATGTACTACCACCGAGATTAACAACCGATGGCACTGAAGGAGCACGATTTCATGGCTTACCTGGGCACCACGGGCAGTGTTCTGAGCCGCACCACCGGCAATCAGCTTCGCATCGTGGTTCTGAAGCAACTCCTCGTAGAGACCCATGTGCTGGTCTTCGGCCAGGATGGCATCGTTGTCCTTCAGGCCATACTTCTGCAGGAGAGCAGCATCACTGTGAAAAGCAAGATCAATTACCTGAAACTCGGCCTTATGCGTATTCAGAAGATGTATCATACCCTACAGCCTGGATGTCTGTACCATCGCCGAGCTCGTGGATTAGCTGAAGGGCTCAATGTTTTTACATAGCGGAGTCAAGGCTGGAAGTTACACACCAAGGAGAGGGTTCTCCAGACACAGGAAGGGATATCCTTGAGGAGCAGCCATGATGGTTGAGATTGAGTGCTTGGATGAGCGACAAGGGGCGAGAGGAAGATGGAAGAGATGAGAGTGAGATTGAGGGTGAGAATGAAGAAGCAGAGGAGGGGAAAGTGGGGGAGGGAAAACGTGAGATTGAGAAAGACGAGGGGGGCAGAATGACGGGCGGACACGACCGCCTTTGCCTGCCCCCGTCGACGGGCAACAACATCCGTCCACCTTCTCGCCGATCTACTCCGTACCGACACCTCGATCTCGCTGTTCACGGCACGCAGAACCCTTGAGTTTACCCCTTTCATCATGACGGACCCCGCCCTGAATGTCCCGGAGACTCTCCAGTCCGCCTCTGTCAACCCAGACCCTTCCCCATCCCACGACGTCAATCCTCCAACCGCCGCCTCGGAAAAGAAGCCCGTGGTCGAACAGACTCCCTCTGAGCCGGACAGCATCCCATCGGATGTTGTAGACCCGCGTCGATCCATTCAGCCTGTTCCGCGTCGGCACAACCTCCCTCCGTTGCCAGATCTGCGCTTCGAACAGAGCTATCTCGCTAGCATTCGAGATGCCGATACCTGGGGACGAGTGGCATGGATCACAGTCAGAGACCAGGTATATACGTCCCACCGTTTGTGCTGCTCCGTGGCTCAAGGCTGACGCGACTCCTGCTCCCCCGTGTAGGTCCTGCTGCCCTTGATTCAAGGTACGCTCTGGACTCTCGCGCTTTCCGGCTGGCGGTTCTGGAACCGCAACGCCTCCCTCAGCGGGCAGACCCTAGGTAGCCGAATCCGACGGTGGTGGTATGAAACGAACAACTGGAAGCTTCCCTCTCTCCCGTCAGCAAGGGATCCTCGGCTCGCGGCGCAAACGGAAGACGTAAGTTGTATTCCAGCCTCCCTTTCACGGACACAAACACTCCTACTTCCCCCATTGATATCGGTGAGAGAGGTAGCGGAACTGACACTTGCGGAGTTCTTACAGTTCTACACGGCACAGTTCTCCAATGCCGGTGCGGATTAGACCCCTTTGACTACTTGTTTGCGTTAGATTGTATTCAGGGTTTGCATCTCGGAGTTATGGTCACAAGGCGTTGCGCCAGCGCTTCACTAACATTTCTGTCTTTCTTTATTTATCCTTTTGCCCTGTTCGTCCGGCCTATTTGTAGCGTCGAAGTTACTTGTCCCCAATATTTTCAAGGCCAAGCCATCTCGGCCGACTTGGACGTCACAATGATAGTACATACATACAGTATACTTAGCAAGCATCCGAACATGTCTACTAGATACCAATATATGGACAAGGGCGCTCATGTAGCAGCCGCTCGGTCAAGAGATCGCCGCAATCTCGGGCTCCTTGACCTATGGCACTTTTTCAATGCCCACCGTAACAAAGTTTTCCCAGTGACGGATAACGCCTGACCAGACTCCCCGTTAGGCCCTCAATTGCATGAAAATAGAAAAAAGCACGCTCCCAGCAAAGAACTCTATGCGTAATGAAAAGAATCGAGGGCACCGTTGTTGGCGTTAACGGTCAGGCGGCCTCGCTTGGCTCGGGGAGAGTGACGGGCGGATGCGTTGGCACGTCGGTGCCAGTCGTAGGCTGAGGAAGTCTTGTAGTTCCCTTCGGCTGCTCATCCGCATTGTTCTGTGGTTCAATCTTCTGGCTCGAAGAAGTTGCAGTGGGCGGTGCGACAGCCGGCTGTCCGGCGTCTGACGTTCCTGGCGGCACCTTGGAGACATCCAGCCCACTGGTTCCGGATTGCTCTTGAGCCGGGGACCGAGACGTTGTCTCTGGCTCTGGCATGCTTTTTGGTAGCTGAGCATCGTCGCCAGGGCCACCGGGACTGCTTGGCACTTTGCCTTTGGTGTATCTGAGTTGCACCACCAAGCTGGGGGGCTCTCCATTCACGACCGACTCATCGCCGCTCACTTCTTCTTCATCGTCGCCTTCAAATTCATTATCCTCTTCTTCCTCGCCGCCCTGCCACTCGTTTCCGCTAGAATGCGCCCCGTCGGATGCATCATCCATGTCCTCGTCCAAATCGTAACCGGGGTGCCCGTTTCCTCGGGCCGAACGAGTCCTCTGGGGTCTGCCAGAGCCCTCCTCGTCGGCAGCTAATTCATCACGCGGACCACTCAACAGCGTCTCGCCATAAAGACCCCCCGCGCGAGACCGAATCTGCCTTCCACTCGCGGTATACCGGGGGCCGGCCGGCTCCGGGGGGGTGGAAACTCCCGACGTGTTACGTGTGGAGCGTCGAGTAGATGGCAGGCCGTCGGAAAAGATGTCCTCGTCATCGGAGTATGTGTACTTCAACTTCTTCCCGCGGGTGCGGCCTTCATAGAGGGAGAATCCCGGCTCCGGCCGAGTGAACGCTGCCTTCCTGGCAATACGATAATCCCGGCGTTTACGTTTCTTGAGTTGTGTGAGCAAGGCAAACGGATGACAGGCCAATACGTGGGACTCACCTCTTCCGAACCCTCAAACCGGGGAATAGAATTGTTGATCTTCTCGCTGAGCTTCTTCGAGTTCGTGCTCCTCTCCTCGTCGAGTTTGTCCGCAACGGCCTTCAACTCGGGAATGGTCCCCGCCACACTCCACCACGTAACATTCTTCAAGGCCGGGTTACCCTCGCGATACAATCGAAAATGGGTATCGTCAAGCCCTTCGATGAGCCAGTACCGACGTTTGTGGCCATCCCGACCCCACGGCTGAACCGAAAGGGGCTGGTTCAGATCGTCCTCGTGGCGCGCTTGTTTGTAGGATTCCTTGATCTTGCCCTGGATTGCCTCGGACGAAGACAAGGACCAGAGGATGAGGGATTTCAGTAGTTGCAACTAAGGAAGGTCTGCGTTAGCATATCAGGTCCAGGTTGGCCAATTGCCGAGTCACATCACGTACGCGTTCCTCCGGTGTCATCGCGGCGAAAGTGCGCCCCCCGTGGAGCGGGTTCTTTCCCTGCCAAGCCTTGGGCCACTGGGGCGCATGGGTTTGGATCGCTTCCTCCAGAGGGCGTTGGTAGTGGTTCCGACTGTGTTCACGGGGATAGATTAGTTAGGTTTCCATTCAAGCGGTGTCGAGAGTATATGCGAAGCTTCGAAACAATGAATTTCCAACCGTTTGGTTCCGTGGTAGGGTGAAGGGCAGCCATACTCGACGTCTTTCTTGCGGTTCAACACCAGACCCAGGAATGCACATAGTAATCTCTCAATGTGGTCGCCTGGCGGAAGCTCGCTGACCCCTCGTTCAATATCCTGCGGGCCAAAGTGCGGCGTGGAGCGTGGGAATGCGTCGTGGAAACGCGCGCGGAACATGACGATGAACTGCGGAGTTGCGACAGGTTAGCGATCAGGCGTCCCGGGGAGAAAAACGCGTCAAACACGGCAGAAGAAAGTCGAAGCCAGGTCCGCTCGTGTGCCAAACTCACTGCAATATCCGGATTATCGGCCAGAACGTATTCATGGGGTGGTGACGGTGCCCGTTTCGGCGGCGGAGATTCGGACTCCTTCTTGAAGTACTTCGTGATGCCCACGGGCTCGTCGACTGCCATGGCGCCAGATTCCTCATCTGACGGAGGCGCCGACGAAAGCGACGAGAGCTCCGAGTCGGAAAGAGACATGTTGGACATGTTCGAGAGGAGGGTTGTTGGAGGACGGTGTTGCGGCAAGGGTAAAGTCAAGGTGGGCAAGTCCGCGCCGCAGGAAGTTCTGTTGCGCTACTCCTCCCTGGGTGGGAGCGCGGCTTTTACGCGCGTGGCTTGTCTGGCATCGCTCATTGCAGCTCTTATCAAGCCATGATCAGCACCCATGCACTCCATGGCATTCTTCGTCCTTGGGTTTCTGGCAATTTTCTACATTTAGACCACCAGATCACGGTCTTGGGGGGGTGGGAATCTGCCCAAACTGGGGTTTGGAAGTTCTCGATAAAGTGAATTGACGCGATCAGAGCAGAGATCGAGTTGATTCCATGCATTTGACACGGCGAGCAACAGTAAATCGTGAAAGATTTCCTCTCGAGCGCCAGGTATATAGAGCTAAGATGGTCCTACGGGATTCGAGACACGACCAATCGCCCGGCGCGAAGGGATGTTTCAAAAAGAAAGCAAGAAAGAAAAAAAAAAAAAAAATCAGGCAGTCAAGCCGTCGCATTCTATGCGGGTATTGGCCATGATCGTTCTCATTTTGACATCGGTTCAGGAACAGGATGGTTGGGGAAATCGAGTCCCGACAACGACGCGGTATACATGGTCTAGCGACAAGTGGGGGGGAGGTCCTAGGAACTTCCAGAGCGCTTCTAGGCGTTGATGACGGCAAGTATGGACCACCGAGGGGGTTTTTGACCAGTCTGGAAGGGCCATGGAACGTGCCTCTTCATCTCATGTCGCCCGACAAGTCTAGATTCGGTTGTTTAGTCCACGAACGGCAGGTTTGATGTTTGAGATCACGTTACTACTGCCCAACCTGAGGCACCCTCTCCGACCCTCCACCGCTGGTGACATCGGGGCAGCATGGGGCACCGAGTGCGCCGGAGAGTGTTCCGGCAGAGATATGGGGGGGTGATTTGGTCCGACTTTGGCAGACAGAAAAAAAAGGAAGGGGAAAAAGGATTAAGGCAGCGCCAACAATTGCAGACCGGGAGACAACCCTAGGGCTCGCAGGAGCGGTGATCCCTGGGATGGCCACGGAGGGACGGAGGACGACCTACGAGTACGGAGGCGGACAGACTGTACGGTAGCCGCGGCGCGCCAAAAAAGAAATGCACAACCGCCACCCGCGAGACGCTCCTCCCAAAGGGGCGCTAGCGCCAACTCGGTTAGATTAGCGATTTCGCCCTAAAGCCCACACAGCCTTTCGCCGACGAATTCTCAACACCAACCCGACAAGCCCATCTTCCGATTTTGAGGTACGAGCATTCGATAAACTCCCACCACTGGGTCGCTGGCGGTCTTTCTTTGAATACTAACGTCCAGGTTCTTCATCACAGAAAGTCGCCATGGGTCGTGTGATCCGCAACCAGAGGAAGGGTCGTGGATCCATTTTCAGTGAGTGCGACCGCATCTCTCCCTGATCGCTGCGTGATCATGGTCTTTGCGAGGTTCAAAAATGTACTGACCGCGATACCTCCCCCTCCAGCGGCTCACACCCGTCTCAACAAGGCTCCTGCCCAGTTCCGTACCCTCGACTACGCTGAGCGTCATGGATACACCCGCGGTGTCGTGAAGGAGATCATCCACGACCCCGGCCGTGGTGCTCCTCTCGCCAAGGTCCAGTTCCGTCACCCTTACAAGTTCAAGCAGATCACGGAGACCTTCATCGCCAACGAGGGCATGTACTCCGGCCAGTTCATCTACGCCGGAAAGAACGCTGCCCTGACCGTCGGCAACGTCCTCCCTCTCGCCTCCGTTCCCGAGGGTACCGTCGTTACCAACGTCGAGGAGAAGTCTGGCGACCGTGGTGCTCTGGGCCGTACCTCCGGAAACTACGTTACCGTCATCGGCCACAACCCTGAAGAGGGCAAGACCCGTGTCAAGCTTCCCAGTGGTGCCAAGAAGGTCATCAAGAACACCTCCCGCGGTATGGTCGGTATCGTTGCCGGTGGTGGTCGTACCGACAAGCCTTTGCTGAGTATGTCAATCCTTTTTTTGGAGGAGGGCGCGCGGTTTTTCTGTTGAAATCCCATGTGGCCAGGAAAACAAGAAGAAGATCATTCAGTGCTAACCGTCTCTTCTCTTAACAGAGGCTTCTCGTGCCAAGCACAAGTTCGCTGTCAAGCGCAACTCGTGGCCCAAGACTCGTGGTGTTGCCATGAACCCCGTGGATCACGTAAGATATTTCCCTCGATTTCACTTGAATACTCCAGTCTCTGACAAGAATTTCTACAGCCTCACGGTGGTGGTAACCACCAGCACATCGGTAAGGCTTCGACCATCTCCCGCTACGCCGCCCAGGGTCAAAAAGCCGGTCTTATTGCTGCCCGGAGAACTGGTCTGCTCCGTGGTACCCAGAAGACCAAGGACTAAACGGGTTATCGTGTGGAGTTTTTTTCTTTGTGACGGGTTGAAAATGCTCTTTTGCTATGAGACATATGTACTTAAGGCGACTGTGGATAGCCTCCCACGCGTCCTTAGCGAATTAAGGTTCTGGCCAAACAAATCTCAATGATGATTAAACAAAACGGAAGAATTTGGTCGGCCTCATGTCTTCATGCGCGGCACGAGTGGCAGATTTCAACCAAAATAAAAGTTTGGGGAAATCTACATAATAAAATTTCTTTTGGTTCATTGTGTCCCCCTTCGTATTATCTTCGCATGGTGTAACATGCTGGCATTTCGTATGGTTTTTCTTGATCTCTTGGACCTCTCGTCGACTTTGCGTTCGGCATGGTCTCTTCTCGCTTCAAGGGGCCTACGACAGCAGATTCCTATCTTCATATTCGGCATGGGGCAGGTGGCGAGGCTTTGAGATAGTTCCTTGCGCTACGACTCTTTTTTTTTTTTTTTTTTTTTTCCTTTGTTGTGCGCGTTCTCCATGGTTGGGCTTCAAAAGACGTGGAAATTCTAGAAACAGATGCACTCCATTCTTTCCCCGCAATTATCTATCTAGATGGGCTCGTGGAGTATACCATTCGTCCATAGGAATATATATATATAGGGGGCGCGGCACCGAACAGCCTGCCACCCCAGGGCATTGGACCGAAGCAGTCACCCTAGAGGTACATCAAATCCACCAAGACACACGAGGATACATGTCCATCCCATCCGTGACCAAAAGAATCGATTGTGATCACATAGTGGCTGTGGGAGGGATATTGACCCCGAATTGACCAATTAGCGGTAGACGGGCTGCGAGTCACCTCTAGAACTGGCCGTCTTTCCCCCGCCTCTTCCTTTCTTTCGCCTGCCTCTCTTTTTTCTCTTGGTCTTGATTCTAAAACCAACAGCACGCTCTAGATCATAATAATCCTTGACACAAGCAGGCTGTACCTGATGGTTCAGCAAGGACCACCCCGGAAAATCCCACGCCTGAACGCCACTAACGGCCCGTCCGCCGCCGCACGCTGGCAGGCAGTGGTCAACCGGGATGCACAAGCGACCTTCTTCGTCTATGCCGTCCTCACGACCAAGATTTACTGCCGGCCGTCATGCCCGGCTCGTCTTGCTCGACGAGCCAACGTCAGTTTCTACGACACACCCTCGGACGCGGAGAAGGCCGGCTTCCGGCCCTGCAAGCGCTGTAAACCACAGAACCTGCAGGAGGCTAATCCCCAGATCCTATTGATACAGAGGGCCTGCGAGACCATCCAGTCCCAGATCGAATCCGGTTCGAAGCCCATCCTCCGGAACCTGGCGGACGAGGCGAATCTCACGCCCAGCTATTTCCATCGCCTGTTTAAGAGGATCAAAGGCGTCACGCCGGGACAGTATGCGGCCCTGGTCTTAAGCCAAAGTGGTGGGGAGTCATTGGATGAGAACACGCCCACCGGGAACCTCACGACCTGCGGGCCTTGGGCGTTAGACATTTCGCGTGACCCTTCCATACCCGACACCTTGGATGGCGTTGATGTCGCGAACGGTGGAGACGTTGGGCTCTGGAACGATTTCGACGTTTTGATAGCCGCCGAGGCTACCTGGAACGGTGGGCACTGGATTGGATGACGATGGGACCGCGAACGACGTTCTAGCCCCGTGTTTAGGCGCCAAATCGCCTGTGTTGACTTTCCCGTCACCGAAGAGAACAACCGACCTGAACAGAAGACTGGATGGGATGCTGCATCACTGTCTATTATTGGGAATAACTGGGGGAACCGTGTATCAAACCCAAACCGATCCACTCTGAAAGACTCCCGGGACTCCTGACTCCGTCCATCAGGGGGCTTCCTTGCCGACATGGGCGCCTTTTGTTGACGGATCCAAGCCAATCTCCGTGGGCGGTCCAGGAGGGAAAGTTACATCACGGAATGATGAGATATGATATTTCATGGTGGGACAAAAAAGGGGTCAGGAGGATTGACAATCGACACTGCCACTCCTCATGCCCCCAAAGCCAAGTTTTGATAGACTCAGAACGCCGGATCGTCGAGGATGATACAGGGACTGTCGGCGAGATCCAAAGGGCCCCCAAGAACCAGGAGGTGCCCTGTTGGCCTTGTAAATACGTGGTATCGCAGGACACCGGGCCTGCGATCGCCAGAGCTCCATAATGCATACGCTATCATTGCAGCATGATCGCCCTTCTAGACCGGCGGGGGGGAGAATCCATCGATTGATGGTCTATCTGAGACTGTACTGGGTCCCTTCTACACGGTGCACTGTACACTGGACAAGAAACATCCATCTGCACATACTCGCCAGTACCCCGGGGGATTGAGCCTATTGCCCGCGAGAACATGGAATCTCTGGGATTGCATACGACATATAAATAGCAGCGTGGCAAAAAAGGGAAAAAACGACCCCCCACTTTGGTTGACCCACCAACGCGTGTCACATTCATTCCGAGCCTATGATGCCCTGGGGTCCGACTGGAATAATATAGGGAAGTTAATAATAACCCAACGATCGAGCGATGTTTCAGGTTTGCCATCCTCACCGGCGCCAATTGGTTCCTCTCCAACTCCGTATTCGTACGCAGTACAGGCCACCTGGCGCATAAATTACGGACCCTCGGAGTACCTGAAAGTTACCGCGGTACCTCTCGTACACCCATTACTTACAGTAGGTGCCTGCCTGCCTGGGTCATCCTGATGGGGCCAGACCTTCATTAATCCCCGGCCATCCCACCATCGCTGGTCGCATCTTGATTCTTCCCTTTCCTCTTCGTTCTTCTCCCAGCCTCCCCTTTCCCGACTTCTACTTCTCCAAGACCCATTGGTTCCTACACTCGCTTTCCCAACCTTTTCTTATCTCCAGTGCCCCGGCCATCCGCTTTCAGTTGTTTACTCTCGCTCCGCCGGCCGGATTTGTTCCTGATATTCAATTCTCACTGCGTCGACTCCCGACCCTGTACAGTTGCCTGTCTACAATTTTCTTTTTTCTCTTTTTTTTCTTGCACATACATTCCCGTGCTTTTACTCCCCCGGGTGACTCGAAACTGAACTTCACCAACACGCGTGCAAAATGAACGTCAACCGGAAGTTTGATCGCTTCAAGCAATGGGCGGGCGAGCGAATGGGCGGGGAGGTCAAAACCAATCTCTCCGATGACTTCAAGGCTATGGAGATGGAGATGAATGTGCGCCACGACGGTGAGTCTATGTCACCTAATTGGTTCTGATCTTTAATCACTGACGCTTGCCGCCTCCGTAGGCGTCGATCGAATCCACAAGTCCACCACCGCCTACATCAAGGCCGTTTCCAAGCGCAGCGAGGGCGACGACAAAGAGAAGACCCTGCCCATCGCCCACCTGGGGACCAGTATGGTCGGCCACGGTGAAGATTTCGATGCAAATTCCGAATATGGCCGTTCCCTGATCAGTAGGTCTTTCCTGCTCCTTTGCTTGTCGAGAACGATCCGAGTCTGACCACCATTTCCTCCCCCGCATAGTGCTTGGACGAGCGGAAGAACGCCTCGCGCGTGTTCAGGAGTCCTACATCTCCCAGGCGACCTCGGGCTGGCTTGAGTCCCTGGAGCGGTCCTCGACGCAGATGAAAGACTACCAGGTAATAAAGCATCGCTGTACTCCATGCAACCCAATCCGTCGTCTAACCGTGGGAAACTAGACTGCCCGTAAGAAGTTGGATAGCCGGCGACTGGCGTACGACACCTCCCTCTCGAAAATGCAGAAGGTGAAGAAGGAGGATTTCAGAATGGAGGAAGAACTTCGGACGCAGAAGGTCAAGTACGAAGAGGCCAACGATGACGTTCTCCGACGGATGCAGGATATCAAAGATTCGGAAGCCGAGGGTGTTACGGATTTGGAGGCATTCTTGGACGTCCAATTGGACTATCACGAGAGGTGCCGAGAAGTGCTTCTCCAACTCAAGAATGAATGGCCTGGAAGGTAAGACCAACCTGTTTTCCTCCAGTCGCGTCTACACCATACTGATTTGGAAGCAGATCCCCCCAGGCTCCCACGCCGAATGGCCGTCGCATCGGACGGGCTCGTTCCAACACTGCGCACTCGTTCCAGGACCGGTACGAACCGCTCCAGGAGGAGCATACCAATGGTGCGGATCAGCGACCCATCATACGTTCGAGCCGATCCCCCTCGTCTCATTTTGTGGAGTCGAGAGAGCCATACGTGACCGAGACCCCGCCCCCGCCGCCTCAGCGGCCCGTTCTGAACCGTATCTCGACCTTTGAAGGGCCTTCGCAACTGCGGCAGGAGCCTGCATCTGGCCCGCACCAATGGCAGACGCGAACGGCCAGTGAGAATGTGATCAGTCGCCGGAACAGCATCCAGGCTCGACCTCCCAGCCGAGTGCCCACCGATCCTTATATCGACTCGTCGGGCGAGTTCCACTCCCACAGTGGCACGAGCCCCGAGAGGCCCTACTACGGACGATCCGAATCGCCGGCCTCGTCTTATGGCGGTGTGGTTTCTCGACGAGCCAGCTCGACGGCCCTGAACAGCGCTGGCGGCCCCAAGAAAGGCCCGCCGCCGCCTCCTCCTTCCCGCGCTAAGAAGCCGGCCCCTCCTCCGCCTCCCATGAAGAAACCCATGTTGAGTGCTGGCGAGATGTAGATCGGTCTGTCTGGCACAGATTTACTCGTGGGGTTGACTGTATGTAGTAGGGAGAGAGGGATGAGAACGGTGGGAGGTAGGGTAAGGGGAGAGGAGAATTGATGGGGGGGGGGATCTTGCATTGTATATAATAATCATGGATACCGACGGAGTTGGATGCAGAGTTGTTCAGGGATATCTTCCGCAGTGAAGGAGTGTACTGGGTAGTATTCGTAGGGCAGGAAGTACTGTACTGCGTACGGAGTCCGGGAGCGACTGAGTCAGCGCCAAGACGGGCTGAGTCAGCCACTCACGTGCGGCGCACTGAAATCTTCTTCCAACGTTTCGCTCTCGCCGCCTGCCTCTCCCTCCCGTCAAGTCAGTCACCGACAGGCTGAGCACAGCCAGTTTCCCCGATCGCGAAAGTCCCGTCCCCTCCATCTCCATTTCATCCATCTGGCCCTTCCACGCGCCTTTTCCAGCGCGACCCCTCCGTCTGGGGCCCTTTCCCACCCCCCTTCGCCTTCGCGTTGGCTCCCCTTCCCTTCCCTTCCACCTCCCGACTGCCCCCGTCCTTTCTGTTCGTCGCCTACCGCCCGGTGTCCTTCTCCCCCGACCCGGCCCAAAACATCACGAAACCTTTCGCCAAGGTCCAGATACAGGCCGCGATCTGTCGCATCCTTCGACCTCAGACACCCCCCGTCCCGTCACGTCGCTAATTTAGCGCGCTTTGTGCTTGACAGGCGCGACCCGTCTGTCATTGTCACCACTCTCTCCTTTCCGCGTGTTTCGCCTCGGACCAAGTCGCGGTCTCCCGTCGCATCCAGTTCCACCCCCAGCGTGTTCGAACACATTGCTTATGTTCAGAGCTACCACGCGCTAAAGCATGGCGTCTCTCCAGTCAGCACCCAACATGGCGGCTGGAAACATGAGCTTGCCGCCGAATTTGACGCAGCAGCATATTCAAGAGGTTTTTCAGGTATGACTACCGGCGCCTATCCAATGCACCCTTCCTATCATCCACGTTTCACTACTTGAAAAACTTTCCCCTTCTTGTTGATTTTGAAATGCCTGCTTGGCGCTTTTACTGTCTTTGAATTTCCCGGTGCCCTTCCCCATCCGATCTCTCTTTTCTTGTCCTCCCGAACTGTTACACGTTGGTACAAAACCGTACATTGACACTTCTATCCTATAGAAATACAAGCAGATGCAAGAACAAGGTGTTCGCCAAGATGACCCCGAGTACCTGAAGGCCCATAACCTTCTTTCCGCCGTTCAAAGACAGCAGGTCTTTCACAAGCAGAGGCAGATCGCCCAGCAGCAGCAGCTTCAGGCGCAGCAACGCCAGCAGCAATTGAATGGCGCGACTCCGGACGCCGCCGCCGCAAATGGTGTCAATGGTAAGGCCTAACCCTTCATATCGCGTACCGTTGAAACTCTTGTCTGATCTCGCTGTGTGCACTAAAAAGGTCGGAGCAACTCCATCTCTTCTGGCGCCGGTGCCGCTCAGGATGCCGCTCCCACACCGGCGAGTGGTCAGCAACAACCCCTGGGACAGGCCGTTCCACAGAAGGGCGTTCCGGTTCCGGGTGGTGGTTTCTCTGCGGAGCAACTTGCGACGCTCCGGAACCAGATTCTAGCCTTCAAGATGCTCTCCAAGAATCTCTCATTGCCACCTCGCGTTCAGCAGCAGCTGTTCGCTGCTAAGAAACAGCACACACCGGGTCCACCTGACAACATTGCAGCTGCAGAGACTGTCCTGGAGGGCGTGAGCCGGGATAAATCCGAGCAGCCTGCAAGTGCAACCGACGACGCTCCTCAAACTAAAGACTTCTACGAAAGCTTCCAGTCGCCGTTTGAATCAATCCCCAACACAATTAGCTTCACTGATCACGCGTCTCGCGTTAACCGTGCACGCGTTCCTGCTCTGATGCCGCCTGGAATCGACCTAGACCAGGTGCGTGAAGAGCGGGAGGTGATTCTGTACAATAAAATCAATGCGCGAAAAGCGGAACTGGCCGAGTTGCCCGCCAATGTTGGTGTGTGGGATTCCAGTAAAGGCGACACCGCGACTGGCGACGATTCCTTGAAGCTGAAAGCTTTGATCGAGTACAAAATGCTCAACTTGTTACCGAAGCAAAGGCTTTTTCGCAAGCAAATCCAGAACGAAATGTTCCATTTTGACAACCTCGGCATGACTGCAAACCGCTCCAACCATCGCCGAATGAAGAAACAATCTCTGCGGGAAGCTCGGATCACCGAGAAACTGGAGAAGCAGCAGCGTGATGCTCGCGAGACGCGAGAGAAGCGGAAGCAATACGATCAACTCCAGGCTATCCTTAACCATGGCATGGAACTCCAGAACGCTGCTAACCAGCAGCGTACCCGTATGCAGAAACTGGGCCGCATGATGCTCCAGCATCACCAGCACATGGAGCGTGAGGAACAGAAACGTGTCGAGCGTACTGCCAAACAGCGTCTCCAGGCTCTTAAGGCCAACGATGAAGAGACATACATGAAGCTTTTGGGGCAAGCCAAGGATTCGCGTATCTCTCATCTCTTGAAGCAGACCGACAACTTCCTTCACCAGCTTGCGGCATCGGTTAGGGAGCAGCAGCGCAGCCTTGCCGAACGTTACGGCGAGGATGACCAGTTCTACGAAGAGGAAGAAGAGCTTGCAACAGCATCTGGAAGTGACGAAGAAGGAGACGGAAGGCGTAAGATTGACTACTACGCGGTGGCTCACCGTATCAAGGAGGAGATCACTGAGCAACCGAACATCCTTGTGGGTGGCCAGCTCAAGGAGTACCAGATGAGAGGTTTGCAGTGGATGATCTCGCTGTATAACAACAACCTCAACGGTATCTTGGCCGACGAGATGGGTCTTGGTAAGACCATTCAGACCATCAGTTTGATTACATACATCATCGAGAAGAAGAAGAACAATGGCCCGTTCCTTGTGATTGTGCCTCTCAGTACCCTCACAAACTGGAACCTGGAGTTCGAGAAATGGGCCCCGGCTGTATCAAGAGTTGTCTACAAGGGCCCTCCGAATGCCCGTAAACAGCAGCAACAGGCCATTCGCTGGGGCAATTTCCAGGTTCTGCTAACAACCTACGAATACATCATCAAGGATCGACCAATCCTGAGTAAGGTCAAGTGGACTCATATGATTGTTGACGAGGGTCACCGTATGAAAAACACCCAGTCCAAGCTGAGTAGCACTCTGTCGCAGTACTACACCAGTCGCTACCGTCTTATCTTGACGGGTACCCCTCTGCAGAACAACCTTCCGGAACTGTGGGCGCTTCTGAACTTCGTCTTGCCGAACATCTTCAAATCAGTCAAGTCGTTCGATGAGTGGTTTAACACCCCCTTTGCCAACACCGGTGGCCAGGACCGCATGGAGCTGTCAGAAGAAGAACAGCTCTTGGTTATTCGCCGTCTGCACAAGGTTTTGCGTCCCTTCTTGCTCCGGCGTCTCAAGAAGGATGTCGAAAAGGACCTGCCAGACAAACAAGAACGTGTTATCAAATGTCGATTCTCTGCCTTGCAAGCTAAGCTGTACCGTCAACTTGTCACGCACAACAAGATGGCTGTCAGCGATGGCAAGGGCGGTAAGACCGGAATGCGTGGTCTCAGTAACATGTTGATGCAGCTGCGGAAACTCTGCAACCACCCTTTCGTGTTCGAACCCGTCGAGGATCAAATGAACCCAACCAGAGGGACCAACGATCTCCTCTGGCGTACTGCCGGTAAATTCGAGCTGCTTGACCGTATCCTTCCCAAATTCCGGGCCACCGGGCACCGCGTTTTGATGTTCTTCCAGATGACTCAGATCATGAACATCATGGAGGATTTCCTGCGGCTTCGCGGATTGAAATATCTTCGTCTGGACGGTTCGACCAAGTCCGATGATCGTTCAGACCTTTTGAAGCTTTTCAATGCCCCCGACTCGGAGTATTTCTGTTTCTTGCTTTCGACTCGTGCCGGTGGTCTGGGTCTCAACCTCCAGTCTGCGGACACCGTCATTATTTTTGATTCGGATTGGAACCCTCACCAGGATTTGCAGGCTCAGGACCGTGCCCATCGTATCGGTCAAAAGAATGAAGTGCGCATCCTGCGTCTGATTAGTTCCAACTCCGTTGAAGAAAAGATCCTTGAGCGCGCCCAGTTCAAGCTTGATATGGATGGCAAGGTTATTCAGGCCGGAAAGTTCGACAACAAGTCCACCAACGAGGAACGAGACGCTCTATTGCGGACACTTCTTGAGTCTGCCGAGGCGGCCGACCAGATCGGCGAACAAGAGGAGATGGATGATGACGACCTTAACGATATTATGGCTCGGTCCGACGAGGAACTGATTGTCTTCCAACGCCTAGATAAGGAACGGCCCACGAGGGATCACTATGGCCCTGGCCATCCGCTACCTCGTCTGATGGCCGAGAGCGAACTACCGGACATCTATGTCGCGGAAGACAATCCGGTTACGGAGGAAGTTGAGGTCGATATCGGTGGTCGGGGAGCTCGTGAGCGGAAGATTACGCGGTACGATGACGGTCTCACTGAAGAGCAATGGCTCATGGCTGTGGACGCCGACGATGATACCATTGAGGAGGCGATCGCCAGGAAGGAGGCGCGGGTGGAGCGCCGTCGGGTCAATAAGGAGAAGCGCACCCGGAAATCTGGGGCCGACTCCTCACCCGAGCCATCGCGTGAGAGCTCCGAGACACCCCAGCCCAAGAAACGGCGCCGCGGTCCCGCGCCCAAGCGCAAGGCGGAGGAGCTTGTGGAAGAAACGCCGCAGCCGAAGCGTAAGAGGGGCAGACAGGCCAAGCCCGTCGAGACGTTAAGCCCCGAGGACCGTGCTACTCTGAACCGGATCGTCAACCACGTTTATCAGACTTTGATGGACATGGAGCAAGAACTGCCGGCGGATTCTTCTGATAGCGAGGATGGTCCCGTTACTCGATCCATCATCGAGCCTTTCATGAAGCCGCCTCCGAAGTCGCAGTATCCCGACTACTATATGATCATCCAGAATCCCATCGCCATGGAGATGATTCGGAAGAAGATCAACCGGGACGAGTACCAGAATCTGAGGGATTTCCGCAACGATATCCACCTTCTCTGCCAGAACGCCCGGACGTACAACGAAGATGGTAGCATCCTCTTCCAGGATGCCAATGACATTGAGGTAAGTGAATCTCGCCCCGAATGATTGCTATGCATGGACCGGTGACTAATCGCGAACAGGCCAAATGTGTTGCGGAGCTGAGAAAGGAGACCGAGGGTCACCCGCAGTTTGCTAATTTCGACGACTCGAGCTCGCCGGCTGCGAATGATCCTTCTACCGCGGCCGTGTCTGGAGCCGAGACACCGAGTGCTGCGACGCCCGGACAGCCCAAGTTGAAACTGACGTTCAACAGTGGCAACCGGGACAGCGCCGGGGTTGCCAACGGGACCCCCGGGACGAACGACGACGAGTAACGCACTCCCTTATTTGTGAAACCCTGATGGCTCCTTGGTCGTGTGTGTTTATGCGGAGCCCGGCACACTTTTTCTTTACCTTTTTCTTTCTGATCCTCATGTTTTACTGTCCCGATCTTTTTCCTTTTGACGTGTACTCACCCTTTTTCCCCCAATTCTTTTTTGTGGACTGGCGTTTGTATGAATTGGTGGCTTGATGGTGGATGGTGGCTGATGGCGCATTGCTCTGTTCTAGCAGACAAGCGAATTGCCTTTTTTTTTTATCTTTATCTTTTTCTTTTTCCTGACGTTGAAACCTTTGGTGTGCTTTAAGGATCTTTCCCTGTCTTCCGGCCTCGACCTGGGGCGCACCGGGACTGTTATGATTGCGAAGATACTGCGCAGCCGGGTCTCGGGATGACGATGAGTTTGGCTGTAATTGATTGGAATTTTTTTCATTGCTCTACATCGGATGTTTGCATAATAGGTACAGGATATAGCAAGCCGGTCGACGAAATGAGACTACTCCTAGACGATAGCCTCGGACGATCGTAATTCGAGGCTGCGATGTGATGCATCTCCTGCAGCCGAGATTGGACAGGTCATTGGCCGTAGATATGCCGCTTACTCTACAGAGTAGATACCTTGAGATACCTCCAGATACCTCCAGATACCTCCAGATACCTCCAGATACCTCTAGATACATGGAGATACCGCGAGATCCACGCAGACGCCGCAAGGTTACCGCCGGATTGCGAATGCGTGACGACACCGTACCAGCACCGCATCGGCAGGTAATTTTCCGTAATACCACGATACCAAATTCCAGGATGGCCTCCGTGAAGCCAGGACCTGGAGGAGGCGAGTGTGATGGGCACCGTCAATCCACAATCCAACCCTTTTCACCAGGCCTGTCGGGGGGAGCATCCCTTCCTCCATCTCCATCTAACGGAGAGCCGCGCGACGAAGGCCAGCAGGCGCGGAATGGTCCATACGTCACCGGTCTCGCGACGTCATGACCAGGCACGTGACCGGACCTGGGTCTCGTCCGGTCGACTTTCACTTTCGCCAGCTTTGGATTTAAGTTCCCGTCCTGCCATCCCCCTTCCATCCATCTTCCTTCGTCTTCCCTCTCCCACTTGCCCCCCCAGAATCCCCGTCTTCCTCTCCATTCGCCTTCACAAGCAATTCTTCACCCCCCCCCCAAAATCAACAATGGCTTCTTTCCAGGATCGTGCTCAGCACGCCATAGCTCAGCTTGATAAGGAGGTAAGTTTGTGTGCGTGGTTTTTTTTTTTTTTTGACGAACCAGATCCGAGCCTGTCGGGGCTCTGGGAATCCCTACGTCAAGAGCCTCTAGAGGGATGATCGATTTCTGCATCCAGATTCGATGTTCCCAGGGCCTGAGGTATCGGGATTGGGAAAATTTTCGTGTGGTTCTTTGTTTTGCTGGAGAAGAGGTTCCCTTTTTCTCTCCGAGTCGGCAAAGCGCTTACACCATTTCGTGTTATCATCTAGCTGTCCAAGTACCCCGTCCTCAACAACCTGGAGCGTCAGACCTCCGTCCCCAAGGTCTACGTGATCCTTGGCTTGATCGGAATCTACTTCTTCCTCGTTTTCTTCAACATCGCCGGCGAGTTCTTGGTCAACCTGGCGGGTTTCATCATCCCTGCCTACTACTCTTTGAACGCTCTGTTCACCGCCGGAACTGCGGATGACACGCAGGTGAGTTTGCCAACATTCCCCCTGACCTCTCCGATGGCTTTGACTCTGGTTCTGGTTGCTGACTCGTCTTTTTTTCAGTGGTTGACGGTATGTTCTCGTGATCGTTCCTGCTATCTGTCCCTTGGGCGATGTCTCCGCCGGCGCTTCGGCTGGCCGCTGGCCCCGAGCACGTGATGCGTTGCCGACATGGGATGTTCCAGCCAAGAACCCCGAATTCTGACACGTGAATCTCCTATAGTACTGGGTTGTCTACGCCCTCTTCACCGTCGTTGAGAGTGCCATCAGCGCTCCTTACTGGTTCCGTAAGTGTTCTGCATGCGAGTCCTAAGCGAATAATAATCATTAGCTAATGTCCGACCTCCCAACAGCCTTCTACTACATCTTCAAGTTCGCCCTGGTCCTCTGGATGGCTCTTCCCCAGACCAAGTGAGCCGCCCTCTTCCCCCCTGTCGCCCGATCGCACGCAGGACGATCTTGCTAACCAGACGTTTTCCTTCTTGTAGCGGTGCCCAGGTTGTCTTCCACTCTTTCCTCCAGCCTGTGCTGGGCCGCTTCTTCAACGGCGCCTCCACCTCGGCCAACCTCAGGGCCCAGGCGGCTGATGCCACCAAGTCCGAGTAAAGACCTTGGCCATGGTTTAATACATGGTATCGGCGACGGACTTTTCTGCTGCCGAACCATGAACTGGGTCATTTCTGTTTTTGGTCAAAACGACTTCACGAAGCTATGGAACTTCGTTGATGCAAGCGGATGGATGTGAAGACTTTGTGGTCAAGTTGAGCGATTTTGGAACCATTTTCTCATTTGGTTTTCTCTCTCTCTATTTTTGTTTTGTCATGACTGTTCAGTAGAATTGTATGTGATGTTTGCTGATGTTTGCTGGGGGGAGGATGAAGAACACGGCCCAGCGGTCGTTGTTCTGCCGAGTTGCGGGTATATGCTGTATCTGATGCAATGATGCCTCGTTTGGTAATTGAAGCAACTTTGATAGCGTTTCCACCCGGAAATTCCATAGTCCTTTTTTTGTGCCCTCTTTCCACGAACGTGTTCTTCTTAACACAGGGGGTCGACTCAAAAGACCCTCCAGTAGGTAACCGACAAGATAATAAATAACATACGGAGGTGCAGGCCAAGGCGAGCCTCCCGAGACACAGGATGGGAAATGAACGGACGGATCAACCAGATGGCAGGACTTTGGGGACCTGGGAAAGACGGAGGCGAGGGCAGACCTGGCAGCATGATCCGGCAATGCCCCAGCCCGTCATCCAAATCGGCGTTCAGCCCGCAGCGATCAGTACAAGCCAAGGCGATTTTGCCAGCTATCCGTGCGGGGGTTCAGCACGATGCGGTAGGGGAAGGGGTTGGAATCACTGGTGGTGATGGGAGGGATGTGATCCTTGTCCCGGTTGACCACAGTGAGGATCTTCAGTGCGGCCTTCTGGAGCATATTCTCCATGGCCTTGCGTACCTTGGCGCGTTCTGCATGCGTTGGCGCGTTAGTCGGGTTTCGTGATATGCAAGCACCGTACGGGGGGACGTAGTGCACTCCAAGGGGGGGAGGAGACGGGCGGGATGACGCATTTACCTGATTCAGTCCGCGGCGTGGCAATGGTCACGTCCAGATTCCACACCTCCCAGCATACCTCTTCCTCCCCTTTGCCTGCCAGTCCGCCGAACCACATCCCAGAGCGTCGGCGCTTCTTTTCGTAGAACTCGACGGCGATGCGACCGCGCACTCCGCCGCCGCCCCCGTCAGGGGCGCTGGTGGTGGATGAGGAATGTTGGCGAACCAAGGAGCTGATCCGGGAGTCGATCAGGGTTTCGAGGTCGACATCGTTGATGGCAGGAAGAGTGAAGTCCAGAACATCGAATGTAGTCGGTCGGATCGAGGGGAAGTAGCGGTGGAAGAAGATCAGGTTCAAGACACCTGGGAGGTTCAAGGGAGTGTTAGTCGCTTATCGAGGGGTAAACCAGGGCCACTACGTCACGGGCGCAGAGGACCAAGGCTGAAAGAAAGACAGAGCAAACGCCGAAAAAAAGGGCGAGGAGAGGCAAACGGAGTATGAAGGGGATTAGTATACCTTTGAGCACGTCTCGGACAGTGGTGGTATCCGCAAAGATCTCCAGAAAGTACTCCGGAGGGGTTCTGCGGGGCTCCATCGTGACGGAAGCCGTTCGTTCTAGCAGGAGCAAATCCTAGATGTTCAATGAACCCAACTTTCGGTTGGATGATGTAGAATTGTAGACCGAGAGCGCTCGATGCCAATGAAGCGAGTCGCCTGATAAGGGAAAAAGACTCCCCTGAAGATAGGTGATCAGGGGAGGGGGGAAGGAGGCACCGGATCGGTATGAAGCGGTGGGGGTCCTTGGAATGGATGGGGATATACTCCGACGATAGGCGATATCGGCTTGCTGGCTAAGAGGGAACTAGATGGTCATCATCGGAAGAGCAGCCACGAAGTTCGTCATGGAGGAGGATGCATGATTTCTGGGGAGAAGCTGAAAGAACCGACTCTCGTAGATGATGCGATGAGGAAAAAAGAGAGGGAGAGTCAGTTGATGGCCGGATTTCCCCTTCTGACCCCCCGGAACCCCGTGACTGTCCCGTATGGTATCTGGTATCTGGTATCTGGTATTGGGTATTGGGTATCGGATACTGTATGGTGTATGGTGTATGGTAAAGTAGCCAATACGGTACCGAGATACCTTACACCGTACAAGTACAGTACCTGGGGAGTACCCCCGATGCACATGATGGAGATATAATGTAGTATGTACTCTGGAAACAACGCCCTCCTTCAATCAAAAACCGGAGGACGGAAAGACGATATGCTGCAAAACCCCGGAGCGAATCCCCCACTGCCCAGAACCCCCAAGCCATGCCTGTCGCCAGGGTCGATGACGTTCCGCATTCACGTTGGCCGCTTGTTAACTATCAAGTTTAGCCGAGGCCGCTTCAGCTCCATCGTTCCCCGACCGTCGCTCCATGACCTGTCGTTTCCCCATCTCTTCTCTTCACTTGATTTATCTCCTGGACTTCCTCCCACCAACCCCCCGGCACTGCGATAAAAATTATTCCGGACGATAACCCTATAATGATCCTCGGTTCCGCCTCGGCTTTTTGGAAGATAATCGCCTGATCCCTTCCCCTGCTCCACCATGATCGGTGCTACGAGGCGCTGGTTCCGGCGCAATCGCAAGGGCCTTGCGATCGGGGCTGGCGTGATCGGAGCGGGTTACCTAGCGGGACAATACGTGCTGAACAAGATTTCGGAAGCTCGAGAGCGTATGAGCAGTGATCGAATTGCTCGCGAGAAGTCAGTCGTCTCGTTCTTTCCCCCGTCTTGCCCGTTCGGGTGGTTGGTCGAACAAACGCTGACTTGACATCTATCCCACTCCCAGCCTACGACGGCGCTTCGAACAGAACCAGACTGATTGCACCTACACCATCCTCGCCCTCCTACCAACCGCCGCCGAGGATATCCTAGAGGCCCTCCCCGTGGAAGAATTGACCAAGGAGCTACAGAAGAAACGGGCGGAGAGGCTGGCTCGCCTCAACGGTGGCGAAGCGACCTCGTCGGATCTCAGCTCGGTGGCCCCCAGTCTCCCCGAGGAGGATGGACGCAGCCTGTCCAGTTTCCAGAGCGATGGATTCCTTCGCACTAGTCAACTGGGGGAGTCGACTCTCGAGGGGGATGGTTCGCCGCGGCCGAAGCGGAACAAGACCCAGCTTTGGAACGAGGTGAAGATCACCTGTATGTCATCCTTCCCACCCTTCATAATCATCATATTCGTGTTGCTTTCTAGGAGTGGATGCTCATGACCGTATCACAGCTATCACTAGGTCCTTCACTCTCATCTACACGCTGTCCCTCCTGACCATCTTCACCCGGATTCAACTCAACCTTCTCGGCCGCCGGAACTACCTCTCCAGCGTGATCTCCCTGGCCACACCCGCGAACACGTCGACAATCAGGCTGGAAAACCACGAGGATGACGATCTGACTCAGACCTTGGGGAATGACTTCGAAACCAACCGGAGGTATCTCGCCTTCAGTTGGTGGCTGCTGCACCGGGGTTGGAAGGATTTGATGAACGAGGTGCGAGAGGCCGTCCAGGAAGTGTTTGGCTCGCTGAATCCCCGCGAGGACATTTCGCTGGCACGACTCTCCGAATTGACTCTCCAGGTCCGGAAGAAAGTGGAAGGCCATACGGGCGCGGATCGAAAGTAGGACCCCCCGCCTTTTTGACTGATCGCTGGATCACTGACCGCCCTCTTCCAGATACCGAAAATGGCTGTCCTATTTGCTTCCTCCCTCCGAAGAAGAGGAGGGGCTGCTAGAGGAGTCCGGAGTCCTGGGGGTCGCAGAGCCGTCGACAACACAAACGGCGACGACGCTCCGGCATCTCCTGGATGAGACGGCCGATCTGATTGAATCCCCCAACTTCACCCGCGTCTTGATGCTCCTTAACAACGAGTGCTTCGAGACGCTGATGCAGCAGTGCAGGGCCGATGCATTCAAGGCATCGCCCAACGTGCCCGAAACGACACCGCAGTCGTTCACGTCCGTTGCCACGGTGGTTCCCGTGGCCGGCAGCTCGGAGCCTAAGACGAAGCTGGCCAACGTGCTGGCCGTGATGGCCCGACAGGCCCATGTGATTGGCAACGGCACCACGCCTCCGAACCTGTACCTGGCTGCTATGGAGCAGAACGTCCGCGAGCTAGAAGCGTTTGCGGCCGTGATCTACAGCTCGAACTTTGATTTCGAATTGCTTGGACCCGAGACCAAACTCGGCTCTTTGGAGAAAGAGGGCGACGGGCCGGATACGATAGCCGTGGGGAAGGACGATGAAGGGTCGATGGTCGAGGTCGAGGCCGTTGAAGACTCATCCATTGCGCCAGCCGGCGATGAGTCGGCATTCGAGACGGCGTGGGGGAAAGCGGTCGAGGAGCAGCCATCGAGTGGGCCAGCCACGGAAGCTGGTCGGTAGCCGACAGGGAAGTTTCCCACGTACAGGCGATTTTCCGGATATCTATTCCTTTTTTTTTTTTTCTCTCTTTTTCCCGTGTCATCTTCCTCTCAATTGTTTGGTTTCGAGGGTCTGCATATTGACGGTGTTCTGCCACGGACGACGAGTGTATGATAAATGCAATGCATGTCCATACGATGTAACCTCGGACCCAGGGGCGTCGGCACTAGCGATGGAGAGCCCCACCGAAGAGCCGAACTCGCTGCAGGCGGTGGGTCGGGTTGGCCCGTGTGATGGTTGATCAATCATGAATAATGCATGAGAGGAGTAGGGTAGTACTTTGTACCTGATAGTGAACCGTGATCCTCCGTCTTGTCGTGGCAGGTTCTTAATCTGTAGTCCGGAAGAGGACGGATCTCGGCGCAGGGAGAAAGACGGACGGAAGAAGGAGAAAGAAGGAAGAAGGCGGGATTCCGGTGTGTTCATGTGACCCTGCGATCTGCGGGGGCTGAGGTAAGCAGTTTGCGGGGGAAGCCGACTTTCCGCCGTTTGGCAGTTCTGCAGGTCGACACTTCGGTCGGCCATTCTCATTCTGCCGTTCTTCTGCCCGTCTGCCCGTCTGTCTGTCTGCCGGGGGGAACGGAGGGAGGGAAGACGAACAGAACCACCGGATAAACTCCCGATGCACATCTCCTCCAGACTATCGTGAACACCCACTCGGGGATCGACAAGCCCCGACCCAATCGAGGCCGAGATCGGGGCCGGCGGAAAGTTTGGGTCGCCGCGATCCGTGGATCCAACCAGCCCTCGTCTCCTATCCGTGCGAGCGAAGCTATTGGCGATCTTCGCCGTGTGGAGTCTTTTTCGTTCGTGCTGATTCTTCGGTTGTCTCGCTGACTCTTCCCCTCTCGTCGGGGCCATATATTTTGGTCCGGTGATATTTTTCTCTGCTCCCTCCTCCTGCGCCGGTGACTCTGCCTTTTCACTGCCTTCTTCGCTGCGTGGTGGTTTCGGGTCCACGACGCATCATTCATTGCGAACGACAGTTCCATTCTGACCCAGCTTCCCTTCTTTTCTCCCTCCATAGTTTCCCTAGCAATTGAATTCACCCGGAAGAGAATTTGCGCCGAAAATGGGGCTTTCAGGTTGGTCAAAGTCAAACCCCCAGCATGACGGCAGACCTGGGGCTAACCAGCGGTTTTGCGCAATGAGTAGAGAAGATGCGATTTGCCGACGACAAGGAGGGCGAGGTGCAGACGCAATCGCCGGAACTCCCGCCTCTGACCAAAACCACCGAGCGCCGACTCATGGCCAAGATCGACTGGCATATCATCCCCTGCTTGTGCGTCATGTACTTGCTGGCCTTCCTGGATCGGTACGTACCTCGGGCGCATCCTGCCAGCGCGGCGTTTTGGATCAATTGATGACCCCTGACACCGCCATCGACAGCGTGAACATCAGTAATGCCGCCGTCCTGGGGCTGCGCGAGGACCTGAACATCGTCGACGGAATGAAGTACAACACTGCGCTGACCATCTTCTTCGTCCCATACGTCATCTTTGAGATTCCGTCCAACATCCTGCTGAAGAAGTGGAAACCCCACGTGTGGTGTGCGTATATGATATCCGCGCGGCACAATCGCATGGGCTAACAGGTGGCCCCAGTATCCATGTGTATGTTCTTGTTTGGCTTGGTGATGATCTGCCAGGGCTTGGTGTCCAACTGGGGTGGTCTGATGACGACCCGCTGGTTTCTCGGTATGTGGCTGTCGTATGCTGATGCGTATCGCGATGTGTCGACTAATCAATGTCTTGTCTAGGAATGTTTGAGACGGGCATGTTCCCCGGATGTACGTGTTGATCCTATCCTCTATCCCCCCCCCCCCGCGCCTTCCAGTTCGAACCATGACCGACCATTATCTATAGGCTTCTACCTGCTGGGAATGTGGTATAAGCGCAGCGAGGCGCAAAAGAGATTCAGTTTCTTCTTCAGCTCCACGACCCTCGCCGGTGCCTTCGGTGGCTTGCTGGCCAGTGGACTTGGGAAGATGGAAGGAATCAGGGGGTACAGTGGCTGGCGATGGGTCTTCATCATCGAAGGCCTTCTCACCTGCGTCGTCTCCTTCATCTGGTTCTTCGTCATCCCCGATTTCCCCGAGGACGTCAAATGGCTTACCGAGGAGGAGAGAGAGTTCATTCGGGCGAAACTGGCGCAGGACACCGGTGGTGCTGCCCATGACGCCAAGATCGGATGGCGCGAGGTTTTGGATGTCTTCAAGGACTGTGAGTGATTCGGTCGCTATGACTGTCCCGCCACTGGCAGCCTGGGTTCTGACGGAGACATGCAGACAAGATCTTCATCGGCGGGCTTATGTACTTTGGTCAAATTGTCACGGCCTACGGTCAGTTTTCTCGCCGCTCCCGCGCAGATGGCAAGATCTCGATGCTAACGGATTCGCAGGATACGCCTATTTCGCGCCGTCCATCATCAAGACCTATGGCTACGATGGTATGTGGGTTCCTGCACCGATGGTCCTGCGCCGACTAACCGGCTCCCTTTAGCGATCATGACCCAGTTATACTCGATTCCACCGTGGGCGGCTGCATGGGGCTTTTCCATGGTGGTCGCCGTCCTCTCCGACAGAACGGGGCATCGCTTTGCGTTTACGATCGGACCCATGTTGATTGCCATGGCTGGATTTGGGATCTTATTGAATGTGCACGGAGAGGCCAATCGCAGTATCCAGTACGGCGCCCTGTTCTTGGTCACCAGCGGCTGCTACAGTGCAATGCCGGTGATTGTCTGCTGGTTCGCGATGAATCTGGGTGGCCATCGCCGACGAAGCATCGGAACTGCCTGGCAAGTGGGTTTTGGAAACAGTGAGTGACGGCCTTCTCGTGCCGGTAGACGCCGCTAACGCGAAGAACAGTCGGTGGGATCATCTCGACTTTTGCATTCTTGGAGAAGGATGCGCCAGAGTATCGACCGGGGTTTGTCATCAGTGTCTCGTTCCTCTGCTTTTCGGCGGCCTGCTGCATTGCCTACTTTGCAGCGGTCTGGTATGACAACCGCCGCCGCGACCAGGCGGCGGCCAACGGCACCGTGCCAGAGTACAGTCAGGAGGAGCGAGATCTCTTGGGGGACATGGCCCCCAGCTACCGGTATGCATACTGAGGAGGATGCCCGCAGAGAGGGCGGGATCCGTTCGAAGAGGAAAGAACGGCGTAGAAGAATTAGGGCAGATGAATGTGACGATGGATGATATATAGAACCGGTGTGGATTCCGGGCGACACACAATGAACGAAATTGAAAGCCAAAAAATTCCCCATGAAGCCGAATGTAGACCAATGATGGGAAGCCGGTCGAGTGCAGAAACCCGCGTGATGACATAATGCCCCATCGCTCGGTAAGCCCGCCCGCCGCAGCCAATCAGCGCCGCCGCTGCACTAGCGAGCCCTTAGCGGCGGCCGTGCTGAGTCAGCCGCGACGCACACAAGAAGCTCCGCCGGCGCGCTTCCTCCGTCTTTCTTTCAACCATCTCCCTCATCCTCGCAGAAGTGTGAGTGCCCCTCGCCCGCCCGCCCGCCTGCCTTTGCTTCCTCACTGACTCTTCCACAGTTTCGAACCATCTACGAAGATGAGAGCTAAGTGGAGAAAGAAGCGCGTTCGCCGCCTCAAGCGTAAGAGAAGAAAGATGAGGGCTAGATCGTGAGTCGTCCCCCGGAGTTGCTCGCTCGACACTGCCTAGACGCAATTCGCCTAACACTTGTCTCCCAGGAAATAAATGACTCGCCCCGCTTCATCTCAGCCTTCCATGCCGGAGCTTAAGTTGAACGCTGAACATGACAACTCGACGACGTCACGATGATGATTTTTCCCGTTATTGTTTCGTCCAGTCACTCCAATGAGACCTGCCTGGTCTAATTTCTCCTGTGCCCTCCGGATCGGATTCGGAGCCCGTCGTCCAACAGAAAATCCAATCCCTCGGGTTCTTTCTAACGTTTTCGATTTGATCCTCAGACCAGGCGGTGGAGATGCGCATGTCGTGTCTTGTATTCTCGGAGGGGCGAACGTGTTTGGTGGGGTTGGAGGGGTCGTGGAAAGAAAGTTTCTCAAAAAAACATCACTCCTGTACTATCTGATTGTTTATCCACCGATCCTTTGAGTTTCGCATGGGGACTGGTCAATTAGCTCTTTGCATGGGCTTGTGCGGACGGCTCCTATTGCAGGGTTGCCCGGGCAGGTCCAGAGCCATGAAGAGGTTTACGAGCATTTATCACAATATGAAAAGTTCCTAACGACTCATTTTGAGTGCGACGCAACTGTTTTTGTAGTCTGTAGCATGTATATGACAAGCTCATGGTAGGACCGAGCAACGCCGGCCGTGCTGTGCAGACTGGAGAATGCGACGATCGACCGCACTCGAATTGTCCGCTCCGCGCTTCTCCGCCTTTGAGGCGGTGAAGGAGTTCTGCCGCGCATCAATTTTTTTTGCGTCCGACTTTTCTGCTGCGCCGTCTCTTCTCCGCAACTCAATCGCTGCATTCTCCAATCGACCTTCCCTACCCACACACAATGCCCTCCGATAGAGTGGAAAAGAAGCGCAAGCGCGCCTCGGATCGTCACGAGCGACCCAGCAAGAAGCCGGCTCTCGGCCTGCATGACCTGCCTCCGCTGGCCGCCAGCGTGGTGAATGATGATAGCGAACTGGCTCCGGTCCTGAGTATGCGCCCTTCTCTCTGCCATCCCCAGCTTCGTGAGAAGTTGCCGGACAGTTTCGGCTAACGCCTTTAATAGTCACCACTCCCGGTGTCAATGCTCCTCGAAACATCCGCCTAACACCCTACCTCAAGACCCGCGCCGATGGCCCCGGCCACTCCTCGACCCGCAACAAGGGCATTACGTCGAGCGAACTGCTGCTGCAGACCTCCGAACACCCGAAAATGGACTTTGTGGGCCGCGAAGCCAACGACGATGCCGACTCGCAGGTGAAGCATTACGTGGCCGTGGTGGATCCGCAAAAGCAAACTTGGCAGTTCATCGAGGCCCGCAAGGTCACTCTGCGAGGTGCCGTGAGGTCGACGAAACATGTGGCCGAGGAAGAGGAGGAGGAGAGTGAGGATGAAGAAGCGGTTAGTTGCTCCCCATATATTCGTATATCCGGCTCCCATGCCCCCGGCAGGAGGCCCCATCCTGGCAACCGACTGTTGGCTGACTCTCATTTCGGTGACAGAAAACCATGCGTGCTCAGCGCACCGAACTCACCAATACCTTCGGTACCAAACAATCCCGCAAGGCCGCTCAGTCTATGGCCGAAAACGCCCAGCTATCCAGTGTCCCCGCCGGCGCTTCGTCCGCCGCGGAGTCCGCCATTCTCTCTGCGATGCCCGCCGACTCCGCCGCCGACCTCGCCTCCAAGTCTGCCGCCGTGCAGGCCCAGATCCAGGCCGCCAAACCGCTGCCCCAGGCCAACCTGGAGGCTTCGCACCCCTCGGACGTCTACCCTATCGAGAATCTCGTCCCCGGAGGCATGGCCACCCTGCGCCAACTGCCTGGTGTCAAGGAGTGGCAGGATACGGTGGCTGCCGGCCTCAGTGTGGTCACCACCTCTCGTTACGTGTCACGCCGACTCGATGCCGTCGTCAGCTCCGGCAACGTCGCCCAAATCCAGGTGCTGCGCTTCATCTTCTTGCTGCTGGAGTTCGCCCGCTCGCTGCGCTCCGGCCGCGACCCCAAGGCCTCCGGCCCCGGCGGCAAACGCCTGCCGTCGCGCGACGATCTCCGCCGCATTCTCTCCTCCTCCACCGGTGCCGCCGCCGCTTCCTCCAACACGTCGTCGTCGTCGTCCACCGAGGCCCTGCCGGAAACGGTCATCGACGCCGTGCGTCGCAAGTTCGCGCCCCAGGGGACCTCGCTCTCCAAGAACGACATCACCCTCCTGCACACGACCATCTGCGCGCTGTCGCTGCACATCCCGCCCCAGCCGGCCAAGGACGGCGGCTCCAGCTCGCAGGGCGGCAACTCGCCCAACGAGCTGGCCACCGACCCCTCGGATCTGCGTGACGACCTGCGTGTCGATAACCCCATCATCCAGCACTACTTCCGCGAGCTGGGCTGCCGCATCGACAAGCCGCGCGAGACCGAGTTCGCCAAATGGAACATCAAGGGCGGCAAGGCCGAGGCCGCCGCGCGTCGCGTTGCCCGTCTCAGGGTCCCCTTTGAATTCCCCAAGACGTCTCGTGGCGGTAAACGGTGATCGAACACTCTTTTTTCGGTGTTTGGAAATGAGAAGACGTAAAAATCATTGAAGGGGAGGGGTGGAAGCAGGGAAGAAAAATGTCTTGATTTGTTGCACGGCCACTTTTTTTTTGGCACCCGGGCGTTGGGAGAACCCTTTTGTTCTTAACGTATGTAACTCCATTGAATGATGTATGCGTATACATCCTGTGAATAGAATGTAGCGAGCTGAATTGCACACCCATCATTATACATCTTTTATCCATGCCATGAACAAGGGCAGCTAGATGGACAAGATCATACGACTACTGCAAAGGGAACTAATGAACTACAAGCAAATTACGCAGCGATAGAGAACAGGAGCCAGAATGTGTGTGTGTGTGTGTGTGTGTGTGACCAGACATCGTCATAATAATCGACGTCAAGGAATAAATAGCTTTGATTTGAAAATAGAACCCAAAACATGGTAAAGACAGGCCGGTTCTTTAGGGAGAAAAAGAGTCATAGAGCTAAGGTCCAAAAACAAAAATCAAACGACACTTGGGGGACCAGACAGGTGTTGGTCGTCACTTAAGCCGCGACTCCGACGGGGATCGAAGTAGAAGCCGCCAGAGGCCGGGCAGACTTGGTCGTCTGCATGTGGGGAGCCAGCAACCGCGCCGCTTCTTCGCGGAACTCACGGTTGACGGCCGCCTCGACGGTCTCGCCGGCCTTCAGTCCCAGCTGCGCGTCCTCCCAGATGGGCTGGTTGGCGGCTTCGGCGCCTTCCACGCCCACGCCGACGAATCCGCCCTGCGCTTCCCAATCGCTGGCACGCTTGATGCCCAGGTCGTTCCAGACGGCCTGGACGGCCTGCACCAGGTGGTTGCGATGCTCTTTGACGTGGCCCGGGGTGGGGGTGATGCGCAGCCGTTCCTCGCCGCGAGGCACGGTCGGGTAGTTGATGGCCTGCACGTAGATGCCGTGCTCCTCCAGCAGCTTGTCGGACGCCTGCTTGGCGACCTCGGCGTCTCCGACGAGGAGGGGCACGATGTGCGACGGGTTGGGGATCACGGGGATGTCCAGCTCCTGGAAAGCGGCCTTGACGGCGCGAGTGTGCAGTTGCTGCAGGACACGGTCCCGCTTGTGCTGGGACTGGTACTGGATGGCCGTGTCGGCGCCAGCCATGGTGGCGGGCGGCAACGACGTGGTGAAGATGAAGCCGGGGGCAAGTGAGCGGATGGTGTCGACCATGGCCGCCGAACCGGCGATGTAGCCACCGACACAGCCATACGCCTTGCCCAGCGTGCCCGTGATGATGTCAATGCGGTCCATCACGCTGCCCTTGGTGCTGCGAGGATTGGCGGTATCCTGGGAAGCGTAGACATCGTAGTCGAGGTGCTCGGCAACACCCGCGCCGTGAGGACCGTACATGCCCACGGCGTGGACCTCGTCCAGGAAGGTGATGGCACCATACTTGTCCGCCAGGTCACAGATCTGTTCGATGGGAGCGATCGATCCGCACATGCTGTAGACGGATTCGAAGGCAATGATCTTGGGAACATGCAGAGGGAGGGAGGCTAGCTTGGTTTCCAAATCGACCAGATCGTTGTGCTTGAAAACCATCTTCTTCGCGCCCGAGTGGCGGATGCCCTGAATCATGGACGCATGGTTGAGGCTGTCGGACAGAATCACGCAGTCCGGCATCTTACTGCCCAGGGTCGCCAGGGTGGCATCGTTGGCCACAAAGCAGGAGCTGAAAACCAGAGCGGATTCCTTGTCGTGCAGTTTGGCGAGCGTGCTCTCAAGGCCCACGGCGTGCTGATTATGTCCGGAAATGTTCCGAGTGCCGCCAGCTCCGGCGCCGTAGGTATCGAGAGTCCGATGCATCGAGTTCAGCACTTCACGATTGCGTCCCATGCCGAGGTAGTCATTGGAGCACCACACGGTCACGCGCTCTTCTTGCGAGGCCGTGTGGGCCCGGGGGAACTCCTGCGCCAGGCGATTGATGTTGTTGAAGTAGCGATATGATTTGTCCTTGTGTTTCTTGTCCAATTCGGTGCGGTAGAAGGCATTGTAGTCGAAAGGCGCGGTCGCCGGGGCCTCGGGGCGGGGCCCGGAAACCGCGGCGGGGGCAAAGCCGGGGCGGCGTTCAACTCGAGACAAGTTGGGATGGCCTGATAGAGCAATCCATTCCGATCAGTACATGAAATTCCCCCCCCCCCCCCCGGATATATCAAGACACCAGTCAAGTCTACTCACCTCTCTGAGAATCCTTCAAGACGTCGGGGCTCAGATTGGCGCCATTGCCGCTGGTCGAGTGCAAGTCTCGTCGGGGAGCCGTCGGGCGGAGGTACTTGCTGTTGGCCGTGACACCGGCGGCAGAGGAGGTGAATCTCTTAGTGCCGGCCATGCGGGCACTCTGAACGGCCAGGGCCTTGCTCATGACGGGGCAGCGACGAGCCAGGACCTGGAGGTTGGACATGGTCCCACCGCCGGGGCTGGTGCTGGGGCGGGTTGCGGTGGATAGAGACCGCAAAGTGGCGGCGGAAGTGCGCTTGAGAAAAGGGCACATGGCCCGGGATTGCTGGAGGAGAGACTCCATGGAGAGCGAGGGAGTGCGTGAAACCAGGAGGAGAGACGCCAGGAGAGTCGGAGAGTGACAGGCGGGAAAAGGGGGAAGGAGGAGCAGATGGGAGAAGAAGAGGAAGAGAAAAAAGTGATCCGGTGCGGCCAGGCTCGTATGGAATTAATTGATTGGGGAGGGGGGCTGAGTCAGCGGCCTCTCGGGCGAAGCCTCGTCGGCTGACGTTCGGCGCCGCTCTGATTGGCCGGTCGCGGGGGGTGGCGGTGACTCTTCCATTCCTGGAATGGAAGGTTACCTTCAGGTTACCTTCCAAGTTGTAAAGTTACCGGGCTTCCATGAGAACCGGTACGGAAGCCCGGTAAGTTACCAGAGCCCTGGCCTCAGGCTGTCAGGCTCCTGCCGCCCCCGGCAGTTCCGCGTAACTTTCGGTCTCGGCGTGACCGGCTCACTTGCCGCGGCTGCACGCTTACATCTGATGGCGGAGAACATTGCCCGATTGAGCGACTCGATGGCATGGAATTAATAATGGGGTTTGTTGATACACACGAGAACTGAGGGCAGCTCCCAGGGAGAAAGAAAGAATAAAGATGGTAGAACATCAATAACAAACATTCAAACACACAGAAGAAAAGAAAAGAAAAAAAAAAAAAAAAAAAAAGAATCAAATCACCACAGCTGCAAATAACGCCCCAACCGTCGTCTTTTTGGTACATCATCTATGCGAATGTATGTCAACTGGGTCCCAACCCGCCGTCACCATCGATCAGACGTAATCGTTCCTTCGTAGTTTTGGCTCGTTTGGACGTGCCTTTCCCCGATCCGCGTCCGCGACCACCGCGCTTGGCCACCGGCGTCGTCGACGGCGTTCCCACGTTCTCCGCCGTCGACACCGGTGTCGCCGCCCCGGACGGCTTGCCACTGGCATTCGCGCTGGCATCGTCGAAATTGCCTTCGCCTGTCGAGTTTCATGAGAGGTTAGCATCATCCGTCTAGAATTTCGGTCGGGAGTTTGGGGGGGGAGACAAGGCCACGCACCTTCATGATACATATCATCCAGCGTGATGTCGCGTTTCTTCTTCTGCGCCGCCTTCTTGCCGCCTTTACTGGACCCGAACACCTCGCCGCGGTCCGCCGCCTCCTTCTCCTTCTGCTCGATCAGCTCCGCCTGCTCGTCGTCCGCCAGCCACAAGGCAATGTCCTTGGTGCGGCTCTCCCGGTTGCGCGTGTTGAAGTCCACGCCGCCGGCGGCTCCTCCCGAGATGACCACCCGCTGGACCTCTTCCTTCTGCAGCGCACGCTTGCGGATGCGCTCTTCGATCGTCCCCCGCGTGATGAGCCGGTACACCGTCACCTGCCGCGTCTGGCCGAGACGGTGCGCTCGATCCATCGCCTGCGAGTCAATCGTGGGGTTCCAGTCCGAATCGTAGAAGATGACCGTGTCGGCGGCCGTCAGGTTGATACCCAGTCCACCCGCACGCGTGGACAGAAGAAAGACGAAGATCTCCGGTCGCTGCTGGAAATCGGCCACCGTGTCGCGACGATCCTCCAGTTTGGTGCTTCCGTCCAGCCGGCAGTACTTGTAGTTGCGGTAGGTTAGATATTCCTCCATCAGATCGATCATCCGCGTCATCTGGAAATACAGCAGCACCCGGTGCCCGCCCGCCTTCAGCTCGCGTAGCAGCTCGTCCAGCTTGGCCAGCTTGCCCGAATCGGTGACGAACCGCCGCATGGAAGGCACCTCGATGTGCGTGTACCGTCCCTTGGTCGAGATCGGGTCCGGCAGCATAGGGGCAGGGGAGTAAGGAACCGGATCGACCTTCTTCTCCAAGATCTGTAGATCCAACTGCTTCGAGGACGTCGGGAGCAGAGCATGGCGCACGGGCACGTTGAACAGACTGTCCCTCATCTCGACCAGAGAGCCTCGGCTGGAGGCCGCAAGAGTGACGGGGGGCGCCGAAGCCGCCGGACTCACGCAGGGTTCGATGACGTTCAGCCCCTCCCGCTCGAACGTCGACTGCGAAACGGTCATGAGGTCCCGCATGTAGCCCTCCGTAGTGATGTCGTGCACGGCACGGCGGTCATTGCGCTGAACAATGTTGAACATGGTATGGGGCAGCGCCGACGCCGCCGTTTCGTCGCGATCTTCGTCGTAGATCACGTTCAGGCGGGACAACCGGTTCGTCAGGCCACGGCGCCGGGTTGCACGCTCGAAGACCCCGAGATGTGACTGCTCGTAAGCTTCCCCGATCGACGTGTCCACAAAGCGCAAGAAGGAAAAGGCACCGTCGCCATTGGCGCTTTGCTTGATATTATCGGGCGCAAATATATTCATCAAGTGATCCAGATACTTGCCGCGGAAGCCTGCCTGCGTGTTGTCCGGCCCGGCCACGTCGACCCGGCCACTCGAACCGCACAGAAGGCGCGGAAGAGGGTATTCAATCAGGTTGCGGGTTGAGTAGGCGACGTCGACATTTTGCCCTTCCCGCACAAACGAGGCGGTTTCCGCAAAATGCGCCAGAGAGAAGGGCGACTTCGTCTCGGCTCGTTCGAAGAGGTCGGGGTGATTGCAGACTTTCCGGAACTGCATGACGAGGTTCATCAAGGTCGTGCTGTCGGCCTCGTCGCCAATGGCCGCCTTCTCGATTAGATCCATGATACTCACGCGGTTGCGCAGGTTGGTATAGTAGGCCCGCTGGCGGTAGGTAAGGTCGCAGAAGATATCCTTCTCCACCTTGTCTCCGAGCTCCTGCTGAACATGCTTCTTGACACGACGAAGCATGAAGGGCTTCAGAATCATATGCAGACGCTTGAGTTGGTCCTCGTTGAGCTTCGTGTTACTTTGCGCATGAGACTCGATATCCTTCGAGAACCATTCGCTGAATTCGTCATGTGAATCAAAGAGGGTCGGCATGATAAAATGGAGAAGAGCCCACAGCTCCTGCATGTTATTTTGAATGGGTGTACCCGTGAGCAGAAGACGATTCCGACAGTGGAAACCCAAGAGGTTCTTCCACCGTGAGCTTTGCGACGATTTGATGGCCTGGGCTTCGTCGAGAATCATGTACTGCCACTTGACCTTCTGGAAATACTGGGCATCGAGAACCACCAGCTGGTACGAGGTCACCAGAACATGGAATTCCGATTCCTTGGTGTAGGTGATGTGCTTCCGGTCCCAGAACTTGCGGAGAATCTTGCGGTCCTTGGCCGAACCCCAGTAAGGCAGGACCTTAATGTCGGGGACGAATTTAGTGATCTCCTGCTGCCAGTTGTGCAGAGTAGATGCGGGCGCAATGACCAAAAACGGGCCCCAGATGTTGTGGACCTCGGCCAGGTAGGCCATGACAGAAATCGACTGGATAGTTTTACCAAGACCCATCTCATCTGCCAGAATGCCGTTGATACCCTGTTCGTAGAGGTTGACCAGCCAGTTCAGGCCCTTCAGCTGATACTCTTTGAGTTTCGCGGTCAACATCGACGGCTGAGAGATCTCGATATCGCCCAAGCTGGTTGGGTTCTGGAAGTTCAGTTCACCCTCGTCCATGGCCGCCATCGGGTCGTCCTGGTTCGCATTGTTGAAAGCGCGCGCTCGGTCTTGGGCCTGCTGGACCGCATTCTGCGCGTTGGCCATGGCAGCCTGCTGCAGCGCCGTTTCATCTTCGGCGTCAAAGTCCAGGTCTTCGAAATTGGTGACTTTGGCGCCCACGTCGTCGATGCCTTTGTCGGGCTGGGCAGTCTCGTCCCCGCCCTCCATAGCCGTGTCCCCGGCTTCATCGCCCTCGGCGCCCTTGATCTTTCGACCGATAAAGTGGGAGTAGAGTTCGGTTTGGGAGATCAGGAAGTTGAGCTTACGCCTCTGGCGGTTGGCTTCGCGCTCGGCTTCTGCCTTCTTGGCCGATTCGATTTCTTGTTTCTCGGCCAAGCGACGCATGTCCCGCTCCTCACGTTCGTTCCGCTTCCAGAACGACATCATCTCACGCATCGTGCGTTTGGCGCGAGCTTGTGTATCCTTCATGCTCTTATTGGTCCGTTCTTGCCACTTGCGAGATTGCTTGCTGGCCAGCTGAGCCGTTTTGCGTAGGTTCTCCTGGCGCGTGCTGAGCGAGAGTGCCTTGATGCGGTAGACCTTAGGAATATCTTTGCGGGCGATGTCTCGCCAGATCTGCTCGTAGATCTGATTGTAACCCTTGGTCTCGAAGGCGGACAGAGGAGTGGGCGTGGCCTCCTTGGAACGACTGCCCTTAGTTTCCTTCTTGAGGGATTCTTTCCGGGGATCATCCTTAGGGGCGATTGGCAGAAGCTCTTCGTTCTCCATGGCGGCATAGGCGGCTTCCGCGGCATCTTTCTCGGCCTGTTTTTGTTCCTTGGACTTTTTGGGACGCGTAACGGGGCCACCACGTCCAGACTTGCGTCGAGACGGGGAGCGGCCGATGTGAAAGGAGCTGGTCGTGCCGCCTTCCAGGTTTGGAGCCAACGGCGTGACTTCGCCGATCTCTTCGGGCGCCGTGACGCCGTCCAGGGCTCGTTTGGTGATCTTGATCTTGCGCTGAGCCCGTTCGGCCTCGCGGAGAAACTTCGCTTTTTCGGCAGAGTCTTGGGCCTTGTTTGCCTTGCGCTCCGCCTCGATCTTCTTCTGCATCTCCAGGCGCACCGTGTTCTCTCGGCGTCGCTTCCGTTGCATGTCCTTTTTGCGCTCCTTTTCGTCCTGAATTTCTTTCGCCTGCACCTCAGCGATGACGGAGGATTCATTCGCCACCCTGAAGCGATCCATACCAGCGGAGGCTTGCTTTTCAAATGTTTTCCCGAGTTTTATCAAGAAGTCATTTCGGCGGCGCTGGAATTGGTGTCAGAAATAAATCCCTTATAGATCAGGACGATAATTACCTTGCGCCTGACACTCTCGGCCTTCTCTGCGTTGATGGCTCTTTTCTTGCCCCGAGCTTCGTAACGTTCCAGCTCCCCCTCAAAGCCTGGTCCTTCGACGTCACTTTTGTCGGCATTGTCAATCTCAGCCATCAGCTTATTGACAGCCTCGTTATCACGTTCGGAAAGCATTTTTCGCGTCGGGGCGGCACGGGTTGGGAGGCCGTTGGCGTTAGTTGGAGTCGAGTCCGTCGGCTCTAATTCTCCCGTCCGAAGACGCCTCTCAGTGCTGCTAAGTCCTTTGTCTGCTTTGATTGAAGAAAAGCTGGGCGCGAAATCCGGCTCCTGTTCCTTGACCCTTGGATGGGATATTGCGGCCGTAATGGGCACAGGTGAGCGGGCTTTGAGAACTGGCTCAGACGTCATCGGTACAGGGGCAGTTGTTTCAAGGGGAGGAGATGGTCTCTTCGGAGGCGCTTCCTCGGCCGGTCCAGAAAGAATGCTTGCGAAAGACATGGGATCTGCCGCTCGAGTCGGTTTCTGATGGGAAGAAAGGGGTGTTCAATTAGCTCGGTCAGGGCAAGGGGGAGATCAATTCGGATCACATGACGAAAGAGATCCAGAGACCAAAAAGAAAAAGAAGGAAGGAAAGAAAGAAGACATACAGCTTCCTTAAGGGGCGAGGATGGTCTCGGCTCCCGCGGCATTGACGAATAGCTGTGGTTCCCCATGGCGTAAGGTGAGGAGGCCGCCTCCTTCTTGGGGGATAAATGTGGATGACTCTCCGGGCGACCCGAAGGGTGGGGGTGAGATGGACTCGACTGGTTGTAAGGCGAAGCCCCGTTTCCCGATAGAACAGATCCTGAGTACGGTCGGGGCAGAAATTGGGGTGGTGCGCCGGCCGATGAATGTGGTTGATACTGTGAAGAAGGGTCGGAGGGATGGGGCGCAGGCGCGTTACCCTTCAAAGGCGGGAGTGCGGCGGGTAGCGGAGACGAGGCATGGGAGTAGTGAGGGCTCCTCGATAGGGAAGATTGAGGCGGAAAGGCGGGAGGTGTCTGGGGAGGGTGTTGCTGGTATTGGTCATTGTTGGGGTAGAAAGGGCGGTTCTTGCTGGGAGGCGAATAGGCGGGATAACGAGATTGCTGGGAAGGGGACTGGGGATTGTACGGCGGAGCCCCCGTCATGATGGCCGTGGAGCGCGACGGCGATGATTGAATCGATGGCCAACGTCGAGAAGGGGCGAACGGACGGGGGTCAGGTGAATCTGAACCGGCACGATAGGCGACCGCTCTCCATGCGCCCAAGCGACCTTAACGAGTCGGCGATACCGCGTTGGTCCACCCGAGATGCTCCCTAAGAGACCAACGTATTAATTCGGGGAACCCTATTCCGAGGTGGTCGAGACAGAGGACGAAGAAACAGGAGACAGGACGACAGGGAACCGTCGTCTCGGATGGGGGAGGGTGGATTCTCCGGCCGATCTGCAAGGCCAGCTGATTTTGAGGACGTCGGTACGTACTTTGTATCGATTGCCCTGATCTCGCACGTTGTGTTTGGACGACGAACCGAACAACCGGTTGGCGGGCCAGCTATTGCGGCACGGCGAAGAAAGGATGCGCCGGGCAGGTCGCGTGAAGGAGGCCCACGAAGCGGTCGGGTTTGGTTCGGACGGATTGGACAAGGCAAGGACAGGACAAACGAGACGGTTGGGAGAGGAATCAGGAGCTAAAACGGTGTGGTTCGGATGAAGCAGATGAGAGGATGATGGGAGTAGAGATGCCAGGAGGGGGGAGGGAGAAGGAAGGAAAGAGGAGGGGAGAGAACGGGCGGATGGTCCAGCAAGACAGGGAAAAGGAAAGGAAGGAAAAGGGACGAGCCGGACGGAGAGAGGAGAAGACCAGAACGAGGAAGAAAGAGAGAGCGAAAGACTGCGGATGGCGATGGCGATGGCGGAGTGGCCCGTTTCCGTCTCGTCTCGTACGCCGCGCCGCCCCCGCGCTGAGCCCGGCGGCAGACGCCCGTATCCTACCGTATCCTACCGTATCTGTGCTGTATTCTGCTGCGTGCCGGCGGGCAGGTGGTCATCCATGGACCGTTCAAGCTGTGTATACTCTGTAAATTAGATTTAGGTATGTGGTTACGGGCTTAAACACTGAACGGTCGTCCATGACGGGCGCAAAGGACCCCGACACCTCAGGCACCGCCGTCGCGGCCCCAACGGGACTAGTGTGGATGCCTGACTCCGCGGGCTCCCAGGCGGCGATTCCCCCAAGGTGGAAGGAGCGACGCATGTCCATCTACGGAAGGCTCGTTCTCCCTGTTCTTCTTCTGTCTTCTCTCTTCTCTCTCTGTCCTCCATCAACCCTCCTCCCCAGTCAATCATCATCCCCCTCTTCCCGTGGTGGCGCCCGCAGACGTGGCCCGGCTTCCACCTGCCCGCCGAATCATTCGACAATGTGCTTCGCATCCCGGGAAATCATCGCTTCTAGACTTCCCCGGCGATCAGCCTTCGTCCCCCCATACTCGGTGAATGTCCGTATCCACGTTGGTCCAGCTTCTCCTCCCCGGGGCTGGCTCAATTATGGGTCTGAGTGACTTTGCCCGTCAAAAGGATCCGGAGAATGCGGAGTGCGAAACGAAGAGATGGGTCTGTCTGTCTCCCCCCCCCCCCCCCCCCGCTTCAATGACGTCTGCTACTCGCCGCGGCGGTCATGGATTCCTTCCCGCCAGACCAGGGAAACACTGGAAACGCCGAAAGCAAACGGGATGATGGGATCTCCAATCTTTCCAGCTTTATCTCCGTTTCATGGCCTGACATGGCCGCCGTTAGACTTTCGAGGGATTCAGCTAGTTACGGCCGCAATGCCATCCGGAGCCGAAGATTGGAAGCGCGTGGTGTCCCCTGCAGCTTACTCTTCCGTACGACCGACTGATCATTCCCTATCATCTTCGTCGTACTTTTCATAAAATCAGTGAATGTGAATGGTGAATGACACAACGTCATCCTGACCTGGCTCATTGTACTCACATCACCCCACCGTCGGATCGGTCTTCCCACCTCCCCTCTCTGGCTGGATGGCTGGATGAGAGAACTATAAAAGCCCGTCAAGTTTCTCCCCCCTTGCTCTACCGTGCAATCCGTCCTATCAGTCTTTTCGAGTCTCTTTCTATCACCGAGTGCCTGTCCTCTTTTTCCCTTGCCGCTCCAATCTAGCTCCTACACCACTTTCACGCTTCTACCCAACCACCATCGGTCACCATGTCTCTTCCGGAGAAGCAGTGGGCGCAGGTCGCCGAGCAGAAAGGCGGCCCGCTCATCTACAAGGAGATCCCCGTCCCTCATCCCGGACCGGATGAGATCCTGGTCAAGATTCGATACTCGGGTGTTTGCCACACCGACCTCCATGCTTTGAAAGGTGATTGGCCTTTGCCCGTGAAGCTACCTCTGGTTGGCGGCCATGAAGGCGCGGGAGTTGTCGTCGCCAAAGGCGAGCTGGTCAAGGACTTCCAGATCGGCGACCATGCCGGCATCAAATGGCTGAATGGATCTTGCATGACCTGCGAGTTCTGCAGACAGGCCGAGCAGCCCCTCTGCCCCAACGCCTCTCTGTCTGGCTACACCGTCGACGGAACCTTCCAGCAGTACGCCGTGGCCAAAGCTGCCCTTGCCTCCAATTTGCCCAAGAACGTCCCTCTCGACGCCATCGCTCCTATCTTGTGTGCGGGTCTCACCGTCTACAAGGGATTGAAGGAATCGGGAGCACGCCCCGGTCAGACGGTGGCCATCGTCGGTGCGGGTGGTGGGTTGGGTTCGCTGGCGCAGCAGTACGCAAAGGCCATGGGACTCCGCATAATCGCCATTGACTCCGGTGACGAAAAGAAAGTTATGTGCGAGGAGTTGGGTTCCGAAGTACGTGCTTTGGGTCTTCTCTTTTCTTCTTTTCTTGGCCATTGCCGCGCGCTATGGTCCCTGTGCTAACTCTAGCCCTTCACAAAGGCGTATGTCGATTTCTCCAAATCCAAGGATCTCGTCGCCGACGTCAAAGCTGCCACCCCCGACGGTCTCGGTGCTCACGCCGTACTCCTGCTTGCCGTCGCCGAAAAGCCCTTCCAGCAGGCGACTGAATACGTTCGCTCGCGTGGCTCCGTGGTCGCCATCGGTCTCCCAGCCGGTGCGTCCCTGCGAGCTCCCGTGTTCAACACGGTGGTGCGCATGATCAACATCAAAGGAAGCTACGTCGGTAATCGCCAGGATGGTGTGGAAGCGGTGGACTTCTTCGCTCGTGGGTTGATCAAGGCGCCATTCAAGACGGCCCCCTTGAGCGACCTTCCCAAGATCTTTGAATTGATGGGTAGGCTGCTACCCTCCTCCCTCTCTTTTGCTCTCTCTTTCTTCCCCTGTCATTTGAACATTGAGCTGACGAGAGTTCGCAACCAGAACAAGGCAAGATTGCCGGCCGCTACGTCCTCGACGTGCCACAGTAAGAGACGGGAGCGTATGGAGTTTCGTGAAATATGGCGTTGGGTTCGCATATGGCATTTTTTTTTTCTTCCTTTTGCTCTTTGATCTGGCCATTTTACAATAACTTGTAGCCGCGCACAAGATAACGAAAGCCTAGCCGTTCTTATACTGTGCATGCAGCGGTCTCAAATCAAGGCATCTACTTCTACTGATCTAATCTCGCGCCCGTCCATTTGCCGTCTGTTCCTGTTCTCTCTGGCCTCCTCTACCCCCAACCGGCGTCTTGAGATCCTATGTAGGTGAAAGTTGAATCGGGTTACATTGTAAAAATCATCATAGGATGGCATCTATTGTGACTATCCGAAATCCAGAAGTCTTTATCTCGCTAAACAGATTACGGTCGATTCCTTGGGGTTCCAGACCCAGTGGCGTCTCATCAACGGGCCAAGAAAGAAGAAAGAAAAAATGGAAAAGAAAACAGAAACCAGGGCATGTCAACAAGCAAGGCAAACAGGGTTCAAGAGCTCCGCCCCCAGCCCCTATCGTCGATCGGTCGTGTGAGGCGAGAGAAGCATAAAGCAAAGCGTTAAGTATACAAAACAAAAAACATCATCTAAACGGCACCGGGCCCCTTATGATTTGACTGGTCTAGCAGAAGTCGGGGCTTGATATAATCTTCATCCAGCTGCCGAAACCAGGCGGCATGGTCTCCGGACGCTCCGCCGGAGAAAAGATCGCGAATGGCATCTCTGGCGCTCATTCCCGACGCTTCTCGTCTCGAGGGAGACGCGCTGGCCGAAGGGGGTGCTTGGGAGCCTCCCAGATGGGAGGGAGATCGACGTAGCCGAGATGCTGCGTGTGCAGATGGAGGGAGGTCGTCATCCGAGGGGGCATCATCCACGTCCAGGTCAAAGGCGTCGACCTGGTCGGCGTCCGGCACGCGACTTTTGCCAGTGGTTCTCAGACCAAATTCATCCTCGCTGGCCGCGCTGCTGCCGCTGTGGCTTGGGGCGCCGCCGTTATTAAGGAGCGTGGCTGTTGAGGATCGGTCCCGACTCGTCTGCGTGTCCTTGGGACTGTACGCGTTCGAGTAGAGTCGCGAATGACCGCGACTCCGGCCGGAAGAGGACGGCGCCGGAGGGCTTGGGCGGCGATTGTTACCACTCGAGTAGCTGTCGTTCCGGTCTATGGTTCCTCGCTGCATCCCGTCTAGGGGAATTGTGGAATCCATCCGACGAGGCGTGTATCCGAGAGCGGTGTCGGAGCGCTTATAATACGTGCCTCCGTTTGTCACCTCGATGTCGAATTCATCGTCCGATTCCAACTCTTCGACCACACCCGTGCGGATCCCGAGAATCTCCAGCATTCGAGCGGTCGTGCCGCCAAAGATGATGACGGTCAGCACGACAACGACGAGGACGGTCGCGCGCAGGGCCGGCGCATTGACACCCTTGAGGCCCGCAGCAAGCGCGACGCCGACAGCTCCCCGCAACCCGGCCCAGAAGAGCATGGCCTGATAGGCGAAGGGCAGCTCATCCGCGACATCCATCCCACGGCGCCGAGCCCGGTATCGGATGAACCAGTTAATGGCTTTGGACAGCGGGAAAACGGCCAGGTAGCGGGCGATGCAGATTCCAAAAACGGTGACCATGATGAACAGGGGTTTGAACTGCAGGTTTCGTTGGACCAGCAAGTCCAGGCCAAGATAGATGAAGATGAAGTTCTCAGACAACTGTGCCATCACCTGGAAAAGATACTTTGTTGTCAACTGCGTTCGGCGAGACATGTTGTAGTAGGCATAATGCTTCAGCGTAATGCCGCAGAACAGGAGAGACACGATTCCTACCACGGTGAGTTTCTGGGACATGGTTCAAATGAGTCGGGCCACCACTTACCGGAAAGATAAACGCCATTGGAGAAGAAGTAACTGGCGTATGCAATGAGGACAATCAAACAACTCTCGATCTTAGGCTGCCGACGGACGTGCGTATACTTCAGGCCCAGCGCAGTCATGATCCCTACGATCATGCCTACCAGCATACTGCCGAAGAACACCAACAAGAACAGGCCGATGGCCTCAAAAAGGTTGAGGAAGGACAACGACCCAGCTTCGCTATCCGCGTATTTCTGCGCCGTCTCGAACAGAACAATCGCGATGGCATCGTTCAGAATCGACTCGCCAAAAATCACCGTGTAGAGTTTCGGCTCGACTTTGTAGAGGTTGAAGATGGCGAGGATGGTGACAGGGTCGGTAGCGGACAGCGTTGCGCCCACAGAGATCGCCTCGACAAAGGTAATGTTCAGCCCATCTAGCGGAATCCTCGTCCAGATAAACAAAACCAGTCCTAGCACGATCGCGGAAATGAAGGTGCCCGCGAATGCGAAAGTCAAGATGGTGCCGATGTTCCGGAAGAAATTCGCCTGGTGTAATTCGTATCCCGAAGCCAAGATAATCGGCGGAAGAAGGAGGTTGAAGAAAAACTGGTAGTCAAAGGTGACACTGTCTTGGATAGGCGATTCGGGGCTCAGCCGGATAATCAACCCGACGAACATACCTAAAGCGCTGGGTATGAGAGAGAGGCCGCTAACGCTGTCGCAGTCATTTCAGGAAAAGACATACCCGCAAAAATGGACAGGACGGTTTCGTGGACTGCCTGGATCTTCTTCTGTTGGAGAATGTAACTCGTGAAGAGCGCAAACATCAGGAGCATAATCAGGATGAAAAGCGCCCAGGAGCTAAAGAACTCCTTGGTACCAGCTTCCGGAGCATCTGCCATCCCCCATCGCCGTCAGCACCGATGCTGCCGACCCAAGTTCAAGCCTCGTAGGGTGGATTAAGGGCGCGTACCTTCGTCGGGGTCTGTCTCCGATTCCGCCGCTCTCCCTAGATAAAGCCATTCGTCGGTCAGCAGGTCGTCAAGCCCGCGCGCACGAACAGACAAAGAGATCGGCGAGGCGCCTTCGAGAGGGACAGGAGAACATACGCAGCAGCTGGTGGAGGGTGTCGCTCATGAGTTGGTTGGCCATTGTTATGAAGTCCGGGCCGCCCCAACGGCGGATAACACCAAACGGTTAACTCCAGCTATGAGTTCGTGACGCCAGACCACGGCGCACATAATCCACGGCGAGAGAGTGGACAGGGAAAGAAAGGGTCGCGTCGGGGGGGAGTTGGAGGTGAGGTCGAGGGGGAAGGTAAAGGGAAGAGGAGGAGAGATAACGGACGGTCGGGAACTTTTGGTTTGGGGCCAAGTAATCGTTGCGGGCCAAGACTCGAAGCTCCGGGCCGATGAGCCGTTCGTTCTTCCTCTCGACAACCTACAAGGGAACCACCACGGCAACGGGGTTTTACTGGGAAACTCGCTTTACATTGCATTGCATTGCATCGCATCTCATCTCATCTACTGTCGACCTTTGTCGGTAAGCCGACTGGTTAACCAGGCCGCAAGCACTGTGGCACATCCACCAAACCTCAAGACCCATCCAACGCTGTCATCCCACGGCTCGCCTCTGGGCTTCTGCGCCATCTTGAAGATCACACTGCAGACCAGACTCGACAGGATCTGAGGCGCAGAAACCGCCACGTTATGCAGCCCCAGGATGATCCCCGCCTGCGCCAGATTCTCGTCCTCCGCTTCTGCTTTCAGAGGAGTTGACGTCGAGCCCGTTTCCAAATCATCATCATCATCACCACCAGGGCCCTCTCGATCGAATGGGGTATGAGTGCCGTTCGCAAACTGCCGCTCGCCGCCGTCAGCTATCGCCAGCCGTTGACGCTTGATCCGGCGTTCCGCATCGATGCGTGCCACCTCCGCAGAGATTAGGGCAAAGGGTGCCCAAAGCGTCACGGCCCAGCAGATTCCGACCAACCCAATGACCACCGTGGCGGCTTGGTAGCTATACACGAAGAATGTACTGAGCATGCATAGTGCGAACAGTACATGCGACAGGAGCCACGCTCGGCGGAGAGTGAACCCGGGGATCTGCAATTTGGACAACCATTTCGGTCCTTCGGCAGCATCGAATCGCTTGCCATGCGCTCTATCGACCGGTGGCTCTCCACTTGGGAGGCTAGAAAATGACCTTCTTCTGTCATTCAGGACGGGTTCCTCGTCCAACCTGCCATCTGCAGGGCGATCTTTGGCTGGGACAACGGGATCGTAGGTGGGAACAACGAAAAGAGGGAGCGCTATGTTAGTAACAAATGAAATGATCGCGTAAACCAGGAGAGCAAAGGTTCCGATCCGGGTGGCTGTCTCCCATGCATCATTGATTTCCCGATCAGATAGATCCGGGTGCTCGTCGAAAATGGGGTTCACGTAAAGCTGGCCAATGTATGTCGTGGCATAGAAGAGGAAGGGGAACCAGCCAACCCATGCAGCCAGTTGGACTTCGCAGACTTTGGCAATCTGCGGCGGCAGATGCTTGATCGACTTGAAAACCTGTCTGAAAAAAGTGACTATCCCGGGGTTTCCTGACGACGCCGGCGAGTCTAGTCGTGGGTCGCGCTCCTTGATGTATGAACAGCTGATTAACAGCGTGACGGTAAGTGATATCGATGCCAGTGCACACAGGACTTTGAACTGGGTGTCTCCGAAGAAGGGGAAATATTTCGGTAGCTCAATATATCCAAATATGTATCCGAAAATATTCCCCACGCCAGTGACTCGCGAAGCCCAGGCATTTGCCGATTCCTGCTGATGGGCGGGCGCATTATCAACTATGAAACATCGAATGCCTGCTTGGACTGAGACAGAACCGTCAACTTCGAGTTCTAGAGCCATGCCCGGCATGTCCGACCTACCTGTGTTGATTGCAAAATCCAGACAATACATCAAGATAGTCGCCAGGATAATGACTACCGTCCGGGTGCCCGAAGAGGCCGGGTCAACGCCAAAGATTCCGAGAAAGCCGCCCACAATCTCTTGCACCCAAGCGAGAGCCAGCAGAGCCACAACCGTGGCCATTCCGCCGAAGATCATGAATGGTTTTCGTTTCCCCCATGATACCCGGCAATTGTCACTGCAGATACCGATATATGGCTGCACGAGCGTACCGGTAAGAGGACCTGCAATCCATACGAACGCAAGCAAAGCTTTACTCATTCCCAATGATAGGAGATAGGGCTGTAATTAATCCCAATCAGTAGGTGCCCGAACGGAGACAAAGGAGGCATGCACACATACCGAACCGTTCGAGAGCTCAACAGCCCATACTATCTGTAAACTAAATATGTCTGGTCAGATATGCGATCTGTAGAGAATATATTCTTAGACGGACCGGTAGAGCAGACAACTTACCCACCAATGCTTAATGTCAACAAGAACAGATACCAGCTGCTTTTTGTTTTCGAGATATCATGTGTATCCTCGGCACCAGAAGTACAGTGTCCCCCAAGACCTGGTATCGGGTGCACTTGATCATCGTTAGGCCCACGTCCCGGTCCCACAAGTGGGGACGTCTCATTTGCAGAGCGATCATGCGTGTCCGCCATCAGTGTGATGCTGATGGACTAATCACAACGTGTATAGAGTACCTCCAATAGAGGTGTGGGTGGACAGCTGCTTGCAACGAATCGACCCTCGAAGCGCTAAGATATTCGGACGAGGATGGCCTAGGCAAAGAGAGACCAGCTATATGAACAGTAAATCCCGACTTGAGAAACCCAAGGGGGCTGATGAGTTGGACTATCTGTAAATGCTGTCGCAACACACCGATATTTCGAGTCCTCAGTTAGGCCAGGAAGACGGACCACCAGGTGGGAAGTAAAACCAACAAATCAATAGCTAGCTGTGCGATAAGATACAGTGGATTTATAGAGACGCCATCACGTTGGAATAAACAAGGTCGAGAGAGGACGACATGAGCCGACGACTTGTAGCTTGTTTGCTCTACGCCGAGAACATTGCAGCTGCGCAGGGATCGAGCCATGTCATCAGGCTCCGGCACGTGACACATCCGGGCGCATGACGTGACGTCGATCGCTGATCAGGTGTTCTGGTGGGTAATTCTCTGCTGCAACCATGGATAACGGAGGGAGATCAGAGAGGGAGCAGAAAGGAGTGGAAAAAAAAAAAAAAAAAAAAAAGTCTATAACTGGTCAAAAGTAAATATGTAGCTGCTTACAGCCCTCATGCTTTCCACATGTCGGAAAGCACGACTAAAATCCAATCTTCAATCATATCCCACGATATATCCGTGCCTCGAAAGATACTCTCCACCGTGGTTCCAAATTGCATTGCACTTCCTATGATGCCTGCAACATTCCGGCCATCTCCTAAACAGATCGACAGAAAGAGAGAGAAATGACAAAAAAAATAAAACAAAAGAACCCCATTATCAACATAGCACATAAAGACAAAGGAAAGCCTGCGCAGAATAAACACAATGACAAGAGCAATGCGGGCAAAGCTCACCGCTCCGGCCACACCCATTAAAAAATCATGCTGGAAAGGAAAAAGCCCTTCAACAGGGACCCAAAAAAAGACATTTGGAGCAATCCCGTGCTAAATATCATCTTCGGTCCCATTGAAAGCCGAGTGGCAAAGGAGCACCAGCAGCCCTTCCTGTGAAATTCGATAAGAACGTCCAAGAAGCCCAACACCCCAGTGATATAGCGCACGCAGTCAAAGAAATTTGGGGCCCACTGGCCTACCAGTGAGTCAAATGGTATCCACAAACAATCAACGCATCAAAAAAGGAAAATGGTATCCTATAAGTCTATGAAATCGGAAAGGTTGGCGGAAACTTGATGCCGCTATTGCCCTCAAGCCTGTAACAGGGCCAATGAGGTACGGAAGATCTCCCTTTGATTTTTTTTTCTTTATTTTTTCTTTTTTCCTTGTCAGGTGGTCAACAAGAGCCCAACTGGTCATCGTAGACTGGTCTTAAATCTGCTGCTGCAAGAGTTGGGGAGCAATCATATGAGGTGCCACCATTGGATGCATAGTAGGAGGCATGGTCATGGCAGGAGGCATCGAGACCATGTTGGGAGCATTGATCATAGTGCTCGGCACGGACTCGGAAGGCGAAGAGCCTTCATCGTGGGAGTTGAACTCGTTCTCCTCGTTCTCCAGGTCATCTTCCGGGACAGGGAGTGGGGGCTGACCATCCTGTTGGGCCTCGTGAATTCGACGATGTCTGTTACATTGAATAAGCCTGAGCTGCCGGCATAGGGTACACAGGGAACTTACTGCGCGAGATTGTCCGATCGTGAAAAGGCTTTGTTGCAGTATGGACAAGGATAGGGCCGTTCCTGAGTGTGGGTTCTCACGTGTCTGCACGCTAAATGTTAGTGGGCGGCTACAGAAATCGTCACACGGGAACCCCCTGCATATCTTGCAGAAGAGGCGGCCCGATGATAAAACGGTTAAAAATAGGTTTCTGCGACTTACCGCTTCAAATGCTCTAATCTCTTGAAGAGCCGCCCGCACGACGGGATTGGACAAGAGTGAGACTTTTGGGGGTATGGCCCAAGTTCCATCATGGTGGCACTTCGGGCACGACGAACGGGTCCAGGCGCGTAACGCTCCGCCTTGTTCGTGGCACTGTGCTGAACAGCGGTCTCCAAAGCGTCGCCATTGGGCAGAGCAGTAAGCTCGTCGGCAGGGGTTGCAAGGGATAGATTATGTTGCTCGGCATTCTCGTCAAGGCTAGATAGCGGGGCACCATTACGCGATATCTCATGCAGCAAGTTTTTCTGCGGGAGAGTAGTGGTCGGGTAACCATTCATGACGCGGCGGGTGGTGTGCTGCGATTCATCGGCCTCGATGACCGGCGCCACAGAGCTAGAGACAGATCGTCGAAGATCGCTTGGCCTATGGGCGGCATAGGAGATAGGCTGGGCGGGTGGTCCAGTCACCTGGGAGGGTGTCGACGTAGGGATTGCGCTGGGGGCCCCTGGGGGGATGGAAGAACGGCGTCGCCGCTGCTTGTATGTCGGCGAACCCTCAAGGACCGAGTAAACGTTGGAGTGAAATGTTCTCGCAGGGGTCGGGAAATGCGCGCTTGCAAGGTTGGAGGTGGGCATATGCATCATTGGGTTGAAGGCACCCGAGGAAGACACCTCGGGGATGGCAGTGTAGAGGCCGGTATCCTCGTTGGCAATATAAGCTGGTTCGGCCCCAAGTTGTGCACTGTGCTGTGGAGGCGTGACGGGCTCGAAGGATAAACCCCGGTTGCTGTAGTCTTCATACTGCGACGAAACAAACGACGGAGCCGGCGAATATTCGACGAAGGTGGGCATGGAAGCGTGACGTTGGTGTATGCGAGCAATCGGCATTCCGTTGCGATCATAGTGAATCTGCCCATAATCCGGCTCGCGCTTAACAACGTTCTGAGCTAGAGGATTCGGCATTGGGATCTGGCTGTACATGGCGGGGTTGCCAGACTCGTCCGGGAGAAGGGCTAACGCTGGGGGAGCCATCTGAGGAGCCATCTGGGGAGGAGGCATAGCGTCAACGGTCCGAACCACTGGGGATGCGGGTTGGCCATATGTCGTACTTGCGTGTGCAGCAAACGAAGATGAATTTGCTTGTTGCGCCTTTGTGAGCTGTTCATACAGTGACTGGGATGAATCAAACTCGAAAGACAGAGCGGGCTCGCTGACCGCAACGGTGGTCGCCTCCTGTCCCATCTTCTCCCGCTTCAGGTCACGTTCCAGCGCGTCGAGAAACAGCCGATCATGCGGGACGCTGTACCAATAAAAGACTTTCTGTTTCTTCTGCGTACGGATGCAGTTGTTCTTGTAAAGGAAGTCTAGGAACGGGCTCTTCGGCTCCTCAAGGGTCGCATCGGTGCCGGCCTTGAGATTACGGAGATCTGAGAAGATTCCCTCCTCAAATTTCTTGGAATTCTTGACAGGGCGGCCAAAGGCTTGGAATCGGAATGCAAGGCATCTGACGATATCGGTACCCGAGATATGGAAGAGGTTGCTCCTGTCACAAATCAGCTTCAAGGCTCTTCCCTTAAGAGCGAGCTAATCAATCCCGACTGAACGAACCAGAGAACGCATGAGATGTAGTCGCCAGTTGGTAGCAGGAACCGTCTGATAAGCTGATCCGGTTGCCAGTCCACCGGGGCCGAGAGGAGGAAGTATTTCACTAGAAGATTATCCGTTCTTAGTCACGATGACCCCTATACCTCGGGCGATAACAAAGTCGCGTTGGAACCCAGGGGCGGAATAGAAGACGATGGAAGCGGAGGGTGTAAGGGAAGTTTCGACTGCACTCACGGTTGTCAACTTGCTGCAGTGCGACTTGCGCATCATGAGGGAGGCTCTGTTGGGCTTCGCTCGAAAGCATAAACGTCTCAGGCTTCTGAGGCGGTGCCATGGGAGCACCATGTTGGGGATACATTTTTGCTCCAGCGAACAGATACCTAGTAGACGCATTAGTTTGAGACTGCCGACCTTTGATGGATAAAGCGCGAATGGGGGGCCATCGGGGATGGATAAAGAGCGAGCGAGATCAACGGTCGCGCCCGGATTACTGTCGAGACAGGTATACGCACAGTCAAAAACACCCCCGTTTCGGGAAATAAGAAAGCCACAAACTTTTGGAAGAGAAGGTGTTGCAAAACCAGAGTAGGAGGACGATAAAGAAAGTGATGGATAGGCAATCCAAACACAAGAGGAACCAGCCTCTTGAAAATGCAGTCAGGCGCTGATGCTGCGAAGCTCGTCAACAACAAAGAGAATGGAAGGTTGGCGGAAAAGAAGGCAACAGAGAGATGAAGAGGGCCAGCCTGATTCCAAGTCTCTTTGAAGAACTCGCGCGGCGAAAAGATAGAAAAAGAAAAAGAAATAAGAAAAGTAATAAAATAAAATAAAATGGGAAAACGAAGGGAGGTAAACACGAAAGGGAACCAGTGACGATGAGGAGAGGGGGAGAAAGAGGATGGGAGAAGGCGGAGGATGAGGTAGGTATGTAAAGTCGCTAGGTCTTCCCTTACAGCGGTAAATGGTGCAGCCAGCAAGCAACGCGGTAAACGACTAATAACCCAAGAATAATAAAATATATCAAGTAATAAAGAAGCGCTAGAAAAAAATAAAATAAAAAAGACAAATAATAGTGTGATGGCACTAAGTGAAATAAATAAAAAAAAATGATGATAAAATCAAAAAATGAAAGGCAAAAAAAATAAAAATAAAAAAATATAATGAATCCAATGGCAATCGACGACAATAATCACCAGTATTCCCAGTCCACAGGGGGGGCAGCTGTTCACTTACGGAGTAGGCTGGGAAACGAAATTCAGGGAGAGTCGACCGAGACCATGGATCGAGTCGCCCAGTTGGAGCCCTTTTTCGGCTTCTCCTCTTAATTAAATCGGACTAACAAGTCTAGCGCGGAATACTTGGATGACCTGTTTCCTGACTCTTGTCTTCGCTCATAATTATTATTACGATTTTTTTTTTCCGGGAATGAAATAATAATCCAATATTATTATTATTAGGTTGGTTGGGCTCCGGGAGGCGACGAAAAAGTAGGGCTTTCATAGGGTAAAGCGGGGGCAAGCGCCAGGGACCGTAAGAAGGGAAGGGACGGTGATGGGACGGACGAGTGGACACGGTACCGATACATCCGGATTACCGTACTTCACCTCGATGGGCCAGTCCGAATGGCTGCCAGCACGGCAGGTGGTAAGATACTGCGGTATCGATACGGTCACGTATCCGGGCAGGTAGGTGTACCGCCCATCCGTCCTCCGTACATCATCATCCAATCCAAGGTTGGAAGAGTGGGGCTCCCGTCCAGTTCCAAAGATTCCATTCCGTTTTCCTCCCTCCATGATCTCTTCTGGCTCGTCGCTGTAGATAGACTCTGGGGCCACGCTGGATCATACCTAGGTCACTCCGTTCTGCTGCCGGATCTGCCTCTCGGTCGGGTTAGACTCTCCCCCCTTAGTCAGTGAAAAACCGACGGCTTCAACCATACTACTCCGGCACGTACGGAGTAGAAACTTGCGCGCTTCCTACCTAGGTTACCTAGGTAGGTACCTAGTGTGTATTATTACCAGTCGGGACCTGCATTTCGTAGTACGTACTGCGCAGACATCCATCGACTAGAGACGACCGGGAGGAGAGAATGGGGGCCAAAGAAGATTTCCTCGTTGAGTTATACTCCGCATGTGGCCACCACGATAACATCGCTCGCTTCTCAAAAATATTTCAGGTGTATTCCTACCTTGTAGGTATGTGGCTACAGCCACTGCCTACAGACACATGTCAAGTGGCGGCAACATTTCACAGACCAGCCATGGTGACTAGGTACCTAGGTACTGACTACAGAGTACGGAGTGCAGAGAGGGATATCTAACGTGCTTTTTTTCTTTTTTTTCGTCTCTTGCATCCAACTGCCCTCCATACACAGTACTCCTCCGTATGATCTCATGCGCGGATAGCATAGTAGGTATGTTTTTTGTGCTCCATAGAGTTTAACCTAATTTTTGGATGGCGGAAAAGGGCAGCCCCTACCCTCCCTCTCTCGTTTTTTATTTGATTTTTTGGGTCCCTTCTACTCTGCCCTTTTTTTGAAGGTGAATTATTTTTATCTCTTCCCAAGTACGAGTGTAACCTAAATCTGCATCTACTGTCCTCCATAGATTACCTACCCGTATGGCCCGAAAAGCGAGGTTTTATTGGGTCAGCTTACTATGGCACGCTGACCTCAACCTTTCTTGAGTTTCTGCAGTCGAAGCGATCAACACGGCGGTTAATAAATTAAAAACTACGCCGGAGCATGCACAGAGGATACCCATAATCCACGGAGAACCTTCCCACTTCCCAGTCCCAGCCTTCCGAATTTCCCTAGTGCTGCCGGTCAATAATGTATCTTGGAGAGCGTAGCATCCATGGATGCCGCTCCGGGTGGAGCCAAACAATGCCAAGCCTGCACAAACAGATGAAACGGGCACAGGAAACAGCAGTGAAGCATTCGCCCCCTTGTTTCAGCGGCCAGGTGAGCGCTAACGATGCGCCAATGGGAGGTAGCCTGATCGAGCCCCACCGCCCCTAGGGCTCCTATTGAACGATATCGTAAACCCACACCCCCCTCTCCAAGCGGTGGTGAGGAGGGGCCACCACCACTACGGAGCAGGTGTTGGATGCATAGGGGATCCTGCCCGGTTTTGATATCATTTTTTTTGCCCTTCGACGTAGTTGTATGGAATGATGGATGGTCAGAGCTACTCCCGCGGCAAGGCAGGTATGACCTTCCTTTTTTTTTTAGCGCCCCTTTGAGAACTTTGATGGGTCTCGGACTCGCAGGTCGCAGTCTGACAGGTCAATCCCAGAGTCACTGGGCTCCTACAACGGCGGTACGATGGCAGAGGTCCCCTGCGAGTCTTACTCAATGCAAGTCAGCAGTGGGGTCCTTCACTGGCAAATTCAACGGACGGTGCATTGACGCCAAAAATAGATGACCTACATGCCCCGTACTACGCAGTACAGCGTATGTACTTATCTTACATGATTGCTTTTGTCAATAATAATGCTACTCCATACGAAGAGAAGACTCGGGGATGGCATCAGGCCAACCACTAAACTACATCGGCGTTCTTAACGTCGCGCCAGACCGGTGAGGTAACGCCACTTCGTGGCTTCGTGGGCCATCATGCATTATTGCAGAGGGCAGACCTGCCCCGGAACAGCCATGTATGGTCTATCATCTGGATTTATCACTCACATAACTATTCCGTGCTCCGTTTTCATCGTTGAAGGTTGACCCGGCACCCCTCTGGCCAAGAGTCTAAACGCAGCCTCGCAAGCTAGCTCAGGATGCCGGAACATTCGACCATATATGATAAATCAACGTGACTGGTCTCTTCGCACCGGAACATAATGTGAACAACAGGGTGGTACGAGGCTTTAGGATACCGCCACACGCAGTCTGGCTATAGAATATCGATTTCTTTGCGGCCATGTGAGGACGACAAACGCAGAGGCCATCTGGGCTCGGGTCTGACGCCAAATCCAGAGCATTTACTCCGTACTATGTGCTTGTCTACGGAATTCGAAGTGGAAAAGAAAGCCCAGCCCGAGCACGGTGCGTTCGACCGAACTACTCCGTGCCCATCGAATCGCGACAGGGGAGAAGAAGTGCTGTTTGGCTGCTTACTCGGGAGTACTACGTAGCATATTCAGGAATGATGATCGGCAATGACCCCAATCTATGGCCGAGGTCTAAGAACCAGTCGGGGTTTGATTTTGCCATCGGCGCGTAAACATCCCAACTCTAGGTAGATTCACGTTTTGGGGAGAACGCGATGCAGCATGAAGCGGGTTTGGGACATGCGCGACCATGATACTCCTGGCTTAGACCACATGGTGATTGTCATCACAACGGTTCCAGAGCAAAAAACGGCGGGCATCAGGGGTGATCTGCAAAGCCCAATTGATCAGAGGGAAACGGCAAAGCTTAGCCGCAAGTTGAACCTCGGACGAGTGGTAACTGGTAGAGAACACGCGCGAGTCAAAGTACAATTGTCTTTTCCATGGCACCACCAACGTTCATCCGACAGGAACGTACTCCTATGCAGCTCGGTGCTCCTCCGTCGGCTGTTGGCTGTTGGCCGGGATACTTACGGAGAGGATCTACAGGAAAAGACTGCGGGCTTCTGACAGGTACGATATGTTGCTAATTGGTCGGATCGACCAAGTTTTCCAACGACGTCCCTACGTACTCCACAGTTTCGGCCGAACTCGGTCATGGACCAATCCAGGCGATCGCAAGGTTGAAGATAGGTCAATTGGTTTGCGTGGTGGGATTCCATAGTTCATAGCGATGGTGGTATAGTCTACGGAGTATGAAGTTCTTGGGCGAGTTTATGGGGGAAAGGAAGGAAGGGCACCAAAAACAAAAAAAAATTAAAAATTAAAAATTAAAAAATTAAAAAAAGGGGGAACGAAGGATGACAAGAGTCTTATTTTTAGCACGACGTTCTCATTGAACCAGGAGAATGGAAATTAATCAAAGACTCCACGAAATGGCAGCAACTCCGTAGTACTCTAATTTCCAAGTGCCGGGCGCTGGTTGCTGGGTTAAGAACCAAGTCCGAGCCTCGAGAGAGCAACTCTCCCATCGACGTCAGCAGGTCTGGCGGGCAGGACGTTCAGATCCAGAATCGGAACGCAGTTGGAGCGAGGACTCCACCGGAGATGGATTCCCATCGTCGAACCCTAAGCCGGCCCATTTGCAGCCGAATCGCGACGGATTCCATGAGGTTCTCGACGGCGGCAAGACGGTGGGCCGTAAATTACCCGTACCGTCACCGTAACGGTCGCCTTGGCGCCTGGCGGCTTGCAAGTTGCAACGCGTTTGATCGTCGCCACTGAAACCCTCCAGAAGACTGCAATCAGCATCCCGGCTTCGTTCGATCCCGGAGCATCCACGCCGGAGCCATGGAGTTCCTACCGGAGTATGGCTCCCGTGCGTTCTCGAGAATATGACGATGGATGACAGGCCCCGGTCACATCCTCAGACCTCACGCGGATCAGAGGGTGCGGGATATTGGCTCCAGACTGAATAATGGGTACATCCATTCCGGTTGGGACTACGGTACGTGCTTGAGAGAACGTGCGGGGAATAATCAATCCTGACAAGCTAAACCTGCAGCCTGCATATGGGTTATGGATTCTGGTGACAGTACGGAGTACGATCTATCAGGCTATCATTGACCTTACTGCTCCCTGGGTGAGCTATCCGGTATGTGCTCCGTCAATAGAACAATCCGACTCCATAGTTCCATGCCACGGGTTGGTTGCTATCCCGAAATCTGATAAACATCCGTCCACTCCATCCCCCTTTCCAGAGGCACAGTCGAAAGGCTGGAAGCTTCTCCGTCCGGTTAGCCCACGATTGCCCGAGCGGCCCCTGATAGGGTTGATCGGGTTTGGACTCCGTCCTTTTCCTCTTCTTCCCCCCACTTTTCCTTCCCTCTCGGACTCGAATACGGATGAACGAAGTTCGAATTTTCTGAAACTCCCAGGCCTCGGTGGGACTCGTGATCATCACAACGTCTAGGCCACATCCGCAAAGGGCTTCGAGGAGGTCTTAATCCAGCACTAACTGGGCACATACTGCTTCGGGACACCCTTCCTGCTCCCATCCTCGGCATCCGAATAGACTTGCGAATCTGGAAAAGACCGGAGCCCCCTATGACTCCACCTTCTCTTGACTACATCGAATGCCAAGGACTGGATTGAGCACTAAAGCATACTGATTACGCATTCCCTTTTGACCATACCACCTTGCAATCGTCCAAATCAGGCGAAAGAGAGGTGTTATGCGGTTTATCGACCCTTAGCATGGTCATTTTGGTTAGGGTTTCGTGTCTACTGGAATTCTCCGGAGTTCTCCCGTTGAACAACGGGGCTGGGAAACCTGGGATACGAGAAAAGAGGGGGAAGGGGGGGGGGGAGGGGAGGAAGAAGATGACGACGAAAAGACCAGGGTCGCCAGCGGAATGGTGTCGAGACAATTCCGTGCGGTATCTGTGGTCCCCTCTGCCTCCCGGACTTTTCTCTTTTCTTCACTTCCCTCTGTTGCCGCAACCGAGCTGACACTGACTCGCAATAAGTGGCCTCTCGCTGACCTTTGTGATGAGATGTTGCTTGGAATGGCTACGTGCAGAATCTGAAACGCCTAATGTGTCCCTGATGGTTTGCAGCACATGGCCAGAGCGCCTGAGGTCGACGTCTGTTTTGTATCCCTGACTAATGCAGTACTTCTTCACATTGTCTTTTTAGATTCCAACTAACATTTAGACCAGGAACGAGTTGAGCTATCCATGCAGGTACCCCGGTAGCACGGGATTTCTACGGCAAAAGGGACAGGGCGAGCCACAAAAAAAAAAACCAAAAACAGAAAACCAAAAACAAAAACACACTTCGTTTTTCTCTGTGGAGGGTACGAGTGGGACGCTCCAGAATTTATCCACTAGGCCAACAGACTAAAGTAGCCGCAGAACCAGTAACTCAAAAAAAAACATAATGGATATATTGGATTGAGGGACTAACGAAGGATTTACATGGTCGGGGTGAAGAGGGCAAGCTCAAAAAAAAAATTAGCAAAAAAAAACCCCGAATTCAAAAGAAACAGAGGGATGGAGAAACAAGATAGGAAGAAAAAAAAAAAAAAAAAAAAAAAAGGAGCCTCCTGGCGATCATAGAATTCTCCGACTGTCTTCCGGATACATCTGAGGCGACAAGAAAAGGATTTGTTTATTCAAGTTTCAGATCCAGCATTTGTTCTATACATAGACGGGCTTCCATCTCGATTACATGTATATAGTACATATCTAACTATAGATAGCAAAAGTCTAGGGAGTTCGAGATTCCTATGAGATCTGAGACGACACCACTTCCGCGTCGATGTATCAAGATTGAAAATCCAGAGGGACAAACTCCTCTTGAGCTTGACAATGAAGGAATGTCTCGGATTTAGCGCGTCGTCGTCGAATCTTAGCCTTAACCGGAGATTTCGCCATATCTGGAACGACGGCGCAGAACTTGGCCCTCGTGCACTGGGAACAACTTGGTGCGTGCTTTGAGAATCATTGCCCCGTGGATTTGGAGAATAGAGTTCCTAGGTCCAGACTAGAAGTCTCAGAGTGAACCCGTCCTTGTTGATGGGTTTGTCGATTACAGCCAGAGCCGTCTCATGACGGATGCAACCCAAGGTAACGAACTGCGGCCTCGAACAGGCCCTAACTTTGCCGACAAGAGTTAGAAAAATGCAGGATACACGAGGGCGGGGAAGGGGGAGGAAGTGGAGGGATTGGCCGTCGACGCTCCTACCATCCTCGCGCATGCAGCAGGTCGTATTCCCAAACAAGAGATCCTGAAACAAGAATGCTCTGTCATCAGTGGAAGGGTGGGCTCGAGTATTCTGGTCTGACATGGCTGGAAGACTGATCGTCCTGCGCTGTAGCAACCGACATCGGAAACTGCCATCTCAACGACGGCCTCTCCCCCTCCCTCTGGACGACCGGCTGGACGACCGGCTGGGCCCCTGGATGGCCGATATGTCCCGTTTGCTCAGATTCAGGGTGCCGCCGGCGAACTTCCCAACGGAAGGTCCTCCAACTCCTCGTTCCCGTCGCCCTGCGCCCGCTTTCTTGGGTGCCGGCTTTTCTAGGATGATTCCGTTTTCCTTTGCTTCTCTCCGTCGCTTGTCTTCTCGCTGTTCAGCCTTGGCTTTGATGCCTTTCCGGTGAGAGGAAGGCATGTTCTGCTTGTAAAGTGACGTCTTGGCCCCCAGTGTTTGCATTCTCAGGTCCAGAGCCTTGAGTCGGTTTTTGCCCGTGGGTGCGAGTTCCGATGCGGACTCCAGAAGGTGGGACTCCTTAAGAAGACGTTGCAACGCAAGGTCGTTCTTCAGGTCATCGGCATCGCCTGCCTTGTCTTCCTCACTCTTCTCGACTTTGTTCGGTGTGCGCTTGTCCGTTGTCGATTTCGAAGACAGAGACGGGGGTTTGGCGGTCTGGAATTCTCTCACATTAGAAAGTCGGGACCCCCAAATCCAACCATCCACGTATACTGTAGACGTACCATAAAAGCCTTGCGAGCCTTCTTGTCAAGCTCGTCGCCCTTTCTGGTGGACAGCTCCCGATGTTCGACTACCTCGACTTTGTTGTCACCTTCATCCTCGCCGGAGAGACCCCCCCATTCCGATCCACCTTCAGACCCCTCCGAGACTTCTTCGTCGGTTTCCTCTGCGTTTTCTTTTCCGTCGCGCTTGAACTGATCCCCAGGTAACTCTATGGGCTGGAATTGGGCTTCGAAAAATTTGCGGAACACATCATGAGAATGGGTATCGATAGGAGCCGTAGGGACTGTTTCTTGGTCCTCTGCAGTTGTGGATCTCGACACAACTGACGAGTCCCTCTTCCGTTTTCCAACCATGTTCAAATGGTAAACCGTGTGTCGGTAGTCAGGCTGGCGGGGAGTTTTCAATGCAGGCGATCGAATCGCAAACAGACTCGACAGGTAATTTTTTTTTCCCGGCGGCTTTACCTCGAAGGCACGTTTGGTCACGTGCGATAAGATACCAAACCAGCCCCTCGTCGGATTTCCACAATGGAAATGTTCGATCACCGTCAGTCAGAAAGCAAGAACGAATTGAATTGAACAGAATGACTAAATTCCGGCCTTGTATTGACCTTCACTCGGGTCAGGTTAAACAGATCGTCGGAGGCACCTTAAGCAACGTATCCGCGGACCTGAAGACAAACTACGTATCGAAGCTCCCCGCCAGCCACTACGCAGAATTGTATCATAAGCATGGTTTACGCGGTGGTCATGCCGTGATGCTTGGGCCTGGGAACGACGATGCTGCAAAGGAGGCACTCAGGGCATGGCCTGGGGGGCTCCAGGTTGCAGGGGGCATCACCGACAAGAATGCCCAGTATTGGATTGACCAGGGTGCCGAGAAGGTAGGCCAGCACTTCTGGGTATTCCCTTTGTTATCAGCCGACTCCTCTTTTTTGGATGCTGTCAACTGCTTTGGTCTACTATCGTCATTATTCAGGTAGCGGGCTAACCATGGTCTTTCAGGTTATCATCACATCATTCCTCTTTCCAGAAGGGAAGTTCTCTCTCGAGCGACTAGAGTCGGTTGTATCAGCTCTGGGTGGCGATAGATCAAAGCTGGTCTTGGATCTAAGCTGCCGAAGAAAGGATAATACCTGGTTTGTGGCCATGAACCGCTGGCAAACCATTACGGAGATGGAGATCACCCCGGGTCAGTGTTTTCTTGCTTCTTGCCTCTTGCGTCTTTCCTCTTGCTTTCCCATGGCTTCCTTCTCTTGGTCTGCACTTTCATCCGTGCTTTCCTGCAGTGCTAACCTTAAGATAGAGTCGATCTCGTTACTGGAGCCGTATTGTTCCGAATTTCTTATCCATGCGGCCGATGTCGAGGGACTACAACAAGGTATCGACGAGGAACTAGTATCCAAGCTAGCTCAATGGTGTACCATCCCGATTACATATGCTGGAGGTGCCCGTAGTTTGCAGGATCTAGAAAAGGTTCATTCGAGCAGTCAGGGAAAGGTTGATTTGACCATTGGAAGCGCATTAGACATTTTTGGCGGATCCGGCATTACATTTGAAGAGTGTATTGCGTGGAATCAATCTCACTAGATAGCCGAATATAGTCAGGTCCTTGATGGGCAATTTCAATCTGGTGCATCAGTACGAAGTAATACTTATAGACTATAGACTAGTGGGTGGTACTATATATAACTAGCAGACACCCTCCCACCCAATCCCGACTTGAACATAATTGTAACACAGTACTGTACTAATTTGAAATTGAACAATAGAATAAAAATTAAGGATTATAAATCTCTGATAATTTGTTTTTTCTTTTTTCCTCTGGTGCGACTCAAGTCGGCCTGCGAACTGTTGGTGACGCGGACAAGCGCCAAAAGGGTCGACGTCGCCGCCGAATGCGGCTAAAGCGTCTGTGTCCGGAGCTCCTCTCCCGCCCTCGCCGACACCAGCATCATCATCCATTCATCAATTCAGCCTCTGGACAGGATCCAAGCTTCATCCTTCATTAAGCGCCGCTGTCTTACACCATCGTTCTTCCTTCTGATCGGATATTGCGGTATCATTCAGTACCCGCCCGAACCTGCTCAGCGACATCACATCAATCAGTGCAGTTGTCGATCGCATCATCACTTCGCCAACGTCAAGATGAAGCCTGTCGTGTCGGTATTAAATGCGTGGTCCTGGTAAGCCCTATGATACTCCTCATTCCTCCCACGGCCCATTCACTGGCATAGCACTGACGATATTTGTTGATACAGCGTGGTCATCTCTCTTTTCGCCATTGTCATCCTTTCAGTCCTCGGGTCATTATACAAGGTTCGTTGCCGCCGTATTCACTGGCTGCGTCCCAGTCATCTTTACATCGGCAATCGCGCCGTTTACAAGAAGAAGGGCTGATAAGGATTTTGAAAACAGAGGGAACACCATGGATTTACCGGCTCTGAAGGTGAACCGGAGGATGGCTCTGCAGTTGCAGCCTCGCTTTTCACGGCCGTCGTGGTCTACGTTGTACGTTTGATCCACCCTCGATCCTGCTCAAATAACGGACATTGGGTTGCTGACTCTACATGTTCTCGTTCCAACAGGCTTTCTTCGTGTTCTGCGCCTTCCAAGCCTACCTCCACATGCGGAGTAACAGGGGAGGGGCCATATCCCTGAACTAGATGACCTCTCTCTCTCCAATCATTCCTACCGACGGCGAGATCCATCGCTTGCCTTGAACCACCCTGTAAAATCCGCCGGAAATGTGGATGGGTGTGAACCTGCTCCAAGGCCCTGCGGCCTCGGCAATATTGTCGGGCCGTCTGATAGAGCCCTTACACCGTTTTTGATACCTATGCCATGATCGAGACCGTTTCACGATCTTGTTGTTTTTCCCCCTATTGCTATTTGTTGTCGAGGTTGGACGTCCTCAAGCCGCCTCTTTCAGGTATTCTGTCAGTTCCGGAGTCCATTGCGGTCTGTATATAGTGTGTTGGGTTCAATAGATATATTCTTCTGCCACTCTACCATTTCGGCATGCCGTAGAAACTGGAGAGATTCCAAATTGACATTGATTCATTGCATCGCAAAGCATATGTATTGAAGTTCTTTTCATATACTATGTCCGGGATTATCTTGACTAGGAAACGCCCCCGAATAATGTTTGGAGAGAGAAAAAAAAAAGCCACCGAATAAGGAAGCCCTGGAACGCCGCATACCACATGAATTAAAGTCAAAACTTTTTTTGCCAGATAACCTGTTATATTCTCTTCCTCAACCAGGAAAGAAATCCGTAATCATGATCATATCGGGGGCTGCAATGCCATGGAGGCCGTCGTGCCCTCACAAATCGTCATATTCAAAGGGCTCTAGCATTTTGGACATGTAAGGACCATCCAAGCTGTAACCGAGCCGCGCGTAGTAGCTGCGCACACCGACGCCCGAGATGACGCTGATCTTCAGGCTGCCGTGTTCCTCGCGTGCAATGCGTTCCGCCTCTTCCATCAGCAGAGTTCCGAACCCACGATGCTGGAATTTGCGCGGATCCCGTCCGTGAACCGGCACGGCGGAACCGTATACGTGCAGCTCTCGCACGATACTGGTTTGTTGCCCGGTGAACTCGGGGCGGAAAGTGTGCGTGGCACTGCACTTTCGCAGTCGCAGCAAGCCGATGAGGATGTCCTGCTTGGGGTCTTCATATGCCAGGAAGGTCTCCCATCCACCGTTGGCGTAGTAGTCACGGCGGACGAGCTCGACTTGCGAGGGACGAATCTTGTTCTTGACTTCGTTGATGCCGACTTCGCGGGTGCGAACATCCCGGCAGGTCGTGCCAAAGTCTTTCATTCGAGCCAGGGCCAGCTCGCGCAGGTTACCGTTCTCAACACCCGAGGTCACCAGTGGCATGGGGATATCTCGCTGCACACGGTAGATGCGGGTCCACGGGGGCACCAGAGCGAGAATCCGGGCCACAATATCAACCAGCGCATTGGGGGTGTAATTCTTGTAGCGACCCGTCCGCCAGAGTTCGTAGAGACCGGTGCCACGAATGACCAGCGTGGGGTAAATCTTCAGCCCATCCGTTCGAAAAGCCGGATTCTCAAAATACTCCTGGAACTGGAACAGGTCGCGTTCCATGCCGACGTTAGGTAAATCCGGCATCATGTGGCTGACTACCTTGAACCCAGCGTCCTTGGAGAGCTTGAAGGTTTCCGCAACGGCGGCAACGGTGTGGCCTCGATTCGTGTCCCTGGCCACATCCTCGTACAAACTTTGCACACCCACCTCCAGTCGCGTACATCCATAGCGCAGCATACTGCTCAAATGGGTGTCCAAACAGTAGTCGGGTCGAGTCTCGATGGTGATCCCGACGCATTTCACGTTACTCATTTCGCCCGCTTGCACTGCTTCGTCGACGTTGTCCGTCTGGTACCCGCTCAGCGCATTGTGAAGCTGGGCAATGAAACTCTCCCGGTAATCCTCAGGCAGCGACATGAACGTTCCACCCATGATGATATATTCGACCTTGTCCACACTGTGACCGAGAGATTTGATCTGATCCACCCGCCCTCGCGCCTGTTCGAACGGGTCGTAGCGAGCTCGGATCGCACGCATGGACGTGGGCTCGTAGCCAGTGTAGGATTGCGTCGAGTATTCGAAGTCGGAATCGGGACCACCGGGACAATACACACAGATGTTACCGGTATACGCGATGTGAGGGCAACGATGAGGTTTGCTCATCACCGCGACAACGGCGATTCCCGACGAGGTTCCTGAGACGACTGGTTAGCGAGACCCGGCGGAGGGGGTCGGCGTCAAGGGCACCATACTGATCGGTTTCGCAACTAGCTTCGGAAGAATATACTTCTTATAGTGTTCGGGGACGGCCGCGATGATGGCCGTCAACGGAGGCAAATTGCCCAAGGCATGCTTTTTCGCGACCTGACTGCGCAGCCGGTTGAGGTTGAGGTCTTTCTTGGGTTTGGTATAATCGACCTGCGACTCGTAATCCTGAATCAAAGCGTTGGCGATGTCCGAACAGGCCCTCATGTAGCGTTCATTCTCCGGGGCGAGCTTTGCATTCGGCTTGGGCTTGGACGGGGGCGGCATCGTCATGGTGGCGGTCGCCATGTTGAAGAGAGGGAGGGGGCTTGCAGGTCGCAAGCGCACAGGCAGGCTCAAAGATAGACGAGCAGCAGGAGACGGCGAAAGAAGCCGATAAAGAGGAGGAGGAGGGGCCGTGGGAGGGAAAAAAAGCGGGCGAAGCACAACCGACCGCCCGCGACAATTCGGATCCGCTTAAAGCTTTGTCCCGAAAAGTCTCCCTCCCGACGACATCCTTTTCCTACATTCCCGTCACTCATTCATTCGCCTCTCCGCTCTTCCCTCTTCTCCCCCCCGTCTCGTCTCGACTCTTCTGCTCGTCATCATGCAGGCCTTCCGCCGTAACACCCTCTCTGCCATTCGGAACGCTGCTCCCGTGCAGCGACGCGGCTACGCCCAGGGTGCCACGCCTTACGCCGACACCGTCCAGAACCTTCGCATCAATGCCGACACCAAGGTTCTCTTCCAGGGCTTCACCGGAAAGCAGGGAACGTACGTGTTCTGCTCCTCGCGCCCGATCGCTTCGTGCCAAACGCTGACGTTGTATCTCTACTTTTCTCCAGTTTCCACGCCGAGCAAGCTATCGCCTACGGTATATCCCCGTTCCATGCGCACCGCAATATAGCTGGCAGCAGATCCTGCTGCCGTAGGTAGTTGGAATGTCACGCTGACGAGCTCCCAGGTACCAAGGTCGTCGGTGGTACCAACCCCAAGAAGGCCGGCTCGACGCACCTTGACCGACCCGTCTTTGCGAATGTGCGCGATGCCGTGAAGGAAACCGGTGCTACCGCTTCTGCTATCTTCGTTCCGTATGAACCCGACAGGCGTACCGCGATCCAGATCCTCAGAGACTAATCACACACTAGCCCCCCTCTCGCCGCCAAGGGTATCGAGGAAGCGATCGAGGCCGAGGTTCCTCTGGCTGTCTGGTAAGTTTCGCCAGCGGACAACGGAGACGATTCGCATTTACTGACGCGAGGATTTTTCCCCCTTGTTTTTTGATGTAGTATCACCGAGGGAATTCCCCAGCACGGTATGTTTTCCTCCACCCTTTCGCTTGTGGCTGCTTTTGGCGCGAATGATATCGTCTTTCTAGCCCCGAAACTAACTTGAAGCTGAATAGACATGGTTCGCATCACGGACATGCTGAAGACCCAGAACAAGACCCGTCTGGTGGGACCTAACTGCCCGGGTATCATCGCTCCCGTAAGTCGCTCTCCCTAGGATTGCCCATGAGAATCTTCGAGATGCGCGACGCTGACCCACTCTCCCCCGTGATACAGGGTCAATGCAAGATCGGCATCATGCCTGGATTCATCCACAAGCGTGGCCGTGTCGGTATCGTCTCCCGTTCCGGAACTCTGACCTACGAGGCCGTGAACCAGACCACCCAGGCCGGTCTGGGCCAGTCTCTCGTCGTTGGTATCGGCGGTGACCCTTTCTCCGGCACCAACTTCATTGACTGCCTGCGTATCTTCCTCCAGGACGAGGAGACCGACGGCATCATCATGATCGGCGAGATCGGTGGTAGCGCCGAGGAGGACGCCGCCGAATTCTTCAAGGCCAACAACATCCACAACAAGCCCGCCGTCAGCTTCATCGCCGGTATCAGCGCTCCCCCCGGCCGTCGCATGGGCCACGCGGGTGCCATTGTCAGCGGTGGCAAGGGTGGTGCCGACTCGAAGATCTCCGCTCTCCAGGATGCCGGAGTGGTCGTCGAGCGAAGCCCTGCCGGTCTGGGCAAGGCTCTGCTGGCCGAGTTTGTGAAGCGCGACCTGGTTTAAAGGAGGTCTGCCATGGTCGATCACCATAGACCGACTCTCCATTGTGGCTACTAGACGGTTCCTAGTTCCTTCTTTGTTGTGTATTTTCTTGTGTCCATGATCGCTCGTGTACTTTGCCCCCATCATTGTTTGCCTACGGTTAGAGAAGCTCGGGAGTAATTAGTGATTGCATCTGTAAATCGGGAATCTTCTCTATGTATAGTGACAGATTTATATCTAGAGAGAGATATATATATATCGATACATCCGAAGGATTATGTAACGGTGGCCTGAGGCAAGGGATGCATGCCGCGTTTGTTGTGGTTGCTGACCTCAGCATCCACGTGACCAACCGCTGTCGTTGCTTGAGGAACGGCGTTTTCTGTTTATTCTTCCCTCCAAAGTCCCTCGAATCATCGAATCACTCGCCCCCCCAACGACCGGAACGACGTGCTGTCTATAGACGCAGGCTGGTCTCTTGATGCCCTGACGACCACTGGCTGACCCTCCGACTGCTGCACTGGCCTCTTGCCTGCTGTGCTTCTCTGCACCGTCATCGCCGTGTGTGGTCGAGGCTGCCACAGCACCAAAACACACGCTACTGCCCGGACTCCCCAGCAACTCACCCGCCTGCTGCGGAAAATAAAGAACACACGAGACGGCCGACGATGCCTCCCGATATGGGTATTTGCTCCCTGCTCTTTCGCGCCCTCGCCCCTCTGGTCCCCTTCTCTCCTACGGCTTGCCGGCCTTGTTTTGTTCTATCTTTCTTTCCCCACCCACGTCGTCGCCCTCGCGGCTGGCGATGAGGTCACCTCACCGTTGGCCCAGCTAATTTTGTGATGGGTATAGTCGGCAGAGCTGCCTCGCAGGCTTCCAGCGTTGCATCGCAGACAACGCAAATCGCGCCCCCGCTTAGCCGCCCCGGAACGGCCGATCTCATGAGGTCGCGCTCGGAAACCGTGGTATCAAGGAACAGTCGTCGTCCCAGGTCGCGAGGCTCGACAGCAAGCATCCACTCCAACACCACCCAGCAGACGCAGGACCAGCAACTGCCTGACGGTTTCTCTCAATTCCTCCCCGCCCAACCCTCGGCGAGTCATAATGTCTTCGGAGGCAACCCGGAAGATATCATCATGCGCTTTGGGCAGCAACTATCCCACCCCGTGAACGGCTCGCCCCTTGACCCAACCATCCATGAAGCTCACCATCCAGTGATGCCCAGAGCGGAGGATTTTCCCAGCCATGCCATGCACGGCCACCACCTGTCCCACCACTCACTGTCGTCGGGCCTGGCGTCACATGGGCTGTCCGCCATGACAATGCCCCAGTACCAACCGATGTATGATAGTGGGATTGAAAACCATGTCCCAGACCATGCCTTGGAGGAAAACGACCATTCAGAGGCCGGCACCAAGAAGAAGAAGGGCTCCAGCTCTTCTCTAGCCAATGATAACGAGCTGCGCAAATTGCTGCGGCAATACGAGGGCTATTCGCTGAAGGAAATGGCCGCCGAGGTTCTGAAACATGAAGGTGCTGGGGGTAAGGCCGAGAAGGTCAAGCAGGTCTTTGCGATGATCTGGTATGTATCCCTTCGATCTTCAAGCCCGAGGGACCGGGTTTCCACGCGGCCCGTGGCTCACGTCTTCCCAGGTTGAAGGAAAATTGTCGCAAAAGTAGTGGTTCTGTTCGACGGGACCGGGTGTACTGCTGTTATGCAGAGAAATGTGGCACCGAGCGCGTCTCTGTCCTGAATCCCGCCTCGTTTGGCAAGCTTGTGCGCATTATATTCCCTAACGTGCAAACTCGGCGCCTGGGTGTTCGCGGGGAATCAAAATATCACTACGTGGATTTGACGGTGATCGAAGAGAAGCAGCAGAAGCCGCCGCCACTGAACCCCCAGATTCCGGCCAACGCCAACGGCGCAGCTACTACGACGGAGACCAAGATGGACACCGACTTCCAAAGAAGGTATGCGGCAGATGCAGGACATGTCGGCGCAGTCGAAACTCATGTGGCTCCTAGTGTTAGCGTATTACCACAATCATCTGCAGACACTGCAATGTTCCCGTCGCCTACAACCTCTTTCGCTCCCCGATTCTCAACCCAGTTGTCGCTGCCTGCCTGTGGCTGCCAGCCTTCGCCTCGATCACCGCCGACCTACCCAGCTACCCTTGAAAATGTAGCAAGCCATTCCGGAAAGATCATTTACCAGATGCTTCAGCTTCCTCAGACGGACGTAGCGGCGGTTGATAACGAAACGCTCCAGCTCCCAGATATCACCGGTTATCTCCCGGCTAACACCGACTCGAAAGTCGCGGCCGCTCTGGCGGCCCTATATCGTTCGCACTGCATATCTGTTATAGACAGTTTTCGTTACTGCAAGGAGCGCAACCTCCTGAAGTACTTCTCTGCTTTCCACGGCACCCTGACGGTCCCCGTGCAAAAGCTCTTGACCCACCCTAATCTTGCACCGTGGATTAAAGAATGCGACTGGCTCATGTACCAGAAAATGATCGCCTTCGTGGCTCCGCTCACCACCCAGGTCGTGCCTAAACTCGTCCTGGACGCCTTTAGTTCGATATCACAGCGACTGACCGGCCACATTGCGGAGACTTTCAAAGCGCAGCCGACGCATGTATCGTTGGCGAGACTGGTCCCGGCCCAGATCTTCTGCAACTTGCTTCGACATATGCTCGACGTGAACCAATCCGCCAATGCGGCTGCAGCCTGGCTCTGCCACCCGGACAACCGCAATCAGATGTGGTTCGACTTCAAGACCTTGGTTGACCCGAGGGAAATGATTACACGGGCCAATATCCCCAGTTGTGCGGAACGGACGACGGAGCAAATCCTGAAACATGATATCCCGGCCCTTCTTACCCCCCTTTCCGACCCGAATGGATCCGCTGCCCTTCCCTTCTACACCAAGCCGGACTTGGAGGAAGATCTTCAAGCGCACAGATGTCCCGTCGACTCGTCTTCCAGCGGCGAAGACTACAACTTTCCGGACAAGTGGATCTCGTTCATCTTGAATTTACCGGCGGCGTTCCCCAACCACCGGACCCAGTGTATCATCGAAAAAGTGGATGCCCTGTGGGATTGTATCCTGCATCGATTGACACTGGGGGGCGCCCAAAGCTTCAGCGCCTGGTGGATGACCAAGGTCTTCTTCCACGAAATGATGTTGTGGCAGGCAGAGAAGGGTGGCTTCATGCGCCACACACCCAGCACCCTGCAGGAGGCAGTCTCGGCGTCGTCGCAACACTCCGGAGCGAACGGCTTTTTGGCGAAACAAGCTCACAGCTCCGACGTTGCCCACGATCGGCCGTTCATGACCCCCAATTTACCTCAACATGCCGCCGAGGCCAAGTCCCGCGCAGGCACCAGCCCCGTGCCGGGTGAAGGGTTCTCGCATGCACGATCATCGTCGCAAGTGGCACCGAACCATGGCCAACACACCATGGAAAACGACAAGTCCAACATATCCGACAACATTGCCGCCTTCCATGCCCCAAACAATGATGACAGTGCCATTGATCTTGACGACGATTCGATGCTGATGACTGTCGGTAAATATGGTGACATGATGGCCTCCGATCCTGCCGATGCCGAGGGGGATGTCGTTGTCATATAACGGCCTTTGTTCTGTCGTCTGTTTCTTTTGGAATTCCCAACCCCCCCGTTTTTTTTTTTTTTTTTTTTTCTCTTTTTCCTTTCCTTGTTCTTTCCCTTTTCATGTGCCTATGGGTGGAGTTGGTTCTCTTTCAGGAGTCTTATTTTTGGTTGGGTGACTTATTTACATTCATGTACAAGGACAGTTCGGCGTTCGACGATCTTTGCACGAGAAACGAGAAACGAGAGCATCGATTCGAGATACGTCGACCTACGGCATTGCGGTTTGTTCAGGTTGACAATCATACGCATTTAATAGCGTGGTTGATCCCGCTCGAAAGCACTATTTACTGTTGTTTCCTTTGACTTTCTTCTTCTATCCCCGAGAGACCGAGCCCGTCGCTGTACATAAAATCCCCGGATCAACCCCTTGCGAGTTGATTCATCGTTTCTTGCTGCCATAACCTCATTTCCCCCTTATACGCTCTTTATAATCATTTCTCCATTTCTTCCCCTCCCCGTTCTGTCTCTTTCTTTTGTTTCTTACTTTTTTTGTGCCCAAGGGCTGGTATAGCCTTGGGTTTCAATTGGAAACATGCCCGCGAGCGTGTCTCGCAGCTATGTGAGGAAATTCTGGATTTTCCTTGCTCTGGATGATTCCCCCCGTCTTCTAGCTTTGGATTATCTTTCTGCCTCCTTTGGATCCTCCGTTTGGGTTTTATCGATGGCCACATTGGACTCAATCTTATTTCATGAAGTAGTGTTGATGATTTATGTATTCAAGTGACAAATAGCATTCCCGAAGTTCCCATTTATTCTGAATACTCTGTTTCGTGCTTCGTAAGACGTAACTCCAAAAAGAAAAACAAACGAAAGGCCATGGTCTAGAGATGTGTTGACATGGAACTGCATAACTAATGCGCTGAAGAGAACCCAAAGATGTAACTCAACCATCATAAAAACATGCTAATGTTGAAGACCTTCTTGCGGGCAGATGGGCGTTCGCTTGGGGGTTTGAAAAACAGCAAGAAAAAGCAAAAGGACAAAAGAAGAAATAAGATATAATAAGAAGATTGAGCTCAATCGAACAGGAATGCATCTCTTCGTTAGTTGTCCTATGCAGAGGATAAGCTCGCCGTATCACCTGAACGTGCCGGCAGGGAAGAACCGTGGACCGGCGAAGCCATAGGCAACGATGCTTTGAATGTCGATGCTGTTATCTCCCTGGGGGCACCAGAGTTGGAGCAGGATATAGCGCCCGGAGCTGTGAGTGACAGTTAGCTACGCTCTACATGGCCGTTGAGGACAAAACATACGGTGGTGGGTCGAACTTGATGTTGACCACGTTCTTGGTTCGCTCGATGGAAAAGCAAGCATGCGCCATGAATGGTCCAGGCTCCGGAGTTTGGCCAGGGCCGGATGAGGATGAAGGATGGTAGGCACTGGGAGCTGGCGGCCGTCTTGGGAGGCGACCTTGCTCTATGGCATGTTGTCGACGCATCGCCCTGACTTGTCTCTGTAGCCCACGGCGGCTTTGGTGGAAGCTCCCCAGTTCGCCCATGCTCAAGTCGTCGTCACTAATTTCATTGTCAGAGCATAGAAGATCCTCATCCATCTCGTCCATGGACAGCCAGTCGGTATCTACAGCGGAGGATTCCGGCCCCGCAAAGTCAAGATCATCATAGCCACTCCGTTCGGAACGTTCGCCATAGTCCATCGTCACTCGGAAGTCCGAGACAGGGCGAGGCCGGCTGTTTGCGATTGATCGCGTGGAATCGTTGGTATTCGGGCCCGACTCCGGATTTGACTCACGGCCAGGCAGAGTCACGCGCTCGAGAGTTTGCAGCGGAGTCCGATATGCATTCAGATACTCCTGAGAGGGTTGCATGCCACTCCTCCGGTATCGACGTTGTCGCCCATGGGTGTGGTGGTATTGATAGTCAGTGGCCTGAGCAACAAGTTCCTCCGAGCCCATCGCCACAAAAACCATTCCTTCTTGCATCCTAAGACTGCCATGATGGGTTAATGACGGGGTGAGGTGAGCAAGCGTTTATTTGAGAGACATACGGGGTATCATAGCCATGTTTCGGAGCCTTGATCACGATTCGCTTGAGACAAAACGGTGACTCCCCACAATGCCTTAATATTATGTTGCACCGATCTGACTTCGTGCTATAGAATGACGAGTCGCTGCGGAGAACGTTCGTGGGACTTGCAAGTTCACCCTCTGGTTCGAACAGGCCCCCATCGCAACTTTCCATTTCCATTTTGAGGGGGCCGGGCACTACTTGGCCATAATGCCCGTACCGGAAACTTTGCGGCCCCTCCCTGTTGTCATCAGAATCGAGTTTCCTACGTTTGACTCGCCACCGGTCCATCATGCTGTCCTCTTCTTCCTCCTCCTGTGGCTGCGGTATGATGGGAGACGTGTCGAGGGGAGGAACGGGCTCGTCGAGGAGCGAGGTGCTGGATTCTCGACGATTCAAGTCTTGGCTAGGCCTACTACCCCTCTGGGTGCGGCGCCTGGAAGATCCGCCGGGTGACCGTGAAGAATCAGGGGAACTTGTGTCGGGGTCCACAACCGTAACATTCAGAGTTTGTAATCTCGGCATTGCCGGTCGCAGGTGGCGAGGGAGACCCCCATGAGGATTGTCCTCCCGGCGTGATCGATTCTCTTGGACCTGTCGATCTACGGCTGCCCTGGTCTCTTCGAAGGCAGGCCGATCCTGGGAGCGGCGGTAATGGCTGATCTCTCGGTTCAGGGTTTCTAGTGCGCGAGCAGATGTTTCACGGCTACGATCCGAGGTTAACAGGTCTCGCAAGTGTTGCAGATGGGTTGCAGTAGGCCTCGGTGGTCGGTCACCGGCCCGATTTCCACGGCCACGGCGAGAAGCGGGAGGGTAGTCGTGGTTCCCCGACTAGTGGGTATATGTATGCCAGTCAATAATTTACTCTCTCACATTTTTGATGTTGGGGGAAGATGTTTGCCCTGGGAGGAGAGCGAGATATCAAGAAAAGGAGGCAGATCCGGAGTTGACGTACCATCCTCGGAGGCGGTTAATTCTATATAGTACGGAAGGTGGGAGGCGGAGACGGAGGTGTATAGGCGTGTGGGGGATGGATAGCAACGGAGAATGGCGCTGTGCCCGGACAGACAGACCGGCGGTGGGATCGTAGTCGGAGGGGAGGCCAAATGAGAAGGATTGTGATAAAGAAGCAATGGATGGAGGATGGATGGATGGATGAATGAATGAAGCGCGGGAAGGAAAGAATGGGGGAGACGAAGTCCTTCCCCGATAACGTATCGCACGTGATCCCCGCATTTCCTCTCGTCCCCGTCGCTGCTTCTCCTCCCCCCATCTCTCTCTCTCCCTCTCTCTCTCGACATCCTCTTCCAATCCTCCGGCTGCCGTCGACCACTATGGAACCCCCTCATGACAGCGCGGCTCAGTCGATCAGTGCTGGTAAGCAGCGCTGCTATTCTCACATCACACACGATGCTGACTCGGGAACTTTGGATCACCTCAGATGAAATCGCTCTGTATGATCGGCAGATCCGGCTTTGGGGAGTCAAGGCCCAGGAGAAGTGAGTGTCGAGCTGCTCCGGTGGTGCACTTAGGATCCGTTCTCTAATCCCCCTTCCTAGACTACGGTCCGCCAACATTCTCCTGATTACTTTGAAAGGGCTCGCAAACGAAATCGCCAAGAACTTGGTGCTGGCCGGCATTGGGAATCTGACGGTGATTGACCACGAAACGGTCAAGGAGGAGGATTTGGGTGCCCAGTTCTTCGTCACGGAGGAGCACGTGGGCCAGAATGTACACTGTCCCCAACATCGCCGACACCCACTGGTGCTAACGAGCAGCCGCAGCGTGCGCAAGCCGCAGCTCCTTCGATCCATGCCATGAACCCTAGAGTTCAGCTGCATATCGACACCGATGACGTCCATACGAAGCAACCCGACTTCTTCGCGGGATTTGATGTGACCATTGCGACGGAGCTCGATTATGCTACCTACACCACCATCAATGCGGCATGCCGAATTGCAAATCGGCCGTTCTACGCAGCGGGATTGCACGGTTTCTATGGATTCGTGTTTGCCGATTTGATCTCTCACGATTTCGTCATCGAACGCGCCAAGTCCAACGTGCCGTCGACAACCCAAGAAACGCCGACCCGGAGCATAGTCAACATCACCACCAAGAAAGACGGCGAAAACGTAACCGAAATGGTCACCAAGCGGGAGACCTATTCACCGTTAATCTTGGCCAACACTTCTCCCCTCCCCGAAGACTACACCCGCCTACCCCGGAAGCGTCGACAGGTGACCCCCCTCCTCACCTGTCTTCGAGCCCTGTGGGAGTTCCAGAAGCTCAGTGGAGGCCGGCTGCCTACTCCCTCTCTCCAGGATCTGGAACTTTTCACAAAGCTTGCCCGAGACCGCCATCATGAGTTAAAACTGGACATCAGCACTTTGGACTCTGTCTTCCTGCGGACGTTCCTGCAGAATCTGGGGAGCGAGCTCAGCCCCGTTGCAGCCTTTGTGGGCGGTAGGCTGGCGCAGGACGTCATCAACGTGCTGAGTGCTCGGGAACAGCCCATCCAGAACCTCTTATTATTCGACGGCGAAAAGTCGCTTTCGCCCATCTATCCTTTACACCCTTTTTTCCCTCCCGAGTTGGAAAACGCTCTTCCGGCCGTGGTTCCCGTGGCCAACCCCATCTCGGTGGATGACGAGCCGACTACGGTCACTGATAATGGACAAGGGACCAAGTGAAGGAAGGTTCTTCCGTGGTTTTCCTAGCGCAAGTTATGACTTGATGTACTTTTAATGAAATTTCTGCGGCATGACTGGCATCTATGCTGTGAAAATCTTGCATAGCACTCCGGAATCTAAATAATGATGTGTACGATATATCTCTTTTTACTTTCAATATAGATGGATCGTATGCGATATCCTTCATTACCCGCGCTGGTATCAGGCCAGTGGTCTAAAGGAAAACGCACGCCATTGAAGAATCAAAAACTAGGAAACAGATGTATGAACAACGCCGTTCTTTCGATTCAATATCCAAATTTTGAGACCCCAAACACCAAGGTGTAGACCAGACACGAGCGAAACAAGGGGTTAGCTTTTTTGGCACCCTTGTGGATGACATAATATATAAACCGGACTGACGATTTTCTTCCAAGCATCATGTTCATCGGTTGCGCCAAATTGGGCATTAGACAGAATATAAAAAAGAGATCGAGAAATGAAAATGGTAGAGAAAGATGCTGCTGGGAAAAGAACGGGAATCAACAAAATAAACGAGATTATGTCTCTTTCCCAACCAAAGGGGAATTTTCTTCGTCTTCAAGTCTTCTGGGACCTATGGAATGTCCCTCCCCGCCATTTGCCTTGTCTTCATCTTCCTCGTCAGAGATGAGCCCCTGCAGCTCGAAGGCCTCGGCATCCTGGATACGTTGGTTTTCGGAGGGCGAGCGAGCATGGCCGTTCATCCCGTTGGGGCGCGAGAGAGAAGCCTGGGACCGGTGAGCCTTCGACCGAGACGAACCTTGGTCTTCGTTCTCGTTTTCAGTGGAGCGAGATGCCTTGGCAGAATCGGGCCATGCATGAACGGCGTAAATGTGGAGAAGCACGTTAACAACTGCCATATGGCATTAGCGAATTCTCTCAACTGGCCAAGATGCGCGTATTTTTTTTTGGGGGGGGGGGGGGGGGGGGGGGGTTCATAACACATACAAAGGAACAGAATGAAAGCGATGCTGTAAAGGATCAGGACATAGGACACGTGGGTGATCCCGGCATCATGCAGGAGTTGCATTTGCTCCTCAGTGGCGCCCATGAACAGAAAGCCCGAGGCGTAGAGAAGCTAGCTTGTTGTTAGTTCGACCCAGAAGGTGACAATAGGTCATCCGGATGTACTTACGAAAGGAGGCAAATATTGGAAGCTGTTGGGATCGGTGCCGTCCGTGCTGAGGGTGGATTTGTCTCTCAGAACAAACGAGATCTCAATGATTCGAGTGAACCCCGCAGCCATCAACGTGTAACCAAAGACGCTGTGGATCATAGTGCTGATCATAAGATGCTGGGGATGAGCTGACATGGCAAAGCCGGTTAGAAGAATGACAATGGCCGGGATCAGGTTCCGCTTGGGCTGGCCGTTTCGCTTGCGACTCATCCAGATCCCCAAGAGTCCCGCGCACCACCAGACTACACCCATGGTAGTGTGCTGCAGGTCATTGTGTGCCCAGGGCTGGCCCCATCGGTGTTCAGTAAAGGTGTTGACACATCCCCACGCAGCGATTATTAGGGAATCGAAAAACTCCTGACTCCGCCCGGTGCGGCGTAGCCAAAACTGGCCCACCAGAAGGAGAATTGTCAACAAGATGCCGTAAGCTATGAAGGCGCTACCCATGATGAAATGGGCCAGACACTGGCCCAAATGATCCTCTCGGCAGTAGCCCATGGCCGTGATGCCTCCGAACAGCATCTGAACCCAGCTAGCAACCGGCATTGCCTTGCCCAGAACCCCATGCGCAACGACAATAAAGCGGCGAATCCGTCCATGAACACCCCGGGTCAGGTGTAGCTTGAGATACACGCCCAGCACGATTTGCACCACCATCATGAGCATCAGGGAGTTGGCGAAGGAAGCATGAACATTCTTGGAAAACTGGCGGCCCTTGTGGCCGTGACCGAGGAAGTAGGCCACCACTGCGATGATCGTTCCCACGATTTGGAGAGGGACATGCCAGCGGGATCGTATGATCTATAGCGAGGCACACGTGGGAGATTAGAAAGGATTGAAGAAACCGAACGGACGGGGGTTGACGCAACGTACCCCGAGAACCATACCCAACGGGAAGATGATGCCAAAAGCGAATCCCATCAAAATCATATGCACCCATAGTGTCGAGTCCTGTATCGAGCGTCAGCCTACGCGAGTCGGCCGTGAATTTCGTGGCGGATATACGTACGATGGGGTCGCCGGAAATGGCGGCACCTTCGGGGACATTTTCATGGCCGCCATGGGCAGAAACGGAAGCGATCAGGAGAAAGGTGGCCAGCACCCCCGGTGAATTCAGCGGGTTCAATAACATCCTCAGAGGGCAGGGGAGTGACGGAGAGGATCGAGGGAGGGAGAAACGTCCGAGGAGTGGGGAGGGGAAGAAAGAAGGAAGACCAGGAGAAGAAGGAGAAGGGAGAAGCGAAGATGACGCGGAGGCACGGGACTCTTGCCGCTTTTCCGCATCAAATCGGGCGGCCCGGATTGGCCGGTCCAAGTCTACTCCATACTCTCTCCCGACGATGTATATCCTCGACTCCGGTCGATTCGATCGAGGATCTACGTAAGGTTCCCCCCGGGGCTTCGTCATGGACGCGCACCTCGCGCAACAGGCTCAGAGGGGGCATCGTCTGGTATGCACATACATACATACTTACATCTATCTACTCAACTCCACCCGTTCAGTGATGGCGACGCTAACCCCAAGCTCAGCACACCCTTCGTGCATCCATCGCCGACCTAGAATCGCAAACTGCTCAAGTGGAAGCCCAGATTGCTGGAATCAAAGCCAAGTTGAAGTATGTCGGTCTCTCCCTTTCCTGCTCTCGGTTTCTTCCCCGGAGTCTAAGTCAATCGCAGAAGTGACCCCTCGACAACGGTCCAACGCCATATTCGTCTGCTGCATGAGTACAACGAGATTAAAGACATTGGACAAGGCCTGATGGGTCTCATCGCAGATGCGCGCGGCGTGCGCCAGATCGAGGTGCAGAGGGAATACGGCGTGGCCGATCGCGATTGATTGACGACGGAGCAGAACAAGGTCTAGCAGGCCAAAGACAGGAAGCTACTCTGGTACTTCAAAGGACGTGGCAAATGAACTCTATTTGACTGTGGACTTTTCCAACGAAACAAAAAGCAAGGCAAGGCAAAAAACCAGCCGGGGCACGCTTCATTATGATCTATTCGTAGAATAAGACAGAAGATTGGGGAGATAACGAGGAAAAGACAAGGGCTGAGAACCGGGTCTGCCATTCCAACAGCACAGGTCGTAGCACATCATGGAGAGGTTAGATCGGTGCGATAGGAGTGAACGGAGGAGAGGTATTATCGATATTAGATATGTGCAGGAGATTATGAATTATGTATGGGTTCACTGGGTCTTGCCCAGGCTCTGGAGATTGACCAGTTCGTAGTAACGACCCTTGTTGCGGATCAATTCCTGGTGGTTTCCACTTTCGACGATCTTCCCTTGATCAAACACGTAGATGATATCGGCTTTCTGGATCGTACTGAGTCGATGCGCCACGGCAATCGTCGTTCGGCCGCGAGCAGCGGCATCCAGAGCGGCCTGGACGACCTTCTCCGATTCCGAATCCAGAGCCGATGTAGCTTCGTCGAGAAGCAGGATCTTGGGGTCCCGAAGCAGAGCTCGCGCAATGGCCACTCGCTGTTTCTGGCCACCAGACAGCATGCCTCCTTTGCTGCCAACCACAGTATTAAATCCCTCACTGCAGGTGTTGGTTAGTGATGAAAATCCACGCGACAGAATGTCAAGGCGCATCGAACTTACGGTAGAGACATGATGAAGTCATAAATATTGGCGTCCTTGCACGCCTTCACGATGGCTTCTTCAGACATTTCGTCCCGGTCGACTCCCAATAGGATGTTGTCCTTGACGGTCCCCTGATACAGCGTTGGCTCCTGGCTGACCAGCGACAGGAAATTGCGATACGAATTGACATTAAGCTCAGTAATGTCCTTCCCATCCACGAAGACATTCCCAGCAAGGGCATCATAAAAGCGCTCCAGAAGAGCGATGGTCGTACTTTTGCCGCAACCACTCGGCCCGACAAGAGCAATGTACTGCCCGGGCTTGACGCTGAGATTCAACCCCCGAAGAACGGGTTGCTCGGGGCGAGTAGGATACCTGAAGTGCACGTCACGGAACTCGATTTCACCGTCGACAGAATCTAATTTGATACCGTCCTCCGACCAGATGTCGATGCTGGGCTTTCGATCAAACAGTTGCTTGAACTGCGCCGCGGCATTCTTCGCCTTGCCCATGTCCGGCGAGAAAGAGAAGACCGTTCCGGCAGATTGGGCACCAAAAAGAATCTCGGAGAAACAGACAAAGAACCGGAAAATCGAGTATTCGTGGTGGCCTAAAAGTGTGCCGCCGTACCAGAATCCGAGGGCAACGCAGAAGAAGACGAGAGCCTGCGAGCAGGCATACAGGATCGAAGACTTCAGCACTGAAATCAGACTAGTCCTTCCCTGCGCATCGAGTTGGGCGTGGTACACGTCCCAGACATCTTGTTCGCGGGTGAGCGAGGCCACAGTGCGGATAGCCGATGTTGCCTCACAAGCATAGCTCGCGGACCCTTCGTAGGCGGTCTTAGAACGCTGTTGGAACTGAGCAAGCATGTAAAATCGATAGAATCCACAACCGAGTAGGATCGGAACCACGGAGATGCAAACCAAAGCCAGCTTCCATCCAATCGAGAGGGAGATGATAATGGCGGCGCCCAGGGTCGTAGAGGTCATGATGATTGTTCCTAGGGTTACACCGCTGACTCCGGAGAGATGCTTCGTCTCGGTCGAGAGGAAAGAGGTCAAGGCACCAGTACTGTTTTCCTCTCGATCAAAGAATGTGATGTCTTGACGGAGAATTGATCGAAAAGCCTCGCTGCGCGCACGACGGATGAGAGCCTCCGAGCACACAGCAAAGGCAGCTCCGTTGATGGAGAGGTTGATGAACTGGACAATTCCAACGACGAAGAACATCAGGGACCAGAAGTTTGCATCGCTTCGAATCTGACTAGCCATATTGGAGCCGTACGAGAGCGAGCTGATCGCCTTGGCATACAGGACTGCCTGGGTCGGTTGGCCGCCGCCCGCAAGAAACGAGAAAAAGAAACCAATGAGCATATAGAGAATCTCCGGCCGGTTAAAGGAGAAGATGAACGTGACCAAGGTCCAGAGCGAGTATTTCTTGCCTATCTCTGGGGTTCGCTTGGAAAGGACGGCACTGGAGACTGACTTGTGCGTACCCGAGCGCCCAAATTCCAGGCGTGTCTTCTCATCTTCGGCGTCGAGGGATGCTGAGCCACTGGCGACGGTCTTGATGCGGGCGATGTCCGGCTTGGGTAGGATATCCTCCTCCAACTCATCATCAGTTTCCAACGCTTCCGCGTCTTTTTCTTCGTTGATGCGCTGCGCCTCCACGAGGCTATGGTATGTGCCCTTGCCATCCACTAGCTGATCGTGCGTTCCCTGTTCGACAATCCGGCCATCGACCAAGACCACGATGTTGTGTGCCGCCTTGATTGTCGATAGACGATGCGCGATCACAATAGTGGTGCGACCCTCGGCGGCCTTGTCAAGAGCGGCTTGGACAACGCCTTCGGATTTCGTATCCAATGCAGAAGTTGCTTCGTCCAGCAAGAGGATCTTGGGGTCACTGACAATGGCGCGGGCAATGGCAATACGCTGTTTCTGGCCTCCAGAGAGCAAGAATCCACGCTGACCCACGTTAGTTTCGTACCCCTCGGGCAAAGCCGTGACGAAATCATGGGCGTTGGCCATTTTTGCCGCGTTCTCGATGAGCTCGCGAATTCTGTCCTCGGACTCACGCTCGAACTTGGTGCCGATGAGACCATAGCGGATGTTCTGGTAGATCGTAGTGCCGAAGAGGATGGGCTCTTGGCTCACCAAGGAGATCTGCTGGCGCAGCCAACGAAGGTTAAGATCCTGAATCTCATGTCCATCCAGCAGCACGGTGCCTCCGACGGGGAGATAGAAACGCTCGACCAGTCCGACCACGGTACTCTTCCCGGAGCCCGAAGGGCCAACCAGCGCCGTCGTCTTTCCTGCAGGCATCTTCAGGGAGACACCATCCATGATAGTCACCTCTGGTCGCGAGGGATAGATGTGCTTGACATTGCGAAACTCGATGTTTCCTTGGAGGTTTTCTACCGTGGCGCCCTCTTCCGAATACGGATCGAGCGGCGACGGACGATCGATTGTGCTGAAGATCTTTGCCGCCGCAGCCACGGCGTTTGTGAACGCCTGGCTGTTGGGACTGACGTTACCCAGACTGAAGGAGCCAATCAAGATGGCCATCAGCACGGTCAGAACCTGACCAACGTCCACCTCTCCATTGACGAGGAAGCGAGACCCCATCCAGAAACCTAGGCCGTAATTGGAGAACATGATGCCAAACATCGCCCCGATCATGACGCCCAAAATAATATGTTGCTTCCTTCCCCACTTCTCGGCTTCGGCCAAATGAACCTCGTACTGCTTGGCGAGTTTATCCTGAGTGCCGAATGCCGTGGCGTTGCGGATCGAGCTGATCACCTCCTCCGCCACCGTTCCACCGGCGCCGTAGCTTTGCAGCGATTGCTTGCTGTACTTGACGATGAACCGCGAGCCTCCTCCCATGATCAGCACAAGCGCGACGATGGTGGACGTGCAGATGAGGGCAAGCTTCCAGTATTTGACGTAGGCCACGATGAACGCAGTGACGAAAGTCGAGAGGGCGGTTAGAGTGAGTCCAACTTTCTCGGAGACCCCATCCTGGATGAGGTTGGTGTCGGCGGTGATGCGAGTGGTCACTTCACCGGCCCCCAGTTTGTCAAAGTACGCCATGTTCTGGCGCAGGATCGACTCGAGGTAGTGCTCGCGAATCTTCTGGGTGACATGTTCGCCGGCGTAGATGAAGCCCACGGTACTGATATAGACGGTGACAAATTCCGCGATACCCAGGTACACGAAATACAGGACGTTGGTGGTCAGTTTGTCGTAGAACTCGGAATATTCGATGGTGCCTAGAACGATATTCCGCATTGCGGAGGCCAGAGAGCCAAACAGGATCGTAAACAAGGGCAATGCAGCCCCGGCCGCGATGGCGCAGATGGCGCTCACCACCAAAACGAGGATATCCATGCGGGACGCATAGCGGTAGAGGCCGAAGAACGACACATTGGTCTCGTCTACATCCAGCTGTTTCTTCAGGACCTGCCTTTCATGAGGGGCAAGGTGGGAATATAGGGGATCCGAATCGTCGTCGCCGGCGAGATTCTCGGCGGACGAGGGATCGGATGTCGCTGTCTTGGCCTCTGCCGGGGCGATAGTTGCACTAGAGGTGGAGGAGTGATTGCTTGACTTGGTTCGTTCGACAGCAGCCGTCGGGGCCGTCGGAAGGATAGCAGGATCGTCGGCAGCCTTGAACGGCTCCTTTCCCGGGTGGGACATGATGTTCTGCGCCCGAGGAGATATTTCCCGTCTGGCCTCCAAAGCGTCCGAGGTATGAGCGGGGTTCCACGCTAAAGACAGAGAAGCTTGGCGGACGAGGAACGATCTACTCCATGGGGGTGAAAAGAAGGACGGACAAGCGGGAAAAAAAAGGATAAGGAGGGAATGGCGGGGGGTGTTGGAGGGGGGGAAGGGAAAGGGGACGAATTAGTCTGACGGGAAAATGGTCGATAGTTATAAGAATGAATGATTCAATGACCGACCCAAAGAACGAAAAGAAAAATGTTGGATTAGCAGGAAGGATACGATATGATCCTTAATAATACGCCCAATAGAGACTGGCCGGAGGACCGGTGTCCCGACGCCATTTTATGCAGTGGATGGAACGGAGGATCCCGAAAGGAAGAGAGAAATCCGCCGGCATGACTCACCCATTTGGAATTATTTATTGAAAAGGGGGAATTAAATAAGAATATTATATATATATCATTATCATTATCATTTTTTTTTTAAAGAACAACAAGCTCAAGCTTGGGCTGAGCATAAACTTGCATCATCCTTCATACATTCCAGAGGTCTACGGAGTATGTAGTAGTACTTGGTAGACAAGGCGGGTCTAGGCAGAGGCAGCCGACATAATTATGATAATTTTAGTATAAAGTCGGGGTCGGGAGTTCCATCCGCCGACAGTCTAGACCAATGATAGGAGCCTTCCAACGAGCAACGAGAACGACGGGAGCGATCGCTGAGTACGAGGTACGAGGCAGTTACGCAGTACGCTGTAAGCACTTACCTTATCGACCTTACCTACCTACTTGAAATATGACTCCGTACGGAGTACAACTTCATGATGCACGTTTCGGATCCACGTGGTGACCAAGTCAACTGATGACTCGATGTGATTCAGCAATCAGCGGGCACCCAAAGCAGGATAGCGGGCATCAGTCGTCGTATTCGATGATTACCTAAGCACGACCTCGAATGGGCAAGGGTGGATGCCCGAGAATGAAGGCTCCCCCCGTGGTTGCCCGCCCGGGCTGTGCGGCCTCAGGCATAAGTCACATGACCCGACCGAAGCGAACCCGCTAAGCCCTGTCCGCACAAAAAAACCACCACTTCCGAAGGCCTTTGAAGACGGTCGACAACCTCACTATCGCCAGTCCACATACTCAGCTCGCCGTCGCGACAAGCCTTCAAGATGCCGGTTAGCACCCCCTCCCCCTTCCCCTCCTTTTCGATGATGCTCCTGATGCTGGCATCGTTTTTTTCATTCTCGTCTCTCTCCCCCGCCTCATCCGGCTGGTTCAAACAGAACAATGACCGGCAACGCACCTGAGCAGTCCCGCTAACCTTGGACCTTTTCAACCCACCAGAGCCACAAGAGTTTCCGCACCAAGCAGAAGCTTGCCAAAGCCCAGAAGCAGAACCGTCCTATCCCCCAGTGGATTCGTCTGAGGACCGGCAACACCATCAGGTAAATAGATCACATCTCCTTGGAAACACTTCGATCGGTCGGAGCCGCAAAGCACCTGGAACAGGGTTGGGAAATGGAAAATCGGAGCGACCAAACACTCGAAGTTGAAACCTGTGAATATGATGGTTCGGCTCGAGGAAGCAAAAAGGCAAAGCAGGGGGGCAAGAAGAGAAAAAGCGAAAAATGGCGCTTAAGGGCTCCGACCTCGAAGGCAACTACGACCGACATGCGGATGGAAAAGGCTGACGAGTGAACTTTTCTTTCAGATACAACGCCAAGCGGAGGCACTGGCGCAAGACCCGTCTCGGTATCTAAATGCGAGGACATTTACCATGCTTTTTCTTTTGTCCGACCGAGATGTTCCTCCCGATTGTTTCGTTCAATTGTGATACCGCAAATCTTGCTCGCGACGATTAATATGCATCCTGAACTCGACCCGCTTTGACTTTTCTCGTTTCCCTCCACATTTGGTCCGTTCGACAATGGCAAGGTTATTCGTCTTGATCTGGCTCTGGGTAAAGGACGGTCGTTCAAGGCGCAATAAGGACAGTGATCAAAACCAAAGGCGGTGTCCGGGCTCTGTGATAGGTCGTTCTGCAAATTATTTACACGAGCTGAGACAATAAAAAAAATCATGATGGATAATGAGCTGTGAACAATGATGATTCAACCGGGATACAATCGTATATGCTTTCTCAATCCCCTATTCTTGGCTTGGTCTTGTTTCCTGCTGGATTCTAAAGTACGGATGAAATGGGCATCGAAGGAGAATACTTCTGGCGCAGGCCGGTAGCGTTCCAGCCGTAGTCACTACACCGTCCCGACAATATCGTAAGGGAGGGATCAAGGTAAGAAGATGTCTGAAAGGACAATACCGGCTAAGCTTGTGGACGCGAGCAGTCAGTAGCCCTGGCGACCTAAAAGGATTTCGACCACATATGTAACGGAAATATGGAAGTAAAGAGAGAAGATATCTCCAAAGAGCCCTTCGTTTCCTATTGTAAAGTAGGAAAAAGCAACCTAACGCAACATGTTTTAAGTGATATGGGCCCCACCGTCACCTGTTGAAAAGCAAAACAATGGGACTACACCTTTCTCTAGACCACAAGCCAAGAGGGAAACAATCATGAGCAAACAAAAAAAGAACGAGAAACCGCTCGAAGAAACCCTAAACGCCGAATGGAGGATCTTTGACCAAAGCCCCCAATTTGAACCGTAAAACAAAGCTGATATCCCGATGTTACTTTACGCAATAGGCAAACCATCCAAGATTAGCAAGTTATGGGTGACATGAACCAGCGACGTTAAATCAGCGGCTATATTCCAGCATTAGTACATCGGCATTTCCATTCAAAGATGCGGTAGATCGACGGCAAGAATAAGATGGAAGAATGCTGGAAATCAGGGGTGGGGTTCAGAAAACTTACTCTTCGGCCCACTCGTTCTCACGACGGATCTGATCCTCTTCCTCCGGAGTGAAATCGTTTTGGATGTTGAAGGTCTTGCGAATCTCTTCAGGAGACTTGCCCTTGATCATGTTGGCCACGGTTTTGCAACCAACGTCCAAAAGACCCTTGATATCAAGATAGTTGGCGGCCTATGAGAACATCAGGTTAGCCTCAAGTGGTTTTCAAGATAGGTCATTCAATCTACACATACCAGGATGATCTCGAACAGCATCTCTTGGTCAACCTGCATGAATTTCTGGTCCCATTCATCGATGTCGGTGGTCTTGCGGCGGGAGTCATCGTCATCCCCAGTGCTGGGGGGGTCGTTCTTGTGGTGGGTGCACCACTCGATGACCTTCTTCAGAACAGCTTCGTTGACCTAGGGCAGCCAAATGAAATGTCAGTTGAGTCAGGTTCAACACAGACTCCTCCTATTTTCCTCTTCTCTCCCCCCACGATTGGGATCGACCTGGGATAACCTACGTTAGGGATTGGGATAGCCTCTCCAGTTTCACCCAAATCCTCGAGCATGTTCTTGATGAGCAGCGAGCGCTCGGCAACATCGCGATCTATTAGCAAGCAGGATGCGTTAGTTCGGGGACCGGCCATGAATGTCGAAAAAGGGCACTGCGCCGAGTGGAGGCGTGGCGGAAGCACTTACCGACGGTGATCTCGACGCCGTCCGAGCTTGTCATAGTAAGAGTGCCAGACATCTTGGAAGAGTAACCTGGAGATGTACTGTTGGGTCTGGGGGTCAGAATGCAATGCGAGAGCTAGCCGCCCGGGTTGTAGGCCGGCGGACAATGATGTAGTTGAGGGGTACTGAGGCGGGGAGGAACCTACTGGAATGAGAGATTGGAAGGTGAACGGGAAAATCTGAGGTGAAAGATGGGAGGAAACGATAGCGGGGAGCAGCAGCCCTTTAAAGCAGTCAAGATGGGGTACAGGCGTTAACGGAGGCTGCCGAGACAATGAGAGGAGAAATAGGCAGAGGAGGAAGAAAGAAGGCGGAAGTGGTGAGGCTGAGTTTGGGGGGTTTGACGGTTAGCGCCGACGAAAGCGAGCGAGCGAAAGAAAGAGAGAGTCACCGTGGCCAGCGGCTTCCTTGGTGGTTGTCACCGCCTTCGATGTTGGGATGCCCGTGGTCACGCTGTTGGCCGCCCCGTGATTGGCGTGTGGCTGCCTGGGGGCCTGGGGGCCTGGGGCCTGGATCAGGCAGGCCAAACAAACAAGACAAAGCCGTTCCTTTGTGTTTCGTCTCGTCCGCCTTCCTCGCCTTGTCCTGGCATCTCCTCATCTGAAACTGAAAGAATCCCCCGACGGGGATGTCCATCCCCCAGAAACAAAGAACTGAGCTGACTGCTGAGCGACTCGATCCCTACGCCGTACCCTGTAGGTATTCCCGGTTTATCCGCATTCCGTACTAACATCTAGTTAGTCTATCTAGCCCTGTTATGATGTCCGGGCCTTGACCCACCCGACTAGCAAAAATCATGAACGGAGGCAAGGGGATCGAACGACAAACCACCAATCGCCGTGGTCCTCTGGTGTGTCCTGGATTAGCTGGATATCAACTTCCCCCCCTCTCCGACGCGTCCCGTTCGCCCAGTGAAAACCCGCCCTCGCTGCACTTTGCAGCGCGCTGAATTACTACTCATTTCCTCCGTGTCGTTTCCTGACTGACCTGTCAATAATCTCCCCCCTTGGACACTTCGCGTCGCTTCTCCTCATCCAATCCATTCCCCGGAAATAATTGGAACATGCACCGGCAACAGCTTGTACTACGATGTACCTAAAATTGTCCTCATTCTATCTGTGCATCGACCCGAATAACGAGAAGCGTCTCGTTTAGAATCCCTAATCGCCCGCCTTTAATCCTAATCCCTAATAATCCTAATCCTGGTCCTGATCGTGGTCGTGATCGTTCACATAATTCTCCGCCATGTGGAGACGAACGTATTTGCTGCTCCTGGTGATCCGTGTGTACTTCGCGCTGTCCCCAAGTTATCTTCATCCCGATGAGAATTTCCAGGGTCCCGAGGTGGTTGCAGGTAAGTCGGTCCATGCCATTCCTCCCATTCCATCCTTCCGATCCCATCCGCGACCGCAATGCTCCTTCCGGCTCGGCGTGTTTGCGCGTCGACGGAGGCTTGTTTCGGGCTCGTGGCAGGTGCATGCAGATAGAACCTTCCTGCCGACCGACTCGCATTGACTCGCTGCCAAAGGTCGCCTTCTCTCCTATCCCGCCAAACTTCCGTGGGAATTCACCGTCGAGAAGCCCATTCGCAGTGCCTTCCCCCTATGGCCGACCTACGACGTCCCGATCAGCCTTCTGAAATGGTTCTACACCGAAACGGGGACCGAAGCCCCCCCGCCCGAACTAGTCTACTACGTCTTGCGAGGGGTCATGTTCCTCCTTAGTTTTGTTTTGGAGGACTGGGCTATTTACGAACTGGTTCCCTTTCCGCGCCATCGCCGCGCGGCGGTGGTGCTGGTCGCATCCTCCTATGTCACCTGGACATATCAGACGCACACCTTCTCCAACTCCCTGGAGACGCTGCTGGTCGCCTGGGGCCTCGTCCTCATTCGCCGCGTTATTGAGAATAAGGTTCGGAGCGACATGGTCGACTCGGATGTGGAAGAAGACCATCTTGGCTAATGGTTTGCTTATAGCGTCGCTCATCGGTCTTCTCCTGCGCCGTCCTGTCCTTCATCGCCGTCGCGGGGGTCTTCAACCGCATCACCTTCCCCGCCTTCCTCGCTATACCGGGGCTGCAGTTGCTTCCTCATTTTTGGCGCAAGTAGGTGTCGATCCGATCCGACCTGCCGGTGCTCGGTGTGTTAGGTCGCTAATCTCGAGAACCATCTCAGACCGGTTGCCTTGATCTCCTTCGTTGGATTTGGGCTATTATTTTTCAGCATCGCCGTCTACGTGGACACCGCTTTTTACAGGCCAGCTGCGTCCTTCGGAGACATCCTACGCGCGCCTATCATTACCCCCATCAACAATCTACTCTACAACTCCGATAGTTCCAACTTGGCATTGCATGGACTCCACCCTCATTATCAACACTTCCTAGCCAATCTGCCACAGCTTCTCGGTCCGGCATATGTGATGATGGTCCTGTCCTTTTGGAGTCTCCCCACTATTCCGTCTTGGTTGAAGGATATACGCGCCATTTCTGCCCTATCAGCAACTATGCTGTTGTCGGCTTTTCCCCACCAAGAGCCTCGATTCTTAATCCCATGTGTGCCTCTGCTCCTCAGTTGTTTTCGGCTTCGCAAGTCCCGCCTATTTCTAGCTGCTTGGGTCGTGTTCAATGCCGTCCTCGGTTTCCTGATGGGGGTCTATCATCAAGGCGGCATCGTACCCGCCCAGATTGCCATCCCTTCGATTGTCTCGGTGAATGCAGCCGTAGCGAGCAATGCTCCGTCGGAGCCTCTTCGTGTCTCCGCGGCCGTGTTCTGGTGGAAAACTTACTCGCCGCCACTGTGGCTATTGGGTGACAACACTCACCCGTCTGTGGATCTGGAAACCCGTGACTTGATGGGTATGTCTGGGCCGGAAATGATTGAGGAGCTGGGGCGGTCCCTGCAATCCTGTCCACCGGGTGACGAAGGCACCCAGAAGTCAGATGCGGACCAAGCGAGGCACGTCGACTTGGTCTTCATGGTGGCCCCCAAGTCTGCCACATTTCTTGATGCGTACGCCGGTTCGTCAAAGGCTTCCGCCGATCGCGCAGATCTAGAACTCCACGAACTGTGGTCATATAGGAAGCATATCAACCTGGATGACCTGGACTTTGGCGGCGACGGCATCATTCCGACATTGCAACGGGTGATTGGCAGACGCGGACTAGCTGTCTGGGCCGTTCGGAGAGCTTGCAATCGCGTGCCCTCCATCAGCTGAGAATGTAGTGGAGTCAGCTGCTCCATGATGGAATTAAGCTTGATTGCAAGCCGACCCAGCTCTCTCTCGTCTTGCAGTCTTCTCGCCCCGGTCGCTTCGTCGATTATTTTTGGGCTTTTGCATTTATGATCTGTTTATTGATAACAATACCCACGGCCGTTATGTCTTACTATATTTTATTTTGTTGGCTTTCTCCTCTTGCCAACCCAGGCAATTAGTCTTGTACGAGATCACCGCCATCCCGCAAGTATAGATGCGTGTACCCATTGTACTCGCGTATGGCTCGCGGTATCTGATGATTATACGGGAATTATATCCTTACAGTTCGTATAAGAAGGACACTGCGCCCCTTGAGGAGTGAGGTAGACAAGAAAATATGAGGGCGCGAGCGTGACCATTCTGTCAGTCGGTCGGCCTGGGGTCATCGGATTCAACGGGTCCTCTGACCACCGGCATATCAGATCAAGGTTTGGTATTTTGTGTTATCTCATAATGCCGAGGCTTGGTTCCTCCCCCTTCTACACGACACAGCAGGTACACCATGGAATAACCGGGATATTCCCAAGTCCCCATTCGTTGACCCTCGATACTACTCATTCAGAGTGCACGCCCCCCAAAGCAGTCGCTTGGATAAATCAAAATGTCTCATTTCATTTTGCTCCATTAACTAGGTGCAGACGGTAACCTCATATCTGGAAACGAAAAGGAAAGAAAAGGAAATAAAAATGGCCATACGTGATACACCGGGCTGCAAATGTTCTTGAGTGCGACAACAAGGCAACGGCCAGCTTGTTCCCGATGCTTCGGCGCTCGATCATAACTGACCGAGTGAACAAAGTCGAGGCCTTGCCGGAGAAGGTCAGGAAGAGTAGTGTATTGCAAACAAAAAAAAAATCGTTATGAAGAGAAACAAAGGAAAGTCACCGCATCGTATGACCGAACCTCCTGTGGCCGAGTCCCGAAATCGGTATCATAGGTCGTCGGGGTCGTCGGGGTTCTCGAACAAGTAGTTTGCTGCCAACTCTTCGTTCTTATCGCAGGCAAAATACGCCTGGATAACCAGATCGCGTGAGAAACCGAGGCGGCAGAGCTAGCACTAGGTTAGTTCCAACAAATATCTCGGGGGTGGAAGGGGGAACCCCAAAAAGTCACGTACACGTTCAATAGCATCTCTTTCTTCTTCAGTCACGTGGATTTGATGCGTGCCGGGGGGCAGTGCGGCATCATCCTCTTCGCTCAGAAGCTGAAGGAATTGTTCCTCGTTCTGTCCAATAAGCTGCGCAATTTGGGGATTGCCAGCGGCGACCTGCTGGAGGATGGGCTCGAGCATCTGCGGCTGCTGTTGGACCAGCTGGCGCAGCTGCTGGAAGTGCGGGTTATTCCGGAGAAAATCAAGGTTAGGCAGCCCTTCGCCACCGGCTGCTGGAGCACCTCCGCTGCGAGCCCCACGGCCGCCCTCCTGGCCACCGGCCTGAGCGGCCGCCTCGAAAAGATTGACGGGCTCGTCAACGCCGGTCGTGGTGGGGGCGCTTTCTCCGGAGGCAGGGGGTGCATCTTGCGAGGCGGCAGCGGCAGCCTGTTGCTGTTGCTGCTGCTGTTGCTGCTGCTGTTGCTGCTGCTCCTGTTGGATGTTCTCTGGGATTCCCTGCATGAGGCAAACAAAGACAAGCAAGCATTAACCCCTGTCATTTCCAAAGCATTCAAAACACAGGCAAATTTCGACTCACGTTCAAAAGATATTCGATGGCGCGATCGGGATTAAAGAACGCGGCTCTCATCGCACGGTTGATGTCGGATCTCGGGAAACCCATGCTTTCCATTTGAGCGATAACTGGCTCACTCTGGGTGCCACTTAACAGGGTGGAGGGATCATTGAACGACGATTGCGACTGGGCGGTATTGGCGGCAGCCGGAGACGGGGTCGCGGGGACAGCCGGAGCAGAAGTGTTCGTAGATGGAGCCGGGGCGGAAGGTGCAGCTGGCGTCGAGGCAGCGGCTCTTGAGGGTGTGGAGGGAGCTTGCGAAGGAGTGGCCGTGGAGGACGAGCCCTTGGGCTGAGCAAAGCGACGAGGTCAGGCCGAGAAGCTCCAATATGAATTATGGCCGTCAGGCAAAGGTGAGGCTTACCTTGGACACCATACACACTATAAAGCCCTTCTCCTCAATGTTGTACGTTTCGATGGTTTTGTCATCTTGCAGGATTTTTCCTGTAGAAGTTGAACGGCGTGAGCGAGGGGAAGCACGGACAGGACCTTGGCACAGGCGCCATATCGTCCATCATTCCGAATCAATCGAGGTCGGAAATCCAAAGAGTGTCCAACGTACCGGAGTAGATCAGTTTCAGTTGAGGAACTTCCCAGCCCTTCTCCTGGGAAATCTTCTCCTTCACTTGCCCGACCTATCATGTCGCTCAGCCCCGCACCGAACAAATCTTGACGGGAGAGGGATCACAGGCTTACCGTCTCGGATGGCTCTGCATCGATAACAAACTTCTGTTGTTTCAGATCCTAGAGAAGGAAAGTAGACACAGGTCAGATCCCACGATCGTGATGACGACGGGCGTGGCGGGAGGGGAATTCGGTGCAGCGTACTTTGAACGTGAGCTTCATCTTGCGCCACCGGAAGAGCAGAGATGGCTTTGAAAGACAAAGGGGAACCAAAGACACTCAAAGATGGATGAGACGATGACGGGGGGGATTTGATGGAACGGGTGGGATGGCAATGGATCGAGGAAGCAGAAGATCGCGGGGTGGAAGATGGATCAGATCGACTGCGAAAGAACTGGCAAGTGGGAGAAACAGCGATGACGAGGAGGAGGAAGCTGGAGGCGGTGACGCCGGGCCCAGCCACACGCGCCACAAGTCACGCCCCTCTCGCTACCGCGCCACCTTTCATCCTCTGTCGTCCTCTGTCGTCGGTCTTCTGTCCTCGATCGTCGACGTCGAACGGAAGTACGATCCGTTGCGCTTGCATGGATCGACGCTCGACTATCATTCGGTCGAGCTGAACATGTTACGCACTTGCACCCCAAACCCACGCCTGCCAGGATCCCATACGGAGCACCACGGTATTTCTCCGTGTCCCCCCTACGTTCTTCTTTCTCATTGCCATTGTTGTCGACTCTTCAGCGTGGCAAGAGTCAAAGCCCGTCCGGATGGATGTGTCTCATGGATCTATCACACCGGCTCCTTGCGGTGGAGACCACCCCGAGCGGGCTCCAACAATCATCCACCAACACATTCCTCACGCTAATGATAATTTCACGGCGTCGAGGCAGACAGTTGATCTAAGTCTCCCTCTCGATCTACCCTGATCTCTCCCAGGGCGAATCAAAAGTGGCTGCGATGCCGCTGCTCAGTTTCGTTCAACCTGGACCCGATGTTATCACATCGCACCTCAAGGTCGCTCGACGTATCATATTTTATGGATCCGGAGGCTTTCTCTCAATCAGCATTATCCGTGTCCCGTCCTGGAATCCTCACGGATGATCGATCGTTTAGGGCCATCCCGGGAGACTGGTGATCGTCCCGGCCGCCTCGCACAGGAAGCCACCCAGCCTTGACAAATTGTTTTCTGGACGTGTTCCATGCACATCTAATTTTGTCTTGAGACGGGCCTGGAGTCTTCGTACGGGTAACCGGGGCGGGAATCGTCTTGCTCACGGCTACTTCCCAGACATGTGGACCGGGTTGCGTGGGCGATGATGAGTTTGATGGTCAACGAGTAAACAAGACCAGTCCACGCCTGATGTTCTCGAGTATGGCAGGTATGCCGCCGTGCAGGTAACTCAGCATGGAGTATGGGATGGAGTCAAGGGGAGGCGTTGCATCTCGCGAGGCTTTGGGGCATGGGTGTACATATGTCGTACTGGATGTATGTCCCCGTATGTATGTATACTTATATATACATACATGGCATTGGGTCCAAGGTCGGTTTCATCTAGTCTGTAAAAAAAAATAAAAAAATAAGAAGAATAATATAATAATACCGATAATCGAAAAAAAGAAAAAAAGAAATCCCCATTTATGATTTTATTTTTACAGCTCCCATGCCTTTTCCAGATCCCCTGAAGGGGGGCACTGACAGCCCCATATCAATAAACCCCCCTCCCTGTCTGCTCCAATGCTAATCCTGGTCTCGTTCGAACGATTCCATGCAGCACAATCCAAATACTTTCGGGGAACGCATCCCCCCGTCGCTCTCTTTTTAGTTTGAAAGATATACTTTCGGTCCTTCCGGCCTGCTGGGTTACAGGGTCCCAGTCGGATATTTACCCCAGTCGTCCCTCGTCCGTCCTCAGGCTCTGTCGGCCGTACTCTCTAGGTAATTTCTCGCTCGAGGCATTCCTTTTGAATTAGTCCCTGGTTCTGGAGACGAAACCCACCTGATATTCTGCACCATAATGATCCTGACGTGACTATGACGAAGACTTTCCTTGACTGCTGATGATATCTCGACCTTCTACCCTCATCTGTCGTTCAAAGTATCAGAATCACCACCAATTGACACGGCAGTCCCCATACAAACCTCACTGCCATCCTTGAGCCTTTCCCCAATCTGTTAATCCGAAGGCCATTGTATCGTCATTGAGATTCAGAGGCGTACTTTTGCCTCCGGACACACCCCCTCAATGAACCTCACCAGGCCCAGGGCCTCTCTGGCCTACGTGCTGGGAACGACCGGTCTGGCATCAACTTTCACGGTCACGATTCTCGACGGGGTATGCTATGCATTTGCCAAATCTCTCCCGTCTCATATATCCGCCATCGAGTCCGCCATCGTCAGCCTGAGTGTGATTAGCTGCCTTGCACTTTTCGCGTTGGTATCAATCTGGGTGTCCGACATTGAGAACGGACTTCGCCGGCAGTGGAAAGGCTGGAGAGCCATCACCTATGGCATTGCCATAGCCTATTTTTCCCTGGCCACCGGGATCACGGCGGGGGCAATAGCGTGGAGCGCCGTCCAATCCATCACAGAGGCCGATAAGTCCCACCTGACTCCGAAGCAGCGGACTCTGATGGTCGTCCGCTGTGTGATATGGGCCATTTCCGTCCTGAGTCAGGGGTTACTTGGAGGATACCTCCTCATGTCGATGTCCAAAAGAGGACAGCGTATTCAATGGCCGAGCTCGTTCTCGCAGGAGCTTGAAATTCTCCCGGACCACACCAGCATCAGGCCCAGCAGCCCGTCCAAGACGCCGTCGTTGGTCATCACGGATTCCCAGCGCGAGGAGGACCGCAGTAGGACCAACCAGGAGCTCGAAGCCTCGGCTCAGCCATCCGCCTCGAGTGCGGCGTCCCTGGTCTCTCATCGGTACTCTGGCAGAACCTTGACTCAGCACGAATCGAAACGAAGTTCTTTCGATCAGAACCCGCAGCATCCATCCGTCCCGGAGGGGGCCGTGACTCGCAGCAAGATCAGCGGGTGCTCTGATGACCACTCGCAGAAGCTCCAGCGCCGACACTCCGAAGTCAAACGGTCGTTCGACAGCCTCATCCTGCGGACCGCGTCCGGGCGGTCGTCGCCGGCCAGCAATTTGCTCCAGCCAGAAGTGTCCCGGGGATCAGCCGCCCCAACCCTGACGGTGGCGGACGAAAGTCACATCCACCCATTGTTTCGTACAGACAGTCCGTCGCCCGCCCCGACTCCGACGCCCGGCACCGTCGTCATCGCGTCGCCCGCCGCAGGGCAGATCATCTCGGTCAAGACCCTGAACCGGGTGCGATCCACCAACTCGCTGCGGTCTCATAGCACCCGAAGTCGGTCCCCCTTGTTTGAGCGAATGGATCATCCGGACGATGCGTCGGCACGAAGACCAGCGCCTTCTGGGGAAAACAGCCAGCAGCGTGATCTGGCCATCCCCAGTTTTATCATGGCTGCCGACATACGGAGAAGCATCACCCGGTACGAGAAAAAGTACGATTTGCATGAATCCCCTCACGAGAGTTAGGAGGGGTGGGCCGTAGAGGGGATGCAGCGACGCTTCTTCTTCTTCTTCTTCTTCTTCTTCTTCTTTTTTTCTTCTTTCCTTCCCCTCCATTTTCTGCGTTGTACCATTTTTCCTTTGTTCCTAGATATCCCGGATGTGTAGCGCGGGCGGTGTTCTATCTTTTTATTTTGAACCTTCTTGCCTTACCATAGCCCGTCATTTAGCCAGCTGTCGATTATAGAACCTAGTCAATCGGATGAACTGATAGATAAACCAATGTCCCGACTATTTCTTCCTCCGTTCCCTCTCGGGCCCCTTTATACAAGGGAGACGAGGAGGGGGGGGGGGGGGGGGGGGCTTGGATGCGATGTCTCGACCACCTGCAGGCTCGTGCGACGGCGACTGGGCAGCGTGTACAACATCCTTGTGCCACCGCTGCTTCCAGAGAGGACAGGCCGACAGGCTTGTTAATTCGACCGATATCCATATTCCCGGGGAAGAGGCTGGAATCTCGTGACCATCTCCATGCGACGCGACCCCAGGGCGCGGCTGGATGTCTCCATTCCTACGGGAGTGAAGTGACGGTGAGCACAATGGCGGTCGGGCGAGCAGCGCGTCCGACTAGCGGTAGGAAGCTCACGAAATGAAGAGATTGCAGGAATCGTGGCGGCATCCACGGACAGCCATGGGCATTTCATGTGCCTGTGTGTACGGATAGACGCTAGACAGACCGTAGACAGCAGGATTGGGATCCACTTGGGATGCTTGCATGGCCATCCATCCATGGGGTGGTGGACCTTCGCAGGGAATCAACGTGGTCTAATCGACGACCGACTGGGCCTGTGGCATGGCTGCTCATCTGCATTTGATTGCCGGAGAATGACTTGCGATCGAGAGAGAGAGAGAGAGAGAGAGAGTTGGCCCCAGTCCCTCCGCGGTAGGTATAGTGGCTATAGTTAGACGGAAGTGGGTAATAAATACGACCGGCGTTTGGAGTAGGTAGACTGTTAGGACCAGGAAAGAGGATACTATAATAGATCCAAGGGAATTATCCGAGATCGAGGAGAATGCGATAGGAAATAGAAGATTGAATTCTTTGGTGGGGGAAGAGAGAGAGAGAGAGAGAGAAAGCAGGGAAGTGAATTCTTTGAACCAAAATAATTTTACCAACGAATTCCCGCAGCCAAAAAAACTCACGTTTTTCCCTTGCATTTTCTTCTTCTTCTTCTTCTTCTTCTTCTTCTTCTTCTTCTTCTTCTTTCTGCTTCCTCTCCCTCTCTCCCTCTGTTGGTTCTTGAGCTCTCGCCGCTTCTCCCGTCCTGACGATTTTCCCCGTCGGAAGTTCTCCTTCTGCATTCTTTTGCCTCATCCCCGTCCATCCCCGAACTAAACCCGTTGGCTTCATCCTCTGACTTGAACATCAACGTCAACGTCAACGTCAACGTCAACTTCAGCTTCAACTTCAATTTCTCACTGACTCTCGTCTGCTTCCTTTTATTCCCCCACACTCTCCTGCATTCCTTCTTGCACTGACTGGCCGATGCTCCATCCCCCTGATTCCTCCCCATCAATCCCTGTGATCATCAATTCCATCCCATCCTGGTCTTTCATCTTCCATCCTTCTTCTCCTGCCCCCTATCGAAACCACATCCATCAGACGGTCCAGGAAGATCGAATTCCGCCGGATTGTCCAGCGTTGCGAGTCCGACTACTTCATCCGGCGACTTACTCCGTAAAATCTACTGGCGGATCCACTTGGCCGAACCGCTTTCTTACTCTTTCGGCGACTACTTTTACTTCACTCGCAACTCTTTTTTCCTCGTCGCGCCTCTCGTTCTCCTGCTTCCCTTTGGATGCGCCGTTGCATCGTCTAGTTCGGTAGGTCGCTTGTACGCTTTTCCTGGTCTGCCCTCGGCTTTTTCGTTTTCTGTCCTTCCTTTCTTTTTCCCTTTCCTTTTTCCTTTTTCCTTTTTCCTTTTTCCTTTTTCCTTTTTCCTTTTTCCTTTTTCTTTCTTTCTTGCCCCCTTCAATTTCCCTCCCCGACACGTTCTCCCTGCCGCATTCCACCGGCATCGTCTTCCCCAAATCTTCATATTTCCATATCTCCATATCTCCATATCTTCTCGGGGGTCCATCGTTACAGCTACTCCGCCGTCTCCTGGTCAACACCTTGTTTCTTCATGTCCCTTCCCCCGCCAATGATCTTGTGTCTGCTCTCCTGTTCCACCACAGCGGCTCTGGTCTCTTACTTCGTATTGTGTTGTCAATGACTCCTGACCCCGTTTGTTGGGTTTCTTCCCTTCCCTTGCGTTCTTTGAACCCACTCTGGCGCTTTTTCCTTCCGCTTCTCGATGGCCCAGTATATCTCCATTCCTCATCTACTCTCGCACCGCTAGCCCCAAAGCCATCTTCCCATCTTCATTGGGCGTATTCTGCTGCGTTGCCCATCTAACCAATCGCGCACGTCCCCCTTCCTTGTATTCCTGCTACTCCGTCGATTCGCGTGTTCGTTTCGCGTCTATTCTTCCCCGTGGCTCTCTCCCCGTTGGAAACGTTCCTCTCCATTGCCTCTGGCACTAACACGCCGTCGCAGAAGACCGCGATGGGCGGGGTCAAGCGGAAGATCGAGGCCACCAAAGGGTCGACTGCAGCACCTTCCGGCGGCCCTCCTGCCACCCCTCTGAGCATCGATCGTAAGTCTGTCCGGCGTTAACTGCCATCTGGGCACCTCTTCTCACCAAGCCACAGACTCTGCTGCTGGGGACACTTCGCACATTCGTGTGACTCGAAGTCTGCGTGCAAGCCAGGACGCACGTGCCCACCAAACTGATACCAACAGAAGCAACGCTCACACCCCCACCACCAGCAACAAGAGTGGTCCTAACCGTCCATCCCGAATCATCACGCTCAAGACTCGTCCACGCGTGTCCAGTACTGCTGCAAGCAATGCCGCAAGCTATGCCGCAAACAATGCAGCAAGCGGTTCCGTAAGTACGACTCGTGAGACCCGTGCCTCTCGAACGCGGGCCGCTCTGCCTGCTGCCCCGGCTGCTCCACCCCAGCTGGACGGCATGGCTTCGTCGACTGTACCGGAAACTCCTCGATCCAAACGGATCAAGCGGGGTCCGACGGTCGAGGAAACCCCCCGAACGACGAGACAGTCGGCCCGGTTGCGACCGCACCTCCAGCCGGCCGCAAGTGAGAATGCGCCGGCCGAGGCAGACAGTGCAGTCAAACGACCCGAGGAGGCTAGTCCTTCCGTGGGTGTTGCCTCTGGCACCCGGACTCGCAAACGAAGTCGACAAACCGTGGACGGGATGAAACCCCCGGTCCACGACGCCGTCCCTGACCCTGCGGAATCGCTGCCCAAAGCGCCTTCTCCAGACGCCGCTGCCCCCGGAAATGCACAGGATGCCAAGCAGTTGGATGGCGAGCCTTCGCGGAGCCTAACCATTACATTTCCCCGGCCCGCAGACGAGACCCGCGACGGTGCCGCTTCCCCAGAAGAGAAGGACAGCCTCGGCGAATCGATAGCTGAGGAGGCCGTGAGCCCTACCACGAAACCAGGCAGCCCGTTAGCAACCCGAAAGCGCAGATCTTCGGAGGCCGAGGATGACAGTGCTGCCGACCCCAGCAGTCCCGTCGCTTCCCCCAGCAAGAAGCCCAAGGTGGAAGAAGGGGAGCCTGCCTTGGAGAACCCATTACTAAACGACCCTATGGAGAAGCCCGAGTCGCAAACGCCGGAGGCCGGTGCAGCGGAACCTAAAACCGACAGTGAATCTCGGCAGATCACGGAGGAGGTTGAAGGATCGACGCCCGAACTTGCCATGGGTCCTGCCGGCGGCAAGACATTCCGGGGTGGTCGGAATCGAGGGCGAGGGCGTGGCGGGCGCAGCAGAGCAGCGGCACGCTTTGCGGCAACCCGACGTGGGCGGGGCGGTGCTCGGAGTGCCCGCGGAGGCCGCACGGGTCGTCAGCTCGATCGCTCGAGTGACGTCGAGCTTGAACGCTCCCCGTCCCCCAGCGCCGCTACGCAGAAGCTCCGGGATCGTCAGCGTGAACTCGACAAGGCGTTCAAGAAAGTGGCGGCCGCCCATCGGCTGGCGTTGGCCGTGCTGGCAGACCAGTCCGAGAAAAAGCTCGCCCGAGATAAGAATGCCCATAAAAATGTCCCCGAGTACGACGAGATCAATGACCTCTTGCAAGAGAGGCTTCGAGAAAGACAAGCGTTGTTTCGCCGAGAGTACGAGCTCAAAGTGGAGCAAGAGAATCGAATGTATGCCGCCAACAAGGAGATCGTTGAACAGAGGTTCAAGGTGAGTGGTCGCGCTACGCTTCCTAGTGCTTGAGAGAAGCCTGCTGACCGTCATGGATGGCAGACATCGGCACGCTATATTCAAAAAGAGCATTTCTACGCCAGCCAAGGAGACTATATGGCTTTTGTGGAGGGCCGTCGGGCGGCGGAGGATGACGAGCACACCGAGGTAAGCCTTGCCCTTGTTACAGCGGCTCCATCACCGCAGCTTATCAACTGATGCACGAACGCGCAGACGGACGGCTCCGAGACCGAGCCGGAGCGGGGACCCATCGTGTCCCCCGCGAAGGAATTCATCCGCGGCTTCAACTCCACCTTCGTTCGAGATACGGCGGGGGCTGCTGCCTACGATCGAGGCTACCATGGCTGGGAGGATTTCGTCCAACGGGCCAAACTGGGCGATGACATTGACCCGCAGATGAAGGAAATCGGCGACACCGCTGGCGCTGGTGGCCTCTCTACCCGGCAGATCGTGGACATGCTCCTGGAGGCAACGGGAATCGTCGAAGTGCGACATAGCGGAGCACCGGGGCGGGAGTTTTATCCCCCAGTGGCTGCCGCCGTGCGTCCGACGGCGTTATTTGCTCTGGCCGACGTCGCGGCGGCCGAGCTCCCTCGTCCCTCGATGATCCAGGCGACCCCCCGTCTTCCCACCCATCGAACGCTTCTCCCTCAGCCTCCGCAACCTCCTCAGCCTCCGCAACCGCCGGTGGCCCACGGACCGACGGATCCCCGATCCTTCGTGCTCCCTCCTCCCACACCCCATCGCCAGCCGCCGCGTCGACTTCTTCCTGCGGCGCAACAGATCCCTCCCATCAATGAGCAGCTGGGACTGCCCGACCCCTTCGCCTCCCGCAGTGGTCCCCCTCAGCTTCCGCCGCCGCCAGGGTCGAACTTCCAACGGCCACCGCTGCCGGGGTACCTCGCTGGGCCTCATCCGGCGCATCTGTATTACCCGCCGCCGCCGCCGCCACATGGACCGCGGCCGCCCTACTGAGGGGGGATGGTTATGGCTATGATTTGAATTGTTTTGTTCTCGAGCGACCTGTGATTGGATCTGTGACTTAAGTTTATTTGTTTTTTTTTTTTCTTAGTAATTCCGAGGCTATATTTGGAGTCATAATACTTGCTCTTACTGGTGCAGGCAGCGTAAGGAGCGTAAGCGTAAGGCCGATGACTAACGATGGATCATGATGACTCGCCGCATGACTCCTCGCCCCGATCGGGACTAGCGCCGCGGGGCCCGTCGAGGATTTCGTTGACCGGAAAAGATTCTGGTTTCAATCAAAGATCTATCGATCGGTCCTTCTTATATCTTCTTCCCTTCCCCGACGACGGCGTCACCTCCCCTCGTCCTCACCCCTGCTTCCCCGTCCGCGTCTCAGCGCCTCGTTCGCCCAATTCTCGTCCGGCGTTTCCATCCCCCTCACCACCACCACCACCCCCCCCACCTCACATACTCGCCTCGTGCGGGCCCTCGGTCGACCATCCTTCGCCATTCCCTCCGAATTGTCCCTTCAATCCAGCATCCTTAGAATCATGGCGGTCCGCGCTCAATTCGAGAACTCCAACGAGTGAGTGGTTCCCGTCGTTTTGATCCGCCGACGTCCCACCCCGCAGAGGAAGTCCTTCTTCAGCCCGCTAACAGTCAACCTTCGTCCGACAGAGTGGGTGTTTTCTCCCGTCTTACCAACTCGTACGCCATTGTTGCCATCGGAGCCTCCGAGAACTTCTACAGGTACTGCCGATTTCTTCTCCCCGTTCGCCCTGCGAGCACCGGGCTGACCTAGTCGATTGCGCAGTGTATTCGAGGCCGAACTGCAAGATGTCATCCCCATCTGCCATGCTACCATCGCCGGAACTCGGATCGTCGGCCGTCTAACAGTCGGGTATGTCTGAAATCACCTCGCGTGAAGGCGCTGCTGCCTCGTGCCTCTTGGAGATCCTCGCCTCTCTGCCGGGAGCTAACACCGGTCTAGCAACCGCAACGGCCTCTTGGTGCCCACCACCACCACAGACCAAGAACTGCAACATCTGCGGAATACATTGCCAGATTCGGTGAAGATTCAACGGATAGAAGAACGTCTCTCGGCGCTGGGAAATGTCATTTGCTGCAATGACCATGTGGCATTGATCCACCCGGATCTGGAGCGAGAAACCGAAGAGATGTAAGATTTTCCCCCTCCCCCCGCCGATGATTGTATTCGGTCGAAGGAAGAGGAGAAAACAAACTGACAGGAACCAACCATAGCATTGCGGACGTCCTCGGAGTCGAAGTATTCCGCCAAACTGTCGCCGACAACGTCCTGACCGGCTCTTATATGGCCCTCTCCAACCAGGGTGGTATCGTGCACCCCAAGACCTCGATCCGTGATCAGGACGAGCTTTCCTCGCTGCTGCAGGTGCCTTTGGTTGCCGGTAGTGTTAACCGCGGTAGCCCCGTCGTGGGTGCCGGTATGGTTGTCAACGACTGGTTGGCCGTGACGGGTCTGGACACGACGGCCACCGAGCTGAGCGTGATGGAGAGCGTGTTCCGGCTGGGCGAGATGGGCCCTCGCGGTGTCGGCATGGGCGGTGCCAACAAGGAGAGTATCGTGGAGAGTTTCTACTAAACTCCCCGATCAGAAGTTGGTGGAATCAATATTTTCTGTGACGATTTTTCTTACGCTCTGCCCCTCGGACCCCCTCTCTCTTTTTCTTTTTTTCTTTTTTTTTTTTGTGTCCCTCGTCCTTATATCCGCATCGTTTTAGGGAGTCGATTGTTTGTTTCTTTCTCTGCTTGACTGGACAATTGACATCGCATGGGGAGAAGAATAAAAATCATCTTTTGCTACACATAGGTTAAGGTATCTTCAATACATACTGGATTGGGTGGGCCAATGATGTGCTTGTCTCTCACGGGGAAAATCCAAAATGATTCCATTCTAGATTGATCGGATCAGGACCAACCTGGGTAGATGGAAGAAACTATTTCAGAACTGAGAAAGACGTTTATTTAGTTATACACTGATCAAAGAGAGGCAGTCCGACCATCTCTTTTCCTGCCTGCTGCTGTTGGGTGGAATCTCCAGAGGGTACCTATGCAATATAACCAGTAACTGAGCGCGAATATAGGGGGTATTGACCGTGTGCGACACATCAAAAATAAAATAGCATAGAAACATGGTGAGAATCAAGAGGAATAGAGTGACGAAGATAAAACAAGGAAATGAAAGGTATTAAAAGAAAATAGATACGCAAGAAGATCAACGCCGCTAAACTCCTGTTCGAAATGCTTCAAAAAGAAGGCCAAAGGGGGAAAGAAAATGGGAGAAAAACAAAGGAAATAGAAAAGAAAGACGACAGGCCGCTTACACCCTCCCTCCCTTCAATGCGATCGCTCGAGCTCGTTCAGGTCCGGCGTGTAATCTCCATTGGACTGGGATTGTTCCGTCGGGTTTTCCCCAGTATCATGAGGGCTCTCGTCGTTGCTCTCGTCCGGAGGTGGCGGCGGTGGCGGCGGCGGCGGAGGCGTTGAAGAACGTTGTCGTTTGGAAGACGAAGCAGCTTCGTCGCCGGCGATTCCCTCTCCGATGTTAGACTCGGATCGCTTCCGTTTCTGACCCCCCTGGAGATCTTCCACGCTTGCGGACGTCTCCTTCTCCTCGGCCTTATCTCCCTCATCGTCGGACATCTTGACATCATCCAATGCCTCGTCGTCGCTGGGGATTCGAGGCGTATCGTCTGGTTTCGAGTCCGTTCCTTGCGCATGCTTCTCTGCTTTCCGCTTCTCGTAGGCCCGGTGTTTCGCTACGGCTTTGTCAAAGTATTCTTTGCAGAACTTCTTCACCTTCTTCTGCTGCTTTTCGTCGATCTTGGTGGGATCGTCCACCCGGTTGTTCTTGAAATCAGAGTTGACCAGCTTTTTGGCTACCTACGAGGCGCAGAGTTCTGTTAGTAACGGAATCCCTTTCTTTTTTTTTTATGACGGAGGAAGGGTCGGAGCTTACATCTTTAGCATAACGCTTCAGGTCGTCTTTCGGAAGTTTGTGCTTGAATTTGTCCACGATGTACTTGACGTGAGGAAATAACTGACGGAAAGAGAGAGCAAATGAGCACTATGTCGCAGGGATCAGGTCAAGCGGATTATTCCTCACCGTATTCTCGTAGAGCTTTTTCCGCTTCTCTTCGCTGTAGTTCCTCCACTTCTCCTGTGATTCCTTTTTCTCCGGGGTGGGTTTGGAGGTGTGCGGGGTGGCTGGCGTGCCGGTCTTCTCCTTAGGGGTGTTTTCTTTGGCGTTCATGATACCGTCGATGATATCTTGCAGCGCCTTGTCTCTCGATTCTTTAGGCGGCGGAGGGGGTTGAGGCGCCGGCACCGTAGGGCGTGTCCAGGTGGTGTCGCCACGCGCTGAGTAGTAATATGTCCGCCCATTGGATTCGGCGGCAAACCAGCCTGTCGGCAGCGGGTTGAACTGGCGGCGAAATGGTCTAGGTCCGTGATGGTGCGTGTTTCGTGCGCCGTGTCCGCCGCGACTCTGAGCGGCCGGCCCGCGGGGGGCCTCGATTGATCGCGATCTTGATCGGGAGCGTGATTTGGATCTTCGCCGCTCATCGCGAGCGTTCGTCTCTCGTCGCTCAAACTGATTGACCGCCTTCACCTGTGCGAAGGCGGCCGGGTCCCTCTTCATCCGCGGAATGCGGTAGCCGACTGCGAGCGTCGACCAGCCTTGCAGAAGCGCAGCCGCCTTCTTCTCGACCCGCTCCTCACCACAGCTCGTCAACGGTTGAATGGTCGACTCGATTTTCGAATCGATGATCTTGTTCCGAGTCAAGCGAGGGAACCCGTCGAGAATGTCCAAGATCTGCAGCGCGACATTGGTATCATCCTTCCACATGGCCAGCTGCGAGTTGAGAATTTGATAGCCGTGCATCTTGACAACGCGATTGCGAACCCGCTCGTCCTCGCAACGCTGGATGCGGCCCAGAAGTTTGACTGCGATCCATTTCTCCTTGCACTGCATCAAGGCCGCCATGACCTTGGTGACGCCATTTTCATCCAGAGACTTGGGCTGCACGCTATCCACATATTCTTCATCATCCTCGCCCATCTTCTTCTTGCGCGGGCGCTTAGCCACCGCGGTATCCCATCCATCCGCATCGTCAATTCCCAAGGCTTCGATCGTCGCATTCGAAAGCTTGGTTGCCCGCTCCGTCTGGGTCCTCCCACCAATGAAGCCCGTGCAATTTGGTTCGCCACAGTAGCAGGGCTGGGGGTCAGCTCCGTAGCGGTCGACGTTGTAGTTGAAGACAAGCTCCTCGCCCGGCTGAATACTCCTTTCCGCAAAGATACCCATGCGAAGCTTCTCTCCGACGACCCACTTGTCGACATAGCAGTTGGGATTACACGAGTGGTTACAAAACCGGCCCAAATTGCCCCTTTTGGTCGCGTCGACGAATTCGCCCTTGCTGAGCGACATGAAATAGAAATGTTTGATGCCCTCCTCATCGTACTGCCTCATGCGCCGTCGGAATTGGCCTTCGTTGATCACTTCACCCACATACTCAAAGATGAACTGATGCGGTCGCAGGTCGGCCTCGGCACGCAGTCCGAATCCTTTCTTCTCCGTCTTAATGACAGACACAGGAGCGTACTCTCTGCGCTGAAATCGCTGGTTTTGGCATTCCGGACCACATCCACAGTCTCCCATACATTCGATTTTGGTTGCGCGATTGATGCAGTCCGAGTCCTCTCCGCACGCCAGATTTTGACCGATCGATGATTCTGCCCTACGTTAGGAAAGAGCCCAGATTCGCGCGCATACTCATTTACTCGATTCATAGCGCAAGAAGCGAGATAGAAAACATAAGGAAACCCGGAGAATGGTGGAAATAAGGAAGGGGAGAGGGGGGAAATGAGGAAGTGTGTATTCGTAGAAATCGGAGAATTGGTAATCTTCGCAGACATCCGTCTGTTGGGATCCGAAATAAGATGGCACACGTGTGGTAAAAGGGGTGCAAAGAAAGTCCGGGAAGAAATAAATAAAGGAGGGGGATAAAAACTTACCCCATTCCTCAGCACAATCGCATTCCATCGCATGTTCCGTATATCCCATATATTTGTTGGCATACGTGCAGGTTTCCATCAACTCGAACGTCGACCGAGCTTCCGCGGTGCTGTTGGGCAAATGCGAGAACAACTGCGGTGGGCGCGGGACAACCTTCTGGGACGAGCTGCGAGTCAACTTGGGAGGCTGCCCGGGCTCCAGTTTGACGGTGATGTCGCCCGCGATTCTCTCCTCCGTGCTGGAGGCATGGACGTCGTGTTCATCGAGATGCTCGTCCCTTTTGATCGGAGTACCGGAGGAAGACCGCGATTTGGTGGCGGGGGCAGCAGAACCATTGTTCTGGGGCATCGTGGGTGGTGAGTTGGACGGCCTGTCGGGGTCATCCTTGATCCCAGCACCTCCGCCGTTTGAGGTGGGAGCCTCGGTGGCACTGTCGGGCTCCAGCTTCATCGCGGTCACCCCATCCGTTACGGATTCAGACTGACGGTCCGCGTAGCCATGGGGGAACATGACGACACGGACGGCGCGCGCCAACTATCGGGAGCCAGCAGGGGGGAGGGTGAGAAGGGCGGAATTGGCGTTGGATGGATGGATGGATGGTGGAGTTGAGAAGTTGAGGCGAGGGAGGGAGAGGGAGAGGGAGAGGGAGAGGGAGAGAGGAAGAGAGGAAGACGAGAAGGCGGGCAGAGCGAGAGGGGAAAGCAGGAGAAGAATAGCGAGTCTGGAAGTGGTCGTGAACCAGACAAAGTCCAAAGTCGCCGTCAAACAATTTTTTCCCTTCCTATTCCGCGCCAAGAAATGTCTGCGAGGAAAAAGAAAATCGATTCCAGGGATTAGTCCCTTTTAATACGCTTCTAAAAGCTCTGGATGACCCCGGCGCGTATGCGCTCCGGCTCGCTATTCATTCATTCACTGCCTCATGGGGAGAAAAAAAAAAAACATAAATAAATAAAATAACATAATACGATTTCAATCCCCCCTTCCGACTCGTCTCTGCGCTCGCGGCGCATCGTTCCCAATCACTCGCCAAAACCTCGTCAACATCGACGTAAAGTGTTGGCCGTTGGCCATTGGCACATCGGTCGGGGATTGGAAATCTCCAACCACGCCGATGCAAGAAGTCGGATAAGATCATGTTGCTGCGTATCCCCGGACGCGAAAGGTTCTCGAGAAACATAGGGACTCATGCTTGGCTTCGCCCAAGGGCGGTTGGTTGCCTTGGGTGGCCCCTAGACAAAAAGCGTGTACGTTGTCCGAGCCTGCACCGATTGCAAGCTCTTCCAGTAAGACTGTATAGTCCCACGAGATCAGCCTAACGTGGTTCTTTCCCTTTCCCTCTCTCTTTGTTTTTTCTTTACCAACCCTAGCCGGACGGTATATGCTCGTCGCTATACACGTATGGGGCGGGACTCATCGACCCAAGAGGCGGGAAAGACGGAGCGGGGGGAAAGATGAGGACGATAGCCCGCGAGGGCTTGTAGTCAGGTCATTTCGTGCCTAAATGGATGATATTCGACAAAATTTAGTTTTCACTTGAGTTAAGTCCAGGCCAACGTAGAGACAGATATCTGGACGAACGATGCATTTCCGCTGCACAGGTCGGATCAATGCTAGATTTTTCGGAGCCAACCGCATAGCCGGAGAATAAAGGCGGGATTCCAGCTGTAGGGAATCAGATCAAACATGGCCCTCTCCAGCCGTCAAACGGCCAGGTCAGCCTCAAATGACCAACATTTCCCGGAGAATGTACCGAGACGGACTCCGTCGAAAGTGAGGGAGAGCAGGGGACTGCTGCTTTGCAACGACAGTCGGGTGCGCCGAAAACAATTCCAAAACCATAGGCCATGAGAAGACCAGAATGATCGGACTATCCTGCGCATGCAGCTTCTATCTAAGGGTGGCTGGGAAACATCAGAAAGGATCTGCGTGGGACGATGAGACGAGACGCAAATGATCAGTCAGCAGAACGATACGTCCGATCGATTCCATGTCCTTTTTTTCTTTCTTTTCTTTTCTTTTTGGTGGGAATGTGTCCGTTCTGCAACGTCGGAAATGGAGAAGAAAAAAAAGGCCCCCCCAGAGAGAAAAGGGATTAACGCAATAAAAATAAAAAGGAAAAAAAATAAATAAATAAAAATCAAAGAGAGAACGTTGAAGTTCAGCCAGCGGGTAACGATTGGACGCAACGATCGCAAAAACAGCCGGCGATCGAGTTAAGCGACCAATTCAATTCGCAATGGAGAAAATCAATCAGCGGCAGACCAGACGAGACGAGTCCAGTCCAGCCCAGTCCAGTCGACTTGGTGTCATGGGTGGATTATCTAGTGGATTCTATTCTTGTGACCGGTTGCTGCAGGTCAAATCCTCGACCCCAAACCCATCGGGATTGTCGACGGTGCATGAACGGGTGGTGTCACCGTCACCGGTTCAGGTTACGAAGACAGGGTATTGAAGCGTCCCCCGAGGTCAAGGAGAGAGAGAAGCGTCCCTGAGGCGAGTAAGAATCATGGCCATGAAGCCATGCGAGCGAGTCGAACGGACGAAGGAAAGAAAGGTCGCGGGGCTAATGCAATGCAGCGAGCGACGGTTCGGGGGAATCCTTCTTTCTTACAGACGGACGCATGGTACTTCGTCCGTACTCCAGCGAAAGAAAGAGATCTTTTGGATGGGTCGATTGACGGATGGATGGATGGATGGATTCGATGGATTGGATGAATTCGAGTCTCCCCAGGGGCGATGACTCAGCCGGGGGGACCTGGCGGGTGGGGCAGAGGGTGACTTCCGCCCAAGGTACCGGGTACTTTGCCATCCTCGCCGGGCCGCCATGGTCTGGATGTATGTGCTACCGACGGACGGAGTTCCCCTTTCCCCTCTTCCCCCTCCACCACCATCTTCCATCCTCATCGCCCTCCCACCGCCAACTTCATCGGCAGTCCATCTTCCCCCTCCCACTACTCCGTCCCATCTTCATCATCAATTCATCGTCTTCCCCTTCGTCTTCCTCGATCCCCCGGGATAACTGGGTCAAACTCTAAATAACCAATGGCTTCCCTTGTCAAGTTGCCCATGCAGCACTATCGCGGGCTACGGACGGACGGTTGATTCAAATCGGCGGGGCGCTGCTTCTCCTGCATGCCGATGGTTCTCGTGCATGGGCCGTGGTGAGTATCGAGCAGATGCTCCGGCTCCTCTGACTGGCGATTCTCCCGACTAAGAATGCCTGGCGACCACCCGACAGTCGACCCGTCAAATGAAAATCAGCGGCAACGCTGCCTAGCTCAGCACTACCACTGCGACGATGTCGCACTAGCCGGTTCACAAGCGCGGTGGTGGCATTAGCCCGCCTGCCTTGTGGATGAAGAATCCTCATGTTTTGTCGATTCTCCCGCCATGGGATTTTGGTCCCGGTCGACTTTGTCGGCCCCTACCCTCCGGTCGACAATAACGAGGGCCAAAAAAAAAAAAATAATAAATAAAAAAGAGGTTCTGTATTACGACTCCGTCTTATGGCTATTATTGTTGTGTCTCTCTTTCTCGCCGGTATACACCCTTCGTTTTTTTTCATTTTCATTTCATTTTATTTTTTTGCCCTCATTTCTAAATTCTTCCCCCTCTTTCGGTGTAATTCTTTTCTCTTGGTTTTCTCCTCTTTGCGTCTTTGATAATTTTATTTGTTTCTATTTCTATGGCCTGTGTTATTTTCCCCCGTCATGATTTCCCCTGTCCTTGCGAACCCCCTCATCTCATGCATATTCTGCTTTTTTTTTTTTTTTTTTTTTTCGGTCTCTTCCCCTTAGCCTCAATCCGAAATTACTAGCGTGCCTGAGAAGTCCCGTCTCATGGTCAACTGTATTGGCCAGAATCCAATCCTTGCAGGCTGTTCTTTCCAGGACCTTCGAAACTAACGGGATCCATTTCTTTACCCAGCCTCCAGGATTTTGCTTTCGTCTGCGTCTATTGCGGAGCCCGTCAACCCCACTCTGCGGTTATCATTTTGGCTCCGCTACTATCAACTGTGTCCGCCATTATTATTGATGGAATGTATGCCCGCTATCGTCAGAGGGGCCAATGCACGCCGCTGCATAACCAATGTCATTTCCTTGCCGTAACTGTGATCCGTACAGACCTTGAGGATTGAGCACATCGGACAAATACTGTCGGGATGGATCGACCGCATCATCTGCATGCGGGAGCTAGCCCCGAACCTCGCTCCTGATTCTGGAGCTTCAATTCTGAGCTTCCGACTTCTGAGCAACAATAATGTCGACCGACCCAACGTCCCGGACACGGGTCTCCACCCTGCACTAATCCTCTCCTCTTGGGCCATCGGGATTGCGTTGTTTCCCGTGGGAGGGGCTCGTCAATTGCCCCGGAGAGAGCGAACGACTCTCGCATTTCCCCATTCAGATGCCAGGCTTTGGCGGTTTGCTTGTCACCATTGACATCGCCTTGAGTCTCCCCGGTTCTCTCCCTCTTTTTCTTTTCTTGCGTTCCCTTTTCGGTCGTGGTTGCCGTAGTTCAGGGAGTACAACAGTAGCCCCAAACTGTTGCAATTGTTTCTTCAAGCCGGGCCCTGAGTTGGTCTTTGGCCCTTGTCCCCTCGCCCGTCCAGGTTCCTATCGTTCCGCAGCGTCGTGCATTGTTAGCCTCCCTCTATCGTTCCCTTTGGTTGATTGACTGATTAATTGATTTTTTTAATTATCCCCCCCCCCCATTCCCCTTGATCTTTTTATTTTGGCGCCCCTCTTGGCTTGTTTTGGCCCTCAGTCGGGACACGCAGGACTAACGTGCCCCTCCTCGGTGTTGTTTGTTTCCTCCCGATCCTTCCTGACGCTTGGAATCATCTGAAACCGTCGTTTTTGAAACGCTATCCTTTTCTTGGTAGAACACGGCCTATCCACCCCCCAGGCTGGTTGGTCCGGTCCACCTCGTCCGGCTTCCTGTGGCTTTTCCCGGCCTGTTTTTCTTTTTCTTTTTCTTTTTTTTTTCAAAAGAAAAAAAAAAAGAAAAAGAAAAAAACAAAAGACCTCCAGAGGAGACACTAGGGAAAAGAGTCCCTGCAGCTTTCCTCTGGCAAGCCGGACGCATGCCTGCTGTCTGCACTGGGCTTTTTCCTGCGCAGACCCGAATTAAAAGTCCGTTTGGTCAGAAAATGCTCCTTGAAAAGCGCGCGAGTGTTACTTGCCTACTTGGTGCGCGTTTCTCTTACTTGTCGTGCCCCCCTCCCTCGCTGTCTCTCCCCTTTTCGGTTTCGATTTGATTCGGTGTCGTTGCATTTCTTTATTTATCCGTTGATCTGTAGTATTCTTATTTTATTCTTATTTTATTTTCTTCTTATTTTATTTCCCTTGTCCTTTCCTGGGTCCCCTTTTGTGGCCTTTCATACAGAGTACGTTCGTTCACGGACTCGGTCACAATGCATCGTTGAAACGGTTTGTTCCAGAACCCCATTCATTCGCCAGCAACGACAAGCTCTCTCTCTTTCTTGTCTTCCTCTCCGCCAGAGCCGTTGGCCGCTTGTGGTTCCATCCTGTTTTGTTTTGGCCTTGGCTCCTCCCCGTCGCTCGCTCTTTCGCTCTCTACGCCGTCCCTCGAGGCCTAGAACCAACCGTGGATTCGCCCTCCTGCGTCTCTGGTCTGGAGATTTTCCTTGTATATCTGTACCTCGCCTACGTCGCTGGCATATCCAGGCCGAATCTCTCGTGTGTTGCATCTCGCCTTGCATCTGACCCATGAATCCCAGGCCGACCTCCAATGTCTACTGTCCGTCCCATGTGCATTGACTCCCCTCCCTTTCTTCCTCTCTTCCTTATCCCACTTGCTGCTTCTTCCATTTGCTCGTCATCCTGGTGCTGCTAGCCCATTTGTCGATTCCTATCCGAGCAACCACGTGTTTATACACCGTTGTAGGCGCATCGTTCCATTTGGGAGGCTCCGTGGTTTTGTTCTTTCTTTTTGCTTTCCTGACCTTCCTCCTTTTTCGTTCCTTCTTTTTTCTTTTTTTCTTTATTATTATTATCTTCAGGATCGAAACTTTTGGGGAGGAATCGCCGTTGCTTTCCCTCTGTATTGTCCTGTGGTGTCGTAGTCGCGTGACGCGTCTCTTCTCAATAGTGGTGCCAGTTGGAAGTCCGGTGCTTTCTTTCGCTTTAGTTCTGCTGGACACCATTTGTATATGGTGACGGGAAGCCAGGGATCTTCGTTTCCATGGTCTGCTGGATATGTCGAATCCACCGGAACGGCCATGGACCGAGGAGGAGAAGGTAGGGATGATTTCCGTTTCCCCCGTGAGAACTGTTGCATTGCTCTAGTGAATACACTGGCTGTATTGAACTTTTTATCTTCCCACCTGCGACGAGGAAGCCGATTGACTGACTGGATAATCGCATGAGTCTAGTACACCCTGCTTACAGAAATCCTCAAGAAGGCAGGATTTCCCTCCAGTCATCTGGTCAAGATGATTCGGGACTTCAATATCTCCCCCAACTGGGCAGATATTCCCCTCCCTCCAGGTACAAACTTGCCGGCACCCTCCTGCCTGTCTTCTGAGACCGTGCCATTCATGTTCTATTCCTGTTGGATCAAGACTGGCGATCTCGACGCGGTGGATTGTTATATCAACTGAGACGGCTGACCTCCTCTCTAGGCCGCTCTATGAATTCCTGTCAGATGGCATTCGTAAACATGGTCCAACATGTCCAGGCATCGGTCAATCCAGGCATGGGGCCTTTCCCTCTACCACGTCACGAAGCCTCGCTACCACCTGCGCCTTCATTCGAGGGCGGCAATGTCCGCAAGCGCCCTCTCTTCCCTGCTGACAAGCCTATGCGTGCTCCGCGAGCAATCCAGCCTCGCCCGGCGGGAGCGAGCACGGCGTCTCTGAGCAGCGAAAGTGGCGCGTCGGCTCTTGTCTCCCCGGGTGCGGAAAGTGTAGCGGCCAGAGGCGAGCCCCCGCGCAAACGAGGACGGCCAAGCAAGGCCGAGTCGGAACGACGCAAGGCAGCTGCCGAAGCTCGAGGCGAAACGTACCCTCCCCCGCGACGGTCTGGCTCCAGCAAGATAAAGATTCCCTCTGCACCAACTAGCCCCGCCGGGGTCGAGCCATTCGCGGCTACATTCACACCCCAGGCCACGGCCAGTCGGCCCCCGCACATCCCCCAGCCTAATCTACGCTACGCGCCTCCAATCGCAAGGACGATGGGGTTCATTGGGCCCGGTGACGATGATCGGTTAAGAGACCCAGCCAATCGCGACATAGACCCGGCATTGAGAGAGCTCCCTCGTCCAACGGAGATGAGACAAACGTTACCATCCCCACAGGCGCTGCAGTTAGGGCATAGGGAGACTATGGCACGAGTGAATCCTGTCGAACGCCCTTTTGAACGACCTCATCCCGACAGAGTTCCCTTCGCAGACCGAAGAGCCCTTCTTCACCCTCCCAGTAGGCATCATGACGAGCCTTCCGTGTCGAGCCCAGAGATGTCAATGCGCCCTTCGAGTGAAAAACGAACAGAATAATGGTCAATACCTAGGGGCTCACCCGATTCTTGTTCCAAAAACCATGAAGACCCAACAAAAGAACACCACCTCCGATACCAAACGACAATTTGCAAGTGATGTATCTACGACCTCTAAATCCATTCATTCCGGCATGAGATGAGTTACAACGAAAAAGAAGCTATGATCGACGCATTTTATTTATTTATTTATTTTTTTTTTCTTTCTTTCTCTTCGTCCGTTCACTATCCTTGCGATCACACTGCCAACAGCCCCATTCTCGTTCCTATCTCCTCATACTACATATAGGCTTTAAGCCTATGCGACGAATTTCTTTGCCCATGCTTGGCGCCCAGATTTTACTTGATCTATTTCGGGTCCTCAATGTGCGACGAAGGTCGACCCTATGGATTGGATAAACTATGATGTGAACGAACGCGCAAATCGGCCTGGCCCCGCAGCTGGGTCTTATCTCTTTCATCCGTCATTTTCCTTTTTACGACATGGCTCAATGGCGCTGAGCTGCATGACCCCACTTCTAGCTCCTTCTGCATAGCGAAACTGCCCTGTTCTCGCAGGTCAAGACTTTCTTTCTATCCTTGGTCGTAAGGAATTCCACTCGATGTTGAAATCGAATGACCGTTATGAATATAATACTGAACAGAACTCTACATTCTCTTTTCTCCTGTTCTTTCTTTCTCTTATATTTCTTCATTCATTTATAATGCGTTTCATCCTATTGGTTGGCCATCTAGAGACAAATGTTCAACCCTTGCATGTACAATTACTAATTGTTTATCTCATGATGCTATTTATATGTACAGCTCAAATTTTCTTGGCTTGTCGGTTTCCCGGGCAGTCTGGCGGTAGCTTAACCACGCAAATAAGCTTCACTCACTCTTCACTCTACACGTCTTTTTCCCTATCAAGATTACTATCCTTTGCTCTTGAAAAGCTGCCGCCGGAGAACCATGGGTTAGAATGCCCCATTGCATCACCCATGAGGGTGTCAGGATGATGGGTCCACTTCACTTGATTCCAAGATGCAGGAATGGAAGCCTCAAGGACATGCGTCATACATTGATGACTATCCCTCTATAGGTACCAGTCCGCAAATTAAGCACGTGGTGTCAAGGGTCCAGAGATTTTGGGCGGGCCTTCTCTTTGGGGTCATTTCTTGGTAGTCTTGTACAGAACACATCAAGTCTTCGACAAAAAGCGTTCCGCGGCTTGGAGCATATTTGGGTCGAACCAAGGTCATTGACTCCTTGTTACACGATCAAATAGAGAATACAATTTGGCCCGGGAGTTCTCTGGCGACGAGGGCTCGGCGGCTGATGTGCCTGTGGCTGCGAGCGATGAGCTTGTGGGCTCTGGGACTTGAGATGGAGATTGGGGCGAGGACTCTGCTATCCTTGATTCTCGTTGGCGCTGCTGCTCGACTTGGGCCTTGATGGCGCTGACTGCGGATGTCAACCTTGGGCCTGAGGGCACAGCGATTTTCTTGCCAATCCGGGGTATTGTGCCGATGTTGTCTTCGTCTTGTACCAGTTTTGTTACATCGTCCCTACCCTCCACACGACGAGTCAGATATACCTTAGGCACAGTTCCCTGGCGGGGAACATTGCGTTCGCGTATGCGTTCGATTTCCTGTCGGTATGCAGTTTCGTAGATATCAAATTCGGCAGCACCAGGGGACTCGCTCACAATCGGCTCGGCTTCGGCGTCAGAAATTCTGTCTGGCTCGTCACAAACATATTCCATATCAGTGTCATCGTCGTCGACTGGCTGTGCTGAGCCGGTGTAGGTAGATGGACCAATAAACAAGAACGGAAATTCCTCCTCTAGAGGGTCCCGAGCATGCCCGCGTGTCCCCTCGACGCTGCGCTTGGTAGTCGCCGAGCTGGCTCGGGACAAGGAGACGTGTGCCGATGGAGACTGAGGTACGGTAAACTGCATATCGTCTCCAGACTGGTCAACAATGGGTCCATCACGCACAGAGCCCGAGTCTTTTCTCCCAGACACGACGCTCCTGGCAAGTGTACTGATGTCACCCGAGGGTCTTGTTTGGGTGCCACTATCCAGCGGCTGATTGGAAGATCCCTCTTCACGCTGCAGGTGATATCCATGACGAACGTTATCAAACGCCTGGGCCCTTCGGTCGAATGTGTTCAGGCTCTGGCTCTTATTGGATACTGGCACGTTGTCAACCGAAAAGTCTTCCTCCGGTTCCATCTCAAGAGGAGGTTGAACAAAATGAGACTCGTATTCCTGTCCGAGGATGCTCTGCATAGGCGGCTCTGCCTTGGCTGGGTCTATCAGCCTTTTGAAGTTCTTGACGGCTTTCATCTATCAATCCCTACCGGTAAGTTCGGTGTCGAGTCTGATGTAACAAGCAGGTGGGAACTTACCACGGCCAGGACGTGCCCGATGTTCTTCGTGATGGCTGAATTCATTTCCTCTTCTGTAGGAAGCCCGATGATTTCGGCGGTGTTCTCACTCTCTGGTAACAGAGGGTCGAGTCCATCTCTCGTCACCCAGGGATGTGACTGTATTCCTTTTTATAAGCGTCATCTTAGCATAGGGAAGGGCTGTCCCCAAACTTACTCGAAGTTCGTCCATGGTGATTCTCTTTGTCGGATCTTTTTCTAAAATCCGCGACATTAAATCCTTGAAATTATCATCAATCTCCCCTTCGCACACAATGGGGTCATTTTTAATAGCATCGTAGAGCTCGAAGATGCTTTGCTTCTCGAACGGTAATTTGCCGTATCGAAGACAGTACAGCGTGACCCCCATAGACCATATGTCAGCCGCCTTACCGGAAACATCGCCATGTTTAACGACACATAGCTCGGGGGGCAGGAAGGCCGGGGAGCCTGCTGACTTTGCTGTGAACATATCCGAGTCTTTTTCAAACATTTCAGACACGCCAAAGTCGACGATCTTGAGGACATCATCACTTGTAACTAAACAGTTGTCCGGCTTGATGTCTCGGTGCACGATTCCCTGTGCATGTAGATATTCAATGCCTAGAATCAGATCGCGAAACCAACAGCGGCACAGCGCATCCTCGTATGGATCAGCCCTTTCTTCGAGTCCGACCTTCATGACCACCCCTTTTTTACACATCTCCATGACCATGTACAGAGAGTCTTCGGTTGGGTCGTCTAGAACTTCTATTAAGGACACCAAGTTGTTATGGTGCAGCTTCTTCATGATGGCTATCTCTTCCTTGATGAGGTAAAGGGCGTTTCCTCTCGGATCATTGTCTCCTCCCATCGGACGACGATGGAGGGGGGAGTTGAAGCCGTCTGACGAGGTTTTGGGGATTCGAGGTCTCCGCAAAAGATGTGACTGGGCGCGTTTCCTCAAACGCGCCTTTGAGAATTCTTTAACGGCCTAGTTTCAACCCAGGCCGGTTAGTAAGTCGACCATCTCTAGGCTGGCAATCACATGCCCAACAATAGAAAAGAAACACCCCAAGGGAGGGTAGAGCCAAGCACGCACGAATTCATTTCCAAACTGGTCGACGGCTAGGTGTACAGCTCCAAAAGACCCTCTGCCAATTTCCTGCTTGATCACATACTGGTTGATTCTATGCTCTGCAGTGCCGTCATCCTGGCTGGTGGTATACTCCGATCGGGCATTGAGCGTTTCCTACCAAACGCTCATCAGATTCATCAGCTCCACGTTGCCGGCAAGGGGGAAAAGAAAAGGAAAATTTCAGAAAGAGTGTAGCAACCTTGACTGGACGTCTGACTATTGGATTCCGGCGGTAGTGTCTTTGCGGACTTTCGTACGAAGGCGTCGAACTGGAACCAATTTAGTCACCGATTACGGGGCACCACAGGTGATTTCCCTGGCATCGTCAAGGAACCCCATATCCGAGAAGTCATCGAGGAAACTCACGCATAACGAGCTGGTCGGGGATGCTGAGGCGCCGGGCGGTCAACGGGGGTTTGACTGGCCTGGATCGAAAGGTCGGCATTTTCGGTGGCCATTGAACACAGGACTCCCCGAAGCAGGCAACGAAGAGGAGCAACCCGGAAAGATGCCGCTTTATTTCGTTGTTGATTGGACCTTTTCTCAGTCGGACACGACGAAACCCGGATGCCTACGTCCAAATGTGGGGAAAGGCTGGAGGGGCACACGAAGCAAAGGTCGAATGACGATCAGAACCAACGACGGAGGGGGAAAGCCAGACGGTTCGAATCGAAGCAGAGGAATGATATCACACACCTTCCGGACGGGCTGGCGATGAAATCAAGGGCGCGGAGGAAGGGGAAGACGAGGAAGAGGAGGAAAGTCGAGGAGAGGAGAGGAGGAGAAAGGAAAGGAGCCTAAGTACCTACCTGCCTAGTTAGGTAGGCGGGACCCAGGCGTAATTGAAATACCAGCGGGAGCTCCTCGTATCGATGCGCCGCAAGTCACTCCATCAGCGCCCGCAGGGGGAAAAGGTACCTCCCTGAGGTACTTGGCCTGGTCTGGTCGTATTACGGCGTCCACGGGCCCGCGCCCATTGGCTGGGCGGGCTCACCGCCCACGAGCATACCACCGATCGGGTCGAGTCTAATTCAACGCCTTTGGAGCCTTTTGTGTCCAGCTGTTCCTCCTGCCGATACATATACCCATCCGCCCCTGTTCCCCTTCGCATCCTCTTCGGCACGATGGTTGTCTACTCCTTCTACATCTTCGATCGCCACGGTATGTTCCGACGTGGCACGCCATGCACCCAAGAGGGTCACCCTACTAATCCGTTCGTTTGCTCCAGCGGAATGTGTCTATAAGCGGCGTTGGCTCCCCCGTCCGAGCTCGTTCGGCGGGAAATCGTCACGCCCAACCTCGGAGGCGTCTGCTCCGGCGACTGGGTTGCCCTCTGTCTTGGGCCAATCTGCGCAGACCACCGACGACGATGCCAAGTTGATCTTTGGCACGGTCTTCTCTTTACGGAACATGGCTCGCAAGCTCGGGGGTGACGATGATAGGTAGGCCGATCTGGACCCCCCTCGCGCTGAGAAGGAGCAAGATGCTGATCACCCATCCTGCCTTGCCAACAGCTTCGTCAGCTACCGCACCAGTCAATACAAGCTCCATTACTACGAAACTCCTACGAACATCAAGTTTGTCATGCTCACCGATATCAAGAGTCCAAGCATGCGGGTGGCATTGCAACAGATTTACATCAATCTATATGTTGAATATGGTGCGTCGCGATTCTGACCTCGCGCCCTATCTGCCGTTGGCCAATGCTGATGCGATTGATCTGGTAGTGGTTAAAAACCCCTTATCCCCGGTTGAACATCCCGGGGGCGTCGGTGTGAACAATGAGCTCTTCGAGGAGTCACTGGAACAATTTGTGGTATGTGCCCCGGCCCTTTCTGTTTCAACGGGTTCCAATTGACACGCCAAGCAGACACGAGTTTTATCGTAGAAGTCCGCCATCCTACATAAGGGTTGGTGGTTATCAGATATTGCTTGCTGCAAGGTTGACCCGAGCTCGAAAGTTCGCTATCAATCTTCAAATCCCCGCCTGACGAATGCTATCCACCAGCCCGATCAGCTATGACACATACCACATCTTGCGGCGAAGTCGCCCTGGGCCTAGGGTGTTTATACCACCCCCAGGTGGCCCGGGAGCAAGAAAGGTTTCGGGCCGTCATTATCCAAGCGTCGCACAAGCCCGAACGAACCCCAGTGAGAAAATCAACTGCGCCCACGAGAAGCACCACAGTGCAAGGGGCTTTCTGAACGAAGACGCCTCATGGGCAGGCAGAAACATGATGCTTGGGACGCTTGGTGAACGCCATTCCTTACTGCCTGAATGAAAGTCACACAACCATACCCGGCGCATTACCTACCACGCAACACCTTCCACATCCAGCCAATAGGACTATTCCGGGGGACGATTCAATCAAGCCCTCAGATCTAGGTCGCTTAGATCTGGCGAAATCTACTGGACGGGCAGGTCAATTCCAGCCCACTTTTGTTTTACTTCCTTTCCGGCCTCAGTTGTGGCATAGATATCCAATCCATTAGGTCCCGAAATTTTGGTAGCTTCGTTTTTCTCGGGCCAGATTCTGAAGTTCCACTACGCAAGGGGGCAGGGAACGTGCCTAGCCGCTGGCAGATGTGAGATAAATTCCGAGCCTGCATTGGTTTATCAGACCTTTACTTTTCGGTTTCGGCCAGATGCGGCCTCGTGGGGTTGTGGTAGTTAGTATATGTACGGCGGACGGGGCTCTGCCAGAGACCGTTTACTACGCACAGGCCGCACAGGCCTCATTCACCATCGACATCTCATCGTAACGTCGAAGAACCTGCCCATGCAAGTCCCCGTTGAGGACGGTCTGCCACGTGAGAAAGGGAGCCAATCTGATCGCCCAACCACGGATGCATCTGCGCATCAAGGCATGCATCGAATACACACGCCTCTCGAGGGTGAAACCGGTATCGAGGGCAGATTAAGTTTAGATTAAGTTCGAAGGGTGTCATTTCAGCACGTTAGTCGCACCACGTGTAGGCATCGAACACTTCGGCCCTAGGATCCCGGAGGAAAGTCAGTCGGTGCGACCAGATCGAGGAGATGGTCGGTGAGCTGATCTCCGCGGGCGGGGGATGCGTGGCACCCGATTATCATCGGAGCCAGCCGACAGTCGGGAGGAGATTGCGATATTATCATTATTCACACGATTTATTCAACGAGGGCCCGGCGAAGGAGGCTAGGAAGGAGGAAGCACCGACGGGGATCCATCGGATCATGTGGAACATCACCTGATGAGACCGGGAGGTGACAAAAAACGATCCAATCCAATGGGTCCCACTTCAAAAGGAGGGGACTCAGGGGAGTGTAAACATGCAAATTAGAAAGTCAAAAAAAAAAAAAATAAAATAAAATAAATAAATAAAAAAAGGTCAACGAGGGAAATGGAAAAACCCCTCAGCAACGTCGAAAGGCAACCCGAGCACAAGAAAAAGAGCTTAGTCTGGTTCGGGAAGGCCAAAGGGATGCGACGAAGCTTGAACGGGGCCACTCCCGGCCTGATTCGCTCGATGCGGCTCCAGAGGGAGGGGGGGAAGGGTGGAGTCCTCCAGGCAAGCGTCTTCAGATTTCCCGGCCGTCCAGCACAGTCGGGGACACCAGGATACTTAAAATTAAAATTACTCGTCCGCAGGAAGGGAGGGAGCTGTAGGTAAATTGGACCGCTGTATTTGATATTTATTTACCCTTCCAACCGAACCAATCGTTCTACCATACCCTAGGTGGTAAAGAGCGATTAGTATATTTATTATTGAGTAGTTAACGAGTTACCCCCTCCGATGATTAAGACATACTCCTAGTAAGATCGATAGAAGTGTTACTGCGTAGATCGATTCCCTCGATTCACACGCTAAAACCAAACAAAATCGACAGGCCCCCCGTTGAAAGCATGTGAAGAAGCATAACCTCTTTGGATTAAAATCCGTCAGCCTTCGACCATCTCCACTCGTCGCTGCACAGGCTGACCGCCGGGGGAGTACCTAGGTAGGGGACTTCATCCAGGGATGGATTTCATCGGAACACCACCATCCACTGGGGTTTTGGCCGTTTCGGAATCTAACTCCAACTGGATGGGCGACGGGGTCCCACGAGGGAATTCGAATGATACGGTGGATGGTGGATACTACTACGTACGGAGCAGGACCCATCTGCAGTCGGTACCTACTCAGCACGGTGAAGGGTCGGGGGCTTGAATTTTTGAATTTTTTCGAGATACAGATACAGATACAGGTACGGATACAAATACGGATCCTAACCGTACTGTCTATCGATACATTCCTCATACCTCAACATACCTCTAAGTATGTACCTAGGTACCTAGATAGGTGGTACCTGTAGGTTACGGCGGGATTTTGACCTCAATCGGCATGGCTCGGTTTGTCCTGGTCTTCGATGGAACCAGGCAAAATCCCAGGTACCGTCAGACTCGGATGCAATCTAATGAATGCGACCGCAGGCAACAGCGCAAGGTGTGGACATGGTAAGTCTGGCCGGTATGGAAAGTGCAGAACCGTTTTCTGACATTCCCATTCTCGGCCCGGTGATTGGCCGTCAGAAAATGCCTCGTGCAAAGAACCTTGAAAGGACTATTCACCCTACTCCGAATTAATCATCGTGAGAATCCGTCCGACTCAGATTTGTCTGATCGCGGTCGACTGTCAACCACCGGATAAATGCTTTTGCACGTGGGGGAGACCTCCAGCTCAAGCCCCCCTCTGCTGCTATTGTGAACCAGAACATCACATCCATATAACTAGGTAGTACTCCGTACGGAGGGTGCCTACGGAGTACATATGTAGCATGATTGTCGGTGGATCTCCGCAATCAACGCAGGGATTCTCTCCTTAAACTCGCACCGGCATCAGGGTCGGTCAATGCTCCCAGGGCTAAGCCCACGCAGGATGATGGCCGAGGTCCGGAGTGTTCGCTAAGTACCTGGTATCCACGGTGGCACTCCTCCGTATGTCCATTGTACGGCGGTAACCACTGGACCTGCTCCAGAGAACCTGCTCCGTAGGCCTGCAGGAGCACCCACGTCATGAAAGGGAACATCCGTGAAATTGAACAAACATAAACCAGACCACCACTCGCTACAGAAAGCCCTCCCCGGGGTTCAAGTTGAACGAAAAGGAGTAATGATCGCTGGGCGGCTAGAGCGACCTTCGGCCTCACCTTGGCCATCTTCCTGCCTGGTACATACAAATGGTGCTGCCCACCTGGTCGCGCCGTTTTGCTCTGCCCGAGCAAAGTATGATGAAACCGACACAGGACTTTGCCCGCCTCTTCTGACTCCTGGAGCCCTGAGTCCTGAGTCCTGACACCCGGTGACCCCACCGGGATCCTCGAACCAAACCGGGCTATGTGCATGGTTCCAAAAAAAATCGCCTCCAATCTAAGCTGGCGAAGGGGAATGCCCATGATCGAGTCACGGTCTAACTCGAACACGAAAAGTATCGAGTGCCGAATGTAGTGGACGGGAGCGTTTCTTAGCTTCTCGGGATGAAGTAATAACCCTCGACTAGTCAGTATCCCCGCCATTCTCGTCTGCAGCACGAGAGGTTGGCGGGCATCATTCCTGCCGCGGAGGGTCAGCGTCCGACCATTCAGTCAGACTTTCCAGGTAATAATGACTACTGCGGGTTTTCGCTTTTCAGCCGCCTGCAAGCGGGGGCAACATCCGGGTACATGGACGAGACCATCTGACTGACGGAAATAACCCGACTGCTCGAGCAGTCGACACCCAGAGGGGGGAATCAGATGAAGATCAAGATGTAAATGAAAATGACACCAATCGAGTGCAAGATGGCTGCATTCCGTCAAACCTCCAAGCCCCTCCACCACTACCCCTCACCTCATCATTTATAATTCATTGACTCAATGAGTCCTTGAAGCCGCGGTGGAGAGCGCCAAAAGCTCTTGGACCAACAAGCCACCGGTCGGCAGTAGTTAAGAGTCTAAGCAAGCACTACTCCGTACTCCGTAGTTAGTAGGAATTGTAGATGCAGCACAGCCTCAGTCGGGCTTGAATCCACGAACCTTGACTAACCCACCGGAGTGGATTACGGTCATGGACGTCATCCGACGAACGATTGTCACTTTGAAAGGAGGGGAAGGGTTGACCAGGGGCTGGGAGATAATCGAGGTGATCAGGAGGAAGATCTGTGTCGAACCATCTCCATCACTATCACCATCACCAGTGAAGCTGGGGTAGTTCCAGGATCTTTCGAGTTATTCGACACAAACAAGACTCGACCGACGTCGGCGGAGCGTTACCCAGTAGACCTGCGCCACGCATGATCAACGTGATGATTAATAATTACCGGACCTTGGGACTCCCGTCAGTAGTGGCAAACCGTACGACGTATGGAATCTCCGTACGGCGTAAGAGTGTACGGGGTACTGCGCTTTTTTCCCTCTTTTTTTCTTTTCTTTTTTTTTTTTTTTTCTTTCCCCTCGAGGTTCTCTCTCGCGAGGTGTGGCTTGCAGGCGGTATGGGATGGATACATGGCTAGTACCGTACCGTACCGTACCGTACCAGACGAGACAATACCGCATGGCGACTGGCTCTGGTGGTTCTTTTCCACAACCGGTAACAGAAAAGAAAGTCACTCGCCTTTGTAACCTCATCGACTCTGGTTTCCACCCTGGAATTATGATGATAATAATTAGATAATTAATTATCGAGGGACAACGAAACAGAAAAATTAAATCCATCTTATTGCGATTTTCTGGCTGGCTGCTTTCCCGACGGAGCCCCTCCCCATTCATTATTATTCAGTGCCCTTCTCTACCACTACCTCACCTACTTACTACCAGGTATTTCAACCTCTCCTCCCCGTAGGCGTCGCTGCTATTTTACTCGCCCCCTCTCGCTTCCCTTTGCAATCCTACTATTTCGGCTGCCTTTTGACCTGATTTTTTTTTTTTTTTTTTATTGATTTATTTTTTCTATCTCTCTCCCTGCGTAATTCCTTATTGCACCTAATTCCAATCCCATTTGTGACTATACTTGACTAGAGAAGTCTTGGACATCTACGTTTTTATTGAACTTGGCAAGAATTGGGGATTTTTGCAGTTATACGACAATTCAGCCAGACTCACCCTTGGGGGTTCCCAGCGTAGTATCGTTCCGCCTGCACATTCCGAGCGTTGTTGCGCGGTGGCCTTTTTTTTTTTTTTTTTTTTTTTTTTACCCTTTCAGCTTCTGCTTAAGTCACTTTTCGTCATCCTTTAAGAACCGTCGCCTCAGGCCACCACTGCCGGGCCACCACAAGCTTTTTTTTTTTTTTTTTTTTCCCCTTTTCTATTTTAATACTCGTCCGGGTCTCGCCCGCTTGTCTTGACTTTCCTCTCTTTTTCTCTCTTCTTTCTCTCCTCTCTTCCACTTCTTCCTTTGGAACTCTTCTCAACCACACTTCGCTGCGTTTACCTGTGGCCCTTTCAGCCTCGTGCTGTAGGCGCTCTTTTCTCTTCTCTTACTCCGTCACGGGGGTAATCTTTGTTCCCCCTAAAATCCTCCGTGCACCGTTCATTTAATTACCGCACATGACTCCACCATCGGTATCACCAGCTCCTTCCGCAGTCTCCTCCGCCGCCGCATCCCAGATTTCCAACGATCACCGAGATGGAGACCCTCAGGTAACACGTGCTTTCGCGGGCATGAATCTGTCCGCCGGGGACGCGGATGTCCTCCCCATGCCCCCTCCGCCGGCCAAAACTGCCAGACCGACCATGGCAAATCGCATCTCCCGCATGTTCTCCGCCACGGGCAAGTCGACACCGAAAGAACCGGATTCTCATCGAGATTTCTCCGATAGCAGCACCGAGAGCATCAAACCGCCGACCAATGGCAGCGGAAAGCAGTCGAAACCAACATCCAGGCCGTCGTCGAGGGCTCCCTCTCGGCAGACCTCCACCAAGGAAGACGGCGAGAAGAAGCCAAAGCTGGGCGGCAACAAGGACCATAAGGAGGCCGTCGTCGCACACAAACGCTTCGAGGGACTGCCCGACAACGCGCATGCCCACCACCTCAAAAGCGCCCGACGACAGGAGAAATTGACCGACCTGCTTCGGGACATGATCGGCGGCGGCAGGAAGAAGGACGACCACGTGGATGACCAGCAACTATCCCTCATGTCGACCTGGATCGATCAGTTCAAAACCGAACGTGATAAACTGGCCGCGGACAAGAAGGGCGGCCCCAACGCCACGGCCTCCTTGGTAGACAAATATGGCAAATGCCAGGAGATCGTGGGTCGGGGCGCGTTCGGTATCGTGCGGATATCCCACAAGGTGGACCCCAGGGACTCCAAGATGGAGCAACTATATGCCGTCAAGGAGTTCCGCCGCCGCCCTCAAGAAACCGCGAAGAAATATCAGAAGCGATTGACCTCGGAGTTTTGCATCTCGTCTTCCCTCCGCCATCCGAACGTCATTCATACGCTGGACCTCCTTCAGGATGCTAAGGGCGACTACTGCGAGGTCATGGAGTACTGCGCCGGCGGTGATCTCTACACCTTGGTCTTGGCTGCAGGAAAATTGGAGGTCGCCGAAGCCGATTGCTTTTTCAAACAATTGATGCGTGGCGTGGAATACATGCACGAGATGGGCGTGGCTCACCGTGACTTGAAACCCGAAAATCTCCTCCTCACCACGCACGGCGCCCTCAAGATTACAGACTTCGGTAATGGCGAGTGTTTCCGCATGGCTTGGGAGAAAGAGGCGCACATGACGGCGGGACTGTGCGGCTCGGCTCCTTATATTGCGCCGGAAGAATATGTGGAACGAGAATTTGACCCGCGAGCAGTCGACTTGTGGGCGACCGGTGTCATCTACATGGCCATGAGGACGGGGCGACATCTTTGGAGAGTGGCTCGCAAGGATGAAGATGAATTCTACCAACGCTACCTTGAGGGCCGGAAACACGAGGACGGCTATGCACCGATTGAGACCCTCCATCGGGTAAGAACTGCTCGGGAACACCCTGACTGAACGCTTCCGCTGACAAATTGCCAGGCTCGTTGTCGCAATGTGATCTACTCAATTCTGGATCCGAATCCATCTCGCCGCATCAACGCCTCGCAGGTTCTCAAATCCGAATGGGTTCGCGAGATTCACCTGTGCAAGGCTGGTGAAGAAGGGTTCTAATAGTTTGTTTCTTCTATTTGCAAGAAGAAGAAGAAAAAAAATCAAGAGGGAGGTTTGCATTATGGAGGGTGCACACGAGTTCAACAGAATCGTTCAAGAGGGGTTGGGGGAGGCGCATGGTATCGGCAGATTGATTTGACTTCAATCGGTCTATGTAAATCCCCTCGAGTGATTTGGTTGTGATTTTGCCCTCTTTGTGACAAAGCTGGGTGGTTTCTATGTGCTCTTTTCTCCCGTACTGCGCGGAGGTCTACTTCTGTGAATCTTTTATAGAAGGGGGCTTATTTTGATACATCTTTCCTATTTCATTCGAATGCGGGCGCATTTTTCTCCCTGTTTTCCCTTATTCGTGTCTCTGCTCACTCTGCTACTTTAGCTTTACGGGTTTAGTTGCTTTGTTTTTTGTCTTGGACCGTCATGTTTTCATGCCAATGCAACGAAGAGTCATGACCTTGAGCTATTTGCATTTTATTCTTTATTTGCATTGGTCTCCTTTTGTTCGCTATTTCCTTTCTTTCCTTCATTTCCACCCCCTTCCTCCACCATACTGACTCTTTATTTTACGACCGATCTGCTGATTTTCTGCCGTTTCATTGATTGTTTATGATGTAACTGACTTGAGTTGCCGAGAGCTTCTGGGAGTACGGAGGACTATAGGTATATTTCTTTTGCTTTCCCCCCTATCTTTGACCCCGGGGGTGTTATGTTGGCGGGCTTCTGATCTCTGGCGTCTGAATGTGATTTTTCTTTCTTTCTTTAGCGGGGTGTACTTATCAAATTGTGGGCGGGCTTATCATGGAGATACCCTTTTTTCTGTTCCCAGGCAATGTTGCATGAGTATTGGATAGCTTCTCTTTCCATAGCATTTTAGGCCGACGATGAGGACTGCGTCCCGGCAGATGGACTTGTCTCGGAGGGAAGGGGGCAGGTGTAGGTTCATGGAGTCCATCGCCATGGCGCGCTCTCTCATAGACCGATCATTCTTGAGTACAGCCCGGTGCGTCCTCTGCCAGCAAAGGGATAACGAATGGGAAGGACCGCCTCGACCGGACCTCCCTGTACTTTGGTACAGGCGAGACCAAGAGGCGTGCCCAGACTCTAATGAATGCACTAGGCATGCAGCACTTTGGATGCATGGCCTAGCGGCATGTCTGTCTCAACAACGGCAAATACCTATCAATCCGGCCAGGACAGCACGCAGATGGCAGAACCATCTGCGGTCGACATACAACGCAACACAGGCCCCTTGACAAGTCACTCGGCGCATCGCTGCCTGCCTCGGCGCCGGTCTTCCCCCCGGTTCAAGCTTGCTTGGCAGCTGCTGCAGGATGTTGGGTTTGCGAGGGATCGAATCAACAATCCGGGTCTTCTTGGCACCGTCGTGCACCTTGCGTCCAAAGGCTGGAATCTCTTGGCAGGTCTGCCCTATCGGTGGGAAAAGTGCAGGGTGTCTGACAGGCAGCATCATTTGACTGGGCCTGCGGAATTTCAGATTCCCAGGAGTGTCTCTCTCGGGGTCCCCACCCAGGCGCAGAATGGCTGGATAACGAGCATTCAGAGTTGCACACCCAAGATTCCCCGGTAAACTATCACCGTCGCTCTAGACCTGGATCAGATGTCCAGCACCTGCCCGGTTCTGTTGAGACGCAGCGCAGATGCATTCTTTGCAGTCTCATGGAGGAGCTTTGCATGGATGAACACTCCTGACCACCTTGAGACGTAAGGTATCGAGGACTCCGTACTCCGTATTGTACCGCCGAATGGTACAGGTCAGGTATTCCGTATACGGCATCCATGGATACCACAGCGTATTTCTATACGCCGCATCCGGGCTGTTCTAGATACCTACCTATCCTGCATCTACCTACATGTGCATACCTGGTACCTACTTGATCTACCTAGGTAGAGAGGTTCTGTGGATACAAGCCTACCACGGAAGTATAGCACTTGATTCTAGGTAGATAATCCCCTCGGGGGGATGGACTTGCCATGACATCAGATTCGGACACTAGGCGGTAGTCGCTGATGGAGCAAGCGAATCCATGCGACAACTTGCGTTTGATCATCTACGCTTGACATCACTCTCGAGGGCAGCGCGTTTGTACATGACGTAACGGCAAACCGTTCGATACCGGCGGCGTACCGACCGGAGCCCGTGGGATCCGGGATACGGTATCCGTACTGCAGAACGGTACCGGCGGTGGTACCGTACAGGTACCCAGGTACCTTACCTGGTACATTTCGGTACAGGCCCAGGGTGCACCGCCGCCTGCACCGCCACGATGGAATTGGGCATTGCGACGTCCGATTCATTCAAGGCATTCATTCAGCCCTGTGACGAACACCCCCGCGCTTCCATTCCTCCAGCACGCTCTTTTTTCTGTCATCCCCATCTCCTCCGCAATCGTTCTTGCCGCCTTTCGTTCCATTCTCGCATCATCCATATCCACCTTCCCATCGGTTTCCTGCCAATCCCCTCATCATCATGTCTTGGGCAGGTGCGCGAGAGATCTCCATCCTCAGTCCCATCGGGCGGCCTCATCTGGGCCCCATTCGATGCTAACCAGACGATCCCATTCTGCAGGGTTCAAGAAAAATGTGAATCGCGCCACGACGCAGGTGATGATGAAGACGGGTATGCCGGGCCCCTCCCTCCGACCGTGGTGCTCGATCGGAATTCCGCATTGACAGGGTGCTAATACACGGCGAAATCGTCTAGGGCATGTGGAGAGGACCAACGATCGTGACTATGAGATCGAAGAACGGTATGCTTCTCGCGGAGGGCTGGGGATTCGATCGGGAGAGGGAGCGGCGGCGGGGCTATGAGATCGGGGTTACTGATGGGAGTTTATAATAGACGGTACCGGACGATGGAGGCGGCTGCCAACCGACTACAAAAGGAAGCGAAGGGCTATCTCGACTCGCTACGAGGTGCGTCCCCCGGTCTGATACCTGATTGGCGTGGAAGTTATGCTGACGCTTCGGCGCTCGATTAGCGATGACGGCCTCGCAGATGCGCATTGCTGAGACGATAGATGCTTTCTATGGCGATGCCGGTACGCGGGACGGCGTGAGCCGGAGTTACAAGCAGGCTGTGGAGGACCTTGATGCCGAAACGATCAAGGCCCTGGATGGCCCATACAGGTACAACCAGACTCCCCCTTGGATCCGCCCGGTGACATATAATTGACGCTGCGAAACTAGGACCACGGTGCTAGAACCGATCTCCCGTTTCTGTGCCTACTTCCCCGATATCAACGAGTGCATCAAGAAACGCAACCACAAGCTACTCGATTACGATGCCATGCGCGCCAAGGTCAAGAAGTTGGTCGAGAAGCCCGACAAGGACGCCACCAAGCTTCCACGAACCGAGCGCGAGACGGAGCTGGCCAAGCAGGCCTATGAGCAGCTCAATGAACAACTCTTCACCGAACTCCCGCAACTTATCGACCTCCGAGTGCCCTACTTGGATCCTAGTTTCGAGGCCCTGGTCAAAATCCAATTGCGATTCTGCGCGGAGGCATATTCTCGGATGGCCCAGGTCCAGCAGTACCTTGATGCGGAAACGAGAGATCAATACGCGCGGGGCGATCTGGATAATCGGGTGGAAGAAGTCCTGCAGGAGATTCGGGACTTGAGCATAGCGGGAACTGTCTAGAGTTTCCCCTTGTATTTTGTTTGGCCATGCTTTGCGTACGCTTCATGTCTGCTACGGCGGTGATTTGCTTATTTTGAGGGGGGGGAGATTCTTGTAGAATGATAATGGAGTGGTGCAATGATCCTAATTCCGGCGGGTACGAGAGGCACTGATTCAAGGGGTATCTTATCTGTCTACTATTCAAGTCTATACATCTATATCTATTAATACACCGGGGTCAACATCGCCGACACTAGTCTCCGCGATAGAGCTCATCGGCCAGAATATCCAACACCGGACCGGCGGCGGCCTTGACGGCCGACAGCTCGGCGGCATCCATCTCGGTCAGAACGAAGTTGGCAACGTCGCCGCGATTGCGCGTGGACGGACGACCGATGCCCACGCCGACGCGCAGGACGGCCAGTTCACCCGGCGCATCTGCGTTAGTGGCCCCTCGCGGCGGATAGAGGCCCTTCCCTCGGAGGCTCTCCATGACGCTGATCAGGCCGCGATGGCCGCGCAGACTGGCCGTCTCCGGCCCGCCACGCCGCACCTTGACCTTGCCCAGCGGCGCCTCCAGCTCGTCGTGCAGGATCACCAGCGTGGGGCTGAACCGGGTCAGCGAGCCCGGGTCCACGCCGCGACGCTGCCACTCGGGCCCTTTCCCACGCCCGCGTTCGTGCTCCGGCTGCGGCTGATCCTCGGGGTGGACGAGCGCGATATGCCCCGGGCGGACGACGCGCTCCAGCAGGTCGGTCTGCGTGGCAGCCATCCACCGGCTCAGCTGACGGACGAGCTTGGGACCCGACTCGTTCATGTACGACGGGCTGTACCAGGTGTGATGGAAGATGGGGCCGGTGGCGGCTTGCGGGTTGGAGGAGACGAAGGGTATTCGGGCGGGGAGGAGGGGCCTGAGGGCATCGAGGAGGATGTGGCCGGCGCTGTGGCGCGTACTTCGATAGGGGCGAATGTTTCCGATCGATGCGATGAAGAGAAATCGCCGCGGCGTTTTGATGGTTGATATGCTGGTGGCCATCAAGAAGTTTCCGGAGAGAGAAGAAGGGATGGGAAGAGAGAGCTCCGGTAAGGAGATGGGAGGGTGGAAAGGGAAGGCCGAGGTTGAGGTGGAGATGGAGATCAGTTTCAATCTGTTCAGACTTCAGAGTACGGAGTATGAGATCGAGGGTTTTTTTTTTTTCTTCTTTCTTTTTGCGGGAGATCGTCGTTCCTCCGTGGGGGGCAAATCAAATCGCATTCCAATGGCTTCTATCATTGCTTTTCTACTCCATCAACCCCCCTTTCTTTTATTTAAAAACAAAGGGAGAAAAAAAAGGTCGTCTTGAACCATCTATATCAATCCAAAAGGTATAAAATATCTTAAAACACAGCACAGACAAGAAAACAAACCACCGATCCCATTTTTATTGCTGAAACTCCGCCCAAAAAAAAACCACATATGCAATACAGGTCAATATTCACAGTTGGAACTTCGTTCTCTGTTTCTCCATTCCACCCTTCCATTCCCACTCCTGCCCACTGGCTCGCTGGATCCCCTTGTCTACTCGTCGAAGCTTGAGGGTAAAGTTGGGCCCCAGCGATTGAAGTCCCGTTCGTAATCCTTCGGCGCCCTTCATCTCCTTTCCGTCCGCCCCGACAACGCTCTTCTCCGTCTCGCGCTTTTGACGGAACACGTACCGGTGCCGTCTCACAAAGATGTAATCGCGTTGGTTGTGGAGAGTAACGACCTGGCGTCCTTCGATATCGGGTTGCGGCGGGAAGAGGCTCCGGAAGAGATGCGCCGTGAGGAGACCCAGCGGAGTGCGGAAATTGTTGAGGATCAGCTCCGGCCAATGTTCCGTGGGATTTCCGTGCCCGGGAAGCTTTTTGCCCGTAATCCAGTTGCTAATGGTGAAGTGGAACATCGGGCCCTTGGGCAGGTGGATGATATCCAGGCCGGCCGGCCGCTTTTGATCCTCCTGGAGGATGACAAGAGCGGTATATTGCCGGTTCGTCGCAAACGAGGCGATCTCGCGGATGGAAAACTTGTGCGAGTAGCGGTGCGCAGTGCGGCGAATGTATACGCTGTTGGGGAACAGCGAGGTCAGGATCTCGGCCTCGTCGTGCAGGATCGAGTTGATGGAGGTGGTGATCAGGATCTTGGGCGTTTTCGGGGTTTCCGTGGAGAAGAGCGAAGGGAACTTGGCCGCCAGCGCCTCGGGGGCGAGGTTCAGGTTGGTACTCTTGGACGACTGAGTCGGACTCGTCGCACGTGCAGTGGCCGAGGGAATGGAGGATTTCGACCGCCCGCGCGGGTGGTCGTCGTCGTCTTCGTCGTCGTCGCCGTCGTCCTTCTCATCGTCGCTGCTGGCCAGCATGCTGTCGACATCGTCGCTATCGTCTTGCGACCCCTCCGACTGCTGTTCGGAAGGATCCAGAGGCCGATTGAGTTCGTCCTCCTCCTCCTGCTTCTGTCTCTTGATGCGTTCGACGTCGACACTCAGGCCCAGTCCATCCTCGGCGTCGCTGTCGGCTTCGTCCCACACTCGCTTCCGCTCCAGAGTCAAGGGAATATTGCGCTTGAGACGCTCATCCTTGAGCTTCGGGTTCTTAGCCTCCTCTTTCTTGAATGCATAACGTTCTGCCCGGCGAGCTGAGTCCTTGGCACGCTTTCTCTTGACGTGCAGCAGCTGACGTCGGATTTTGTTGGCCGGTTTCTCATCCGAAACGGCTCCCGGAGGAGGTCTGGCGAGGGATTTCTTGGACACCATCGTGCAGCGGAGGTGGTAGATGCGGTCGACTGTCGGCGGTTCGTCTCGACGGATTTCGTTTACTTTTTTTCACAAAACTCCGGGGGGGAAAGCGGAAGAAGAGAGTGGCCGGCGGTGAGATTCTGCCGGCGACACGTTCCTTTCGCTGCGGTCGAGTGAAGCTCGCCAATCTACCATTTACCATTTACGCGCCACGGAGAGAACCACAGGACGGCAGGGGAGAACGACCAGACGCACCCCGAAGGACCAATGCTTCACTTGGACCCCCTGCATCTGCTTCCCCCGTCCCCTGAGCGCCTCGTCTTCCGCCTGCCTGCGACTGCGACGACGCCGACGCCGTGATCCGCCGGGCGCCCGTCACGTGGACACCGATGACTCATCCCGCGGCGGCTCGTCTCGTCTTTCGCCGCTCGTCTTTTCTTCCTCGCTGGAACCCCGCCATCCGAAACGCCTTTCGCTGCTTTTCCGCCTCTCCCGTTGCCTACAGAATCCAACCGATCCGGCTCTCGAATAAGACGAAGCCTCGCGACATGGCGACCGTTACCACCAAGAACGGCCAGGTCGTCGACCGTCTGGTCCTGGACTCGATGCTCCGTCGCCGACTCTTCTACACCCCCTCCTTCGAGATTTACGGCGGTGTCTCCGGTCTCTACGACTATGGCCCCCCCGGCTGTGCGGTCGTCAACAACATCATCGATCTGTGGCGCAAGCACTTCGTGCTCGAGGAGGATATGCTCGAGGTGGACTGCACCATGTTGACCCCGCACGAGATCCTGAAGACCAGCGGCCACGTTGAAAAATTTGCCGACTGGATGTGCAAGGACCCCAAGACCGGCGAGATCTTCCGCGCCGACCACCTGGTCGAGGAGGTGCTCGAGGCTCGCCTGAAGGGTGACAAGGAGGCGCGTGGCCAGAAGGTCGTCGTCGACGAGGAGAAGGAGGCGAAGAAGAAGAAGAAGGCCAAGGACACCAAGGCCGTCAAGCTGGACGATGCGCTCGTCAAGGAGTACGAGGAGGTCCTGGCCCAGATTGACAACTACGGCGGGCCCGAGCTGGAACAGATCATCGCCAAGTACGATATCCGGAACCCCACCACCGACGGCAACGTCCTCCCTCCCGTCGCCTTCAACCTCATGTTCCAGACGTCGATCGGCCCCAGCAGCAACATGCCTGGTTACCTGCGCCCCGAAACCGCCCAGGGTCAGTTCTTGAACTTCCAAAAACTGCTGGACTTCAACCAGCAGTCCATGCCCTTCGCGTCGGCCTCCATCGGCAAGTCGTTCCGGAACGAGATTTCGCCCCGCGCCGGTCTCCTGCGAGTTCGAGAGTTCCTCATGGCCGAGATCGAGCACTACGTCGACCCCGAGGGTGGTAAGAAGCACTCTCGCTTCGAGGAGGTCAAGGACGTTGAGATGTCCTTCCTCAACCGCACTGTGCAGCTGTCCGGAAGCACTCAGACCGAAAGGATGACCATTGGCAAGGCCGTCGAAACCGGTCTGGTGGACAACGAGACGCTCGGGTACTTCATTGCTCGCATCCAGCAGTTTCTGCTCAAGCTGGGAGTGGACCCGACAAAGCTCCGCTTCCGTCAGCACATGGCCAACGAAATGGCCCACTATGCGGCCGACTGCTGGGATGCCGAGCTGCAGACCAGCTATGGTTGGATTGAGTGCGTCGGCTGTGCCGATCGCAGTGCCTACGACCTGACGGTGCACAAGAACAAGACCGGAGCTCCCTTGGTGGTCCGAGAGACTCGGGCTGAACCTCTCAAGATCGAGGAGTGGCAGATAGATCTGGACCGGAAGAAGTTCGGCCCGCGGTTCAAGAAGGACGGCAAGGCTGTGGCCGCCGCTGTGGATGCCCTTTCTCAGGACCTGCGTGAGAAGTTGTCTCTGGATCTGGAGAAGCAGGGCAAGATTGAGGTGGATGTGGAAGGCGTTGGCTCCGGCAAGGTCGAGCTGGACAAGGAATTGATCACCATTGAGAAGCGGACTCGAGTGGAGCACGTCCGTGAATTTACCCCGAATGTGATCGAGCCGTCCTTTGGTATTGGTCGTATCTTCTACAGCATGATCGAGCATGCTTACTGGTATCGGGAGGCCGACGAGGCGCGTGGGGTATGTACACTCCGATTCCCAAATATCCTGCTTCCCTCTGGGTAAGGAATCCCAGCTAACCATCGACGGATAGGTCCTGTCCTTCCCCCCGGTAATCGCACCGACCAAGGTCCTCATCGTTCCCCTCTCGACGCATGCCTCGTTCCGCCCTCTGACGCAGCGGCTGATGTCGCAGCTGCGACGCATGGGTATCTCCAATCGCGTGGATGACTCGTCGGCCAGCATCGGAAAGCGGTACTCGCGCAACGACGAATTGGGCACGCCGTTCGGTATCACGGTGGACTTCCAGTCCGTGCAGGACAGCACCTTCACGCTTCGGGACCGGGACTCGACGAAACAGGTGCGGGCTAGCGAGGCCGAGATCATCCAGGCCCTCAAGACCTTGGTTGAGGGCGAGGAGACCTGGGAGGATGTCCGCAAACGCCTGCCGGAGTTCACCGGGCAGGAGGTTGAATAGATGCAAGACATGTAGATCGCGAACTTACTTCCCCCGTACTCTGCAGTCCGAAGCAAACGAAGCAAACATCCAGTATTAAGTCATCGTAGATCACATGCCAAGAGAATCCCGCCGTCGCCAGTTGGTCTCTTCCTCTTTCTTCCGGTCATCCATCTCTCTATCCCTCCCTCTCGGTCTTTCTCCCTCTCCTCCCCTTCGCTCTCGTCCCGTTCGCTGCCGGGACGGTCTCGCCCGTCGCTTCATCATGGCCCCCTCCGTTCCCTCCGCCAAATTGACCCTCTCCTGCCCCCTCTTCGCTGCTGACTTCGACCCGCGCAACCCCGGCTTCCTGCTGGTCGCAGGCGGAGGAGGTGAAAGTCGCACGGGGGTGGGCAACAAAATCGCAAGTGCCCTAATTAGTGCCTCTTCTGCGTCACCGAATGAATGAATGTCAGATGCGCTAACCTCTTCGCCCCGGCTTGACAGACCCTTCTAAACACTTCCAAACGTCAAGAGATCTCAGAGGTGGTCGACATCGAACTATCGCGTGAGGAGGACTCCGTCACCTCGCTGGCGGCGGCACGAGCGAGCGATGACTCCATCATTGCTTTGGCGGGAATCAACAGCTCCATGGCGGAGCAGAAACGAGACAACAACCAGCATCTGAGGTCCTTCCAGATCGATTATCCCCCGCGGCGATCATCCAAACCGAGTGGCGCAAACGAAAGCCGAAGTGTCGAAAAGGAAGCCGAATCGACAACTCCGTCCTCGTCCCCGGGGAAGACTACGGCATTGTCCCGCGTGTCCCTTTTTCGAACCAAAGCCGGTAGCACCGGTACCTACCAACGAATAACGCGCTTGTCACCCTGGAAAGGCACAGAGTCCCCGCGCGTGGCTGCCATTGCCACCGGGCTGGCTCCATCTGGCGAGATTGTTTTCTTGAACGCCACTACAGCAACCCCGAGCGCGTCCGATGTCATTGGAAGAATCCGCCTGGGAAGTGATGAAGAAGCCGAGGATGTGGATATCGCAGAACTGGAGGCTGAGGGGAAATTCCGGGTCGCCTATACCAACGGCGTCGATGTCTTTATCTGTCAAATCTCGTCCGACAAGAGGTCCAACGCCTCGCCAGACGTGAGCTGTGTATACACCACTCCATTGCCCGAGAAAGGCTCGAGAACTCGACCTAAGTTCCGCGCATTGCGCTTCCTGTCACCGACGACCCTGCTGTTACTTCGAAATGCGCCAGACCGCCGCGGGTGCGAGCTGATCCTACTTGATCTGCATCAAGCAGCATCGAAGAAGCCCTCAGCATCCATCGTCCGCAGCAAGAAGCTCCGCAAAGCCATGAAAATCGGGCTTGGTCTGGACGTTTGCTTGTTGAGCCAGAACACCGATACCCGGCAGCAAACAGTTATTGCGGTTGCCGGAAGCGACCAGTCGATCGAGGTATTGACGCTGGAGTCGAATCCGTCGCAAGGTGGCCACGGTAAATTCCGCACTTACACCAGCCTCTATGAAGTGCATCCCTTCTCCTTGACCAAGATCTGCTTCTCGCCATTCACACCTCCCCCGCAACCAGTCAGCCCCGAGACGCCGCCCCAGTACATCAAGCTCGCTTCCCTCAGCCTGGGGAACACCGTTGTTGTGCACACTTTCCCCTTGGCGCCGTCGCCGCCGTCTAGTCGTAGTCCGCGGTACGTCCTTGTTCCGCCGCATGACTTGGATGTCTGGACCAGTCTCTCCAGCGGTCTCGCGGCGCTCTTCTCCATCTTGGCCGTCTGCTTCCTTCTCCAGGCGTTTACGGAAATTCGTGGGGTTATGCCGCCTTACCTGGGCGCCACCGAATGGCTTCCTCCTAATATCCGCGACTCCATTGCCCGGCCATACTACGCTCCACCACCCCATCCACTCCAACAGTCATCCCTCACCTCGTCGGCCCTCCCCTCAGCGGCGACTGACTTTTCTGGGCCCTTACTGCGCGATCTGCTTCGCGATAATTCCCCTGTCGGCGCCGACGATGAAAGGCCGCTCGTTCGCGTTCACTGGGATTCCGAGCGCAACGAGCCTCTCGTTGACTCTGTTTTTGCGTCCCAACAAACAGAAAGTCTCCTCAGCTGGGAAGACCTCGGCGAAGAAGAGCAAGCCCTCTGGACACAGCGTCTGACAGAGTCCGGTCACTGGGCCTCCGAAGATGACGTGACGGTTCTTCAGAGCGTTCTTTTCCAGGCAGAGGAAAGGCCACGATCTGAGCTCTAGATGGCTCCTCTTTTTACTTCTCATTGTAATTCATCTCTTCATGTTTTCTTTTTTCTTGTCTCCTTTTCTTAGTCTCTATTTCTCTTCTCTTTTCTTGGAACGTCTTTTTGGCTGACTCGTTAGGATATCGATATGACTTCTGTGTCATGTCTATGGCCGAGGACGAAACAAAGAGAAAGTGGATCCATGAGTGTTATCCCACGAATTGTCTACGATTGTACGCTGTATTTTGAATCAGACTGGCCTGTATCAAAATCTGACTCTGCCATGTAAAAAAAAAATAAACGAATAATAAATCGAAAATCGAAAAGCAAGTTTCCAATGTCCTGCTTGTTTCGCAAAGGTTTTTTTTATTGTCAACAACACCCAGACATAAAGAAAGCGCAGCAGTTTTTCCAAAAGGCCCACCGGGGCCATGTATTATGATTATGGACTGCTCGGCATGAAATGGCTTTCAAAACATTCCGAGTCCGATCCGCACATCAAAGTCCGTTGATCTGTTCATGCTCCCTGACTCATCCCTTGTTCTATTGTTTTGACTTTTTTTTTTTTTTTTTTTTTTTCAAAGAGGCTTCGTTGGGTGGCCTGACCGATACGTGTTGTGCGCAGGGGACCACCACAATCGGCATCAACATCACACATAAAAGGCTCGTCTCGCTTCGTCACCGTGCAGAGAAAGGGAGTGGGGAAACAATGGATGTCGGCTCAAACAAGACAGGGTGTAACAGAGAGGATCGAATGGATTATTCACGATATAGAAAAGAAAAGGACCAACGGGGAATAGAACACCCAAGATGAACGCCGAATTATCCATGCCAAGTGTGCAGAAAAGAACACAGCTTTGTAAGTTGGATATCACACAAGAAGAATGGGATTGCAATGCAGGTCGTAAGGGAAAAACGAAATCATCCGGAAGCGCGTATATGAGACCCATATGTGCCGTGAGACAAGATTGATGATAGATCGTGAAAGGGGAGGGCGATATATGTCGGTTGATAAGAGGTTCGAGCTTGAACAGTCAGAACCTCCCTTCTTTTTTTTACTGTCCATTGTTCTTCTTCCAGCGGAGCAATTCGGCCAGGCTGGCCAGGCTGCAACCCGACTTTAGGAACTCATGGGCCAATAGCTCGTCGGCCGTTGCACGGCTACGGACATCGACACAAAGACAAACACTCAGGAAGGACTTGAGCTCCTTGCTCAACTTCTCGGGCTTCTTCAAGCGAGGAGTGCCGTTGGTCGCGATGAGATACAAGGCTTTCAGCGGCTCTTCGTTCAGGTAGGGCGGCTCCGATTCGATCATTTCGATGGCCATGATTCCCAACGACCAGCAGTCGACCTTGGGGCCGTATTCTTTCTGCTTGACAACCTCCGGGGCCATCCAGTACGGAGTACCAACCATCGTGGCCCGCTTGCTCTTCGACTCAGTAAGCTTGGCACAGAATCCAAAATCGGCTAAAGGGTAGGGGAAAAAAACATTGTGGTTAGCATCGGATCCTACTGGGGGTGTTTACAAGCAGTCTATCACTCACTGATCTTCACATGGCCGGCGCGGTCCAGGAGAACGTTGTCACTCTTGATGTCTCGATGTATGATATTCTGGCTATGTAGATGAGCCAGCCCTTGGCAGGTCTATTGCGAGATCATTAGCATTGGATCAAGGGGATGTCCGACGGGGTCCTCTGGGAGGTGGAGCAAAGAAAACATACCTCGGCACATATCGTGGCGATCTGATCTTCTTGAATGACGGGGTTATTGTCAATGACATCCGTCAAAGCACCGCCCTCCATGAATTCCATGACAACCCAGAGTTCATTGCTCTGCTCCTGTAAAAAGGAGTCCAGGAAGTTGACAATGTTGGCATGCTGGCTGTCCTTCATGACGATAATCTCGTTGACGATCAACTCCTTCCGAGGTTGACTGCGCAGGTCCATCTGCTTGATAGCCACTTGACACCGGGGCCCGTACTGCCGGTACATCTCCCGCGCCACGGGGGAGATGGCATGCTCCTTCACCCGCGCCACGTACACGGAGCCCGAGGCGCCTTGACCGATCTTGCGCTGCTTGCTGTAAGACTCGTTGGGGTTGTCCTTGGACACCACCGATCGAAGTCGATCCATCACTTCATTTTCACTCATGTTCGACATGCGGACTTCCCTCTGCCGAGGCTCTGGCTTCTTGGTCAAGGCCGCCTCGGCCTGGCGAACGCCATCGGGCACGGTGGGTTTGTTCGAGGGCTGCTTGTTGGCGATGTTCAGAGGCTTCACGGGTTGCACGGGGGCCGGCAGTTTCGTCGGAGGCGGGCCCTGGGCCTGCGGACCCTTGGCGTTGTTCGGGGCGCGCGCCGCCGAGGGCTGAGCCCGCGGGTCATGGCCGGGGTAGCGCGAGCTGGGAGAGCCGTCGTCCGGTCGAGCGCCGGGGGCCCGAGCCCCGTAGTCTCCAGGCCGCTGGCCCTGGCTCGAGGCAGTTGGAGGCGGCGGAGCCGGACGTTGCGCCGTCAGCTGGCGGTCTTGCGGCCGGGTCGAGCCTGGAGCCTGCGGGGCCGGACGGCTCGGCTTATAGCGGTCGTTTATCGAGGGTTCGGAGCCGCCGTAACCGCCCAGCTCCTGCTTGGCCAGCGGAACACGGGTCTTCGGGAGAGAGGCATTGTATGCTTCCTGGTCGAGCCGGCTCTGCTCGTCCTCGCGCGCGCGAGCCCGTCTGGCATCGTCCTCCACTCGGCGGCGCTCTTGATCTGCCATCTCCTTCATCCGCTCCAGCTGCTGCTGCTGTTCCAGCGCCCGGTCCGACTCAGGCTTGCCCTGCGACTGGGCGGGGGACATGCGGCTCGAGGGCCCGCTGTCCAGGCGCTGCGAGGGCGCGGGCGGGGGCGGCCGCGGGGGCGCAATAGAGCTGCCCACGGAACTGTTGCTGTAGGGCTTCGACGACTGGTTCGAGCCCGTCGAAGACACCATGCCCGCGTAGTACTGGGGGTTCTGCTCGCGCATCTTGATGTCGGAGTAGAACTCCAACACTTCGATGACGGCCTGCGGGTTCTTCTTGTAGTCTTCCTTGGTGATGGCCGACGCCGTCAGAAGTTTCTCCCACTCCGGAGGCAGGCCCACAAAGGCGCCCGTTTGGGGATCAAAGCCCACATGGACGCGGTGGCTGAAATTGGTCGGGTTGCTGACGCCGCCCATGCCGGGGCAGCGCTCGTAGATCTTATCGATCCAGTCGTAGATCTCGTCGTCACTCTTCACCTCACAGGTGATACTCTTGGTGGGCACGTCGCGGGTGATCAGAGCCGATTTGGAGGTTGCATCCTTGGGGTTGGCCAGACGGATAATCTCGAAGGCCATGCGGGTGTCTTCCGAGCGCGAGACGCCGGTGACCGTGGCGAGCGGGATGGACAGCACGACTTTGCCGGTCTCGTTCTTGAGGAAGTCCAGGCGAAACTCCCGCAGGATTAAATAGCGCTGGTTCCAGGTGGCCAGGAACTTATCCTCTTTGGAGCGCACATAGCCCTCTTTGACGACGGAGACCCCGCCCTGCAACGACTGGTTGGTCTTGGTCTGCGAGAGTGCAGGCGAGCTGGTATTCGGGAAGAGAGACAGGTTGGCGGAGCCGGGGGTGCTCGGCGAGTTCAGGCTCATCTGGCCGAACGAGGTGGCCGCCGACTGGGTCGAGGGGAGATTCAACTTGGGGCGGTCGGCGGGCGGGCGAGGAGCCGGACCGGGGTTCATGAACTGGTCAGGAGAATACATGCTGCGACCGAATCAGCACGCGATGTTCAGATCGACAGAAGGGCCAAGGGATTGTGGAATCGGAAGAACAAGAGAAGGACGAAGAAAACAGGGGGAAGAGAAGCGAGCCAGGAAGAACGCCAAAAGGGCCGGGCCACGACTTACTTGCCATGGGAAGTCATTGGCCAGGAGAAGAAGCGAGACACAGCAGGCCTCGCGAGAGGATTGGAATCGGTGAGATCCCTTGGCTTGGGGACAATTTCACTGTAATAGGGGGAGGGGGGGCAGTCAGCCTTGTGAGGATTGTCAAGTTGTCAGACTCCTGGGCAGAGAGAGAGGGAGAGGGGGGCGAGAGTGGCATCGATAATTCCAACAATGATGGCCAGAGACTCCCGAAAAATCCCTGAATTCCTGGCAGAAGGGGGATTCGTTCAATTCTTTGCCTCGACTTACCAGCAAGAGCGTCAGGGAGAGAGCGAACCCTCGCTCTCGCAGCGCGGGTTGCACGCCTCAAAGTACGTGGGGGAGGGCGAGACGCGGTGAGGGAGTGGACAGCAGAGGCGCTGGGATCTACTGAAGGCTGCAGATGACGAGGAACCGGATGAGAAGAGAAGAAGAGGGAGAGAGTGAGTGAGGGAGTGTGTAGAGGAAGAGAGGAAGAGAGAGCGGAAGGGAAAGAGAAGAAGAAGAAGAAGAGGGGGGAAAAGAAAGGGAGAGCAAAAAGTAAATGAAGTTTCACTAATTCCCCAACCAGGGGCGCTCTCTCTCTCTCTCTCTCTTTCTCTCTCTCCCCCGACCGACTGGATTTATTTCAATTCTCGTCCAGAGCCCAGAAATATCCTCTACACCAGATCTCTATCTCTACTACGCGATTCATCGATCGGACTCCTGGGAGCTGAACTGCCTATCCGTGGATATGCCTGGACCCTTGGGACTTTACTCGGCCTCATCCCTGGCCTTGGATAATCGTCCCCCCCTTAAGAGCGCCACTAAAGCACTCGTCCCGACGGAGAAACCGGGCTCACTAGGACTAAGGGAGTTTAGGGATGACTCCACTCGGGGCCGAAATGCGTTGGTCAGCCAGACTCAGATTGATTGATTGCTTAATGGGTGGATTGATCGGTCCGTCGTCATCTTTCTCTCCCTCTCCTTCTCCCTCTCCCTCCCCCTCTTCATCTCCATCTCCATCTCCATCTCCAGTCATTGTGCGACGGATCGACTTCTCGATCGATGGCTTGATCCATGGTCCCGTCAGGAGCGAGTCCTTCGGCCGCTCGCAGCTCCGATCCACGGATCGCCGTTCCAGCCGCCCGGTCAAGATCTTCAGGATCGACTCGACTCTTCTTCCGGCCACCGCGCCTGGTTTATACAGGTAGAACTGAGGTAGGTACTGTACAGATTGGATAGATGGGGCTCAAGGGTCCTCGCCGAAAGGATAGTTGAACTTCAGGAGTCCGTTCAATCCGCCCACCCATCCGTCATGCGCCTCGCTGCCGACAATCCGACGCATCACGCATGGCACGCCGCCCTGCCATTCATTCTCCCCGTGCCGCATCTCTTCGTTCCAGACTCGCGCCTCCATCCCGACGGCCATCCCCTGGCCCATGTTGACCCCGTCGATGCTCACTTCTAGCTCGCGGCCCCGGTTCTTCTCGCTGAGCCGCAGCGTGATCGGCGTGCTGGAGGGCAGCACCAGCGGCCGGAAACTGAGGCTCCGCGCGCAGATCGGCGTCAAGAGAATCGAAGGCACTAGCGGATGCACGATGCTGCCGCCGCTACTCAGGCTGTAGGCCGTACTGCCGGTGGGCGTCGAAATGATAATTCCGTCCGCGACGGCCTCGGTGAGAAACCGCCCGCCAACGTACAAGTCCACCACAGCGAGATGCGGCTCCTTTCCGCGGTGGAACAGCACCTCATTCATCACGTACACGCCGTCCCGGCCCAAGGTGCCCTGCATAGGGACCGAGTTCTGGTCCCGTTGAACGGGCGTGCCGTCGGCCGTGAACAACCCGACTTTCAACCGATTGCGCATCAGAATGCGGGCACCACGGCTGGCGCCCATCGATTTGCCGCGCACCGAGGACCACCCGGTCGGGCCAGTCCCCGACGGCAGCCGATCGTGCGCCGTCGTGGCCACAGCTCGGTCTTCCAGGATGGGCGCCCGGTCCCCAACACCCGCTCCGGACATGTAGACTTCGCGAAATGCGCGCTTGTACTCGGCAAACTTCCATTCGCTTAAGAAGCCCAGGGTCCCCATACTGAAGGATAGTACGGGCGGCACGTTGTGGCACGTGGCAAACAGCGACGAGGCATGCAAGATCGTCCCGTCTCCTCCCAGCGTAACCGTAAGGTCCACTTTCTTATGTAGCGACGATGGTAGTTTGTCCGACTGCGCCGTGTAGACGGGACAAGGGAGCGATGTGTGGACTTCTTCTGCTGTTTTCGGTTCGAGAATGATGGCGGTCGACGGGTATGTGGACGTGACATGGCTACACATGCGCAGAAATAATAATAAGAAGGTCAGCGTCTATTCCCTCCCCGATAAGATTTCGCCAGTGCTCTCTCCCGTACCTGGCAAATTCGATCAGAGACTCGGTGACCGCCGGAACGCAGTCTTTCTTGACCACGAAGATGTTTCGAAGGGGGATCGGCCACTGCAGCGAGAGAAGATCCGCCTCCTGGGATTCTGAGATCGAAAGATACCGGTCAGTGGATCGCATCCCACCACGGATTGGGGAGCTGCCGAAGACGAGAGGGAAATGCCCCGACGACGCACACCTTGGTATTTGGGTATCAGCCGATGAGAAAGGGATTCGAGGTCTCTTATCTCATATCGATGCGACGACGACGTGAAGGGTCGCATGCGCGGTGTCCGCCGGGGGACCGGCCCCCGGAGTCGGAGAGGCAGCGCTTGAAAAAAGGCCCGCCGCATTTTCTGATTTCGCCCTGCGACACAAACTCAAGCTCGAGGGATGCAGTGCCCGTGGATCATTGTCATTGCATTCCGCGCGAGACCTGGAAAAGAGGCGTCGGCAGGCGCCTCACCGCCCGGGTCGGCTGACGTATGGGACAAAGCGGCAGGACGTCATGCTCGACCACGCCTCCTTCGGTTCCTGACCCCGTAACCATCCCTTTGCCTCGACTTTCACCCTCTTCGGTCCCATCCTCCCCCACCGAGGCTGATTGTACATACCCAGACGCTCGCATTCTCGCCCCGACCCGACAACCCCAGACGCCCTTCCTTCCACCGCTCTCTCGCCCACGATGGATGAACCGGAACTTCGTCGGCGAAAGCAGGAGTCCCTGTCGAGTCAGCCTCCGCCTACGGAACCCCGCGACGCGGAGCCACGCCTGAAACATGGCATTCCAATGCAGCTGCTGCGATCTCTGCTGTTGGCAACCTGGTTTGACTGCTGTTGCGTCGTGATCCTCGTGACCCAGTTGGTTGGGTCACCGCTATACCTTATAAACAAAGACTATTACTACGGCTACATGGCATTCACCAAACAGTCGTTCGGCTTGGTGATCACCGCGCTCACCCAATGGGGCTGTCCGACCTTCGTTCGCGTCAGCGGAGACCAGAGCGTGCGAGGTCAGATCCATCTGACCCGAGACGGTCGGTTGAAGACGCAATTTCCGGAGCGCCTGGTAATGATCGCCAACCACCAGGTCTATACCGACTGGATCTACCTGTGGTGGGTGGCCTATACAAACACGATGCACGGCCGCATCTTCATCATTCTCAAGGAGTCTTTGAAGTACATCCCCATCGTCGGCCAGGGCATGATGTTCTACGGGTTTATTTTCATGGCGCGCAAATGGCTCTCCGACAAGCCGAGGCTGCAGCATCGCCTGGAGAAGCTGAAGACCCGGCATACCGGTTCCAATTCCGACTCGCCCGACCACGACCCTATGTGGCTTCTGATCTTTCCCGAAGGGACCAACCTGTCCATCAACACCAAACGCCGTAGCGATGCTTACGGGCAGAAGCAAGGGCTCTCGCCCTTGAGGCATGAGCTTCTCCCGCGATCGACCGGGCTTTTCTTCTGCCTGCAGCAGCTCAGAGGGACGGTTGACTGGGTATATGACTGCACGGTTGCATACGAGGGACCTCCGTAAGTTCCGACCGTACCGCATTCCGATTCTCCGGAGCAGCCCCAACGCTAACCACTTTCTTCTTCTTTCTTTCTGTTCGTATCAAACAGAAAGGGCAGTTATCCGGACAAGTACTTCACTCTACGATCAACCTACCTGCAGGGAAGGCCTCCGACCTCGGTCAACATGCACTGGAGGCGGTTTGCCGTGTCCGGCATCCCACTTGACGATCAAAAGGAGTTTGATGACTGGCTGAGGGCCCGATGGACCGAAAAGGACCAACTGTTGGAAGACTTCTTCGAAACAGGGCGGTTCCCCACCGAGCTCGCCGGTACGATCGACGCCGATGCAGTGTCTCCGGCGCAACGAGCGGCCGCTTCTACCGGCTACGCGGAGGCACACGTTCGCCTGGGGCATTGGAGTGAAATCGGGCGGATATTTGGGGTGCTGATCGGCGTTGCGCTGCTGTGCAGACTCCAGTTCTGGGGCTTGGGGTACGGCCGGAATTGAATGATCTCGGACAAGACCGCTTACGCTTACTTACGTTCTTATTTATCACGATGACGAAGACCATGGGCATGCAAGGGAGAGACCGGGAACCTATTGTTTGGCGTGATTATAGTAGACTTCAATAGAATCCATCACGAGAGCCACGGTGTGCCGGTATAGATAGAAGATCCCCATCCGGATTAGCGCCCGCCCACCAGCCACCCGTGGCGGTGCGGCTGCAGCCTCAGGCGCCCAACCTCGTCGCTGAAAGACCGACCGGCCAAACAGACAGACTTTGTATCCATTCACTATCGTCGTCGCAACACGCCCAGCTTGCCTTGAGCTTTCATTCCCGAACCAAGGCCGGAGGTCCCCCTTTCCATGGACCTTTGATCGTGACTCTCTCCGTGCGGTGGTATGATCATGAGCTGAGCTTTCACGTCCGATCCGATCCAGTTCTCCGACCTATTCGCATCTTCCCCAACATCCACCTGCCAAAGGGGACTTCTCTTATCCGACCTTCCATCCCGCACTCGCCGACCATGGCGTCCCTGCAGAATGGTTATTCCAATGGCGTGAACGACGACCCCCTCGCGGCCAACTCATTGGCCAACCTGCGTTTCTCTGACATCCCATCCGCCATCGACATTCCCGCCTCGACCCTCGACAGTGAGGTGGAAGTGAGTCTAGAAGGGCTTCCGGACGACCCCACGGAGCTGTGTACTCTTCTGGAGAACGAGAGGGCCGCGAAGAATTTCTGGGTCATCATCGCGCTCGCGTATGCCAAGCAGAAACAGATCGACCATGCTATCGACATCCTGAATAAGGGACTGGCCTCGGTCGCCCATGGAGCCACCAAAGAGAAGCTCGGCCTCTTGGGCTGGGTATGCTGGCTGCTGATGCTGAAGAGTCGCCAAGCTCCCCGGGTCGCCTCCGAGGGCCAATTGTACACCGAGGCCAAGACGAAAGATTACTACCTTCAACTCGCGACGTCGACGCTGAACGAGGCATCGCGGCTGAACCCGGCCTTCCCGCCGTTGTTTCTTGCCCGGGGAGTCCTGTCCCTCCTGCGCTCCTCACTACACCCCCCCAGACCCGTTCGCCCCGGCACCGTCGACACGTCGGAGAGAGTGGAGTCCCTGCGACAGGCGCTCAAGTGCTTTGATGAATCGTCCAAGGCATTCGGCGGCAGGAACATCATGGCAATTCTGGGCCGTGCGAGAACCCAATATATGCTTGGCAGATACGCCGACGCGTTGGAAGGCTACCAGAAGGTGCTGATGAAAATGCCCGGTCTTACGGACCCGGACCCCCGCATTGGAATCGGGTGCTGCCTGTGGCAGTTGGGCTTCAAAGACCAAGCGAAAGCTGCCTGGGACCGAGCATTGGCACTTGTGAGTTCACCGCGATGCAGATCTAGACCCCCCCCCCTCTCCCCGGTTGTCTGACTTTGCGATTAATACTGATCCTGGCTTCGATGTCCTAGAACCCGGATTCCAAGGTTGCCAACATCCTACTTGCCGTATATTACCTCTACGATAGCTCGCGGCACGCTACGACCGACCCGGCTTTCGGCTCGCTGTACAAGGTAGCCATGACGCAATACACGCAGAAGGCGTTCAAACTGGATAAAGAATACCCCATGACGTGTGCCTTGTTTGGTGGCTATTTCCTTCTGCGGAAGTCCTACTCTACCGTCGATACCCTGGCACGCAAAGCCATCGAGCACACGGATGTGATGCAGGTCGCCAGCGACGGATGGTACCTGCTGGGTCGCAAAGCCCACTACGAGGGCGATCTAGCTCGTGCTGCGGAGTACTACAGCCGTTCCGACCAGGCCCGGGGTGGCGGTGACAAGGGCTACCTGCCCGCCAAGTTTGGCGCGGTGCAAATGCAAGTGTCGGGCAAGGATGTTGACGGGGCCAAATTCCGCCTGGAAAAAATCATTCAACAGACCAGGAATCCGGAGTGTATGATACTGCTTGGAGCGCTTCTTGCCGAGGAGGTTTTCGCCGCCCAGAACAGCGGTAGCAAGGAAGACAAGTCGGCGGAAGCGAAGAAAGCCACTGGCCTCCTGGAATCCGTCCGTGCCCTCTGGAAAGACGAGAGCAAGAAGCTCTCGCCCGACGAGTCGGTCTTGGTGTATCTGTCCCGACTTTACGAGCAGACCGCGCCGGAGAAGAGCATGCAGTGTCTGTCCCAGCTGGAGGAAATACAGTTGGCAGAGGTCCCCGAGGAACTGCGCCCCGAAGGCCTTGAGGATGAGGCGCAGATCAAGGCCGCGCTTCGAGTGAATTTGCCCCCGCAGCTGCTCAACAACATCGGCTGCTTCCTGTACCAGGCAGAGAAGGTGGAACAGTCGCGGACCATGTTCCAGGCGGCCTTGGACGCCTGCGTGCGATCGCAGGAGAAGGAAAGCGAGCTCGACACCGACGCGCTCGTCACGACCATCAGTTACAACCTTGGCCGCAGCTACGAGGTTTCGGACATGCCGGAGGAGGCCAAGAAGGTCTACGACGGGCTCTTGGAGCGCCATTCGGACTACACGGAGGCCAACGCGAGATTGACCTACATTGCGTTGCGGCAGAGCCCGACGGACGAGGGACCCAAGAAGATGGCCAAGCTTTACGAGGCCGACTCCACCAATCTGGAAGTCCGCGCGCTGTTCGGGTGGTACCTCAGCAAGTCCAAGAAACGGACGGCCAACCTGGCGGAAGATCAGGAGCAGCGGCACTACAAACATACCCTGCAATACTTTGACAAGCACGATCGCTACTCGCTGACGGGGATGGGCAACGTCCATCTCCTCACGGCGCGAGACATGCGGCGTGAAACCGAGCCGGAGAAGGAAAAGCGCCGCCGGATGTACGAGCGGGCGGTCGAGTTCTTCGACAAGGCCCTTCAGCTTGATCCCCGGAACGCCTACGCCGCCCAAGGGATTGCCATTGCCCTGGTTGACGACAAGAAAGACCACAGCACCGCCGTGCACATCTTCTCGAGGATCCGCGACACGCTGCGGGATGCCAGTGTTTATCTGAACCTGGGCCACGTCTTCGCGGAACTCCGGCAGTATACGCGCTCGATCGAGCACTACGAGGCGGCCCTGTCCAAGGACCGTGCCCGGGACGCGCAGATCCTGGCATGCCTGGGTCGCGTGTGGCTGCTGAAGGGCAAGCAGGAGATGAACCTGTCGGCGATGAAGTCGGCGCTGGACTACGCGCAGCGCGCGCACTCGGTCGCGCCGGCCCAGATCCATCTCGAGTTCAACGTGGCCTTCGTGCAGAACCAGATCGCGTCGCTGGCGTACGGGCTGCCGGAGACGCAGCGGACGGTGCAGGACGTGCAGGACGCGGCCGACGGACTCCGCCAGGCGGTGGAAACGTTCGGCCGGTTGGCGCAGGCGAAGAACCCGCCCTACCCGGCGGGGGCCCTGGAGCAGCGCGCGAACATGGGCAAGACCATCATCAAGCAGCTGGAGCGCGCGCTCCAGAGCCAGAAGGAGTACGAGGAGAAGAACGCGGCCAAGCTGCAGCAGGCGCGCGAGGCGCGCGAGGCCGAGATCCGGCGACGCGAGGAGGAGGTGCGCAAGGCGCAGGAGGCGGAGCGGGAGCGCAAGCAGCGGGTGGCGGAGGAACGGCAGCGGATGGTCGAAGAGGCGCAGCGGCTGGCGGAGCAACGCGCGGAGGAGGACCGCGCGCGCGAGGAGGCGGAACTGACCACCGAGTCGGAGACCGGGGAGAAGGTTAAGCGCAAGAAGAAGCCGTCGAAGCGCAAGAAGCAGCGCGCCGAGGATGATTTCATCAACGACGGCGGGTCGCCCGGCCGGGACAAGAGCTCGGAGCCCGACAGCGAGGGCGAGACGGCGCCGAAGAAGCGTCGTCGACTGGAACGCCGGTCAGGCGGCAAGGTGCAGCAGAGCAAATACAAGAGCAGCGAGATGGTGGTGGACTCCGACGACGAGGACCACACCAACGCCGACGAGGACCATGCCGGCGCGGACGAGGACGAGGACGAGGTGGTGCAGCGACGTCGGAACAAGACGAGTCGCCGAGTGGCGGACGACGACGAGGAGGAAGAGGAAGAGGCGGCAGGGGGAGGTGGAGGAGGAGATGGACCTGACGATGATGCCGGATTATTCAGTGAGGGACCGGGCGACGAAGATACGACGATGAAGGATGACGATGAGTGAGTACACTTCGCATCCGATTGTCGTTCTTGATGGGTTGGATTGTACAATGTAGTCCGTTTCTTTTCTCCTTTTTCTTCTTCATTTTTTGTTTCTTTTCTGCATGGCATTACTTCTATTCTGAATTGTATTGACCAAAGGGTACTTACTATGTACATGGGCGTTGAGGGAAGGGGGATTCGCGGCCACCAATCAGTCCATGGGGGCCTTCTTGTGTTCTTTCGTTCGTTTTTAATCTATTCTATTTTCAAGCCATGAATGAAGCCGTACTCCGAGGCAGGATGAGCGTGGATTAATTTAACGAGGGTGCCGAACCGGATCTGCTCGTCATGGCGAGATCCCAGATGGCCAGATGGGCGCGATGAACAGGCGGCCTGGAAGAGGAAGTTGAGGCCCGGCGACGGAGTCTAGACAAGTGGGATCGTCAGGAGGGTGAACTATGGAGACACAGGGAAGGAGGATGAAACACGCTAAGAAGGGGGGCCTTCCTTTCAGCCATCAGCGTGGTAGGGTTGAGGGGATGAGACGATGGTGTAACGGAAGGTGAAGAAGAGAGCCAGGGAAACGATGCCGATCGTAGGGACTTTTTTTTTTTTTTTTTTTTCGATCTCTCGAAGGGACCGTGGATGACTGAATCATGATCTGCCGGCACATACGAAGTAAGGTACTTAAAAAGGTAGGTACCTTAGGTAAAGGTAGGTCCAGCATCCAGCGTCTGCCGGGTAAGATACAGCGTCCGGCGTCTGGTACGGCGTCTGGTAACTATTGTATCCGACGTGAGTCCTACTGCGTAAATGTTTTTCCCTCCCTCCCTCCCTCCCTCTTCTCTCTCTCTCTCAAGGAACATCCATGGATTATGCTTCTGCTTTCCCCTTCTCGCTCAGGCCCCGAACCCCCCTCATTGGCCCTCAACCGCGGTGCTTCCATGGTTCTCCGGCCGACCCAAGAGCCTGCGACAGGCCCCACGCCCACTAAAATCCCAGCCCCTAATCCAACAGGATCCGCTCGCCGGCCACAAACTTCAGCCATGCAGGGAAACCCCCCGTAATGACCTTGTCTAATGCACGCCTGGAGGGAAACGTTGGACTGGGTCCGCCTCTCTAAGCGAATGATGATCCGGTGCCTGACATTCTTTCCTCGCTCTCTCTCTCTCGCTCTTGGTCTCCTACCTCGGTCTCGGTCCTCGTCACCAAAATCGAACAGACCGCAAAGCAATGGGATGCACGTGGAATCGGCACTCGCGAGTTGTCACCGTCCATGAATTAATTCCTAAAGGGGTCACCATTCCCTGACATCCAGCATCATTACTCCGGGAGAGAGAGAGAGAGAGAGAGTCCGAGAGAGGGATGCGGAGGTCCCTCGAAACTCGGCCTTACGACGTACACGTGTAGACCGACACTTATCGATCGATCCCATTCTATTTCCATCCCTCGTCGCTAGCTGCCTATCTTTAATTTAATCCGCCCCATCCTCCATCGCCGATTCTTGCCCGGCGGAGCCCCCCGTGTGGGATCGCGTCTGGCCAAGTCGTTTGTCGTCTGTCATCGACCGTCAGGTAATACTAATTAACAGCTAGTGCTACAGACGGAGTACGGAGTAGTTGGATAATAATCCCACCAGGAATCCGGCTCCGTTCGTCTGCAGTAGTATATACATCCTCTCTTCTCATTCCTCAAGAGAGCCCAGAGTCCCCCCCGCCCTGTCAGCCCGCCCCCTTCCTTTCTTTTTCTTTTTCTTTTCTTTTTTCGTTCTCTGGCCCTTCTTGTCCCGGTCTGGCGTCAATGGTCATGGGCCAAAATATGACCTCCTCCTGGGATGAAGGGAGATCGGTCCGCAACGGGACGGCAAAGTCCGAGCTCATTCATGACCAGGGGTCAGAACTCGGGCGACATCCTGCGATTCCTGGATTCCTACTACTGCGTAGTGCGTAGATTCCGACTCCTAGGACGGACCTAGCTCCTCGATCGTCTTGATGCAATGCAGCAACATGCATGGTAGTACGTAGTCCCCGGGCATTAAGCCGAACTACTGCTGTGTAACTCGTTAGCGACTTACCCACCGGTGACCAGAGTCCCCATCCATGGGTACGTAGGAGACGAGGCCGCGAGTAGTCGGACGTCTGTGCGGACACTAAAGCGCAAAGAAGTCAAGGCCGAATCTCCTGATTTGAACGTCTCCACGACTGAGCAGGCCGGTGATCATCCTCGTTCGACCCCGTAATGACGAACGACCGCCAGACGGAAGACCGCGATATACCAACTGCCTAGGACGGAGAGATCGCGAGGGTGGAGAGTGAGACGGCGTGGGAAGACCAACCCAGGAGGAAGGGGAGGGGCCAAGTGGTGATTGATTGGGGGGGGGGTCGTATTATAAAAATGAATCCATCCAGAGAGAGAGAGAGAGAGAGAGAGAGAGAAGAGGAATTGAGGGGGCGGAATGAATGCAACGGTACCTTCTCCTTACCGAGGGGAAGGTACGCTGGACGCAGTGGACAGAGTACAGGGTACGCGGACAGGGCAGGCCCCGAGGCAGGCCGCACAGGTACCGGGTACAAGGGTACAACAAAGGGGATGGGAAATTACCAGCCGGAGTCTCGTGCCAACCACCGCCGTGGGTTTTTTTTTTTTTTTTTCCCGGGCCAAATTTATTTTATTTGATTTTCTTTGATTTTATTTAATATTTGCTATTTGTTATTTATATTTCCGGAAGATGATTCTATTTAATTTAGAAATGGGAAATCGGGAACCACAAGAAAAACATCCAAATAATCCGCTCCTCCTCTCCTTCTCGCCTTCTCGCCTTCTCCTTCTTTTTGGTTCTGCCTCATTTTCCTTCCCCCCAGCCTTCCACTAATCAATCCCAAGACTCCGACGCCTCCTCCAGTCCCTCCCGGGCACCCGTTGAGACTATCTCGAACTAAAACTAAACTAACTGACTGACTCCCTCACTAAACTCATCTTTGTTAGTGCCCCCCTCCCCTAAATCCCTCCCTCGGATTTCTCTCCCTCTCCCTCGTCCTCTGTATTTCTTCTGTTCCTTTCCTCTCCTCCCCCGGATCGTTAGTCGGTTACTTGGCTGACCACTATCAAATCCAGTTCGCTCTTTTATCTCCAGTCTCTGCTTCTGACTTGCTTGTCTGTGTGTGCGCCAGTTTTGGGGCTCCATCCGCATCCGACCCCAACATTGCCCAAATATTAATCCATTGACTTCTGTGACTGGTTTCATCGTCAACTCTAAATCCAAAACACATCGGAAACCTCCCCCCCCCATCTCGGGGCGTGACATGTTCACTTTTTCCTCCTGACTCTGTCGGTTCGGCCACCACTCCCTGGCCTCTACCATGGTCCTGAAATCGACCACCCCGCCGCAGTTGCATGCTTAAATTCTCCCCTCTTTCCCGACCTGCATCAATTGATCCGCTGCCGTGGTCAACATGCAGACCTCTCACTTGCCCGCCTCGACCTCCCGGGCCATGTCCCAGGATCCGGACCGTCCTTCCACGGGGGCGTCCAATGATCCCCCCGAGCATTCCGTTCATGTACGCTCTCGCTCAACTGCCCATGCTCAGAGTCCCAAACGTCTCTCCGTCTTCAGCGGTCGCTCCCGAAGTAATACCACCACCTCCACCACCTCCTCGCGTCGTTCGCCCGCCTCCTCCATGACCTCCGCCGATGCCGCCTCGCTGCCTTCGCAAGAGGAGCGCACGGCTCCCGTGCCCGGCGCTCGCACCGAGCGACACGAGAGCATGACCAAGTCGCTCTTCAACCGCGGCAGCCGAATCCTGCGGCGTCAGGGCAGCAAGTTCAATATCGCCGCCACCCTGGATGAGGAGGATGAGGCAGAGCGTGAAAAGTCCCGCTTCGAAGTCTTCGGCCGCCACCACAAATCCCGCCAAAGCGATTCCCGTAAGTCACCCGGTTTCTCACCGCAGGAGGATGGTCTCCAGCTCACATTCTCTCCCCAGATGACAATCTCAAGAGCCTTATCTCGGACCCGTTCGATTTCCATCATCTCACCCATACGAGTCAGTCCCATTTCCAAACCTTAGACAGAGCTCGTGAAACCGATCTGGTCACCGAATTCTCCGCCATCCGAGCCTCGCAAAGACCTGTGATGGGTCTGAAGGGTATCCGTGCCGAAGACCTCCATTTCCGTGATTTCTCATCGGAGGATCTCACCAATTGCGGGACGGCCATAGCAGACGATCGCCCTGATCCTGCGCCGGTCAGTCCACCGATTTCGCCGGGCGCGACTTCGCCCTCCTCTTCCACCGCCAGGAGCCCTCGAGATATCAAACCTCCGAGGGAGTCGCGCGTTTTCGAGAATTTCTCGCGTCCGGTCCCGAGATATCCCCGGGCTGAATCAACCACTCCACCGCCCAAAACCACGGCGCGACTGGCGGCCTCGCCAGAAATTTCAGAACCAGCTCCTCGGGCCATCGACGAAATTTTGGGTCTCTCGTCCCCACCGACCTATCCGGAGCACGTGTATTCCCACGATGACGACGATACCGGACCTGGCTCCTACCTCTCTGGCATGAACATTGAGGCCATGTTGCCAACAACCAATGACCATGCTATTTCCACCGGGCCTGGCAAGGATACGGCAGGAACTACAAGAGCCTCCTCCATGTCCTTCACCAACCTGTCTTCTGACCTGGATGACGTCCCCGAAGAAGAGGAGGCGACGCACTGGCATGGCAGTCCCGGGTCCCACGTGGAGGGCGCAACCTCGCGGATCCAGTCCCCTTCCGCTGCCTTCCCGAATGGGATGCAACCAGCCTCGTTGGCGCGCCCCAAGTCCCAGTTGTCGGTAAACGTGGCCGAGGAGCTATCAAGGAAATTCTCCGAGGCGCTTGGATCGCCGACGCTGCCTCAATATCGCCTGGGCTCACAAGGGTCCCAAGACGGCCACGCAGCGGGAGAAACGCCCCAAAGACGCCCCTCCATCCGACCTGATCCCATCTGTGAGACAATTTATGAATCTTGGGACGCCGACATTGATTACTGCTATGAGCATGCGGCGGAGTCAAACTCGAACTTCGACTGGGCTCGTAATTCGGTCGATGAACCGCGACATGGGGGAATCGGCATACCTATCACCACAGCAGAACCCGACAGTTCATTTGAAGGAGAAGGCCAGGGCGTTCTGCCATCAGTGCACCTATCGTGCACGCTGCCCACCCCAGTCTTGGAGCCCAGTCCCTCGGGCCCGATGGGATATGACGGCGAGCTGATGGTTCCCCCAAGAGATGGCGAGTACTTTCAACCCGTGGGTTCGGCGATCCTGCCATCTCCCTTCGCCAAACACGTAACGCAAGATACGCTATACGAGGAGTACCTCTCAGCCGACGCGGAGTCGGACCGGCATTTCTCCTTCTGCTCGCAGGGTGTGATTCAGCCCATGGAGCACCCTGTCTCTCCGCGGAGTAGCTTCTCTCCCATTAGCAAATGCAATTCGCAGGAGAGCTTGATTCTATCCCGCGCGGCGTCAATCGTCCGCAAGCATCGGTCTTCGGTTTCAACAACAAGCGTTCCTGAGCTTGTACACAGTCTGGCCAACAGCAGGGATCTATCTATGGGGGACCAACTACCCTCGGGAGAATATTCCATGCCATCCGGCTCTCCATCCATCTCCGGACTGGGACGTCCAGACTCATCCTCTCACCATCGGCAGACGAAGAGCCTGGCACGAGAAATTGAAAACCAGGTTTTTTACCGGGTCGACAATGCCAGTCGTGAATCAGCGGAGCTAGCACCGTCTCCTAGCCCATCCATCCACGATCGGGCCAAGTCCACATCTGAGGTTGAAGCGGCTCCCCTGGTTGCTCGGGCTGCGAAGACCGAACTCCCTCTCAAGGGTGCCCAGCGGAGAAAGGGCAGGACCTCCTATTCCCTCTTTCCATCTACCCCGGCAGCCAACTGAGCTGTCGCTCCAACTTTCCTCCTTTTCTCCCTTCCCTCGTCTTTCTCTTTCCTTTTTTTTTCTTTCTTTCTGTGTTGGGAAGGAGGAGCTCTGTCTTCCAAACTCGTTGAAATCCCTTTTCAACGTCGAACCATTCACTTATAGACCCTTTGTACGACCTGATGATTTTGATCTTGCTTATTCAGCCCCTATACTTTTTCTTTCCTTTTTTTTTTTTTCATTGTTTGTTTCTGGTCCATCTTGCGAGCTGTCTGTTCGCCCCTTTCTCAAGGCTTTGCTATGATTTTCTTTGTCATCTGTGGTTTTCCAAACCCTCGTTAGCATCATTCTTGCATTTCTCAGCGGTTGTTTCCACCGGAACAAAAAAGTGTTGGGTGTTTTATTTGGGACGAAGGATTGGGACCAAGGCACAAAGGGGGTTTTTGTTTTAGGTACTATACTGCGATTATTGTCCATGGCTGTCTGTGGTATGTTCAGCATGTCGATCTTTGATATGATGGGATCTGGGTTTCCTTGTGTTTTTGGAATTGTCTGATTATTTAGAGATGTTTCATTATGTCATTGTACATATCAATTCATAGAGAGAAAGACAAATGACTGGTTTGGAGAACGCGCGGCCTTCCGGTGTAGAGAATCATCAAGATCATCAAGGCGAGAGCGAGGGCGTGAACGATGGGCCTTACGTCATCCGCCGCCATTCTGCCGTCCGATTCCGACTTCCGCTTCCTCGACGGTGATTCCTGCTTCCATTCTCGTACTTCCTCCGTACATCCCACTCGGTGTGGATTCAACCCTCATCGACATGTCGTCTCCTTCACAGGCTTTGACCAAGCGTCAAAGCGAAACAGGTCTCATGCCACCTCCCCCGCCCCCTAAACGCATCAAACGGCCAGCGTCGGTCTTGGACGAGGATGTCTACACCAGAGCGCTTTCGGATATCATTGCGCGAGACTACTTCCCCGGTTTGGCCGAGGCGCAGGTGAAGCAAGAGTATTTGGATGCCCTGGAATCTAAGGACAAGGAATGGGTCACTTCATCGAAGAAGAAACTTACCGATCTCATGATGACACCGGGAAGAGCTCGGGGACGCCCTGGCACGTCCGTGGCTAATCTGACTCCGCACCCCGTCCACTCCGGGCATCCTGAGGAGACCCCAATGGGCTGGGGTGGAGACACCCCGATGTCGGTATCCGCGGTGTCGTCGGTGAACCCTCAGTCGCCCACGCGAGACAACAGACCGGATGTCTCCAATCTTGGCCTTCTCGATTTCCAGGCCAAGTTCACCAGCGAAGACAACGAGTCTTTCAACAAACTGCTTGACAAGCAGAATGCCAAGCGTCGAGAGAAGTATGCTTGGATCTGGAGCGGGAACAAGATCCCCACTGCACGACAAATTGCCCATCGTACTCGTGAAACCAAACGGATCGAGGCACAGGGTGGCAATCCGGACAAGGACCGGCAAATGACCATTAAAACGGATCTCGATGCTCGACCGGCGAAGCCAGACTCGTGGAAGGCGGGACCGGAGAACTCCCTCATGTTCATGCCTTCGTCTATTGAAGACTCTTACGAGACCATCCAACAAAGGGCCGAAACTTCATCTCAGGCCGGTCCCAAGCGAGTGGTGTATCAAAACACGCGGCTGCCTGATGAGAGTCTTCATGTCGCAGCATCTGAGCGGAATGCACCTCCACCATCACCAGCCATTTCATCCATTAAAGACGCCATCGCCGGACACCCTCGCCTGACTGAATCTGAAGCGGGCTATACCGGGGCCGAGACACCTCGGGTGAATGGGTATGCATTCGTAGACGAAGACGAGCCGACACCTACGAACACAACCTCGTCCACCCTTGAGGGCGGCTATTCCTTGGATGATCTTCGATTGTTGGGAAGTAGCGATGCGAATCCGAATCCATTCCAGATCCGAGAAAATCGAAAACGAGAGGATCTTCACTATCGGATGGTCGATCGCGTGGCGCGAACGAAACGATTAGAAAAGGCGATGCGAGAGACGAAAACCCCAGTCAATGCAACGCCGCGGTTCTCCAGCAGCCCGCGATTGGACTTTGGATCACGCACGCCTGGCTCGACCTCCGGGTCAGGGAAGATGTTAACCCCAGCAGCCCAGCAATTGCTTCATCGCATGGGCAGCACGCCTCGACCGTCTGGCTCGACGTCGTCCAATTTACGAAACATATGGACTCCTACGCCGAAGAGAACAAAGTGAACGCGGTGGCTTTTCCAATTTTTCTTTTGATTGTTTTATTCCCCCTAGTGTTTCAAACTTTGACGACCACGCCTACTTTTTCCAATGAAAAGATTATTCACATTGGCGCCCATATCCAGGAAGTTGTGTGCCGAATTACCCGGTACTCCAGGATGGAATCCTTACCGATAGCATCACGCTATTCTCGAATATTTAGCCTCCAGGAACATGTGGTAGGCTTTTTCAAGATTGATTGTAACTGACCGAGGCTCAGTTGCACGATGCAGTTTAGATAGAGAAAGAGAGATATATATATATACAAAGAGGACGGCAGCCAGTGGAAGCCGCAGGACCGGCCTGCTCGATTCCATCCTCATAAGAGCCAAATGGGGAGCCACAGGCTTGCTAACAGATATAAAGTCGTCCACAGGGATCGACGTAGGTCTCGCGCGCCACTTTGCGAAGCTTTCGCCCCCGGGTAGTTGCAGGTCGTAACGCTGGTGTTGTCAGAGCGAATGCCGTACGAGGCATTCAGCCACTTTCCGTCGGGGCAGCTGAACCCTAGCGCCGCCGGACAGCTCTTGACGAGTTCGTAGCACACATCCTGGCAGGGGAGAACCTCTTTGTACGGTCCCGGTTTGACGCGGCTGTCAATCAACGGATTCCGCGACTGGTTGGTGATAGGGTTACGCCGCAGCGGATCCTGGTCGTCGAGCGAGGTGCCGTTGACAAAAGCCTGGCCAGCATTCCGAGTCCGGAGGAATTTCTCCGAGCTCGAGAAGTCGGAACACCGGGGAATGGTGACGGCGCAGAGCCATTGTTTGTACGCCTCGGCGCAATCATCACATCCAACGGCCAAGGAGAATCGGGTTTCGTCAGGAGCATCGCATTGAATCTGGTCAAGAGAGTAGGAGAAGTTCTTGTACATGGCGGCGGCATAATCATCATAGATTGATCCAAGCTCTGCCGACTTCAAGGATGGGTTTGCGGGCACCGCATATGCAACGTCGGAGCAAAACGACAAATTGAATAGAATCGCGCAATTGTCCTCTGCACTCTCCGTTAGTTCAATTTCGTATGACGGAGAAGGGAGAGCTGGCGAGGGGACGGTGATTTACCTGCTTTCGTCGAGAAGCGGAATGGTTTCCAAACCTTCCCGCCGCCCCCGATGATCCCGTTCTCAGAGCTCGTCGAATTGCCATCCATTGCTAGAATCCCGATATAATTAGAGCTCCGATTAAGCCCCGAGAGGTAGAACTGTTCCTCGACCTCCATGCTTCGGTTGGTCAGGCTTGTTTGGAGTTCACGGCTCCCTTTTCCAAATTGGGCAAATTTCTCGAGTGCACAGTATGACCGCTGCAAGCCCGATATGGCGGTGTTATTCACGTTGCTGACGAACATGGTGAACGGGGGTGTCATGTCCGACCAGTTTCCGGCATTCGTCAAATCAAGAGACGGCTCTTCTAGGCTCTGCGTGGCGAAAAGCGCAGAGTTCGCATCCGCATCCAGGAAGCGTAAGAACTGATGTGAATCATTAACGTTGTGGTAGTAGCCATCGGTCGAAGCGGCGATTTGGTAACTATATCCCCCCGAGAAGTCGCTGCTATTGGGCGCGGCGACACCAAGATAGACATCCCCCTGGGCCGGTACAGTAATACTCATGTAACCATCCTCGGATTCGGTTTTCCTCTGACTGGTGGAGTCTTGGTCGGGCCCTGGCTTCTGTAGGGAGTTGGATATGGAGACGTATACCTCGAGCTGGGGTAAGGACGGCTCATGGCTCGACTCAGCCTTGTCGGAGCTCGGCTTCGAGCAGGTGGTCAGCGAGACAAAGACGGTGCGTGAGCGTTTCAAGTTGTCATGGGTCTGGCCTCCAGACGTCTCGTTCGTCGTCTTGCCGTCCCCAGCGTCTTTGGGGAAATACCACCACTGCACCTCGCCTAGTTTGATGGCGCCTTCCTTGTGTTTGTTGTTTCCTAGTGCGGATGACCCTGCGGGAGCTCGGCGGATGATGTCGAGGTCCCGCGTCTCTCCAGGCTCATCTATAACATCCTCAAGGACAAGTCCCTCGTGAGACTCCAGGGCGAAGGGAAACTGCAGGGCTCCACCAAGGCTCACGTTGCCTTGACTTTCCCCTGACCAGGTATCATCTGAGTTTGCTGCATCGGCAAGGCCTAAGTGAAGCAAGGCGAATGCAAGAATGCAGTAGAGGACGGTTGCGCTGACAGTCGCACCGGAGCGGCCCTGCGGGAAGAAACGAGTTGGCCGCATAGACATCCAGGATATGCGATTCTGGGTCCGCCTGCAATCAAGACATCCAAATGATTGCGCACCGTGAGGATCCGGAGGTTGGTTCCAGATGGGGGAGGAAGGTGGGGTGTGGTAGTAGGAAAGAACGAGAAATCACGATGCTCCTCGCACGGCGGAGATCGGATTCATAGTCGGAAGATGGAATTAGTCGGTGGTCGAGGTTGACAGCGGACGACGATGGCCTCGTTGCCTGGCGCCACCCCCGCACCGCCACAGCCAGGATGGCGTACGGTACCACGTAAGGATACAATGCGTACGGTAATTGTCTAGGTACCGACGTACGGATACAGATTGGAGGGACGGTACATGTACCTTGGCAGTATATATATATAGGTATTGATGATATGTATCGGTATTTATATAATAAATCTCAAATAATATGCATACATTAAATCCGTCTTCCGCCATCGTCAGAAGCGCTACACGAGCCGGTAAAAGCGGGCTGCAACGCCACTGATGACGATCACGGCTGCAATCACGCCGAGGATGCCAAAGAACCAGCCAAGGCCGTCGACGTTTTGCCCCGGGACATTGACGTTCATCCCAAACAGACCACAGATCAAATTCATGGGGACCAGCATGGTGGCGATAAGCGTTACTTTGCTGAGGACCTTGTTGACGTGATTCCCAAGCACGAGGTTGGTCACGTTGAGCTGCGCCAGATAGTTGGTATGCGAGCGACTCAGCATCTTTTCAAAATGCGCCAGGTTCGACATCATGGTCACCACGTGATCCTGGATGTCACCAAGGTAAAGACCAATGTCCCCACGCGGCGTCACCGAGTACTGCTCATTGCAACGCTTGGAAAACCCGCGGATGACGTCCGCCTTACCGCCCAACAGGCGCATTAAGCTCATGACCTTCTTCCGAAGGCCGCCGATTCTCGGCAAAAAGGACTCGAAGTCGTCCATGCGCGCAATGAAGACGAGATCTTCGATGGCCTCGGACTCGACTTCGATTTCGCGGATCACGGGACCAAAACTATCCACAATGTCGTCGCTGGAGAGAGAGAGAGGGAGAGAGAGTCAGAATCGCCGGGCAAGGGAACCACGCAGGGAAACGGAAGGGGGATAAGGACATACATCATGGCATAGCAGATCCAGTCGCTGCTAAGAGACACGTAGTCACGAAGTTTGCCGATTCTCTTTCTGACATTGGACGCATGTGGATTGTCCGTAAAGGAAAACGACAGCACCCCGTCGCGAAACACGATCATATAAAAATTGACGGGCTCCATGAATTGCTCGCTTGTTTTGTCCAGCTGATAAAAAGTCCGGAAACAGACAAAGTAGTACTGTTTGAACAGCTCCACCTTCTCGCGGGCTTCCTGGGTCAGAATATCCTCGGTGGTCAAGGGATGGATGGAGAAAGCCCGCGAGAGAGCTCCAACTTCTGCTTCGGTGGGATTCAGCACATCGAGCCACCAGACACCCCCATCCGGGCCCAGCTGAAATAGATCTCGGAATGTGTCTCCGGGTAGCACAAGGTCGCCTAGTTCCGCGGCATGCACGGTACTCTGAGACTCGGACGAAAAGAATCCGAATCGAGAAGGCTCATTCTCGTTCTTGAGATTGTCGAGCAATTGTTTCTCGTTCGCTTCATCCTCCAGGTCATGTCCGGTATCCTTCAGGTTAGAAGCCGTCACATCGTCCGAGGAACGATCAACGCTGGATGAACGCTTCATGTCATCCACATCGGGCTTCTGGGCCCCGGGGCGAAGATCGTAGAAAACTCGTGGTTTGCGGCTCTGGGAGCTTAAGCTATGCTTGCGACTGGCGACCGCGGGCTTCGATTTTTGATTCAAGGCGACGAATTCTTCCAGTTCTTCATAATCAATCACCGGAATTCGCCCCGGTTGCTCGAACGACGGAACACATGTGTCTTCGCTCGACTCCAATTGTATGTCGCCGGGCTGAGGCCTAATGGCATCCGCGTTGCTGAAAGTTGGCCGGCGTGGATGAGTACCGCCAGATACCGTGCGCTGTAGAATGGCCTCCAGATCGGGAGGGGCGTGGCTTTCCAAAGTATTCGCGCGCTCCCGCCGACGTGGGTCCGCAAAAGCTTCCACGGAATTAGGGGGGGACGTTGACCTGGCGGAAACCGACGACTCCCTCGAGATGTTTGCCCGGTCCTGGTGCGTCCGGCTGAAGGTACGAGCATGACGGGCATTCCCAGCCGGGTCGATCGAAAAACGTCGCCCCAGACCACCAATGTCCTTGGCCGATCGGTCCTCGTCCACGATTGCCTGCTCAAAATCCCGGGAGAATGAGCCCGCTTCTCGAAGAGCATCCTGCACGTGGAGCAAGTCTTGCCGCTGGGGGGTCTCCGACGTTAGGCCTTGTTGGGCGGTGTTCTGGCGACTAAGCGGGGCATCTGGCGCCGCTTCGAGGCGCGGATGATCCAATTGAAATCTATGGTCATCCAGTTCAGGGACGGGTGTGCTGAACCTAGTCAGACACATGTACTTTTCTGACCTCGGTGATTCAGACATGTTGACCGTGGGCGATGCTGAGCACAGAAGAATGCACCAAGACAGCTAGTCTAGTCCAAAAACACGGGCAGTCCGCACCGACAACAAAGAGACGCGCCTTGTAGTATCCGATAGATGATCGGAGTCTCCCGGTCAGGGAAGACGAGGGTGGATGAGCGAAACCCGGGGATTATTGCTCCTCCATCTATTAGCCAGACCCCTCGCAAGGGCCTGGCATTACCGACGCGCGTCCGTTTGCCAGCTTTGAAGTCGCTGGATAAGTCCAGTTATGGGGGTCTGGTATCGCCCCCGCAGAAGACCCTGAACTTGGGGCCCAGAAGAGGGTGGAGGAAAGAGGACTGGTTGTAGCGAAGGCCCGCCAACTTGACTGAATAGGGTGAATGGAAGCGTTGTCGCTCCGGGATTGCAGCGGAAATGCGCGTTGACAGGGAAAATCCCTCGACCAGATCCTTGTACTCCGCCAGTAGAGGGAGGGTTTCGATTTCTGATCGATGGTGTTGATGCCCAACGTGCTCGAAGAATTGGATGCGGATATGGAGGCGACAAAGGGGGGGGAGTGAGGTTCAAGATCAGCTGAAAGATCGAGAGGTCCCCACAAAAAGAAATAAAAACGGCTAGATGCCTAACTGGGACCCCCTTTTTGAATTGATAATGGGCTGATGTGTTGCGAAATGAGTGGGCAAGGATTGAGTCCGACGCAAGAATTGACTATGACAAGGAGACCAGACGCAAAGCGGTCGTACGACCTCGTGGCCACGGAGGATAAAGAATGAGATAGGTTCTTTATCCGTAGAGATATGATGGATTTGATAAAGAAGAAAGGATGAAAGAAAAGAAATGTGTGGTAAAGAAAAAGAAAAAAAGAGGAATAAGGGAAGGGGGGAAGGAAAAGGGGGAGTGGGAAACGAGTCGACCACCTAAGAGGTGAATTTCGAGATGGGAAGTCTCGACACGAAAAAAAAAAAAAAAAAAGAAAAAAGAAAAAAAAAGGGTGTACTTGTAAGTAATCCAGCAGACTAAAGTACACCGGCATTAGCCCGTTAACATAAATGAAACACGACAGAGCGGGAGCTTTTTAAGGCGACAGGAAAAGAAAAAAAAAAAAAAAAAAAAGAGGGGCGGGCGGGCACTTCCACTCGGAGCAAAAACTCCCAGCGGCTCCAAATCCAATCCTCTCGTACTGCCGTATCGTCTCGGTAACAAATGAAAATACGGAAGTACTTCGTTAAAAGTCCACGGCCATGTACTGTACCTACGGAGTATCATGTATGTCAGTTCCTACGGATTACTACGCAGTAGTGCGCCATTGCTAATTTGCCAGAACTGAATGGCCCTCAACCCCCTCAGACTACCGTACCTTAGGTATTGAGCTTTTTACGCAGGTTGAGACTGCGTAAGTCTATTAGTATCGGGGTGGCTGACCGCCTTGTCAACCATTTGCCATGTCATGCTCCGAGTCGTTGGCTCATGACGTGCAGCAGCAGCACATGGGAGAGATCATTTGGAGTTCCAGGAGAGATCGGTCTGCGGTACTCCGTCACGACTTATTCCCATGTCATATTCCAAGAGGCGCTCTGATTTGAGCACGACGTCGATCGGCTGCGATGGATCCCAGAGAGATAATCTTCGGCTTGGCTTCTTGCGGCCCAAAAGTTTAACCCCCGACGTCGGCGGGGCTCTTTTTTTTTCCTTCTCGGTGCTCATGGCAGAAATCAACGGACTCCGCCTTTTCTTCACCTCGCAGCCCACCTAGACCGGCCTGGCATATCCCCTCTTCATTGGCTCTGGCTGCGTTTTCTTAATCCTTTCTTCTGCTTCCGCATTGAGGCCTTTGCGTCAATCCATCCCTCCGTTCTATCATGACCGCATCCTCCTTCGTCCTCAAAACCCCCTGCTCCTCGGCCAATATTGGCCCGGGCTTTGATGTGATCGGCCTGGCGTTGTCTCTTCATCTGGAACTCCAGGTCACAATCGACTCGTCCAAACCCTCTTCTCAGCATCCCCTCAACTGTGTCATCACCTACGATGATCAAAGCAAAAGCACCGAGAAAATCAGCTTGGACCCCGAAGTGAACCTGATCACGCGTGTAGCTCTATACGTACTTAGATGCCATGAACAGAGATGCTTCCCTGTCGAAACCCATGTTCACATTGTAAATCCCATTCCTCTGGGCCGGGGTCTCGGATCGTCGGGGACCGCCGTGGTGGCCGGTGTCATGCTGGGGAACGAGGTAGGTCGCTTGGGACTGAGCAAGGACCGCCTATTGGACTACTGCTTAATGATCGGTGAGTGAGCCCGCTTGCTTTAGTCGGTAAACCCGCCGACTGTGACCCCTCCAGGCACTCGACCTTGCGGTGTGTGGCCGTTGACTTACGCTTCGATTAGAGCGCCACCCGGACAACGTTGCGGCGTCGCTCTTCGGCGGGTTCGTGGGCACGTATCTGAACGACCTCAGGCCCGAAGACGTAGCCCGCAAGGAGATTCCTCTCAGCGAGGTCCTGCCCGCCCCGGCCGGAGGTGTTGACACGGGCAAACGACCTCCCGAGCCCCCTCTTGGAATTGGCCATTACCGGAAGTTCCAATGGGCCAAGGAAATCAAGGCCATTGCGATCATCCCTGACTTCGTGGTGCCTACTGCTAATGCACGAAACGTGCTCCCCACCGAGTACACGCGGGCCGATGTCGTAAGTTTTCCCGGCCCTCTTGAACCTTAGGGGATGTGCTTTAGACAGATCAATCCGAGAAGCGTGCTGATTCCCAATTCCTTAGGTATTCAACCTTCAGCGTGCTGCCTTACTCCCGGCGGCTTTGGGCACGTCCCCGCCCGATCCAGACATGATATATTTGGCCATGCAGGATAAGGTGCATCAGCCGTATCGTCAGACGCTGATTCCAGGATTGACCGAGATTCTCCAATCGATGAACCCGAGCACCCAACCGGGGCTACTTGGAATCTGCTTGTCGGGTGCCGGTCCAACGATTCTGGCTCTGGCCACGGATAACTTCACTGAAATCGCAGATCGTATTGTCTCTCGATTTGCGTCCAGTAATATAACTTGCCAATGGAGGCTCTTGGAACCAGCCCAGGCAGGTGCCACGGTGCAATATTAGAGGCACTTGGGCGATTGGACATACTCTATCGGAGAGGGAAAGGAGCGTTCACCGGTGGGTGCCGCAGCGGTTTGGCAGCGATGAACGTGAAGGAACCGTACTATGACCTGATAACGAAGCTTACCTTGATAGAAATCGAATGACGAGAACCGGTTGGTGAAGATAGCCATCTGTACGGAGTTCTGCGGCGTAGGATCCGGGACGCTGGGTTCTAGGCCCAAGGCGGTCAGCGCGGCTTCACCACGACCAACGCGGGAACTCGGGGCTTCGTAGTATTCCACCTAACTCCCCAAGGGTTTCGCCCATCTTCCCGGACTCTCCGTGACGAAAGTCTACATCGTATTCCTTATCTCGGCCATGGACGATCTTCTCGCGTCTGTTCAGGATGCCTTGGAAGGACAGATCGTAAGTTGATTTGGCCTTTCCTACCCTACCCTGGTGCCGCAGCAGATGGTAATGTGGCAACTTTGAATGAGAGTAGGACTTCCACGGTCAACGCATCGCCGAAATCCTGTCGACCGCTCTTTTGATCTTCTCGGGTGTGAGTGTGAATGGACTCCCTACATATTTTAGAAACGCTTTGATGAAGACGTTTCCCCCCTACCCGATCAAGTCAATCATGATGGCTAACATGTCCTCGTGCAGGTCATCGCTTTTCTAGTCGGATACATTCATCAAGACATCCATCTTACACTCTGGGTTGGTTTGGCGGGTACGGTTATAACAGGATTGGCTGTCATTCCTCCATGGCCTGTGTTCAATAGGAACCCGGAAAGATGGTTTGTCCCCGTGGCTGGAATCGCTGCCGGGGTCACGGTAGATGGGGTAAAGGTTGCATGAATTCCAACTTGGTCTTTGAATCTGCTGCATTCCAGTTGCCCGGCGCTCGCTCATCTTCACCCACACAACCAAATGCCTGCATGTAGTCATGTAGAAAGGAGACTGAAAATGAACCCCCCCCCCCCGCCTATTAACGCCGATCAAGCCCTTCCCTTCTTGCTGGTCTCCTACCATGGGATGAAATCGTTTCGTATAAATGAAGGTTATCATGAACCCAACGGCCTCCCGCTCGCGCCGGCCTTGTTTTACCGTCCGTATTTTTGGAATTCCCAGTCTCGGTTATCCAACGGGCAGACCTGGCGAGTTTTCAGCCAACGAGATATGCAGTGGAAATGAAATGCATGCTAGGTGTGTCAAGAGAGGTTAGTCGTCAACTCTGAAACTCCGGCAGGGAAGTATATACTCACGTTGCAAATCCCCCAAGCGACGGTGCATTCTTCGGTGGTAGATGAGCCCTGGTTCGCTTGACATTCGATACCTAAATTCAGTAAGTCAGGCCCATTCAGTCCTCATTCCGGTACAGCACATACATAGATCCATGATGTGGTTACGGCAAATTGCACAGTTGTCGACAACGATGTCCCACGCCCAGAGAGCCACCGCATTCCACTGGAGTCATTTGAAGTCAGTCCACATGCAGTAGCGACGGACGACGAAGCCGTTGGGCACATACCTTTTTGACCTCAAACCTCTTCTTGCCATCAACTGCCCCTTCCGAGGCCTTGGATGCACCTTTCGCCTTGGCCGAAGCACCCGCAGTAGCTTCTTTCATTTCGACGTCCGCCATCACGAATAACGGTGTTTGCCCTCTTGCGGGTTCGATTGGTCGAGAATTAAAAAAAAAAACAGAGAGAGAAAATGACGCTCTGGCGGGAGCTGCGAGGAACTGAATGGGCGGTTAAAAACAAAGTCTCTAGCCCACTACTGACGTAACCTGGAGGATGGGGAGGGAGGATGGAAGGGCACGGGAGGGGGCCACCGACCTGTTGGAATCACTGGGAGGATAAGAATTCGGACTGGAAGATGAGGACCTCAGTGGTTCTGGGATTTACAGGCAGCAGGTACCTAGGCAGTGGTGCGGAGTAAGTACCAAGTTAATCAGCGGTGCTCGAGCCAGCGTTCAAGGCGTGGTGACTGGTGAGGCTGAAGTGGCGCAAAGTCACCGACTTGGTTAGGCGGTTAGTCATCGGCTCCCCCCGCTCGGCTTCCTCTTTCCCCCCAGCCTTTCGGCGACTCTCCCAATCTTCAACCAACGTCGGTCAATCAATGCCCTACGATGCCCATCTGCTTTCTTTCCATTGCTCCCCTCCGCTCTCCTATCTAGATGTGAGCATGCCGAGGAATTCCGGTGCCCTACTTCCGTCGCGATCCATATGGTTTTAATAATAGACGACTTCTTATCTTGGTTTGATCAGTTTGCCATCATTTGAGAGTCAGCCCACTCGCTGCCCACGGCGTTTTATATACCGGACTGTATCGTCGCTTTTTCCTTCTCGGCGTTTGCGTGTTCCGTGCAGACTGCTGGGCAGTACTCGAACAGCTTCTCTAGAGCCTTCTCCTTTTCTTTTTTTCTCGACTTGTCTACTTGTTTTCGTTCCCTTTATCCTTACTGGGGTTTCTTTCATCTCTGTTGATCTCTAGCATCTTCTTTTTTTTTTTTTTCTACACTCCAACGGCTGTTTATTTTTTAAGCCTTCTGGTCGCAATGTCGACGCAATCACCGACCCCTCCAACGCCCAAGGGTCCTCGAAACAACAACAACAACAACAACAACAACCATCACCACCGACGCAATCAGAAAAGAAACATGACCCCTTCAGCGCAGAAAGTCGCCCTTGTGACGACTCCTCCTTCATCACCTCCGCGGATTTCAAGTCCGGGAGATACCACTACGGATTCTTCAAACAATGTGAATATGTCGAAGAAAAAGCCCGGTCGGTCTAACAAGAAACCCCGGGATGCGCCGCGAGCATCCCCAGCCCAGAAAAGCGGCCACCGACACACTTCCTCGCACCCAAATAATGCCATGACACCTCAGTTAAAGGACAGCCCTCACTATGCCGGTCCCACTTTCCACGCATCCCCGGCGCCCTCTGCTCTCCCGATACCGAGTTTCTTTTCCAAATCTATGCCAGATTCCGATATTGCAACTTCACTGGAGCCTGATAACGACAACTCCGATGCCGGACCGGATCTGGAATTTACGCCGTCAAAACCTAAACCCCGGCCTCAACTCCAACACGACGATAACAAATCAACACCCCTCGATTTCCTGTTTAAAGCTGCCGTTGAAGCCAGGAACACTCAACCACAATCCAGTCCCGAGCCTAACAAGACTAGGACCCCTCAAACAGACTCAAAAACCCTTCAACAACGCAAAGCCGAAGGGGTAACCAATGGAATATTCTCCCTAGAAATGGAAAGTCCCAAGACGCGCAGTTCGCAAATTGGACCCTCCTTCGCTACGCCATACAAGGATCGCATGAACGCATTGCGGTCGGCTAGCTCTCCTTCTCCGCCCATGGCAGAACTTGATGAAGACCAGCGAAGAGCTAAAACAGAAGCTTTAAAAAGCCTGTTGCTTAACCCACGTCCCCAGAGGCCCTCATCTGCGTCGACCCCGGCTCATGAACAAACCAGCGCGTTCAAGGAACGGCCTAGTCCTTGTCCAAGTGTTCCTCATTTTGCGACCCCGCTGCGGACCAGCTCCGGACCACCGGCCATTAGCCCGTCTTACCATGCCATGCACGAGCCAAGACCTTGCATGGTTGGCAACGTATCCTATTCACCAGTTCATGAGCATACGTATCTCGGTGGTGCCCAGCCAACGCGGGCCTACAACCCGGCGCCGAGGAAGGAAAATTTAACCTCAATCCCTGGGAACACCGGAGACTTCACGGGACAGCCATACCGTTCCTCTCACGTCGCCTATGATACGAAACATCCGTATAACTCGTCGCATTCCTACTCCCCTGTTTACCAACAGTCTCCTTCGTCCCGCCCTATGTCAACAACCACGCCAGCTCAGACACTCGACACCAAGAAGATGGAAGATGATTTGCGTCGAGTTTTGAAGTTAAACGTGAGCTCAGGCTTTCCCTCCAATGGAATCCAGAGCTCTTACGCATGAACCTTCCTATTTCCGGTTTTTTTTTTTTTTTTTGCTTCTTCCGTCGTGTTGACTCGGTCCACTGGCATGATTTCTCGATCTGGTGGATTATCTTTCTATATTGCCCCTTTATGGGCCTATTCAAACTATGGTTGGCAATAATTATGATCGAATTTGCCAGGCTTTTTTCTTTTGTTATCATTTAGTCTCTCCCCACCTTAACCCTCATTCTTTCATTTCTTTTCCCTTTATTCTATCACATTTGAACGTCTTTCGTTGATGTTTCTGGATGCTTGTTCGATTGATTGATGTTTTCCCGCGGTTCATGGGTCTCATCAACCCTTTCACGGGTTGGGTTTGTAAACTCCCTATTTGCATTCGAACCCGGAGTTTTGCCGTCACTTCCCTCTCGTCCCCCTTCTCTCTTGCTTATCCTTTTTTTTTTTCGGGAAGTGGGAGGTGGGAGTCTTTACGGAGTGGACTTGGACTTGGTATTGGTTTGTTTTTGGGGGTTATGAAAGCCTTCGTTCATGAGCTTGCAGGATTTCCCCCCTCCCTTCAACTAGTGTTTTTCGTTGTGATGTCTCTTCTACTTTCTTTAATGTTCCCCCCTTTTGTGAATGCCCTGGTCTATAACCCCCTTGTTTCACTCCACCGCCGATATTCTTTTGATCTTCCTCATTTTCTTTGATTCCTCTGGTCTCGCCCGTATGATCTATCCGATCTGTCATGTGGACGAATTTGGGCGCCTGCACTTCGAGCACGTCATCACATTAGCATCCTGTCTCCTGTTAGACACCCACACTCGTTGCGAAGTCAATCGATCGTCTATCTGAGCCCCCTGGTTATGATACAGCCTTGCGCCGCAAACCAGACTGTTAGGCGCATGATTCCGCTGAGTAGACCACCGGTATATAATTCGAGGTTGAACGATTTTGATAGGCAGTAGAAACTCGCGGCAGAATCCCTCCCAGTTGGTTGTACGTAACAGACGGGTTGCTTCCGTTGGTTTCATCCTGACTTGATTGCATGTGCAGAATTTAACACGGCAGCTGGTTACGAAGAAGCTATGATGTCAAGTTGACGACGAAAGGCGCTATTCAAGTGACAACCATCGACGGATGCTGCTAGGAGACGGCATTGATATCCCTAGAACACCGAAAACGAAGGATGCCACGATATCAGCTCCTTGCCTGGTGCGGCAGCTTGCCGCCCGCGGAAGGATGGAAATCCGGCCGGAATGCAAACCAAGCTGGTTGCAACGGAGGGCCTACAGACGCATTCCGGGTGAACCTAGCCAGCCTCCGATGCAGGCTGCTGACAATACCGGTCGGTATGGTACGGGTCGATACGGGTACTATACCCGTACCGGACATCCCTTGTGGCTCCTTCCCTTTCCAGGGGTCACGACTCACGAAGCCAACGCCCTTCATCGTCTTCAATTGATCATCATTCTCCTTCTCCATCCTGTTCTTCTCCTCCTCGCTTTCATTCTTGCTCACCTGTCTGTTTTCTAGCACTGAGGTCATCAATAATTCCCATCCCTCCCTTCCTCGCTCTCGCCGTCTCTCTTTCTTTCCCTCCCTCTCTTTCTCTCTCCCTCTCCAACTCCCTCTCTCCACCCCCCTTCCTCCCTCTCCCATTGCAGACCTGTCGTTTTTGTTTTTCTTTCCCTCTTTTCGTTTCTGTCTTTTATCTTTTTTTTTTCCCTTCCCTTTTTATAAAAACGTCAACTTGATCCGCTCAATTACTTCACTTTGATCCTCTCCCACCTTCCCTAATCTTGACACCCACTTTCGTCTTTGAACCCCCTTCCTAAGACTTAATTTAAACTTCCTGCCTCTCCGCCTCTCGCTCCCTCGGTCTGGTTGTCCGTCACCACCGCATATATCTAGACCCCCCTGCGAAGATCAAACATCATATCCAATGACCTGCTTTGTGACCTCCAACCCATTGTGCTGAGGAACCGGATTCTTGTTATCCACCACTGTTGAGTCCCCAACATGGCGAATGTGTGAGTGATTGAAGCGGCCGGCCCCCTTCCCCTCGAGAAACTCCGCCGCGTCGACGACTGGCTGACAGACCCTCAACAGCCTTGGTTCAGCATGGCGCTCCTTCTGGCATACCATGACCTCGTATGATCGGCACGCATCCCATGACTCTCCGTATCGGACGGGCAAACATGTGCCTCTGAGTCAAAGCCGCCATGAGCCTCTGACGTCCATTGCGACCAGCGCCATCGAATCGCGACCGGATCTCACGGATTCCTACGAAGATGACCAACCCAAAGCCTCGACAAGTTCTAATTCCAATGGCTGGACGGGTTCTCCGACTGGCATGGGCTCCCCCAACCGCCCTTATTCCCCTGGAATGCGATCTCTTTCCTCCCAGAAACAACAATCAACTGACCCCAGTGGGGAGGGCGCGCCCGAGATTCAGATGCAAAGTTTCCACGACGGCGCCCCCCCTCCGCCCCCGGTTGCTCATTCGTGGAGGAAAATCGACCGTTGGCTCGAAAGCAATTACGAGGAACTTTTTGACAATTTGTGCGAAGGGTGTACGCAAAATGACATAAACGAACTGGAGCATGAGTTAGACTGCAGTCTGCCGCTGGAAGTGCGAGAATCATTGATGGCCCATGATGGGCAAGAACGTCCTGGCTTGCCTACAGGTCTGATCTTCAGCTGTATGCTTCTGGACTGTGAAGAGATAGTTCAGGAATGGAAAAATTGGCGGACTGTCAATGAGGAATATCTGAACTCCTCTGGTATGATGGCGTCGCCCCTTCCACCGAAAGCCCCGGCGAGCTCCTCGTCGGCTGCCCCATCCACCCAGGGCTCCTCCAATCCATTGTGGAGACAGGATCTTCTCGAACGCCAGGATTCCCAACCCCCCGGGGCAGTGCAGAAGGCATACGCCCACCCTGCTTGGATCCCTCTCGCTCGTGACTGGGGTGGCAACAACATTGCCATCGACCTCGCACCGGGACCCGCAGGCAAATGGGGCCAAGTCATAATTTTTGGCCGGGATTATGATTGTAAATATGTTGTCGCCCGGTCCTGGGCCGCCTTTCTCGCGGTCGTTGCCGACGACATCTGCAGCGGTAAGGTTTCTGTGGATGAGGAGACGAACGAGCTGAAGCTGTTGGAATTCAAATCCCAGAACGTCGAGCCTCCCTACATGGAGATCCTTCGATGGAGAACGGATCAGAAGTACGGCAGAAGACCCCCTCGCCGCAAGGGTCCTAATGGACTAGGCCTGAGCACCGGCAGTAAGTCCGGCAAGGAATCTCCCTACGGAAGCCCGACGCCTAGTGAAGAACGCGGCAGATCACCCCATCGCTTCCCCAACCGTGGGTCTACCCAGAGCCCGAAGACACAGTTTGGTATATCCAGCCCTCTCGCTCGTGTCACGGAAGAGGCGCCGAGCCCCGTACAGACGAATGGTGAAACTGGGCTACCCGAGGGGGCCGCGAAAGCAGACATGCGGGAGGTTCAGGGTGAAGATCTAATGGAAGTGGCAACGCCCAAAGTACAGGACAATGAGAATGAAGGCGCACCCGGGAAGGAGGACGAACAGAAGCCGTCCGAGACAGAGGCCACGCAAAAGCCTGAGTCCAATCCAGGAACAGCCGGCGCCGCCACCTTGGATGCAGAGGTCTTGGGTGAAATGAAAAATGTAGCCATTTAAGCTTGCCCTCGGGGCTTTCTTCTTTTTCTTCCGGCTCTTTTTTCTTTCCTTTCATTTCCGTTCCTTATCTTCACGCCGAATCCACGCCTCCCCTCCTCGGGTGGAGTTTTGGGCCCTATCGCCCTCACAAAGGGCGCCAATGCCTCTTCTCTCCGTTTTTTCTTTCGTCTCATTCTCCCCAGTTTCAGATGTGTTGGGCGTTTATTTCGAGTTGATGGATTCGGGTGGAGCCTGTTTTAACCTGCTTGTATAAATTTTCTAGTTTATTCCCGATGTATTCTATGGCATTCTCTCGAGCTTCAGGGAAGCCTTTTTGTTCGTGTCGTTTGGAACCCGTGCCATCCCAATCGCCTGTAATTTTACTTCGACGATCATGCAGTTTTCAGTCCTTGTTGGTTTTGCCATATCATCCCCTCCCCACCATTTAAACCTCAATGTTGAACATCTGGTTGGTAACATTGCCTTGCGCGTTCTCTCTCTCTCTCCCCCCCCCCCCCCCCCCCCCACATTCTGCTCTTCCACCATCAAGAGTACATTATTCACCCTTGCCCAGGTGCCGGTCATCCATAGAGCTCGCTCTACTCATCGCCACGGCTATCCTATTAAGGTTTTGTCGATGACTCTTAGGAGGATGACTAGTTGGTTGGAGAGGTAGTACACAATGGCTCTTATACTAGGAGCGTATTCGTGGAGGGACGGTACGTAGTATATGTAGTGGTAACACGACAGTGGCCAGGTCGACAGCACCAGGGACTAATCAAAGAGTCTTCGGGGGAGACTTATTCGCCCCTTGTTATCATATCAACTAATGCAAATTGGTCCAAACAGCAGGCCGCCACAAAGCCCAGGTGCATGTGTGTCGTTGTTCGCCTTCTCCTCTCTCGGACCCAAGGCTCCCCCTTGCCCTCGTAGCAGGGGAGAGAAGATGCGAGTTCCCCGTGTGCCAGACGTGCCACGCGCGTTTCTTTCTCGCCGTTCTTCGTTGGGTTCATATAGAGGGACAGACCCTACTGATCGCATATGCCTATTCCTGCTGAATATAGGAGACTATCCAGTCCATTGAATTCAATCCCAGTCGTCATCATCGTCGTCATGACCACTCCGATATCGCGCATTCCCGTCGCGAATGGTCTTCCGGGCGCCGGGTTCGTCGACATCGCTGTCTGCATCAGATGATTGAGAGTCCTCGTCTCCGGCCTTCATCTTTGTTTGGGTCAAAATGCCGGTCCAAAGAAGTCTCTTTTCGAGGGTTGCCGTGCTGAAGCCGTCGGTGCCATCCCGCCCCCCAGATCCAAGGCCCTCAAAGCCGATGACACGTTCAACCGCGACCCCATCCTTGAAGCCAATCACACAGGGAAGCACCCGGATTTTGATTTTCTCCACCACGAACGGGGTGTTCCGCACATCAACCCGAGCAAAAGGCACCTCGTGGTTGCGCATTGCCAACGCGCGGATGTGTTCGTCCATGGTGTTGCAGCGGGCAAAGTCCGGGTGCGCAAAATGAATGACACAGCGATGGGTCTGTGTCGTGAAGTCGAGCAGCGCTTGATCACTTTTCAACGTAGGGTATAGACTGTCTTCGGACAGCGTGGTTGGCGGGGCCAGGCCGGCCGAGGAGAGAGCGGCAGGATCTTTTTGAGCCGACGCGAACTCGGCATTGAGTTGTTCGATGCGATTGGCACGATAGGCGGAGTCATCCTCGGTTTCTAAAGCCTCGAACAGGGCGTCGTCGTCAATCTCATCGTCGATGTCTCGTGCAGAAGGCTTCGATTCGGCGGTACGGTCCATTGGCGGTTCGTAGCGGGGGAGAGGGGGGATAGGGTGAGTTTCCTAAAGGCCCAAAGAGAAACCAGCTAGGAGATTTAACAATGGGAGTCAGATCAAAGAGTGTGTGGAATCAGGAGATATGTCTATACTGGGAGATGGGGTGGTCGAAGAGGATCGAAGCGGGCTGGTTCCATTTGTTACAAGACCACATCCAGGTATTATGGATATCGGCCTTTGGGAGGTACCTTACCTACCAGGTAAGGTACCTCTACAGACAGTACAGTACATACAGTACAGTACAGGCATACGGTTCCGTACCAGATCCGCGAACAGGCTGTTCTTTTTTTTTTTTTTTTTTTTTTTTTTTATTTCCGTCGTGGTTCTTTCAAGACTCGCTCTCGAATTGTTATCTTTAATTTCCCACTCCCCCTACCGTCTTCTTTCCTCCCCCCCCCCCCCCCCCCCCCATCCACATTCGTTGTCAGTCTCATTCGTTTCCCTCCGTGGACTCTCCACTTATCTAATTCCATCTTTCCTCTTTCTTCTTTTTTTATTTCTCCTTTCCCCTTCCTCCTTCTGTCTCCGAGGCTCTCTCCATCGCTCACCTCGTCTGCCCGTCGACGACTCGTATCTCAGCCCGATCCCGATCTTCCTCCTTTTCGCCTGCAAGAGATTTCTTACTACCGACAAAATGGTTGAGGATAAAAAGACCGATGATTATACGATTGAGATGGACAAAATAGACCAGGGGAACAAGAATTTTGAGGCGGCCGCGCCGCCTCCCCAGCCGCGCAGTCCTCCATCCAGCCAACTCGCCAGCAGTCCCGCTCTGCCCGTTCTGGCTTATTGCGGATCGTCTATTTTGATGACGGTTATGAATAAATATGTTCTTTCGGGCCTAGACTTCAACCTCAACTTCTTTCTGCTTCTTGTCCAGGTAATGTTGACTGACCCCGTTTGGGCATCGTGGTACTCGGAAGTCGAGGCGAAACTAACGGTCGCTCGCCTCAGAGTCTGGTTTGTATCCTCGCGATTCAAACGTGCAAATCTTGTGGCCTTATCACCTACCGTGATTTCAGTGCAGACGAAGCAAGGAAATGTGAGTTTCTCTGCGCGGACCCTTGTGATGGCCGCCGCTGCGAATCGCGCTGACCGATCGTTTGTCAACAGGGTTTCCGATCTCTTTGCTGCTGATTGGCATGATCTACACGGGCTCCAAGGCTCTCCAGTTCCTGTCCATCCCGGTGTACACCATCTTCAAGAACCTGACTATCATTCTCATTGCATACGGGGAGGTGCTCTGGTTTGGAGGTTCGGTCACCGGTCTCACCCTGTTCTCCTTTGGATTGATGGTCATGAGCTCTATAATTGCCGCCTGGGCCGACATTAAACATGCGGTTGAGAACAACTCCGATGCGACCGCCAAGGTTTCAACTCTGAATTCTGGCTACATTTGGATGCTGATCAACTGCCTCTGCACCTCGTCCTACGTGTTGGGAATGCGCAAGAGAATCAAGTTGACCAACTTCAAGGATTTTGACAGTGCGTGATCTCTCTTAAATAATCCGTCGTGTCCCCTGGAAGCAGACAGACGCCAGAACAATAGCGTTTTCTAACTATACCTCTCTCTCTAGCTATGTTTTACAACAACCTGTTGTCGATCCCCATCCTTATCGTGTCCACCGCGTTCTTGGAAGACTGGTCGTCAGCCAACATTAACCGTAACTTCCCCGCCATCGATCGAAACTACATTGTGTTTGCTATGATTCTGTCGGGGCTGTCGTCGGTGTTCATCTCCTATACCTCCGCCTGGTGTGTTCGCGTGACGTCCTCGACCACCTACTCCATGGTGGGAGCCCTCAACAAACTCCCCATTGCAATCTCGGGCTTGATCTTCTTCGATGCCCCCGTGACTTTCCCCAGCGTGTCTGCCATTGTCGTGGGCTTCGTCAGTGGCATCGTCTACGCCGTGGCCAAAATCAAGCAGAACGCCAAGCCAAAGACTGGCGTTCTGCCCATGTCTAACCCCCCTGTCAGTGCGAGCAGCCAAAGCATGAGGGACTCCCTTCGATCCTAGGGGTATTCGGCACTGGCTGTGTGTCTAGGCAGGGTGCCTGCTTGGTACTCTTTCGTCGTCGACCGATTGCACCAGCCAGCACGCAGTCAAGAGTTTCCTGTAGACTCTATTCACGACCGGCATGTGCCATACGGCTCACGTGCCATGGCTTATGTCCCATCTGCAGTTAAAGTAAATTTTGCGGATTTTGATTGAACAGTAATAGCATTGTGCTGGCCGGTGTTGGTGACTTTTGTGTACTTTACCTTTCGCCCTTCGACCAACCGTCCTTTTCTTTTCCGACATTTCTTTTGGCCCATTATTCTCCCTTTCCTGGCCACAGGACCTCCGATTTAGGCGCAAGGGACATTGGGGTGGTGCTTGCAGGGCTTGGTCATAGAGACAGGAAGGCTGGAACTTTTATTTTATTTCCCCCCGGGTATCTGAGTCTGTATATATTTGTTATTTACATCTTCCTATTTTAATACGGGTATAGAAGACCTATTTGAACGAGAACAGAATGCCCGTAACTGCATCCATGGATGATAATTGGAATTCGGGGGTCCCAAGTGAAGGCGCACGTCCTGCTGTCCATGCATTCTGATTGGTCCGCCCCGGAAAAAAAAATATCAATGGCGAAGGCAATGGGTGCCCCAGGCCAACTTTCCCAGTGCCTGCGAGCGGAAAATACATCGGAAGCCCTTGAATACTCTTCTGCCTTCGCCCCCCATCCCCATCGGCACCAACACCATGCCCAAATCCTCCAAGAAAGCCCGGTCGCAGGGCCCCGTGGCCGGCGCCCGTCCTACAAAAAGTCGCAAAATGCACACCTTTCCCAAGCTCTCGACGGCGCCAAACACCGGCGCCGCCAGCACTCATATCAAAAAGCAACCGGCGAAACAACCGGCGCAGCAACGGCCAATCATCCCGTTCGGCAAAACTGATCGCATTCTACTTGTCGGAGAAGGTACGTCTGGGTAGTAGTATGTGATCTTCCAAGGGCCAGCAAAGACCGGGCACCACAGATATTAAATCACGAGGTCCTTGGATCTGTACAGTCGATTGATCTAGCCTCTAACAATCATGGTAGGAGATTTCTCCTTCGCGCGCTCTCTGGTGCTGCAGCATCGCTGCCGGCATGTCTTAGCCACCTGCTATGACTCTAGAGAGATGCTTTGCGACAAATATCCCCAAACACAAAATACGATCCGCGACATTCTCGGCGCCTTCCCTAAGAAGAAAACCGGCGGTGAGGCTACGAGTAATGATGGCCACGATGTCGTGTCCGAGGACACGGAACTCCAAGGGAAACGATGCGGCAGCGTTCAGAAAAGCCGAGGGCCGAATGTTCTCTTCTCAGTCGACGCTCGAAAGCTTGGGCTGACTTCCGGCGGTGGCAAGGAAGTGCGTCTAGGCTTCCCCCGGAGGGAGCGCAAACGCCCTGCTTGGTTAGAGGCCAAGGAGGGGCCGTTACCCGCTGAACCAAAAGGAGGGCCCTGGGACATCATCTGCTTTAATTTTCCTCATGTCGGTGGCCTGTCCACCGATGTCAACCGACAAGTCCGTGCCAATCAGGAACTGCTGGTGGCGTTTTTCAAAGCCTGCGTCCCCTTGCTGTCATCGCCGCGGAGAGTTGACGAGGTCGACAAGGACGACTGGGAATACAGCGACGACGAAGACTCGGGCACGGATGAAGAAGACCTCCCTTCGGAAGACGCACCGGGGCTAGCGAATAGCCAGGGACGGACAGACCCCGGGCAAATATTAGTAACAATGTTCGAGGGAGAACCTTACACCCTCTGGAACATCAGGGACCTGGCACGCCACGCTGGTCTGAGAGTTGTTACAAGCTTTAAATTCCCATGGGGCTCATATAAAGAGTACTCGCATGCCCGGACCCTGGGGGAAGTTGAAGGAAAGCATGGAGGCAGAGGTGGCTGGCGAGGTGAGGATAGAGACGCCAGGATGTACGTGTTTGAGATCAAGCAGGAAGAACGCTCCGTGCCTATGAGGAACTCTACTTCTGCCGGCAGGAATGGTGGTGCGGGGGCAAAGAGGTCCAGGGGCGCGTCCGAGAGTGACAGCGATTAAAGCACTGAATAAACGTCACCTTTGGGTTACTCGTGTCACGCCCATGCACCATGCTGAGCACCGCGCCATTCTCGGTTACATGATATAAACCTTCTTCATCTCCCTTTCCTCGAAAACTTCCCCAGTGGTGGGGTCTTTGACCTTGCCTGCTTCAACACATCCAACCTTCTTGCTCAGTTCCAGCAGTCGTTGCTGGCCATAAATCCTACCATTTGGTAGAACAATTGGATCACTTTCCACGTAGCTCTTGGCGTGGTGAGCGTACGGCATTTTTCGCGCAAGTTCGTTCAGCTCGGTTGAACATATGGGGCACACCGACGTCGTAGTGGATAAAGAATTGGAGCTTGAAGAAGTGTAGGCAGAGTGGCACGACGGTGTCTTCAAAGCCGAAAGCCCCGCCGATAGAGCAATGTGTAACAAGGGTCGCGAAGGCAGAGACAGGAGTTCATGATGGGTGCGGATAAATAGATCAGAGAGGTGAGCCCAGCGGTCGGAAGAATACATCGACTGACACGCACGTTAGTTTAGTTCGAGAGAGGGCCAGGGGAAGCCTGTTGTGATAAGTGATCCATAGGTACCTTGTACGGCTCGGCGTTGGTATCCCTGGGGAAAGCGAGAAGACCCGCGGCCCGATGGACTTCAGCCGACTGCGTCTCAACATAGGACGCGAGATACTTCTGCGCATGCATCATCGCCTCAACAACCTTTTCTTTATCCCCAGTTCTAAGCATTTCGATATACTGCTGCATGCGCAACTCGAACTCCAGGTTGTACTTTGGATGACGGGTCAGTGGTCGTCCAGACTGGAGAACGATTGGAACCGTAACAAACCTGGCTTTTCTTCAGGGCGGCCTTATTTTCGCTGCACCACTGCAAGGCATCCTTGGTCCCGCCACGGCGCAGGCTCTCGGCAATCCGCTGGCACTGCACGAAGACGTTGAGATCGACCAGGTCCTCGATATCTTTCTCCTGGGCTAGTTGCTGAGCACTCTCCGTGTATCCCGAACGCAACATATGATCCACGACCAGCCTGTTTAACCGCACTCTTGACCACTGGTCGTATTTGACATCGGCCAGGCTGGGGATTTGGTGGAGACTCTCCAGATGCTGTATGCGCTTCTTCGACTGATCATGAATCCGCCGCTCCTCCTGGTGCAGATTCTCCATCTTTCGCTTCAGGCCCTGCATGCGTGATATCATGGCATCGAGTGCGGCAAGCGTCTGATCAGGCGTTTGGCTGTTGGACAGCGAGGCATTCGCGGTTTCTTTCAGCGCGGGGAGGACATGTTCCCGTTCCCGCTCAACGATCCGCTGCACCGACTTGAAATTTCTTCTCGCGAGTTCATGCGGGAGCCGAAGAAGAGGCTGGTCCTATATGGAGTCATCGCTCTTAGCAACAAGGACGCTGGCCAACCAACAAGCCGACGGCGAGAGGAGGGGATAGCTACCAGGAGAAGGTGGTTCTCGGCATTGAGTTTGGTGGAAGTAAGCTCCGCAGCCATGACGTGCCGGGGGGCGGAGGGCAGATGGATTGATGGATGGATGGAGAGTGAGTGAGTGAATTGATGCGGATCGGATGGGTGGGGGGGAAAGGAAGGGACGGGGAGCAGCAAGTCACGGGGAAGCCTTCCCGCCCTCCACGCCGGAGCTACTCGGGCCCTCGCCAGACTCGGTTCAATCACGGATGACACTCAAGGAAACAGTCGGTTTAATTGTGGAATTCAAATCACCTTTTCAGCCCAAGACTCCGAAGAAAAACAAAACGATGGAAAGAAAAATACGGCAAGTATGTTACAGGAAACACGCCCCCAAGTGAAGCTCCGACAGCACCATTTTGACTACACAAACACGCCGAAAGGAACAACCTCGTTCAGAGCCAGGCAAGGGACTTCCTGAAGATGCGGACTGTCTAGTCACTGTCATCGCTATCTTCCTTGTCCTGTTTGGACTTTCGTCGCTCCTTCTTCTCCTTCTTCTCCTTCTTCTTGCGCTTGCGCTCGGCTCGCTCCTCCGGCGTCTCGCCGTCGTGGCGCTTGCGCTTCTTCTTGTCATCATCCTGGTCATCATCCACATCCATCTTGTTCGGAGATGAAGGCGGTTCGGCTGCCTCGGCAGGTGTTGCAGCCGCCTCGTCCTTGGCTGGAGCTTCGATCGCAGGCGGCACGGAGGCATCATCGGGTGCACTGTAATCCTTGTAATCACTCTTCCACTTCGCAGGAGTGGCCTCGTTTGTGCGTCCATATTTCTGTCGAGATCCGTTAGCAGGGAGCCAAAAGAGGTTCGCACGCTCAGGCTATGATGATGCTTACGTCAAGTTTTCCGGCAGACTTGAGCTTCTTCTTCTCCAAAGCAACGGGGCCCAGTCCCCATCTGCGAGGATAGAGGTCACGTTCCATAATGCAACGCTTGACCTTGGCCACAACGCCGTGGTCACAGGTCGAGAGTTCAACCGTCGACATCTGGGAGATGCCAATGGCAATGGCCTCTCCCTTCGTGGTCATGAGCACCACCTCTTCGTTGACATCGATACCAGCCTCTGCAATTGAGTCAGAAATTACCGCGTTCCAGGGTGGCCACATGGCACAGACAGAACCTACCGAATCGCAGAAGACCGGGAATCATGAGCTTGGCACCATAGCACACGGCGTTCACGGCGCTGTCCTTGACGACGATACGCTTGTAAGTCGTGAGGAGGGACTCCAGCGGGCGAATGACTTTTCGTAGATACGATTCGTCACGCTGGTTGTCATAGAGCCACTGCGCATCCAGGACATCATGCAGGGTAACTAGGCCGTTGTTTTCATCCATGGCTCCACTTCTCACACGTCGGAGCTCCTGCATGTGTGCGCCGACACCCAGGAGAAGACCCAGGTGAACGCAGAGAGTTCGGATGTAGGTTCCGGCTTCACAGCTGACCCAAAAGACACCAAGGTGTCTATCGTTATCGAACTCGTAGAGCTTACTCTCGTGAATAGTTCTGATACGAAGCTGACGCTTGACGGCAGAGATCAGAGGCGGACGCTGGAAAAGCGCACCGGTCAGAGTCTCAAGAGCCCTTCGGAACTGAGCCTCGCCGCCAGGGATCTTGTCGTGCAAGCGGATCACGCAGACGTACTCCTTACCGGCACCTTGCTGGGACTTGACCAGACGGGTTGCACGGTCAATGCAAACGATCAAGCAACCGGTCACCTTCGGATCGAGAGTACCACTATGACCAGTTTTTTCCGCCCTTGAAAAGATACAGTTCAGCTTTCAATTTCTTCTCTCTCCTGACTATGCGGGGGTGGGGGAGTCGTTACCTCAGAATCCTCTTCATCCAAGCCACGACCTCGTGACTGGAAGGGTTGGAGGGTTTGTCGAGGTTGATCACGCCGGAATTGATATACGATTTCAGGTCACGCTTGAGAGGAGAGCAACCGGCGGGAATCGGGGTGAAATGAGCCGTCCTGACAAGAACTTGGAGAATGATCAGTAAACGGGCTCCCAGAAGAGCGCAGCGAGTGGCTGCATCATCAATTCTTTCCCCAGAACTTACGCTGTTCATAATTTTTCAGCAGAAGCGGCCATTCCGAGGTGGAGATGTTGGCGGCACTGGCCTCTGGCTTGATGGTGTAGTCCATCTCTTCCTTAGCCACTGCAACCGCCATTTTGAACGAGGATCCAACAGGTTGGCTGTGAGTATGCTGAGCAGCCAGGCGGGAGCGCGTGTTGGGGAGGGAGCGCAAGAAAAATTGTCTTTGGCTACGCTAAAGTTTTGTTCTGGCGCTAGCGAGGCGGCCGCTGGGAAATTTTCCAGTGCGGAATGCGGCTTAGCGCAGAAATTTCTCCCGCCGGGTGGTCCCGTGACCCCCGTACGGTACATGTAATGCGTCGACATTACGGTACAGAGTACGGACTGGAGGTGGTACCTTACCTACTGGTACCTCTCAGTATGGACCAAGTACAGTACAGTACATTCATTCGTTCGATCCGTCTCTCTACTACTACTACTACTACTACTACTACTACTACTACTACCACCTTAACACCACCACCACCATCCCCATCGCCATCACCAGATCAATCTCCCGCCTTCGTCCATCCGACCCCCTTCGATCTGAGCTTTGGATTTTCCTCTATCGTCTTACCCAAGTCTTCGACCGGGTCCCCGACTGCTCCACGGGGTCTGAAAGGCCGAACTCCAACCCGTGCTTGACGAAGGGGTGGTTTGAGCCTGACCCCCGGACTGATATGCTGTTCCATACGCACGAGACTCACCCCGGCGCCCTTGAACGGTAAAGAACCGCCTCACGAAGGCGGGCGTGGTGATGTAATTCCGGCCACCACCAAAGGTAGGGTAGATGCGGGTGAGGAAATCATACAGGTGGGCGGCAACTATCCCCGTGCTATCGCACAGGGCGGCGGACCCTCCGTTTCGCACAAGAGTAAAGGCCAGGGTCGCCCATGGCAGGAATTCGATGGGGATTTGAACCACAAAAAAGGTCGCCTTTCTGCCGCGATTGTCCTGAGCGAAGGTGTACATAAAGGCCAAGATCAAAGCTACTGTCTATCAGTATGGTGGAATGAGCAATGTGCCGCGGCAAGCTCACCGTGGGTAAAGATTACACTGTTCAAGAGAAAACCTGCGGTGAGCTTTTATGCCTGTTAGCATTGGAACGTCACGGCTACTTTCTTTCTCTTGGTGGTTTTCGGGATCAAATCAAATGATGGATGGGATTGTTGATACATAAGGTATAGAAGAATTAGAATGTAGGGCACCATAACCACCTACGTGAATTCTTTTGATCACGTAGGCTATCTCACAGGTCATCCCACCATATCCACAACGCATATAGCCCTGAAAGGATCAAAGAGTAGGCGCTATACGAGTTGCAGAGGTGATCTTCCTCGCTTCCAGGAACCGCTTCAGCTAGTTGAGACTGGGCGGGCAGATATGCGAGGTTCTTGGGTCTAATGAGACCCTTCGGGTAAAGGCCAGGGAGTAATGAGATAACGGGAATAGCGAGACGAGAATATTCTAATGGGGAACGATCCAGAACCCAGATCCGCCCATGACTTACCACAACAACCGTGGCTACAAATAACACGTAGGTGAGGAAATCACCCGGTAAGCTGAACCGCGACGAGCCTGTTTCAAGGGAGCTGCTGTAGGTAAACACTACCAGGGGGTCAGCATGGCCGCCATCCCGAACCATCACAATTCCATACTGAAGTAGAGATCAAATAGGAAGTCAAGGCGCGGTCCTGTCAGTAAGAATGAGGTAAAGGGCCTCCAGACTTCCGGGGGAAGCTTGACGAGCAACTCGGGCAAGAACAGGACTCGTATGCCACTTAGCAAGCCACCGTAAACCAGAGCAGACTGGATACATGTAAGTGCAGTGAGAGTCCTTCCTTCAGGTTAGCTCAAAGCCACCGAGGCCGACTGACACACCACATTGAACGGGTAGATGGTACCTCGAGACCGGAGGAGCGGACCAGAAGCGATCCATCTCGAACGGATGATTGGCTTCCTTTCCTTCTGTCCAATTGTCTCCAGATAAGTAAATGGGAAGGTATTCAAGGTCAACCACAGCACACGTCGAGCATTACAGCGTGCGGAAGAATGATTCCTGGGGCGCGAACTTGTTGGCCGACTGAGCAGGGAAGGGAGGGAAAGAAGCAAACGATCCGCTCTTGAGAAGAAATATAAACGTGTGCATCGGCCGAGCTTTTTTCCCGATCCGTAGCGCTGTGCACGTGCCGTAAGGGCTTTTTTTTTTACCGAGACGGCTGGTCAGCTGACCCTGACGGTTTGCCCTCGTCCGCAGTACTTCCGTCAATACTGTACTATACGCAGTAGTTACCGTACCCAGGCTACCTCCCTATCTAGGAAGGTAGTCGTCTTCTGATACTTTTTTCTGGCGCTTCCTCCTAGTCCCATCATTGAGCCTTGCCTAGAATAACACAGCCTACAGTTCATCCGTCATTTGGGGATGGATTCGTTCTTGTTCGAGTATCATCATTCCGATCCTGTTCGGCTACTGGAGTGACATCTCAATATACTAAAATATATATGTTTTTCCCGCCGAATGCTCCGTATGTAGGTATACAATTGTCAGCTTCTGTGACCCTGCTATCAACCATCAAGATACCATGTACCTCAAAGAGGGTCAGACCCCGAAACATGCCGATATTTCGATACTACATGGTGTCAAATCTCACCGTACCTCGAACGGCGAGGCCTCCATCTTTCCCTTCAATCCACACATCCCAAGCGGCATTGTGCTTGGCTAGCTTGGGTTTCCCACATATTGACAACATCTCCCCGGCGTACAAAGGTGTGAGGTTTCTGTATTCAATCTCTCGAATCGTTCGACCGGAGTTGGCCAAATAGGGCTGGATCGCCGCCAGTAGCAGGGTCAAGGTCAAAGGACCGTGGACGAGAAGGCCTCGGAAGCCCTCCACGTCCCGCGTATATGCCTCGTCAAGATGAATGGCGTGGGCGTTGAACGTGAGCGCAGAGTAGCGGAATAGTAAGGCTTTGGTGGGCGTGACATTGTGACGGACTTCAGGATCCGACGGGGCTTTTCGACCCAAGAGAAAAAGAGGGAAATAATCAGTACGAGACTCAGTTGGAGGCAATCAATTTATGGTGCGCACATTTTACAATTCGCTGGCGCTTCTGAAAACCCACCCGGTCGCGATCTAGTTCTTCGAGAGACTTCTCACGCATAAAAACCAAGTCTCGGTGTTCGATGATGGACGACTGCCCACAATCTTCTTCACTCTCCCGCCAAAGGCGATCGCGAATATCGGTTTCTTGCTCAGACTCCTGGACTGTTCCTATGCGCCTCTCTATTCTGACAATGACTTTCTCCTCCCCCGATCGTCCTTTGGTCACTATATCGCGAATCGTTTCGATACAGACGGCTCGACTACCGTCGAGCACCAATCCACTACGGGTCGGGAATCTGACTCTCCCGCCAGCCCACAAACGCCTGTTGAACGGCTCCCCTGGGCTATGAAGAGTATCGGTGCCATCGGCCAGTAGCTGCGAGAGCGTAACCTGAGGAGGAAAATAAACCAAATGATGGCCTACCGGTAGGGGGATGGCGGATTCCACCGAGGGAAGAATCGAGTTGTCTCCCCCCCGGCGCCGAGCATGCGGGAGAAGGTCTCCCAACGTCAAATCCAGGAGATGAGAGGGTTGAGGATGTAGATAGTCGAAGGTCAGAGGCAAATTCCGCGATGTCAGGCGGGAAAGAGCCGAATGTGCCCGTGATACGGGGTTGGATTTGCCTCCGAGGCCCGGGACGCGCAGTGTCGCTCTCTTCATCCTACCGCATGGAACGTCTACTACCTCAGCGATGGCCGTGTCCAACGAGAAGAGTCAAGGCGAAGGCAATGGCGACGGGGACGCAGGGGGTGGAAGGCGAAATAATTGGAAGCAAGGGGCCGCCGGATAAATCCAGAAGTCGCAGTTTGACTTGTTTGTCTGGGATCGACAGCCACCCACACTTTTGAGTTGAAGATGGGAATTTCTCACCGGCCGATCTCCCCCCCTGACCGGGTCATCCATCGAGTGGCAGGAAAGCAGTCGAATTGATCCTTCGCAGACCCCCTCAGTGCCATGGCCCTCATCACTGTCACCTTCCTGGGGCCTGCGGCTTCCTTTTCGCATCAGGTTAGGAGCCCCTCTCCAAGCCTCCGTGGCTCCGGTAACGTCATGGATCACAATTAACTGGAGTTCTAGGCCGCTGTTGAATCCTTTGGCACCTCGGTAGAGCTACTGGCCCGTCCATCGTTCCCAGATGCATTTGCCTCCGTGCAGCATCAGGAAGTTGACTATGCCATCGTTCCCTTCGAGAACTCTTCCAACGGGTCAGTGGTCCAGACCCTTGATCTTCTGGCGGACCCCGCCGGTTCCTACCCAGACGTGAGAGTGTGTGGGGAGCATTATCTGAGCGTGCACCACTGTCTCTTGGCTCGCCACGGACAACATGACCTCAACTCAATCAATAAACTGTACACTCACCCACAAGCGTGGGGTCAATGCGAAAGGTTCCTTTCGGAACATTTCAAGGGCGTGGAAAGACAAGATGTTTCGTCAACCTCCAAAGCTGCCGAAATCGTTGCAAACGAAACAGCAGAACGAAGTGCCGCAATAGCTAGTCGGTTTGCTGCCGAGCACCACGGACTGGACATCATAGAGGAGAACATCGAGGATAAGGACAACAACACAACGCGGTTTCTGGTACTGAGGAATCAGAATTCAGAACGCACGACCCGATTGCCCTTTGAGAAGGTCAAGGTCCCCCCCACGCCCTCCCCGACCGCAAGGAAAACTTTGATATCGTTCACGGTCCACCAGAATGCCCCCGGGGCGCTGGCGGACGCTTTGTTGATCTTCAAGAACCATGGCATGAATCTCACAAGTATCAACTCCCGCCCAAGCCAAAGAACGCCCTGGCAATATGTCTTTCTGGTCGAGTGCCAAATGGCTCCTGCTTATGATGGGAAGGAGGCAGTCGCCGAGATTTTGGCCGGACTGAAGGATGCTACTGAAAATAGCAGACACCTGGGGACGTGGAACAGCATGGGCTCGTCGGGCGCCCAATAAGATCGCAAAAACCATCTACTCTACGACTACTATATATAGAGCCTGAGCACCATGTGGGGCGATGAATGCGACGCATTGTTGTTATCCTTACAAAAAAGAGCATGCCTATGGAGAATAAATGATAGCGTAAAAGCAAGCCCGACCCAGCTGTGTGTGCCAGGACGAAACGATCCTCCACCCGTTAGCTTAAAAGTCATCAAAGTCCGACAATCCGAAGGAATTGTTGCAAAGATAATTTGACGATCCACCACCCCTTTAAGGTTCAAAACACATCTCAAGTTTACCTGAAGTATCCACCTAGACAGCCTCAGTTAAAATGTTACGGAGCTTGGATGGCCCTGCGGAACGGGTAGCGGTGTCAGTGACGGGGAGTAAGCATAAGCATAAGATGATCCACACACACCTCCGAGCAGCTTCACAGAGCTCTTTCCAGGCGACGTCAAGGTAGTAGTAACCAGGGGAACCATGACCTGACCATGGAAACCACCGTCACCTTGTATAGGGCGAGCCGTCAAAAGATCCGCTTGCGGAACTTCTGGCCGTTCATCCTCGCTCCCTGCGAGGTCGCTGAACCGTCAATCTGTAGAGAATATACGTTAGCTCGAAAAAAAATTGGGCGGAAGAGGAGAAAAAGAGAGGGGGGGGGGCGCACCGTCGTAAAACTCGTCCTCATCATCATAGTCGGCAAGCTGTTCAAAATTGACCTTGTATCGAAGGATGGCGCCGATACCACCAAAGCCCTTCACGAATTGATTACCCTCACTGGATTTGTCCGAAACGAACTCTAGGGTGGCACCAAAATCCTTGTAGTTCTCGGCGAGCCACTCCAGAAAAGAAGACTGGTCAACAACTTCCATTTCAGTGCCAGTTTCCTTATCGGTAAACAACTCCCGGTTGTCCTCTTGAGACTTCGATGTGTGAACGATGGCCTCAGAGCCGCTGGAGGTCTTCAGAACCCATCGGGTGATGTCCAGGTTCTCATAGACAATGAGGACCTCTGCCGCACCGAGCTCGAGGGCCTTGAGCGTATCATCTGTACCGTAGCAAACCTTTCCGGTGTCTTGGCTGATCTCTTCGAAGTATTTGCCAATCAACTTCTTCTCCTGGACAAACTTGACGTTGCTCAATGTCTCGGAAGCAAGTTCGATAGCCTGATTAAAGCCGTTTTCTCCACCATAAGAGACGTCAACCACCTTGATGACCTTGGATTGCAGGCGTCCATCGAACATATCGGACTGGTTCAAGTCGTTCTTGAAGTCAGCAGAACCGGCTAGAATCAGGCCCGCAACGTTGATCTTGTCATTTGTGATGTAGTTCTGGACGGCCAACTCAGCGATTTTGCGGACATAGTTGTGACGTTTCTCTTCTCGAAGACGGGCAAAACGGAGAGCCGACTGTCCACCACGACCGTGTTTCTTCGGCAGATCGACGCTCAGTTTCTGGAGCACTTCTCTAGTGTTCCCACTCAGCGTGCCAAAGAGAGCTCCGTTTCCATCCATGACAATGAAGCCAAATTTCTGATCCGACTCAAGTAGCTCGCTGAGTGCCTCAGTGTGGAATTTGTTGTCACAGAGGTAAAGCGACGTGTTAATGGGTTTAAAGGGCTCGAAATCAATGTTGATTTTGCGCTCTTTACCCTCGGACGTAATGATTTCACCACAGTACACGACCAAGCCATTGGGAGGGACCTTGTTGTAAAGCTTGAGACGCTGTTGCGTGGAGGTAATGGCAGACAGAACGGAAAGTCGGTTGACCCGGGACTTGATGTTGGAAGCAGTGCCCTGGTATTTCCATTAGTATCCAGTCTCGACAAGACGACTTTGGTCCAAGGCCTTGTGTTCGGCGGGAACAACTCACAAACTCTTCCGCCAGCATTTTGGCGGCCCTGGATACCTGATCCTTGGGGGCTGCGGGACCGAGAGGTTAGCGGCAATCCATCTTGATAGGACCAACGTTGTGGGAGGGGACAAACGAATGATAAGAGAGATCATGGAGGTTCCATTTCCGCGAGCTGCCTCGAGGCGCTTGATGAGCTTCTTCACCTTCCAAATCTCAATGTTCTTTTCCGCTTCGTTCGCCTGGGCCGCGCTCATCTTGGGCGAGGTGACGATGTCAAGACGACCAGGAGAGGGGTAGAAAGAGGAGGGGGTCCGCCGGTGCTGAATAGAGTTGTTAGCGATGGAAGCAGACAGAAGAGCACAAGAATGCTTGGGAGGTAGAGACGATCTTCAACGCGGGGCGGAGGATATTGTCCTCACCTTTGAGGCTGGTGGATTTGCCGTCCAAGGAGTGCACCGTTCAGTAAATTTCATCAGGCACCGTGGGGGTGTGACCCGAAGTCGCCTGTTGCGGATGACATAAGCGCCCTGGAATCACTGCCTCGGGTAGGTAACGTATCGTACTGTTTGTACATACAGACATACCTACGGGGTACTGTACAGTACCTCTCCCTCGCTCTCTAGTACCTTTATCGACTCCATACGGACTACGGAGTAATGCACTGCGCTATCAACAATGTGTCCAACTCCACCGTCCTTATCTCGAACTAACCCCACTTCGTTGACAAGAGCTCCCAGCCATTCATCCTCAATCCTCAATCCTCAATCCGGAAGTGTCCAATGTCATCTACCTCCTTTGCCATTTGCAATTCTTTTCGGTCATCATCACCGTCTAGTTGCTCCTAGGGTGCGCTTATCGCCACCGCCCCAAGAGAAACCAATATAAATGCATGTTGTCCCGTCTTGAACTGCAATCGAGGATACCGTCACGCGTCTCCTTGCCCTGCTCGAGATACCCAATTATCGACTGTGCCTGTTGCCTTGATTGATCTCGATCTCTTCTGGTCCCTGCTCTACTTCTAGTTGATTACAATCACTCGCCTGCCTTCCACCAGAAAATGTCATTGCCTTGGGCATCGGCCGGTAGTGATCCCGAAAACCCCAGTGACCACCATGAAGCCGTGACCCAAGGAGTGCGGATCCCAAATCCTCGTTCACCTTTCGAATCAAACTTTGATTCCTACGGCAGCTCATCGGGCTTTGCTAGCTATGCCTCCGAGGGCGGTGGTTTTCACAGACCAAGGTAATCCATATTTGCAGACCCCAACCTGAATGACCTAGCCACTTGATTGAACTATAACATATACTCATGACCTCTGCCAGGTCAGAATCGCTCTCCATGCGCTTTAGACAAGCAGGCGGCGTTAACAGCATCGAAAACTTCGCCCGGTCATGGCAACGGGCTGCAGGTTTCCCAGAAGTCCTTCCCCGCCGTGCCTCATTTCTCACAGGCGATTCAGATGAAGAATGCTTCGCCACGGCAAATCGTTTGCCTGGCTCGCAAGGCTCTCGGCCGCTTCGTTCGGAGGCTGATGCTACACGGCCACTGCTTAGTGCCGATAGGGAGACCGAGATAGACCGGCCAGATGACAACGACGACCCGTCAAGAAAAAATGCGCTCGGATCATCATTTGAAAGAAGCCTTGGGACCTCCTACGGCACAATATCTTCTCGCGTCAGTGATGCCACACGGAGGCATGTGATTCAACTCCATCGAGAGCAACAAGCACATGTAGACGTGCCTTTGGACGGTAGCATAGAACCTCTATCGGTCAAAAGTATTCAGCATGAGGATGGTACCAGATCAGGTGTCATTGTTGGTCAATCGACTGTACCTCAGACAATTTTTAATTCTGTCAATGTCCTGATTGGCGTTGGCCTCTTAAGTCTCCCGCTAGCAATGAAACAGGCGGGCTGGTTTTTCGGCCTCTCATTTCTTCTGTTTGCTGCTGTGACCACCTCGTACACAGCCCAAATTCTCGCCAAATGCCTTGACATTGACCGGAGCCTGGTCACATATGCTGATCTGGCTTATGTTAGTTTTGGGCACCACGCGCGCCTAATAACAAGTCTTCTGTTCTGTTTGGAGCTTATAGGAGCCTGTGTTGCTCTGGTTGTGCTTTTTGCAGACAGCCTTCATGCTTTAATTCCCGAGCTAAGCATCCTTCAGTGGAAGTTAATATGCGGGTTATTGCTTGTCCCGCTGAATTTTGTGCCCCTGCGGTTTCTAAGCGTGACCAGTATTCTAGGAATACTCTCTTGCACCTCAAGTATAGTTTCCTCCTCCCGTTACTTCATGGTTGACCGAAACTAATGAAGACCCTCTCCATTCAAGTTGTTATTATAATATGCATTGATGGATTTCTAACTCCTTATGCTCCCGGCTCACTGCGCCAGCCAGCCAAGACCTCTTTATTTCCAGAACACTGGGGGACTCTCCCTCTCAGTTTTGGACTGATCATGTGTACGTTTGCAGATGGTGTTCCCTGAAGATTTCCAAACCTTGTAGCTGATCCCTATCAAGCGCCCTGGGGGGGCCATGGAGTATTTCCGAACATATACCGGGATATGAGACACCCGCAAAAGTATAGAAAGAGTCTTTGGATCACCTATATTTTCACGGTAAGTAGCAAAGCACCGCGAAAAAGGCAGGGGCGGAAAGAGAGAGAGAGGAAAAAAAAAAAAAAAAAAAAACTGATTTCATGTCTATCCTAGTATTGCCTCGATTGTGCAATGGCCATTATCGGCTGGGTCATGTTTGGTGATGCAGTTCGCGACGAAGTCACTGCAAACGTGTTGCTTTCCGCATCTTATCCACCGGCATTGTCAATTTGCATCATAATTTCTATCGCCATAATTCCAATAACCAAGGTCCCTTTGAAGTAAGTCTGTCCAAGAACTTCCGGGTTGAGGTCACTAATATAATCCCAGCTGCCGCCCTCTGGTGGCCACTGTGGAAATACTCTGTGGCCTTGGGTCTCACTCTACCACAAATTCAAATCATCCCGAGGGACTTCATGCCATAATTTTGCAGTCATTGAAGGCAATGGTGCGTGTGGTTGTGCTGGCTGTCGTCGTTTTAATGGCCATCCTCTTCCCATCGTTCGACAGGATCATGGCACTGATGGGTTCTGCTTTGTGTTTTACGATATGCGTGATCTTGCCACTCGCGTTTTATTTGAAAATTTTTGGAAACGACCTCAGTCTAAGGGAGCGGGTTTTAGACTGGGTTCTTCTGATTTTATCGTCAATGTTAGCGATTATAGGAACAGCCTGGGCATTCCTACCGCAGGAGATGATCTCCACATGATAGGGATCCTTGAGGAGTTTGTCATTTGACAACAATAGCAAAATTGTTCCTTGTTTTGCCGGGATTCAGCATTTCCTTTTTCCAAGAGCGAGACTGGGGTTTCTGGCTGTATTCCCAAAGTTGATATATCAGCTTGGAAGTTTCCTTGCTCTCGGATAAGAAGAATCCCATGCCAGTCATGATGTCGCCAAGTCTGCCATGGGTGAGATATCGGGAGTTGTTGACACATGCAGCTGGTAGAACCAGGAACAGCCGGGGCGTGACAGGCGGAGTGGACGCAGATGGGGATGAAGAAGTCAGAAAAGCCACGCAACGCTTCAGCATTTCACCTCGGCCAATGGCGTCTGGAACAAAATTGAGTACCAATGAAAGACTAATAATGTGAAATCGATCAGCGTCATCACGAGGCAGTGGTCGCTCCATAAAATCCTGTTTCAAAATCCCTGGCTCCTGGGAGTTCAAGTCTATCCTGGTAACTGCCATAGCTGGATTCGTAGAGCAGGCATTTTTGGTGCTGAGCGCCCCGACTTCGAGCACACGGAGCCTGGTTTGCCCATCTTTCGCATGAGGCAGATGCGGGCCCATCCAGTCAACCAGGACCTTACTTGAATCGCCGCCACGTTCTCGGGACTGTCCAAGCTTACTGGCGAGCTGGTAACTCTCCAGCCCACCGTTCTCCTGAATCTGACGATTTATTTCATTGACCAGGATCTCATCCCCCGCATGCTGCGCTTGAGCCCGTTGCTTGAGAAGTCGGTGATGGGAGCGAATCAGATTCCGGGTGGCCTTTGATGACAGCGCTGCATGTTCGCCCCTGATTGCGGATGGACGGGTGCGAGATAGTAACAGAGGCTTTTTAGCGCGACGCTTTTTGGCAACCATAATTATAGAGGGTAAAGGGAAAGCAAAGAGGGGAATTTAGAAAAACGAAGTTGAAAAAGACGGGTTGAGGAGGAAGATGTCCGAGAGACGGAACTCGGGTCATACGCGGTGTCCTAGTTACTGGATGTACATCTATTATATTTCTAAGGAAAATAAGAAAGAAGGAAAGGTCTTAGTCGGACTTGGAGGAAGGAAGGAAAGACCGGGAAAAAAAAAAGAAGAAAAAAAAAAAAAAAAAAAAGAGACAAATAAAGCCCTAGACCCGATTGGGCGCGCCAAGAGATCGATCATACCGGGTCAGGTGACCGCACACAGTTCCAACTCCGATTCTTTCGCTAAGCGAAGTCCCTGCAAATAACTTGACTCTCGACACTGCGACAATTATCACGACAGCGCCGGACGACAGCCATGGCCCCTAAGGTGGAAAACAAGCAAGGTAGGCACACTCTGAGCGGATTCGTCTTCTTTCTTCCCCGTCCAATCTGCAAAATTATCGAGTTTCGAGGCGCAGGCGTGTGTGTGAAGGCAATGAGAATGCTTTTGTCACCCGCATCCTCCACAAATGAGCGAGTCGCACACAACACATCATGAGCAAATTGTCAACCAGTTCAGATGTGCCGCATTTTCTTTCCCTTTCCCCCTCCCAACAAAGGAAATTCAGAAGGGGGGAAGGATGAAGAAGAGGGAAAAGCAGAGGAGGGGGGCAGATAAGACACGAGGAATAATTGAATTGCTCTCGATTGGGAGAAGACGTTCGAGTTACTTTTTGCATACGGATGCGCTGACCTTTTCTCTTTTTCTTTCTACACAGGCAAGACTAAGCCCAGCAACAGGGCTGGTGCTGCCGCCAAGGCAGTCCTGAAGGGTGCAGGCGTACGTTACCACAGAAGCCGACATCATACATGCCATAGTCGTCCATGCTAATACCGATCTCGACAATAGGCGCACAAGGCCCGCAAGGTCCGCACTTCGACGACTTTCCACCGCCCCAAGACCCTTGAGCTCTCCCGGTCGCCCAAGTACCCCCGCAAGTCGATCCCTCATGGACCCCGCCTCGACTCCCACAAGGTCATCCTCTACCCCCTCAACACCGAGAGCGCCATGAAGAAGATTGAGGAGAACAACACCCTCGTCTTCATCGTCGACGTGAAGGCGAACAAGAGGCAGATCAAGATCGCCCTGAAGAAGCTGTACGATGTCGAGACCGTCAAGGTCAACACTCTCGTCAGGTATGGCCGTTCCTGGAGATTCATCGTTTCCAAACATGTCACCAAGAAACCTGTCTTCTAACGTGTCCGCAGGCCCGATGGTTCGAAGAAGGCTTTTGCCCGGCTAACCCCTGATGTGGATGCCCTGGACATTGCTGCCACCAAGCTGGCTATTGTCTAGATGATTTGGTTTCTTATGGGTCTGGGTGAATGTTTCTGTTTTTACGCGGTGGTTCATAAACATCGGTCATGCAGTTAACTGCCTGCTTTGCAATGACAGGCTAAATGATCGTTAAAAAGATTTTACTTGAATGCACGATTCTACCGGTAATGAGAACTATAGTAGGTTTCAGTAGTCTCGTAGCGTCTGGGGCGGTTGCCGCGAGTATGTTGCTACTTGAGCTGTGGAGCTGCGATCTCGAGCGATTCGAGGCCCATGCGATCTACAAACTACCTCCGCGCAGGCGTGAGTTGAGTACTTAGATGGCAGTGCAACGTTTGTTCCCTTGTTCTTACCAGCGTAAATCCCAGGCTGGCATGCTCTTTTAAGACCTAAGTAGATATGGAAGTATTCTTCGTTCGATTCCTCCCGTTGCAGGCCCTGGAATGAGGCAAAGCACACGAAAAGCATTGGACAGGCTGGTGCAAAGGGGCGTGCTTATTGTCCACGCAAAGTCTCGAGGTGCTTTAACACAGCAAGGTTGGTGTCCATCCATCGCTCCACACAGTTGTGAGCGCATGATTCCTCGGACTGGTCTAGGCGGCCGGAGGAGATCTTTCCATTAATGCACTTCTTCCAGCAAATGTCGGCGAGGTGGTGAACAGCTGGCAGGCAGTCGGTTAGTGCCCATCGATCAAGGGAGAAAGGAAGAGCGAGACCTACTCTGTTGGATGTTGGACTTTTGAGCTTCACTCGTCAAGAACTGGTTCAATTCCTTCTTGTCGCCATCGCTGAGCTTGGAGACGTCGAGCTGGGCCTGATCCATTGTTGGTGTCGGGGGAGGTTTGGGAATATCGGAGAAGGAGGAGATTCTGGCGACCGCGTCTTCCGGGATGGAGGATTCGATCAAACTGCTCGCAAAGCTGGAAAGATCTTGGCTTGTCCGGGCTGCGGGCGGTGTGGCGCGACAGAAAAACGGCTGCCGGTCCTCGCCGCCAAAAAGGGCATCTCATCCATCTGAATGCCTTTTCTCACCCGCCGCAGACCCTGAGGCTTGCACCACGAGAATCGCAAAGATGCCGCCGATACGCACGTCCCGCAACCGCAAACCTCCCCCGGCGGGGTTCGACGACATCGAGGACACCCTGCTCGAATTTAGCAATAAGATGAAGGATGCGGAGAATGCGTCGCATGACGGCAAGAAGAAGCACGAGATGCTATGGCCCATCTTCCAGATAACTCATCAGCGTGAGCGACCAATCCCTTCTGGGCTGCCGGAAATGGTCGTAGTTCAATGTGGCTAATTGCTGCCCTCCCGCAGGCTCCCGGTACATCTACGACCTGTATTACGAAAAAGAGGCCATATCAAAGCAGTTGTATGACTGGCTTCTCAAGAACAACTATGCAGATGCCAATCTAATTGCCAAATGGAAGAAGCAAGGATATGAGAAGGTGCGTTTGCGACCCTGTGCTCTTGTTTCCCCCCCCCCCCCCGTTTTCTTTCTGCCCTCTAGCTTTACCAGCACCGAAGTATTTTCTCCGCTAACCCCTCCATGCAGCTCTGCTGTCTGCGCTGCATCCAGACCAAGGAAACCAACTTCAACGCGACGTGTATCTGCCGCGTCCCGAAAGCTCAACTCAAGGAGGATCAAATGATTCAATGCGTTAGTTGCGGCTGCCGAGGCTGCGGCAGTAGTGATTAATTTACAGTTGCCATATTCCCCCCCAGCAACCGCTTTGGGGGAGCAAGAAGAAAGGTGCACAGGTTGCTATCTGCTCGGAAGTCGAAATGGGAATTCCATTCTGAAGCGGCATCCAATGTGCCTGTGAGACGGATGGTCGGCGCTTCATTACCTTTTCTATCTTCTCCCCTCCCCTTGGTTCCCCTTCAATTTTCCATTTCCTCTCTTTCTTGCGTTTCTTCTCCCTTCAAGTCTCGGTTCCTTATGAGCAATGTGATACCCTCCGAAAAAAACCGTCATGTATTAAGTTTTCCACGATAATCTATTCCCATGCCAAAAGAGTACAATATTGTATCACTCCTGGAAAAGAAAATTTCAAGAATCTGAATTGACATAAAACCTATTAAACAAAGCATAATTGAAATCAAAGTGTCATAAACATGAGAATCTCCCAAAGTGAACATGAAAAACGGGGGGAGAAGAGAGGGAGAAAGATGGAAGAAAAACAAACCCAGATTGAAGCTCAAAACACGCGCCCTTACCTGCGATCTTTGTCTCGCTCATGTACATCTTGGCAAATGTCATCATAAAAGTCATAACAAGGTCATTTCAGGCCAGCGAAAGTCGGGCACAGTACCAACTCCAATCCTGAACATGGTTCCAAACTCCGGGAAGATCAACAATAGAAAGATGAAACAATAAACACCAAGGCCCTGTAAGATAAACTCCAGCCTCCAGCTAAGAAAAACCCCATCACAAAACGTTACTCGTGAACCAAAGTCAGTCGGTCAGGATAAAGCCAATAGTAACGGAATTCGAGAGGGTGAGCTCCTGTATTTCCGACCGGTTCTTGAAATGAGGAAGCCCAGGATTCTCTTAGAACAAAGAAGTATTACTTCGGTGATTCAACTGTGGCCTCGGCTTAGATCGTGATAATTCATCCCTATTTGCACCGCCGATTTTTTGGAACCCTTGCAGGAGGTCGACCCCATCCACATCTCCGGGGCTTTCATCAAAGAGATGGAACGAAAAGAAATCATCGTTGGTTGTGTCGACAAAGCGCCCAGAATCAGGCACTTTGGACGGGGAATCAGGAAAAAGCAAGCCCTTCGACTTGTTGGCTGGCATGGGCTGCGCGCCGGCCCGGCTATTCACGTTCACGGCGGTGATGTCTGTGAGTACGTTGCTACCGGACTCGCTGGCATCATTTCGGATCCGTTTGATGGAGCGCTTTTCAGGCGAACCGTAAGCCGAGGCCGAAAGGTTCTCCGCGGTGTGGTCGGCAAATACATCGAAGGTGGCATGCAGATTATCATTCGGGGTAAATGTTTCGTCCTGGATGTTAAATGCTGGGCTCCATGGAAGATCCTCGTCCCCAAGACCCAAATGCTTGATGGGGGAGTTGACCATCTGCTGAATCTTCTTGCGATGGTTTCTAAGGTTCGTATTGGGTGATACTGATGGCGGGGGTTTTGCAGGCTTTTTGAATTTAATAACCGGGGTGATGGGAGGCGGGAGCATGCTGACATATTCCCCACGAAGAGGCGAGGATCCAACTATCAATCCAGCATCCTTCAATGCACCCGAACGGCTTGGGCTAGCATCATGGGAAGAGCTTCGGATCCGCGCAATTTCTTCCTCAGCCCGACCACGCTTGATGCGAGGTGGCTCAATATCCAAGTCTGAAGTCAAAATATGGCCCGCCTTGTTTGGACGCATGGCCGAAGATTCTAGAGATGAGAAATATCCGCTATCATTCATGGCAATCGATTTTCGTTTTCTAGAGCGAGAGATGACTCCAGAAGCGGCCACCTGCGAGGGCGTAGGGGGCGTTCCTTGACGGGCGAACCGAGGTGGCACAATTGGAGGAGAAGAGTGGATGGGCTGGGGCGGAGAGGAGCGTGGTGGAAGAGCCTGAGGTGCTGGCGCGCTCACAGATTCCTCAGCAGCGTCTTCCTGGAGCGCGGGATCCGAAGCAGGTAGTGTTGCATCAGAGGACAGGTCGACATTCTTGGATGATTTTGATTTTGCCCCCGTCGGAGGAAAGGACGGGGTTGGTATAGCCCAAGCAGAGGAACCATTTTGCGTTTGCGGGTGCGCAGGTTCTCTTTGGAGAGCAGTCGGGAGAGGAAGACTGGACATAGTGGCACGACGCAAAGGCTTGTCCTTGAGAAACTGTGCCTCCATTCCAGATTCAATGGCCCAATAGTTTCCTTTTCCGGGATCGTCTTTGGGTCTCTCTTGCTTGATGAACGCCTTGTTGAGACTAAGGTTGTGACGAATGCTATTTTGCCAGCCAGGGTCGCTGTTTTTATAGTACGAGAACGTATCGGAAATCCACTTGTATATCTGCGCCAGAGTCAAGCGTCGGTTTGGCGCACGTAAAATTGACATCCCAATCAATGTCGCGTAGCTGTAGGGAGGCTTGGTGCCATCATCTTCAATTGGCGGCATTTCATGGGGTTCGGGGAGGCGTATGGACACAATATCTTCACGCTTGTGCTTCTTCATCGACCGCTCTTTCAGGGGTGCCGCCTCTAGAAGCGCCCTTTTCAGGGGTGGTTTGGAAGCCAAGGGCGGCTCAGGAAAATCAGCAAAGTTATCGCTGGTTGGTTCATCAAGCAGCTGGTGTCCTTGCAGGGACTCCTTGTCAGGATTGACGCTGGAAAATGTCGTGAACAAGGCGGAGTGTGGCATCGGTGCAGTGGTGGCGGATTGTGCGTACGGATGCAAGGGTGGCTTTTTGGTCGGCGAATCCGTGGGGAAAGAGGGAGGAGCAGGCGCGGTGATGGAGACGAATTCCAATTTTCCTCGTCCAGAGACCGAAGCGCTCGATCTACGAGACGCCTTGGTTGGCGATGGTCTGTGCGCACCGGCGGACGGCGGGTTGAGAACGTAATCAGAGTTTGGATCAATGTTTTCAACGGTGGCCAGAGGTAATGGCGATGGTTCCAAACAAGCGCGTGCTTCGACTGCAGGTTGATGGGATAATGAAGGCGCCTCCGAGTTTGTTTGCGCGGCTATTCCAGAGCGCGCCGAGGTCATGGTTTCTCAGCTGAAGTCAGGCTCTGGTTGGCTTTCAGAAGAATCCGTGCGCGTAGCCAAGTTGGTGAACATGAAGCGATGGCAGGGATCAAGCTGCTAGTAGGCACCACAGGCAAAAGGCTCGAAGACAGGAGGCCAGGAGGCCCTACCAGCAGATTGCTTGCCGTTTGCCAGCCGAAGGTGATGGAGGCAGTTTCAGGGCGATGACCGGAGGAAGGAAGAAACGCAAACTCAGATGGGGTGTCGCGCCCAAGGTGAGGATCGAGTTGGGCGACAAAACGCTAAGAGACATGGAGGGGGGAGCCCCAAAGAGAAGCCAGGTAGTGCAGGGCCGCTGGGCAAGGGCGGACGAGCAAAAGTGTGTCAACCGGACAGCGTCCGTCGAGCGTAATTCAAATGATCTTCAGTGCGCCTGGTTTTCTGAAGGAAGCCAGGGAGGTTGACGCGTGGAGGGAGAAACGGACCGCAAAAGATGAGATTGGATTGGGCCGATCGGGGGGGGGGGGCAAAATGGCGATGTGTATGGGGAAAGAGAGGAAAAGAGGAGCTAGACGAGCAGATGGCTTGACTCTAAATCCAAGTCTGCCATCAAGGTGGGGATGGGTGAAATACTTCGTTAATAAGTAGGTATGACTAGTGGAACTCAGGAAGTGAGGAATGGAGAGGAAGCGTCGAAGCGGGTGGTGTTGATTGCCCGGGGGGGGGGGGGGGGGGGGAGGACCTCCACCGCGCGCCTGCCCCGGTGCCCTGTATGGTATGGTTCCGACGCGGTCGCGTCACGCGTTCCGGTCGCCGCCAGGGCCGTATTGTGACCGGTATTGCGGGTTGGGCCGCAAAAGCATGACGTACTGCGCCTTGCGGCTTTCCAATTTCGCCCGTCTCTCCTTGCTTCCTCCCATCCCCCCATCCCCCCATCCCCCCTACGCCTGCTCCGGAATTCGAATACGAAGCAGGTACGGTACAGAAGGTCTGCACGGGATTGCGCGGGCGGTTTCGGGGGAAGATTCTGTAATGTACACTCGACTCGGAGTAGATAGAACGTGGCCGGTGGACTAGGATGAGTGGAGGGACAGAATGATCCCCATGAAAAAGCAAATTCAACGTTGCTGGGAGTCCGAGGCAAAACGCCATCCCTGGCATCCCCGACTGGGTCCTTAGCGAGTCATGTCTCAGCCTCTGCCATTAACCTACATCCCGGTCACTACCGATTTGGTCTCATGCAACCAGGCTTGGCTATCCACTGTTATGCGTCAGAGGCCTTTTTAATACTACCAACTTGTGCCGTCCGAAATACACTGAGATTCTAGACCCTCTATCTTGAAATCAAAGCCAGTGTAGATGACATAACGCCTAGAAATAAAGCATTTTTTAAGGGGAAAAGACACGATGTCTAGCGAGGAACATAAACAACAAGTAGTCTATCGGAACAAATTGGGAAATGGAGGACATCTATCCAAAAATGAAATCAAATCCAATCAAACGCACGCAGCAGAGATCAAAACTAACCCCCGACTTCTAGGAACGCATAAAGACACTAGACAATTGAGTAATATGGTCATAAAGGAATCTTGTGGCTATTCATCCAATCGCATGGACTCCCGGGAAAGAAGGTCAAAAGAAAAAGACAAAGGATTAAAGAGACGGGGAGGGCAAGAAGGAGGAGGAGAAGAAAAAGAAGAAAAAGAAGAAGGCGGCGGGGGGGGGGGGGGGGTGATATAGTATCAATCATGGCAGATAAAAGCCAGAAAAGACGCAAGAACTCAGAGAGGAGGGTTGGGTTCGACAAGGATTGGGATTAATACAAGTCACATCTAATCTAGGAATGTGAACATGCTTGTGTGTATTATGTTCAGCGCACGATCCGCATCTCTTTCTTCAATAACGCAGGAAATGTTAATCTCACTTGCGCCTTGGAGCAATTTACCCATTAGCTTCTAGATTGTCAAAGAGCAAAGGGGCATTGAACTACCCGCACTTACCTTGAGAGATCATTTCGATATTCACGTTGTTTTCTCCAAGAGTGGTAAACATCCTCCCGGCAACCCCAATCATGTTCTTCATTTGTTTGCCGACAAGACTGAGGATGGCCATCTCGGGAATGATGTCAACGGTACCATATCTTTGCAAATCATGCAAGGCGCCCTTGAGGTCCTCATCAATTACCTGATACTCATCCCTGCCAACTCCATTGAGAAGCGGTACTTCGGAGTGAAGCGCCATTGATACGTGTACTTCACTGGTAGATATCAGGTCAATCGAGAGCCTCCACCGATCAAGGACGGAAAAGATCCCAGCAAAAAATCCATGGGACAGAGAGCGTTTGTTGGAATGTACATTGATCACCAGGATTTTATGCTTGATGGTCACGGCAGTCGGGCGCTTCGGTCTTTGCATCAGGCTTGGGCTCCTTGTCCGGAACAATCGTGGGTCATGTCCAGGGGCCGTCTTTTCCAGCTCATAAGTGGAGTCGGGGAAGATGACAGTGCCGTTGCTCTTCGGATTCATGACGTTTTTTATGCGAATCGGGATCTTGGCACGTATAACCTGTTCCATTGTAAAAGGATGGATGACTTCTGAGCCGTAGAATGTCAACTCGGCTGCTTCTGCAGGCGTGATCGCAGGAAGGAGGCGAGCAGTTGGCACCTTCCGGGGATCAGCAGTAAATATTCCATCGACTTCCTTCCACACCTGTAGCTCTTGGGCATGGATCCCAACTGCTACTAAAGCCGCACAGAGATCTGTATATCCGCGGCCTACCTGGTCGAGAAGGCCACCGGGTACAGTCCCAAAGAACCCGGTGATGACTGGAACTTTACCTTCACAGGATCCAATCTTCCGGCTAAGGGAGGCGGCGAGATTGTCGTAGAAACCTTGGTCGAGGCCTTGACTCGAAATGGGAAAGTCGATGACCTCAGCCAAATCCACGTACTGCGAATTTACTCCTCGGTCCTGCAGTAGGGCGGCCATCAGACGACAGCTGAGCTTCTCTCCGGTACTGATAACCTTGTCGACACATCGAGCACTTATCTCTCCGAGAGTCTGAGCGGCCTCGAGGACCTTGAGAACCTTTTCGCAATCACCATTGATATCCGCAACGAGCTGGGTTTTGAGTTCATCGGAGTGGATTTGATCCTCTGCTTCTTGAGCATGTTCCTGTCTGACCGCCTCTATAAATGCAACGTAGTGTTGTGATTGAGCATTCTCTGCGTCCCGCGCGGCTCGTAACAATCTGAAAGCAGCCCACGAGTCAGAGAGAGGGGGCGGAAAGTGACGAACGAAGGAAACAAAAGAATCGCAAGAACAGATATTCAAGACACCCTTTCATGGAGCGATTGAGACTGGTGTGGGAGACAGAGACTTGGTAGTGACAGGGATGACTCACCGATTGGTGGTACCTTCAGCTTTTGTCGAACTGCTTCTTGCAGAGCATACAACGGCTACATTATGTTCCAAAAGACTCGGCCTGCGGGATTGACCATGAGTATTATCACAGGATGAATTATGGGCTCGGTTCTTACACGACGACTTGATCAATGATATTGAGGGCGAATTTCCCGACACTGGTGCCCCCAAACTTCTGTACAACCCAGTTGCTGTTTGACCTGCCCACTGGCCCACGGTTAGCTGCGGAGGGATGACTGTAATTGAACTGCAACGGGCCTTCCATGCTGGTGGGATTTCAGCGACAGAAGAAGAGCGTGCAGTCGGGGGTGGTGTTATCAATCCAATGCTTCTAATTGACGTGACTGTTCGGCAGCGGGACTCTTTTTTTATGTGCACTTGGCGGGGGAGGGATTGCGAAAGCGGAGCCGATACAATAAGCAAGGGTGGCCAAGGAAATTCTGCCCTTCGAGTTTTTCCTTCCGCCTTCCTCTTTCAATCGCACGATATCGGAGTCTCGCCGGGCGGTGAATTTCGGCCATGTCGGAAATAACTGAACTACTAAGACGGCGCCTGCCAATCGTCGATAAGCTATTATTGGGGGGGCGGTGCCTGGTGCGGGGTCCGGAATTAAGTGTAAACGGGAGTGTACCTACCTTAGGAAGGGGCCTTATGTAAGACACTCTGTACTTGCGGATACACCGTACCTTACCTTACCTTACCAGTATCGATAGAATAGGTACCTTACCTTACCTTACATACTAAGAGGTATTCAACTTAGGTAAGTACCACATATGTAGGTACCTATAGGCCTCCCTTCGGTAGGTATATAGAAAGGTCCACCTACCTATCACCAATTCACTATAGCATTTGATCCCTCCCCTACCTTGGCTCCGGGCTGTCATGCATTCTCCAACAGCCAATGATCCAGCGTGTCCTTTCTGTCCATTTGCAGACCCTGACGCAGACTTTGTCGCGGAGCATGTCCATCTCTGTCACCCCGATGAAGACACGTACCCTTCCCAAGCCAACTACCCTTGCCTGGCAATAGATGCTCGGAAACCAGGTGAACCGTCTCGTAATCCTGGCGAGAAAAGCAGGTCGTCCACCGTGCAAGGGACTACTGAGGAGAGTAATCCAAGGCAGGATGATGGTTCGCAAGAGCTCTCCGGGGACACGCGCCATGGGTTAAATTCAATGGCCTGTCATTCAAAAGAAGCTCGGGCAGAGATGACGAGAAGACTTGGGGTATATTTATGCCTTCCCCCTCCCTCCCCATTCGGCTCAGTAGCAGGCTAAACAAAAAAAAAAATAACCAACACCAACATCTACGTATAGCGCGCGGAATTAGGTCCCCATGTTCATGAGAGGCAGATGCCTTTTTGGCTCCGGAAAATGCTAGAAAGGGGAGCGAAAGTGACACACACAAATCAAATCGCACCCGATGGAACACTACGAAAACTCGGGACGGTTGAAAACGAGGCAACCGATATAATACCGATTCTCGGGCGACTTTGCAGGGCTGACAAGTCAGTCAGCCGGGCTTTTCTATGCAGCCCCAGGATTTGGCAAATTTCTAAGCTGCCGAGGGAAGGCGGGTTTTGTGGCTACCGGAATATTCAAATGCTGATATCATACATACGGCAGTCTGATCTCCCGGGCCATGACTGTTTGTCTGGGTCGCTACCTACCATTTTGCAATTGCAAGACATGATTGAACATGCTTGGGACATGGGATTTAACAGCGTGGGCAGAGAGGAGACCGGAGGGATAAGAGGCACTAGGAAATTCATTGGAACGTCGGAGGTAGGACACGGCTGCCAGACAGTGGATTCGCTAGTTCTAACTCAAGAGGACAGGCCCAGGCTCTTTTTCTAAGTCTGGGAATCCAGTAAGTGATGGCATGGTATGGTGTCACTGGCCAATGTACCTCTGACAGCGAATAGATGTGAGGCCCGTAGTATTGGGGGGACCCAGCAGCTACAAGCTCATGATGCTCTATTGTCAATTATTGCAGATTACTTTCGACAAGGGAGCCCGTGTCATACCAACGAGAAAGTCGTCATGACATGCCTACCGCCCATCTACTTCCAGCATCAAGGTCTGTGGCCCATTCTTTCTCCTTACCTACTGCCGCTCCTTCGCCTCCCTCACGCAGGAGAGCCAGAAAAGACAAACAAAAAGGTCAGCGGCTAATAGGAAGGCAAACCGAAAAGGACATTCCTTGACCATTGTTGGATTCGAAATACGTGACAATGGAAGTGCGAATCTCCTCGTTTTTGATCCAATGCTTAAAGTCCCTTCCGGGATGAAGCGTTCCATGGGCCCGGGGTCAAGATTTCGCGATCCGCTCCATGCCCTGAAGCGATACCGGCGCGGGACAAGTTACCTGCAAAAGTATCAACTATTCGAGATACTCAAGTAAGTAAATTCCCTGCCTCCGGATTAAAAGTACGTCTGACCAGTGAGGCTGCCTCTTCCCGTCAATTCTGGCAAAGGGTGACTGCAGTGATGGAGGTTATTGTATAGATAGATATACATATTCTCTGTGCCCTTCCCCTAACGCAGAGCCCAATCATCTGAAGTTATCATTCCATGCATTTGTATCCTGATAGATAAGATGGAGCATGACATCGCGTGTCGGGAGGATGGGTCTTCAGGCGCCAAGCCGCCGTATGGTGCCTCAGGCATCCACATCCTTCCCCGCAGTTCCCAAAAACAAAAAAAAAAAAAAAAAAAAAAGACCGCCGCCACCTCCCCCGCCCGCTCGCTCTCGATCACGGCCATCCTTCACTGGCAAAAACTTCCAATTTTGGCTTCTCGGCACTGCTGCTGAGGCCAAGATGCGAACAACTCCGAATGTGATCATCACAGGCACCCCCGGCGTAGGGAAAACGGTACATTGTCAGCAATTGGCGCAGGACACGGGCCTCCAGCATCTATCGATCAACCAGGTCGCAAAAGAACGGGATTGCTTCGAAACCTATGATTCAGAGCTGGAAACATGGGTCGTGGATGAGGACAAGGTTGGTTCAATGCGCATTTGACCGTGGCGGTTATATTCTTTCTGCTCTCTCTGTTACTTACTCCTCGTGGTACAGCTGTTGGATGCGATTGAGGAGGAGATACTTGAGGGTGGCTACCTAATCGATTGGCATGCTTGTGATCTATTTCCAAAATCCTGGATAGATCTCGTTGTAGTCCTGCGATGCCCTTCCACATCGGTTCACTACGATCGTCTTTCCACAAGGTACGCACCAAGATGACTTTGATCAGTTTCATGAATATCCAACCTCTCGGCCCGGTTTCTATTTCTGCTTCCTCTCCACCGGTTTTCTCCCCGCTCTCTCGTTTGGCAAGGCTCTAACAAATCTTCGTGTGTAACAGGTCATATAAACAAGAAAAACTGCAGGAGAACCTAGATGCGGAAATATTTGGTGTTCTGCTCGAAGAGGCCCGGGAGGCTTTTGATGAGGAGGTCGTGGTCGAACTCAGTAGCGAAAGGGATGACGATGTAGAGAACAACTGTGCGAGGATTTCAACCTGGATCGAATCATGGAAGAAAGACCATTCTGAAGTCGAATAGAACCCCAACATCTCAGTGCGTCCTGAGTGGTTACTTAGTGATGGAAGCTTTAAGATTGTCCCTCAATCAACCACTGTTGTAGCTTGATTAAAGCTTTATATCTGTGAGAAATTTTGTTCTATTTGTCCGTTAGTGTGAATTCAAGCCATACAACGTGGGCCCTTACCTTTTCCTCCTTTTCCATTTCGGCGTACGTTCTGGTTTGGTATTCAAAGATTGGATCCCAACCTAGCCAGAAAAAAGGAGTCAATATGAGACACAAAGGTCCTATAACCCCAGCTGACTAACCGAAATTCGAGGGCCCTCTAGGCCTAACAATTGTCCCCTTTCAACCCCGAGTTAGCCCAATGATTCTCAATAGATGCGATGTGTAATATTTTACCTCGGTTCTTCCCTGGAACAAAATGGGCTCGGAATCAGGGCCAGAGCAAAATGCAAACGTACACACCGCTTCTGCGGTTCTGTCCTCGAACGAGTCGAGCAACTTATTCAAGCCTTCGTGACCTAGTGCATCAAGGAAATGCTTGCTTTGTTCGACTCAATGAGCATAAGATAGAGAGTAGTTCCCACGGGGAAAGTCTAACATATACGGGCCTGGTAGGCCCTTTAGTGCGCGAAATTCAAGGGCCGTGTCCTCCGTCAGAACAGGACCCCCAACCTGACTCGTCATCGGGTTAGAATGATGTGCTAGCATCATGGTTGACATAAGAGTTTCGAGATGTGAATTGGGGGATTTAGGAGGATTGATCCTTACCACCTCTGCTGCGCGTCTGCATTTTTCCTTGGCAATGTCTTCAATGGTTCCCTGTATCTCGGGCACATCGACGGACTGGTTGTCAACCTCGACGACGCTACCTAGGATCGCCCTCACTTCCGCCAGTTTGTTTTTGTTGCCGGTTATGAAATTCATTTTTCGGGGGGTAGGGGCCATGATGAACGGCGCCGGGGTTCTATCAAATGAGCCGTGCAATGTGGATGGGTGATGAGGGAGGCAAGAAGCAGTTGCGAAAGTGTGGTTGGTTGTTTAAGACGCCCCGCGTTTACCGAGGGGCCCAGTCACTTGATATATATATCTTCACCACCACAATTACATGCACAACCCCCGCCCCCAGCATCTTCTCATGTCAAATAACCACCAGTGTTACCTGTCAGATGTCCACCATCCCCTCAATGCACACACAGACAAACAGCTGTATATATCGGGTATAACTCGCAAGTGGCCGGTGGGCATCCACCGAGCATCTGCCTTACATTGTTCCTGAGTCTGCAAGACGCCTAGAAGCCAATTCACCTATCTTTCGTGTCTATGCATCGACGACATCCAGATTTCAAACGGGAATCTAATCATAATAATAACGACAAAAACGAAAAAACACGGCATATGTCACCAAATGATATATGTGCGTCCAATTGCAAAAATCAAGTCGTTGAAAGAGAAGACCAAGAATCCCCACTCTGACCCATAAGACCTAGGGAACAGAATGATGGCCGGGCCGGTAGTCTACCGCGAGCACTACTCGGCCGCCATGCTCCCGTTCTCCGCCATTTCAAGCCTCTCCTGCTGTGCCATGGCCTGGGCAGACACAATTTCAGCAAGCCGCTTCAGTCGCGGTGTTTGGAGCCCTTAAGGCATGGTTAGCAGAGATTCCGAATTCTTGCTGGAGTCGGTGAGCTTACAAGAAGGAGTATAAGTCTCCAGGGCAGTGATAACCCGCGGATCAGCAATTTCATAAGGCCCGCTGTCTTCCATGTCGACGGGCGTCAACAAGAGGACATCGCTCTTTTCAGTGACACGCGAGGCCACTGCCTTCATGATCTCGCCATTGATCGGTTGCTCATAATCTGCGACAAGGTACTGATTGAGAAGTTTTTGGATCTGATTGGGCGAAAGCCTATGGGTCCGTTAGCCGGGTCGAGCCCGGGATGCGCGGAGAAGATGGGTTGAGCTTACATCCAGCATATATCCTGTATAATCTCGATGTCGTTCAGCGTTGCCTTCTTCAACTGAAGAAGTTTGGTGGCTTGCTATCCAAGGGTCAGTATACATAGCCTGAGTTCAACTGTGTTTGCGGCTGGGACCATACCATCAAGTGCTCTAATTGCAGTGTCCCCTCAGGCATATCGTGACTCTTGCACCACTCCTCAATGCGCGTTATGTTGTAATTGATCTGAAGGCCGCGCTTCCAAGACAGGAAATTTCTCCGCATGAGAAGATCATTGAACGCGGTGACCCCAACAAGACGAAGAAGCTCGGTGACGGTTTGGATTATGATGGAATCTTCAAGATAGAATGCTTTCATTGCCTTGTAAACGTTATTCAGGAGGCTGAGAAGATTGTCCATGCTGTAGGCGGGGTTATTGTTAGAGGGAAGAAGTTTCCCTAAGAACCGATTGGTTTCACTGGTGACGAATCCCGGCAGGGATTGGGATTCGATGATGGCTGGGACAATCATCTTGAAGAGTTTCTTCTTCAGGACTTTCATCCAAGTATGATAGATGTTGAACTCCAGGCTTTCCAGGTCGTGCTTCACGATTTCCAAAAGGCGATCATACTCGTAGTTGTCGGTCTTCTGGGCCTCATACCAATCCTCGGCCAAGAACACAAACGAGAGCATTTCGTGCACATTAGAGAGCCAGAACGCCCCTGGATTGACAGCATCGTCACCGTCGTGCTGCATGACTTCCTGCTGAATTGACTGCATGACATTGGCCAGGAAGCGTTCGGACTCTTTCACAAAACCGTTGTTCCACATCTCGGAGGTAACGAGATTGATAAGGTAAGCTGGAAACAAGACCTCCTTCTCGGTTGGTGGTGGTGTCGAACTGGGGAGTGGGATCTTAAGGTTGCGGATCAGACCCATTGTAACCTCCTCGTTAAGTTCATCTTCCTCGGATAACAAATTCTCCAGTTCAACTTCAACCGAATCAAGTCCTGGGGAGAAAGTCGTGTTCGAGAAGTTTTGACGAGCGAGAGTGCTTGGAATGGCCATAGACACAGGCCTTGGGTTGTAAGCACCGCTAAAGCGATCCGTTTCGATCTTTTCTGCACCCGCACTGCGTCGCTTCGGTTTCGGTTTTTTGGAGGAAACCAGGTTGATCAAGCCACTGGCGGGAGGCTGAACAGACCCGCCGTTCTGCTGTTCCCCGTTCAACCCATTCACTGGCATGGTCCTCTTGGCAAGTTCCAATTGTTCTTCCAGGTCGGCAACTTGCTGGCGAAGGGACACCTTTTCACTCTCAGCCTCGTTGTTCAGATGCCTGAGTCCCTCCAGTTCCTGGTTTGCAGCAAGGATCGACTCGCGTGACACCTTCTCTTCTTCCTGGAGACGCTTGATGGTCGCTTGTGCCTCATGATGGTTCTGTCGTAATAGGCTCATTTCTTCTTCCATGGCGGTCAGCCGGGCTGCGGTAATGCCGGCCTGGTTGGCCTCGGCCTGGAGTTCTCGCGTGCGATTCTCCAAAGCATTGTGACGACTCCTCCAGGACTTGACCTGGGTCTCGTAATTCTCCAACTGCGAGTTCAACGACCTGTTCTCACGCTTCAAGGACTCAAGATACTGTGTCAGCTCCACTACCTTGTTTTCCAATTTGTAGGAAATCTGCTTCAAGTCTCGGGCATCCTCGCGTAGCCTTTTGTATTCCGTTCTTGCTTCTCTGCCTCTCCAGAGGCTCTGGATAATGACCACATTTCGGCGATACTGCCGCCACGCACGCAGTTGCCGCCAAGAACGGAAAGAACGCTGAATGACCTTTGCTGCATTGCCATGGATCGTGTCCATGATGTTCCGGCGACAGAGGAAACCTTTAGCAACAGACTGGAATAGGACGAAGTTTTCACGGATACGGTTGTATCTCTTCCTTTCTTTCTGTCCCCGCCACACTCTTTGAATTGTCGTGGCAGCCTTGACTTGGCGCACTTCAGCTGCGTGTTGTCTTGCCAGAAAGCCCCTGATGAGTGCCTGAGTGGTAAGGATGGAAGCGCGAGCCTCGAGGTAACGACGTCGGTAATATTTGCACCGCAGGTTCTTCTGTATCATGATCGCGCATTCATTCAACCGCGACGTGCGCAGGTTCTCAAGAAATGCAAGCATGCCAGCCCGGAAAAATATTTTGGTCAAACCAAGTTGATATTTATCCTGTTTCTTGTGGCTTCCATCTCCAAGGGCTTTCTGAAGAATGGCGTGGCACATTTCCCGTATTTCTGATGTCCATTGTGAAGAATGGCAAAGCATGTAGTAACGGATAGCAAATTCCTCGTAAGTCCAGCGAGTTGGATAGCCAGCGGTGCTAATCCGAACCGTCTCAAGAACACCACAGGCCCTCAATTGACTTAGAACCATGGGCCCCTCGAACTTCCAAGCTTCCTTTGCCTCGTTCGGCTTGATGCAGCGGATATAATGCACGTCGGTGGAATTGATCGTGTTCATGAGCTCGATCAATGACGATTTGAAAATCCCACCAAGGGTGGGTTTGCGGTTCACAGCAACGCCGATTTTGCGGCCCGGGGCAGCCACGGGTTTGGACGAGATAGAAGCCGAATCCTTCTCGCGGACTGCGGCTGCCGTATCTAAAATCTCCTTCACGAACTCATTCGAGGAGTTGCGCAAGATTTCCATGTGCTCGTCTGGGACTGTATCCCTGTTTTTCTCTATGAAGCCGTCGGACTCGTAAGTTACATCAACCGCATAGTGACAGATGGTGAAGGCGGATTTCCCGAATCGAGGCTTCTTATAAAACTTTTGCTTATCGGCGGCGAAATTGTGGTGCAGCTTGGTCACGAATTGTTCATCGGAGCCCATTGGAAGCCGAGACTCCTCGTCCAACAGAGACAAGATACCCAGCTTCGCTTCAATCAGATCAATGCACGGCTGGTTGTCGGAGAAATCAATGAAGGTCCAGTCTATTTGCTCTCGCACATATTCTTCTTGCTCAAGCTTGAAGACGTGCTGATTGAACTCCTGCTGGAGTTTTTCATTGGCGTAGTTGATGCAAAATTGTTCGAAGGAATTTTTGGCAAAATGCTCGAAGCCGTATATGTCCAGAACCCCAATGAAGGCCTTGAATTGGCTCATAACCTGGTCAGTTGCCAGGCCACGGTTGATTTTGTCGACAAGCCAGTCAAAAAGACTCGAGTATATGAATTTGGCGACTGAATCTCTGACAACGGTAGCCTGCTGTTGAGTCAAATTCGAAGTGATTTTTTCGCCCCTTGTGATGAGCTGTTTTTTAACAATCCACTTGGCAAATTCGTTGGCATCGATCCCAAACAGATCACAGGCTTTGACAAGACCAGGCTCCGAGGGCGAGAGGGTGGAATCAGTCCTAGTGGCGGTTATCTTAACATTGCCAAGGTGCAAAAGAGCTGCCAAGATGCGGAAGATTTCAGATTGTGTTTTGTCCGATACACCGATGGTGCTAAGGGATTTTCTGGTTGCATTGAATTCCGTCTTATCATCTACACCGTCAATAGTGGGTGTTCCGCCCTGATTTAGATAGTCAAAGTCCTCAACCGAGCCTAGACCAAGCTCTTGCTTTTCATCATCGGTTGCACCCGCGACGAGCTGGTAGAAGACGTGGTAGTTTCGTTCTTTGAGCGGCTGGAATACTAGTCGTGACCGCTCCAAGAGATATGTTCTTATTTTCGCACCAATGATGTTGGTTCGGTCGTCGAACATGATCTCGATATATTTCCCAAATCGTGACGAGTTGTCGTTGCGCGTGGTTTTGGCGTTCCCAAAAGCCTCCATTACCGGGTTGGTGGCCAATATTTGCTCTTCTGTCTCGCTGATTGCTTCCGCCCTGCTCGTGGTGTACTTGCCCGGTTGATCCGAGGACTCGCGAGTTGCGAAATACCGCATGATGTATTTGGCGCTGACCGTCTTCCCCGCACCCGATTCCCCGGAGACAACGATCGTTTGGTTTTTTCCATCTCGTAACATGTCACTGCATTGGTTCCCCGTAAGCGTTACTGCATGGCGGGGAGGAGCTGTCGATTCTTACGCAAATGCTTCTTCGGCGATGGCGAACAAATGAGGCGCCTGTGATGCGCGATGCTTCCCGGCATATACTTGCACCATCTGGGGTACATAAAGCGAGTCAACTCGGGCAAAAGGGTTTGTCGCGATGAGGACGATTCCACTGTATGTATATATTTCCTTCTGCGCATAACGAAGTTTGATCGCCTGCAAAACTTGGGGGCTGTTAGTCTATGCGCAGATGCAAGTGTCCGAAACTCAACAAACCAGCTGGCTCATTCAAGTGAGAAAGATTCGTAAGATCTTCGCTAGCTTCTAGCATGGCGGGATTCATTAAGGGAGGCAAGCGGGAGTTGTTATCCAACTGCAACTCTGCCTGCGTGGTTTCCACCGTTTTTGACTGTATCCCGCAGAACTTGTAGGTTAACCACCATGGTCAAAAAAAAAAAAAGATCTGGATAAGAGTGTCTTGGAAGGACGGCTCAACTGACCTCCCCATTTTCCATCAAGAACACAAGTTGAACCTTGTCCCCGTCAACCGACTTCTCTTTAACTTCGGAAGCAATCCATCCCTCCGTCGGGTCGGGCTGCCAGGCCCTCGTGCCGACTTCGTAATTGTGTGCCATCAAGACGACGCCTCTTGACAAAAGGCTCAGCACTCCGGGTTCAAATGAGAGTGGAGCAAGAACTCAATGCGGGCTGGACAAGCTGGACAAAGATCGGGATGGAGCATCTAGTAGAAGGAAGAACAAGGACAGCCAGCTGATGTAAAAGGCCGGAAAGACACAAGCCACGTTTGTGACAGCCCAGACCGAGTGGAAGGCTGAAAGATGGGAAGAGAAAGGTTTCCGCTATGCTCACTATTGAAGAAGTTATTGAACTAAATGGCTGCTAACAGCTGGCCGTTAGCGAGCCACAACCCCTGAGGATTGGGGAGCCGCGCCACTTGTCGGAACAATCTCCACAGCTGCCACCGCCAAGCATCAAGACATGCTGTGGCCTCGGTCACTGGGTCATGTTGGCGAGTTACCCAGACGTTGGTTGCGTGTTTACCAGTCCATCGCCCTTCTTACAGCCATCACTTGGCCCATCATCGGTCGAAACACATCGGATGAGTGGCACAATAACTATATTCTACATTTTAAACTAGTTAAGTATGACTATTTGCAGGCTGGCCGGAATAAGCGGTGAGATGAATTTCTCCACAAGCAGCCCCTCCAGGCAGTTGCCAGAGTCGCATACAGCAAATTATCCATGAATTTTTTTTTCTTTTTTTCTTCTTCTTCTTTTCCGATCAGGTACTGCCTCTCCTCAGATCCTCGAAACCAAAGCGACAGTTAACATTGTCCGACGAAAATTCAATCATTAAAAAAGAAAGCGTACTCCTCACGCCGCCAGCATTTTAAATAGTTCAATGAACAAACAGAGACGGAGACAAGCAGAATATGGAATCTCATAATGGGAAAAAAGAGAGGGAAGGGGGGGGGGGGGGGAAAGAGAAAAAGAAAGAAAATGGAGTCTCGAAAGCGCCAAGCGGTTTACTCTGGGACGCCCAACGTGTGCCGAAATATCCCCATTACATATCCCCCAAAGTGAAAGGCGCGACAGCGTGCACGGGTTTTACACTCGGGAATACGGATATGGATGAGCTTGAATTAGTGATGAGTAAAAGTTTGCACGGCACTGTGGTAGGTTGAAGCATTCTGATAGGGCAAATTTTCATGAAGGCGAACGGGCGTGAAATGGGAACCAAATAGAAGTGCGTGGGAAAAGAAAGAGGAAATAAAGAAGAAGGAACCGGGGCAAGGCCTAATTCTGTTCCATTTGCCTGTATGATGAAGCCGCGAGACTTTCAGCTTTGTTTGCATTCGGCCGCCTCCTTCTTGGGCTTGGAAGAACCGTCCTGGTCCCGGTTAGCACAACGGATAGATGGAAGTCGAAGGGACAGCCGTGGAGCGCATACCTCTTCGTCGGAGTCATCATCCACGTCCCGATCCGATTTTCTGTCATCTTCATCTTCGTCTTCCTCGTCCTCTTCCTCGTCATCGTCGTCGTCTTCAAACTCATCCGGGTCCATGTCGTCACCCAGTTCTTCGAACTGGAGTGCTTCGCCCGTAAACCAATCAATGGCACGAGGGATGAGCTTTTCTTTGATATCTTCGCCAAGCTGGTAGTCAAGTTCAAGGCGCTCCTCGATGTCGGTGGTGACAGTATCGTCGTCGTCTGCGGGGGGCTGTGGAGGAGAAAAGAAATTGAAGAAGGACTCCGTGGGAACGGTGATCTTGACAACACGAGTCTGCTTGGTGTCTAGGAGCGAGGGAGAAAGGGCAAATTAACCTATATGCCGCGGGAGGAGAGATGGGTTTGGACTCACTCTTATTTCTCTGTTTTTTGCTTTCGACACGGACAGTGAGATCTTTCTCGGATTTCCAATCAATCTTAGTGCCCTCGGCATGATCGTAAATAAAATCACCACCGTATCCATTCTCTTCTTTGTAATAGTAGGTCTTGGAGATCGTCTTGTTGCTGAAGAAATCGTTCTCCGAAAATTCAAAGATCAGACGGAAGCCTGGACGATCAAGGTACTCCATTCGGATGTCGGTGAGATGCTTAAGAGCTTCTTCATCCCGGTCGGTGATCATTTCCGCGAGAGAAATTTGGTTTTTCATGGCGGAGAGCCAGAATTCTGGGATTCCAGACCTTGGGGACTCATTGTCATCCTCCTTTTTCGAAACCTCCTCACTCTTGACTTCGGCATCCTCCTCCTCTTCATCCCCTTTACCCGCATCAACTTCGGTGTCGGTTGGCTCCGCAGCACCATTGATTATTGTGGCACGTCTCTCATAAAGAGGAGTGAACTTCGCGAAGTACTTCTTTTCGAGCTCTAATACTTCCTCCTGGAACTGGGCTTCAAGTTTGGCGTGGTCTTTCTGAATGCCCTTCAGACCAGCCACGCGTCGCCGCACGGGTGCCGGTAAGGATTCAATGTAGCCTGATGAGCGGCCAACAAGCGAGCCCAGCTTCCCTTGGATCATAGAAACAAGCCCAGGGTTCCTGGCAAACAAAGAAGCGGCGGCAGCGTGATCAAGGGATTCTGGTAGTGGAGTTAGACATGAGCAACGCGATCGAGATCAGGAAGAAAGGTTGCTGATATACCTTCTTTTATGCTGGCGACACCAGGTTGTTGAGCGTGAGACGAGATAGGGGCATTGTTAGCCGGGGTGTTTTGCGGCGTCCTGGCATCCAGACACGGGCGTCAGCGACATGATGCTATGCGGCAACGATACCATCAGAGTAGACAATGATGAAATGCAATTCAAACGTGGAATAGGAACTTACGGAGCAACCGGGAAATCTGCTTTTTTATTTCTAATGGGTTCAGACATTTTTGGGGTTCTTGTTTTGACAAGAGAGGGGTTAGAGATAGAGGAAAAAGGAGTTGGCTGAGGGGTTGTCGCGGAGGAGAAAGATCAAGGGTTGAGGAAGAATTTGATACGCTTAGGTAGTTTTGGGAGGTCTGGAATACTGGCTTGGTGGGATCCTTAGCGCCCTTGGGCCGAGGGGCTTGGCGGGACGAGGACGCTGGCTGTTGAGAACGGTTCACCCAACAATACTGTTCTCTCTTCACACACTCACATACACATTAACCACTTTCCAAGGCATGATGCTGCGGGAAAAGGGACATGTCGTGAATTGAAGGTTTCTTTCTGGAAAGACTTGAACGCGCTTGAATTATAGTCCTTACTTACTACAGACTGGTCAGTAGTTACCTATTCTTACCTCGCATACCTTCTAGGTACCCTGTCAAGGGCTGCACGTAGTATGAAGAAAACCAGAAAATGTTCCAAGTTTAACTATCAGCTATGCTCCAGTCCGTAAAACAGGCGAATTCTATATCTAGACACTGATGGTACTAGTTACCACTTTTTTTTTTTTTTTTTCTCTCTCACGGCTTGGAAATTATTTACCTTTACTCATGTTACTCAGGAGTCCCAGGTAGGCACCAGTACCGTTTGGATAGGAGGTACTGCCAGGTATTTGGAAATAAATGTAATGTATGTACATACATACTGTACATTGCACAATATATGTGTACTGTACCTTACCACCTAAGGTACCTAGGTACCTTACTGTATTTACTAAGTCCATTGGTACGGTATTCCTCTCGTATTGTGAGTCCAAAGTCCCGCCACAATGGATCTATAAATAATTCACTAACTAACCTCAATTCGCTGGTAGATACCCAGTTCGAAGTAAGGTGGCAGTACTCCAGATTCAGGTTGATACTATATACCACCATAAACCATTCAACCATTTTGAAGTACCCAGGCCAGATTTCGCTGCAGACGTTTACCCAATTTGCCACTGCAGTCTTGCCATGTACGGGATAGAAGGACTCTGTGAGTTGCAGTCGACTCACGTACTCTGCATACATGTAACTACCTCTAATCTCATGCTTCACGAGAAGCCTATCGAGCCCGTATGTCTAGATTTGTCGACCTACAAGTAAATAATTCCCCGTCCTGCGCAGTAAAACTAAACACTTCGACTACCTAATACCAGGTAAGGTACCTACTCCGTGGTCCTGGAGATAAACGGCAGTTTACCGGTCACGTGTAGATAACCATGGAACAGCAACCGGGGCAGCTTCGCTACCCGCATCATTCGAGCACCGTTCTCGGATATCTGGCTATGAATGATACTCCTGGGGGCAAGCCCAAGCCGATGTTCATATTATACGGGATATATCCCTGAGTTGCTTCCCATATCTACTGCCTAAACCTTAGCCACTATGTTTCTGGTCGGGTGATTTTCTATCTCATATAAATTGTCACTGGTGAGCATCTACGGGAGAGTGTTCAGTATTGGGACACTGTCGGTCGTGAGCCGGCAGGCAAGATTCGCAATGGATCGTTCTACACACCCGCAAGGGTCGGGTCGCCCTTTACAATCGTCCGTTCCCGGACCTGGCTGTCGACGCGACTCTATGAGAAGCAGGTAATTCCAACCCAACCAATGGATGCTCGAAGTTGTCGTCTGACAAGTCTCCAGCTACAGCATTGTGTCAGATGTAGAGATGGCTCGTAACGAGGTGCGTTTCTTCGTGATAGTTTGGCGTCCCATGCGTCTATGATCAAGACATGACTGGATTAAATAGGTATTCGACGGTCCTATTTCTGAGAGCATTCCGTCCAGCATCGCGTCCTTCTCTTACCGCCGGAACCATAACAACTCCACTGCTAGCTTCACCTATTTCCAAGAAGATGCTTCTTTTGCCGAATGGCCAAATGAAGATGCGCTAGATATCGGAAGTGATAATGATGAAGATTTTCGAAATGGCACTCACCCAGGAAGTATGTCTGTTCGATCATCATTTGCTTCGAAAAGAACATCTACTTCAAGGCCATCCATCGAAGACCCTCTTCTGCCGCAGCGGCCCTCATCGGTCAACTCCTATAGTAGTGGTCGAAAAGCAGAGAACAGGCTTAATCAGAAAGTCTACATCGAGTCAGAGGACCTTACAGTTGTTATTGCTGGGTTTTCAACAGCGATGACTGGCCTAGTATTATACTATGCACTGTGTGTGTTGACAGTTGGATTGGCCTACTTATTGTTTAGGTGGTTCCCTAGATGGCGCGTTCGGGTTGTAGGAAGACCCGTGCCGCTCCAATCCTGCCAATGGGTGGCAGTAGAAGTATGTGAATAATCGATTTCTCCCTTCCTTTTTTTCGGTGTCACTGCTCACATACTTGTGTTTTTCCTCCTTTCGGCTAATATCTGCAAAGGACCAATGGAATCAATTCAATGTGTACAAGGTTAACTGTCAAGCGTACGGACGCCCGCTTTCTACTATTTTCGCAGATTCTGGTTGTCAATTATACGATGAAGAGAACGACCCTACGGTTTCATTTTTGCGTTCCATTGATTATAAGTATTTGCGTTTCTTTTACCATCAAATTGAGGACAGGTTTTGCTTAATCAGTGGCTGGAAAGACCCTCTATGGACGAACGCGAAAATGATGCGAATGGGACTAGACGCCGATGACCGTGATAGCCGAGAGCAGGTCTTTGGCAAAAACCTCATTGATATCCACCAGAAGTCAGCATTTGAACTCCTTTTAGATGAGGTCGGTGTTCCCTCCCCCTCTCACCGAATGAAAATCTCAACTCTCATCTCTTTAGGCCTTTCATCCGTTTTATATCTTCCAAGTCGCAAGTCTTGTGCTATGGTCACTAGACCAATACTACTATTATGCTGTCTGCATATTTACAATATCATTTTTCAGCATAGGGGCCACTGTTTTTGAAACGAAAACGGTAACTTACCCGTCTCTAGCGCAGGTACAAATTTGTTAACTTTCCCAGACCATGAGTCGCCTAAGGAACATCTCCCTCTTTGAATGTGACATACGGGTGCTTAGAAACGGTTTTTGTATGTAATACACCCCCCTTAGGTTGCTGTAAAGAGCCTGATCTACTGACACACTGCGTCACTAGGGAGATCTGTGCCCTCTCGTGAACTTGTGCCCGGAGACGTCTTTGAGTTTTCTGACCCATCTCTAAACCAGGTTCCCTGCGATTGCATCTTACTATCGGGGGACTGTATTGTAAATGAGAGCATGCTTACAGGTGAGTAAACCAAATATCGCGTGCATAATAATGAAGGCTCTAAACGAAGCGCAACTAGGGGAATCTGTTCCTATATCCAAAACTCCATTGACTGACGATGCACTCAAATATCTTGATTTGAATGCGTCATCCGTCCACCCTAATGTTGCAAAACACTTCCTTTTCAGCGGGACGCGGGTGATACGAGCAAGGCGCCCTCAGAATGTCGATGATGACGAAGCGATTGCTCTCGCGATTGTTGTGAGAACAGGGTTCCTTACTACAAAAGGTGCCCTGGTTCGCTCGATGCTCTTTCCCAAACCCTCTGGGTTTAAGTTCTACCGCGACTCCTTCCGCTATATCTCTGTAATGGGTGTGGTTGCTCTCCTGGGTTTCGTGGCCTCGTTTGTCAACTTCGTTCGACTAGGTGTAAGTTCAATGCATGGTTGGCTGAAATGAACATGCTAACGCCAAAACATAGCTTTCCTGGCATTTGATCATTGTCAGGGCGCTTGATTTGATTACGATTGTTGTCCCCCCTGCTTTACCGGCTACATTAACAATCGGCATTAATTTTGCCCTATCGCGGTTAAAGAACCACAAGATTTTCTGCATCAGCCCTCAAAGGTTGGAGATAGATAACCATTCTATGAGATGGAACTAATGCTGATTTCAATTGCAGAGTCAATGTAGGGGGCAAGTTGGATGTTATATGTTTTGATAAAACTGGGACCCTGACAGAAGATGGCCTGGACGTTCTTGGAGTGCGAACAGTTAATCACGAAATGAGGTTGGTAGGCTTGTATACCACACACTACGTGGATGCTAACAGGACATAGATTAACCGATCTTCTGTCTGATTTGCCTTCCTTACCATCGAGTGTCGAAGTGGAAAATCTCGACAAACGCACTAAAATTGCTTACATCATGGCAACATGTCACTCCTTAAGAACCATTGATGACGAGCTTCTGGGGGACCCTTTGGACGTAAAAATGTTTCAGTTTACGGGATGGTCCTACCAGGAAGGCGGTGGTCATGTTTCCGAGCAGCCAGGCTCTAATGTTGAGCCTGTGATTCAGTCTATCGCGAAGCCACCGATCTCTGCGACCCAGTCCCGGGATGTTCGAGGGACTCATGCAAGCGTGAGTATTTCCTATCATCTAGCCACTACGGATCATTCGAGGCTTCACACGTTGGTGCTCACATCTTTTGCAGACACCAATAGAACTCGGCGTTCTGCGTAACTTTGAGTTCGTCTCGGAGCTTCGTCGTTCGAGTGTGGTTGTAAGGCAGTTTGGAGACAGCGGTGCCAGCGTTTTCGTCAAGGGTGCGCCAGAGAGTGTGAAGGCTATATGCCGCCCGGAAACATGTTGGTATACCGCCATCTCCATATGAAACCTGGCTGACTCAATTGGCTCTAGTGCCCCATGACTTCGAAGATTTGCTAAATCAATACACTCACCAGGGCTACCGGGTCATAGCCTGCGCAGCTAAATATGAACCAAGGCTTAGGTGGATGAAAGTCCAGAAAATGACCCGTACGGAGGCAGAAAGCAATTTGGAGTTCATTGGACTAATCATATTTGAAAACAAATTGAAGCCGAGGACTTTTGAAACAATCAAGGAACTGAGCCAAGCTGGAATACGGAACATTATGTGTACGGGTGATAACATCCTTACAGCGGTCAGCGTTGCTCGTGAATGTGGTTTAATAAGCACGAACAAGCCATGTTTTGTCCCACATTTCGTGGAAGGTTTGTATCTTGACATTTGCTTCACGAAGGCCCCTAGCCAACTCCACAGCAGGCTACCCGCATGATTCTAAAACCTCTCTACACTGGGAGAGTGTCGATAACCCTTGCTTGAAACTTGATTCAGACACGCTATTGGTATGTCTTTTGCCAGCACTGCCTTCTCGACTAATGGACGGTTTGTCAAAGTCTCGGCTGACTGACTCTTCACAGCCCGCTTTAAACTCTACAGAGATCGACTTATCCGTACCCAGCAACGCCTGCAACCTTCATGACTACTCACTTGCGGTTAGTGGAGATGTCTTCCGCTGGATTGTAGATTATGGTGACGAGATCGTCCTCAAGCGGGTGAGTGCCACAGTCCTCAAATGAGACCGAGTCAATACTTCAATGGTTTCCTTCCGCCCCGCTCCGCGCGTCAGCAGCGCCTAAGTAACGTTTGTGTGCCTAGATGCTTGTACTTGGTGGTGTTTTCGCCAGAATGTCTCCGGATGAGAAACATGAGCTTGTTGAAAAGCTTCAGTCTCTTGACTATTGTTGCGGGTTCTGTGGCGACGGAGCCAATGACTGTGGTGCATTGAAGGCCGCTGATGTTGGAATCTCCTTATCCGATGCAGAAGCTTCTGTTGCTGCTCCATTCACAAGCCGGCAGTTCGATGTTTCGTGTGTTCCAACAGTCATCAGGTACACCCCTTTCTACTCATATAAAGTCTCGAGCTCTCGTGCTGAAACAGAAGCTTAGGGAGGGGCGAGCGGCATTGGTCACCAGCTTTTGTTGTTTTAAATACATGAGTCTATACTCGGCGATTCAATTTTCGTCTGTCAGTTTTCTATACACCTCAGGATCAAACCTCGGTGATTTCCAAGTACTTGGCCCCACCCACTCCCGATAATCGTGATCTTCACTCTTACTGACCCTTCAGTTCTTGTTCATCGATTTGGCCCTCATCCTTCCGATAGCAATATTCAGTAAGCAAAGCGATGCGGCCTTCTGGGCCTCCCAAGTTTTGGTAATAACATCTTGACTGACTGCTCTCGACAGTGGGCTGGACCGGCCCTTATCCTGTGCTTTCTCGGAAAAGGCCAACCGCTGATCTAGTGTCGCGGAAGGTTTTAACACCTCTGCTGGGGCAAATCGTGATTTGCGTCCTAACACAGCTTATAGCCTACAAGACTGTCCAGTCGCAGCCATGGTACGTAGAGCCGCGATAACTAGGGCTACGACATTGGGTTGCTAAGAATGACATCAGGTTCAAACCACCCCTAATAGATCTGGAAAACAGTAACATCGAGAATTCAGAGAACACCGCGCTGTTCCTGGTTTCCACGTTTCAATACACGCTGACAAGTGTTGTGCTCAGCGTCGGGCCGCCGTTTCGAATGCCAATGAAATCCAATAGTGAGTCAATCTACCATTTCACTTCGTGTCCAGCGCCTAACGAACTATAGTGCCCTTTGTGTCTGTGATAGCTATCGACTTGCTTGTGTCATGCTATATGCTGTTCAAGCCATCTGAGTGGGTAACAAAAATAATGCAGCTGACCTTTGTGTCCAAAGAATTTGCACTCTGGCTGTTTGCGCTTGCTGTTGGTACATTTTTCGTCTCCTGGTTAGCGGAATGCATGCTCTTCCCCAGACTTGCCCGAGCTCTCAAGCGCATGTACGCATCTTTGCGACCGCACCACCAAAAGCAACGCCGCGAGTATAAAGTACTGCTGGAAGAAATGCGAGGATGAAAAATAGGGGGCCGGGGGTGCTAAAGCAATCGGTTTCCAGCTATGGATAAAGACAGACCTCTGGGAACTCGACCTTTGCAGGGGAGAGGAAAATAGAAATGAAAAATGAAATGAAATAAAACGAAACATAGAATGGTAAATTGGAAGGTTCAGAAACCCGTGCAGCGGATTATACTCTCCAGAGCAGCCCAATCGAACCGTGATCAGATGAGTAGCTCTGGACGGTAGCATTCGGGAAAGCGAACGGATAAGAAGTAATAGTAGCGTGACTGAGAGTCGACATTGCCGCAACCCGAGAGCAGGTTAAAAAAAGAAAAAAAGAAAAAAAGAAAAAGCACAATTCTCATTCGATCCTAGTAGAAGCCGAATAGTCTAGTTGGGATGAGTACACGAAGCTCCGACAGATCCGTTGTATGTTGATTGCCAACAATGCTTTGGCATGTTCAATGATCCCAAGGATGCTTCCAACCCAACAAAGCAGGCCCATCCTTCTTGGCTCGGTACATCAACTATAGCGCAGGGAAGAAGCCGCGGTCAGTAGGGCCTGGAAAGGGTGGGAAATGAACGGAGCTCATACGAAAAACCACATGCTGGCACCCAGGGCCGTTGCGGTGAACCTGTAGAGGGGCCGCGCGGGGTGGATATGGATTGGGTGGTTCGAGGCCATATCTATTCGGTATCATGTCAGAATCGCACCCGCCGCAGAGGAAAGGACAAGGGTAGTACTTCTCTTGGTTTTCGGGGATGGAGGATGAATAGCAGGGCTTCTCGAGGGAACATCGACGGGAGCGCCGCCCGGCCATAAAGCATGGCGGTCATGTGATCCCATCCGCCGAACTCATTCAACTGCCAAATCCGAATCCGACGCTGGAACTCGCAACAATGGGCTGAATGGGGCCGACACGCGGACCATCGCAAATCATTATGACTATTACGCATCTTCATCTTTGCAGCCTGACCGACCGAGCAACCGTTACCGTCTAGGACGAGACGTCCTCTGTGACCTCATTAAGCTACATCGCAAATCCGGTAGCCCGTTTCTCCCCCTACCTATCTTTCCATGGAGTGTAGACAGCTAATCCGATGATTTGCTCAGGCACCTAGTATTAGATGCAGCCAGCTACGGCTACCTGACCTCATTACCAACTCGAGTGCACATCCAATTAGCGAGTGAGCTGCCAATTATTGGCTGGTCCCAAAGCACCATCCTCGAACATCTCCTTTTCAAACGGTCCCACCGGCTGGCATTCGGTAAGCATCTGGCTTACCAAGGAACATGGTGGCACCATCGCTAGAAAGAGGAGGCAACGGGAGCACCCGATTCCGAGGATGCACCAGTATTCGTGAGTTCGAGTTCCTGGGGAAACTCGGCGAGGGTACTTTTGGGTATGCATCGGCCCTTATTTCAAAGATTGCGCTTACTGACTTGCCGCAGGGAGGTGTACAAAGCTAGGTCAAAAAAAGAGGGCTCAATTGTTGCCCTCAAGAAAATTCTCATGCACAATGAAAAGGACGGAGTAGGTACCGGTCATACTCATATATCTCACCGCTAATGTGGATTCAAAAGTTCCCAATCACTGCTCTTCGTGAAATCAAGCTTCTTAAAATGCTGTCGCATAATAATATTCTTCAGTTGATGGAGATGGCTGTGGAGCGAAGCAAAGGTAAAGATTTCTCGCCTGCCTCTCTGCATTCGTTGGAATCTTACATCTGCGCAGGGGAAGGGCGGAAGAAGCCCAGCATGTACATGGTAACGCCTTACATGGAACATGATCTTTCCGGGCTGCTAGAGAACCCAGCCGTTAGTTTTACTCAACCGCAAATCAAGTGCTACATGCTTCAGTTGCTTGAAGGCCTTAAATACTTGCATGGGGTAATAGCTTTGTTTGTATTCACAATCCCGGGGGCGTTCCTTCTAACCTTGACATAGAATCGCATTTTGCATCGTGACATGAAAGGTAAAGTCTGCTTTGGCGTGTATGAGATGACGTGAACTAACGCCTCCGCAGCTGCCAATCTGCTCATCAACAACAAAGGTGTCCTTCAGATTGCGGATTTTGGACTAGCCCGGCCGTATGATGAGGAGCCGCCTCAGCCTGGCAAAGGAGGGGGAGAGGCCAAGAGGGATTACACCTCTTTAGTTGTGACCCGGTGGTATCGCCCACCAGAACTGCTTCTACAGCTGAGACGGTATACAACGGCCATAGATATGTGGGGTGTTGGGTGAGATTTCCGGCAAGCCCGTTGTGCACTCTGTTATTAACAGTGATAGGTGTGTTTTTGGAGAAATGTTCAAGGGCAAACCGATACTTGCCGGTAGCAGCGACCTGAATCAAGCGCAGCTTATATTCAATCTCGTGGGAGCGCCAACGGAGGAGAACATGCCTGGCTGGAGTTCTTTACCCGGCTGCGAGGGTGTCAGAACCTTCGGGCACAAACCTGGGAATTTGCACGAGATTTTCAAAGAGTACGGTCATATCCCCACCCTCACCTGAGAGCTGAATGAAGAATGGCGTTACAAGATTATTGATAGAAGAACATCTGACAACGTTACAGCCAAAGCCCTGCAGCTATTTCGCTGCTTGGCGAGCTTCTCAAGTTGGATTGGCGGAAGAGGATCACCGCTATCGATGCACTGGAACATCCATACTTTTTCACTCCGCCGCTTCCAGCTCGCCCCGGTGAAATACCACATTTCGAGGACTCACATGAATTAGATAGGAGAAGGTTTCGTGGGCAACGAGCAGCTATGCCACCAGCGCCTGCGGGCGGATCAGTGGGTATGGGGCCAACTGGGGGCTGGGCAACCAACTCAGGAACCAGAAGTACAATGGAAAGCAAAAACAGCCGCATTCCTGGTGCTGCGCGCATAGGCAAATCAAATCAGGGAAATCAGGGAAATCATTCAAGGCGATCTGTCGACCATCGAACCGCTGAAACGCATACAGCACGAGTCAGGCAAGGCACTGAGGACCCAGGTCGGGTGATACCGCCCTGGCAAAAGGACAGCGGTCTGCCGCCTAAGCCCCCTACGTCTGCTCACCAAGCATGGGCTACAGTTCATCCAAGCAGAGCAGGACGTGATAGCGCTATCCATCAGGGGCGATTCGGGGGCCGACCAGATGGGAATTTAGACTCCTATGTCCCAAATTATTTGGGTGGCTTCGACAGCCGTTATCGTGAGGGCGAGGGGCCTGTTTCAAATAGCAACTCAGACCGGGATTGGGATCGGCGCAATACCAGGCATGAATCGTCACGTCAAATCAATCGACGGGATTATCCGAGGGAGAGCAATTCATCGAGAAGGCGAAGTCGAAGTCCGGCTTTTAGGGAAGGGCACCATGCATCAGATAGGCCGTCATATCGAAGGTGAAGCGGATTCAAATAGTGACTAAATTTCCAATACAAGGGCTTGCTTCCACGAACCCTTGTCAGGGGGGTGTGTGTGTGTGTGTGTGTGTGTTTCTGCGTTTTTTTATGTTTTTATTTAAAAAAAAGGGTGGAGGGCAGCAGCCAGTGAACGACTATTTTAACCCGTAAATTCAAGGATGTGTCGCGCACATAGGCCGTTTGAACCCAGGCCTCTGCGCCTAACTGAATTGCTTTTTACAATACATCGAGGACATCAAAGTGTTGAACATTGCCCCCAAAACAGCCACCTGAATTTTCTTCCCAGTTCATTTAGCGCAGTCCGAGCTTCCAATAAATAAATACCCAGAAACCCTATCTGAGTGGCCCCATCGCGCTGGAAGTTAAACCGGTGTCGTTGAAGAATTGGTACCAGTGCACTCGTGAAGGGAAGCGTTTCGTATCGATTCGAATTTCTTCCTTTTTTCTTCCCAGACACAATAGACCCTGTCTCAATACAAGATTCGAGTCATGATGCGAGCTAGAAACGTCAGTATAGGTACCAGCCGGAGACGGAATCGTATGTATCATACAGGAGAGGCTCTCTAGCCTTTCGTACAAATCTTTAATGGTTGAGTTATCGACATCGCTGATGTCAGCCATTAAATAAGCGACCTAAGTTTCGTCAGCCTTGAACATTACCTATAACACTGGATTGAAATTGGCATACATCTCCGCGACTATCGGTCATTTGTTTATCAACATTATGGTCGCCGAGGACCTCGTTCACTACAAACCAGCGATCAGCTACAGCGTCAAAGAGGGGGAAGGCTGTGATCCACTTACCCTTCCGTAGAACACCAGGGATGTTCTGATGGATATAAATCACCTGCATCGCGTTAGCAGCTGGGTTTCAAACATATGTGACCTGCCACAAGATTGAATTACCCGAGCATGGTTCGGCTCATCCATCGTCAAAGAACGAAGGGCAACTTCAGGGAGATTGACGGCGCCCAAAGTTGTGCCTTCATTGACGTATCTCACCAAAGCATCTCCCACTTCGACACCAATGGCACGTTGCGCTTCTTCCGTGCTACCTCCAATGTGAGGGGTAAGAATCACGTTCTTGAGACCGCGGAGATCGGCACCCCAACTGTTGAGATCATTGTTGAAATAGTCACCATTACCAGCAGGCTCGTTAGGGTAAACGTCAAGAGCAGCGCCAGCAACATGGCCAGAACGCATTGCGTGAATTAATGCCGGGATATCGACGACACTTCCACGGCTGGCGTTTATCAAGTAGCTGCCCTTCTTCATCTGCTCAAGTTGACGTTGCCCAATCATGTTCTTCGTCTCTGCAAGTTCGGGCACATGGCAGGTGACAAAGTCCGACTGCGAGAGCAAGCTCTCCAAGGTAGGCACCTGGCAGGCAGTTCCCAGAGCCATCAAGTTTACCACATCATAAAAAAGCACAGACATGCCCATAGCCTCCGCAAGGACCGATAGCTGGGCGCCAATATGACCATATCCGATAATGCCTGTTATCCCTGTTAGCCGAAATATCGCCATTGGATAGGGATGGCTGCAAACATGCCCAAGGTCTTTCCACGGATCTCCCAGCACTTGTTGCTGACCTTGTTCCAGGTGCCAGCGTGCATTTCATTGGAGCGATCGCAAAGCTGGCGAGCAAGGGCAATAATCTCAGCTATGACCAGCTCGGCGACACTTCGTGAGTTACTAAAAGGAGAGTTGAAAACCGCAATGCCGTGGTCTGCCGCATATTGGAGGTCGACTTGGTTGGTTCCAATACAGAAACAGCCCACAACAATGAGGTTCCGAGCTTCTTTCAAGACGCGAGCGGTCAACTTCGTTTTCGAGCGGATCCCAATCACATGCACATCTCTTTGGGAGAGGCAGAGGTTAGCCTATTGTCAAGATCAAGGAAACGTGCTTGAAGGGCCCACAAACCGAATTTTCTCTATAAGCTGGTCCTCAGGTAAGGACGACTTCAAGAATTCCACTTGATAGCCTTGCTTCGTAAGGATCTCTCGGCCGGTTTGGTTCACATTTTCCAAAAGAAGGACCTTGATGTCCTCGGTTGCAAATGGCTTCAGGTGCTTTGCATTGGGCAAGGGGATTATTCGATTCGTGAGAGCGGAGCTTCCATGACTTGGCGAGTGCGACTGGAACGATGCGGATGGGGAGCTCGAGAGATTCAAGTTTTGCGACGCATTCACATTCGAGCCCTCCGGGCTTGCGTTGATGTCTCTGGGGAACGATGCCATTGTGGTTGAACGAACCCAACGTGAAGAGGGAAGAGATACAAGTAGGCAAATGAGAGGTGGATAGCCCGGAAAAGAAAGGGTGGGGGTGGGTATCGATTTTATGTATCAAGAAAGACGCACGAGACAATTTTTAGCAGCTCCGGAACCGGACCTCCAGAAGTCAGTTTTTGGGTATAACTCGTTAACCACTCCGTTGACTCATACGGGCCATGCGGGACACAAGCAGACACCGAAGGCGGTCAAAGCGGGATGGCGGGGCAGAACCCGCGAGGGGTTTTTTTCTTTTTCTTTTTCTTTTTCTTTTTTTTTTTTGGCTGCTTGCGCGGGCTTTCCCTTTTCCCCGAGTCCGCCTCATACGGTTCTACTATAGATAGCTATGATGCTCTAACAGACGTGCACACGAACCATGTCACACACACTTGGAATCTATGAACCATTAATGAAATAGGGGCGAGGCTCGACGCAAGATTATATTCACATTCACATTCACACGGATCCACAGACCGGGTGGTGTACTGGCAATAGCCCTATTTCATACCTGCAAGTTCTGCATCTTCTTTGCGGTTTCCTCGGCGCCACCCGCGGCCTTCGGCCCCTGCTTACCTTTGGACTTCTGCGAAGTAGATCCCTTAGGAAGCTCCTTAGTATAGGGGAGAAATTCAGGAGCGCCTGGGATGTATTTTCTCAGAGGCTCGGGCACAACAAATCCCTAATGAATCTGGCATTAGCAACGGGGGCACGAAAGAAAGTATGACAGCACCCACATCTTCTGTCTGGTAATTCTCCAGAATGCAACAGAGCGTCCGCTCGGTGGCACAAAGCGTTGCGTTTAGAGCATGGACATAGGACTTTTTCAAATCCGTAGCCTTTTTGATCCCATAGCGAATTTCCAAGGCACGCGACTGGTAATCAGTGCAGTTTGAGCAGGAAACCAACTCCTTGTACTCCCCTTGGAAAGGAAACCACGCCTCGAGGTCATATTTTTTGGACGCGGCATTGTTCAATGCCCCGGAAACGATGGCAACAACCTGATACGGGAGTCCAAGGGAGCGGTAGAATTCCTCGGAGGTTTCCATCATCTCATCAAAGGCTTCCCAGGAGTTCTCGGGTTTGGTGATGACGAATTGCTCGATCTGCGCAATGATGAGCAAAGGGGCTGACAAGCAAGCCCATTTTCATGGTGCCCTTACCTTTTCAAACTGATGAACCCGGAAAATGCCCCAGGCATCCTTACCGTGGGCCCCCGCTTCTTTCCGGTAGCACGTGCTATACCCGGCGTACCTAAGCCCCTAGTCAGTTCGGAGGCCATCTAAGCAATGCATGCAAAGCCACTCACTTGATAGGAAGGTCCTTTTCCTGAAGCCATTCTCCGTCATGCAGTGCTGACAGGGGCTGTTCAGAAGTAGCGATGAGATATTTATCCGTGGATTTGTCTTCGCTTTCCGTGACCTTGTACAATTCTTCGTCAAACTGCTCAAGCTGTGCTGTTTTCGCCATCATTTCTCGGAGCATGAATTGGGGAGGCTGGTTCGGTTTGTAACCCTTGCCCCAAAGGAACTCCAGGCCGTAATTGATCAACGCAAGGTTCAAGAAAAGACCGTAGCCCGTCAAGCAATATCCACGATGGCCAACGATCTTCACTCCCCTCTCCGGGTCATAGCCATCAAGGCGGGTGAGAACCTCGTGATGAGAGAGGAGATTGCATTTCTCGGTGGCCTGGGCTTCGGGTGCCCAGGTTCTTAGAACAGCATTGTCGTCCTAATTTGTATTCGGTCGGCGCCGTGTCCTTTCCAAGGCATTCTGGGAGGCATACCTCATTGTTGCTCACAGGGACCGACTCATGAACATAATTTCCAATCGTCCGAACTTTGATGTCCCTTTGGTTTTCCTTCTGAAGAGCGAGGTCTTCGGCCTCCTTTTTGTGTTTCTCAAGGGCGGCCTTTTGCTCAATTAAACCACTTGCGTCTTCCTTGTTCTGTATCAAACGTAGCATTTAGCTCGGTTTTGGTCTGCATTGAAGAGCGGACAAGACAGACTAACTTTCTTCTTCTGTCCAATTTCCTTGAGGAGTGCGTTGAGTTGGGAGCCTATTTTGTTCACTTCGTAGCGTGCTGCGAGGAGGACTCGGTTAGCCTAGTTCTTGCATGGAGCGAACAATCCGTCTATGAGAAGCATACCTCGACGGGCCTCCTCGTACAAAGTGACAACCTCGTCGACTACATCTTCCGGGGCAAACCGCTTCCGCTGGCTCTCCTTGATCTTCTTCAGGTCTCCGCCGCGCTCACTAATAAAATCGGCAAGGTCCAACATTTTCAAGAATGAATAGATTCCCAGGCCGATTTCCAAGAAGAGGGAGGCTGCTAGAAGCCGGGTGGAATCCTGTTGTCGAAGACAGAACCGATGTGAGGGGTAAAAACTTAGGTGGCATCGACTTTTAGGGCACAAGCAAATGGAGGGGCCGCGGCGGCCCTGCGCTGAGTCAGCCTCTATCAGATGGGCCAACCAACTAACTACTAGTTAACTCTTAGTTAACTACAGTAGGTCAAGTACCTAGTAGTAGTTAAACTCCGGAGTGGTTACGGCGGAGTTACTCCTAGTTGGTTTCAGGTTTGTCTGAGCGGCAAGCAAGATAGTGAGTGGGCTGCTGCCAGGTCCCATGCAGAATAATTCAGGTGCCAAAACCAATGTCTTCAACCGGTTTCAAACGAGCGCATTTTTAGCGACGAACTAGCCAAAGATAAACCATCCCTCTTTGTCATTTAACACAACAGGCAAGCTAAATAGAAAAAGGACAACGGAATGACACCCAACATCCCACCAAGTTAAGACCTGGTTATGGAGTTTAGCAACGCGCCCCAGTTTACAAGTGCCTTGGTTCTGATTATTATTCGGCTCGAACACACCCCCAGATTTCACATTACATTGCACTTGTTCCCTCCCGTGGGCTGGGATGGATTTTGCGACTTTTCGATTTCCCCGATCATTAAATCGAAAGCCCTATCCACGTTGTAGCCAAGACGCGCGCTAGCCTCGGTAAACGCGCAATGGAGTTCTTCTACCAGCTGTCGGCCTTCGTCTAGAGATACCTGGCGTTGCTCATCTTTGAGGTCACTTTTATTTCCGACAATCACGAGGGGCACATAGTCTGCTCCCTATAATTTTTCTCAGCAATAGAAGACGGCGGAGCAAAGTAAGTGTTACTCACAAGATGATTTAGTATCTTATCTCGGATAACTCTGACCATGTCAAAGGATTGTCGGGAAGCCACCGAGTAGACAATGATGTATCCATGGATTCCAATGAAATGCTTAGAATTCAGAATGCTATACTCATCCTATCACCGTATTAGCTTTTGTGGGTATGGGCTCCCACAGCCACTGTTCTTACTTGACCAGCTGTGTCAACAATCTCCGTTGCAAAATCCTGGCCGTTGAATTTTATGATGCGGCTGAACGTATTCTCGATGGTCGGGTAATAACTCTCTACGAAATGGTGTTCGACAAATCGCACTGTAAGAGAAGATTTCCCTGCATACCAAGCGTTAGAGTCAAGTTGACGGGATGGGACATTCACTGCGGCCTTACCAACAGATCGACTGCCAACAATAGCTATCTTTCGCTGTTTCGGCGCTGCTGGCATTATTATAGCAGTTATGGTAGCAAGCAAGTCCAGCAAACAAACTATTGCACAGCACTAGTTTCGTTGGACCTCCCTGCTGCGTAGTGCCGCGGCGGAAAAGATGATGGAACAAAGTATTTCCAAATAGATATGTACTCAAACCTGAGAGTACAGTAAGTCCAAATGAAATCAATCAAGGGCGCCTGGTCCAATTGGTTTTGGGGGAACAGTGTCCGGGAGATGGGATGAGTCTGGGGTCCGGACGGGAGTGGCAAAATGTTTCGTAGTACTAGGTAACTAGCTCTCATGTGGCAAACAGGTCAAACGGGATTATTGAGCAACACTCCGTACCAGAACGGATCAACCACCGTGGAAACTCCCAACCAACACCACATGTAGACGAGTAATTTTCAGATGAGATAAGAGAAATCTACAGTCGCTTATTGCACTAAGAGTACGATCCGAATGCTTTGGGTTCCATGTTTGTCATTGATGGAGAAAGCATTTAAGTAAACATCATGCTTGACGTTGATTCCACATCTTCGTATTTTACTCCAACCCAGACATTCCTGGAGGTTTGACAGCGCGAAAGGATCGAAAGCACATGGGAAAGAAAAGGAAGAGATTGAAAAACAAAAAAAAAAAAAAATCCCCCAGCTCGATGGTCTGGCAAACACTAGGAGTTGAATTGGGAAAAGAGGTATACAGTGAGCCGACTATTGACGATAGGCATCAAGTTGTCTTAAACCAGATATTATCTGTTCAAGCCTCGTACTGAGTCCAGCGCCTCCGTCGTCTCGACCCTCCCTGGGGAAAGAGTCTTGCTCTATCTTTTGATGATACTGCAAAAATTCCTCTGTAGTCGACAATATAAGAGTGAGGCCATTGTCCAGTGTTTTCTGCAACTGGGAAAGAATCTCTTCATTCAGGCAGAGCGTAGCCAAAAGGATCGACAAATATCCGACGACAACATTTTTCTGTACTTCAGAGACAGAATGTGCCTGAGACTCGTAAGATTAGACGCCTCCTTGACAATCACAGAGGGTCATTTTCTTACCTGTTCAAGAGAATTGGTCCCGTAGGAAAATTGCTGCAAAAGCAGCTGAAAGAAAGATGTAGAGTTACGTTCCGACATCAGAAACACGGCTCTGGACGATTCGTTCTTCTCCGCCAGATTAGTGAGCGCACCAAGTGCTAATATTACAATATTCAAGGAGCTGTTTTCCTTAGCAGCAGAATCGTCGGGCACGTGGCGAAGTTCCGCGGTAACAATTCCAACAAGCCCAGCGACCAGCTCGGGGGTGGCGAGCTCTTTACAAAGCGCCGGGTCAGTGTTAGTGATGTTCATGATTACCCGAATGTAAAGACCCAAAATTTTTCGGTTTTGGTCGAACTGATTCGGATAGAGGAGCCAGCGAAGCCGGGAAAGTAATCCAAAGGAATTGCATTGACTGTGATCCCAAGGGCCGGATGATAGGACTGTGTAGGAGTCCAATATTGACAGCACCAAGGCAGATATTTCGAATTTCTGGGTGGTACTTTCTTCCTCGGGATTTATAGTTATGAGCAAGCTAATCAATTGGGTCAACAATGGCGTGGAAATAGGCTCAACACTGCGAACTTTCTGTCGAAGGTGCAGAAGAAACAGATTGACGCCGGAGAGTGCCAAGAAGCAAGGCGAAGTAGTTGATAACTGCTGCTCACACACCGCAGAAAGGATTGGCGGCAAGTTTTTCCTGAGAGTAAGCCGCACAGATTTAGAAATGCTAGTAGATTGCCGATCCACTAGACACAAGAAGTTGATTTCCGAGCCGAGTGGTTGAAGAGAAATTTGCATGATCTTCTGCCAAAATCGGCTCGAGAGGGCGAAGGGAAAGAATCCGCTCTTGAAGATCAGACTGTATGCGCAAAGGGCAAGCGAGGCTGAGATTATATCAAGATTATCAGTTGTTGATTCCATTAGTCGCTCCTCAAAGCCACATTCACAAAATTGACGAACGAGCCGAGGCTCTAGAAGCTTTATGCAAAGCCGGACATAGCCATCACACCTGTCCGAAACAGAGTTAGATGATCCTTCGATATCCTCTAGAATGAATTCAACTGTCTCGCGAAAACGGGCGTTTTCTCCAGCTTGCCTAAGTTCGTGGATACTACGAACAGGCTTGCTATCAATCTTGTCACTATCTTCATCGTCGACGCCATGCAGGAGCTGAAGATGAAGGGCTGATGAGCGAGATTGGCTGAGATCATGACTCTCCAAGGGAGCCACGGGTTTACCGTCACTAAGACTGTCCAGAAAAGAGATGTCATTCAAGAATGACCGCTGGCGTGCATAAGTGACCCGAGATCCTCGCAACATGGACGACGTCAGAGACGGTTGTCGAGGAATGTCGGCGAAAGACGTATCTCCGCTATGGTCAACTTTGGACTCCGAAGATGAGCGATGCCGCCTGTTGCTACTACCAGGTCGCTTGTCGCGAGCTGAAACTGGATTTCCCTCCACAGTAGAATCGTCCGAGGGGACCAGCGAATCCACCAATCTTTTCCTCGTCCGGGTTGTTTTTTGGTGGTTTCCGGCCGTAGACGGTGAGTCTTTCAATCTTTCAGTGCCTATCGTGTGTGATACAGCAGGGCTCTTCCTCTTGAGCGGGAATTCTCGTTTTGTCGGAGCCCGTCGTACAGATGGTGTGATCAAGGAGTGGTCGAATCCGAGAGCTTTGCGACTCGCTTGATCCCGAGTATCCCTCTTATGAAGCGGGGTTATATTGTTTTTCGTTTGCAATTGACAGTTGACTGCATCTTGTGAATCGCCAGAGCTTCCACCAAGGTCGTAAGCGGTGCCGACTCCGGATGCTTGGGGACTACGGTGAAGGCTATGACCCTCAACTGGAGTTGCCGTCGCTGTTCTATTAGACTTGGGACGCTTCCTCCGAGGCGTGTCAGGTTCTCCGCTTTCGCTATGCCGAGTGTCAGAAGCACATTGGCTAACGGTGTACGGTGCCGTGCTTTTACAAGCATCGATGTTATTTGGTTTTCCAGGCTCATTCTCTAGGGATGGGATAGGATTATTGGAACGGATCGATTCGGCTGTCACTTTGGGATCCTTTCTTGCCCTGTTCGAGACTTGAGGCGCTGAGATTTCAGATTTCTTGTCCGTGACATTCTGAGTGCTACCGGATCTTGATTTTCCGTAAGTCACGGTCTTCCTGGTCTGTTGACGCATGTCAAAGTATTGCACTTCTATCGATTTCGCGCTCAAGTTTTGTGTTGTGCGATACTGTCAGATGGCTGGACAATGTGACTGATTATCTGGGCCCAATAAAGTGGGAGGTTGCCAAATGTATTAATCCGATATTAAATGAATTATGCGATTCCATGGGCATGGGTATATGGTGAAAGAGCTGATCTGGTGAACTGTGAATGTACCGTTTTTGAATAGCTGTATCATTGGTGTCATTGATTCAATTATCTTCATTGGAAGAGGCTACTCTGGAGTAGGTAGCTGAGCAGCGGAATGTACGCTGGCTCCTATTTGCGGGGCCCACGGGCATCTAGGCAGAGTTGATTAGCTAGTAGTGGACCGAGGTGGCTTTTGCGAATAACAGAACAAATAATAACTCTGGAGAAAGTGTGGATGAATAAGCTGTACTAACCGCGAACTAACTGTTGGGGCCACTTGGTAATGGCAAACGTACCTACGGAGTAGATAAGTCAGTACAGTCTAGTATGTAGGCACAGATAAGACTACCAAAAGTCTTAACAAATTGCATGGCTATACAACCAGTTTAATCTGGGGCGCACAGGCTATTTCACAGTATATGTGAAACTCCAATTATGACATATATTATTCTTGTTGACTCAATACCCTTTTACCTTACACTAGGTTGTGGAATTACCGTAAGTACCGTAATATCCAGTGTGAGGGGTTTAATGCGTACTGCGTACAGCATATCACCGTCAGATGATTTAAGTGGCATTATTTTGTACAGTACTTACTGTACTGGTGGTACCTTAGGTATGGTCCAGGTAGGTACTATCATACTGTGCAGTACGTACCTTATCTAACATTACCAGATATGACAGAAGGCTCCCAACATCTGAAACAAATACCTGGCCATGCTGCGTATGTAATAGTACACAGATACGTATCTAGGTACCTACTAAGGTAAGGTACCTAGATACTTACCATACCTAGTACATTACGCAGGTATATTTTGCGACCTCTCCTCTTTTTTAATTTCCTATCCTCATTTTCGTTCGGGTCACACTCCCTAAAGTCTTTACAAGGCTGGATAGAGCTTTTCCATATCCAGAATTATTCCCTCGCTACCCTTTTTCCTTCTGAGGTGGAATCTTATTCAAATCACACTGAAGAGACCGCCTGGCAGTCATGGCTAGCGAAGTAACGGAATCCATACCTTCCCCCGCGCAAGGAGTCGGCCCGATATACTGGCCAGAGGGCGAGAAGCCAACAGCGACGGTATCTAAAGATATACCATATGAGAACGTCCATGTTTTACCTCAAACGCCTCAACTTATTGCCCTCTTGACGTAAGAAACGGATTAGATGAACGTCCGAGCTCAGGAGCATGGCTGACTCTCAATAGTATGATCAGAGACAAGAGAACCGGTCGCGCTGATTTCATATTCTATTCAAACAGAATCATCCGTCTCTTGGTTGAAGAGGGTCTCAACCATCTCCCTGTCGTGGAGCAATCGGTCACGACTCCTGTAGGTCGGGCCTATCTTGGTGTTAGGTTTGAAGGCAAAATATGCGGCGTATCAATTATGAGAGCCGGTGAGGCGATGGAGCAAGGGCTGAGGGATTGCTGCCGATCGGTCCGCATTGGGAAGATATTGATACAGAGAGATGAAGAAACGTGCAAGCCAAAATTGTTCTATGAGAAACTTCCGACCGACATATCTAGTCGCTGGGTTTTGCTGCTTGATCCGATGTTTGCAACTGGTAAGTTTGAAACACCAAGTGCTCCCTGGGTCTTATTAACCTAAGCTCGTTCAGGAGGCTCCGCTACACTTGCTGTTGAGATTCTGAAGGCAAAGGGCGTGCCTGAGGATCGCATTTTATTCCTGAATCTTATTGCAAGTCCTTCGGGAGTTGCAGATTTTGCTGAACGCTTTCCCAAACTCAGAGTTGTCACTGCGTTTATTGACCAAGGTTTAGATGACAAAAAGTAAGTGCCTAGTTTGTTAACACGTCCTATGGTTGATATAAAGTAGAAGCAAAAAACACTGATATCTACTGCAGATACATAATTCCGGGCCTTGGTGATTTTGGTGACCGGTATTATACGTTATAGGCATCAGGCGGTTTCGATATTTGTAGTTGCTTCGACTAAAGGTATATCCGTTTACCTATGACGTGAGGGATGGAGCCTAGCCCTATAAATTACCAGCCTTGTTTTCTGATAATTCCCAGATCCAAGGCTGTGAAGTCTGGATCATCCCCCCTCCCCTCCCCTCCCCGGGCAAACTCTTGTTATATGTACCAGGCTCCCTGACCATTCCTTCGTTCAGAATATATACCTGAAAGGCTTGTGTTTTTTGCCAGGGTGAGAAATTTTGGCATATACACAGATTAGGAGGGAAACAAACTAATTAAATGAGTAGCAAGGAAGGTTCTTTGGTCCATTCGTGTAAGTGTTCACTAGACACTCCAGCAGTGAATTCAGTAATCATCAGTATTTGTATCCACTCTCGCAGTACTATCCCCAGCTTCTTGTTCACCTGAAGAAGTGGCATATTCATTAGGGTGCATGTTCGGAGTGTTCGGTTCATATTTGTGAGCAGTATCCTTAGCCACCGCGTCGCATGCATCAACCCAGTCAGAGTACACATCAACAGCCGCAGAAAGATCTAGAGCAAATGTCAGATCTAGATTTAGTGTATACAAACGTTGAATGTGTGACGCATACAGTTAATACCCGTCTGGAATCTCTGCCCGCATACCTTGCAGGAGAGATTCCCTAGCCCAAGTTTCTTGTCTAGTTTGATAACAACCGAGTTTTCATGGTTGCAGAATAAACATGCGAATGTTGTTGGGAGTGACTCTCGCTTTGTTCGGTAATTGTCAGCGCCAGCAGTACTGCAGAGTTTGGTAAAGGATCACCTTCTTTGGCCCCTGCGGTTGTCTGCTCGATTTCTTCCGCTTACCCTATTCGAGGATGATGTTAATCACTCGTTCAAAGGATGGCAACCCCCTTGACTGTTACCGATGAACAGAGATGCACCTACCATTGTTGGAGATTCGCAAGTGGACCAAAGGCGATGGTAGATTCAGGGTAGGTTTAAATACGCTGAGGCATCTGGGAACAGGAGAGTGTGCCGTTGATATGGAAACCTGAGGACCATGTACCTCTACAGGGGAGGCAATATGAGATCGAAAGGTGGATTATCGTGTTTTGGATTTCATTGACTCAAGCTGGACACGTTGGTTGGTTAAGGTCTCAAGGCGCATGGACCGTGTAAGTAGGTAGATAAGGCATGGAAAGAATTTACAAGAGCGGTCGAGTACGGAGTACTACAGGTGGTAGTACCTCCAGCTGCTTAAGGGATTGAACTCAGATTACATCATATTTATTACCGACGTGAGCGTAACCAACAGTACTGCGTACAGTAAACCTGGCCCGACCCTTATCGATAAGGAACCGCAATAAATTTTCTTAGTGCAAAGATCACCGAAGGTCTACTCTAGAAGATCGCAGGAATGGAAACCCCATCTGCCATGAGCAACAAATGGTTTAAGGCTGCAAGAGGTACAGGGTGGTGTTATTCTTTCAGCCAGCTGCTCCCCTTGTTATTTTTTATGACAGTTGAAATAATGAGTACCAGCCTGGCATGAGTACTCCGTCTCCGTACAGTTCTGAGATCTGGTGCTTTGTATATCACAGGTAACAGTAGGTGGCTATCCACTTTATAATATAGATACCCCACCTATCTTGACGGAGTAATAGTTATTCCACACCTTAAATACTGGCAACATGGATTTATCTACGACATCGTACTTCGTATGATTCTGCATACCTAGCCTGAAAGACATGCTTTACGGAGCAGTAGAAATTGCCGGGTCAACACTTCAGTCGTTATCTGCCTAGTGAGGTACAATCTACCTTACGATGACAGCATTCCAGACGAGCTAACCATCTAGTTCCCCGAAATACAGGTCTATTATTTTTTCTGGACCGGGGATGATACTCCGCCAAAGAGATGGAATGCTTTGCATGAGCCGTATTGTAAGATCATCTACACCATCCGGTGCGTTGATTCGACATTGGCACCACCTGACCTGTAGGTACCTTACCTTAGGTACCTACCAACCTGGTACCGTAGGTAACAGGATTAGACGCTAGTACGGTAAATTGTACTGAAACAGGCCGGACTTTACCGCGCACCTACGGAGTACCACACCTAACCATGTTTGTGGGGGGGTGAGAAATTACATAATACACTGATAGGGCCGACGCCTCGCTTAATTCAACTTTTTCTGTGGGATTTTGTTTTCAACTCCCATTCCGTCGACCCAGCAGCGTCAAGAGTACCGACTGCCTCCACGAGACTGCGTGGTGTTCCATACTTGTCTGTCTTCGACAATTGCAAGGTAGGCTAAAGTCGCAGATATGGCTGTTGGAAAGTATGTCGCCCTCTCCAATGCACTCTAATGCCTCCGTTGAGAGAAATGGGAATGCCGATTGCTAATAATCCCTTAGGAACAAGCGCTTGTCCAAGGGCAAGAAGGGCATCAAGAAGAGAACCGTCGATCCTTTCTCCAGAAAGGACGAGTACTCTGTCAAGGTAAGATCGTAACTCTCCATGCGACGTGGGCATGGCTAACAGAAGAACAGGCCCCTTCGACCTTCCAGACTAGGGAGTATGTCAACCGTTTATCTTCGCATCCTTTTTTTTTGAGCACCATGTACCAGGAATCGACGGCTGACGAGGAATTTTAAAGTGTTGGAAAAACCCTTGTGAACCGCACCAGTGGTCTCAAGAATGCGAACGACTCTCTGAAGGGCCGGATTTTCGAGGTCTCTCTCGCTGACCTGCAGAACGACGAAGACCACGCTTTCCGCAAGGTCAAGCTCCGTGTCGACGAGATCCAAGGAAAGAACTGCTTAACCAACTTCCACGGGCTGGACTTTACGACCGACAAGTTGCGATCTCTTGTTCGAAAGTGGCAGTCGCTCATCGAGGCCAACGTTACGGTGAAGACGACTGACGACTATCTTATTCGTCTGTTTGCCATTGCCTTCACCAAGAGACGTCCCAACCAGATCAAGAAGACCACATACGCCCGCTCATCTCAGATCCGCGCAATCCGGAAGAAGATGACCGATATCATGCAGCGGGAGGCGACCAGCTGCTCCCTGGCGCAGCTCACCACGAAGCTGATTCCCGAGGTTATCGGACGTGAAATTGAGAAGGCCACTCAGGGAATCTATCCCCTTCAAAATGTTTGTTTCTGCTCTGAAACATCTTTGAACTACGCTAAAATGTCTCTAGGTCCACATCCGCAAGGTCAAGCTTCTCAAGTCTCCTAAGTTCGACCTGGGTGCATTGCTTAACTTGCACGGCGAGTCTGCTACTGATGACAAGGGTCACAAGGTCGAGAGGGAGTTCAAGGAACAGGTTCTTGAGACCGTTTAATGCTTTGATTCACAAATGTTTGTTCGGAGCTGATGTCGGTATCGGTGCTCGATTTCAGGCTGTTGATGATGTTTCCGATAAGTCAATAAAAATTTCCTCGACTTGATGTTCAATTTATTAGTAACTTCTACTTCCTTTCGGTGACGTTTCCTGATCCTGGGTATGAGTTGGAATGGGAAGATGTTAAGTTGCTCGCGGTGATAGGCGTCCCCTCAACTATTTTTGATCGTTGCTCGGTCTTCGATGGCTATTCCCAATGCCTGCAGTTGTGACAGTTGGTTGAAAGCGTGCTTGCTGGGGCACTCGTTCCGTTCTACATCTTGGTCTAGGGTAAAAGCGGCAGTGCCGCCCGGAGGCTTGTTGCAAACGTAGCTCGGACCTGCGCCGTTGGGGCTGGATCACATTATAGAAAGTGTCACGGCCTGGGACTGCCTGCTTGTGGTGTGCTGATAATTATTGATGAAATCAATGGTTCGTTTTGGGATGATGTTATTCCAGGTCTTGATTAAACTTGTAGAGAAAAAAGTGGCTTTCTAGTTTTTTCAATGTACATGAAGGATCGTAGCAATGGCTATAGTAACATATCATTCTGGGTACCCATTCTAGTTATGCTACTATAAGGCGGTCCCAGGTATCTCAGCACAAGAGGTGCTGAGATAGTGGTCTTTTGGCTCAGCGGGATAATCACGTGCCTGGGCGTGGTTGTAACAATAGCTGTCTAATTTAAGTTAGAGAGTCTTTTTTATAAGGCAGATATTAAAAATAATTAATATTAAAAAATAGTTTGAATTTTTTTATAAATATAATGTTTATTTTTATATTAACTAATTATTTTTAAGCCCCACGTATAAAAGTAAAGATTAATTATAATATTAAAATAAACTAATTTAGCTATCTTAGGATTATCCTTATACTTATATACACAAACTAGTTAAGTGACTAGGCCTTTTAGGATAAAGATTACTAGAAGAACTACTTTAAATAATTTTTTAAATTTATTAATTTTTTTATAATTATCTTTAGGGCGAGGATAAGTTAGCCTAGACTTATATCTCACATATATAATTATATATTTATGTTAATAATTATTTTATCCTTATAAGTTAAGATATTAATAATTTAATCATAAAAACTATTTATATTATTATAGATAATTATTGTTGCCGCACTAGTTGCACTGATGGTCTGTTTATCTTCCTGTATTGACCAACATGGTTGCTTTGCACCACCGTTGTTCCACCTCTTCAGCACTCAGTCTTATTAATTTTAAGAAGGATTATTAACTTTAGCATATTAATAAATTAATTATCTTAATAAATTAAAATTACATGTCTTAATATTATATTTAGTAATATATTTATTTTATAATCTTTATAGGACTTTATATAAGCAGCAGGTTTATTCTCTAAGTATTTTAATTATTGTTTTGTTTATTTAAGTTATTAATCTGGTTTATCTAATCACTTTTCTCTAACTATCTAACTAGAATTCTGTTTTAGTAAGTCACTCTTATCCCTAACTTAATGTTTTTTATTATTAAAATTTATTAATTATTAATTTAGAACAGCTATTCCTTATTATTTTTATTTTAATTATTTATAATTTTATTATATTAAGCTATAGTTATTTCTCTCTAATAATTATATTAATTTTTATTTATATCCTGAGGCTTTTTAATTATTTTATTTATTTTATAATAATTAGTTGTCCTGCTCCTACCTACTAAAATATTTTATTATCTTATTATTTTATTATTTTATTTTCTTATTATTTTAACACCTTAAATATTGCTTTATTATTTTAGTGCCTTATTACCTTAACACCTAGCTGTTTTGTTAAGGACTGATATTAACTCGTCTTAGTAAACTTAGTTATTAATTAAATTAGTATTACGAGTATTTAGATTATTCCTGGGTTAAGCTATTAAGTAATAAATTTATTAAGAAAGCTTAATATATTATCTGTACCTATCTATCTTTAATATTAATAAAAATATACCTGTTCTCTCTGAGCTGGTTAATTAATAAATCTAATATTTATTATACTGTAAAAGATTTTGCTAAATAAAGTATTTTTTTAGAAAATAATTATAATTATTAATTTTAGTTATTATTAAATTCTTTTGATTGTTAAGATCCGATTATATTACTTAAAATATTAAAAAGCTGATTACATATACTCTTACTAAGCTTATTAACTCAAAATATTAATTATAAATTAGTATATTATTAAATTAATTTAATTATAGAAGAAGAATATCCTAAATATTTTAATAAATATCTTAATAAATGTTCTGAAGAACTTTAATTAATAAAATTAATTTTTAATATTAATCTTAAATTAAAATAATAAATAATCTTATATTTTAGTAGATTATATATTAATTATACTCCAGAGGGCGCTCTTATTATTATTTAAACTAGTTTTATTAATTTATATAGGTATGCTTATTAATTATTTAATTAATTTATTAAGTTTATATTGTTTTATTAAGATAATATATTATTTTATTAAGAAAATATACTATTTTATTAAAAAAAAAATATCTCTAATAATATATTAATTATTTTAGAAGTTCTGTTAATTTAATTTAAAATATTTATTAATAGTTTTTATAATATTATATTATCCTGTTAAGAACCTATTAGACCTCGCTGTTACAGACTTAATAATATAAAACTTTTAATATTATTAACTAGCTAGACATAAGGCCCTACCCTGTTTAATATAATAACTTTTTAAGCTATGTTAAGCTAGATACTGTCACCGGCGCTTATCTCAGCGCGGAACACGGAACAACCAGACCGCCGGAGGTCCGCAGGGTTGCCGAGGCATTCGGGAACTGATTCCCGCGAAACCCCTTATTAAAAGGGACCACCTGCTTGATCCCTAGGAGGTTAAATAATTAATTTTATTTATTTTATACCTGTTTTTTAACTCCTTATATCTTTTAGCATGTAATAAGTAATCCGCAGATATATTATAGGCATCTTAAACTCCTTAGTATTTTTATTTAAGAGAACTAAGTGCCCAGAATAAAACTTTTATAGTTATTTTTTATAGTTTTAATTATTTTATCTCCTGTTTTATTATTATTATATTTACACGTGGGTAATCTCGCGACAAATAAAAATATTATATTTATTAAATATTTTTAAATAACCTTTTTTTTACCTCAGAAGAAGCAATTTAATCCTTTATATTAAATAATAACTTTTTTTACCTAAATACTTAAAAGGACCTGTATTAATATCTGATTTTTATTTAAAATTTATAGTATTATTTTAGAAATAAACCTTACTTCTTTTTTAAGGAAGAAATAAAAATCTTATGTATAAAAATATGCCTATCAGAATCTCTCCGAAACTTATAATATTTAATATATTTTAAGGATCTCTAGGGAGTAATATTTAAAAATTTTAAAATTTTTTTAATAAAATAAATAAAAAAAAAAACTAGGGATAGATTTATACTTATAATTTTACTTAATTAAGATAGGACCTTAACTAATTTATTTAAACTATATTAAGTAAATATATTCTTTTTACAGAGCTTATATAAAAGGATATTAATTAGTTTTTTATTAATTATTTTTTTAAAATATTATAACTAAATTTATAAAGAGATATTAAAGAGGCTTTTAAATTACTAATTAATAAAAGGCTAAAAAGTTTTATTAAAACAGGTGTCCTAGTAGAATAATATAAATAATTAGTAAAATAAAATAAAAAATTTTATTAAATACTATAGTTATATAGCAGATTATTCTTTAGAGATAAATATTTCTTTTAAAAAAGAAATTTTTCTTAAAAAAAGAATTTCTAAAATAGTTTTTTTTTTTAAATAATTTTTTAATTTCTCAGAGTAGCAGTATATCGCACATAAAATATAAATATTTTAAAAAAAAATAGTTATTTTAAATACTAGGTTTTCAGAGGAGAAAAAAAGCGCTTAAATAAAAATAAATATTATTTTATTTATAAAAAAAAAAGATATTATTTCTGAAATTATTATTTTTAAGAAAATAAAAGATTATTCGTGAATATAATCTCTAGTAAAGTAAAATATCTAATAATAAAGAAAAAGAGTAATTCCTTTTTTTAATAAAAAGGCGCGCCTCTAATCTTTAATATAATTAAATCTAATATTTTATTATAATTTTTTTCTCTCTGTGCGGGCGTTTAACTATATATAAAAAAAAAATAAGCTACCGCGAATATATTATTAAATATAAGGGCAGATAATAATTTTATATTATATTATTAGCTAAAAAAATAAGGCTTTTAATTTAGTATTAGTTAAATATTAGCTCTTGTTTATTTTATCAGAAACTAGATAGTATTCTAATATAAAATATTATAAAAAAATATAAAAATTTTTAATTTAGATAATAATATATATAGTTATATTATATAATTTTATATTATTAATATAATAAATTATAATATTATACTTAGCAGAAGCTGGATAAGTCTTATAAACTTTAATTTTAGTATTATTATAAAAATTTAGTAATATTATAGTAGATTACCTGTAGTTAGCTTAGTATTCTACTATTAATTTAAATAATACTACCGCGCTAGAGAATCAGAGATATTACTTAGGGTAATTATATTAGACTAAGAAACTTTTAGTCTTTTTAAATAATATATCTAATTTAAGAAAATATTTTCTAAGTAAAAAATAATATTTATATTAATAAGATTAACAAAACATATTATTTTATTAAAATCTAATATAAAATTTTTATATAAACCTCTGTATAGTATATTCTATAAAAAATTAAAAATATTATAAGATTATTTAAATAAAATAATTAAAAAAAATAAATTTAGCCCTCCAGCAGATTTATTATAGTCTTTATTTTTTATATTAAAAAACCTGATAATAGCCTATAATTATATATAAATTATTAAAGATTAAATAAAATTATAATTAAGAATTATTATCTGCTCCCGCAGATTAATAAAATTATAGATTAGTTAAAAGATACTAAAGTC